AAAGTACGAGTCCGTGACGTTCATGACACCACTGGAGAATTGGATGATGGCGACTTGTGGGGACTGCTCCATTTCCGAGACGGCATCCAGGAAACAATCGGCCGGGACACGGGTATCAGAGTCAATCAAGAGGACATAGTCGCCCATGCGAATGTTGCCATCGGCCCAGGTACGGCCCTGATCTTCCTCGACGACTTCAGTCAGAGCGTCACGGTAGGCACCGGCTTCATCCTCCTGAGTCCAACCCTCGTGACGTTCCGTAAGGAGCAGCTTGTCCTCCACACGGTTACTGATCCAGAGGGCGTAGTTCATGTTGGAAGCCTTCTTGAACTTTCCTCTGCGCAGGAAAACCTCTTCGCCCTCAGCTGGCTTCGGGGTGTGCTTGGGACGAGCGACCCAGCCGATGTTGTGTTCGTCGTAGTAATCCTGGCGGGCACGAGCGTCCTCTTCGGAGAGGACTTGCATACCGTCGTCGTTTACAAAGATGTTTGCGGTTCCACCTTGCATTTCGTAGGTCGAGATGGCAGCCTTTAGAGATCGCACGGTAGGCTCAATGACAGCAGTAAGACCCTCCTTGTAGACTGGCATTTGGATCGTGACGTGAGGAAGAGCTTCTGCGTCCTGGCGAAGGCGCTTTGGTCGTTTGCCGRAGTAGAATTTGGTGTTCCTGTTGATTTGCGAGATTGGACCGATGACCTGAGCAATGTTGTTGACAATGGATTGGAAGAAGAACAATCCGAGCCACATCTGGAAAGGAGCCACAGCGACGAACGCGACGCGAGAATAGTCACCGTCGACAAAGGTCGAGATGGCGATCTTCCGGAAACCAAGGCCAATACACACAACGGTCAAGGCGAGAGTGAACGAGCAGAGGATCGCCTGCCATAACATCAAGCTGCGTGGCTTCTCGATGTCGCCCATCTCAGCCATGTCACCATCGTCGGAACCCACTTCCGCGACATTGACACCGCCCTCCTTTTTCTCGTCGCCCATCATATCATCATCCCAGATCATCTCCATCAGAGACGATTCAATCTTCCGTGCGCGGTCCAGAAGATGGCGTGGTTCGTCATCCCAAACCACCAGGAGGCCTCTATCCGCGATGAACGCAGCGAATTGATGCTTTTGGCAGCGAGGCAGGTACGAAACATCTGGCAGAACTTGCAGGCGGAGCCCGTTCTTCAGAGGAACGTACGGTCTCTGGTTGTTGTGGAGAAAGAGCTTGATGACACGGGTGTTGACGGTCATTGCAACCTGAATTCATTCATGTCAGTCGGAGGAGGCATTGTCATTGCAGCATTGCAACATACCCGAACATTCAGCGTCTCAACCGCCTTGAAGAAGCCATATGGCTCTTCCGTGATATCGGCCGGACAGCATGTGTATGCTCCGCGAGACTTCTTGAGGACAACACCTTCATCCACACCACCTGCGGTCCAAAGGCGTTCCATTTGCTGTTGGTAGAGCCAGTTCACCATGACATCGCACTTGATCTCGTTGAGCTCCTCGTGCTGCGAATTGCGGAACTCGCCCCCGGCTGGATATAGAGAGGCAGGTCGGGACCAACTTCCAGATGTGACTGTTCCTGGAGTGCTAATCCCAGCTGCTGGCGTGACAGCTTCTTGCGGCTTCTCAGACATCTCGAGTTTGCCATTGTCCTCGGTCTTGTCGTCCTTCTTGGCCTTGCTAGGCTTGACGTACGAGAGGAGACCCATCTTGTGTAACACACGGAGGGTTTACGTGTGAGGCCAATGAGGGGAATGAGGGGAGATGTTGCGAAGAGTGTTGGGTCTCTTGCACGCAAATCTTTGATGGAAAGCGAAAGGATGAAGACACTAAGGCCTACGGTCGGTGAAGAAAGTGCAACGATCGACGAAGCAAAGAAGAATAGCAGGTGCAGAAGGTTCTCTAATACATACCTTGCCTCTCGCTGGACAACCTAGCGGTGGGCGTTCGCGGCGTCGCCCTACGCCAGACCGTGTCGGACTAACAATTTGCTCCATCTCCCGAAGTGTCTAGCATGAAGGTAATCCGAAGGTGACCTGTGAGCAAAAAGCCACATGCCGTAGCGGCTTCGAAAATGGGTACGCATTTCCCAAAGCGTCCGAGACGAAATGCCTAGAGTCTAGACACTGCATGGTCTAAGCTTCTTCGGGAACGATTATGTGAGTGCCGCAAAGTTTCCTGTTCCTATTTTCGATGGCGCAAAGTGTGCGGTGGGATTTTCAAACCTTGTTTGCACAGGAGGCTCTGCTGCGAACGGTGCCATTGCTCGGGTTTACACTCAACAGATTCCGCGTTTCCCATCTCCGCGATGCTATTCCGCTGCACACTGCACACAGTTCTCCCCATAGCACTTCAGCCCCGTCCACCGGGCGCCAAAGACGACCTAGGCTTGGGCAATTGTGGCTTTGTGTTCACCTCCAAGAGATCCCTCGCAAAGGGGCACATTCTCATCAGCCGATGTTGACGTCGTGGCGGTTATGCCGAGACGAGGGTAGATCATTGGATCTCGACACGGCCCGGTCTTGAGTCTTGTCCATATCCAGCAATTTGGAAGAATCCGCCCTTACAGCCGAAGGTGATCCAGGCTAGCACAGTTTGGGCAAGTGAAGTAACAGCTCTTGTGGTGAGCCATCGCAGCTTGCGCATGTACGTCGACTTGTTGATCACTCTGCAAGTACTCTCAAGTTCTGAACTTTCTGCAACATGCTGCACATACATGTCTCTCAACTCGGAACTTTGCGTCCCCAAGGTAGGGTACATGTGGTAGTGTAAAGCCAAAGCTCACATCGCCTCGGTGTCGCTGCAGAGGTACCTATTCTATTCGCTGTGTCGAGCGTCGCATCTTGTCGTATTCAGCGAGAGCTAGAAGTCTTTGCATAATCTTTTCCGTTGAGATCAAGAGATGGCGGCACGGCCGAATCCGCGAACACTCGCCTCGCCCTATGCATCCGGAGTTCTACAAAGTCGAAGTCTATTGACTCGGATCTCGGTCCTGTTTGCCAAGAAGGCGACCCAACTTCATTCACATCGCCACGATGAGGAATGCGGGCCGATGGAAGGAAAGCATTTGGTACGCTATTTGGTTCAACGCGAACACATCCAGCGCCGAATTGCTTTGCCGCCCAAGGCGAAGGGTAATGTCTCAAACCGTTGGTCCTCGTGCATTGCAACTATTCTCAGAGCGGGTACTCGCAGCTCATATTGCGGTCATACTCAAACTGCGTGGAGGCGTTTCCGTCAGCATAGCCCGAGACAGGCCTTTGACATGATGTACTCACGACGGTGGAAATGGGTGGCTGATGTTCTTCAAAGTCTCATCATCATCATTGGAGGTGATGTGCACTCCAGACAAGGATGTCAAGTTTGTCATCCCTGAGATACACCGACGCCAAGGGGACGGCGGTCCGATCACCGGTAGAAGCCACGCGAGTAATCATGTCTTAGAATATCACGACTGGGGTAACGTTATACTCATCGTTTGGTTCGCAACACAGCCCGCATCCGCAGAGCGGCATCCCTCTCACAGAGTCTCGATGCAACGGAGATTCACCACAACATCGAATTGGGCCAATGGCCTCGAGCCGGATGCTGATGTTAACAGAAGCAGACAGCTTCTTGTTTTTGCTACCATACCAAGCATGATGGATTCACACGAAGTACTTTGTCACTGCCACCACTACGACAAATCGGCTCCTCCTCTCATCTTATCATCAACAAGGTTGCGAAGTCTGCCGCGTGATAGTGCATTTTCTCAGGTAGGAATTGTCCAAGCCTGGTATTTGCACATTCGAGTGGATGGGATACCTACTCTGGAGTACTCTGTAACAAGCCTCGGTCAAGTTGGTTGATCGCCTCTCGAATGTCTGGGACGAGATGTTTGGTACTCGCGCGCCGACTGTGATCTTCCAGAGCTTCTAAGCTCTCGACCGGCACCAAAAAACAACACAGGCCACGTCCAGTCTCTAATTCGCAGAGCTAGCTCCGGCTAAGCAGGCATTCTTACACAGGATTCCAGTAGAACGTCTTTTGCGACATCTCCGGTCTATCGCTCTTTGGAGTGCTATCCTTCTCGCGAGAACTCGCAGACACATGATCAGTCCACCGGCTGGAACGATCGAAGCGCCGTAGCAACACGTCAACCAAATAAAACCACCATTATCCCAATCCGAAACGCCACAGTTCATCATCATAGGTCGTCATGCATCATTCGGCCAGGCGGTAGGAAACCACGGTATCTATGCGATGGGAGTTTGTCGAAAAACTTCGCAGCATGACCTTTTCGGCGTTTTTGACTTCTTTCGCGTCGCTATCGCCCCACTCCAGAGGTACCTCGCTGTCGGCATCTGCGTAGACGAGAACGTTGAATGTGCAGTTGCCATCCAGCATGGGCAGGAAGGACACAGATGCTGTGATTTGCCTGAACAAGGCTTGGATCTCAGCCTGGATCTCGCCCTCGGTCTTCTCGGCTTGAGCACCAGTCTCGGGCGTAGAGTTCTCCTTGTCTGCTGAACCACTGCCACGCTTCTTCTTCCCATCCTCATTGAAGATGTTGACCTGGTGTCGTGTTAGCTAGCTCTCTAGATCTACACACGTGCAGAGTAGGGCTGGACTCACATCGAACTGCCATCGCTCCACGTGTTCGCCAGTCTCTTTGCTCGTGACAACAATGACAAGCTTCGAGATCTTTGACTTTTGCATCCATTTGTTGAGTTGACCCATGATTTTCTTGATGTATGCTTTGACTTGGTCGTCCAGCGAGACCATCATGTTCAATCCATACTTCTTGACTCTGCGAAATGCATTAGCTTGGGCAACTGAAATATCTATGAAGAACTTACGCCGAGAAGTCCTCGGCAGGGTAGACGCCTCGYTGAAACAAGATGGTGTTGATGGAGTACTCAAAGAACTCTGTCACCTGCGCGTAGATAGATGTGTAAGTACGGCTCAGGCGTTGGACAAGTTGTGCATTCAGCGCCGTACCAGCTTCGAGCTACCTCGCAGCGACAGCTTGTGTGTCTTTGCCTTTTCCGTGGACGATGTCGCTGCTGAAGGCATTATGGCGGATGCGTGTGAAATGTGCCGTCGATGTCGTCGTCGTCTCCGTCAATGTCAAGAAGTGCTCTGTTTGGCTCGTTTCGCGGGGCAACCCCTTTGTCATCCAAAATTTGGCCAAATTGACGACGCCCATTGATGGACCCTCGGACGAGCAGCGTATTATGAGACCACTGCGATTGATGTGACAGGAGGAGGAATTGTCAAGAGCTACGGGATCCATCTGTCATACGGGTCGGCTTAATGCAACGATGCTTCCTGGCGACTAGGAGAGGCTATGGCGCCGCCCCATCGACATGGCGCTGGAGCAGCGCGGCCGCACGAGTCCTCTTGACTGGCGCTCATCGAGAGCTGAGCACATCTGCCCGTCTGCTCGCGAAGAAAGCCTCGCCGACAACAACAGCACTGGAGGAGAGGATATCCCGGATCCCGATTGAGCGATTCCGCAATTTCTGCATTGTAGCCCACGTCGATCATGGCAAGAGCACGCTCAGCGACAGACTGCTGGAATTGACGGGCACCATCGAGGCCGGTGGGAATAAGCAAATTCTGGACAAGCTCGATGTGGAACGAGAGCGTGGCATCACGGTCAAGGCGCAGACATGCTCCATGATCTACAACCACAATGGGGAGGATTATCTGCTGCATCTGGTGGATACGCCTGGACATGTAGACTTTCGTGCAGAAGTCAGCAGAAGTTATGCCAGTTGTGGAGGAGGTGAGGAACATGGGGGACAATTCTCCAACACAAGCTGATGTTTTTTTAGCACTTCTTCTGGTTGACGCCTCGCAGGGTGTGCAGGCTCAGACGGTTTCCAACTTCTACTTGGCGTTCGCTCAAAACCTGGCTTTGGTACCTGTCCTGAACAAGGTGGATCTGCCATCTGCCGACACGAAGCGGACTTTGGAGCAGTTACGAGACACCTTTGAGATCGATTCCTCTAATGCTGTAATGGTCTCCGCGAAGACTGGTCTGAATGTGGCCAAACTTCTCCCAACGATCATCGATGGCATCCCGGCCCCGGTAGGTGATGAGACCGGACCTTTGAAATTGCTGCTTGTGGACAGCTGGTACGACAACTACAAAGGGGTCATATTGCTCGTGCGCATTTTCGAAGGCAAGGTCAGAGCCGGCGATCGCATCGTGTCCTTTGCCACAGGTCTGGAGTACATCGTCGGCGAAGTGGGGATCATGTATCCTTTGGAGACACCTTTCAAACAAGTCTTGCGGGCTGGCCAGGTGGGCTACATCTACTTCAATCCTGGCATGAAACGGAGCAAAGAGGCCAAGGTTGGTGATACATACACCACCGTTGGCAACGAAAGCAAGGTTGAACCGCTCCCTGGCTTTGTTGAGCCGCAGAGCATGGTCTTTGTCGCCGCATTTCCGACCGACCAAGGCGATTATGCGCATCTCGAAGACAGCATCAACCAGGTCTTGCTGAATGACCGCTCGGTGACCATCACCAAGGAAAGTAGTGAGGCTCTTGGCGCTGGGTGGCGGCTGGGATTTTTAGGAACTCTCCATTGCTCCGTTTTCGAGGATCGCTTGCGCCAGGAGCATGGCGCGAGCATCATCATTACACCGCCCAGTGTGCCTTTCAAGGTTGTCAAGAAAGATGGCACCGAAGAGGTGATCCGGAACCCAAACCATTTCCCAGAAGGGCGTGATATTCACCAGCATGTCGTATCCTTGGAAGAGYCTGTCATCACTGCGACCCTCACCTTGCCTGAAGAGTATCTGGGAAAGGTCATCGAGTTGTGCGAGGCCAATCGTGGCATACAAGAGAGCATCTCGTTCTTCACTTCAACACAAGTCATCCTCAAGTACCTTCTTCCGCTCGAGCGCTTGGTTGACGACTTCTTTGGCAAGCTTAAGAGTGCTACGAAAGGCTATGCTTCCCTGGATTATGAAGACGCTGGCTATCGGCCATCCAACGTCATCAAGCTGCAACTTCATGTGAATAAGGTGCCGGTCGATGCAGTTGCAAGAGTGGTTCACTATTCAGAAGCAGAAAGGCTTGGGAAAACCTGGGTAAAGCGCTTTCGAGAACGCAAGTCATCTCCAGCAAGAACGCGTCCTCCTTTCCGTCAGAGACAAAAGGCCTGCAAGGCGGCTTCTTGGAACTTTCGGTCTTGAGGCAGTTTTTAAACCCTTTGCGATAGTGCCCCGCTAACTTGTGACTCTTTAGATGTATCCCGACAGATGTTCGAGGTCGTTATTCAAGCTGTTGCGGGCAACAAAATCGTAGCACGAGAGACGATCAAGCCTTTTCGGAAGGATGTTTTGCAAAAGCTGCATGCGGCTGACAAGGGCAGGAAAATGAAACTGCTCGAACGGCAGAAGGAGGGCCGAAAGAAGCTCAGGGCTGTCGGCAATGTCGCCATAGAAAATATAGCGTTCCAGGCGTTCCTGGCTAAGGAATAGCAGCCCTCGCAAGTATGTATGGAGAACTCAACCAGGACACTCMACTTTGTCTTGCTCWCCATTTGCTCTGCACCAGAAAGACTCTCCGATTTTACAACGATACCTCGTGGCTTTGAAAGCCTCTGTAGCCTTGGTAGTCACGGGAAGGGGGTAAATGCCTTTGTCCTCCTAAAGACAGTACTTATATAAATTGCCGGTGAAGGAATCTTTGATGATCCCTCAGCATGGAAAGGAAGGACATTGCCACGATCGAGGGACTCGAGAGTAAGACGACAGCGAATGATATAGAGAGCCTGTAYACAGTGCCGCAAATGCCTACCCAACGGGCGATGCGTGGTCGAATTGAGCAACGGCTACATGGAGAAAGAAAAGTGATGAGGAACAACATACCATAGTCGTACCTTGAGATTCAACTCGCGGTGCACATTGTTGTTCAGGGGTGAGATTTTGGAACGAAGGTRAGGTACCTTGAGTAGCTGGAGATGAAGTGTGGCTGTGCTGGATTCCCAGCCACTCAACGTCCCGCCTCACTGCAAAACTAGAGGTAAGGTAGGTACTAAGGTAGTCCACTTCTTTACAACAACACCGACTTCGTGATCGCCTGCTACGGCCTCACTGCAAGCAACATGGCTGCTTCCAAGACACTCGAGAAGCTCGATGGCCTGGAGCTGCCGGCAGCGGCCGACATGCATGTTCATCTGCGGGAAGGAGACATGACCGAGCTCGTGGTGTAAGGTAGAATAAAAATGAGATATGTATGCGCCTCTAACAGTCACTAGGCCCACTATACGCCAGGGAGGTGTCAACACAGTCTTCGTAATGGTAGGTCAAGTCATGCATTCTTCCATCATCTGCGATCTCCTAACATTTGCAGCCCAACTTGGTGCCTCCGATCACCACTGTGAACCATGCTCTAAACTACCAGAAGTATCTTCAAAAGCTGGAGCCCAACGTTCAGTTCCTCATGTCCCTCTATCTGCACCCAAACATCAAGCCCGAAACCGTCATTGAGGCCAAGGAGAGAGGCATCACCGGCATCAAGTCCTACCCACATGGCGTCACTACACACTCAGATCATGGAGTCCTATCGTACGAGGCATTCTACCCGGTGTTTGAGGAGATGGAACGGCAGGACATGGTCCTCAACCTTCACGGCGAGCTTCCACCTTCGGCCGGAGCCGATATCACAGTCCTCAACGCCGAAGAGGCATTTCTGCCCACCCTGATCGACCTGCACCGCCGCTTTCCCAAGCTGAGGATCATCCTCGAGCACTGCACTTCTGCAGCTGCGATTGAGGCTGTCAAGTCAWGCGGTGACACTGTTGCTGCGACCATCACCGCCCACCACATGTTCCTGACCGTCGATGACTGGGCCGGAGATCCGCATTGCTTTTGCAAGCCTGTTGCGAAGAATCCTTCCGATCGTCGAGCACTTCTGAAGACAGCAATCAGTGGGAACCCAAAGTTCTTCCTCGGTACGGACTCGGCGCCCCATCCCGCGATATCAAAACGCGGCGATAAGGTGGCAGCTGGTGTGTTCACGCAACCTCATGCGGTGGGTCTCGTCGTGAATGCACTCGAATTAGGAGTGGAGCTGGGCGTGCTGGAGGCTGAAGACGTCACCAAAGCGAAGCTAGAGGGCTTCCTGAGCACCTTCGGCCGATCATTCTATCGRGTCTCTGACGAGAAGGGCGAGAGGATCACGCTTTCAAGGGCCACGCAGTCCATCACAGACATTCTTCGCAACGAGAGTGGAACGGTGGAAGTTGTACCATTTCGGAGAGGTAAAATGACATGGGAAACGAAGTGGTTGTAAAATCAGGGAGGCACACGCCAGAGTATCGTGCTTTCAGCGAAGTGCACAGCATTAGGGCCTTTGAGTCGATGGGTGCTATCCCTCAACCTCGATTTGCGACAGGGACAGGACGCATCGAATGGTTCTCATAATAGTTCAGGCCTGACAGTCTGGCTGTCATCATGGATGACATGGCCTGATACATCACACATGTTATAGCGAAATAGAGTTCGGCAAGTCGCTTCGGCCAGCCGACAACTCCACTTCACTTGACAAACATTGGCCGAAGGGCCGATCAAGCTGGCCGCTCTTCACAATCAACCGTTCAAAACATCATTGAGTCTTCGCTCCATCTCGCATCATATTAGCTACATCCAATCGTCGGTACGATACGAAAAGCGTCAGCATGGCTGCGCAGCAATACAAGGAAGAATCGCACGTGTTCAACGCCGGACCATTAGGCTGGCTCGAAGGATTGTCTCTATCTGATGCCTCCAATGGAGCGCCAGTTTGCAAGTACTTTGGGGGCATTCCTTATGGCTCCATTCCCGAAAGGTTTCGACGCGCACAAAGGCTGCCTCAACAATCTAGTCTGGGAACAAAGCACAATCCTGGCCAGCACACCACCTCTGCGAGCGTTTGCCCACAGCCGGGATGGCGCGGTCCACCTGACCAGACACGTTGGAATGAGAATTGCTCGCAGCTCAACATCTACATGCCATTTGGTACTGCTCCCAAGGATGGATGGCCTGTGTTCTTCTAGTGAGTTCTTGCGTACCACTCTCAACGCTTGACACATATGTGAGGCCAGGAGCTGACYATGCATCTCGGGACAGTATCCATGGCGGTAAGCAGATGAAGTTCATAAGATCAACTCCCCGAGCTAGGCTGATTCGATTGTGTGYCAGGATTCTTACAGTGGGGCTCACCCAACTTTCCTCCCTCTTCCATGGCTCCGTTGATGCAGAGCGCATTCAAAGCTATCCTTGTAGTCCCAGCCTATCGACTCAACGCACTCGGTTTCATCTCCAGCCACGAGTTCCAAGCTGAAGCAAACGCGAACAATGACACAGTCGGCAACTTGGGCTTCTGGGATCAACGACTGGCTCTGGAGTGGACCTCAGACAACATTCAAGCCTTCAACGGAAATCCCAAGAACATCACAGTCGGGGGCTACTCGGCTGGGTCACATAGCACATTCCAGCAGCTAGCACATGAGCTCTACTTTGTCTCCGACCAGCAGGCTATCATCAAGCGAGCAATCATGTGGTCAAACTCACCCGGAGGTAAGGACATACCGAAGTGACGAACCTCAGAGCTAACACCCCCTTCAACAGTGCAGCCAAAGACAATTGACGAACATCAAAAGCAATTCAATGAGCTACTGACCGTTTTAGACATACCACTCTCTCTACCAGCGAATCAAAAGCTGCAACGATTGCGAGCAGTGCCACAGCATCGCCTAGTATCGGCACAAAACGAGATGAAGATTAGCGAGTTTCGAGCTCTTTCGGATGGCCACTTCATTTCCAAGACGATCATCGCAGACATTAATAGCGGCGACTTCGCCAGACGAATGAAGGCTCGCGGCATCACATTGATGAACGGGGAGTGCGAGCAGGAGCACTCTTTGTATGAAGCATGGAGGACGCCGACGGAATCCTATGAAGCGGTTTATACGAGACTGTGCGGCGATTACCCTGAGGCTGTTGTTCGAAAGCTGATGGACTACTATTGTGGCAAGTCTCGTGCTTTACCCGGCGGCGCAAGGAACTGGGCGGATGCTTTCGGGAAGCTGTATGCAAATATGCAAGTACACTGCCTGGAGAGAGGCTTTCATGCTGCGCTCGAGAAGGGTGGCTTGACTTTCGGTAAAGACGTCCTCCGCTATCGCTTCAACTGGAGAGTGAGTGGCCTGGATGCCGTGTACCCACCATCTTGGGGAGTCACCCATGCCACCGATATGGCCATTTGGTTGTTTGGGCTTGATTGTGACGGAGGCCTGACAGACGATGAGAGGCGAATATTAAGGCCTTGGAATGAGGCATTTGCGGCATTTGTTCGCGGAGACGAAGTCAATTGGGGCACAAATCACGTCAAGCAGATGCGAAGATTGAGAGCAGATGGTGTGACCGACATTTGGGTCGACGACCGCTGGGAGGAGGGCCTCGAAGTTTGGAGCGAGGTCAATAATGCCCGGATTGCATCAAAGCTATGAGAACCGCAGTCCAAAAGCAGACAGCTGCGCCGAGATCAGACCTTCATTTGAAGAAATCATCAGAAATACCATGTCCATACTCTGCCGGACCTCCTCATAGCATCTCTCGATGTACTAGATTTATCGTGTTCCTCCAGATCAACCATGGAGTCAACGACAGGTCCCAGGGGGATGGAACGCCAAGAGTCTTTTGTGCCTCACGTATGCACATGCAGGTATCCGTGAGCAAACAAGTGGCTATCTGGGTCTTCGGACCGCAACATCAGTCCGTCAACTATTCTTTGTTCATGTTTCAGCTGTTCGTACTTCTATGAAGGTATAGTCGCTATACGAAGCGGAGAGAACGACAGCAAGACAAAGAGTAACGCATGCTCTTTCCATCGCAATTGGAGCGATGAAGATCGATTGTCTGCTGGACAAGCAACTCCCGCAAACTTACCCTTCCACAAGGATAACGCGAAGGTGGATATAACGAGGCTCACCGCCATACTTTCGCCCCACACATCATTCTGCGCTTCACTGTCCAACCAAGTCCGACATTCCTGTCACTATCAGACGACGAAGACTCAAGACTCAAGAAGGATTCAACTGCAAGTAAAGCTATGGCAACCTCAGCTCACGTCCATCAGTTGCCGAGCTTCCTCCCTGCTAGTGGAGTCCAATACAACCCTCTACCAACCATTCAAGGCCAGTCCCGTGTCGCATACTTCATTACCCGTACCAACGGCACTCCAGTTCCTTTGATTCCAGCAGATGAGCTGCCTTACACTGTAAAGTTGCAACACGTTCCCCGTGTCTTGACACCAGATCAGACGTACGGCCTGAACTACATTGGCAACTCACCGTATACTGGAACCACTTTCAAGCTGGAGAAGTCCTCTACTTTCAATGATACGAACAGATTCGACTGTCAAACGTCCGAAGAGCGCTCTCATGGTCGCAGTTCGTGCAACATGGCTCCTCGGCAATTCCAGGCACCAGACAGCCACGTTCGACCATCTCACGGCCACAACAACGCCGAGTCGGTTCWACTGCCGCAATCAGGTCGGCCCATTTCAGCCCACGAGTCCTCGAAATCATGGCGCCGCCCTGATCCAGTGACGCCTTCTCTCACATATCAAGAGGACAGCTCCGACGCTGCCCAAAATGCCATCAATGCTATACTCCGCTCCCAAGCAGGAGCCGAGACTGCCGAGCGTATCGGCTATCGATCCCAGGACAGCACTCCACCACCATCGGGAAAGATGCCAGATCAAGAAAAGAAGGAGTGGTGCACCTACTGGATCCTGCATGGCGACTGTGCCTATGTTCAGCAAGGCTGCCGCTACCGACACGAGATGCCAGACAAGGCCAAGCTGGCCGAGATTGGTATCAACCATGTCCCGAGATGGTGGTTGGAGCAGAACTCCGCCATCAAGTTGAGCGGTGATCGAAACACAGTGGGCCCTGTGGTGAAGCCAGAGGTCTGGCTCAAAGCTCGCAAGGGCTCAGATGCAGACAGCGAGAGCTCATCCACCGAATCTGCGAGCACTGACTCTGGAAAGCGTGCACCTCCACCGAAAGTTGTCCTGCAGCCAGTGATTGAGCCGAAGCCATCTCCATTCCTTGCTCATGCCCGGTCATCGACACCAACCGAGCTCCTTATCAACTTCGCTCCTTTGGTACCAACTCCCTCGAAATCTACTTCAACATCTACCTCAACGTCTTCATCTACATCGTCATCAAAGACAGCCATCTCGTCTTCCCCAAGCAGTCAAGAGAGAACCATCAAACACTCCACTTCGCTAGTGACGTCTCAAGCACCTGTCAAGCTCGACCGCACGGCAAAGACCACGACCTCCGGCGCCTCGGAGCGCCCCTCAACCAAGTCAACAGCGAAGACAGCCAAAGTCTTCGTCCCAGCCGGCGAGTCTCCAGAGACGCACATTGCAGATGCTAAAAAGCGTGCCGCCGTTCGCAACAAAGCCGCTCGCACCCCATCCCCAACCACGAAGCCAAGCAAGACAGGACATAATTTGGAGAAGCTGATTGGAGAGATGCGCAAGGCTAAAGTTGGCGGTCTCGCTTCGTCCATTCACGCCCCTGTGCAGCAGTATCAAGAGCCTGTCAAGCGTAAAGTTCGGAATGGTTGTCGTGAGCGGCGTCCAGTCTCATCTACCCCGTCGGCCGTGGTGCAAGTGGCGAAGAAGTAAGATATGATGGGAAAGCGGGGGTTGTTGCTGTGAGAACGTGATTGCCGGGCGAGTGGCCGAGTGAGTGTTCATGATTGCAATTCAAAGTGGAAATCGGGAAGTGTTGCATGTATCGATATAGGATATCAGAGGAATATGAAGGATTCAGATGGGTCTGGCTATACATTGATGTATGACTACATGGCAAGGACCGACGACCGCTACTCAACTGTAACCATAAGGTAGTTGTAATGAGATTGCCCCACGAGATGTTATCTCCACTACATGTACATACTAGCAGATGAACAATGGTCACCATGATGTCGCTCCACAGCGGGTGGACAATGTCCCTCCAGTATTTCTCACGCTGRCAGGGCAATCAAGTGGTAGGCTTGCTTTGCACGAGACACTTCTGTACACCCCAGCAAGCGTGTAAGTTCTTCAACACTCACCAGCCAGGATGGGATGTGGGTGAAGCAGTATACGGCCTCTGAAAGCAACGGGGGTAACATTGGAGCCCGAGGCCCTCAGACATGGAAAGGCACAAGTTTTGGACCAGAGTGAGATGTGAATGCCCGCTGCGTTGCCGTCAATCGTACGTCATCTGTTGCGAAATAATACCGGACCCCACCATTCTAGGTAGTATCGATGGACGGGAAGTACATGTAGCATGTGTGCTGTAGGTAATAGTCTTTGGCCCACACAGATGAATCCTGATGCCAAAACAAGATTGACTTTTTGGTGTCCAATGAGCCAAAATCTTGTAGTCGTTCGTACAGTTCCTAAACATTGGTAGGAGGCATGGAGTGGACTGGAAAGAACCGACGACTCTTGTAAGTTGTTCTCGACCGGATTGGCCGAGAACCTTGGGAAGCTTCAATCCTCTAGACATCGTATTTTACACTCTGCAGCATCGAGGCAATGTAAACAAACAAAAAGCAGTCCCTGTTTAGTGCTCGCCAATCCAATATCCCCTCAGGAGCCAAAGGTACAGTCTAGTATGGCAAATGAGAATTGATGCGTACTTATGCGTAAGCGTATTTACGGCGCATGGTATGCTGGAGATCTCAAAGCATTTCCACCCTGCGTAGCGTACCAAAACAACAATCTTCGCGGCTCAGAAACACACTCGRGCCCGTCAATCTGCCGAATCAGACTCGAGTGAATTACATTGTTGGGTGCAATAAGGATTCCGCTGTAAAGCCAAGAGCAGCTGGAATGTGCTCGTGGTACCGATGCGATTGCGCGGAAGCGATCGAGATTCAAGTTGATTGAAATCACGTGCCCAGATTTCAACACGAAGTTAAGGCGTCCGATTGTTTCGGTATCGAGCAACGTAGTCCCAAGGTCTGATGCGCGGAAACAATCTTCTTGGGAGCTATTGCTAGATGCTGTAGACGCATTCACGCGAACACTTAGATGGTGCCGCTAATAATCCGCGGTCTTTGGGATGTCCAAGGAGGCAAGAAAAACAACAGTCAAACCTAGGCCGATTTGCGGACCGTGTGCGACTAGCTCTGCAGAGCTTAATAATGCAGTTTTCCGTCCTGTTTCGTCAGAACAACAACGTCATCCTCTTCCCTCTGACGTCTGCTTTGTCCACACGAAACTCCATTGAACCGATTGTTGTGCGGTGCTGCAGGTCGCGTTGTACCAACAAAAGCACGGTCAAAAGCACTCTTGGCCTCAAGACGTGACGAGAAAGGAGAAACGGGCGCACCCCAGGCAGAAGCGCTTCTTGTTCACGGTCGCCATCGTGAGCCCTGTCGTCGCGCGCACAGCGTCAGAGCGTCTCCAGTCCCACGAAGCCCGCCCGATTGAGGCGGAAACCAGGTATGTTAATACGAGCGCAAATCGTTCCGTCGCAACTGGATCATGCGTGCTCCAACGTCGGTGACAGTTGTGGTGATGATTGATGATGGCTGGGTTCATCGACCGCAATCGATTTGCCACCAAGACGCTCCTCGACAGTTTTCGCAGTCGACGGTTCTCACGGTCGAAGCCAGCCACTCAACTCATCATCGCCCGCTCATCGTTCCGCGCAATGCACGACCATCAGAGCGAAAGCTGACCGAATTTGTTTGCAGGTGTTGTGTGTCGGAGGTTGTTTGGTATTGTAGGCAGAAGGAAGAGCGGAGTGGATCTTTGAAGTTGCGCGCGCGCGCCTCTGACCGAAAACTCCATCGTCATAATCACCACTCAAAGTGACGTCAAGAAACAACTTCAACTCGACATCATCGAGAGAATGTCCGGATCAACATCGCCGACACGGACAACTGCGTCGGACAAAGGTATGTCATTAACAACATCGCTTCATCCTGCGGCCTCCTCTGTCCTGTCGCAATGGAACAATGCTGCCGCAGTACACCATCATGCGCCACGCACCACGCATCACGCACCGCGCAGACAATGGAGAGGCTCGCGCTGCGCGGTCGCATTGCACCAATTTGAGTCGCATATCAACTGACATACATTTCCAGACAAGAAGGACTCCGCTGTTGGAGAAATCAAGACCGAAGTACCTATCATCAACCAACCGGAAGACTCAAACTTGGAAAAAGCGACGCTACCACCCAATGCGCCGCTCGCTCCGCCGCCCAAACCCAACCAGAACGGCKACAGCTATTTCGGCGAGGCCAACGGTAGTCACCTTGCAAAGGAGCCCAATCCCTTCGAAAACGCATTTGGAAACCCTGCCGAGACTCCCGGAAAGCCGCAGCTGCCCGGTGTAACGAGCCTGACGTCTCCAGCGTCGCTCCTTCCAGGCAATACGCCAGGCTGGCCGGGCTCTCTCCGCTCAGGGCCACTCAGTCCTGCTATGCTTACCGGCCCGACTGGCTCCAACGACTACTTCAACAGTGACCACCACTTTGCAGGAAGCTTTCCGACACCGAACGAGTCGTCACTTCGTACTGGCCTGACTCCTGGCGGCGGCGGGTCCATGTTCCCGCAACCGTCGCCGAACTCACAGGCTGTTTATAACCAGCTACAGAACGGCGGTGCCACCCCAAATACACTCGACTTCCACCGCACTGCCATGACCGCTCGCGCACAATCCCAGATCAACAATTATAACAACAGCGTTGGCCAGGGCAACGCGACCAGCCAGCCTCCGCAGAACCCCAACATCCAGCCGGACCTCGATAGCAAGCCCTACAACCCGAACGGGTCCAACCCACAACAGGACAACCACGATCCTTTCGGGTCCCACCAGACAAACGACGCTGCGAATGGGTTGTTCATGCTCGCTCAAGCCGGAGGTCAGCAGCGAGGTCACTCGTACCCAATGCCTCAACAATCCCAACAACAGCAGAGCTACCAGCAACAAGGGGCTCCGGAACACCGCGGCAAGGGTAGCATCGGGAGCATATCTGGTAGCACGGAGAATGGCGAGCAGTACTCGGACGATGGCGAGACGAAGCCGCAGACGAGAAATGGCCGCGGAAAGAAAGGAGCGGCTGGCAAAGCGGCCAACGGCAAGAGGAAGACCGAGGATGCATCTTCCAAGGGCCCAGCAAACAAAAAGCAAAGGGCAAGCATGGGACCATCCATGTCCGAGGAGCCCGAAGACGACGATGATGGCATGGAAGGCATGGATGACAGAAAGATGACCGACGAGGAGAAGCGCAAAAACTTCCTCGAGCGGAATCGGTACGTTTCCCTGTGGATGTAAACATCGAGACATGCTAACTTCTGAACAGAGTCGCGGCGTTGAAGTGCAGGCAGAGGAAAAAGCAATGGCTGGCCAATCTCCAGCAAAAAGTCGAGATCTTCAGCACGGAGAACGATGCGTTGGCCGCAACGGTAACTCAACTCCGCGAAGAGATCGTGGGGCTCAAGACGTTACTCCTTGCACACAAGGATTGTCCGGTATCGCAAGCGCAGGGTATTTCCGGATTGGCAATGCAACAAATTGCCGGTGAAACCCAGTTCGCGAATCCGTATGGCATGATGGGTCAGGGTGGCGCAGGCATGGGACAGCAGGGACAAATGCCCCAGGGTCATATGCAGAGGAGGTAAGCGTTTCTCAGAAGACGCTTGCCTTTGTACACGTGCTCACCTCGCCACAGCTAGGAGCCCTCTGACGACTCCTCGGGTGCGTTTCGAGCTTTGCTCGAGTGGTACGAAGCTCAGATGCGTGATCGCTCTCGGTGAATATATGATGGGCTATCGTGGATAGCCTCGCGCGGGCCGTGAAGTACCAGATGCTGTGCACTCAATGCTCATGCATAGGGCCCCTCTTTGCTAGTGAACATATGTTCGTCAACGACAACTGGTGCATAAAGGAGTCTTGTTTTATGGGTGCAGGAACGGGGTTCAGATGGCGGTACCGTATTTTTTGAACGGCATCGCATCGCGGCGGCTGGAAGCACCGAATGAACGAGCACATCCATTAAGATCAGCTTCAATGAAAATATTCTAATGTCGAAAAGCAAGACTCCTTTTCAGTTTCAATGAATTCGCGATTGCCCTGCTTCTCACTTTCACATGCTGCAAAGAGTAAGGGCCTCTGTGGCTTCAACCCCACTTCGCGTCACCTGGATAACGACCGCGTCGTCCACCTTGTACACCTCCTTCATCATCACCGATAATGCAGATGTGGCCGTCATCGAGCCCGGGTCATGGCAACATCACGAGCTGAGCGCGTGGAGAATGCGCTGCAGTCCCTCCTCGGGCGATTGGTCCCCCCACAACAGCCAGGCGAGGACGAAGAAAGCGCGGATCAGCGCTGGGAAGACGCCAACAACTTTGCAACGGACCAGATCGAGCGCGGCGATGCGCAGGCCGCACTCACTGAGAATGTCAACCACGCGGCCGATCTGATCAAAAGGCGTCTGATTCACGACTCCGCAAGCCCAGAAAAGGCAGCGGCATTCGGGAATCTATACTCGCGTCTGCTGTCGCAGCCAGTCCTGTCGAGGAAATGGGCAATTCTCTACTTTTTGTTGAAGGTTGCAGAAGGTACTGAGCCTGATGGCGGTAGTGGAGTAAGCGCAGAGGAAGGAGGAGAGGAGGAAGAGGAAGATGAGGCTCAAACTGAGGCAGACGCGAGAGAGAGTATCCCGCAGGTGCGGCGACAAGAAGCGAAACAAGATCTGCGCGAAAGTCGCTATGAAATACCAAGTGAGGTTTTCGACGATGCCTTCGCGAGGAATGGCTTGCCGCGAGTCTCCAAAGCGAAAGGTCCAGACAGTCCTGCGCAGCCGCCGCTCAGGGATCGGGAGAGGCCAATGCCTGCGCGACCAAGGACGCGGCAAGGTGAGGAACCAGCGCCCACGCCGCCACAGAAGAAGCTTGCCACAGGACTAGAGCCCACAGAGTCTGCGCTTCTGCGAGACTTGCCCTTTACGCTCCAAGGACTCTCGTCAACGAGTTTACCATTCGCAGACAAGAAGTCGTTGAAGCTGCCTTCCACTCTACCTGTTCCTCTGATATCGCTCCTCCACACTCTGGCGGAGCCCTCGCTCTTGTACGGGTCGCTTTCGGAGTTTGTGGACGGGTCAGACGGCGGTCTGGTAGGACAGAGTCTTCGTTCTGCGATTGGCGTGGAGTTGCGATCCTACCTGGGGCTTGTAGCCACCCTGGAGGGTCAGATCCGCCGTGCTCTCGCGCAGCTCGACGAGAATCTACCACACGGTGGACTGGGAAAGACGGGCGTCACCCTCAAACGATGCGTAGTATGGACTAGAGAAGCCACGCTAGGCCTCCGACTGATGAGCGTGATTGTGGAGTCTGCAAAGGGCAAGAAGGGTGGTGAGCTGATCAGCCTAATCCACGGGTTCTCGTCATCACACGGCGACCCTTTCGTGCACACTTTTGCGGAGCGTTTGCTCACACAAATAACGCGTCCATTCTACAACATGCTGCGCGCTTGGATATATGACGGCGAACTAGAAGATCCTTACCAGGAGTTCTTCGTGTCGGAGAATCCGGACCATGAGGATAGTGGGGCGACCAGTGTGTGGGAACACAAATACCGGCTCAAGGATAGCATGATACCCTCGATAATGACCCCCGACTTTGCCAACCGAGTATTTCTCATCGGCAAAAGCCTGAACTTCATCCGCTACGGATGTGCTGATAGTGGGTGGGTCGAGTCGTATAGCAAAACAGAGTCCAAAGAGTTGAAGTATGGTGACACCGCGATGCTGTCGACAAGCATTGACGAGGCTTATAAAACGGTCATGGCGCGCCTTATCAGCCTGATGGACAATAAATTTGCCCTCCTGTCCCATCTGCAGGCGCTCAAGAAGTACCTTCTGCTTGGTCAGGGCGACTTCATCGCTCTCCTTATGGAGTCACTAGCGTCGAATCTGGACCGACCGGCCAACAGCCAGTACCGGCACACCCTCACAGCGCAGCTCGAACATGCGATTCGCAACTCCAATGCACAGTATGACAGTCCCGACGTTCTCCGACGCTTGGACGCCCGGATGCTAGAGCTCAGCCATGGCGAAATTGGCTGGGACGTCTTTACACTGGAATACCGCATCGACTCGCCCCTTGATGTCATTGTCACACCGTGGGCAAGTAAACAATACCTCAAAGTCTTCAACTTTCTGTGGCGAGTAAAGCGGGTTGAGTTCGCCCTCTCCACAACCTGGCGAAGAGTGCAGACCGGTGCTCGAGGCGTGTTGGGCGCTGTAAGTGACAAACTTGGGGCAGATTGGAAACTTGCTCGGRGCCGACTCGCTGAGATGGTGCATTTCGTCGACCAATTGCAGTACTACATTCTGTTCGAGGTGATTGAGGCGGGCTGGGAAGGTCTGCAAAAGTCCATCCGCAAACCGGACGCCACGCTCGATACGCTGATCAGCGCACACACATCATATCTTCGATCGATAACTCGCAAGGGTCTTCTAGGAGGTAGTGGAACGGCGGTAGACTTCACAGCGCAATTGCATGAGCTGTTGAAACTCATGCTTGGCTATCGTGATGCGGTGGACAGTCTTTACAGCTACAGCGTCGCAGAATTCACGAAACGTCAAGACATGGCCGCCAAAATTGAGATGCGCACTCGAGCTGGAAGATGGGGAATGACTGAAGCTGACCAGGAGGCTGCAGCAATGGAGTCACCAATGTTTCCGCCCAGCTCCGTAGCCAAAGGCCGAAGTGCAAGGGAGCGCGAGGTTGATAGTCCGCTGCCGCAGTTGCTTCCTCTGCAGGATGGCGTGGAAGGGGAGCGAAATATGTTGGATCAGCTGCGACAGAGACTGAAGTCTTTGGGGATTGATTTCCGCGCGAGGGTCAATATTCTCCTCGGAGACCTGGCGTACCAACCCGATGTTGACATGAGGTTCTTGGCTGTGGTGATGAACTTCAACGAGGTCTATACACCCGTCAAGCGGAGGAGGCAGAAGCCCGGGGAGAAGGACAAATCTGCGTTGAACGTTGGGAGAGCAACGAATGCATAGGGCAGGATATGAGAGGAAGCTGCACCGGGCGTGCACACGGCGTTTCAGGCGAGGGTTGATGATACCATGCAGCGGCAGTCTTCGCGTGACAGTGCATGAGCATAAAGGGATTCCACGATAGCTCTTCAAAAGTTGATCGTAAGGCGTTGTTCGACGTCAAGTTATAGCACAGAAATCTAGTAGAACATCGTGTTCTTCGCACTGGCCAAGGCACTGCTCCGTAAATAATGTAGGGAGTGACGAAGCAACTCCTTGTCGCCTGGTCAAACGTCGGACGCCAAAATTTCAACGGCGTTTCATTCGTATTTGTGCTAGGTTCGTATACCTTAGTCCCAGGCCTGCACGATATCTCGGGTCATCGCTTGGCAGCTTCGTGTACGCGAAGCTTGTTTCCCAGCATTGTGCCATGTGGAGCGTGACGCCAGCCGGAATGGAGAAAAACTTCGAGGCCACGCGTTGAGCCAAGACCACGCGATCTTGATTTGGGTGAGAGCAAGCCTCATCCGGGTCATCAGGTTTTGGCCGTGCAATTTAATAGTGGACACAGCACGACGGCAGGCATGCGATGTCGAATGATACAGTCTTCAAAGGACCAAGCTCGCCTTTTAATCGTCCGACCGACTTCGACAACCTCGATTTATACCAGATTGCGGAGTGAGTTTGATTTGGATTTACAGGCCCAGGAAAATCGTTAAGCGAGCGGGAACACGGGACAGGGTGTCCAATCAGCGATCAGCCGCGCATTCCACCTGCTGCGCCTCCTTAAACAATCCCGGGCTCGGCGGCAAAACACACGCCTGCGTCCGCTGACACCAGCAGATCCACAGGAGGCGAAGGAGCCACTGACTGCAGGCACTCCAAACCTATTCCTATGCTCATACCAGAGAGACCTGCTTGCTCTCCGCATCACCCACCATTGTCATTCGTTTTGCGCGGCGGCTGAAACAAACCTGGAGCCGTCGTCATCTTAGAACACATTCATCGCCACACCCCGAACGCCGAGTACGAGCTGGGACTAACGTGCCAGCCCTGGAGAGAGAGAGCCAACCACCTCCTTGTTGCACCTTCTACTAGTCTCGACACCTGCCTTCCATAGTTACGTCTCTCGTTCTCCACCACAGCAACCACGCTTCACTGCACGTTCCGCAGCCGCGGTGACCACAATCACTCGTTAACGCACCCGCACCGCCCYCGCGCTGAACACGCCTCCTCTCGCTCGAACCGGCGGCACGCCGTGACAATCCCCGATCGCCACGACCAGACGTCCGAAATCTCCTCTCCATCGCCACCATGAAGCTTTCAATAGCATCCATAATCCCGACGCTGCTGCTGGGGCTGTCGCCGTTGACATGCGCCGAGAAGATTCTCACGTCGACATCGCTCAACCCATGCATGACCAACAGCAGCTTTTCCGCTTCCCTCTTCGATGTCGCATTTACACCGCAGAACCGCAGCATTGTCTTCGACGTCGTCGGAGTTAGCAGCATTACCGGCAACGTCACAATAGAATTGTTCGTCAGCGCGTATGGACTGCAGGTCTATAAGACAACCATCAATCCCTGCGACTCGAGCGACTTTAAGGGACTCTGCCCGATGAATGAAGGCCCAATCACGCTCAACAGCAACTTCGACGACATTCCGGCCAAAACGCTCGCGCAGGTTCCGGGTGAGTGGAGAAGTACGCCAGGAAGCGTGTGACACTGAAGCTGACTGTGCGGCCAGGCATCGCGTATACGGTCCCAGATCTCGACGCTAAAGTGCAGGTATACTTCAACTCTTTGGCTACCGGCAAGGCAGTTGCTTGTGTCGAAGCCGAGTTGTCCAATGGCAAGACTGTCTCGCAAAAAGGCGTAGCATGGGTGATCGCCGTCATTGGCGGCCTTGCCCTGGTCGCATCTGCCATCACATCTGGTCTCGGTCATAGCAACACTGCAGCGCACGTGGCCGCCAATGCCATGGCACTGTTTGGTTACTTCCAAGCGCAGGCCTTCATCGGCATGACGTCCGTATCCTTGCCTCCGATCGTCGCGTCTTGGACTCAGAACTTTGCATGGAGCATGGGAATCATCCGAGTGACCTTCCTCCAGGACCTCGCTACTTGGTACCAGCGCGCAACCGGTGGAACCCCGACTACCGTTCTCTCCRGTCTCAGCGAAGCTTCTGTTCGCGTTGAAAAGCGAGGTCTGGACGCTGCCTACGGGCTTGCGAAGCGTGCGATTTCTGGTGGCATGGCTCTTGTGGCGCGCTCCAACGCCGGATCGCAGTCCACGGATACTTCCACGTCTATCACCGTCAGAGGCATTGAGCGTGTCGGATTCCGCGCTCGCATTGAGATTTCCAACATCTTTATGACTGGCTACGTCTTCTTCATCATTTTCGTCATTTTCGTTGTGCTCGGAGTCCTCATCTTCAAGCTGATCTGCGAAGGACTTGTCAAGGCTGGTCGAATGAAGGGTGAGAAGTTCCAGGACTTCCGCAATGGCTGGACCACTGTGCTCAAGGGAATCCTCTTTCGAATCGTTCTCATTGGATACCCTCAAATGGTGGTGCTCTGTTTCTGGGAGTTCACCAGGATCGATTCTCCGGCGGAGGTTGCACTGGCAGTCTTCACCATCTTCACAATGTTGGCTGTTCTCGGCTGGGCATCGAGCAAGGTCATCCGACTGGCACGCCGTAGTATCGCGATGCACAAGAACCCGGCTTACATCCTCTACTCGGACCCCGTCTCGCTCAACAAATGGGGATTCCTTTACGTTCAATTCAAGGCCACGGCGTACTACTTTATTKTCCCTTGGTTGGTCTACATCCTGGTCAAGGGCCTCTTCATCGCCACTGCCCAAGGAAGCGGGGTAGCGCAGGCTGTTGCACTCGTTGTTATCGAGGCTGTATTCCTGATCACTGTTTGCGTGSTGCGACCATACATGGACAAGAAGACGAATGGGTTCAACATTGCCATTTGCGTGATCAACTTCCTCAGCGCCGTTTTCTTGCTGGTCTTCTCCGGCATCTTTGGGCAACCTGTAAGTCATGGCAACACTGAAATGACGATGTGCAATTGCTAATTCCAAACAGGGCATCGTGACTGGCGTGATGGGCGTGGTCTTCTTCGTCTACAACGCCATATTCTCTCTTGTACTCCTGATAATCGTCCTGATCGCCTCTGTGATCGCCATCTTCGCGAAGAACCCAGACACCAGATATCAGCCAATGCGTGATGACCGCGGAAGCTTCATCAAGTCGCAGTCCCAGCTGACTACCGAGCTGGATGCGCTAGGTGCCACTGCGCGCGGCGAGTCCAAGCACGGTTTCCACACCACAAAGGCTGGAGTAAGGATTGACGACGACGATGATTCATGGTCCGGTGAAAGTAGCGATCGATCCAAGGAACGCGAAGCCACTGGCTACACCGGGTATGGGGACCCACCACGGAGTCCAATCCACACAACCACACCCGGACTCCCGTCTGACAATGGGAGTGCGAGGCATCTGCCTCCCTTTGACAGAAGTGCCACCGCCAGTCCATACGCTGACGGTGGCCAGCGTTCCTTTCGAGCCCAAACCGCTAGCCCAAGTCCCTGGCAAAGAGGAGCCGGATATGAGTAAACGCCCGCCGCTGTTAACGGTAGCCTCGGGCGATACGGTAAACACGACGATTCTGGCACCGGGTACTCTGAAGTTCGAAGGACTATACCCACCCTTTGAGCAGCGAAGGGAGTCGGCTGATGAAGTCGGGAAGGTGCTCGACATGTACTACAGGCCGAACTCCTCCCTGGTGCCTAACGCGTGGCGAGGCAACGCCACTGGCGGGCCTTCGTATAGCCCGTTGAATAATCCGTAGTGGAATTGATGACCTGTTTTTTATCTGTAAATACGCAAATGCAAGAGCCAATACGCTTGAATTGAGAAGCGATGATATTAGCAGGCTTTTACAACGATCGCTGCCTGTCCATTATGACATTGGCGTTCTACTTCACGGGAAAAATCGAACGTCGACATGGGGATCACGGCTTGAGGGGCTGTGGTCAAAAATTAGGGCCAAGGTCTTGGGGGAAAGGGTTTGGAGATAGCCCACTTCCATAGAAATGAGAGCGTGAATACTTCATGAGTTGATTGCATATGTCTCACTGTCATCGTATCACGAGGACCAGTTGGTGAAGGGTTTGATTTCGCTCGTTTGGAAGGTGTAGATACAGCTCATCATCCTCCACATAGATTCTGTGTGATGGGCTTGCGGACAACGTTCAAGCCCCGCTTGCGCCATCGCTGTCACTATCGCTGTCTTCGCTGCTGCTGCTGCTGCTTTGGTCCGTGTCATCCTCGCCGCTAGTCGTCTGTAGCTGTTTCTTGGTGTTGGGAAACGCTTTATCGAGCAGTTGCTGGCCAAAGATGGGTGGTCGTCGTGCGGACATCTTGGCGTCTCCTCCATCGCTATCGCTGCTCGAATCATCACTGCWGGAATCATCACTGCTCGATGAATCATCCGAAGATGCAGAACCAGCTGTCCTGGTCTTCCTCTTCCGGCGCTTTGTTTTGTCAATGCGGTCTGCACGTTCGGGCGTCGGAGTTGCTGTCGCGGTCGAAGATGATGACACCACTTGAATTTGCTCAGGGTGAAGGTCCATCATTAAGGCATTCTCCAAAATCGACTGCGCACGTCTTCCTGCCTGTATATCCTCCCGAATCGATTGCAGCTGCTCATCGGACCACTCATCGCGACCTGCCCCACGAGATTCATAATTCGCGATGTAGCGCAAGAGGCTAGCGTAGTAGGCAGCCTTCCGCGCTGCCGGAGAGCCGAGCGACATGGTCTCGCTCGAGCCTTCGGTCTCCTTCTCGTAGATACCTTTCAGCACTTCTTCGGCCTGTGATGCGAGTCTGTCACGCGCAACGCCCTGGAGACCAGATACGTATGAAATGATTGCAGGATCGTACTCTACCGGCAAGCGCTGGAAGCTGAAGAGATTCTTCAGTAGATCGTTTTGCTTCTTTTTATTAAACTTCCAGTTGGCCTTGTCAGAGTGGTGTTGTTTGAGGTAAGTCACGTACGCAGGGCTCTCTCCAGTAGTCTCCGTCTGGGTACTGTTCCCAACAGCTGGTGATATTGTGGGCTTGCTGTCGACGGCTGTTGATTTCGACTTCTTGGGCTTCTTTGATTTATTTTGTTTTGACTCCTTGACAGGCGCCTCAGGCTTCTCCACTGGTGACTTGGACGGAGATACCTGTTGCTCAATTGACGGATCGATTGCGGTTGGATCCTCACCAGAAGCCCAGGCTTTAAAATATTGTTGACCAGTCTCTCCGTCCTTTTGCTTGGTGTCCGGGGTAAAGGACACCGATTTTCTAAGCGTTGATGGTCGATGTTTCTTAGCGGCGGGTTCCTCAGGCTCCTCGATACTAATTGGCGCTACAGTAATTGGCGTGGCGCTGTGACCGTGGTTAGAGGTTTGATCAAGGATCAACTGCGCTGAATGCGAACGGAAGAAAATGCACCCATCTGCTTTACGCAATGGGGCAATCCTGTACGCTCACTTTCGAGCAAGCGCAACKATATTTTCAACTTACTCCTCCTCGTCAAAAACGATTCTTTTACCCGTAGGCTCTGCAGAAATACCAGCAAATCCGTATCGCTTGGGAACGTACGGTTCTGGCGCTACCTGTGAACATGAATCAGAACTTGTCTCCCAGAACGCACTTGGATACGCAGGTCTAAACGGTCAGGCAGATTCTGACGAAGCATTTGAGCGATCAGTGAGCACATGATCCGCGCGTGCTTCGCTTCAGCTTTGATAGTGCCCGTCGGCTGCGCTTTGAATTGACGTACTATCGGTCTTGTCGATACGGGTCGTTCGTATGATTGAGGCTTGATACGCTTCACCGGAGCTTCCGGCACAATGTTATCCTCGCGAGCTCTCTTCTGTGAATTGGTCCTGGCTGCAGCGTTGGAAGGCGGCTGTGATGTTGTGGCAGAGGTAGTTGTTGAAGCTGAGGTTGCACTGGCTGCTGGGACTTTGGCAGTTGTAGCTTTTGCTGCTGGCGTTTCTGAGGCGAATTTGAGCTTGAGCCCGAGCCGCTTCCAAGCGGGAACACGTGCTGGGGCGGTGTCGGCCATATCAAGCAACGTGTGGTTCTGCGACTGTAGTTGTCAAACACATGTGAAAAATTGAAGGTGAAGTCAATATAATTCTTAGCGCTAGCCTGGCGCTGGAGCTTGGACGATTCGCGTCGTACCTGCCTGACGGCGACCCATCGACCATCGACTTCGCTGCATCTTCATACCCAACACCAACACCACTCGCCTCCGATCTCCTTTCGCATCAGCTGCATTGCACACCGAGCTACTGATCCCTGTTACCTACAAAATCGGCACCTTCACCCAATCCAACCACCGAAACACGCAGCCATGTCGGGCAAGTCTCCGATACCAACGATCTATAGTAGACGCTCAGCTACTAACGTTTCTTGCTTCCAGGCAGCGCGGGATTTGATCGTCACATCACCATCTTCTCGGACCAAGGCCGTCTCTACCAAGTCGGTGCGTAATGGACAGCGCGAAATGAGCAAGATACGGACGCTGATGGGAGGACAGAATATGCATTCAAGGCCATCACAGCAGCGAACATCACATCCGTCGGCGTACGAGGCAAGAACTGCGCAGTCGTAATCTCACAGAAGAAGGTTCCCGACAAGCTCATCGATCCAGCATCTGTCTCATATGTCTACAAGCTGTCGCCGTCGGTGGGCTGCGTCATGACGGGATCAATAGCAGATGCGCGCGCATCTGTCACTCGTGCACGGGGAGAAGCGGCTGAGTTCCGTTACAAGTTTGGCTATGAGATGCCCTGCGACGTGTTGGCGAAGCGTTTGGCGAACATTTCCCAGGTCTACACGCAGCGGGTGAGTGTTGAGTGAGGAATGGTGGCATTGATAAAGGCTGACATTGCGACAGGCTTACATGCGGCCGCTGGGAGTTGCGACCACCCTCATCTCGGTGGACTCAGAATTTGGTCCTCAGCTTTACAAGTGCGATCCCGCCGGCTACTACGTTGGTTACAAGGCTACTGCGTCTGGACCAAAAGCACAGGAAGCACTAAACTTTCTGGAGAAGAAGTTGAAGAACAAGGACAATGCCGAGGGTGATTGGGAGGAGGTGGTGGAGCTCGGAATCGCAACGCTGAGCACTGTGCTCAGTGTGGACTTCAAGAAGGGCGAGCTGGAGATTGGTATCGTGGGTGGGCCTCGAACAGATGGCAAGGAGGGCACTGATACGACTTTCCGGTCGCTGACGGAGGAGGAGATCGACGAGCGCCTGTCATCCATTGCGGAGAAGGATTGATCGATATCGCAGGAGGGGTACCATCTGCTCCGAGGACGAAGCTGTGAGACGCAGTGGTAGTGCGGTTCATGTCAATCGTACCAGGGATTGGTTGTGTTGTGTTTCCGCCTGATTGGCCGGCGATGCCTTGCATAGTATCCGCTGCCACAGATTTCAGTGCGGTGCTTAGCTCCCTCCCTACGTCTGGCTGATATGGCCCTCAATCGTCCAGCAGACCGAAAAATACTGTATCATACCACCTTTTCAGCCCTCGCGTCCACGATCGTTTCCCCGTTCAGTAAGGTAGTCTCATGTGCCGCGCGCGATGAGGGAAACATAGAGGAGTTGAGGTTTGGCCATGCATGCCCCAGTCTGACCCGACCTCAATGTGGCAACAGAGACTTGACCCATCATGTCTGGGAGTATCAGACCGAGACGGCCTTGCATAATGACTCAAAGGCGGGACCTATTCGATGCACTGTCTGCGCTTCCTTTAATCAGGCTCGACGTCAGCAAAAGATATGAATGCCCTTGCAAGTTGCAATTCGAACGAAAAGCACCAATGTGCTCCAAGGACGATACGATCCTTCGAGAGAAGTGGCATTGCGATGCACCAGACATATCGCTGCAAGACGTGTTGCCATGCAGGCTGATCTGTGATATTGCCTCAGACCAAGAGCGATGCCCCTGTATCATACATATTACGTTCAAAGGCAGGTCCAGTGATCAGACCTTGTGCTTGTCACAGTTAGCGACCCCGTAGCGTTTGAAAGGTACATCATGTGTGAGAAAATGGGTAGGGAGGTTCATCCAGAGAACCGCCGAATGAACTGAATTCTTTCAACTGCCAAGAAGGCGCGTTTGGTAGTTACTGTTACACGACCACATGCAATCGCCTGGAAACTCAGAGATCCTACTGGTGATGTCAGCGATGGGTTTCACTTCTCCAAGGTGAGAAAGAGCATGAACTTACATCTTCGAGGAACTTATACGCGAATTTGAAATCTGCCTTTCGGCGGTTCATCCTGTAGACTCTGTTAGCATGCAAGACAATTCGCAGGCTGTTCTGCAGACTCACCATGTGGACTCGTAGTCAAAGAACCGGTATGTCCCTTGCTCGAACTCCTCCGTGATGTTCTTCGGCTCCTCGTGTCGTTGAAACCACGTTTGATACTGCTTGTGAAATCGCCAGCTCTGACTCTTGAGTGCCTTTGCCGCGAGATATTGTTGGTACGTGCCTTGTCGATAGTAGAAGGCGTAGAACAGGCTGTCCGTATCGATGCGAGAGYACATCCTCGGATCGTCAAATATTCCCAGCGGCTCTTGTGGGTAGTGCGCTGGCGTGTACAGATATGGGTTCTGCGGCTTGTAGTGATTGGGCTTTTCTGCATCCAGCGGAGTCGGACATGTCATCCGCGAAGCGTTCAGCATATTCAGATCGAAAGGCTGGTCGGACCTCGCACGCTGTCTTGTCTCCTCGAAGGAGTCGAGCAGGTCACTTAGTGATGATGGCAGGTGGTAGATGCTCTCCTCCTCGTCCTCTTCTTGCGCCGTCTCGGTATGTGACAGAGCGATTCCGGCAATGCCAGAGTCTGGGCTGGGAGGTTGCCTTGGTTTTGATGCGGAGTCCCCTGATTGTGATGGTTGCAGCTTCGACACTTGTGGTGATGGCCCAACGGGCGATGATTTGGAAGCTTGAGGAGTGCCGATGTCCGCTGCTTTCGGTTCATCCTTCGGAGACGGTATTCGCTGCTTTGGCTGCTGCTCAGTAAGACTCGCTGGTTGCGGATCTGCCAWCTGCACAGGTGATGCTGTGATCGGTTGTGCAGGCGCTGGAGCAGGTGATGCGGTATTGCTCGATTTTGCGCCACTGGGTGGAGGTGGTAGAGGCGCAATGCCAACATTTGTCGCCGCCGCCGCCGCCGCAGAGGCGTATTTGAGATGTTGACCGGTGGGCAATGATGGCAAAGGTGCAGGCCTCATGACATCCGCGACTTTCCCATTAACGTTGGTGGGTAGACTAGGATGCAATGTCGAGAGGGCGGGTAGTGGTGATTTCAGCTGCACGCTCGGTCGCCTCACTGCGTTTGTCTCCGATATGGAAGCTGACTTGGTCTTTGCACCTGCTGCACTACTCGTTCGCACGGTCTCGTGTTCGGGTGGATCGTCCTGTATGCTGTGGGTATCCTGGCTGGAGCTTTTGTCGTTTTCGCCGAGCGGACCAAATTGATCCTCATCGTCCTCGAGGCTGAGATCGTCGTAAATGGTGTCATCCTCCATGAAGTCAACCTCTTGGTTCTGCTCAACGTAGTATTTGATACCGTYGTCAATCTCCTTGACCTGCTCGACTTCGACACTACCGTTCTCCAACGATCGCAAGAGTACTTCCAGTTTCCCAGTATGCCACTTATGTCGCTCCACTGTCCGCTCGAGTTCTGCCATCCGGTCTGCCTTGCCGTTATCCTTCTTCCCCTTCTTCAGCGTGGCCTGAAGAGCTTCGGCTTCGGCTTCTTGACTCTCAATCTGCCGGCCCAGCTCATCGACCATGTCCGACAGGAACTGTGCAACCTCAATCTTCTCCTTCTCCTTGGGATCCAGTTTCGCCGCGGCTGATAGCCCTTCCTTGGAGAATGCTTTGGTCTTCATTTMCTTCTCGACGGCCTTGAACTTTTCCATTTGCTGCGACCACGTCAGTACAAGCCCCGTCCATTATTCTCCAACCAGTAGACTACGCACTGTCTCGATGAGCTTCCTCTGATCCTGCAGCGGCTTCTTGTCCTTGATGTCATTTTGGCTGGCCCATCCTTTTATCTTGTCTCGTGACCTTTGCAGCTTCTTGATTTCCTTCTTCAGTGAGTCCTCGAGCTTCTCTTTTTGTGACGGATTACTTGACAGCGTGAGCTTCTCGTAAATGCCCTCGAAGAGAGCGACCCCCTCTGCAACTCGCTTGAACTCCTACAACGGGGATTAGCACCAATGCGCGGGAACAGCGCCAGTTTCCGTCGCGGACCTTGTCAATCTCTTGCTGCAGTTTCCTTGCGGCCATGTTGGCGATTGTGTGTGGGCGTTTGTCTCCGTCGGACTAGGTTCACTCAGCCAGACGAGCCGAGTGTTCGATGGGGGGATTCCGCGTATCGGTCGCGGTTGGGACGAAATGTCTGGGCGGCGCAGGGGGCCTTTGTCGTGATTATTGCAGGTGAGTCGGTGACGATGGGCGCAGCGGTCGTTGTCGTGATGAACGGGAGAGGAAGAGGGTCGCGAAGACGTGTAGCTCGTTAGAGGTTGGGTAAGTTGCCGGCTAGCCCCAGCTTTCACCAATCAAATCTTAATCAAGTTGAATCAAGCAACTGCCCGGCCTTTGCACTTGCACATGCAAAGGCGCCACGACTGCCTAACAATTCAATTCAATGCTCGACGGATTACAGCAAAATCAGGCCTGCTTTCAGGCCATACAACTGTCACAACATATCGCTGGATTGAGAACTGCTGTTCTGGCGCTCTGAGGCTAACCAGAGTCACGGCGAGGGCGACGTGCTCCCATCAAGCCGCGGCCTTATACCCTTGGATGTGGCGGCCTCGTCGAACCATCCCGCCAATAGCATTCGACGCCCTGTTCTTCCGTCTTGACTGCATGCATCGCATCGTCGGTGCCGAACTTCCAGCCTGTACTCAAGCACACAAATTGTCACAGCAAACCATTTGCCACCAGACAAAGGCTGTCCGTCAATATGAAGAGTACGCATCATATSAGAAGTGCGTTCCAGGCCAAGGCTGACCATTTGCCCAGCCGTAATCCAACGAGTCAAATCCGCGTCAGTGACGGTGGATGGCCAGTTGATCTCGAGCATCGGAAAAGGTCTCCTCGTCTTCGCAGCCATTGGAAAAGATGACACTAAGAAGGAAGCCGAGTCCATGGCTTCGAAAATTCTCAAAGCAAAGTTCTGGGATGATGCAGAGGGCGGTCGATGGAAGCACAATGTTCAAGATATTTCTGGGGAAGTCTTGTGTGGTATGTCCGATAGCCTCTACATCGCAGGCAGATGCCTGACCATGCACAGTCTCCCAATTCACACTCTATGCTTCGATGAAGAAAGGCAACAAGCCTGACTTCCACCACGCCGCGCCACCGCAAAAAGGCAGGGAGCTCTACGACATTTTTATTGGCCAAGTAAGAAAGCTCTACCAAGAAGAGAAAGTCAAAGACGGCGTCTTTCAAGCCATGATGGATGTCGGCATAGTCAATGATGGCCCGGTATCGCCCTCCCCTTCTCCTCCCTCAACACCTCTCGATTCATCCGCTCCTGCATCCCCTGTTCTCTCACCTGATTCGCCTCGCAATCCACCAACATCACATATACCCACAACACCATGTATAGGTGTGGATTTCACCTGCCTGGACGAAGTGGTATACAGACGGCTATTGTCGAGTCGCAGGAACATAAGCTCACGGTTCTGTAGGTCACTATCGAGATCGAGACCAACCCCCCAGAAATGAAGGATCCTTCTGGGTTTCCGCCAGAAGATGGCGAAACGCACAAAGGAAAGATTCAGTCGACCTTCGAATACCCTGCCTCATTGCTAGAATGAGTGGCGCCGTCCAAAACCTCATATTCATGGCGTTGCTCATCTCACCAGACAAGACTCGCTGCATGGTCGTCGGATTATCCACACTCTGGCACCGCTTGTTGTRGAGCGCGCAGCACGCTTACATCGGCTTCCTTCAGATGTGGCTGTGCTTGCAGTGGTATGAGATCCGATGTTGTATCAGCGTCGACTGCCTGCGACACGTCTGCTTCGACTTCGGGATGGCTCGTCACCCACTTAGGATCGACTGAGTAATACCTCATCTGAAGCCTTGTCAGACTATCTGAGACTTCGAGCAAGCTGTCGTCTCCATCATAGCCAATCCTGGGGGCAACGCTGTAGACTATCCATGCGTCTCGCTCATGCCAGAGCATCCAACCTTCCGTCTACACCTCTGGCCTCGGAATCTGCTGGTGAAGCATGGCCCATGTCGTTAACAGCGACCGAAGAACCAGTCAAGACGGAAAGAAAGTATCAATTCGAGATGGAAGGAGTCCCACGCAGAATGCTCGTGTATCGCCATGAAACTGATCATGATTTCTTATTGACAGGGTTCGCCAGATCTAAATTACGCTAACGCTACAATATTACCCTTAAAGGCGTCACATAAAGCTCTTATTCGGCAATGAAGACACCACGATACCGCATATTGCCTGCAGCAAGCTTGTCCATCGCCTCATTAATCGCTGTCTCGTTCATGGGAAACTTCTCAATAATCGGCTCAATCTTATGCAGAGCCGCGAACTCAAGCATCCGGTTTTGAATATACCTCGAGGCAACAATGGATCCTTGCACAGTCAGACCTCCGGCCAAAAGTGGGATGTACGGCATCGAGAAGTTGCCTTCATCGACCGACAAAGGATGGATGGTCGCACCCGGGGCCAGTGCGGGGACGATCTTCTGCCACTCGGGCTGCGCGGAAGTGGTCACAAGGAGACGATTGATCGGCTTCGAAGTCTCAATCTTCTCTACATCCTTGGTGGCGATGAACTCGTGAGCTCCGAGTCTCATTGCTTCGTCCTTCTTGCGGTCTGAGCTGGAGAGAACAATGACATGGGCTCCCATCTTAGCGGCGAACTGAATGGCGAGGTGGCCTAGTCCTCCGACTCCCATGATGGCGACCGTCTCCGTCGGCTGGAAGTTGTATGCATTGAGGGTGTTGAAGACCTGGAAAGTTAGCACCTGTTTGAGACAATATGGATTGATTGGGGCCAACACCCAGCCCGAGATCATCATTCAGGCCAGGCTGCTATTGGCATCCCTCGATTGACAACTTACAGTCGCACCACCACACATTAGTGGCGCACAGACCTCATCGCTCATGCTGTCGGGAATCTTAAAAAGATACGATTCGCGCCACACTGCATGGCTAGCAAAAGAGCCCTGATCGAGATCCGCATACCCATACAGTTTGCGCTGAGGGCAGTATGTTTCTCTCCCAGCGAGACACTCCTGGCAGTGTCCGCAAGAGTCGTGCAAGTACCCGAATCCTACACGGTCCCCGGCTTTGAGATGTGTCACCGCTGGACCGACTTGCTCGATAACGCCTACTCCCTCATGACCAAGGCCTTGATCAACGTGCCTGTAGTGGCTATCTGTCCCACAGAGGCCGGAGGCAGTGATTCGAAGTAAGACTTGGTCGCCTTTGAGGTCTGGTTTGGTGGTTTCGGTCTTGATGACTTTTCCGTCTTTGCTGCCCTTGTAGACTGTGAAGGAAGGCATGTTGGGAATCTCTGTGTTATCTCAATTAGAAGGACTCAAAGTATAGTAAGAGAAGAATCTGTGAGAAATGTATTCGAAGAGAAATGCAGACGAATGTTCTGTTATAAGGAAGAGAGACTCGGGGTCACGTTCTGGAACACTACCTAACGAACTACCCTTGCATGCAAGGATTCGTGATTACAGATGCAGGATAGTGTCACCATTATTCTCTGAATTATTTCTGCTCGAAAGCAATAGAAGCATAAGATGACGCCAGGCATGGGCAGGGGAGTGACGGAAGTGATTCATACGTACGAAAGAGAAGGAAGGTGCCGCGAAATGATTACGAATTTCTCACGGCGGCATTTCTACAAAGACGGGTTTGTCTCGGCGGCTTCGGATGATGACGTCGAAAGGGAGAGACATTCTCTACCACTGTCTACCTTACATGTACGTGAGGTAGGGTGTACGACCTGGATCACCAGATGCTTACGCACGTTGAGAACGGGGATTCGAAAGACTGTGCAAGTAGCAAGATGTCCTTTCTTCATATGCCTCGTGCTTACGACTCTCAATAATGTTACACTGAATCAGCTTCAAGTCGTGTCACTCAGAGTCGCAAGCTATTGACCATACTCGCATCAACTCCCAGCAACCCATGCTCGTCACGACTTTTCATTATCCCGTCTACTCCCATTCCAATTTCCAAATCGAAGAGATTCGCTCCAATTCTCTATTCAACCTCCTCTCGTCTTCCTCGCTAACCGCGCCTTCCATAGAAAGCCTCTTTGCCTTTCGCATAACCTCCTTGTACTTATCCTGCAACCACAGCTCCGCCTCGCGCCTCTCCTTGGACTTCCTCGCCAGATATGAGAAGTCATTTTCCGCCACAGCGCGTTGAAACACCTTTCGCATACGTCTCGAATATAACTGACAGCTGCTCCCGATCCCTTCTCCATAGACTGGCTGGACAGTACGGTTGAATATCCTAGCTAGCGGCATGTTATTCTTCACGTGCGGCTCCACCTGCTCTTCGAAGCAGTCCTCGCAGATTGTGAATGTGGGAATGTCAGGAGCGAAATGCCACAGGCCTCCGATCAGCATGTTATCTCTGGTGCACTCCCGCAGGCGAGTTTTCTGCTCGATGAGATCGATCAGTGGCTCCGAGTCGGCTCCTTTACGAGTAGCTAGGGCGTTTTCGTGCGTGTTGACCAGGGCATCCAGATAGGCCGRGAAGCGATTGCTGTCTGTTCGAATCGCACAGATGTGCTTCTCCAAAGACGCTTTGTGCGGCAAACGAACGAAAAGACCGGAAAGGGTTGGTAGCAACCGTTCGATTTTTCGCACATCGCCATAACAAAGGTGAAAGTCTCGGACGAATAGGCCCTCGCAGTCACGAAGACCGTACCATGATTGCGCGGTCTGCACACTACCAGGGCAAGGGGCAGTGGTGCTCTCTATTTCGGCGACGTCCTCGAGTAAGCTTAGATCAGTTCGTTGTTGCTGCAAGGTCAGTAGCCATGCCAATCGAATCCATGGGCTACCAAAAGCACATCGGACTTTGGTATCGAGATTGCGAGGCAGGGAACGGCGGAACGATGGACGGAAGAAGGTCCTCTCAAAAAGAGTTTCGATGCAAGGCGGGCAAAAGTCGACATTGCTTGCTCCAATGATCGTGAACCAGTCGTCAAAGCCGGCCACAAGCTCGGTTCGCGGACAAGGCGGAAGTCCCTTCTTCACCAAAGCGGCGAGGTCCTTTTTGGTTTGCGATGAGCTGGCGAAAAGTTCTCGTTTCGCGTCGCTCTGTCTAGGCCTAGCATTGGACGGCCTAGTGTCTCCTGTTGGAGAGCCCGCGGAGTAGCCACGTACAAGAGCGGGCGGATTAGGCATGGACCCAACATAAGATCCTTTGCTAGACCCCGTGGAGGCGCCACCGGTAGAGCTTGTACCGGACTCATATGCAACAGGTGGGGTATTGGAATTTTGTTTGCTAGGGTAGTATGCATGATCCATCTCATGCGGCATCAACACCGTTGAACCCATCAAGCTGGTATCTTCCGGGTATGGCAGACTGGAGGCGGACTGTTGAGCAGTGGGTTCGAAAGTGCGCCTGCGAGGCAGATCAGGCTGCGTTTCTTGAGGCATAGAAGTGGCAAGACGTGAAGAAGGCTTTGGACGCCTAGCAGCATTGGCGGCCAGGAGAGCAGACCAGTCAAGATCAGTCTTYGGCAGTCGAGGGGTCTCTTTGGTCGTTCGTGGTGGAGACCCAGATCGCGACCGACCCGCCGAAGGAGGCTTGCTGCCTTCGAAGGAGTACTCAGAGCTCATCCTGGAGGAGCGTGTAGTATTACGTCGACCAGTTGAGCTAGCTGGGGAAACTCCGCGAGAAGATGAATGACTGTTCTCCCAAGCGGCGTTGTATGCATCGGGAAAGTGAAGGTTTGCAGATGATGATAATGGAGCTGCATCTTGAGCGTCATGCAAGGACGTAGAGGCCATGAGGGGCGTTGGCCGGCGAGACTTGTCCATGTTCATCCTTCCCATGGTCGGCAGAGTGTTTTGGGTGTCCGTGTATCTTCTGGCGTCCAGGTTGGCTCGTCGAATTTGTGGAGAAGAAAGGTCGAATGAAGTAGAGCTCGGGCTGGATGTCAACGGAGCATCGATGACTCTCTTTCGATTACCATACGGTCCGCTGCTATCATCCGCCTCATCAAGCGCCTTTTCTTCAACCGCATTGAAATAGTCATTGCCTCGCCGTGAGTTTGCACTCAAGCGTCCCGAGTCTCGACGAGGTGAGGGCGGCTGGACACCTGCAGTGCCCACCCGAGTGCTTTTAGCAGGGGGAGGATTCGTGGACGCTGGAGACAAAAAGCGATCGCCTGAGGATGTGTCATTTGATTTACTGAAGGCATATGGTGAGGAGGTCCGTTTGGCCACCTCTGGAGCATTGTTGGCGTGGTTGATATTGAGCTTCGACGGCTTGCGCCTGGCCCTCCGAGCTTTCTCGTCTTCACTTGTCGGCGGGGTAGAAGGTCTTGCAGATCGGTCAGACTCTGCCAGCACAAAGCGTCTTTCGTACATGTTGACCAGCTCGGTGTCTTCGATGAGTGGTTCCTGATCGACGGTGCCACGAGCAGGCGCCTCATCTCGCACAACTTCTTGGAGGAGATCCTGCACATTGGCTTCCTTCCGCAGTGACACTTCCGCATCTTCGGCACACGGTGGCGGCGGATACGAGCGTCGTCGCCGTGGCTGTCGGAGTGGGGATCTCGCTCTTGCTCTGCCCGAGTCTGAAGATGAGTTGTGATGATATCGCGGGTCATAGCGACTCTCGCCTGTGCGATCGTCAGGCAGCCGGTTCCTGCTGCTCATGCTGTCGTAGGTGCCATCGTGTCTTACGCCGGAGTAGCGATCGTAGGTGGCATTATGCTGTCGTGCGGATCGTGAGGGTCGTTCTCGGAGGTCATAATAATCGTAGGAATCGTGATAGGACGCCATCTAGGCCGGTCCAGACATCAGCAGCCAGGCGATGTCGGTGTTACGAGGGAGTGGAAAGGTGGTGGTGGAGTAGAGGGTCAAGTGTCAGGAGATGCGGTGGACTCCACGGGTTCCAGAATCCACCGGTTTCATATGCAGGTTACACGACCGAGAGGTGCAAGCCCTACTAGACCGATATGCATGGCATCGAGGGGAGACGGCCCGGCTCTGTCTTGGGTCCCTGGCTGATGCTGTCTGACGACAACGGCGTTGGATGGAGAGGAGAAGATTGCAAGAGTTGTGGGAGCACGAGCTCGTGGTGGGGCACACTCTTGTAAAGGCAAACATCGCACAGGTACCTTACTGGCGGCTGTTCCCAGCCAACATCTACTACACATTCAATGGGTACAGGGATATGTACATGCAGCAAGACGGCACACGTCAGGAATGGCAGGCGGACGGCGATCCGTTGACATCGCATGTGCCTTCACCGCCAATTCGACTTCGACTATGGGAGGGAATCTCTTGACACTTTCACATGCCGGTCACTGTGAATGACGCTCCTCGCTACCTATTACAATGTGCAAGGGTGAGTTCGAGCCAATGAACGGACTGCATGACACCCCAGTTGCAGTGCTCCTCAATTGTAGCAGCTGCTTGACAACTTGACAACTCGATGCTTGATGGTGACACATCGAAACTACTAGCATGTCTCGATCTCGTACTCCCTGTCAAAGCAGCATCTTCAGCTGTTGTGTGTTGACTTGAACATCAGACCTGTTCCACCGCCGCGGCAAACAGATTCCGTTTATGCTGTGCTATGTTGAACCGCAGTAGCTCATGGTGTGATGCAAGTAAGGGTTGCGGCTGGCGCTGTCTTTATATGTTCTCAATCTAACCCCGGGTGCGAGCAGAATGTCGGTGGACTTCCAGACGTGAATTTTGCAAACAGCAGATCGATATACAAGATCGTGCTGACGGAGATGAGTGGAATCGATCTGAAGTTTAGGCAGTGGTAAAGGTAGCTCAATCCTTCGCCGTCTCGCCATTGTGCTTTGAAGTCCCGGCGCTGGAGCATGTCAGAAGTTCTGCGATTCGAAGTGCTGCGCCCGCTAGATCTAATGTAGAGATAGCAGGAGGCATCGCATGCGTGGACTCCTCCTCAGTTTCACTAGGCTCGTCGATCCTCTGCTTTCGCCCAAAATCAAGTGACAGATGGGTAGTGTTTCCGTATATTGCGCCACCCTCGACTTCTCTGTACTTGAGACGAATGTGGCCCGGCAGAGCCTCCAGGGTAGAATTAACATTCACATCCATTGCTTGGGCTTGCTCTCCACTTTTTTGTGGCGTGAAATGTATTTCCTGGATCTGCTCAAATCTCTCAAAGAGGTATGTGGTTGCATGATCCTGGCTCGCGCTCGAAACATCAGGCTCTTTGGACCCTCCGAGCCATGAGGGTAGCTTGATTGACAGCTCAGCGGGCGCTGTTAAAGAGCCCTTATCGATACGTGCCGACTGCTGCAAGTGCTTTATGAATCTCAAGATGCTCGGGTCAACTTTGACCGCGTCAATATTGGCCAGCAATTTGCTTTGTCTAGTAAATTGCAGATCAGTCGCGTAGCCTGGCAGCGGAACAGATAAACGCTGCTCGTCGATGACGGCTTGCATGCCAGTCAATATGAGCTTACGCGACCCCGCGTTGACTTTTGATGCTAGAAAGCGGAAACGCATTTCTAGACGTGGTAACACTGTAGCAGAGTCTGGCTTCTGCGGAAAGGGCTTCAGATGAACCTTCAAGTAAGGTAACATCTCTCCCGAGAGGTTGTACTTCCCAGAAGAGATCTTGCCAGAAGAGGGTGATGAGCCCGAATTCTTCGAGGCTTGGAAGTGAGAGAGAAGATGTTCGGGGCAAGGAGCCGCATGTTGAATGATGGTCTGAGGGCGAGACGAAGCCTTCGCGTTGCTCGCAGGCATCTGATCTTGGTCTTTTGGGTGCAAAAGCGTGCAAAACTTCGCTTTCCAGGCACTCGCGACACCTTGTCCGCGCCAGTAAGAATCACTGGGTTCGGCGATAGTGCTAGGGAGGCGTAGCGGGACTACTCGATCCAACTGCTGCGACAAGGAGGTTGCAAGATTGTCGATATTAGCAGATGCAGAAGCAGTAGCATCATCCGACTGATCTGTCTTGAGGACCCTAGGCCTGACAGTACGCAACAACTCGAGGCCGTGGTACCGCCGATGCACGCCAACAGTTGGACTACCCACGGGTAGATCGACAGTGGAGCTGATAAGATCGTCCGCTATCGAAGCGAATTCGTTGAAGGATCCGTGAGGTTGATCCAGAAGTGCGAGGAGCAGTCGGTGAGCATTCTGCGTACCAATTCGATTTAAACCGTAGATAGCGAGCACCCCATCATCTTCAGACACAATGACAGACTCTGTCAGCTGAGCGACGTAGTCAATGTCCTCGCTTCTGAAGATGGTTTCATGCGTTGCGCCTGGTCTACCCAGAGAGGCCACAAGCGGCTTGAGGTCCCGTTCAAGCCGGTGGACTTTCAGCAGAGCAAGTTGAAGCTGTCGAGCAATTTCTTCGGCAGTCTGGCAGCGTCCTGTAATCCTCATCACGTTGTCAGGGCGGTAAGCTTGAATTTCGCTGGTTTTTATGAGCGTTTGTGGCGTAACGAGACCCTCAAGGTAGCGTGTGCCATTACTGGTAGATTGGAACAAGAGAGACAGCTGCCACGGCTTCAATTTGATCTCGAGTTCGCCATCTCTGATTTCTTCAGACTCCACTGTTATTTGCCAAGCAAGACGTAAGATCCGCTCAGAAATCCTCAGCTTTGTGCTTGGGCCCTTTTTCTTGATTTCCTTCGAGTGGCGTTGGGTCAGCGGCGTTCGACCAGGACGCCATGTTGCCGATGGGAATTCGAAGACTTTCTTCAACGGAGCTCGAATTGACCGGTCAAGGTAGCGATTTAGTTGATGAGCGGTGTATCCTTTTGCAAGATCCTGCAAGAGCATTTTAAATTGGCCTGGGCTCAACACAGTGCTCTTTTTGGTGGCCTCGAGCCCCATGCGTTTTATGGAAGCGTTGACTTCTCCTTGCGTGGGTACCGTGTGCTGTTCGATCACAACACTCTCAATTTGCTTTGCACTGGGCGAACGATCTGCATCGTCTTGGGGTATCTTCCGCACTACAACCGGACGGCTGGAAGGCCGGGAATTGCCTCTGGCTTTGCCCTTATCCTTGGGAATGTCATCGAGGACGATGATKGGCTTCTGCCTTCCATCATTCTTTTCATCCAACAATGCGACACTCCTCCATTTCGTTCCGCCCTTGTATCGATCACGAGTCGTCAAGTGGTCTGTTTCTTGTAATCGCGGTCGATATGTTGAGAAGGCYTTGCATCGTTGGGCAATGTGTTTTGGCGCATTTCGAATTGTTCCAGTCCGCCGCACTGCCGCATGAAGCTGACAACGCAAGCATGTCGATGGCAGCGTCAGGGCGCGCGGCATGGAAGCGATGTACAGGAAGGGGATGCCATGTCGTCCAGCTTCACGCGACAAAAATATCCCGAAGCCCCCAAAGTAGTTAGCGCTCGAAGCTCTTCGCGCGGCCGCTACGGAGACCGGCACGCGCCCTTGTACTTCAAAGCACATGTGAATGAAGCTCGGACGAAGAGAATGGGACATATATGTCACCGCATGCGCCGGACTTGATGACGAACCCTCTGAGCACTATGTGTAGGTGTACTACTAGGTTCTACCTTGGCAGCAACTCGCCGTTCCCTGTGAACAGATTCCATACCACTATGGGTTACCTACATCTGAGTACAGACGTCGATGCTCGATTCCACCATCTGGCCGTCGACGACCGCTCACCACCCCAGCAGCAGACTTATGACTGCGCCAAGCAAGCTGCTGTCTCTTCGAGTCATCAGTGCTCAATTCGAGAATGTCTCGACCTTGGTACGTGGGTGGAAAAGAGAGGACGAGATCGGAGCGACTGTGGTACTGGAGGGTAAGCGGGATTCGGGCTTGATGTGCAACGTACCCCAACCGACCTTCGAAAGCCAAGGCCCGGCCCGGCTCGCAAGCCGTTCGACTGCTGCCTTCCATTTGCTTCAAGCCCGCTCCTGCTCCAAGGCTCCTTCTCTGCCAGTTCAACTTCGATACCATCGCCGGCACAAAGGCAGGAGCGCAAGCAATTACCTCCATCCTTTTACAACTTCAAATTACCAATCCTCAACATCGGGCACTTGGCCAATTTGAAACTTGTAAGACCAACGAACAAACCAATCCTCGACTTCCTTCCAACCATTCATGATCCGTGACGAATGTGATGCCCTTGTTACGCAGTGAAAGGGCAACAGACCTGCTGTTTGAAAAGCAGGCGTACTTCTGACGCCTTTGCAATGGCAGCAGACACCTCGAGAGGGGCTATGGGGTCACACCTTGTAGGCATTGTCCGGCATGTCCGGGATCCGATATAAATTACACATGCCATGTGCTCAGGCAAGGTCTTTGATCTACCCAATCCAACTCAATTCGTCTTCGATCATGAACCATCATGGACCATCAATTGGATTCGCTAACATCCAAGCTTGTCACAGGGAACGACATTTCATCTTCTACATCATTCTCGGACCTGTCTTCCATCTGCTTGACGAGATCTGGACGCATTATAAGGCTACAACGCCTCACTCGTCGATCTCTACACACGATCGATTGGGGCGAAAATGTCTCTTCTCACACTTCCCACGGAAATGATGCTTGAAGTAGCCGCTTATCTGGACTGGACGAAGGAAGATGTCTGCCCAACCAAACCAGATCTTGTCAGCCTCGCTACGACATGCTCACAACTACGGGAGGCAATCATTCCCCTGCTCTTCAAAGACGTGACATTGCGGCTGAGATGGGCAGGTCCGTTTTTGATCATGCCGTCTCTGTATAAGCTTCGCTTACATTGTCCACACCTTGCGGAGCACATTCGCACGGTCTGCATAAGAAGGAGCCCCGACGATGATGCCATGTCTGCTGATGAGTCAAAGGACTCAAGTTTCTTTCGCGCCCCTAGACAACGGCCAAACTGGCTCGATCTAGCTTCGGTATCATCTCCTGGCGATGAATCCATGTACGACGAGTTCCGCAAGCGGGCGACCAGAGCCGCATGGAAGCTCGCTCACCCTGAATCGACCAAGCAGCAAGACTTTGGATCATCTGCAGAGGAAATAATCAGCCAGGCTATTTCTTGTAACTCACTTGATAGGGCAGGTCTCGATGCCCTTACAATCGGTCAGCTTTCTCGGAGCCGTGTTGATGCAATGTTGACTGACTATGGACAGCAATGCTTTGTGTGCCTAAAAGGGCCAAGAACATTATATGCGTGTCTTTACGCCAGCACTCGAAAATCCCGGGAAACAAGTACAAAGCCTCTTCAAAATCTGTTTTTACAAAAGCCAACACTAACGTCTACTCATCCGACAGCTTCGCTGCGCGCGTCGCCACGGCGGCATTTGAGCTGCTAAAGGGAAATGTCGAGGACATCACCTGGGTCTCCAACGTTCCGCTCAGTGACCAACGAAGCATTGCCCGGGCTGGGTCTGCCCTGCCACCAGTCGAAGGTAGAGTCCTTGACTCCGAATTGATTGGTACCCTGGCTCCACGGCGGCTGGTACTTGCAATGAGTGAAGGGGCCTCAAAACTCTATGGTGCGCCGTTGCTGTCAACTCTGCGACTGGACGTCTGGCACACTGTTGCGAGCACATTACGGGTACTCGAACTGAAACACATCCACGCAAATRCAACAGAGTTGCTCCAGCTTATCGCAGGATTCGACTCGCTTGAAAGCCTGAGCCTGTCCAATGTCACCTTGCGATCCACTCGAGTTGCCTACAGAGGTGATGCGGTGGACGAAATGGCGTGGCTTTTATTGTGCCTCGATGTACGCCATGTGATGCAGCATCCCAAGGTTGAGTTGGAATGTCTCGCCGGACCAAACGCAAATCAAGACAAGTTGTCGGCCTGTGTGGTGGCATGGATTCGTGACATGGCGATACCTTCCGGGGCTATCATCGGCTTCGAGAGACGAGAACGTCTGGTGGAAGATTTCCGAAGCTTCCTTCCGCTTTGGGCGGCAGAACAGGACGAAGATCGAGKGATAAAAGCATTGGAAGAATGGAACACCTCGTTGGGACGAAGTCTCTGCGATGCAGCAATGAGTAGACGATGGAGATGAGCACAGGAATCTCACAAAATTGAAGTTACTTGGACTAGAGATGTCAGTCGTCAGTGAAAATGGATCATCCGGCAGCTCTCCAGCATCTGACAGACTGCCGTACTAGCCTGGGGGGCTCTCTTTACCTTGTGAGACATTGACTTTGAGGACAGCGTGGAACGAAATTGGCCTTTACGGWGTGATGGATACTATAGTAAGATCGAGTCTTTAATGTGGGTGAAGATGTATTTGGTTTTTCAATACCAGCAACAATCCTCAATACTGGGCTGTCTCGGCCTTTGGTGCCCCATTCACAGTATGTCTTTCACTTGCCTCGCTAAAAGAAAAGTGCCGATGTTTCCCTATAACTGGTGCGTAGGTAGAGACGACCTGACCGATGACCCACAGCGCTTAAACGCTTAGCCTGAGCCCCTCTCGACCCCTCCATGATGATGTCGAGGTGATTTCGGGAAAGCTTCAGATTACGCAACGAAGCAACCATGATTTCTTTGCCTTCCCAATCTCTCCTACGTCTTTTCTCTTACACTCCGCTCCGCTGCAAAGCACCTTCTACAACAGCACTTCGAGTTCCGCACAAATTCCTCATACAGTCAWTCCCGGCCAGGAGAACAATCATGTCTCAATCCCATGCTTGCTGCACGGTCCCTCCGGTCGTCAGKTACTTTCGACATACTCCCTATCTCTTATACATATTTCTAATGGCAAGCAAAGCGATGGCTACAAGGAGAAGGGCGAATACATCACTGTCGACGGCATGAAGACATACGCTACTGGCCCGAAAGATGCGAAAACTGCAATTCTGGTCGTCTATGGTACCGAGCTCATATTGTGCCCACACTACCACTCCTTCTCTGACATTTTTTAGACATCTTCGGCTTCTTCCCCCAAACTCTCCAAGRCGAGTATCATGCACAGCGATAGTTTCGTCGACATCCTGTCCGCTCAAAGACGTTCCAAGGGTCGCGCTCATGATTCTTCCCAAAACAGGTGCCGATATCCTCGCATATGGCGACAACGACCACAAGCGCCGCGTTTTTATGCCAGATTTCTTCGAAGGAAGCCCAGCGGACATCTCCTGGTACCCACCAGACACTGATGAGAAGGGCAAGAAGCTTGGAGAATTTTTCAGCGTTCGTCGAAAAAGGGGCAAACAGAAGGAGGTCGCGCTGACCACCTATTCAGACCACGGCGGCACCCCCAAAGACCATTGGGCGTATTCCAAAGGTTCTCGATGAGATTCAGTCTCAGGAGTCCTCTATCAGCAAGTGGGGCGTCGTTGGCTATTGCTGGGGAGGAAAGGTAGTCAACCTTTCGACCCAGGCTGGAACACGTTTCTCGGCAGCGGCATCGTGCCATCCAGCAATGGTTGACAAGGATGACGCTCCTGGAGTCTCCATCCCCTTCGCTATGCTTCCTAGCGGGGATGAACCAAAGGACGATGTGGAGGCTTGGAATGCCGCTATCAACCCCAAGGTAAAGGACCAGAGCCTCGTTCAATGGTGGCCAAACCAGGTAAGCTGCACTGCACAAAGGTATCATTCGCAAATTGACCGCTTTTCTTCAGGTCCACGGCTTCATGGCCGCTAGGGGTAACCTCGAGGACCCCGCTGTCGAGGCTGACTACAAGAAGGCGTACAACTTGTTACTCAACTTCTTCCACGAGAACCTGTGAGTGGTGAGTAGAGCGCTCTATTCCTTCCCAGCACCGCGATTTTGAAGCAATCTCGGGTCAAGGACATGTAGAACCCAGACGCTGACCAACACAGGCAGGAAAGAGCTTCGAGGTTGTAGTTAGAATCCAGCTTGTCGAAACAGAGAATCAAAAGCTTTAGATACATTGCTTCTCACAGYCCAAAAAGAACATCCACCAGCCACGTCTTGACACAACCTCTCCTTTGTGTAACAAACCCGCTCAACGGGATAGCGTCGGTAAAAGTGGCATATCACAAAGCAAGCCTTGCCGCAGGTACCGCATTACTCTCAAAGCAGCTGGACGTGTCTGCAAATATGAGCTCAAGCTTCTCCGAGATGCAAGTATCCGGGGTTTCGTCAAGCACTCTTCTCCTCAAGGCACGAGGTGCCAGCGAGCGAGACTGTCCAAGCCCCGGATATGTGTGAGTGTGGAGAACGGCCCGGATGTCGATGCCTCGATCCTGGTGGGCCGTGTGAAGAATAAAGTGGGTTCGTGGCGCTCATAGATCGTCTCCAACCCGAAAGTGTAAACTGCATCCGCCCTTGAGCCGCCCTGCCAGTCGCCGCCTTGAAGCGGCTCAGCGAAGTCTTGTGAGTACCAGCGYAACCTTGAAGGATGCACTGCCTCCGAGTGTCAGCATTGCTCCGGATACACGTCAAGACTCGGGATGGCAACAGGAATCGTGTGCAAGATGATCGGGGGTGTTCGAGATATGAGTTTCGTAACAGCGTCTCTTTCTATCCAAGATCATAAGAGCTATTAATAGTGGAGCAATTCCACTCTTGAATTGAAAAACATCGCCAGTGCGTGTATCTACAAGAACATCCGTCTCTATCCCAGCCCAGTCAGTCGTAAAGGGTATCAAAGCAGAAATATCAAAAGCGCACTTGATGGCATGCATTGCAATGTCCAACAAAGTGCAAGTGATGCTGTGTAAGCAACAGTGTGGATGTCCYGCGTGCATCGAGGTCGGGAGTGTCAGAGCACGATACAAAACTCACACTCACAGACTCATAGTCAACCACTCCCACTCTTGCGGCCCGGTCATCATGTTGGTTGGAATACCAGTTGGGGTTCCATTGTGCCCAGATGGCATTTGGTGAGCAGAACCGCCACCTTGCGGAACCATTTGAGCATGCATCGGCGGCATGCTTGTCTTTGTAGACGCCGCGTTCGTCGGAGACGTCGTGGTTTGGCTTGCGTCTAGCTGAATTCGGTGCCCGGCCTTGTTGGGCGACTCGTCCACATCCATCATATCGCCTTCTGCACGCGACAGGGTGTTGCTGGCCTTGCTCTGTCTCCGAGCACGTCGAGGAGCTACCAGTCGGGTCGGAGCTGATGGCGGAGGCTGAGTGCTTGGCTTCGGTGGGCCTGGCGCGATGGGAACAACTGTCTTGGTTGGCTTGTCTGATGGGCCAGAGGTCGTAGGAGTATTGCCCGACGAATGTGATGATTTTGGCGAGTCGGAATCGAGTGCAAAGCTTTTGCCCGCGTTGGGCGTGTTGGCATTCGTCTGCGCCACCGAGTTTTTGCGGCTGGCAACCTTTTTCGAGCGAGAAGTCCCCACTGGCATCGCATTGCCGCTGCCGCGGTTGCGCTTCTTGATCACGTCGGTCTTCAAGCTGAGAGGGCGCACAACTCCATGCAACTTGAGGAAAAGACCACAAGCATTGCACAGCGGATGTCCTTCTGGGTTGCGGCGCCRCAGAGGTGTGGTCTGAGTGAAACAGTTGGTGCATGTCGTGGGCGCACCGCCATTCTCGCCGCCGGGTCGGGGACTGCCTGGCCGGGACGGAGCCGCTGAACCGAATCCAGACTCCGGTGGGGAGGACGGAGATGGATGGTTTGTGTTGCGAATTGAAAACATCCCCGTCGCCATGCCCACAGTGTTTGGCGTAGATGTAGTACGAGGGATCTTGCGGGTTCTCGGGTCACCGCCTCGATTCCTAATATCACTCACAGAGGCGGCCGAGCCATGGCCTCTGGACAAGGTTCCTTGGCCCCAGTTCTGCTGGGAAGGATTCATTTCCGTGTTGCTCATGGAATAGCCTTTGCTGCGACTATGGCCGCCTAGTTGCCCATCGCCAGAGAAGCGCTGGGGCATTCCAAGGTCCCACTGGTAGTTTCCGCTCATGTCAATTGACGGATCGTCCATGGGCGAGTACCCTTGTGGCATCATCATGTTCGCATCATTGAACGACATCTGCTCGTCTTCCTCGTTATCAGAGTCGCCTCCGAAAGTGAACATGTTCTCGGGTCGCGACATTGCCGTGTTACCAGATACGTGGAAGTCGTTCGACATAACGTTGGAGGGATCGAGGTGACCGGGCATCTGGAATGTCGGTTGATGAAAGGCATGCGAAGGAGCACTTGCGGAAAGAGCACTGAACATGGACTCGCTGTTCGGATTGAAGACGAACTGCTGCTGAGATGTTCTGAGTGGTATTTGGTGCTGATGCTGCTGCTGTTGCTGCTGCGGTTGAGAGTGGAGCTGCTGGAAATTAGGCACCGATCCGTGATGCATGTGAGAGTTGCCGAAGAACATCTGCTCGCCTTCTGGGATGGGCTGAGGAGTAGATACCGTGGAAGGATATGCAGACCCGGGTGGCGATTGAAAGCCAGATGGTCCAGGAGGTGGCATGGACGATTGCGCATTGTACACCGACTGGAAGTTGCCGGTGTTCAACATGGGCGAACCAACTGGCGAGAAGCCAAAGTGGCCTTGCATTGGGCCCGCCGAGTGGATTATGGGATCATTCTCCAAGTTAAAGGTATCCAGGTTGAAGGGTAGGGTGGTGTGGTGCGGGTGAGGATGAGCAGTGGTTGGTCCGTCTAGCGAGTAGTCGAGCAATCCGGCGTCGCCCGCTGGGTCTTGAGCGGCCATGGTGGTGCTGTTGACCGGCGGGACCTGAGGTGATGCCTCTGCACGTCTCTTTGGTGGCTGCACAAGTTTCAGTTACATGATGTGCACAAAGCACGAATTGCACAAAACTCACCCTGCGCTCATCAATGCTAGTCTTGCGTACTCTTCGCTGGACGTAAGAGAATTCTTGATGCCCACGGGTCTGCTCGAGTGGGGGCACGGAGGGCGCAGAGGCACGCGCCAATGATAGGTCATCTGCCTGCAGGCGCTGCTGCTGTTTGATTGGTATGGCGGAGATCGTGCCGGTCGTCGCAATGTCGCCGTCAGCCGAGGAGGAATCGGGCGAGACGCCGGCAGGCGTGCCAATTGAGGAAGGAACGATGAAGTCGTCCAAGTTCATGGTGTCATCCTGCGTCTTGGACGCTTGCTCCGAAGAGCGCAGCTGTGCGATGCCACTCGGTGCATTCTGGCCCTTGGGCCGGCTTTGGGCGTGCAGTCTGTAATCGCATCGTTTAGTCTCGCGTACGCATGTCTCTCATTCTGACCGTCCTTACCCTTGCTGACGCTCAAGGTTCTGCTGACGCTTGAGGTTCATGGCCATCATTCGCCATGACAGATTCTCCAGACGCTCCGAGTTGGGCAGCTGCCCTTTCGTCTTGGCGTATAGTCGCCAGATCTGTGCCCCCAACGGGTCCTTTCTTTGCATCTCCTCCGGGCTGTCCTCGGCCTCCAACGGTGCAGCGTCGTCCTTCCAGTGGTCGAAGAATGACTCGCGCAACAAGCCCTTGCGGGCGTCGCGCTCGGTGGGTGACAAGTCCAGCCTGGTGGGGAGAGTGTCCAGGGTGGAGGTCGAGGTCAGCGAGGCGATGGMGCTCGACGAGCCTGATGTGGTGTCGTATCGGGTGTCTGGGAAGCGTACATGGCGCGGCGACGACGGTAGAGCCATGGACTCGTCGCTGGGCACGCKGCCTCCACTTCCACGCTCTTTGCCCTCCTCCTCTTCGTCTCCATGCCGCATGCGAGCCTGCCGCAGCGCAGCCCGGGCTTGAGACATGCAGACTGTAGAATTGATGCTCTCCTCGCGGGCGACGGCCTTCAGTCCAGGTCGGCGTCAAGGATGGTCGTGACGTTGGGTTGCACGTGCGAGGGAMATGAAGGTTGGTGTAATACCGTAGCAATGTGGTGGCAGCGTCCACACTTTCTTTTGCCTGGAGCAGCATGGGCACCCGCCGGCTGTTTAAGGTGGAGCTAACAGAACACTACGCAGTGGGTCCTCTTCGTCCACCCTTGGCGCACGCTCCCAGGCCAGCCAGCGCGAGTGCATGTGGATGTGGACATGGTGCCCTCGAAAGCCGCTAATCCACGGCTGCTGCACCTAGGCCTACCCTACTTGCCTACTTTGCGACTCGCCGCTACCTTACTTTCTGCTGGAATGAACCCTTGAGCCGATGCCGATGTTCAGGCTTCACTCCTCTCATCAAGCTTCGACATCATGTACGAGCGTGCATAAATTCTTCYCGCACGACAGGGCCCTCGCTCGGCTGCGGGCATCCCACGTTTAGCTGTGCGCCAGCCGACAATCGACAGGGTGGTCGGGCATGTGGGGAACGGCAAGCACTCGAGGTTGCATCATCTTTGTTGAAAGCTCTCCGGTCTGCTACCGCGGCATTGGTGAACCTTGCGGCCATGCAGCCCGCTGCTTCTCGCTTCAACCAAGATCGCCGACCATCTTTTACCGCTAAGAAGCTGGCGAGATTATCCGCGCCGCTGTTGGCTGCCACAGTCTGCCAGTTACGAAAAAACACCGGAGCGCAAGTCTACAGGGTCTCCAAGCGTCCTTGAACCCAGGCCTCTGCTTTCCCTGGTGCTCGAGCCTCCGGGTTTATGCCGCGCCACCGCCGCCACCTCTCGATCCTCTCCATATTTCACACCATCAGCTGCCAAAGGAATGGGTCCTTGGGGTGCTGACCGTGGAGCTCGCTTTGTTGCAGCCGGCATGCATGCAATAACAGCCCCTCCGAGGGTGGCATCAGACTCGCCATGTTGATGATAGTTGTCGAGGAAACATGTAATCAGAGTGCCGCTCCCTCACAGCTATCATTCCCAACACCATCTCACCCAAAATTTGGACGCATGTCGCCGTCAGCAGCGGAGCGCGCTGCGATCGAACCAGGACCACTCCAGGGGTGCGAGGGACTGGTAAACATCGGGGCGTTCACACGATGTTAAAAGATGCTTGYTGCTCAAATTGCTCAAATTGCTGACTTCCTACCCAATAATGATGGCATCGTCTGAATAAACAACAGAAGCTGCTTACCGTTCTTTCCACTCCCGTCTCACCACGCAAAGGCAGTTGGGGTTACGATAGTGCCGACCACCATCCGCTTGTCCGCTCAGCTCACCAAACCGCGCGTCCTGCATCTCTCGAGTCTCGATCCAGTGCTACGGCTGATAAACCCTGATCGACATTGCGAGCACATCCCTTCTATGCGACRCAATCTCTCACTTCCGGACTTTGCAGGCTTCTGCATTTGATATTAGTATCCGCCCATACCCACATCGTGGACTCAACAGCAGACTAGCCATGTCTGCTTCGGTTCCTATGAGAGGCTAAATTGTCGCATTCAACATCGCGAACATAGGGCGCAGTGGGTTGCCATTTGATGATGCGATGAGATTACAGCAGCAATCAGCATTATCACATGCTTGATTGCCTAACTGGTGAGATTTCGCGGGGCTGGTTTGAACCCTAAAACCGGATGCTGCATGACTCGAGATTCCCATCGCCATGTGTGTGCCGGCACGTCTGACAGGCACAAAAGCGTGGGGTGCACTTTGGGTGAGAGGCTCCTGCTCATCGGCAGGATAAATCGAGCCGTTCGCGAGTCCGTCTTAGTATGCTCGCAGGCATCATGGCCGTTGTCGCGGACGACCCGCCGTTTACGCAGGGGGCTCCGAGCTGAGCGCTAGTTCTTGTGACCCCTGTGGTTGGTTCCATTCGATAATTCTAGTGCCAGCTTGGGGATTGGGTCTTTGCGGCGAGGCGAGCGTGGCAAGTTTGAGACAGGTGGACTGTAAACGAGGCTTGAATATGCACGTGGATGGGGATGTGCCCGTGAGAATAATGTAAATGTAACAGTAAAGCACCTCAAGTCGAGTCGAGTGTGACTTGCTTCAACAATTGTAGCGCGGCAGTCTYTACCTATATATATATGTCCCATACCAAAGGTTTATCTCATATCAGGCGACGATGGCGAGTGATAGCGATACCAAGCACGCAATACCAGCGAATCAACCCTGCTTATGGCATGCGTCTGCGTCCTTTGCCGCGATAGGCAGGAAGACACAAGCTTCCAGTTTATCCGGAACCTGGGACGAGATATGAGATAGCATCTCAATGCTCCAACCGATCGGGATGGTTCGTCGTCAGATAATACATGGTTCTCCGCGTGGTATTTACTATGGCGCACGAAGCAGTCTTGCCGTGTGCGTCTCTGAGAAACACCATGTGAGGCCAGCCGGACAGGTGATGCCGTGGTCGTCGGCGGCTCGTCGCCTTGCAACTGTCAGGAATCGCCGAATCAACATCGCCGTATGATCAGTGCGCTCTTCCTTCGATCACCCCTCTCGAGTCCCAGGCCAGCATCACATGCTACATTCACGTGCTGTCTCGTGTACTGTCGGATCCGTCATGTCTGTCGTCGCTGTTTACGAAGTCACCCCGACGCGGGGAGCTTGTGCCCAAGAATGACGACACACTCATGGGTGAGGCTGTTGGCTTGAGCTGCGCGAAGACCGTCTAGACTGGGATCTGCTTGTACGTCAACGGTCACATTCAGGGTTGATAATTGACCGGCATTAGCCAGGTATAGCACGATCGGAATGCTCGACAGCTAGACTGAAGCCCTGGGCAAACCGCGGGCAATAATCGAGCATCAAGAGAAACCAGTCTCATCTGAGGAGAGTCAAACAAAGACCGGTCAGACCGGGTTACTGTTCTTGTCATTTCGACTCGAGTGATGTGCAACCCCTGCTCCAGCTGGCGTTTCAGTCAGTAATCATTCAATCTAATTCGCGAATATGCGAATACGCGGTGGTGATCAGGGCAGACGGTGTGCATGTTAGTATGTAGGATGGTTCGATCCGTATGCATGGCTTCTCCTACGCCGGAGTGGAAATAACTGATGGTGATCGACTCGATATCCTTTGCATGTTGCCGCCTTGCTGCATTTCGATGTATCTGGATGATGTACAAGGGAAGGTAGAAGAGACTTGTTGGGTCGTCGATTTGACGATTGACCCGTTTCCCCGCCGACGCCCGCTAGAATTCTGAAACGCCCAAAACGGCAAGAACAAACATCATGGCGACTTGCGCTAGAACTTGATCTACAGAACAGCTCATCTCACCCTCCAGCATCACCACAAGCCCCGGAGAACTTCCGCTTCTCCACGATGTCATCCCACACACCGCAGGGCCAGACCGCGGGCGGACAGCCTCTTGACTTTGCGCTTCCGGTGCCGCCGCCGCTGCTTCACACTCGCTCCACCAACGACATGCACAGCGCGAACGGCACGCCGTCTTACGACCGCGATGCCTTCATCTCGCCTACGCAGACGCCTCAGGGCAGTCCGAGCAAGAACAAACTGCCGCCAGGCGCATTCGACCTGCCCCACGCCTTTGCCAATGCATTGAAGCTGCTGCCGACGGGTCAGGCTAACCACGGCCACGGCCACGGTCACGGCGCGCTGCAGAGCAAGACACAATCGCCGGCCGGCACGCCGAGCAGGTACGACTACGATCACGATCCCTTTGGCGATGCAAAAGCGGGGGCTCCGGGCAGTCCGAATCGCATGACGGGCCAGGAGAACACCCCGCCCACACACCGCCCACAGCTGCAGCAGACACAGAGCTTCGTCAACCAGGCGGCAGCGAGCCGGCAGGCGCCTTACAGCTCCCGCGAAGACCTCTCTCCTACCCGTCCGACCAAGAGCGTTGCGGGAGGGCTGACTGCCGAAGACGCGGAGAAGTTGCAGAAGCCCAGTGTCAAGAGACTGGCCAATGTGACGCAGCTCTACTTTCTCGATTACTACTACGACTTGCTCTCATATGTTCACAACCGTCAGAATCGCCTGCAGGCGTTCAAAGCACACAACCCCGTACCCACACCGTCGATGCCCGCGGGCGAAGTCGACAACTACAACCAGCTGTGGTCGCAATATCTCGGTCACGAACGAGCAAACTTGCGCCAGCGTCGCACTCGTCTACGACATGGCGACTTTCAGATTCTCACCCAGATTGGACAAGGAGGATACGGTCAGGTGTATTTGGCGTCGAAGAAGGACACCCGTGAGATCTGCGCTCTGAAGATCATGAGCAAGAAGCTACTCTTCAAGCTGGATGAGGTCCGTCATGTATTGACAGAGCGCGACATCCTCACCAATGCCAAGAGCGAGTGGCTGGTCAGCTTGCTGTACGCCTTCCAGGACGATGTTAGCATCTACCTCGCCATGGAGTATGTCCCGGGTGGAGACTTTCGCACGCTGTTGAACAACACCGGCGTGCTGCATAACCGACACGCCCGTTTCTACATTTCGGRGATGTTCCTCTGCGTCGATGCTCTGCACACTCTTGGCTACATTCACCGCGATCTGAAGCCGGAGAACTTCCTCATCGATAACACTGGACATGTAAAGCTCACCGACTTTGGTCTTGCCGCAGGGTTCCTTGCGCCTGCGAAGATCGAGAGCATGCGCATCAAGTTGGAAGAAGTTGGCAATCTCCCAACATCTGCGGTTCCCTTTGGTCGGCCGATTGAAGAGCGTTCCCTGAAGGAGCGTCGGGATGGTTATCRATCCCTAAGAGAGCGTGATGTCAACTACGCGAAGTCAATTGTCGGTTCCCCCGACTACATGGCACCCGAAGTGCTCAAGGGCGATGAGTACGACTTTACTGTGGACTACTGGTYGCTTGGATGCATGCTATTCGAAGCGCTTGCAGGTTACCCGCCCTTTGCGGGTGCCTCTGTGGATGAGACCTGGCAGAATCTCAAGCGATGGCAACAGGTATTGCGCAAGCCAGAGTATGAAGATCCAAACTACTTCTTGTCGAAGCGCACTTGGGACCTCATCACGCGCCTCATCGCTGTGAGGGGCAACCGACTCCACGGCATCAAGCAGGTCCAGGCGCACGACTACTTCAGGGAGGTGGCGTGGGATAGGATCAGAACAGAGCGGGCACCCTTTGTTCCCGAGCTTGATTCAGAGACGGATGCAGGTTACTTTGACGACTTTGGCAATGAAAAGGACATGGCAAAATACAAGGAGGTGTTGGAGAAGCAGGAAGCTTTGGAGCGGATGGCGGATCGTGGAGGCGACATGGGTCGCTCGCTGTTTGTTGGCTTCACCTTCAGGTATGTTGTTGGTGGGGGACAGATTGAGGGACAATACTAATTCTTTATCGCAGGCATCGTAAGCCCGCCACGGATGACGATGGCCGGCCGGCCAGCCCGCGCAAGCCACTTACGGACGTCAACGAGAACTTTGGGACAATGTTCTGAGTTCGTCACGATCCTGGAGGATAGAGCCAGTTTGGAATTCGATTCGTGTGCACGGGCTGCAGTTTTAGGGAGCATTTGCATTGAAGCCGTGGAAGCATTATAGACGGCGTTGGAGTCCGCTCGATTCGGGAGCATCATGAAACAGAAAGCAAGAAGCAGGAAGCGGGCGCGCTTTATTACGACTGACGCGGCCATTGGCATGTACAACTAGCTTTGAGGGCGGTTCGAATCGCATGAATCATCTTGATTGACGAAATCTGAACTGAAGACGAAGATGTGAACCAAGAACCCCCGTTCATGCCATCGATGCGATTTTGCGGGCTTGACTTTCACACTCTAGCAAGTGTATCCACCTATGGGCGCCAACATGTCAGTAATCCGAGCGTAGAAATCTCGGACGCACATTCCAACGACTCACCATCGCAGTGCTGATTCTGGGAGAAGCACTGAGGAGCGCATGGATGGACGCAAAACGTTGGGTTGCCTTCGGAGGAGATGAAGAGGCAGACCTCATCGCCAGGGCAGTCCTACAATGCAGTCAGTCGATTGCACGAAACCTTGGCGAGCAACGTGTTATTATACATTGTAACTGTTGCAGGCAATAGCGCTCGAGGCAAAAAGCCCGAGGAGGGTAGCGATGAAGAACTTCATGTTGGTAGGTGTAATGGTCGAATGAGGGAGATGTTGCGAAATGCTCGGTTGGAAGATTTCGCGGTCAAGACTGATACTTATTGCAGAACATCGTTAGCTAAGCTGGACGTTCAGAGAGAGTCATGCAGCAAGTTTAACGTGTCTTTGTCGATCGAGTTGACAGGCGGTGGGTGCATTGRGCGACTGCTCGCGTTGGAGCGCACGGATTTCCCAAATAGGCAATATCACGGCTCTTCCAGACTCAGCTCCATTGTTAGTCTGGCATGTCCTGCATGCACTGATCCATCACCAAGTGATGGGACGCCTAGCGCCGCCTCTCGAATTCAGGCGTCCGAACGTTCCCGTTCACAAACTTCTCAGGCGTCCAGATGTCTCTGTCGATCTTCCAACCCTATGGGGTAAGCCCCTGGTTGGAACGTGGTCGATTTTCCCCAGTCCATTTGGTGATCCGAAATGGAAGGATCTCCAAAGGTGACTTCCCATCTTTCTGTGAATATGGCAACCTTCATGGGGACGACGAGTGATTCATCCCAGCGAAGATCTGAAACATGGCTAAGCTGAGAACTAGATGTGTGCTTGAACGCAGCGGGTCTGGAGATCTACTCTCAAAACTCGTCAGTATCTTCATCAGGGGTGGAAGAGGGCCGGAGGGACGCCTGGTTGATCTTCAATGCTGTGGGTCAGTCAGCGGATTCCCAGATGCAAGCCCCAACAACTACCGCGGGGCTGAGAATGAAAGTTTGTCAATTCTTTCAGGCGTCCGTTTCGTCTGGATGGTATAGGACGCCTAGGGATTCGAACGAACACATATAACACGCTTTCAGCTTTCGATACTTGGCTCGTCACTCAACAACCCAAGCAACATACTTCCAAGCAGCTCTCACTTGCCTACTTCGATCAATCAACATGCAGTTCCTCGCCATTGCTACCCTCTTCGGCCTCGCTGTCGCAACCCCTATGGTTGAGAAGCGTGGCCCAACCCACAATGGCATCGCAACATACTACACTCAGAACGGCAACGCTGGTTCGTGTGGAGAATACCACAACGACGGCGACTACATCGTGGCCATCAGTCAGCAAAAGCCCTTCACCTACAACGGTAAGCATTGCGAGCCCCTTTATGGTGAAAAAACATTTAGCTAACATCTTTCAGCCCACTGCGGTCAGACCGTGACGATCAAGAACACTGGAGGTGGCGGCGGCGACAACCGTAAGTATCAGCATTATATGACATTCAAAAGCGTCAGCTGACTTTTCTTCTCTGCAGACGGCGTTGGCAGGACCATCAACGCCAGGGTTGTCGATACTTGCCCTGAGTGCGATCCCAACCACCTCGACCTTTCAACTGGTGCTTTCAAGGCTCTGGCTGGTGAGCTACAACCTTTGGGACAGTTCAACATCGAATGGCACCTCAACTAAATGCCTTGGGTGCTTTGTCATCGGGGGTCTGATTGAGTAGTCAATTGGTCGCTTGTTGGGAGACTTGAGAATTTTATGCGATGCGAAGTTGAAACTCAATGAAGATAGGCAGATCGTGGAAATACAATCGCTATTCGAATTCAGTCGCAACTGCAGTGTCGCACCGTTCGTGGTAGAAATTTCATCAAATGTCTTCGATACTCTTCACATCTTCTCCCTCATGCGTGGAGAAAAGTTCTTCCATTCAGGGTCCAGATCGGCGCGGCAGGTCCCGCTCGGCCGCAGATTCGCGAATTCCTTCACCTTGACTTGTACCTTGATGTCTTTACATTGATGGACAACTTTCCCTTGACTTCACTCCCACACCCGTAAAACTCGACATGGCTCAAAACGTGCTCCTTGAGACGTCTATGGGCGCGATCGTGGTAGAGCTCTACTGGGATCATGCCCCGAAGTCATGCGACAATTTCAAAACACTTGCGTCGCGTGGATACTACAATGGCACCGTCTTCCACCGCATCATCAAGGACTTTATGATTCAAGGCGGCGATCCGACTGGGACAGGACGAGGAGGTGGCTCAATCTGGGGCGAGAAATTCGAAGACGAGATCCGCAGCGACCTCAAGCATACGGGAGCGGGAGTCCTGTCAATGGCCAATTCAGGCCCGAACACGAATGGATCACAGTTTTTCATCACTCTTGCACCGACACCATGGCTGGATGGCAAGCATACGATATTTGGACGGGTGAAGAGTGGAATGCGGATTGTCCAGCGAATGGGCTTGGTGAAGACGGACACGGGAGACAGGCCAGAGGAGGAATTGAAGATTGTGAGCGCACGGGTGCTGCAGGGCGAGGGAGAGCTGTAGGATGCCAGGATATTGGTACGTTGCGCGAAAGTGAGACGATATGTGAGAGTGCAAAACGGCACATGCAAATGGTACACTCCCTATGCTACGGCCAATCACGGCGCTGAAAAGGCCTGATAGTCCCTGCGATCAAGAAAGAGGCCCATTAGGATGCAGGAGAACCTTGCTGAACCCTTCGATCCTCTTGTCGAACTTTTCGTACGCCATTGGGGCATCATCGAGCCCAAGCTCGTGTGTTACCACAAAGCTGGGCTTTGCACGGCCGGAAATGATCAGGTCTCGAAGGTAGCGGTTGTAGGCCTGCGAGGAGGAGTCAGCAGAGAATTTTAGGGGAAAGTTTCCAGAATTTCGAAGAAATCGAAAAGGATTGGAAACCTCGACACACTACTTGCTTTCACGTTACATTGGCCTGTGCCCAACTTCAGGCCCTTCTCGAAGAGCTTGCCGAACGATATGAGGATCTGGCCTTTGCCGCTCTGAGCATCTGGAGCCCCGGGATCAGAGGGGACGTATAGACCTGGAATTCCCAGACCCCCTGTTGGACGCGTGACCATGATGAGCTGGTCCAAGACGATGTTGGGCTGTTCCTTTGATCCTTCCTTATCGACGGCTTGGTATCCCACGGCGTCGACGGCGCGGTCGACCATGCCGCCGTTCTTCTTGATGATCTGCTCCACCGGATCGCTCTCGCGGAAGTTTATCGGCGTGCAGCCAATCTTCACTGCCTGGTCCAGCCTCTCTTTTACCTGATCCACCACGAAAACGTTTGAGGCCCCGCGTAGTACGGCAGAGTACGCTGCCATCAACCCGACTGGGCCTGCACCGACTTTTATTCTGTCAGCATCTGGGCATTTTTCGAATCGATCACATGACCTACAAACTGCCACTGATTCACCTGGCTGACTATTGTCACAATTTTAGCTTCACTCTCATACAGGTCTTCGTTGTGCTTACAATCCACTCAGCTCTAGCCCGTGCCATCTGCGACGAATTAATTAGCAAATGACGACACAGCATCACTTGACGAAGCTTGCCCAGTGGGAAAGATGTCGGCGAGGAGCGCAAAATCAGCCTCGTGCTCAATACCTGGCGGCAATTTAAGCGCATTAAAGTCTGCGAAAGGAATGCGCAAGAATTGTGCCTGGCCTCCTTGGTATGGTCCCATGGCCACGTAGCCGTACGCTCCGCCGGCGAAGCCTGGATTGACGCTGAAACATGATCAGCGCTGCAGTTTTGGAGGATAAAGAATCTTACCCAGTGCAGAACGCTGTCTTGCCCTCTTCACAGTTCTGGCAACGTCCGTCGGCTACGTTGAATGGTAGGACGATTCGGTCACCCTTCTTCAGCAGGGTGACTCCGGACCCAATCTCGGTAATCTATCATTGATTATCAATACAATGCGCAGTTACCATGGGGGCCTCGAACGATATATCGTGTCGTTGCTTCGATCTTGACACGTACAATGCCCATGTTTTCGTGTCTAGCGGAATGGAGGTCAGCTCCCAAAATTCGCCATAGCTCTGGACAAGACGATTCTTCTTACCCGAATACAAGCCCACTCTCAGCCGCCGTTCGACCTGTATTTGAAGAGCATTAGCTATGTCTTGGATGGTCATAAGCAAGCAGGAAAGCTMGTGCAGCCTGATTGACAGGTTCAATCCAAATCGCCCCGTCGGCCGCGCTTCTGGATGTCTTACCCTCGTACATGTGCAAATCGGATCCGCAGATGCACGAGGTGGTCACTTTTATGATGCAATCGTCCGGATGTTCGATTTGAGGGACGGGAATCTGTTCTGGTTAACACATTGCGGCCTTTGGGTATTCATTCTTTCGACACTTACCTCTTTGACGGACACCTGGAGGAGGATCTGTTCAGCCATCATCATCCCTACATCTGGGAACATCGAGACCAACATCATATGCTCCGTTATAGTGCAAGGCGCGCATCATCTCCGGCATGTTRGGCAAGTTCTGCTTGATTCATTCGATCTTTGCTTTCTGGGTTCTACTGGGGGTGTCTTTGGAGAATAATGGCTTTCCTGGTAACAATCGGGTATTTTGGCAAAGAAGAACGAGATGATGGAAGAGCAGACACGCAGTCGACCTCTTACGCGGTCATATGCGGGGTTTAGCTCGCGTGGAGAGCCGACGCCCATTCGCGTTGCGGGGGACAAAGCTACTACTATCACTACTACATGACTTGCCAAGCGGCACGGAATCTCACCAAGTCTCGACCATTGTGGACCTCCAAAGCCGCTGTCATTGCTCCGGAGCAAGCTCCATACTCATCGGTTGTTGGATCGGTACTGCGGAAGCTTGGTGCCATTCATTTTGTGCGGACATAAGCCAAGACCAGACATTACTCGGCTCTTTCTCACGACTAAGGACCGACCGACCAAACTTGCACAACGTGCCAATGCAGTACATGCGACTGCAACAGATTTTTGGTGCCAAGTTCGTAAGCTGGCGCAGCATGCAGCTGTCAACCCTCTTTCGAGTGGGAAGGCCGGAGACGTGGTCTGGCCCGGGTACACTCTCAACGGGGCCATCGTGTTCCATACTCATAGCATCTCCACTGGTATCACGGCGTCTTGTGTCGAATGGTCAGATCGAGCAGGATCATACTGCCAGAAAGTTGTTCTCTACTGGCTTACGAAAGTCATGCATTGGTCTTTTCAGTACAACTGAAAGCATTAGAAGCACGACGACATGGCCCAGTGTCACTCGATTCAATTCGCTTGTCTCGCCCCGGACATTCTTCACGTCTCCAAGCTCTACAAAGGGCCAAGCCGGAGTCACATGCTCTTCGCAAGAAACGAACGTGTTAGAAACACCCGGGACCATAGTCACGATAACCTTGTCAAACCCTGCCAAACTGAACATAGTGGATAGCTTGATACTCGAGAAATTGATTGAAACTTGCCGAGAGCTTTCAAAGGATGAATCGCTTCGTGCCGTGATCCTGACTGGAGGCAAGACTGCAGAAGGCAAGGCTGCTTCATTCATAGGTGGAGCTGATATCAAGGAGATGAACGCGCTGTCGTCGTCCCAGGAGGCCAAGGCTTTCATCAACAGAATACATGCTGCTTGTCAAGCTCTACGAGAACTTCCGGTGCCGGTGATTGCACGAATACATGGATTTTCGTTGGGAGCTGGGTTGGAGATTATGGCTGCATGCGATCTACGAATTGCCACGGAGGACAGCACGTTCGGCATGCCGGAGGTCAAGGTGGGGATTCCGTCGGTTGTAGAAGCGGCCCTACTGCCCGGACTCATTGGAATGGGACGCTCGAGAAGGCTGCTCTATCTTGCGGAGAACATTCCTGCGCGGGAAGCTTTCGAGTGGGGATTGGTAGAGAAGGTTGTGGATGATGAAACTACACTGGACGCTGCTGTCAAGGAGTGGGCGGAGACAATCGCTGGGACGGGACCGAAGGCCATTCGCATTCAGAAGACGCTCATGCAGTCGTGGGAGAATATGACTGTTGATGAGGGCATCCACGCTGGAGTAGAAGCTTTTGCTGAGTCATATCGTGATGGTGGCAGAGAGCCCAAGGAAATGATGGCCAAGTTCATCAATCGAAGGAGATAGGTTAGGATACCAAGAGTACTAGAAGGATTCAGGACAGCTATGCGGCTTACAACTCCCATCAGCATGTGCTCTCCTTTCAATACCTAAGGTATTGTCTGAGGCTCAGAGCCCGGGGATAATGAAATCGAAAATTGTGGCCCGGCTACCACTGTCTGCGAAACCATCCTGTCTGCAACATTGAGAGGGATGTCGTTTGAAGACATCTCACCCTCAACGGGAAATGTCCTTTTTGCAGCAATGGCCTGCTGTGTGCGAGCGTGGTCATCATTTCTCTCGTGGAGACCGGCAATCTTCGCTCTGCCATCGATCCAACAAGTAGCAGCACCAAGACGTCATGTTTAATTCGGAGAACAAGATTGGAGTATCTGTTATGTTCGACATAGGCGATGTTGCGAAGTTCCATGGTATGGCGGCCAGCTAAGGACTTTTCTGAAGTGATGGAAAGCAAAGACCGGATTTCCGCTGCTTTCATCCTTCTCTCGTGGAGTTGCTGCGTCGAAGCCGATGGAGCCCTTCTCATCGCCGAAATGTATCGCTGACGATGGTGAGAGATATTGCTAGAGGAAAAGACTAAACGTCAGCGGCATGTGTGGAGGTCAAGACCGTGGTCGTTGTTTCGCGAGAAATGATCGGACAGCGACGTTCAGAGTTTGTTAACCTGTGAGCACCATATGTCTCAATCTCATCAAGAACGTCAACTTTCTACCACGCACTTCTTGCATGATCGTACTAGGGGCTCTATACCAAAAAGGAATGCTAGACCTCTCCACGCCGGAAACCATTGTTGTCGCGCTTCTGGGCCTTCCTTTCCTTCGCATCCGCTCCGTCATATGTAGAAGCCATTAAGATACTTGCCTGTAGTGACATGGCGTTTGGTGCGAACCTATGTACCACCCTCATATACCTTACTGTTGATTTCCGAGTCAACATCCTCATTCCCTATCCATTCGAGAAGATACGAGTGGCGATGACAGGCTCTTCATGTACATGATGTGAATGTACTCATCTGAAGGCGCCTTTCCGCAGCATCAACAAGACACGCTCGCAACGGTATAATACTTCCAGATTCGTGCCCTTCATCCCGTCTCTCCGAAAGACTTTGGCCAACCAGAACCGCAGCGTATCTTCGCATCGGAGGTAGCGTGGCAAAGCAGGACTTGCAGCCAGTCCAGTCGMAATCAGAAGCAGTCCGCTGGTAGCGCAATGACCGCCGATGCACCCAAGCGGTCGGAGCTCCGGACCTTCGGCTTCGGTATGCAGAGTGTCTCGTGGTCATCAGCGCACGCGAGGGAGTAGCATGACCTGCTGACGGCTTGCTCATAGCCTAGGAGGCAACTCGCGTCGTACGATCATCGTGTATGTTACGAGGAGTGTAGTGATGGAAGCAAAACGTTCTTATGTTGCAAGAATACCGATATAGGTTGACAGTCAGCGGCAGCCGACGTTGGCAATTGAGTTTGATGGAAGATACTTTAGGGTAGCAGGGAGGAGATTCCGCATCGAGCTAAATGGATAGCGCCATGGTCATGTCAGACTGACGATGTTGTACGATTCGCCTTGTTCAACATGCTGTGCAGCGCAGAGACATGTATCAAAGAGCATCCTCGCGAGAAACCAGGCAGGAGATGTTGCTCCTTCCAAAACAACACCGGCCGTGATCTACATCGTGACTTTCGAGCCTTGCTGATATTCGTGCAGGCGACGGGACGGGAGCATTGCATTCTCCTATCAATCTTTCGCGTGGCACAAACGTACCAATCCGATTGGCGGTGAACTAAGCCTTGGGCAGCCGTTTCCTCTTGTGTCTCCAATCTTCGCCTTCGACACAACTCGCGCTCGCAGCGTCGACCTCATCTCTATTCCTCACAATGGCCTCTCCTACAAGGCCGCCGGACGACATTCGCCTCGACATGGACAGCCATGGCCACAGTCGCTCGCTCAACATCGTCTTTGCATCGACAGGCTGCGCAGACAGTCGGATCGTCAACGACTTGCTCCCACGCATCACCGATCTCCCCGACGTCTCCGTACGCGCAGTGCTGGACACGACATTCCGTGGCCAAGACTTCATCCGCGCAGCATCGTGCTGCCTAACTCTACCCAATGCAACACGCCACTCCGCCGTGCGTGACGTGACCGAGATCGAGCAGGAAGCGGCCGAGTTGTGCGACTGGGCCAACTTGCTAGTGCTAGCACCTATAGACGCCAACAACCTTGCCAAGATGCTGCACGGCCACACGGACAATCTTCTCTTGGAGATACTGCGTGGATGGAATGTATCGAAGAAGATCCTACTCCTTCCCGGCATGTCCACATCGATGTGGGAGAACCCAATGACCAAGAAGCAGCTCACCAAGATTCGCAGAAAGTGGAATTGGGTGCAGGTGTTGCAGCCGATGCTTTGGAAGTTTGTGGACGACGAGAAGAAGATGGCATCGTGGGAGGCGACAGAGGAGCTGCTTACCGCCATTCGCAATCAGGTTGATCTATTGAACATTGGACACGGCTTGGATGTTTCTCCGAGGTCGAAGACGGCGTTTTCCAAGTCGTCAAGCAGGGCGACCAGTCTTMTCCCACCTGAGCTGTGGACTATGATATTTGACTTCACCGGCGACTGGGAACTAGCCCAGACGTTGCATATCTATACCAATCTTACTCCTCCACCAGACTGGATCTCTCACACCAGCGCACAAGGACCGAGTAGCTATATGGAAGCTTTAGAGTTGACCATATTGAGGGGAAACCTCGCAGATTTGAAGCATTTTATTGCAACGCACAGCGTGCCGCGCTGGCTGTCCAAACTGTGCGTCAAGCTGATAATGAGGTTTGCAATGACGCCGCTACTGGCACACTTGGAGGCAAACCACAAGGATTTGTTTTGGGCGACATTTGGCCACACGTTCCTACCCGATAAAGCCTCTTCCGTGTTTGGCCGGACGGAAATATTGGAGTTCTGGCGGACCAGTCCATCATTCCTGACAAAGGAGTACAACTTTGAAGCACTGGATGGAGCTTCACGAGCGGGTTTTGTAAACGTTCTTGAATGGTGGCAACACTCCGGWCTGCCATTAAAGTTCACCGAAGCCGCCCTGGAGCAAGCCAGCAGTCAAGGTCACATTTCTGTCCTTGAATGGTGGAAGTCACAATCTACAACAGTCGACGACGCCAAGGCGAACGTGGACTCTTCCAAAGTTCAACTGAAGCCCGGCAAGAGTATCTGCTATGCAACGCAGAATGGACACACAGATGTTGTACGCTGGTGGCTACAATCCGGCATCGCCTTTCCCCACGAAGATGCCGTGGCCAAGCTTGCCAGCACACACGGACACGTGTCGATTCTTCAAGTCTGGCATGGGCTCAAAGGTTCCAAGATGATCTTTGACAACCAAGTTCTAGTCGGTGCGACGAAAAGTGGCAACGTCAAGGTGTTGGAGTGGTGGAAGAAGTCTGGGTTGAAAGTCGAGTATAAGACGTGTGATGTTGAGGAAGCTTTGGAGGATGGTGACGAGGGAGAGCGTGGGACAGAAGTCCGCAGGTGGTGGGCGAAGAATGGCTTGAATTTGGGGGTTGGTACGAGCGAGTGGATGAAGACGAAGGTTTTGAATGCATGAACTCTTGATAGCGTTTCAGCGGGTTGGAAATGAGACCGGCATAGGCACTTTCGCATGGCGTGGCGTGGGCATGACTCGGGATAGCGCGGACACGACAGGGACGGAGTTCATTCCAAGAGATGGATAGAGGGACATTATTTGTTGCGCGGAATAGAATGAATGTAGAACGATGCAATAATGGAACCTATTGATGATTATGAAGATTCATCATGTCCTTGCGCCACACACTATGCGGATGCGCCATGTGCAGCCACATGGCGACCTCTCGTTGCGCAGTGTTTTTCCAGTGCGACGTAAAAGCCGGGCTGTTCATGTGACACCGTTGGATGTCCACGGATTGGAGACGTAATGACGGTTTCCTTGAAATCGTGTCCTGAATCGCTGGCAGGAGCTTGCCGTGAGTCCACGACCTCTGTCAGAGCTTTGGTTGCGGGGAATGGTGGACGAAGAGTTGATCAATGAGAGATCTTCTTCACGAGAGTAGARGCCTGCTGATGATCCTCGGGCGCGCTTCGGGAGCCCAGCAGCATGGAGAGCGAGCTGGGGGACTTTACCGCTCAGCCACAGCCACAAGAAGAGCGTGGCTTGAGGATGCAGGCCAGCGAGATCGACACAGGCGTTTGGGGTGCACGAACCCGGCGCGCGTGCGAGGATGCTTGTGGTGAGAGCGCACAATGGATGGCAAGATGAATGTGTGTTAGGTAGGATTCTTTGAGATGATCAAAGCGGCTGCATTCAACTCCTCCGCATACTGCCCTGTCCTGTCCTGCATCTCTGCTCTGGGGGATCCACCAGAGCCATTCGCCGGCCGGTCCCACACCCAAGAAAACACTGGCACTCTCCGCCCCGGCCTTTTTACCTCACCTAGCTCACAATTTGTGGCACTAGGAGATCTGTGATGTACACGAGTGTCGTTGTCATTAGCTGTTCGACCGCACCCCTCTATACTGCATATCGCTGGATCTCTGGTTGACGAGCGCTGCGTTTTCCAAGTTCACACCTTGCCCCCGCAGGCACATTCCTCCCCGCCCTGACGGGATTCGCAAGGAGGAGATTGATATCGGCAAGCGGACTCAGCTCCTACTGTATTCCAATTCGAGTCAAGATCGAGATCGAGATCACGATCCAGCTCGAATTTCTTCCGCGGCACCACCTCCCACCCCACCCCGTACGCGCTCTGCAGACCGCATCGCGTACTGAAGGAGGTGGAAATACGACACATGCATCGGGAGTCCACCCGCAGGAGAGCAGCAGCAGCAGCAAGCACGCGGCTTTTAGGCCACACTTGCGGGACCATCACGAGAGCGGAACGAGGACTGGAAGCGACGACGGACACAATCTCCCTACCTCAACACGAGCCAACAGCACATATCTGCCATTAATGGGCACGTAGTACAGGAAGGAAAAGCCTTTGCAGGGCCGCTCGAGGCAATCCAGGTATTTGCCACCTACCATGTCACAAGATGGCAACGAAGGCTCGCAACAGCCCAAACTGGAACAGGATCAGCTGCCAGTACACTTTCACCCGGTGCAGGCCGACCAGCGGTCACCCAAGGGTACTGCTACCTTTGATCAGGCCCAACTAAGCCCCGCCGCCGCCGATCGAGTATACCCCATCCGTTCCGTCGTCTCGGTTGACCACAATCCCACCCCGGGTACCGGCAAGTCAGAGCGAGCCGAAAGCTATTTCCAGAGCATGTCCTATGGACGGCGGACTTCAATCACTGCGTCTCACAGTGAGGCGGCAGCCATGCAGAGGCAGGGCAGTGCCGAGCGCAAAGCTTCGTCCTTCTCATCCAAGGCGTCGTCTCAAGGGAATGCCCTGGCACAACGACAGACTTCCACTTCGACTGGGCCCGGCTCGCAGCCACAGACTCCAGGTGTCACGTCACACCAGCAATTATTCTCCGACATGATGCAAGAGACAGGCAGCGTGGGAAGTGGCAGAAGTAGTCGCCCAGACACACCAGATGWACGCCTGCGACGCGGCGCCGGATCTTCAATCAAAAGCGGTAGCACTGGCATGGATGACAACAATCCATTGGTAACTGCTCGGTTCAAACATGTTGTACAAGAGGGTGGACATGCCATTATAACAGGACGAGATGGCGACACGTTACAGCGCTGTGAGGATGAGCCTATTCACATTCCGGGCGCTGTGCAGGGGTTTGGACTTTTGATAGCGTTGGAAGAGCAACAAGAGGGGAAATTACTCGTTCGTGTAGTGAGCGAGAACTGCAAGCGAATGATGGGATACTCCGCCAAGCAACTCTTTGCATTGGAGAGCTTTACCGATATACTCTCCGAAGAACAAGCCGACAACCTGCTGGACCACGTCGACTTCATCCGAGACGAAGAAGCGGATGTTGTGGTTAATGGGCCGGAGGTCTTCACAATGTCCATACGCACGCCGCAGCGGAAGAGCCAAAAGTTCTGGTGTGCCATGCACATCAACGACCGGAATCCAAATCTTGTCATCTGTGAGTTCGAGCTCGAAGACGATCCGGTCAATCCTCTGGTGCCTTCAGATAGCCAGACCCCGCAACCCCCCGAGGATACTCTTGACAGTCAACCGACGGAGGAGGAGCTTTTCGAAAGCACACAAAACACCAGCAGACCCCTGCGAGTCTTGCGTAGTGCACGCAAGCGGAAGGGTGAAGCTGCGGCCATGGAAGTGTTCAACATCATGTCACAAGTTCAAGAGCAACTGGCCGCAGCCCCGAACCTTGAACAATTTCTCAAGATTCTAGTTGGCGTTGTCAAAGAGCTCACAGGCTTCCACCGGGTGATGGTATACCAATTTGACCAGAATTGGAACGGCAGGGTCGTCACAGAGCTGATTGATCCGCGAGCCACCAAGGATCTCTACAAAGGACTCAACTTTCCCGCGTCGGATATCCCCAAGCAAGCTCGAGATCTGTACAAGATTAACAAAGTTCGAATGCTTTACGACAGAGACCAGGAGACTGCACGGCTCGTATGTCGGACCGTGGAAGACTTGGAAACTCCTCTAGACTTGACATACTCCTACCTCCGAGCGATGTCGCCTATTCATATCAAGTATCTAGGAAACATGGCTGTTCGCTCCTCCATGTCCATTTCCATCAACGCGTTTGAGGAACTGTGGGGTTTGATCGCGTGCCACTCGTATGGGCAAAAGGGAATGCGGGTGTCCTTTCCAATAAGAAAGATGTGTCGGCTGGTAGGAGACTCCGCTTCACGAAACATCGAGCGCTTGTCGTATGCTTCGCGACTCCAAGCGCGAAAGTTGATCAACACTGTTCCAACCCAGGCGAACCCTTCAGGCTACATCATTGCTTCTTCCGAGGACCTGCTGAAGCTTTTCGACGCCGACTTTGGACTGCTGTCAATACGAGACGAGACCAAAATCATGGGTGAAATGGAGCAATCACAAGAAGCACTGGCAATGCTAGAGTACTTGCGAATGCGATGCATAACGAATGTGATGACTTCGCAGGACATCTCTGCCGACTTCCCCGACCTCCGCTATCAACCCGGCTTCAGCGAGATTGCCGGCCTATTGCTTGTTCCCCTCTCTGCTGGCGGACAAGATTTTATAGTGTTCTTCCGCAAAGGTCAGCTGCGAGAAGTGAAGTGGGCAGGGAATCCGTATGAAAAGTTTGTAAAGCAGGGCACAGAGGGTTATCTCGAGCCTCGGAAAAGCTTCAAGACGTGGAGCGAAACGGTCGTGGGCAAATGCCGGGAGTGGTCGGAGGAGGAGATTGAAACTGCGGCTGTCCTGTGCTTGGTCTACGGCAAATTCATCGACGTATGGAGGCAGAAGGAGGCCGCGCTGCAGAACAGCCAGCTCACACGACTGCTACTGGCAAACTCTGCACATGAAGTGAGGACGCCTTTGAACGCCATAATCAATTATCTTGAGATTGCATTGGAAGGATCGCTGGACCAAGAGACCCGCGATAATCTTTGCAAGTCACATTCAGCCTCGAAATCGCTGATATACGTCATCAACGATCTGCTGGATCTCACCAAGACGGAGGAAGGGGGCGATCTGGTCAAAGATGAGGTCTTTGATCTCAGCGCCACTCTATACGAAGCAACAGACATGTTCAAAGGCGATGCAAGACGGAAAAACATCTCATACCAAGTCTCTGATCTTTCAGGTCTTCCATGCCAAGTCATCGGAGATCAACGGAGAGTACGACAAGCGATCAGCAATGTCACCGCGAATGCGATTCAGAACACCACTGAGGGCGGTGTGACTGTAGAGATGTACTTGGCGTCTCAGGAGTCCAACCGAGTTGATGTTGAAATTAGCATAGCCGACACTGGCAGCGGAATCAGCACAAAACACCTCGACCAATTGTTCCGCGAACTTGAGCAAGTCCAAACAGAGCAGGAAAACCAAGCTGCGGAAATAAGCGATGCTGTTTCCGACGTGCCAGAGTCCGCGAAAAAGCCTGACGGGCGAGTACTTGGTCTCGGGCTGGCTGTCGTTGCTCGAATCGTACGCAACATGAACGGCCAACTCAGGTTGAAGTCCGAAGAAGGCAAAGGTACTCGCTTCGTGATCCAATTCCCATTCGACATTCCGGAACAGCAGACGATAGAGGCTGGAAGTCCTGCAGGGTCCACGACCCCCTTGGTTGAAGCCCAAACTACCAAGTCCTCCACCCCACCGGCGATTGAAGGCATGGTGACGCTAATCGAGCGTGGAAGTGCTGGGACACGACGCAATTCGAGCGGGTCGAGAACATCGGTGGGCATCAGGCGAAAGAATAGTGATGGAAGCGTTGGCACCAGACAAAGTATTGCTGACAGCATAAAATCAAGCCGAAGCGTCATGAGCAAGTCCTCGAATAGAAGTGGGCAGAGCGAGGCTGACCGACTGATTGAGGCCATCTCGGAGCCTCACAAAGTTGAGGGCTGGCAGGAAACTGGCGTGAAGCGGTCCAATAGCCGTGGTGGTGCTCTCTCAGCTCGTCCTGTACTTAGCAAGCGGCACAGCACTAGTGGCAGTCCACACTCACCTTCAGCCAAAGGCCGTACTAGGAGCAGCGAGATCGCAACTGTGGAGGAACGAGTTCGACCAGGTACATCAATACCTGGCCAAAGCAGTGTGGTTGGGCAAGGGAGACCGGTCCGATCGATTCGAGTTTTGGACGACGACGGTGCTCCCATGTTTCCGAATGTTAACCGTCCACTGTCCGGGCCTCCTTCTTTTGATCTAAGTCACAAAGCCGGGCTTCAAGCCCGTGCTGAGTTGGAAGAGGTCGAGCCGTCCTCCGCGCCTGTGCTAGACGCGGAACACATGCGTGTGCTTGTAGCGGAGGACGATCCTGTCAATAGCCGTATCATCAAGAAGCGGCTTGAAAAGCTGGGCCACGAAGTATACTTGACCGTCAATGGAGAAGAGTGCGCGGATGTGTACGGCGACAAGGCGGGATTTTTTGATATCGTTCTGATGGACATGCAGGTAAATTGAGATTGATGCCCTCGTGTTATATTCTATGATGCTAACTATCTACTCTTAGATGCCCATCGTGGACGGTCTCACCTCTGCGAAAATGATCCGATCGTTCGAAAAGTCGCATCCACATCAGCTCCTCTCCTCCCGCGCTGCGCTCAATGGCCGGACACCAATCATTGCGGTGTCGGCCTCACTTCTAGAGCGAGAGCGCGGCAAATACATTGATGCTGGATTTGACGGCTGGATATTGAAACCGATTGCTTTCAACCGTCTTTCGGTCATTATGGAAGGCATTGTAGATAAGCAAGCTCGCAAGGAGAATCTCTACAGCGCAGGTACATGGGAGCGGGGCGGATGGTTTGATGAAGGTCAGAAAGATATCTGGGCGGCCAACACGCGACCGAACGAACAGCCGCCACAGAGTGCACCCTCCGAGGGTGTCAAGATCGCTGCAGCGTCGGATGGACCCGCGGTGAAGGAAGAAGACGATAGCGTACAAAGTCAGGAACAGAAACGTCTTCTGAAGTTGCAGGAAGAGGGCAAGAATGTCCTGGAAAGCCAACAACCGACTACGAACAAGGACTCCACTCACCCTGAAAGCACGGAAAACGACAAAACTGCGGATGACGAATCCTCACGGGAGGATAGTTTCCGTGATGACACGAAGGCGGATCAAAAACCCGGGAGCTGACAGCACCAGATCGACAAGCCAGAGAAATATTGTGGGAAACAACACTCCATCACGCTGGAGTGACGAACAGAACGGCGGGTTGCCGGCACGCGTCGAGCATAGATGATATACCGCGTGGTCTGTCTGACAGAGACAATCAAGATCCCGGCTACAGCGTGTGCACTTCTTAGCGTGGATGGAAATGTGAAACTAAATGAACGAATAATCGAGCGCGCGGATACTGGAATGATCTTATAACTAAATCATTGTGCWGGCACTATCTGTGTAATCGCTGTAACTACAACTCATGAAACTCCGAATGACATGCTCCGACCAAAGCTTGAAATTCACTCAGTCTTGCATGCAGATGAAYGATTGCGAGACATGCTGCTTCTGTAGGGTCGACCGGTCATCTCTCAAACTGTCAAGGATGTATATACGTAGCCTCAAACTTCCAAGCATAGCTCATTGCTCGAAAGAGCTGGAGGATGTAATGCTGTCGGTGGATCTTCCCGCTCTATCCTTATCCTTGGTTGATAAAACCACGCGATCGCACCACGAACACCACCCACGATTCGCACCAGTCTGTTCTCGACCCAAAAATTGACTAGATCTTTCGTCTTCATACTGCTTCACAACCGCACCGACGGGCACGAATTTCTTCGCTTTGGTCTTGATGGTGTCTCCCAGTCCGAGCATTTCTTGCGTGGTGTAGCTTCCTCCATTCCAGTGACGGCCTTGCAGCTCGGCTTTGGCTGCGTCGGCTTGGAGGTGAGCAAGTTCGATGGCATCGCATTCTACGTCTTTGAGGACAAGAGTCGCGGCCAAGCAGTCTCTGGTTCGACCGCATTGCACTCCTTCGTTTCCTTCCCCTAGACCTGCTCCCATTCCGCCGCAGTGAGAATAGCGGTTGCGCCAGGTCCAGCCGCGGAGATAGGTTGTGTCTTCTGCTCGCATTGATTGGCTGCAGGATCCACAGATCCATATGGCGTCCTCGCAGTTGCAAGGACTCCGGGCGAAGGTGCGTGTCTTTGTAGAAGAGTCGTCGGTGCTGGAGTAGCTAGCTTAGCGCCATTCTCATACCGTCAACATGTGAGTAACCTACCTATCTTGCTCGGATTGTTCACGTTTGACGACTGTCAGAAGTTCCAATGGAGCCTTCATGCAGGTCCGGCAAAGTCTGCGATAACGCAACTTGAGGAGGCTTGCAGGCGGTGCTTTGGCAACACAGTTCTGTTGTATCTCGTGAGTAGACTCCACCAGCAACCACATGCTTAGCATACTCTGCAAACGATACGACCACACTTTCTGCAGTCTCCAACCATATCACTGGCACAAGCACCGACCTTGCCGCTGGTGAGTCGGCCGATCGTATAACCGTTTATGTTGTATGRGTCTGGACCATCGCGGCTTGATATGCCGGCTGTACTGTCATTCTCGCAGCGAAGCGTGTGCTTGATCAGGATCTTCCTGTGTTGTAATAGGTTCTCTCGGATTTGACGACATGTTCTTGCAAGCTCAGAGAGCGTTAAAAGGTCCAAATAGCTTGCCAGCTGCGAAACAATACTGGCTCATGTCAGCTGTGCAACGCCACCTTTGAGGGGCTTGTTCAGTGTAAAGGTCTACGACTCATCGGTCATACTATGGACTGACAAGACCCGAACTTACGGATAACAAGATAGAGCTGCGGTGAAAGGGGTCAGGTTCGGGTTTGGGCGTGGCTCATGAGMATCATCATCATCATCATCATCAACGATAGCCAATACATCAAGGGTTGGATAGTTGGGAGGACCAGCCTCTGGACCTCCTTMCTCGTCTGGCAGAGTAACCAGTCGGACCATTGGCGTTGAGCGTAAGCTGCACCTTAGAGCTCATCGGACAACGGAAGAAGGAACAATGAATGTGCGTGATTTTGCGGATGAAGATGAGGTGTTGGATGTTTGAGGTTGAGCGTGACTTGACTCGCTGGGTAAAGCTGTGGGACGACGGCGGGCACTAAGGTACCTTGGCTTTCACGTTTCGATAGGTAGGTACGTAGGTACAGCTCTATAACACACTCGTACGATTCTGTGAGCCAACATCCGTATGTATAGCCTGGATGCGAATCTATCAAGGCTGAGGAATACCCACACTTGCATAGCTGAGGGCAAAAGACGGACCATGCCCGGTGGCCCTTCGTGTACAGTTCTTCGATACACCGCGGCCGATGTCGCTGCTGGAGGCCTGTCCGTCGGCTAATTCTCAAGAGATCTCCCTCTCGACGCCTATAACACAACCTCATCTCACACTCCCTGTGACACGTCCATACCATAGATTGGCACTCTTTGTCGGTCTAGCGCGTCAGCATGAAGTTCGACCGTGCTTGAGCACTGGTATACGCTCAGCGGGAGCCGACCTTGGCATCATGCCACTCGGGCCAGCGACGACAGTAGTGCATCCTTCTCACCAAGATCATTGGCCTTTCTGCGTGCCGCGCATGAAAGTCTATACATCTCTTTCATTGCGCACCTTCCCTGGGCGCGTTAGCGGTTTCTGACTTTGCGCATGGCTGAAACGTGGACGGCAGAGGTGACACGGCAGGTAAGAAAGTTGAGAAAGGGAGCCAGGTCTTTCCGATCTGGACTTGGTCGTGGGCAAGTCAAACAAGATGCACCTTTCCAAATTCTCCGTCAGAATGCATAATTTGCCTTCCATCGTGCAAACTTACTCGCTGGATCCGTAGGAACATCATGCTGCAGCCTGCGCCGCATCACAGATCAATGCGGCATTTCTGCAAAGCAATCTTGCCTGCTGGGCACGGGATCTGACAACACTCAATTCAACGACCCTTGACGCCATGGTTCAGCTTCAATGGTTGGGCCGTACAGCCTTTGCAGTGTCTTGCTTCCTGGCATTGATCTTGCTGTTTGTTTGGAAGCAGCCGCATCTTCAAGCTGTGCCTGTGGCCGTGCCTACCGTACTCCGGGAGTCGTACGAGACGCCCGCTGCAKCAGAATTGCCCATAGTCGCCTGTAAAGGTCCTCGCGGTGCACGTCTAGACGACCAGAACTCCCAAGACCTTCCACAGTCAATGCCCTCGCTTCCAAACATCTCCTTTCCCAATCCAACTACCGGATCTTATGAAGAACTTGGACTGGAGAAGACCTGGACATCATTTGAGCAGCGATACGGACCTTTTGGGTACGGCGAACAAGAAGACTCGTATAAATTCTCGCGTGTTGACTGGCAGTCGATTGACTGGGGAAAGCTCCAGAYAGATTGTTTGCAAGAAAACCAGCACCAATTCCGCGCTTCCAACGGGAATGGTGGTCTTCATGCTGCCCAGAGGTTTCGACTTAGTGGGCATGGTCCCGAGCCCACCACTGTCACTTCCAGGACTGGACGTAAAGCCATCGTCTTGAGAGCTTGGAGTACATATGAGTACAAAGATGAGGATTTATGGAACATTCGATCCATCATCACAGAAGCCAGCTTGGCGACTGGAAGCAAGTAAGCGTTACGATGTTAGGTGCTGAGAGATTGCGAATGCTAATCCATCTAGATACTCTGTCATCCTGCTCGTTGATGTCAAGTGTGAAGATTGCGGATCCATTCACACCAACGAGACTGAGTATCAACGGGTATTGGAACAGTCAGTTCCGAAGGAATTTCGCAACCTCGCAGTGCTATTCCACGAGAGTCTACTGGAAAGCTGGTACGAGAAGGTGGGAGAGCACAAGTTCGTTTACAAGTGATTGCTATCCCTCCTATTCGAAGTGCTAATCATCCTCTTCAGACCATTCTGGCAAATCATGCAGCCTTTGCAATTACTCGCCCACTTCTTTCCCGAGTTCGACCACTTCTGGCAGTTTGAAATGGACGCTCGCTTTACCGGCCACGCGGGCGATATGCTGGAGGCTTTCAACAATTTTGCGAAGAACCAGCCATACAAGCAAGCGCTTGAAAGAGGATCTTGGGAGTACATCCCAGGCGTTCATCAAAGCTACGAGCACTTTTCCAAGAAAGTTGACGAGGCCATGAAAGGAGGTACCTCGGTCTGGGGCCCGGTCAATGTCAAAAACATTCCGCCAATAGAGCCGCAGCCGCCTGTCAAAGACTCTCATGATGACAATTTTGAATGGAGAGTTGGACACGAGGCTGATCTTGTGCTCTTGGGTCAAGTGAGCGATGTTAGGAAATTTCAAACACAAGACGATTGGGTGTTTCGGGACTGGCATCTCGGTGATTTTGGCCAGGACTTTGCGAAGCTTCCTCGTTACATGTCGGTGCCTGCTCAAGCGAGAGCCTCGTGGGAGCTACTTGAGGGCATACATCGTGCTCAGCATGATCATGGCCTGGCTGTAGCAAGCGAGGCGACTTTGCCTTCATTTGCTGTTTGGATGGGTCTGAAGATTGTGGCATTACCTATACCCAAGTACCAGTTTCCACCTCGCGATTTATTGGAGCTGAATTATGTTAAGAATGGCAACGGATTCGGGAACGGCATAGCGAATGGACCGGCCATTTCTCGAGGGAGCTCCCTGGCTTTCTTCGTTCGGCCGATGACGTGGGACTGGTGGAGCTCGCTATGCGATCCTACCTTTWTCCGCTGGATGGGCATGCAGCCCAAGAAAGACGATGGAGACCCGCATAGGGATCCCGTATACGTGCTGGTCCCGGATGAGCTGCCCAACTTCATGGCCGAGGTGAATGGCACAGTTTACATGCCTGGCGTAATTATGGTAAGTTTCCTACTGGTCGGATGGTATGTTGATTGCTTTACTGATTGACTCGATAGCATCCAAGGAAGAGTAACAATTATAGATCGGCCGAATGAAATTTGCCTTTTAGATGCGGCGGGAGCGCAGCGCGTCATATCAAATCCGGGCAGCTGGAAAGCTATTAATTACCAGTATCAGCTACCAGATCCAATCATGGGACGAGGAGTAGAGGCATGAAAGGCTGAAAGGGGCAGGGGAAAGTGGAATGAAGATTGCCGCGATGACTACCACGATCAAAGACGTCGTCTTTTCTGCAATAACGACGCAGCACTCAAAGCGATCTAATCATATCGTGGKAGTCTCATCCGACTCTCGACAGAACGGAGTGATTTTGTAATTACGGCCAGCTGATTGAGAACGTGGTCATCGTATCGTCGAATTGTGACCCGGCAATCTTGCCTTTTCCTGTTTGGGGGAATTCCAAGTAGTGATGTAGATTGGTAAGATGTACAGAAGTCTCTGGACAGGGGCGACATCGGTGATGAGAGTATCAAACTTTCTGGAACGCGAGAAGATGCATACGCGCCTTGACTGCACCAGAGTCGGGGCCAACAGGCGTCCGATCAAGTTGATCAACAGCATATTAGACTTCAGTGACCCGACGATCGCTGTACTCCATGTGGCATGCATGTGGCATTGATCGACAATGCGGCGAACTGCGATTCCAGGTCCCTGGGTCCGGTCTCATTAATGGGAGCAGGACATGGGTCCAGATCGAAGTCCTCCCAGAATTTGCTGTTCATCGTCTTCTCGGCATCTCAGGCCCACCACAAGGGGACGAGCATCGACCATCAATGGCCATGTAGACAGGAATAAACTTTGAGCCGCCACGTGTTGGGATCCTCCCGTCGAGCTACCGCCTTCCCCAGCGAAGGGCAGCACGCGTCTCGCATGGCCGGGCCTTTGCACAGGACGAAGGATCGCCGCGRGCGGTGCTGTCAAAAGGACAGGTCCGTCGCCATGTGCGGGTTTGCTCTCTGCTCACCAGGTGTCAGAGCTAGACGTCAGCCACCTTCTATTCCTCACCACCGCTTGGCCTCTTGGGATCATATACGCTATTGATAGCACCGTCCGCTTTCTATGTAACTGTATTCATGTATGCGCCGCGAGATCATCAATCGGGAGCCCTGACCTCAAGGCACAATCGCTGCTGCACCAGGAGCACAACGATCCTGCGTTGGAGGCAGCGTCTTACAAGATCCCACTGAGCCAACTGAGACTCACCTCTCTTCGTAGCATTCATCACCATGGACTCCCGCCTGCGTAATACGAGTTCTGGGAAGCCTCCAGCGCGAGAGATGGATGAAGCTGCCCAATCAACACCACAGCGACAGCTTCCCTTGCTCTTACCCCAGCCTCCAGAACCAGTCGCACTACGGCCACCTGAAGAAACATCAGGTCGACAAACGTCTTCCTTGTCTAATATAGCACAAGATCAGGCCCGTGAATCGAAGGGAAACCATAATCTTCGTGCGTTGACCTCCCCGGGAGGCTCTGGTTCCAGCTCGGTCAAGTACGTGAGATATAAACTGCACGTTGCTTTCGAAGAATTCCACACACTGACGATCATCTCCCCGCCAGATTTACACGCACGGGTAGAATAAGCAAAGCGGCCAAAGGGCAGAGGATCCATGCCTGTCATATCGATGGCTGCGAGAAAGTCTTCTCTCGGGCCGAGCATTTGAGAAGGCACCAAAACTCTCACCGGCCTGGAGAGTTTGCCTGTGATATACCGGGCTGTACGCGGACGTTCACTCGAGAGGACTTGTTGATGCGTCACCGGGCGAGGCATGTTGGCTTGAGCGAGGACCCTAATAGACGAACTTCTGCAGGGAGTCAGACTTCGGCGCCTGACGCAGGCTCATTGCAGCCCCTATCCTCGATTCCAAGAGCTGTTACATCTGGTGCCAGCACTGATGTGAGTGCTCCGCTACCTGCAGAATCAGGAAGCGATGTTCAGCAGTCACAATCGTCCTCCAGGTACGAGTTTCTACACAACTTATCATTCAAGACCTCAGTATATTTTGTGGGCTAACTGTGGTCTAGTCAAGTGCCAAAGAGACGACCGATCCCACCTAATGAGCTCTCGAATGTTCGAATTCCCATGGAGGTCCATGGCCCATTTCTAGGCTTTCAATACGATCCCTGGAACGATTCACCTCCCTGCGCACCTTCTATATTTGAGTTCGACTCCCCTGAGGAGCGATTCGGACCGCACTACTTCCAGCACCAGCCTATGGTCGTCGGAGATGTTGCAAATGCTCCCATGCTCGCGTACGATTACCAGTTCTGTCCTCCCAGCTCTCCCACGTCTGACAGCTCTTCAACGATGAACTGGCAATGGCCCCTACTCTCGCGTCCAGTTTACGAAATGCCTTTTACTCTCGACGATCTCTCCTGTGATTCTCTCCCATACAGCGCTCCTGCAATGACAGCCTTGACGCGAGAAGCCCTAGAGCAGCAACTTGGTCTGCCGGAGGTTGTCATCGGAGAGGATGATTTGGTCCACGGCCAACGCTACATCGATTCATACTTCACATGGGTTCACGATCAACTTCCGATCCTGCATAGACCAAGCTTGTCTCTCGCTTCTCGCCAAGAGTCGCCACTCCTACGAGTGGCGATTCTGGCTCTTGGAGCACAGGCGCTTGGTAGCCCGTCGGATATCTCTAATTCACACAGATTGCATGAGAAGTGTGCGAAGATATTGGAGAATGTAGGCAGACCACATCTCGTCGGGGATATGTGTCTGAAATGCTGATATTCTATTACAGCGAACGGTTCAAGGAAGACATACGCACAACATCAGCGACATGCAGGCGATTGTGCTTGTGGAGATGTACTCCATATTTAAGTCAAAAGATCCTCCGCCTAGTCTATCAACGCCTTTTGAAGAAGTCTACTGTGTTGTAAGTACATCCAGCGCGACCTCTGTCAACTGGGAACTATGCTAAGATCCCATCTAGMTTTCCAACGATCCTGAAGCACTGCTATCCATACCGCTGAACCGGCCAGAATCATCATTTTCAGGGGATATCGAGATCTTCTGCAAGCAGCGTCTACTACTCGCCTGCTACACGCTGACCCGCCAGCACGCATTGCTATTCGGCACTCTCTCATCTCCAAACCTTTCCGCCAGCGCACTRGATATACCTTTTCCAACACCACAGACTCAATGGGACTCCCCCTACCCCATGCTACAACCTTCATGTAGCATCAATACCCTCTCCGAAGCCCTTACGACCATCTCCTCAGCGAAAGACCACCACGACGCCTTCCGATCTATCCTACTCGTAACTGCCCTCTCAGACCCCAACACAGCTCTCGAATCTCAAATCATACCTCTGTTAAAAGTCATTGAGCCCTCCCCACGCGTGACTCTTGCTTTACACATCATGATGATGTGTAAGCATACGCCAGTACGGGATCTCCTGGCTTTCATCTCCCTAGAGAAAGAAAGGTCCAATGATGCTCTCGCGCAGATTGAACTTCAAGACTGGGTAAGAGGGAAAGTTGAGAAGGATTTTTGCGTTCAAGCGGCTCTGGTGCATGCGTTTGCGGTTTTGAAGATTCATCGGAGAGAAAAGAGGACGGGGTTGTTGTTTCAGGAGTGGGGGGTGTTTTTGGCAGGGGTTGTTATTTGGGCGAGATGGTGGGTTGGTGGGAAGGGTTGGGATGGTGGTGTTGGTGTTGGTGAAGAAAAATCGGCGGATCTTGAGAGGGATGTTGATGAGATTATACAAGCTGGGACTTCTGCTTTTGTTGGGCGGAGAGATGCTCGGAATGTGCTTTCGTGGGTGAGGAGAGAACTTGAGATGCTGAGTTCCTCGCGCAATACAGGGCTTGTTGGGAGGGCTTTGGAGATTCTCCGGAAGATGGTTTTGCTAACGGACGAGGMGGCTTTGTTTTGAAGATGCGCCTTTGATTCTTGCTGTTGTTTAGCCTGATACCCTGATGATTGATGAGTTGAGGCCAAGTCATGTGCCTTACCTGGTCCATGTTTTTGACATTTGACACAAAGTGAGAGGGGAAATTCCTCACATGTGACATTCGCCGCTCAGAGTGATCCATAATGAAGTCTACCTGATTTCCACCATCGAGACTTCTAGTCATCCCCGCCACAGGTAAAAGTTCCAACCCTTGAAGGTTCCCATTTCGCTAATTCATTCCATGCAAATTTCCTCCCCTCATCCATCGCTAGCTCACTTCTTCTTGGGTCCCAGCATGGGCTCCCCGATATTGGTGCCCGTAAGCCTCACATTCGCAGCCTTCTGCAACTTCAGCACAACATCCATGCTGGGGAAATCTGCGCCTGTCCGCTCCAGAGCCGCGACAGCCGCAACGTCGACGTTCGCCTTGGCCGCTAGATCCTTTTGTGTCATGGTGGCTCCCTTTTGGTTCTTGAGCTTGGTGCGCGCCGTCTGGAGGGCTTTGGAGACTTCGTCGGGGACTTTCTTGGTGGCTACGGGGCCATCGGCACGGTCGACTTTTGTGAGACGTTGGCCTTCGGGGTTGCTGCTGACCTGAGATGAGGGAGCATGTTTAGTGGGGGTTTCAATGATGAAGATATGTTGGATACGGCCTTCTTACATTGGCGGTGGAGAACTTCTTCTCCGTGGCGACGATGGCACCGCTACGCTGGGCGGCATTGAGAGCGCTCTTTCCTTTGATGGTCGTCTCGCGCTGAGCGGTACCGGCGCCGCGGACCTTGCTGCCGATCTTGGTAGTGGATTCCCAGTCGTCCATGTTGTTGGTCGTGTGATGTGTGTGGTTGTGGAAGGTGGGGTGTCGTAAAGATGTTTTGTCGAGTCGAGATGGATCGAAGCAGCAGGTGACTTGCTTGCTGGTGATGGAGGGCAGATGTGTGACTGAAGGACGTTTGGGATGTGGAGTTGCAGTCACGTTTGTCATGGAAGTGTCAGATGTTACTCATACAAATAAAGGTAGCGATGTGATTCTATGACGTTCTTTCCGACCGACTAGGGAGCACGTGTCAAAACCTATGTGGGAATATCGAATAGCAAGGTACACATGGCTTTGCCTGCCAGCTTGAATAACTACATAAGATAAATATGTGCACAGAAGAATCTCCGCTGCGTGTTCTGCGATCAAATGGGTATCTGTAACGTCGGAATCGTCAACTCCCATCTATGCCCCGTCCCAAATCTTCATCGCTTGCTGCTTCATGTCCGTAAAAGACGCCACTTATTGCAATATCCAACGCTATGCCCAGTTGAAACCTGCTCTACGATACTCCGTCTCCATCAAGAGGCTTAAAAATCGCTTGAAATGCCTCGATACAAACTCTTCTCAAAAGCGTTTATATCAAGCATTTCTTGATCGCTTGCCACCTCTGCCTGTACCGCTTCCATCCTTGCGATCGCTACCATCGTTCAATCCGTGAATATCAAAGTACTCCTGATATGGCATCTTCCGCTTGCCGCCAGCTCCCTGACCCAAGCTGAAGGCTGTGCCCGTGCTGCGATTCTCGGTGCGTCGACTGTGCGTGGCGTGTGATTTGGTCATGCGGTTTGATCGTGGGATAATTCGAATGGTCTCGCTCGCGGTCGGTGTGGTTGAAGAGAGAGATGGCTGTACTATCTCCATCTCGGTATCATGGCTGCCGTCTCTGTCATGGTTGGTGGGGTATGCGTGTGGAGACTGGAAGGTGAAATCGCTCTTCTGCGGTGCTGTTGGGTAGGGCAACTGCTGTGGCGGTTCGGAGACCACCCTTCGGGGGACAATAGCATCGACGTCGGAGATGTCGCTGCTGGAGTTTGCGGCTAGCTGGGGCTTCCTCTGTATTTCCGGGCTACTGCTCCTCCCATCGTCGTCCTTGTCGTCGTCTTTTGCCGGCTCACTCTCGTCTTCGTCGTCAGTCATGGTGTTGGTAGTGAGCGGTTCTTGTTGTCGGGTGGCGGCTCCGTCGCCTATAAGTCGTTCTGTCGCCCACTGCCGCACTTTCCAGCCCTCCCCATCCATGAGGCCCAAGTTGCTTCGGTCCAGAAAGCCCAGCAGATCGTCGAGAGCATCTTGGTAGCCGGCTGTCCGAGCATGTCTTTGAGAGTTGGCGGCGTTTCTGTAAAGTGTGGTGACCGCCTGCGCGGCCGCTTTAAAGTCGGGCAGTAGTTCCGCCGGTGCTGGCTCGCGGGCCGGCAGCGACGTTGAAAGGTGTCGCATCGAATCCATGTTGCTAAGATGTGTGTGATGTTGGGAGCGAAGAGAAAGGGTGAGCGGGGACGTCAAGCCCGATGATGAACAGCAAGGTCAAGTCAAGCTTTGAGACGAGACTGCTGCTTGTCCTGGACAAAGGCTCTATCGCACCCCGAGACCAATAGACACAAGGAAGATGTATATGCTCGTCGAGCCGGCGATGCGGTAAGTAAGGAGGATGTGTGGTGGGCTGAAGGAGACAAGACGAGTCACATGTGATCTTTCCAGGTTGTTGGCCTTCTGGAGGATTCGCCGAAGCCGACCCTGAACAAAGAAACACTCCACGTGCCTAAGTGGGGTAACGTTAGAACTAACTTCCGCTAAGGTACGTAGGTATGTTCCGTCATCTCCATAACAATTCACCAACGGCAGCAAAACATCCAATCCCTGCCAACGACGACTGCTGCGCCTCTTGCCACACACCTCACTGGCGTCCGTGGGAATTACAATGAGCATTAACACATCTTGATCTCTCTGGCCTCTCTCCCACAATCTACCACCGCGAATACCATTCCTTCCCATCATGGCTTCCGTTTCATCCCTGGACGCGGACATGCGCAACCTGCGCATGTCGCGGTACACTCCCCAGGCCGCCAATGAGGTGCGAACTTGGATTGAAAGCTCTCTGGAGACACCTCTCCCGTCTGGCGATCTGCTTGAGGCTCTAAAGGACGGTGTGGTATTGTGCAAGCTGGCCAATCTCGCGACTCAGTCTCACAGTGGAGCAATCAAGTTCAAGAGCAGTCGGATGCCCTTTATACAGATGGAAAATATCAGTCATTTCTTGAGAGCCTGTGAGATRGCTCCTCTGAATATGCCAGCTCATGACAGATTCTTGACCGTCGACCTGTTCGAACAAAAGGATCCGGCGCAAGTGTTGCAATGCCTGAGTGCATTCAGTAGACAGGCAAACCGAATCAATCCCACTAGCTTCCCTACAGTAATTGGCCCGAAGAAAAGTGGCTCGGCCCTATCACCCGCTACGACTGGTTCAGGCGCGGGATACATGAATGGGGGCTCGTTCAGGCGAGTGCCCAGTCCGACCAAGAATTCCTCCGCATTGCCATCTAATTCTACCCGTCCGATGAGCCCAGCCTTGACTGGCGGCTCGAATGCTTCACAATACACAGATGGCGGTTCTGCAAAGTCATCGTCCGGTCCAGTTAGTAGTTGGAGCAAGAGAAGTGACGAAAACAACTCTTCCCCAGCGTGGAACATTCACCAGTATGGATATATGGGTGGTGCATCTCAGGGCAATCAAGGGATAAGCTTTGGCGCACGACGGCAGATCACCAGTCAGGGTCCGGCTGTGCCTAGTCTGGCCGAGAAGGAAAAAGTACGCAAGGAGAAAGAGGCTGAGGCGGAGAGACTCCGACAGGAATGGCAGGAAGAACAGAATCACAATCGCCGGGTGGCTGAAGAAGATGAAGAGCGTGCGAAGCTTGCCGAGGAGCGCAAATGGGAGGATGAGACCAAACGGCAGCGTGAGGAGGAGAAGAGACACATTGAGGACCAGAAACGGGAGTGGGCAGAGCAGGAACGGAGATGGGATCAAGAAGAGGAGGCGCGAAAACGAGAGGACGCTGCGTTACAAGCGACAATGTCAAAGAAACAGCCACCCGGGAAGCCTAGAGTGCCCAGTTCGAGTGTGTTGAGAGGACAGACTCTTGCAGATTATCAGAAAGAGCAGGCTAGACTTGCACAAAGTGCAGAAGACGAGAATGAGACACCAGAGAAGCGCCGAGTGCGAGAGCTCGAACAGCAGCTGGAAGAGGCGCGAGAGCGCGAACGTCAGTACCAAGCCGAACGCGAAGACCGTCTACGCAAGAACAATGATGTAGGACGGCCACAACCGACTGCAGTAGAAACGACAGAAACACAAAGACCTCCCAGTCCGCATGAGAGTGATGTCAGCTGGGTGGGAGATGAGCGGGAGTACTCTCGCCATCAGTGGCAATCAAGACGAGAAGCTGCACCCTCGAATACCCCTCAGGCGCAAGTCGGCTCGACAAGACCTCTGCCATCAGAGCCTATATCGAAACCACAGAGGCCTCTGCCAACCCCGGCAGCCGCATCAGTGAATCCACCTTCATTGCCCTCAAGAACGCAGCATGCTCCCTCTCCATTCAGCAGACCATTGCCTACACCATCCAGCCAAGCTGAACCCACACCCGAGCCTTATCAGTCAGAACAGAGAACACCCAACAGAACCGATCAATTCCTTGCCAATAAAACAGCACCGACGACCCCGCGGCCACAGATTTCAGCTTCTCGCGAGGCCGGCGACACGTCTCTAGAGCAATCCCAGCTCCAAGACGCCCGCATCGCTTCTCAACAAAAGACCAAAGCCGGTGCTTTCGCCAGCAAGTCGCTGTTAGAGCGAGAGATGGAACGTGAACGCGAAAGACAAAGGGAGTGGGAATCCAATCAGCAAAACGTTGCGAATGCTCCCAGAGATGTGGCGCAAGGCAGTGGAGAAGGACAAAGCTGGGACGTCAATCAATATGGCTGGACAGGAGGCGATGGACAGAACAAAGGATCTKGTGTTGGAAGTGGCATTAACTTTGGAGGGAGAAGGCAGATTATTGGACCGAGAGCACCCAAGTGAGTGTGAGATGAAGTGAGCATTGGAAGGCTGGGTAGATACCAGGAAACGTTTTCTTTTGAGGAGGGAAGCTGTGATGTGTCTTATGCTTTATGATTGCTGTTTGTGATTATTCTTGAATTGAATGCAATGGCTGAAGTGGCGAGATTCGAAGGCTCGTTCAACTCTCATTTAACTCTCTCCTCACGTTGCTTCGATTTGTTGGCCATGATTGTCCGTTTAGAAGCGTAGCCATCGATTCACCGCACAGAGACTCGTGATTCCCGCCACACCAATTGGAAAGTCAAAAATCAATCAGGATGACAAGTACTCCTTACGCCCCAAATCGCTCCATAGCAGTGACCTCTGCTGTCTCGCGAAGTCAAACCAGCCGACCCAAACATCAATATCCAATTTACTGACTCAACCCCCCCTAGAGGTCCCTCACAACCAATTTCGCACCCGAAGCAGCCGCGGGACAAATACTACCCGCCGAACAAGTTGCGATCGAAACGGTTGTGAAAGCCGTAACAGTTCTCGTAGTGGAGGCTCTGCAAACAGAAACCGTMACTGTGAGTCCACCTCCAGGGATAGGAGTGACGGCAATCTTCTCGAGAGCTGTTGTGCCGATTGCGGGAATACTACCCGTGATGGAGTTGAAGTATACGCAGCTTGTGGGTGTTATGTTGATTCCTAAACAGGCTGGGTCGGTATTGCAGAGTGCCATGCAGGATTCGGAAGTGGAGGTTGTTTGGCGGCGTGGGTTATTGTTGGCTGCGGTGTAGGTTATTCCGGTGAGGGCTGTGTTGCAGTCGACTGCGTAGGTGACGCCTTGAGTGTTGGTGTAGTTCTGTCCGTTTGACGCAGGACAGAGGGCTGCGGGCGGTGATGGTGTTGGGACAGTAGTGGGTGCTGTTGAAGAGTATGGTGGGCTCGTTATAGATTGTGAAGGCCCTTGGGTGGAGATTGGCGGTGTATTGGGATCACTGCTGGAAGGTGGAACACTTGATGTCACTTGAGAGCCGGAGAGCGATGTGCTAGAGGCGGTACTCGTGCTGGGGATCTGCGAGCCTGGGAGTGATCTGCTAGAAGCAGTGCTCGTGCTGGGAATCTGTGAGCTGAAGAGTGAGGTACTGTAGCTTGGTGAAGACGATGAAGACGAAGCGTCTCTCGGTTGAGTGGAACTACTTCCAGAYGTGGAAATGGCCCTGGATGAGCTTCCTGGGATGGAGACTGAAGGAATAGGAGTCGAAGCTCCAGAAGGTGACATTCTTGGAGTTGATGATACGATAGTCGACGGTGATGCTGTAGGAGTTGATGATGCAACTGGTGAAGGTGACGAAACTCCTGGCAAAGACGAGCTAGTTGAAGACGGAGGTATTCCTGATGTTGAAACTGTCGCCATCGATAAAGAAACACTTGCGCTGGAAGAGGAAGCTCCTCCTGGTGAAGAAGCGCTCAACGTAGCTGGTGTAGATTGAGTAATGGACGAGTTTCCAGCGGAAGAGATTGTGGTGCCAGAAGTAGAGAAACTGGACATGGAAGGCAAAGATACTGTCGTGGTCGACAGGCTCGCGTATGATTCAGGGGGTCCAGGTATGCTAGTCGAGCTAGTAGCTTGCGAGCTCGCCAGTGAGTAGGAAGGTACGATGCCATTGTCCGGGACCCCAATGGCACTCACAGCTCCCGGGGCAAGCGATGTACTGTTTACAGAGTCGAACAGAGTACAGTCCGAGTCCACATAATTGAGCGCAACACATCCAAAAGTATCGGTACATGCTTGCTGACAATCTCCAAAGTCCTCTGTGTAGAAGCGCTTAGCAAGACCTGTGGTATTGGCTCTGTCGTCGGGAATTTCGCTGCCAGTGTAGACTATTCCACACGTAACAGCATAAGTCGTCTCATTACTGCTGGAGCATATGATTTGTGTGCTGGCAGATGTGCAAATATCGGCTGTTTCCGTTGCGCATGGTGCTATTGTGGACGAAACGGATTGTGTGGTGATTGAAGGGGTCGTGGAGCTTCCGGGGAAGTCTGTTGGCGCAGCCGTTGTGGCAGCTAATGAGGACGAAAGCTCCAGCGATGAGACTACGGTAGATGCCATAGTCAACTGACTAACAATAGAAGAGCTCGACGCCACGTTTGTACTTGGACTCGAGGAAGGAACTGGTTCACCAGAGCTCGTCCTACCAGTCGTAGACGATAGTGGAGGCACGATCAATGAGGACACGATACTCGAAGCAGACGACGTGATGGAAGTCGGCAGTGGGACGCCTGGAGGGGTGCTTGATGCAGTAAATGTTGTAGGGGATATTATCCGGGTCGTTGTGCTAGCCAGAGCCGTGGAAGTCGCCTGCGCGGAAGAGCTGGACACCGTCGAGAAAGTTGAGCTTGTAGAAGCCGCAGTTGTGCATACACGGGTAGTGGCCGAAGGTGCAGGCGCATCAGGTCCGGCAGCATCCAGATAGTAATCGACGTTGATCGCACCAATGGCATTCACGTTCGGGTCCTGGAAGAACATGTTCCCCCCATTCTTGAGGTAGCAAATTCTAGTATTGCTCGTCCAGGTGAAACCCGTGCATGCGCCATTTTGGCCGCTCGAACATGCAGCGAAGCAATCGTTGAAGTCAATATCTTCGATCCTCGCGTCGCCTCCCGGGAAGGTGTCGTTTCCGCAACTCAAGAGGTACTGCACACCACACGTATCCACCACAGTTTGACCGTCGCTAACAGGGCAGCTGGCGCTTGACGCAGGATTCGTGGATATTGGAACTGGTGGAGAAGTTGTGGATGCTTCGGCCAAGGTGGTCGCTGTACTGAATAACGTGGACGCAGTAGTCGTAGCGTATGTTGAGTACTCGACCGCAASTGGAGGGTTCGGAACAGGCACGGCGGCAACGACATCTGCAGATTGAACCGTACCAGTTACCTCGCTGAACAGCGTACAATTGTAAGTAGCAACGTTGAAGTTGAAGGCTACGCAAGGGGTCTCGGTCGTATTCGATAGCTCGCAAGCAGCCTGACAAGTCGTGATGTCAGGATATAAGATGCGCTTAGCGATTGGTAGTCTGCGCTCGAATATCTCGAAACTTGCCCCCAGGTCTCGTTTATCTGGTCCAGAAGATGGCGTTGCGGAAGGAGGGACGAATGGCTGGGTGTCATAGGGCGGCGGCGACTTGATGTCACTATCTTGGACAACCGTTCCAACATAAGCAACTCCACATGTAACATTGTAAGCTTGTCCGCTACCTGAGGAGCAAGTTGTCGTAGTATCGACTGGCGCACAGAGCGTGACCGCGTCTGTTGGGCATGCTGGTGGAGGCGGATACACTGTTTCTTGTGGCACGTCAGACGTGGTGGTGACCTCGTTTGTGCTTGAAGCGGTAGTTGGCAGGACTGTAGGCGATATTGGTCCTGAAGAGACGATGAAAGACGATGGTGTTTGAATGCTGCTCGAGGCGGTGGATGATTGTGCAGCGAGTGTGCTGGAAGAGATTCGGACGCTGCTTGAGGCAGTGGAGGATGACACCGGGAGAGATGCAACGGGCTCGGATGTGGGTTGAGCACTACTCGACCCAATTGATGTTGGGAAGGGGGAAGAAGAAGCTACGGGAGAGGACGAAATCTGAACACTGCTGGAAGGTGTGGAGGTCGGCGCGGYGGAAGTAAGAATCGTTGAAGATGTCGTTCGGGCGCTGCTTGACGGCGAGGAACTCTGCTGTGCCGATAGGGAGGACGATGCCAAGGTGCTCGATGCGGTGGCTATAGTTGACGAGACAGCCGATGTGCTAGTCGCGCTCGTTGGAGTTGTGCTAGTCGCGCTCGTTGAAGTGGTACTGGACGCACCCATTGAAGTGGTGCTAGTCGCGCTCGTTGGAGTTGTGCTAGTCGCGCTCGTTAAAGTGGTGCTAATCGCGCTCGTTGAAGTGGTGCTAGTCACACGCAATGTGGAAGACCCGACTGCACTGGATGTGCTTGAGGCTACAGGTCCGCTGGAACTCGAATCTCCACTGCTTGAGCTGCTGAGCAGGATGTTGGAGGAGCTGCTCGAAGGACCGCCTGTTGAGCTTGAGGTAATTGGCGATGATGACGATGGAGACACCAATGTCGAAGATGTAGATATTGCCCCAGAAGAGCTCGGTGAAGAAAATGTCGACGATGAAGATGTCGACGATGAAAATGTCGATGATGAAAATGTCGACGATGAGAGTACCGGCGATGATGAGGGTGTGGAAGAGGCTACAGAGGAAGGGACCGTTGAAGACGATGTCGATGAGAAGGCTGACGAGGATGGTGTTGAAGATGCCGCAGATGAGCTTAGCGACGACGAAGATGTCGAAGACGTAAAGGTCGATGGCGAAGACTGCAGCGCAGAAGAAGTCGTCGTCGTCGTCGTCGTCGTCGTCATCGTCGTTGTAGACGAGATTATCTCAGATGATGTTGTGGTGGTGGGAARGGGGTCAAATGTGCTGCTAGCAGAGCAAGGTGTACAACTCAAGCCTGGCTGGCTCTCGGCAAACGTCAAAGTCGTTCTTGTGCTGATGCTTGAGTCCAGACTGCTGGACACAGAGAACGTCGTTGTTGAGCCAGAAGTACTACTTGTTGAAGCGGCCGGGTTTCTAGTTTCAGTCAGGGATGTCGAACTTGATGGCCCGCTCGAACTGACCGCCGCCACAACTCGATTAGAGCTCGTCTGGTCGTAGAAGAAGTTCATGAAGAGAGGCGAACTGTCCAACTGCGCTCCACCTGCGATGCTTGCCCAATTATGGGACCATCCCGCAAGCGTATACTGTGTGATAATCCCGAGATTGTTGCTGTTGCCGAACACGTATTTGGTGATGCCAGGAGCGGGCGTTGTAGTTACATTGACTGTGGAATATCCCTGTCGCGTAGCCCAAGCTTGCGTCCAGCGAGGAATGGTCGGCAGTACGCGGCCATTACGATTGGCCTCTCCGTAGTAATTGATTGTGGCATCACCTGTTCCGTGGACCTCTATAAACGGGATATTGTTACGACTCGGGGAGCAGACTCCGACAGGRGTATCGACAGGGGATACAGTCAAAGGATCACCGGGACCGGCCACTCCCGTATAGAATGCTCCAGAGTTCGCAGCAAAGACCGAAAATAAGGAACTTGTGACGGGATTGCAAGCCAGAACGTTTGTAAACCCACCGCCGTTGCTGAAGCCAGACGCCCACATCCGGCCAGTGTCGACGCAAAAGCTTGCGGTTATGTTGGCGACGAGAGCCCTAACAAGACCGATGTCGTCGACATTATTGTTATTGGGGTTTGACTGGAATCCCAGATTGACTCCTTGAACATACACGGCGATTCCGTACGSATTGATGGTAGCATCGTTGAATCTAGTCTGGCTTTCAATTTCCAGGGCAGTGGCTGACGCTCCCGGAAACGCAAAGATCAAAGGAGAAGCCCTGAGCGGATCGTAAAATCTGGGTATGTGAATCCTGTAAATACGCGTTCTGCCATCCGCAGTGACGGTACTGTATTGCACACTTGCTCCATCGGCCACGAGTCCCGACGGCAGGGCCTGTCCACAGYCAGACGATGCGTTGACATTTCCAGCAGCGAAGGGAACGGCATAATTTGGGTTTGGTGGAATGGCACGGACGAGAGCCTGGCCTGTCCCTGCATTGGTGAGACCTGTGAAGGAGGTCTTGATGTAGCACAGATTTCCCGTGAAGACTGCAGCTCGACATCCCGCATAGGCATCACACTGCGCTATACAGGCCGACAAGCTTGCAGCTGCCGCGTTGGTTGCTGCGCCTGCTGGATCCACGTCGGAATTGCAGGTGAGGGTATAATTGCTACCGCAGGGGCTGACGAAGGATTGGCCATTGGAGCCCGGGCAGACGGGGGCATTTGGGGTGACGGCGCCAGTGGTCGWGCAAGCAGATTGTGCATTGACGGTGGAAGTCCAGGTGAGAGCGAGCATGGCCGCAGCGCGTAGGACAGCAGACGGCGGCGCCATGATGCGGTCGGGAGACTTTACGTCCCGGATAACGGGGCTGTGGATGAGAAAGACGGCACAAGACAGAGAAGAAAGGTCAGAAATCTTACCCGGCTGGGCGAAGTGCCTACAATGGCATTGGCATCGCGACTGTCAACAGGATCTGCATTCCTAGGAGCTTAACGCATTCCACGACCCTCGCGTACGGTATGGTATGTGGACCATTTCGGGCATGTGCGAACTGGGGTGACCTCTAATATAGGCCAGCACACGTCGGCGCATGCTCCGCATAGCTGGTGTAGCCATCGTTCGGATCCGACGGCATCGTTTTCTGTTGTTCATGTCATTTGCAACACGCGTCTTTCTGCGGATGGGGCAATGTCGCCCTGTCACTTCCAAAAGTAGCGACGGGCGCCGAGAGACAGAAGAATAGACGTGGAAGGCGCCGGATCCACTCGCAATCTCTGGTCGCGCCCGATCATTGATGCTTCTGCACAGCTCGGGTGATGTTGTGGTGATGTTCGAATGTGATGGCGTCGAAGCACGAGGTAAAGTAAAGTACCTAGGTTCTTCCTTGGGCACAATATTCTAGCGCGGCTGCAAGCGAAATGAAAAGGCTGAATCAAATCCCATCAATATCCAAACCATCCTTTCTCTAAAGTCCTTGCATGCCGGCCTGTGAGCATGACTCCTCCACTTTCCTCACTCTTCGAGGTTCAGGAGATTCCCAATGCCGGACGCGGTGTCATGGCCAGATGTGCCATCCCAGCTGATGTTCTGATTCTTCAAAGTGGTCCGCCGGCCTTTCATGTGATTTTCCGGCAGTACAGAACAGAAACTTGCGGCTTCTGCTTTCTATGGGACCGTGGACGGACGCTACCAATCAAGGACGGCGAAAGTGCAAAAGCCTTTTGCTCGTCAACATGTCAGTCGCGGTGGGTGGAAGAGCAAGGGGAGCTCGGCGTGAAATCATGGCGACTCTTGGCCTCCTTCGTCCGTGCCAAAGGCAAAGGCACAAATACTGATGACCTAATGGCCGACGAACCCAAACCAGATCAAAACGCCATCAAAACTGCATGGCATGATGCTGAGATGGATGCAAGAATACTGCAAGAAAGCAGATCTCCCGTGGATTCCGGCCAAGTAACGAAAGCGAGCCGGAAACGCGCAGCCGCCATCCAGCAGAAAATCGGAAAGAATGTGGACGCCAACATGCTTTCATACTTCCTGAACGGAGCGCTCCTGTTTCACAAGAAATCCGCCATGGTGGAAGACGTCATGTGCCTTGCCAAGGACGATACGCCATATCGAAATGAAAATGACCTTCGCAAGGGATGTCACAGTTTTCTTCAACTCGTGTCTATACTCCCAATCGAACTGCTCTCCGTCCTAACCCCGCAACTTTGMCAGATCATGGTCCAAGCAGACAATCACAATGCTTTCGGCATTCGTGGTGGCGGCGAAGATAGCGAGGAATACAKGGGATATGGCGTGTATCCTTGTGCGAGCTACTTCAATCACTCCTGCAAGCCTAATCTGAAGAAGCGAAGGGAGGGAAGGTCGTGGGAGTTTCGTGCTGCTGTTGACATTGCCGCTGGGGATGAATGTTGCATCTCGTACCTTGGCGGTGATGAAGAAGGTCTGAGCTTTGCGGAACGGCAGGGCAGGTTGGAGGAGGTGTGGGGATTTGCGTGTCGTTGTGTGCGTTGTATACAAGAAGGTGGTGAACAGACTCGTGACATCCAATGTTAGCACTCGTCTGTAGGCTGATCATGTAATGGAAAGCCAACAAACACCATGGCGAGTTCCAAGATCCACGCACACTAGCAATTCCAAGCTTCTACAGACCAGGAGCATAGCACCACCCAGTCGTTGTCCTCGGTTGTCATATGATACGCTCCACGTGCGGAGTCCGCTCCAATGGGAACACAGCTCATACTAGCTCTCAAATTCGTTTGGAATTCCCTGAGAAGAACATCGTCGGCAGTGTTGGAAGGGGAGACACTCTTATTCTTGCAATAGTTCAAGTAGTCAAAACGTCGGTTGATGGTCAAAGGAGTTGTCGTTGCGATCGGTTTTCAAAATTCAACCTCTCACAGAGATGCGCTCATATCTCAGCAGCAGTGTTTTCCTTTAAGATACACTGAGATATACGCATGTTGGATGCAACCACGGCTCAAATGCAGCAATACCTTGAAACCTTTGGCTCTCGACGTCGCATTGATATTTTAAAGAACTCTTGAACATTTAATGCGTCGTCAATAGCGATGGAATATACATGCCGAATAAAATTGATGACGCCGAAATAAGATCCTCACCCAGAAGCAGGAGCTAAGATAAACTTGGCAAATTTCAAGTGAATGAATGTAAAGGGGCAAATTTCATGGATGTTGATCGATGCCTTGCCTTGGAACCTTCTATATACGGAATGAATACAGGAAGACATGATGCTCGTAGATAAGATGTAATACTACATGCGGAGATAGGGTACGAAGCTATAGGATTTGGCAAAAAGAAAAGAATTGTAGAGAAGGTATGATTTGAACTGTCAGAATCCTTATAGAGAGCCATGCAGTGTTAGGAACGTCCCCAACTGTGTGAGAGATGCCACTTCCGCTCGAACTCAGTGTAGTTTCCAGAACGAGAGAGGAGTATATGCGAGGCAAGGAACTGATTGCGGCGTCTCAAGCAAAGGTCTGGCGTCTTAATGTGTTGGGATCCGGTGTGGGGGGACATGTTTGTTCTGCATATCACAGCCCTGCTATATTCGAGAAATTGTCGTAGAAATGCTAGCACAATGTTTGCAAATACAGGATCAGTTGGCCACGTTTCTCGCAGCTACTACCGTTATKAAGAACAAGCAGGGTCTAGATTGAAGGACCTCGAAGAACCCGTTTGAGACAATAGTATACAGTACAAGTTGTACCTGCATAGGTCTTGTCATACAGCCAGAATGATACCTCCATGTTTGTGCTAAGTTCGTTGTCGTAAACTACAGGTATATTCCAAAAAAAATGCTATAGCACTGTCCGCGAAATCGTGAGGATCAAAACAATAGAAAAGTTGCAAGTGAGATGGCAACTACAAGCAAGTTAGGAATACATTCGCAACAGTGAGTCGACTTTGAGTAGCTGGCGTTACTGTCATGTGAATAGAGTGACGTTTGCAACATGGCTGTAGCGATGGACGCAAAAAGAGGAAAAATGACAGCTGCTGGCAGGATCTTGATAGCTAATACAATCTCGTAGTAAGTTGCAGGTAGCTGATGATTGGAAGGACAAGTACAGTCGAAATGGTGCGAGATAGTACCTAGGTAGTTTAAAATGACAAAAACAAAAAAAGATGTGCTGCGCAGAAGGATTCGAACCTCCTACTACAACACCGGGACAAGGGTGATCTTGACATACATTTCAGTATACTCCCGCGGAGAGCTGTTTCATGTTAGGGGCGGTTGGGTAAGAAGTTCGTTGCACGTTACTCACGCTCGAACTCTCAACCTTGAGATGACTACCTGAGAACAGGTTTAAAAGTCTCACGCGCTAGCCAACTTTAGAGAATAGTTAGTACTATTCGTGGTATCAAGTAGGATCTGAGGAAGACTGACTTGTGCCACGCGGGATTGAGCTGCATGATTTCTTGGCCAGCGCCTTGAGATAGTATATCAAACTGTGATATTTCCACCGAGCTTTTGCCGGCCGGGGCCGCGGTGCACGAGTAGGTAGGTATCTTGTTCACCTTCATCGCTACGCATGTCCGTCTGACATTTCCATGAACAGTTCGATGTGATTACTCGCAGGTTGAAGTCGTGATCTGTTGAACGATTTTCGTATCACAGAAGCAACCATGCCGATGAACGCGACATCCTCACGTCGGCATCTTTCACCTCCAAAGCCGTCGACCGCCAAGCCCAGCCCGGGCCATGTCTAGCAATGAGCAAGTTTCCACAAAACCACGCCTCAGCACGCGATGACCACGCCCATCACGGCCAATGTAGCTTTTCGCCAGAGCATCAGGTAGGGAAATGCTYGCCTTGAAATTTCACAGTCCACGTTCACTCACGCACGCATTCAACACCTTCCATTTCCTTGCAATCTCCATGTCCTGACCTCACCTCTCCTCTTCGCCACTTCCCCGAGGCACCCAACGCAACAGCGATACATCTCCCCACCATGAACACAAACAACAACATCGCCCTCGTCGACAAACGGCACATTCAAGACCACTCCCAAGCCAACACCTACTACTGGGGCTACGCATCCCGCACACTCCCCTGCACCAAAGATGTCGGAACCTGCGAATATCTCGACGCCGTCTACGGCATGCACGTCACCTCCATGCTCTACACTTTCATCCTCTGGGGTGTCATTCTGGGAGTCCTCCTCATCTGGTTCCTCTGTCGAATCTGGCGAACAGAACCCCCTTCCCATGGACCCAGCAGCCTCCTCTCCCAACTCCTACAAAAAGCCTCCCCATGGAGACGCCATTTCCTCCCAGACGCCCCCTTCCGCTCCCTCTTCGGCCGAGTCTCCCGCCTCCAACTCGCAATCCTCTCCGCCATCACAATCTACCTCTTGATTTTCTCCCTCGTCGGCATAACCTACCGCACCTGGCTCACCCCAATATCCGGCTCGCCCCTCCTCCACAACACCCGCACAGGCCTCGGAGGCTGGTCCGACCGCATAGGAGCCCTAGCATACGCCTTGACCCCCTTCTCCCTCCTCCTCTGCCAGCGAGAAAGTCTCCTCTCCCTCCTCACAGGAATCCCCTAYCAACATTTCAACTTCATCCACCGCTGGCTAGGCCGCATCATCTTCGTCCAAAGTTTCCTCCACACTCTCGCCTGGACGCTCGTCGAGGGGAAATTCTATCAACCGCAACCGGACATTTACAAGAATTTCATGGCGCAGCAATATGTGGTTTTCGGAGTCGTGGCCATGTTCCTCATCACGTTCCTCACGGTTTTCAGCACGCAGTGGGCAATTCGCAAGACTGGATATGAATTCTTCAAAGCCGCGCATTGGGTTTCCGCGGTGCTATATATCGGAGCGTGTTGGGGCCACTGGGATAAACTATGGTGTTGGATGGTCCCTTCTCTCGCTCTCATCGTCTTCGATCAAATGGTGCGATATGGAAGAACAGCATACCTTCACCTCCATGGAAAGCGACATTCCRGCGGCTTCCACTCCGCTCAAGCAGAGATGAAAATCCTATCCGATGAAGATGGTGGCAAGGTCGTGAGATTGGACTTTGATTTCGAACACAAGAGAGCTTGGGAAGCCGGACAGCATTTCTATCTTACATTTCCGGGATTGAGTCTTTGGCAGAATCATCCTTTTACAGTGGCGAGTGCGCCGGAGGTGAATCAGAGGATGCAKCATCATACGTATTTGTTGAGAGTGAGGGATGGACAGACGAAGAAATTGGCGGAATTGGGGAATGGGAGTACTGTGAACACAATCCTTACCGGACCCTATGGACATGGATTCCCGACGTATGAATGTCAGCATGTTCTCGCCATCGCGGGCGGGACGGGCGTCACGTTTACTCTACCGATTATCTTCGAGGCGATACAGCAGTTTGTGAACAAGAGGGCTGTGATGGATTTCGTGTGGGTTGTGAGGAAATGCGAGGATCTTCTTTGGTTGGGCGAGGAGCTTGCACAGTTGAAACGATTGCTGGATCAGGCATCTGGATTGCGGATAAGTATCTACGTCAGTCGGGAGAGCATGTCGGAAAAAGAAAAGGGAAAGTCAAGAGATGAAGAAGTGGAGAGTAGTATTTCATCACCAACTTCCACCACCGATCTGCTRGAGGACCTCCTCACCATCCGACATCCTCGCTTCAGCATAAACTTTCTGAGAGACCACCATCCCTCCGTCGCGGAGCTTCTGGCAAACTTTCAGGAGAGGGTGGGAAATGTTGGTGGTTTGGCAGAGATTGTGGGAAGTGGACCGGAAGCCATGGGTAGTGATCTCCGAGCTGCGGTTGCAGCAGCAAAGGACGGTCACGAGTGGAACTTTTACTGGGACTCAAGAGAGTAGTATCGTAGGAAATTCACTTCTATGGTCGTCGACATCCAGACATCTCATCCCGTGTCATCCACTCTTTGGTCTTCGCACTCGGGATACTCGGCAACTCCCTCGCTCCACGTCCCCACCACTTCCCTCAATCTCTGAGAAGGACGGCCATCCTCATCGCTGACATCCGTCCCGGCCTCCTTAAGAAAGGCCTCTCTCGTGACTTCCATCTCCGTGTCCTCGAGATTCTCCTCCCGCAACTCCAAATCCCGCTTCCGCAACGCCCAAAAGACGACGTATCCACCTCCCTCCGACGCCTTGAACCACTCAATTTGCTCCCTAAAAGCAGCATTAAAKCTCTTTTCGTTGCTCACCGCTTTCGCAGCATATGTCTTCATGGCATACTTTGGGTGGCGCGTGCCAGAATACGCCAGCACATGTTTGTCTTTGTCAAAGCCGCATTCCTCTCCAAGCTTCTCGACAAGAATCTTCCAGGACAAGCGAAAGGCACCCTTTGCGTTCCGATATCGACGGAGTGCGCCGGGTTGGWCGAAGTCGGCTGCGTCGAACGTAGTGGAGTTCTTGGTCTCGAGGTAGTGGAACCTAATTTTGTGGTTCTCGATCTTGAGTTTGGTGGACTGTCTGCGGACTGCTTGATGAGCCATCTGTGGAGTTGGAGAGGCTGCAAGCTTGATGTAGGATTTTGTCGAGTGGCACGCGCGAGGAGTGAAAATCCCTATTATTCGACGCGCGTGGAGGTGTGATCTGGATATCGCTCGACTGGTGCAGGTAGGTTATTGTGATGTACATGGATGATCGGTGTTAATGTTAGTGTCGGTGGTGTATGTGGTTGTTATTTATTGTAGCGGAAGCCTGCGCGGAAGTGTACGCGGCCCGGGTGTGAAGGGCTCGTGCTGGTGTTGAGTGAATGAGAATGCCGAATAAGTGAAGCTGATGACTGGGAGAGTGCGGAAAAGAAAATGTGAACCGTGGTTCCGCTTCGGGAAGGCATCTGACACTGACTTGCAAATTCCTCTCATGTTCCGCGTTCGTCGCTTCCTCCCGTCATCTGTGGTGGATAGAAGGAACAACCATGAAAAAGCAACACGGCCGGCAGGTGTTCCATTGTTGCCAATGTTAGTATTGCAGTAATGTACAGGGTGAATGGGCGAGATCATCACCAAAACCTTGCCAGCGGCATCCCTCCAATTTTCCTCTCTGCACACTCCCTCGCCTCCATAATTCCCTTGTCGGTGCTGACAGCCATAATCTCGCCAATCTGCGTCAACGGCTTCACTTCACCTGCTTGGCGGCCTCTCACAACACGTCCGAGATCCCGGCTATTCAGCATGATGCGCTTCGTTGGCTTACTGATCATCTTGGCCTTGGTCAATACCGGTCTGCTCTCGTAGTACTTCAATCCCAGCCATAGACGGCGCGATGCGCGGTTTTCTTGGGTAACAACGCCCTCTGCTTCGAGCATCTTCGGATCTGCAAAGGCCTTTACTGGCAGCGTGACGGATTGGTTGGGGATTTCAAGTCCCATGGCGGAAATGGTGATGCCCTTTTGCCGAATGTCGAGTTCGGTGCGGAGAGCATGGCGGCCTGCGATGATGGCGATGGTGTCAAAGTCGAAGCGTGTTTGGCGCAGGTCCTCCAATCGAAGGTGGCCAAACTGTGTGTAGATACTCCGCTCTTCGACGGAAAGCTGTCCAAGCACTTGCTCCTCGACCACCTGCCTCCTCAGCTCGGGACTGCTCTCATCACTCTCAATCAATTCCCTCAGTTCCTCCTCCTGCCCCTCTTGTCGCTGCAGATACTCCTTCCTCCTCTCGAATTCAAATGTCCGCTCCYCGGCCAACACATCCATCTGCGCCCGCACATCCGCGATGAAGCGCACAATCTGTTGCGGCCAGCCTTGCGCCTCTAGATCCTCCAAACTGCGTCGACTGTGTTGCTCCGCAAATTCCACCGCATCGGGCATGAATCCCAGATTCTGCAATTGCGCCCTGTTCAATCCCTCTCTGACCACCAGCGCCAAGGCCGCTTCAGGACTGTGTTGATCTCTGCCTGCAGTGCCATGCGGGTGGTTGGTAACGTGGTGGTCATCGCGAAGGCCTGGCGCGAAGCATGATGAAGGAGGCGATGCTCCCCCGAGTTTGACGTGGGAGAGGAAGCCCTGTCGTTGGAGGAGAATGGCCAGGGATAGATGCCATCTCGTGTAGGGGATTGAGGTCAGACCGAGGCGTGCAAGTGATGCATTCTGGAGATGCGAGCAGACATTGGCCAGGTTGACGAGGGACATGATGCTTGAGGGAGGAGGTTGCTTCAGTCCGACTGGTCGTGTCTGGAGTAGGTGTATCCTTGATTTAGAGATTCCACTCCGATTTCCATGTGATGGTCCTGCAATGCGATGCGCTCCTCGACGATCCTCCCCTCAATCAATGTCGGTGATGATGATATGGATGCTGTGGACTACAAATTGTCGGGGGCGAGGCGGTCGGCAGACCTGCCGCACTCGATCATGGAAGCTGGCCGACATCTTGCTCACTTTACCTCCTTCACATCACGACAACGGCATCATCAATAGCTTGGTACCATTCTCCTCTTCAATGAGCCACTGACATCAACGAGTTACTTCAATACTCTCCATCCAGAAGCAGCGGACGAATGAAAGCTTCAAAAAAAAACCCCCCCGTACCATACCATACCACACCATACCATACATTCCTTCCACCAGGTCCTCTTGGAGACGGGATGCTTCCACTTCAAACTGGATCGTTGAGAAATGCCTCAAACACCGTCTCCTTATGACCATTCTGCAATTTCATCAAACGCGCCTGAAATGATCGCCACCGCTCCTGCGTCTCAAGAAACTCGCGCAACTGCAACCTCTCTTCATACTCTTCAATCATCTGTCCGTGCTTTTTGCGCGCTTGAGCTTCAATCTCGCGACACCGCCGCTCCAGTCTCGCCGCATGGGTCACTGAGAGCTGGTGGCACCGGTTGGTCTGAGATGTTTTGCATTTTTCTTTCCTTTCCTCTGCTAAATCACGGAACATTTCGTTCCTGCGACTGTCCAGGTCCTTCCAGTGTTGTTCCTCCCGCTCGGTAACCTCGGCACACGGGTCCTTCATTTTCTGGTTGTCGAGCGAAAATGACCCTTCTTCGCGGAACGATTTGCGAATGGGATGCTGGCCTCTGCTCCCGAATCCATCTTCCCATCCAAGATTCTGTGTCGCCGCTAGCGGGAGGAATTGCGATTTGTCTGGCTGAAGATTGAAACTCGCTGCTAAGGATGCAGACCGACGGCTGGCAGCTCGGTCTCGGGGTGCTGCTAGGTCTCGGGGTGCAGCACATGCCGCTGCCGCAATGAGTCCTCTCAAAATCTCAAGCTTGACTCGCAGCATGGTGACTGCAAGAATGGATTGGGATTCGTCATATCTAGGAAAAACTGTCAGCAAACGACACGGAATTCCTCTCTGACTGGCAAATGTGGCTCTAGACATGCTCCCTGCCCTTCGAGCATGACCTACACTTGATTCCGAACCGAGGCATAATAGCGATGGCCCGGCCAGACTTTGCCCTCAGGATCGAGCTGGAWCCTGGTATTGCGCTCGTAGGCCTCGAAGGACTCTCGAACCACTTCGAGGTCGGATGGGATGGATGTTGGTGACAGACTGTTTCTGAGAAGCTTCTTCGCTATAATCACAAAGGCAGTCTGGTCGTCCGGATTGAATGTATTAATCGCACGATCAATGTCCTCGATTGTAGCCATGTTGCTGAAGATGTGTTGTTGAGGGATGTTGTAATGAGCAGCAGGGTGGAAGTAACAGTTCGATGGAAGAAGGAGACATCAGCGGATATAGGCAGTTGCGACTTCGTCTTCGAATGGGAGATAAGTGTACCTACTTTACCTGACACTAACAATGGCCCTTCCATTGTAATCAAACATTTTGAGAGAGGCAACCTTGAACGGGACGGGAGACTCGGGATGCTTCGAAATTCAGGGCATACATCTCACGGGCTCCCCGTTGAATTTGGGATCGGAAATTTCCACCTTTGCTCCAGCTTCTCACATGTAGACAATTCATACCTAATCAGACCTTGACAGAAGCTTTGCGCATATCCTGTTCCAATCGACATAATCATAGGGATGTCGCTCCGTTGAGCCAGAGCAACACTTCACACCGCACTTGGAGAGTCTCGGCGTGGTGAACTCCACGATGGGGTTCTTCGCCTTGGTCAATCAGCCTCTTTTCAGGGATTTGCAACGTTCAGGATGGAGAGGCTGAAGTGTGAGGAAGTAGATCCAAAGGATTCCAACGATGAACAACTCGCTTAACGACCAAAGCTTGCCCGTTTCTCTCGCTCTAGATGAAAATTAAATGCCTTTAGTGGGAGGTGGAGTATAGGTGTTGCTCCTGATTTTTGGGCTTCTCGCGGCTACGTTGGTAGAGTGGCGAGCATTCTTTCTACGGGTCCAGGTGTGATTTCTCTGCACTAGGGATACCGATTGGTTGAAAATAGACAGACTCTGAGAATTTTGTGTAAATTATAGAGCGTGATGAGTGACATATTGGTTGCGGCTGTCCCAATACATGCAAAGCAGATTATCCCATACTGTCGAAGTGAAGCTCCACCTGCACACTTTCCATCGATGCCCCTTATACTTGTCTCGACTCCACTTCGCGATCCTGTATCAACCTTTCAAGGCTACCTCATCTCCGCGCTTGGCAAAAACCTGAAGTTCCTGCCTAGTTTCCGCTCTGATCACGCTGAAGAAATCTCAAAATGGCTGCGATCTCACCAGTCTGCTGCTCCATACGAGCGAGGGTGCCTTGTGGTCCAATAATACCTTCCGAATATCGAGTGGCCGGGCGCACAGATTTGTCGGTATTCTCTTGGATGTTGGTACCATCCCGGCGCATAGCACGACTTTCACCCTGAGATGTAGTACAAATAGCGTCCTTGACCCCATGCTCCATCAGAAGACTGACACGGCTCATATGGCCACGTACGGAAGACATATGGGCCTCTGCCTCCATCAATTCGGCCTCTGCAGCGACCGCCGAAGACGAGCAGCTTGCGGTCGCTGCAATCTTGTCGATATCTCCTTGTTCCTCGACTGGCGTAGCTACTACTTCGCCATCCTACCGCTTCCATTTCAGGCCCGCCAGTCTCTTTTGAAACTCTCGTTCCAGGCTCTGCGTCTGCGCAGTCAGTCCTTGATGATACTCCGCTTCGAGTATCCTCTTTTGCTTGTTCAATCTCTCCCTGTACGCGTTCTGCAACCTCCACTTTTGTTCGCCACGCTCTATCTCGAACTTTGCGACCAGCTTCGCAATCTGTTCTGGCCCCTTCTTAGTCATCAGTCTTTCAAGCTTTCGAGGAAACTTTGCGTCGTCCAGGTCCTCCAGGCTGAAGTTTCTTGGTGCCTTAGCGACCTTTGCGCTAGAGATCGTAGGTGCCGCTGTGTCACTAATGGTGAGCCTCCGATCGGAATGACTCTTGTCATCGGCGATGTGTGTGGCTTTCCACCATTGCGCTTGCCGTTTCGCACTTTGCAACTCAATCATGATCTTCCGCAAGGCAACTTGGAGGACTGATCTTTCATCAGTGAACACTCCGGCGTGCGCAGCAAAAAAGCAACCGTGCAATTCGTCATCCTCGGTATCTGAGTCCTCCCCGTAATATCCTAGGGTTTCCGAAATGGTATCACGGAGCTTCGTCTCGATAGTCTCAAAGTCATCAGAGATATAGCATGATAGTTGCCGACAAGCCCACTCGAGCTGACTGGAACCTTCGTTGTACGCGAACGAATTCTCGAATTCACTGGCGGCGGCCATCGTCATGTAGATGCTGTCGGATCAGGGTAGGTGTGTTGTGGGGTTTTATGTGTTGTAGGGTGTTATGTGTTGTAGGGTATTGTGTGTTGTAGAAGCGTAATGGTGTAGAGTGGTTGATGAAAACGGAGAGTTACAAGCAAAGGGGAGAAGGAAGAGAATAGAAGTCGCAATCACAGCGTGAAAAGGGAAGGGGCAAGTTCGGTATTTCGAGGGCAGCTCAGGGACAAACCTCAATCTAGGTAAGTTAGGTTGCCGGTCTTTCCAGTGATGATGTGCGGGAAGTATCTACCTTACTGTACTTTACCAGTAGGAGGGTAAGGTATGCGAAAGGAGGTCATGGATCATTAGTGAAATCGCCTTTGAGATGGCCATCACTTTGATCGGTTTCAAAACTCTCAGTTTCTTCCTCCTCATCGAAGCTGTCAACATGAGGTTTGTTCAGAGAGATTACCTTGGGCACCCTAAGTCATCGACTCTGAAGCGCAAATTCTGGAATAGATCCAATCTCTGAAGAAGGAGCATCCAGTACCTCCACGCCATGCATGTTCCTTGCCAGAACGTACCTACCTATAATTTGGGAGGAAGTACAAGTAGACCATCGATCAATCCTCCCGTCTGCTGTCAGATCGACAATTGCACTCCGAAAGGATTCACACACAAACCTGCGTTGCGTTGTCCAGCTGAAGTGAGCATCAGATGACCCACCGAAGGATTCCCCCCATCCAAGGATGAAGATCCTACTCATTTTTCCCCAAAGCCAACACCCGGCCTCATTGGCTACATACGTCGCTAACGGCCAATGCGGCCAATACGAGACATCYGCCAAGAATTTTAGATGGCACGGATATGTACAATGATGAAAGCGACCGTGTGGCATTTCGATGCGGGTGTGCTTACAAGAATGCTCGATTCGCTGCCTGAAGATTCGGATCAACACAACGCAACGCTTGCTCCAAGACCAGATTGACCATGATTCGCACTCTGCTTGTCCTCATCGGAGTCGTTCACTGTATATGCAGCGACATAGTCACAGTCGATCAACTGTAAATATGCTCTTCCACCTAAACCTCGCAGTTAGCTAATGGCAACTCCTCCAGTCCCTCCAGCTATAACCTGACCGTGTCCTTCTTCCCGGAAGGCAACATCGACAATGAGAATACCACCACCTGTCCTAGCACTGAGCCCGTAACTTTTTCCACCGGAAGTTTACCCATAGAACGTCGAAGCGTCTGCTTCAACCTCCCCGATCTTTTTGCCTCGAACAACACCCTCAATAGCAGTGGTATTTACAACTACATTGGACGCGACGGCTATAGTATCCCTACGAACGTGTCCTATACCCTCACCAACGCTCAAGCATGGGATCCCACAGCAAACTACTCTCGGATCCGATATACCCAGACCAACGGCAGCGAGGATCAACGCGGAGAACTCGCGGCGGGGATGTTCCAGACCTACCCGGGGCTTGGTTGTGTGGAGGAGGGTATTCCAGGACTGGACGTCAATGAGACCTTGAATCCATGGATTCGATGGAGTTGTCAGAGTTCCCCAGGAGGGGACTGTCATACTGTCCCGTATCGTATTAAGAGTTTTCTGTGGTTGTCGAGTGCGAACCGCGCAGGTGACGAAGAGTGTGTGGACGCTGGAGTATATGGAAACGCGGGGAGTCGGATGGTTGTTCGAAATGGGTGGCCGATTTGGGTTGCGATGGTTGGTCTTTTGGCGCTGATGTAGGCGTGAGAAATCAATCACGTGGAGAGGCCAGATGTACCATCCTCATCATCATCAGAGTAATGGAGTAATGGAATCATGCCGTCCTTCAGAGTGGGGATCGGCCCTCGGCCAACCTTTCCCCACAACGGTCCATGTCTATGAATCTGCCACCGCTGCCGATAATATCGCGGGACCCATGATGTTTCCAAGAAGTAGAGAGCTTCCGCAGCTTGGCTGTCAAATCTTGACACTTCTTGGCCAATCATAGGGATGACTCTTCCTCGTAGCTGAGTGTCCCCATAGCCTCGACAATCAATCAATCAATCGATGATCGTGCAATGCTGTGCCTCGATTATCGGGACGAACAAACCATAGATTGCAGAGCTCCGCTGTGGATCAGTGTCCACTACTGATGATACCTGTGCTTCACGGGGCATTAGGAAATGTTTGTGYCCAAGGAGGTGGAATCGAGGTGTTTAGTACAGTAAGTGGCATGTGTAAGTCCGATGTTGAGGATCTGAGCTTGCACGTCAAAGACTTTCAGCCGTGATCATCAAGCTTGCTCCATGCGGATGCTGCTGCCATTGCCAAGACTTGAGTGTTGCAAGTGGGTCACCTCCCCAATTCGTGATCATCGCGGGTCTTTTTGGTAGCCGCGATGTGTGATGGATTGTTGACCGGGGTATTTGCCAAGAGCACAAGAGCTTGGGTATGTGCAATGATGAAAGAGACCGCTGTGCCACAATGTGCAATGGTCTGAGCTGCCGTAAAGCCTCTCATTGTGTTCAAAGCCATCCTCCATCTTTAGTCCTTCGTAGATTATCTTGTTCTCATCCAGACGGAATTCAATATGGCACGCGCTGTTCTACTGGTTGTCGGCCTCCTCGGCGCGGTCTGCATTGCCCAGGACATACTCCTTCAACTGTAGGCAATCAGCACTAAACCTGAGATTCGCGGACTACTAACACCCGATGCTTGACAGTCCTTCGATTCAAAACCTCACAGTCTCCTTCTTCAAGGAGGGATCCATCGCTAATGAGGACTCCAATGCCTGCCCTGATACCGAGTCTGTCACGTTCTCCACCGGAAGCGTACCTTATAGTAGCGAAAACATCTGCTATAACCTCCACGAACTCTTCGCGCCAAACAACACCGAGAACAATTACCCCGCCAATTCCTTGTCGTACACGCTGTCCAACATCCAAGCATGGGACCCAACGGCGAATTACTCYCGGATCAGATATGCGCAATCCAATGCAACGACCGAAGACCAAAGTGGAGAAGACGCAGCGCTGTACTTCCAGACTTACAACGACCTAGGCTGTAAGCTCAATCGTGCTCCCGGCTCAAAGTTCCCGAATCCCATTCTTCCGTGGATTGGATGGAGTTGTCAGAGTTCTTCTGATGGAGGGGATTGCTATACTGTACCTTATGCGATCAAGAGTTTTCGTATGGGAGATGCTTCGTGGACGAACTCTCTGGGACAATGCATGAATGCCGCGATTGCGGGTACAGGCAACCGAGGGAGGGAGATCAGTGCGTGGGGCCTTGTCGTTGTTGTGGGCTTTCTCGCCGTGAAACTGGCCTGAGGGATTTCTTGGTGGGCCCAATATTTTGTAGGCCCTCCTATCCTTATAGCTCGGTGTTCAGACACGCAAGTCTCTTGCTCTCTACTCAGCCACATTGCGATTGATGCCCGGTGTATCATAGTGGAATGGAGAAGGCGTTTGAGGGAAGAGGGATGAAGTCCTCCTCGGCCAACCTTCCCCCACTCACTCACCCACCCACCCCACCTCCTCGTCTCATTGGACTTGTAAGCGCCAGCCCTCCGCATCATCGCGATCAAGCTTCCTGCTGTTTGGTCCTACAAAATCTCACGCAATGGCCGTGTCAGACCCTCTTCGATGCTCTTCCTCTCCCATTTCCTCTTCTCCGTCATCTTGGAATTCACCGTCAAATCTCTCGCATTGTTGCTCACCATCGAAGCCGCCTATACCTTGACGGAAGGATACTTGGAAGCTTTCAAGGAAGGTACGCGAGCTTATTTGACTGTTGTCGAAGGACAGCGTAGGTTGGAGAGGAGAAGGAGACGGGAACTAAGACGGCAGAGAAGGGAGCTGAGGCGATTAGAAAGGGAGAGGGGATAGGATCGGTCACGATGCCGGCTGGCGTGGGGGAGACGTTGTTGGTCACCCTGTGAGTTGTTCGTCTGGCAAAGAGGATGCGGTATCGGTGACTGATGGATGAGTAGATTTGCGGATTGCCATTACTACTTCAGTGATCCTTCCTCGAAACCTCCTCACCATCGATTCGATCGCGGATCCTATGTCTACTTGTTCTACAACTCCACTGCCCGACAAGCAAAACTTGAAGTTGCCAACAATGCTGGCACAGCGGAACAGGATGCYTTTCATGGATATCTGAATGTTGCCAATGTGGCTTATAGCTACTTACAACCTACATTGTGTACGCTGTTCATCAACACGGGAGCTGTCCAAGATCAATCGACCTGGCACCTCCCTACCTTGGATCCACGAAATGAGCAGAAATACTCATACAAACTGCATGCAGTGGATATCTACTTTTGGACAGAGAAAGACGCCGGGACCTTCCTCTCCAATTTGAAGAACATCCTAGGAGGGGATAAATTCGACATCAAACACGCCCCTGCATCAGCCTCTTCAGGGTTCGCTTCCCCTTCACATTCCGAACATCGGGATTCGATGAGTCCAGTCGTACAACTCTTGGAAAAGACAGCGGTAGGAACACATTTCCCCCCTCGAGCTCCCAGCGCTGTATCTGCGCAGTCATTCCCTGGACCTCCCACGCCTGCGACGAGTGGAGGTGGTGCTTCTCCCAATCCTGTCCCCGCGCCTATGGCGTACAATCCTGCTGCTCCCGCGGCGCCAGAACCGGTGGTGTTCAGGGAGAAGACGCCGCCGCCTATTGATGAGAATGGGACGGGATTGGGGATGGTGGCCAAGTATGATAGTGCGCCGCCGCAGAACCATTCATACGGAGGTCTGTCTGGGATGGGGTATGGAAACACGTCTCAGCCGATTCATTTCAGCGGACCACCCCCGCAACAATATCAACATCAACCACGACAAGCTTCGCAAACGAGTTTCCCTGGACCACCACCTCAGACTTCTGGGTCTATGGAGAACGTCCCGAGGACGTTTTCGGGAAGTGTTCCTCCACCTCCTCCGCAGGGCCAACACAGAGCACCGTCGTTTGGTCCCATGGCGCAGAGTACTCTACCGCAGTCCCCTCCTCCGGGGCAAACGTCTTTCCAGAGACAATCTGTGACTCCTACACAGCAGCATGCAATCTATACTCCTGGTCAACCGCAATCTCAATACGCTACGGTAGCGAGTCCTCCGGCTTACTCTACACCGTTGCAATCTCCTGGATTCCCTGGACCTCCTCCTCCTCATCAACAACAACAGCAACAACAGCAGAACGTTCCGATTGGCGGGTATGGACATTACTCGTATTCAGCAGCTCAGACGCCTCAGGCAGGGGAATTTGGGAATATGGGTGCCTATCAGGGCGACTTGCACAGTCAGGTTTATAGACCTACCGAGGCGGAGGTGGGCTCGCATGTCAAGCCGGCGAGCACGACGGCAAAACCTGAGGGCAAGGTGGGCAAGGTGGAGGGGAATGTGAATAAGTATTTGAAGAAGTTGGATAAATTATGGTAGATTCTAGGGTGATGATGGCATGGCGGTATAGATGAGGGTGTGTGACGATCTTGGGTACTTTGAGCAATTGAAGCGTTTTGTCAACAGTCTACAATGAGACTACATGTACTTCCATGTCGTTCTTCTGTCGGTCGATCATCGTCGACGTCTTCAATGCTGACTAAGTGGTTGCCAATGGTGATGAGCACGGACATGTTTACCCGTTTTCTGCGGCAAGCTTCGCGTGCTCCGGGACGATCTGACGGCACATCCTCCCAACATCCCGGAGCAGACGCAGAGAACAGACGGCCCAAGTTCCAACGTCTGACTTGCATACATCACCTTGCCCTCGTCATCTTCACCTCGCTCCCTCTGACACTGAGACTGTCTTTCCAACATGGCACGTCGGTCCAGCGCCCGTCTGCGCGACAGGTCCACCACTCCCAAACGCGTCTCCCTCTCCCACGATGCGCCTACCACGACCACTCGCACCCCCAAAACCCTCCCGGCCAAGCTCTCGTCCCTCATGGAGAGCGATGAGATGATGCCGGGCGCATTCCCGCAATCCGTCTCGCCGTCGCTGATGATGGAGGTGGATGAAGCCACTCGCACCCCGACTCACCGCACTCCCATCCGACCCACCGCCAAAGAGRTGCATCCTCAACTCCACCATCAATCCACCGCCAAACCGCTCGATGAAGCGCGTCATCTGGGCTTCTCCAACATGCAGCACATCAACGTCCCTCAGACGGAACCCGCTCCTCGACAGAATGCTTCGAGCAGATTGGCCGCCATGCAGGGAACTCCCACCCACCGCAATCTCGAGCAAGACGTCACATCTCCCAGCTATGAATTCACCTTTCGGAGGGAACATTCCCTCGAATTGTCCCCCGACGCCAAGAGGTTGATGTATGAGAAGCGCGAGGAGGCGGCCAAGATTAAAGCGCAGATGATTGCCGATGGAGAGGGAATTCAATCCATTGATGACATTTTGGGGCGGAAAAAGGCGACGCCGGGCGGCAGATATGGTGATGTGCACGACAAGGAGTTTGCGAAGATGGGCTCCATTGTCAATCATCCTTCGGCTTTTCGTGCGGATCCCAATCGTGTAAAGCCGACATTGACTGCTGCTTCTGCTACGAAATCCCTCAAGCGGAGTCAGAGCAAGGCCGAATTGCAGTCTCGCGCCGAATTGGATGCCACGCCTTCTTCACGCCCCGCATCAAGGGATGTGTTCAAGCCGGCGCCGTCGTTCAAGTCAAGTGCTCTGCCGCGGACGACTTCCACACATGATTTGACGGCGTCGGCATCTCCAGCCAAGCGAGTCAAGCGCGCCGTCAATGAGGATGTCTCGGCGACTCGTCCGGCTTCCAAGGATGGTCCGTCCACCCCTCAGACACACACCAAGCAGCAGCCATCCTACCCGGATCTGTCGCATCTCACCACTCCCACACAATCCTCACTCTCTCGTGCGGCCAGCATCAAGTCTACAAAGACGAGCAAGATCCCAGGTCCGCAGTTCACACCCGCCAAAGCTGCTCCTCCTCCACCGCCACCTGCATCCACCCTCAAGCAGCCCATTCGTCCATCAGAGCACAACACCCCACTTCTCCACCGCTCACCATCCAAGCCTTCATTCTTCTCAAAGCCAAATGTCGTCAAGTCGGAGGTGGAGAAGACAAACGGTGAGAAGCCGAAATCAATGATGGACCCTCACCTTGCCCGCACACCCGCCAAGGCAGGTTTCTTGAAGAAGACTGTCGGGTTTGTAGACCCGGCTGGTAATGGTACTCCCCACGAGAAGCCTGCTCCTCTTCTCTCGAGATCTCCAGTCAAAGCCTCGAWCCCGAAGACGAGTGAGACTGACTCACCTCAACAACAAAAGACTGCTCCAGTCCCATTCCTCTCCAGATCTCCCTCCAAGATCCCCATGACAGGCGCAAACAACCCTTTCAGCACGACAACAGCATCATCAGACACTCCTGGCAAGAGTACCGCCACCAAACTCCTCGGTCGTTTCAATCTCCTCCGTCAATCTCCCATGAAGTCCATCTTGCGCTCTCCACAGCGTTTGTATTCGGATGATCCTTCAAAGATCGCTGCGGGAACACACATGGCTACTCCTCCCAAGAAGACGCCTTCCAAGACTGAAGTGGCGAGTGTGAGGAAACGTGTCGATTTCAGCAGCTCCACCAAGAACTCGGACAGCAGTAGAGAGGAGACTCCACTGACCCCGAATGTCCAGCCTTCCACCAGCATCTTCGATCGGAATGGCGGAAAGTCCGAGGCGCGAACCGTCAGCATGCTTCCCACGGTCGACTATCCTTCTTTGGAGAGGGCGGACCGTATGTTGAGTCCTAGTCCTCAGAAGAGGAGGGAGACTGCTGGACCGGGAGACTTCACTTTCCGCGCCGATGAGCATGGGGTGGTGTTTCAGAGTCCTAATGCCGCCAATGTCTCGGGAAAGAAGAGAGCAAACACCATCCGGTTCATCGAGAGCGAGTCGTTGAGCATGGTTCCTACGGGGATTTTGACGGGGAGCAAGAAGCGGAAGCATGRTTTTGAGGATCGCAACGCTGTTGTTGAGGGGGAGGTGATTGGTGGTGGGAGTGATAAGGAGAATGCGGAGATGGATGAAGGCGAGGAAGTGGAGGAGAGACCGAAGAAGAGGGTCAAGGCTAGTGTGCCTAGTCCTGTCAAGATGAACGGTGCTGCTGTCAAGAAGGGAGATGTGGTGGAGAAGAAGAGGAGTACTTTGGGAGTCAAACCCAAGGGAAGCAAGAATCTACCATCTGCGAAGACTGCCACGAAGGGAGCTGCTGGGGTTGCCAAGAAGGGAGCTGCTGCGTCTGGAGGAGGTGCTGCTGCTGCTGGAACGACGAAGACGATAAGTCGGGAGCGATTGAATGCTTTGAGTCAACCGAAGAAGAGAGGTTGATTGGGTGAGGTCGAGATGTATGAACAAAGGGATGAGTTGTGGGGGGGATGTTACGTGAATGGAGTACGACTTTTCGTATGAGCGGTTTTGATGGGGGTACCTTGAGCGAGGCGTTGGGTGTGTTGTTTGTTCTCTCGTACTTGTTGTCATGGCATGGACTGGCGGCGATGAAACAGAAGCAGCGGAAGCCAAAGGCGTTTGGAAGGAGTCTAAAAATTTCGAAATGATTGCGAGTCTTGTTTGATTGTGAGAGAGAGGATAGGTAGACAGGACTGGATGGATCAGGGAAAGAGCGTATATATCATACTACCTGATTGTACAATGCATGTTTCTCAATGATTTCTTCGGGTGATGTGATGATTGTCGTGGCGATGGAGATGGAGATTATTTAGGTTTATGTGTATGAGCGTGTGATCAGGCTCATAGGCTAGGTTAGATAATGGTGGTGGTGTGGGAAATATGCTTGGGGAGGGATGGAATTCCTCTCTCCCCCCCAGAGGTCATCGTTCTTCTCTCCCGATGGTATTTCGTGGGCCAGTCAATTCGTGAACGAGTATATAGGTCACCTCGCTGCTTACCGAACGGATGTTGACCAGTATAGTCCCTACATATTATCTTCCTGTGCTAACCGATACGTGCGCAGTGCTTCTGCTTGATTCAAAGCGTCAAGATAACTCCGCAACTCATTAATGCAAGCGTAATCCAACAGAGCCTTTGTATTCGTCTTCGAAATTCCCCAAAATCGAGAATCTGATGAAATGATATGCGTGTTCATCATGGTCGTCGTCGTCTGTGTCTGTGTTATGACAAGATTTGGTCCACTACCCCAACCCTAACCCGAAGGAAATTATTCAAAAATTGCTGTTGGATTGCGTTTTGCTTTGCTTTGCTTTTCTTTACTGCTTGATTCTTATTATAACCCTCTTCAAAGTACGGGTAAGGAAGCTCTAATATTGCTTGAAGAGCTTTAGTGAGATAATGTTGTGTATCGTATTGAGATTGGAAATCTCGTGCGTTATTTAGATACGTATCATGGATGGCGAATGATTATTAATGTACTATGTGAAACGAATGAACAATCTCAATCAACGATGAACTGCTTCATGGCACGCTCGCGCCGCATCGTAAGTGGCATAGCCCTGAAACAACAAACGCCCACCTACCGGCAACTTCTAGGCTTCTTCCTCGCTCGGCCACCGATCGTGTTCGCAAAAAAGATTGAGATGAACATGTAGAGGTCTGCGTATTTTCGGACCGAGACTACTCATCCTTCATTTTCCATCACATGCAGTCTACGTCATGATGGAATTTGGAAATGTCATCCTTCTTCATCATTTGATGAATCCGTTTTTGGGGGGATGTATCAAGTCCGAGCGTTGGATTCGCGCCTGGGACGCCTGATTGACTAATTGAGAAGGAATTAGTCTATTCTTGTGTTTCTCTGCGGACATGGTGTTTTTGTTGGACTATTAAGTGGTGGGAGAAGGATGACGAAAAGCATTGATGTTGAATGAGGAGGATGGACCTCGGGGTGATCATTTTTCGAAGGATGATGATGTTGGGAAAGGGAGGTAGGATCTKCTTTATGAACACGAGGGTGTGTTTTGCAGGATGGCAGGAATAGATTGTGAGAGAAGAGAAGGATGATGCATGTTGGATGAAAGTCACCGGAGGATGCGTGTGCTCCAGAAAATCGCTAGAGATTAGGGTGTTGAATATCATTCACTCACTTATCGTCGGAATGATCCGCAACCAAGGACGACGTCACTGGCCTCACGCTTTGGTCTTCCTCAGCAAATTCACAATCGTCTAGCCGACCTTGCATGCCCTCTGTCATGACAGGAAGGAGAGATCGCCGCTGGTGAAACAGCGAGTTCATCTTCACCTCATCCATAGTTGCGACCGGCAGTTCCTACGGCATGACGATGAAGGTGAAATGTCCGTATCACAAGTCCTTACCAGGCGAATCAGAGCCATAAATGAGCGCGCTCGTATCGATCCAATATAGGAATGGATACTGGCGCTGCTTGCGCGAAGGAAGTGGTCATGCGCAATTGCGTAAAGCTCACTCACTACTTTCGAGCGGACGTTTATTAGCATCGAATCACAGCCTGCAGTTGTTGGGAGCGGCTTATAGATCGYGTGCGTCTTCGACATGGATGCGCATGGGCTGCAGAGCATGAATGATCAGCAGGAACATGCAACACATGCAAAATATGCAATGGTGGATCAACCCATCGGTGATTGCTCCGGGGAACCCATCAAATTCCATCGAGTCTGCTTGGGAATGCAACATTTGCGGCAGACTGGACCTGCAGCTTGCCGCGTGRGCGTGAATACGAAGTACTGAGCTTGTGTGTGCGGTTGTGCAGCATGCGGTGCAAGTCTTCTGGAGCTATCTCGGCGGTTGTGACAACTCAACACCGCTAGAAGGTATGATAACGCTTTAGGAGGTCGCGTTGGTTAAATCTCGGAAGTTGGTCCCTGAAAAGAATTTCGGCACGATGATGAGCAATAGTACGCTGATCAGCTTGATCGTCCAAGGGACTTGCTCGAGTGCCTCGATGCGGCAGCCTGTTGGAATCCGAAGTGTTGATGATGTCCGGGGTAGATGCCAGACCAGATGGCGTTGATTGGAAGGGCTCATGCGCGTCGCAGATGGCGTAAGCTTGGCACGCTTAAGCTCGCGTCAGAATCATAAAGGGCGAAGTGATTGGAGCCGGCGGTGAAGGCGAGTAGGATGGCTGAACCCTATCGCACGATTTGTGTGGACTACTGGYAGATATTCTCCTGTGGGTGTGGATATCCGGCACGCGAGGTGGGATGCATGCGTTGATTGTGTGGGTGTGAGACCCGGCCACGTGAAAGTTATGCCGTTTGCCGTGACCTCCATTCAGGATCGAGAGGTTCGAGAGGGGAAGCGTGTTGGAGGCTAGAAGAGCCTCGTCTTACCTGGCGTGAACGAAGGTGAAGTCTGTTGCAAGTGGCTTACAGCCCAGAGCAATCCAAATGGCCACAGTGGATCTCTGTTTATCAAATCTTGGTACTGCGGGTGTGGTGAGACGGCCAAGAGAAGCCAAGTTTATGGAGCTGCGAGCACATCGCATCGCGCCATCCTCGCAAGCGCAGAAGAAAGAAAGGGATTTGCCGGAGGGGTGTTTGGCGCGGAAAGGGACGACGAGGGCCCGTGAAGCCTCCGACGTGGGTATCGCACATGTACCTGTCAAGTCCAATGGTGCATGACTGATGATAGCTCGAGCGAGCGAGCGAAAGGATGATGGTACGCAGCCATTTCGTGGGATGTCACCCAACCACACGGCGACTTGCCACGATCATCGGGAATTGTTCGCCAGCGCCGCGGTTTGAGAAGTTCGATCGTGGGAGCACTGTACGCAGGCGCTTGAGAGGGAAATGTCCGGCTGATGAGCTGTGGCATGTCGGTGAGGATGACCGCGCGGTCAACCACGGCCAAAAGTGCAGGCTTGGTGCAGGAAATCTCACGACTGCAGCTCGCAAGCGGCGGGCATGTGACGATTTCTGGAGGGTGGGCCTAAGTTAGGTGGAGCCGAAGAGCGACAGGCAGGTTTCGCAACGAGGAGCTGGCCTGCAGACTGCAGTCGTCGCTCGCCGTGGGCAGCATCCGCGTAGGCGCGAGACTAAGGTAGCCCCGAGCTGAAAATGCCTCACGGGCATGAGAAGCGGCGGCAGATGGAATGGAGCTGCTTTGTCCCCACGAACGAACGTGGCCACCTGCACTGATGCAGACTAGAACTAGAACTACAGCTTGCATGCATTGTTTCATGCAGCAGGATTGGCAGACTGAGTTCGTGCCGTCGACGCGGACAACTGTCAAAGCTGCATGCATTCCTGTGGTTGTCGCGCCGCATCCGAAGGACTCCCTCCAGTTACATGTGTACACATGGGATTCGAATAGACGTCCAAGTTGACCAATCGACGTCATTGAGTCAATATTAATAAAGTGTGGGCGGGCTGGGCGAACGGGAGTCGAAGCGTTCCAGCTTGTTTGTGGCCACTGCTTGTGCTTGTGCTTGGGAGGAAATTAGCGGTCCATCTCACCACAAAGGCGCGCCGAGTGCTGCTGTGCCTGTTGCAGCACATTATTATTCTGGAGTTGTAGGACAAGTGGGACTGCACTGCAGTGCGTCCACGGTCCACCCAAGAAAAAAGCGCAAGAGCCGGCTCCGTGTGCGTGTGCATGTGTGTGTGTGTGTTGTGGATTAATGTATCATCAACGCTAGCCCGCCCGCCCGCCCGCATCGTTTCGTATTCCCGAGAAATCCTTCATCAACTCGGGCAAGTCCCGCCCGGCGGACCTCGAGACGCCTAATCGCTCATCTCCCTCGCCCACAACACGCTTCCCGCGCGCAATTTCTCCTTCATCATCCCGTCTGCCGCTGACAGACACCCGGGGAACGTGCTGTTGTGTAGGCAGCCTCTCTCCCCGGCGGCGGCAATAATACTGTTTTGTTTGTTCATCATCCATCCTTCGCTCCACCACCTTCGACGAGGCGAACCCAACCCACCTACACAGCCCACCTTACTCATCGCATTCGGTCATCACCGCCAAGTGCAAAGAAGGGTCGTTGAATAGAAACTTCCATTCCCTGCGACCATCCACAGCCCCAATTCAAGCATGTACGCAGCCGGATTCGCAGCAAGCATCTAGCATCCGCGTCCGCTGACCAACGTTTCAAGTCGCCGCCTCCAGCATCCGTGTTGACATCTGCACCCGCGACCGACATCATCTTCAATTAGACATTATGTGTTTTTCGAGATTGTTATAGCACAAGCGGCCCACCTCGGGTCAGCCTGCTCGCGCTCTTCACCGCAGCATCGACAGCTGAGCGCTGAGTTACCACCTCACAATCGAGTCACCACCCTCCGATAGAGAGGAACCCTCCCACCCATTCGACGACGACGACAACAACGAACTCGACCCGTCGACATGGACTTTCGCAAGGTGACACCCCGGGCGCCACCAGCCGCCACTGCCGATATGGACTACACAGAAGAACTTCTCGCAGAAGTCGACGAGCCGCCCGACGAACGAAAAGAGCACACTTCATGGATGCCTCCCAAGTTCCAGCCGGCATTCGGCAAGGCCAACCCTGCCATCTCCAACCGCAGAGAATCCCTCTTGACACGCCAGCTGCACTCCGAAACCGATCACACCGATGAGGAGGAGAACAAGCGCACACACAGCCCACCCCCGAGGACGCTGAGTACACAGTCGACATGGAGCAATCCGAGCATTGCGTCCACGGCAGAACTGACCAGCGATGACGGCCATAGCGTCGCCAGTCCTGCTGTCAGCCCTCCGCTTTCACCCACCGCAATCACATCCGCCATTCCTCGCTTCATCTCTGAGAAGCCATTGACCAAAGAGCCCACGATTGTGGGACTTGCAAAGGATCAAGGTGCTGCTCCCGAGGAGAAGAATGTGGAAGAAGGGTTGGGACGCAAACGTTGCATTAGCTTCGCATGCGGTAATAAGAATACTCCCCCTCCGGTTCCTGCACCGGCACCACCCAAGGAAGCGGAGACTCCAGCTGCCTCTCCACCCAAGCGCAAGTGCATGCTCAAATTTGCTTGTCCGACCAGACCGGGATCCGAGAAGAAAGTGGAGAGACCGGCGAACGTTTCAAGGCGTACGATGAGCCCATCACCGCCGGAGCGAAAGTCTTCTGCCCGAGCTGAAGTCACAAAAGTTCACCGTGGTTCCGACAGCACCGTCACCCACGTCTCGCCGAAGAACGCCAGAAAGTCTCCTATTCTCCCCAGCGTGGACTCTGCACCTACGACTCCACGCCCAACACTCACCCGGAAGATGTCCAATGACTCGGATCGTAGCACCGAAGCTACGCGCTTTCACGAGTTCGCTTCAAGCGATGACGAGCCAGAGGAGTGGGTCCTGGAGTCTACCTGCCATCGGAGTCGTCTGACCATCAACGACACGCTTCAGAAGGAAATTGTTCTGCGTAAAGCATGTGAAGAGGTGGAGGAGGAAGCCGTGGAGGAAGAGGAAGATGAGGATGAATTGGAAGACGAGGCTGAGCTCGACGACGAAGAAGATGATGATGACCTTGACGAGGAATCGGATGAAGGATTCCACACGGATGATGAGGAAGGTTTCGCTGAATCCGAGTCGGAGGGCGAGGGCAGCGATGAGGAATGGTGGAGACCGGGAGGACTCTCAACCGCCGCCACATCTATCGAGCAGCACATGGATAGAATGACCATCACGCGGCCAGAAAGGGARGGATCTCCTTCTTCTATTGAATCTACCAGCCCTGGGAATGTAGAGCCGCCGAGGATGATACGGCCTAGACCGGAGCGCAAGTCCCGCCAACACAACATGCCCATTCATCCCCGGAAAGAGGCCATGGACCTTCCGGATTCGACGGACTTTGTGTGTGGGACACTGGACGAAGACCGCCCTCTGGAGCAAGCATATCTCAATCACATTAAACAGCGTGAAGCTGCCAAGCACAAGGCTAGACCACAGGACATTGATCCTACATTTCCAACTTCAGATCCTGACATGGATGAAGAGGATGATGAGGATCTTGAGGATCCAGATGACAGTGATCATGAGACCCTCATGCATGGCAACATCGACGAGCTCGATGGAGATTGCACTGCCCGGCGAAGGAGCATTGTTCACCGTTCTCCGCCGCCGCCCGCTCGCCGCCGCTCTCCGGCTCCAGGTCTGAAGAGACAAGGCACTGCTCGATCTCCACCACCACCTGCTCGCCATCGGTCGCCTGTTCCGGCTTTGAAGAGACAAGGTACTGCTCGCTCTCCACCACCTCCGACTCGTCACCGATCACCTCCACCTCCTGCTCGTCACCGGTCTCCGGCCCCGGCTTTGAAGAGGCAGTCGACTATTCCAAGGCACTCGCCAGCCCCCAAAGCTACGAGGAGGAACCTGACTGGTCGCTCGCCACCTTTGCTCTTTGGCGCCGTGCAGCGTGAGAGGTCTCCACTGACCCCGGGCATGCGATTCACTTCCCCACCAAACACACGCCGATCATCGCCTTACACGTCCGACGCGAATGTCAGCATGCCACATGTACTTGCCAGTCGTCCTCAGCTCACTCACACGGCATCGCTCCCTCGTGGCGGTGGTTTCACTTTGAGAATGCCACACGCATTACGTCCCGATGAGGAAGAGGACTCGGATGCAGTCGCTGCCGCTGCCTCGGGAGATCTTCCCAAACGTGGCGCCATCGACATCTTCAAAGGCCTCGAGAAGAAGCGGCAGCGTAGGAAAGAGAAGCTCTACCAGAAAGCTTGCGCCAAAGCCGCCGCAAAAGGCGAAAAGGCATACAAAGTCAAGCCTGGCAGAGGAGCCGAACGAATGAGAGAAGTCGGCCTGGAAATGCAACGCTACCACGGAAAGGGAGAGCACATTCTCTCCCTTTGAGGGGAGGAAATTTTATCCCTCTTCATCCATCCCATCTCTGCGAGCTCGAATACAGCGCCGCCGTGAACCACGGCACTATTCACAGACTTTGTTTCCAAAGGAATGGGTCTGTCTGGTCGCTGCGCTCGTGGGAGATATCCCTTCGTTAACAATTGTGAATGAAGTTTCTCTTTTTCTTTTATCTGAGTATCATGGGAGTTCTATACCACATTGCAAGCGTTCTCGCATCTAGGAAGGGGAAGGATGACCTGGGAGGAATTGCTGCTGGGTCCGTTCGCTTTGAGCGTTTTACCGGGGATGGTGTACATACCATGGTTTATGGCTTCGAGAGGAGAAGTCTGTGAATATGACGAGGTTCTTTATCGTGGTTTCCCTCCTGCTGTGACTTGTATGCGTGTTCGCAGTTTTTGGTCAGACTGTGCGATCTTCCTCGCATATTCACGTGTATGAACATCACCGATCGCCAAGATCAAGGCCAATGGCGGTCTACAATTGGTGTTGGTTCAATGTATGGTAGCCCGAGTAGACGAACAAAGTTTTGACATGTGAAGATCCAAAGCTCGTGATGCGAGGTCATTATTTCATCTGCACACCCTCAAACAGGCGTGAATTGCCTTGACCATGCTCACATTACATCGATGGTGAGTCGTGAAGATTCCGCAGCAAAGTGAAGATTAAGCAACATGACAGCCACCCCTATCGAAGTCTGAGCAGACCCTCGTGACTGGCCCATTAGAAGCCACCAACACCAGTAGACCGATATGTATACCCATTCGTTCATCCATTCGAACGCAGATGACAATGTCAAAAAAAAGACCGAAAACGCCGCTGTGGCTCTTCGATTCCGTGCCACCTCATGACCGATACTCGCGGCTGGAAATGAGGTCTGCTGGGAGTCAGCCGTGCAAGTACGGGAGAACATGGTCCTCAAGCTTGCCTTCCCCCGATAACGCCATGCTGTTCCCGAACTTCCTCCAGACAAGCAAGGCTCTTCTCCATCCTCGACTGAAATGTGGCTCGATGGCGCTGCGACAAGAACAATATCCCGCCCATTGCCATGTTCATACTGACCGCCAATCCATGCGTGGTGTAACGGTAGCACTACTCCCTCGAGCCGATGGCGACAATACGTCATTACTGCTGCTGCCGTGTTCCAATTTCGCATTGCCCCGATCCTTTCAAAAAGTAACCTCTCCCTGTCACACACTCTGGGGCATTGCAAGACGCGCGGATGTGAGTGTACTAACCGTTGGGCCACACCTGCTGATTCGACTGGCTGTTGCAGCAAGAAGACGACGTCGCATATTGATTTACCGCGCCATGTCCACGAACTGAAGCTAGTAGCTCTGTGGGAATTGGTTCGCTGGCTGGAAGTTTGTCAGTACGCCACGCCTCTCAGAAGTCATAGCTCATCAACACCACATACCGGGCTGTTCAACATGCTTTGCCGTTTGTTTCGTCCTTTCTTGATGTGACTCTTGAGCGCGCTGGAGTCTAGCGGCTTTAGCAATTCGAATGAGCACAGCAGTTCGCCCGAGACGCTCATGACAGCTCCCCAGTTATCAAATTCGCCGCAGTACTACACGACATGTCAGCAGTTCCAATTGACCCACAATCACGTTCGACTTACATTTGGTGCCGAGAAGACGGTAACCAGAATCCTGTCGTTGAAAAATTCATATCCATCTTCAACGACCATGTGCGCTCGGCACACCAAATCGAAATCATGCTTCTGCAAAAACTCCATAATGACCTTCTTTCCAAAGCAATAGCTCACGCCTCTTTCGTTGGCTTCCCAATCCGAGTCCATGTCCGACGGATCCGACCACAGTAAATCGTTCAGGAGCCCATAGTCCGGAACGTCTGTAGGACGGGCGATGTTTCGAATGTCGTCCATGTGAGTCAGCGATGGGGATAGACCGCCGTGCACGCAGAAGATCTTGCCAGCCACAATGGCCGCAATCGGCAAAGTGTTGAAGGTGTCGACAAAAGTCTTCCACACCTTGACATTGCACCTCCTCTTGCACTCGTCGTAGAAGCCGTATACTCGTGTGACGTTGGCGCATTCGTGGTTGCCTCGCAACAGAAAGAAGTTCTCCGGGTATCGCAGCTTGAAGCACAGCAACAGAAGAATGGTCTCCAAGCTCTGCTTGCCACGATCGACATAGTCGCCAAGGAAGAGGTAGTTGCTGTCAGGAGGCCAACCACACATCTCGAACATGCGGATCAGATCCGCATACTGGCCGTGCACGTCGCCAACAACCTTGACCGGCGGCGAAAGCTCGAGCAATGCCGGCTGAGACAAGAACAGTTCCCGGGCAGCGTTACAGATTGCTGTGATCTCGGCGTTCTTAAGGCATACTGTCTTGGTGATCTTTCCAGAGTAAGCTGCATCTACAAGCCGCCTGATGAACTCGTCCAAATCGGCAGTCTTCAGCGCGCCAATGTCCATCGATCCAAGGGATGATGGAAGTTCTGCGATGCTGAGTGCACCTGCGCTGGCGGATCCAGCGGTTGGGCTACCCGATGAAGCCTTCCTCACCAGAATAGATCCCGTTGGTTCCTTGTTCTGTGCCATGTGGTATGTGTTGCCCTGTGGAGGGGCGTCGGAAATGGCGTCGACCTCTCCGCTGCGCTGTGCCTCCGCCATGTCGCTGTGCCCAGCGCCAACAGAGCTTGACATGGTCGGTGAAGGTGGCGGCTGCTGCTCGCCCTCCTCAGCAAGACTTGCACGGTGTGACTCTGAGATTGAAGCCGGTCCTCGCGAATGCTTCTGCGACGACTTTCCGCTGGCAGCCGACTTGACAGAGACCGAGTCACTCTTGTCCACACTCGTTGTGGATGGGTCCCCAGCTAGGTGTGTGCTCGACGCTCGTGGACTGTCTGATGAGCTCTTTCCCGGGATTTTGGGCATGGTCCGCAACGCGGTTCTGAAAGAGCGCGATGATTCTTTGGTGTCCGACTTGCTGAAGGACGGGTAGGAGTCCAGGCTGGGACCTGTAGGAGTTGAAGAGCCATTGCTACTGACCCTGCCGTCCTTGTCCTTTGATTGCTGGTTGCCCATGTTGGCGACGTGGCTGCACCGATGGCGGATGTGCGGGGGATTTGCAGATAAGGATGCGGTTAGTTATTGTGATCGCGGCTGCGCGCAATGGTCGGAAATATGGTCGGGTTTTAGGGAGGTCGGAACAGCCTCGCCAGGTAGGCTAGGCAGTGCGCTTGGGCAGTCGGCGTAGCTAATGCTGCGGCATGAAGCTGATGGCTCCTCCGCCGATGATGACGTTGCGGCGGGGACGGGGCGGGCGTGTCGCGTCGTTGTCGTCGGGCCAGAGTGTGCGGGGTGGATTGCACGCGGGGCTCGGTGCAGTGGTGATGATGGGGACAGCGAATGTAGCGGGAGCGAGGGTGGTTGCACTGAGATGGTGTGTCTTCGAGAAACCATGGGTCATATGCGGCTCATAAGGCAGGCGTGCACGGCTTCCGTTCTAGACTACTTGTAGATCGGCATAGAACAACTCCACGCGACAGAGCCGTCAACATTATTGACGGCTGGGCATGTACAAACATTTACTTTAAGAGCAGTACAGCGGGCGGCCACGAACGCAACGCGATCACGAGACAGTCTGACTCAACTCACGCGGATCTCAGTAGGTCGTGAGTTGCAAGGGAGAACCTTGCATCTCATGCGTCAACCAGACCTTCAAAAGCACCAAGATTGAAGAGCCCAAGCTGACCACGTAACTTATGTGGAGCTGCCTTGGCTCGACCAGCAAATCAGTGTACGCGACCATGCAACAGCTGAACGCCACCTTCCGCAAAACAATCGATCAAGGACCCTACTCCGCAGTACTGTACTGACCATGACCAAGCAGCTTGTCACATCCACCACGGACGCTGCATCAGAGATCGTCACCTGACGAGAATGGCCCATGTCCAACCAGGTGGTTGCGTCAATTCACATGTCAAGAGTTCATAATTGTACATATGCTACATCCTCTCCTCTTCCCACTCTTCATCTTCTAGATCGGGTTCGCCGAAGATACTGGCCCATAGTCTCGCCCCTAAACCCTTCTTCTGCACCATGGCTAATACCAGAACAATGGGTAGCTGCCAGACACTCGCCCAGAAGAGGGCCCGCGAGGATCCCTTCTCACCGTTGAACCTCCACATTCTGATGGCCTCCCTMAACATCCACGCGTTCGCCACACTGCTCGTAGCTATGAATGCTGGATCTGTAACGTGGTACCAGCTCAATGCGGCACAGATCGGGAACATGGCAAAGCTGTACCTCAATGACACGCGGCATGCCATTGGCATGTTTGTCGATGTCAGCATCTTGTATCCTGCTCCAGCATACTCCTGCCTAACACCATACGACAAGGCGAAGAAATGAGGGAATTGCCATGAAAACAGCATCGCTGCAAGCAGCCATCCTCCAATGGCTTGTTCCGTAAAGAGCAGTTCCTTGGACTCGGCCCAGATTGACGTCAAGCTGGTYTGTRTGGCATTCATCGTGCTGTATTGACTGGCTGCAGCACACCAGCCCATGAGAGGTGGTATTCCGCCCACGATTGCTCCCACCCAGGTGTTCACCGGATGCATCCTCTTTGAGAATGTGTAGGCGACAGCGTACAGTGCAATATTGCTAGCTCCCAAGATCGCTGTCGTGGGGTTGACTCCATACCACAACACTCCGGTGCCGACTATCCCAGTTGCAATGGCAAATAGCAGCGCAGCCCGCTTGCTGATCAGACCACGCACCAACGGCCTATTACGCGTCCGAATCATCTTCGCATCGTGCTGTGGCTCAAAGAGCATATTCAAGGTGTTTGCAGACGCAATGCATGCAAAGGTCCCGCTGGTGAGGAAAGCAAGGGTGAGCGTGCTGAGAGAGGGCGCGTCGGTTACGGAAGTGCTGAGTAGTGCTGGGACGGGATAGATCGAGTAGGATGCGGTGGTCGTGAGGACAATCAAAAAGGCCAGACGCGGTTTCGTCAGGSCTAGGTAAGTAGAAAAGATCCGTCGTAATGACTTGGCCGGCGCGGCCTCTGCGTCTCGGGAAAGTATGGAAGATGCATCTGGAGGTAGTTGTGGCTCGCCAGCTGTGTCGAGTAATGCAGCTGCGGCTTTTAGTCGCTTTCGTCGTCGATGTGGCGGCTCCTGATTTGTGGGATCAGTGTTCCCCTGTGGTGTTGTTGGATCCTGTGGAACGGTATGTGCTTGTCGTGTTCCTTCAGCTACTCCTCCGCCTGAGGAAGAGACTTGCGACAGTATTTTCGAGCCCCCCTCTTTTCGTGATTGGAAGGCATTCGCCCAGAAGAATCTCTTGTCCACCTCTTCATCTCTCGACACTGCGACCTGGCTCGTTCGGACAGCCCGCGTGAATGGCCGTTTGTGTGGTGTGCTCAGGCGAGCCAGCCTCTTTGCGCAACTGAAGCATATTGATCCACCATCCAGAGGCGCCCGCAATGCCGTAGGTTGCAGGCGAAGAAGCATTGGGACTTGTCAAACGCGAAGACCGCGACATTTCTTCGTGATGAAGCACTTTTGAGATGTCGATCCGATTAGGGCTTCGGCGACTTCATGGTTGAATCATACACCCGGCTGTTTCCGGGGTCGAATGCGACACGGGCAAGTATTCATAACATAATGCTTGAGCAGCTACATTTTGTCTATTTTAATCCTCTCATGATGATCGAACTGACCTTCACGGTTCCGCCATCTAGCACTGTTTTTATTCCGCATACTAAGCCCTGAAGCGGCAATGTACATCTTATGAAAGCATGTAGTCTGTATTCAACCTCACCCTCTGAGCAAATCCATCAACCAGAGTACCGGCGATTTCTGCAACAGTATGTCCTCCGCAAGCACCCTATCCAGGGCCTGTCCACCCTCTAGCATCCTGCACCCTTGCAGGTCAAGTTTGAAGCTGCCGTTGCCCTTGACCTTTACGCGCGCTATCTGATCCCGGAGAAACATGCGTCGCACTTCTCGGATGGTGGCAGGCCAAATCCCTTTGACAGCCGCAGTGACACCACTGCTCCGTGTTGGCTCAGCAGCACCCTTGAAATAATCCGCGGTCCAGGATTCAGAGGAAGCCATGGGTATGGAGTGAAATTTCAGATCCTGTAGGGCGATCGGTACTCGCCTGTCCAGGGCGACATTCGTAATGTTTGTTTCAAGGATGTCAGGCTTCAGGAAAGGRAGCTTCCGCTTGACTTCGATGCGTAATGAGCGCGGTCCACGGGTGTATTTGGACGTAGCATTGGCAATATTGGCTTCAGCAGTCACAATGGCAATCGACTTGATCAATCCGAAGGGTCCAAGGAGGAACATTGTCCCAAAGGAGGCTGCAGCGAGTGCAGAGATTGCGCCGATTGCCTTCTTCCACCTAGGATGAAACGTCAGCGTTATCTTGGGTAGAGCTCTTATGCCTGTTGGTCCTCACCATGGCGGTTTAGAGCCATCCGGGCTGTCCTTCAATATCAACTCCGAGTATGAATATGCACCTATAATGAAAAGACCACCCGCAAGATACGATACGACATAGAAAACCCCATGACTAGGGKCCGTGTAAAGTAGAACGACATTTTGCTTAGCATCTCGCATCTGTTTCTCGCCTGGAATCACAATCGGTGGTGGTTTGCCAAACTTTGCTGGCTCCGGCGGGCTGGGTTTTTTATTGGCGGCGGGGACTTCGACCGCAGCCTGGGAGAGTCCATATGGTTTTGGCGGTGGTGGCAAATGTCTGCCCTTTTGTGCATATGTTCTTTGGGCCGTGACACGAAATCTCAATGCAGATCGGGATGGCTCGAGGATGTGTTGTCGCAAGCCAGGAGGCAGCCGTAGCAATAGCCGCGTGGCATTCGACATTCTGACGATGGAGATCCGTCTTGGTGAGGAGATGATGGACTCGAAACGAATGTAATTGAAGTTAACATTAGTGTTTCAACTTCCACGTGAAGAAGACGCGTGCTGCATCATCGGGGCGTTCCAGCTCCCGTCGGAGGCAGTTCGGCCAATTTGTTCTCAACGACAGCCCACCTTTTCCTGAGCTGCTGTCACTTTCCATCCTCACGACCACTCGCAGTTGAAAGGCAGTGGAAGCAATGGCTGGAGTCGCAAACACAGCACGCCTGTCTGCTCGGTTCGCTAGCAGATATGCTCCCCGATACGTCTCGCGGAGAGGTAAGCTCAGCGCAGTGCACACTGCTTCAGCGGGAGTATTGCCTTGCAGAATTGACCGGAATCACAGGTTTCCAAGCCTCTGCGCAGGACCGGGCTGCTCAGAACTACACAATGCCTGCCCTCTCCCCTACCATGACCGAAGGAAGCATCGCGAGCTGGAAACTCAAAGAGGGCGATTCATTCTCCGCCGGAGATGTCATTTTGGAAATCGAAACAGACAAGGCGACCATGGATGTCGAGGCTCAGGATGATGGAATTCTCATGAAAATTGTCAAGGGAGACGGGTCAAAGGGTGTGCAGGTTGGAGAGCGGATAGGCGTCACAGCAGAGCCCGGCGACGATATTAGCAGCTTGGAGATGCCTGCAGATGAGCAGAAATCCACAAAGTCGGAGAAGCCCGCGCCGAAGAAAGAGGAAAGCAAGGCTGAGAGCGCTCCTGAGCCAGCTCAGCAGTCCGATACGAAGCCACAGAAATCTTCTACAACCTCTGGAACATCGAAACAGAGCGGCAAGCCGAACAAGCAAAAGTATCCCCTATATCCATCAGTGGAGCATCTCCTACACCACAACGGCCTTTCCGCAGCAGATGCGAACAGTATTCCGTCTACAGGACCAGGCGGTAGGCTGCTCAAGGGCGATGTCCTGGCCTATCTCGGAAAAATTAATAAAGATGCACCTGCACAGGCGTCCGCTCGTCTTGATAAGCTTTCACATCTCGACCTGTCGAATATCCAACTCGCGAAGAAAGCAGAGGCCAAACCTGAAAATAAGCAAGCCGAGAAGGCTGCTGAACCCGAGCTGCCTCAGGAGACCGAGATTGCCATGCCAATCAGCCTTACATCTGTGATTGCGACTCAAAAGCGTGTACAGGAAACTCTGGGAATCTTCCTCCCTCTCTCCACATTTATTGCTCGCGCTTCTGAGCTAGCGAATGACCAGCTGCCTCTAAACAAGTCCCGCCAGCCCACCTCGGACGAGCTGTTCAATGCCGTACTAGGACTTGACAAGGTCGCCCACAGCAGCAAGGGCAGCTTCTTCCCAAACATTACCGGACTGTCAGTGGCGCCTATGGCCGTCTCGCATCGTCCTTCAAAGAAGCAGGACATCATCGATATACTAGCCAGCAAGCCAGCCAAGGCCCGAGCGCCGAAACCTGATGCCGCCAATGTCTCTGGCATTTCCACCAGCGACAACATCTTCTCCGTTGTTGCAAAGACCGGCGAGGAGGAGCGTGCTGCCGCGTATCTGGAGCGGATGAAGCTGGCTCTTGAGGAGCAGCCTGGACGGCTTGTATTGTGATTGAAGCGGCAAAGCGTGGAGTTTGGGTCATCGATAGATCATGTTGGTGCTATAGCTTGAGAGCGTGTATCTTTATATCCTGTGATCAATAAGGCTAGCACAACCGCCTCTTTCATACGCCATTGTGGATTCAAGAGATGGTGTTAAGAGGTACGCTCAGGTTTGTGGGAAGAAGTACCAACTAACGGATCGGCAGAGCCAACTATTCCCCATCACCTGGAGTCATACGATGCCCTGCTTGATACCAACTCCAAATGTTGAGACCAATCTTCTGTCCAGATGTGACAGGCATGCCAGCATGTATGGTCTCTTTGTAACCCCTTCCATCCGCATCAAAGTTCATCCAGAATACCGCAGCTCCCTTCTTAGGCTTAAAGGTCACTCCCATATTAGAAACATCGTCCTCTGATCCGCACTCAATGACATTGCACCATTTCTTCTCCGCAGGTCTGGGCAATCGTGGGAAATGAGTTCCGCCGCCCTCGCAAGTATCTTGCAAGTAGACCATGAAGCTACTCGCTCGTCTTGAGTCTTTGTTGGCGCTACCCCAATCGTAGTGTAGAGAGTAGTGGCCCGACACGTTATATCTTTGCGTCCAGAGCTTTTCGATGAAAGTATCTTTTGGCCAACCTTGGAACTCCAATGCTCGGGATTCAATGCATTGAACGATATTGTCTCGTTCGATGCCCGCCTTTTCAGACTTGCGAACGGTATTGTCTATACCTTCGATGCCCTTGTTTGAGACTGTGGAGATGTTCCATTTGTTTTCGCTGCGAGGTTGATTAGTGGCGACACAAAATGCAGGGGATGAAAGATGAACCTCAATTTAATCAGATGATCTGCCTCGTTTTCGCTGAGGAAGCTTTCAATATGCATCACCAGTGGAGTCGCGGAGAAGATCTTGACTGCGTAGTCGTGTCGAGGACATTGTAGATCTTTGGAAGGATAGACAAGCTTGCCGACTTTTGCCTTTGAAGGTGCCACTCGGGATGACTCGTCTTCGACCTCTTTTGTTGGGGAGCCAAGGAAGATGTAGAGAAGGATTGAGATGGCGGCTATTTCGAAGAWTGTTCGATATCGAAAGGGCTGAGTGGCCATTCTTGGGAGAAATTTCTTGATGTATTCGCGAAGATGACGAGAGGTGGGAGGGACATCGATGTCATGTGGTCTACCGGTTTCGTATCAAGAATCAGTGATGGAGAGGTTGATGCATTGGGACGGAGATTCCCATGACAAGACGTTCGTGTTGTGGTGTGGTAAGCCGGTTGATTCGTCATCGTGCAAGGCTTGCGCATGAAACAGGGAAGAACGAGATGCAATTGATCAATACCTTAGTCTCTATAGAAATGTTCCTCGAGTCTTGCAATGCAACTTTATGCCAGCTTCACGCAAAGAAATGAAGAAGAAATTCTCCTCTATTTACATAATCATCACTTCTTCCACTTCTTGGGATCCCCAAGGATGACTCCCTGAGAATTCCACTTGGATGAAGACTCCATCGAAATAGTCTTTGAATTGTCCTTTCCCCCATAATTGTTGCCAGACTTGAGGTCTCTCCATCTATCGCCCCACGTTCGCTTCGGTCCGGCATCTGGTGGTGGTCCCAATACAGCCGCGATACTTGCTGCTGATGCCGGCTCTGTGTAGCGTTGCGGCGTGCGTTTACCAGCAATCTTCCCGTATGAAGGCGGTTGACTGCTGGGTTCCGAATCGAAGTATGTTGGTGGTTCCCGATCCGGCGAAGGACTTCTTTTCACAGCTTGCTGCTTAGATTTTGGAGATTCCATGGCCCGGTTTTTTGATTTATTGTTGCTCTTCAATGCTGACGTCTTGAATATGAGCAATCATCCAGCAACCATGGCTTTTATCTCTGCAGGCAAGAGTCGTGTTTGTGCCGAAGGATTCTGTTGATGTCACCCGCCAAGGATATATGCTCCACCACCGAGCCGAGACGATGCCCAGCCATTAATCTATGTAGGGAGCTCCTGTGGCCCCTCGGAGGTGGTATGCAAGGCCAAATTTTCTCTGAAGCGCAGGTTTCCGGCAGTAGCTGCAGGTCTCCGCGTTATGTGGTGATGGGCATCCGCCACATTGACAGGCCCAAACGCCTGCCAGCAGTGATTGAATGTAGTGTTCAACAAACGGCAATTCCTTCCACTGGCAGAAAACACCGCTTGATCGATTCACCTCGAACAAATGGACCAACCTATCGCAACGGGTCTGTCCCCAACTGCGAAATAGCTTCAGATCATACACCCAAAATCTGCGGTCTGCGGAGCCGCACCGACGATAAACCTTTCATCCAGCCTGAGCACTATACTCAGATGCATGCTTCTGGCACTCACCATAGCAACCCAACCATCCCATATATGGCTGATATTCCGTCCAGCCCATGCGAGATGCTTGATCAGCCAGGAGACAGCCTTCCGAAATTGCGGTGATCCAGGTCTTCTCACTGTGAACGACGGCTGCGTTGCAAGTTTGGAATCGGCACTTCAGAGCACCATGCTCGTTGATGTTGAGCTTGTTGAGAAAAGTCAGGTAGGCGATTAGAGAGCTGGTGGATCGACAGAGGTTGTGCTGAGCGATAGCCATGTGCAGGAGGTCTGAGGATACTTAGTTAGCTGGGGTATTGCTGGGATGATAATGATTGAAGAGTGATACCAAGCACGGAAGCCATCGCTAACACTGATGATTTCTTTACTCCGGAGTTGTTGAATCTTCGGTCTTCTATGAGGATTGGAGTTGGTTCAAGTTGAYTGTCTGTGGAATGCTTAGTGTTCTCACAAGTTCGCGTCTTGAGTGTCGAAGCAATGCTAAGTATCTTTTTTGACGATTGCTTTTTCGTTTGATTTGCGGTCAGCAGTGGCGCACAGGCAAACGAAACAGAAAGAAAAGTAGACCCACATGCCGCGCCACCCAGGCCTACCCTGATGGCCAACAGATCTTCACAGGGTTATGACAAGCTAGCCCGACCCAGCGCTACGGATGTAACAACGCAACAGAAAACAATGTGCGCGGCTCGAGTCCATGTCGATGCATTCGAGCTACTGATCATCCTAGATTATAGCTTACAGTCTCGACTGAATCTTCTCCGGCGTATCACCCAAAGCGTATTGCACTGCAAACTTCTTGCTGCGAACCTTCTGGATTTCATCCATGGAAGGCGTCTTGGCCTCGATGGCCGGGTTGTAGCTCCAATTGGTTCCCTTGATGGCTTCCTCATTCGTGAGTTTTTTGTTGGCCTTGCCATCGGCACGCTTGTACACGTTGATGACGACACAACCACCAAGTCCGAGGTTGTGCTGAAGGGCTACTTTGGCATCGACGTGTCGAGGGCCTGTCCAGCCACGAAGTTGCCAGCAGAGTTCTGCACATTGTGCAAGTCCGGTGGCGCCCAGGGGATGTCCTTTTGATTGGAGGCCTCCTGATGGATTGATGATAGGGCCCTTGCCACCGTATGTGATGTCGCCGTTCCTAACCATCTCATGAGCCTTGCCTTTCTCACAGAATCCGAGACCCTCTAGCAGAATGAGCTCGTTTGCGGAGAAGCAGTCATGCAACTCGCAGACGGCAATGTCCTTGGGGGTGACTCCAGCCTCTTTGTAGGCCATCTGGGAAGCGTTCTTGGACATGCCAAACCCGCAGAGATCCATAGCGGACTAGGTCGACATCTGTCAGCATGACTACATGTATTAGCGTCGCTAAGCAAACTCACCATGCTAAACAGTGAAGGGTCGTCAGTCTGGAGCTGCTGGCCAGCCATAAGAATGGCTTGGCTCTTCAAGTGTGCGCGGGCATTGAGAAATCGTTCAGACACAATGACTGCGGCTCCGGCTCCGTCACTTGTAGGGCTGCATTGAAGCTTGGTCACTGGTGCATGGATCATGGTAGAATCCATAATCTCCTTGAGGGTGTATTCCTGCTGGAACTGTGCGTATGGGTTTCTGGTGGAATGCTCGTGGCTGATTCTTCCAATCTCAGCAAAGTCTTCAGCTTTGGCGCCATACCTGATGTACAATGTTAGAATGATACGAGGAGCCGTCAAACGGGGTTGATGTACGAACTTCTCCATGTATTCACGTCCTGCGTTGGCAAAGTACTGAGCGTTTCGGGGACTCTCGTGCTTGCCAAATTCATTCTCCATCATTTCAGTGGCCAGTTGCATTGGACTGGGTCGGTCAGAGTAACCGCTCTTGATTGAGCCAGGCTGCATCTGTTCAAAGCCAATGACCATAACACAATCCGCAGCACCCGATCGAACCAGAGTTCTAGCCATGTGAAGTCCTGTCGATCCAGTAGCGCAGGCATTGTTGGTATTGTAGATTGGAATTCCAGTCATTCCAAACTGGTAAAACACACGTTGAGCACTAGTTGTGTCGCCCTGAACCGCAGGTCAGCATCTTAAAAATACTGGAGTTGAATCGATACTCACGTAGCAGAAGCATCCAACTCCAAGTTGTACATCATCGTAGTTGATTTGGGCATCGAGCATAGCTTTCGCGCCAGCCTCAAAGCCCATCTCTACGTAAGATCGTTGCTGTCGCGGCTTGATGAACTTTGTCATACCCRCGCCGAGCACGTAGGCGTTCGACTGTGGCTTCTGAATCTCCATGACTGCTTTAGTTCTTTCTATTTTGGATTGGACAGTAAGGAATAGTGATCAATTGATGGAATGGCCGGGAGAGATGATGTCGTAAAGGTCTATGGTTTCGGAAATAGGCATAAATGTATATGATGCCCTCGGTTGTCAGCCCCGCGATCTCCAAGTTTGTTGCCCGAGGCTGCTATGATGTGCAAATGCATCGGCACAGGTAAGACGAATGTCATTGCGGCAAAAGCTGCTTTTGGCACACATTGGCTACTGCTCACCGTCAACTGTTGATGGTGGTGAGTGAAGATGTAAAGATGGAGCACGGAGCACTTCGACTTGGTGAGGGCACTAAGGTATTGTAATCACTATTTCCGGCGCACGTGATATCGCGCAACGGACGCGTCCCGACCTCCCTAGCTCTTCTGTTTGAGCTTGCATACGTGCCGTACGCCTGTCGATGTTTGTTATTCGTCGGAGCTCTGCAGGTGAATCTCCAGGCTTCCCTTTCTACTGATGGCACATTCCCGAGAACGTCAGCATCGAAATGAGCAGTTCTGGAGCAATGCAGCTGGTCGTGACTCTGTCCCGAGGGCGATGATCCTCGATGGAGCTATCCACCGGTCCTGTAATCATAAACGTATCTGCCTCATGAGATCACGATAGTATAATCATCCTTTGAACGGGAACTTCTCTCGTAAACGGCGACCGGTCCAGTAGAACAGCAATGGAGCCGGCATTAAGACCAAGCTGATGATACCGAAGACGCTCATGCCGAGTCCGTATCCTATCCTGCAGTCATAGTCAGCATTGAAAACATACAGCGTGTGGTTTGCCTCTCGAGCCACTTACTTGTCAAACATACCACCCACAAAGAGTGGAACGACACCTCCGATGATGCTGCGAAGGAAAGCACCAGCTGCGAGTGCTGATGCTGCATTCGCGGTGAAAGCATCAATGTAGTACGTCTGGACTGTGTTGAAGATGCTGACTTGTGAGGCACCGAAGAATAGAGTGGCAGCGAGTGGAACAGGCCAGTCGAGCTTCTTCTCAACAGCCCAGCCAAACCAAAACAAGGAGATTGGCAGGAGCACTGCTCCTATATTGGCCATGGGTAGCCGATATTCGGGCTGGCCATCATCTCCATTGCGATTCGCGAGCCAATCATAGAGTCGGTCGATGAACAGCACGATGAAGAATGAAGTGAAGATGAATCCAGTCGCGGGCCCAAGATAGGCAAGCCCAACTTCCCATTTGCTAAAGTTGTAAGGCGGCGCAGACCAGATCGTGCTGTATTGTGAGTACAAAGTGTACATCGAGCTGAAGATCAAAGCCTGGTAGAAGGACATTGTAAGGACAATAGGCTGGGTCGTTAGAATGCGAACGGCGCGAGTGCTGTTGCCTGCGATCTTTTTGAAAATTGGCTGATCGTTCACTCCTTCAACGTGCCATTTTGTTTCCGGGTGCTGTTTCTCCAGACTGGCCTTGCGTTGTTGTAGTATTGTAGGCCCTCTAGTCTCGTGTAGAAAGAAAAAGCATCCAATCGTCACACATCCAGCCAAGGCAGTAGAGAACCAGAAGATTACACGCCAGTGCAGATTCCCACCAACAATCAGACCTCCAATCAGAGGACCTATCGGTGGAGCGATGAGAGGAGCAATCAAGTAGACGCCTAGTACTTGCGCACGTTCTCTCGTGTCGAACATGTCGCTGATTGTTCCACCACCGTTCGCAACGCCAAAGCTTCCAAATACACCCGACAGTGTCCGAAAAGCAATGAAGCTGGCCACATTGGGCGACAAAGCTGTCGCAATTTGAAGCAAGGTGTACATGGCGAGATTGATCAGGTAAATCGGCCTTCTGCCAAAAGTCTCGGACATGGGCGCATGAAACAGCGGTGCGATGCCTAGCATAACAACAAACCCAGTCTGGGCGTACAGGACAGTTTCTTTGGGACATGCAAAGGAGTTCGTGATGTCTTCCATCGCCGGAGCGAAAATGGCACCTCCCATTGGGCATGCGAACGCCACCATGAAGACTTGAAAGGTCTGTAGGTATTTCCAGGTTAGAGACCATTGATGAGGATCGTCCTTGTCCTGTTTGCCGAATTCCACGGTTCGTTCTTCGCCATGATGATTCTCCTGATGGCTGGGATGTCWGTTCGACTGCAGGAGCGGTCTACGCTCGTCGTGAGTATGTGCCATGGTGTGTTCTCCCTTTTCCAACACAGAGTGTGTTGTTGCAGAGAAGGTGGCGGCCGACGTTTGAAATCTCAGTTGTGATGATGATGTTGTGATGCTCAGGTAACTTGGAATTTTCCCGATGTGGAAAGGTTGGTAAATTTATTTGATTAAGCCAGGCCAAGATATTGATTAAGCTTCGATCCAGAGCTTGATATTTCGCCGCCTTGCCATGCGAAGTAATTGCTTCGAAAGACCAACTACCTAGGTAATGCTGCATGTGCGCTGAGATATGGCTCTATATGAGAATCCTGGGTACTTGTCCCATCTTGTCTGATCGATGTAAAAAATGCCAGAATGAATCAAGTACGTCTGTATGTTCATGAGAAGCTCCCCTTGAGATTCGTCTCGAGGACCCATGGGCGTGGTCAATCTATTTCATGCCTGGTGTGTTTCAGGTAAAGTCACTCCAAATATTCACTCCACACAGGTTCTCCATGCATGCGAGTGGAATCCACCAGCAAGCGGACCGGTGTCCTTCGCATGTTGCTCTCAACTGGATTGGCCGAGAACCATGCTTAGCCGTACCCCCCTAGGCCACGAACTCCACCCCTATTCGCCGAGATGCTTGAGGATACGATAAGACTGGATCTTGGTCTGAAGTACATAGGAGGAAGCTTTGATAAACATTGCTTCGGCGCTCGACACGCCTCTTGCACCTCCTCTTTCCACTCATTTCAGCATGAAGTTCACGACCTCCCTCCTAGCAATCACTGGCCTCGTCGCTGCAGCACCAAGCAAGACGCTCAGCGAGCGAGCAAACTCTTGCGGCCAATGGGTAGACAGAAACCTTCGTCCAACAATATATGTCGGATTTCGCTGACTTCGTTCTGCTTATCAGGATAGCGTTGTAACGGGCACATACACCGTCTACAACAACCTCTGGGGCCAGGACTCAGCGACATCCGGAAGCGGTTGCTTCAGCGTAGAGAGTTTGAGCGGCAAAAGCGTCGCATGGTCCGCCTCGTAAGTTTTGAATCTGATTCGCAGATGACGCGGCACTAATGGCATGACCAGATGGTCGTGGGCAGGCGCCGCGAACGTCGTGAAGGCGTATCCGAATGTCGTCGTAACCGCCGCTGCTAAGCGTCTGTCTGAGATTGCTTCGATCGAATCAAGCTGGGCTTGGAAGTACGGCGGCGCGGATGTGGTCGCTAATGTGGCGTACGACTTGTTCACCTCTTCGACAGCGGCTGGGGAGGAAGAGTTCGAGATCATGATCTGGCTTGCTGCAATCGGAGGAGCAGGCCCGATTTCTTCCGCCTATGTTGGTTTTGTTGACAATCGTTTGGAAACTCGAAGATGCTGACATCGTGACTACCAGGGAGCGGATGGAAAGCCAACTGCTATTGCCACTGTAACTCTTGTCGGACATGAGTTCAGCTTGTTCAAAGGTCCGAACGGACAGATGACTGTCTTTTCCTTCGTTCCGAAGAGCGAGATCGCCAATTTCAGCGGCGATTTGAAAGCGTTCGTTGATTATCTTGTCACCAAGCAGGGCTTGGACCAGAGTCAATATCTGATCAGCACGGGCGCTGGCACGGAACCCTTCACCGGGACGAATGCAGTGTTCAACGTGTCTGGGTACAGTGTGAATATTGCCTGAAAGAATGCAATTCGACTGCTGGAATTGGTACATCGAGGGATAAAGGAGGGAAGCGGAGGTTGAATTTCGTTCCCTTTCGCAGGAAGGCACCATCGGTTTCGTTGCTATAAAGACTAGGCAGTGTGCTATGACAGAGATTGCGAGGAACACAGTAGACTTCAGGAGGCAAATCACGAGGGATTTCGTTCGAAGCATTTACTTTAACTGGATGATAAGCTGCGACAAAGTGTTAGCCATTGTGCGACGAGAGTTTTAAGTTGAAGACAGTGTGTAATGTGAGGGTAATCATAGAGGTTGCTGTGCCTCACCATGGATGCGCCGGTCAAGGCGCTCTGAAAGCCATGCATGTTTTCTGAGCGTATAATCATGTTATGGGGTTGTGGGACCAGGGTCAGCTTACCTTTGACTGATTCCAAATAGCATGGGTCAGCAAAACTGTTCGAAACGACAGGGCCATGTACTCGATCTAGGTGAGACGCCTGCGACGCTGCATGAGATGCACGATCAGAAAATCGTGAAAGAGACGCGAATGTGTCATTAAATCGCTGAGAAGAATCGGGAAGTCGCTTGGACGGCGAGGGTACCTATGTGAGCAATGCATTAGCCGTAGTTCCATGCGAGAAAGGAAGTCGAGGCAAAGTGAGGGTGTGAATTGCGTGATCAGTAGGAACAATTGGTATATTGAATTGAAAGCATCAGTTGGTTTGAGTTCAGGGTAACGATTGGTGTCATCAGAGCAGTGAGAGGGGGAGTATCGCCAGGAGTATACGTACCAATTGCCTGGTCGGTCCGGCTGAATTAGCCATGCTGAACAGCAAGAAATGTCGGCACGCAAGGAGTCACACTTCCCTGGAGATCCCAGTGGGAAGGCAGTATGAACTATGAAGGTCCGTTGGTAGAATTAGTCTGGCAACACCGATGTGGCCGCGCACGCACACCTTGCGGTGATTGCTTGCGGTTGACTCGGCCAGCTCACAGCGATCTCCATCCAGCAAGACGCGTTCAGAAGGGCCGCTCCGCTCCTCGTGAAAGGAACAGACCTCGTGGAATCTCCCGAGGGAGGCGAGTAGCTGGTGTTGTCGGGTTGCGAATGAGAGGTCGTGAGAGGGGCGTTGGTTAGAACTCCTTCATCACAATATCGTATGTTGTTAGAGGCCAAATGTGTGCCTCATGTCGTCGTCCCGCCCGGCCATTACAGCATCATCTCAATCTGCCGGTCATATGAAAAGCAGAGGAGAGTTAGCAGAGCATGTGAAGGGTCTCGCGTTGGAGTTGTGGGTAATGGAGAGAAGAGATGAAAGTAGGTGAAGTCGAGGCGAAGATTTGCTCGAGAGGCCGGAGCTTGGCAACGGGCCGATCATCGACGACCGGCTAAACTCGCAGCTGACAACACGACCGCGCTTCCATGTGTTTGAACATCATGAACGCCTGATCATTGATCAATCCACCCCACGAATTACTCCTCCTCCAACACATTCCGACATATCGCCCAACATGGCCGACGCCGAAATGGAAGATGCGCCTGCCTCTCCCTCGCAACAGGCCGAGGTCGAGGATGGGAAGAACAAGAGTACATCGGGCTACAGCGACACCAAGACGGCACAAAACGCAGTTGCGGTGCGCAGTATCGAGGGGTGGATCATCATCGTCACCAACGTGCACGAAGAGGCGTCCGAAGAAGACATTCAGGATCTCTTCGGGGAATACGGCGAGATCAAGAACCTCCATTTGAATTTGGATCGGCGGACGGGTTACGTCAAGGTGGGTTGGATTGGAGATCAATCAATGGCTTGTGGGCTTGCAGGACTAATGTGGTGTGATGCAGGGATATGTGCTGATCGAGTATCCAACCTTGTCCGAAGCCAAGGCTGCCATCGAGGGCGCGAACGGGGAGAAGTTGTTGGAACAAACGATTGGGGTGGACTTTGCCTTTGTGCGGCCTCCGCCCTCCAAGGGACAAGCGGGCCCTAAGAGCGGACGTAAAGGCGGTCGTCAGCGGAGTCGTAGCCCGGGCGAGAGGCGTGGACGCGACGACGAGGATGACAAGGAGCGAGACTAAGCCGTCTGGCATGGTATGGCATGATGGTGCTCGGGATTCTCTTGCGATGGAATGAGTCGTCCKTCGTTTCGGATCTCATATGCTAGGAAGCATCCTCCTGGAAGCCAGCTTGACCTTTTCTGGAGAAAACGAATCAAACCGCCGACACGTGTCGGCAGGTATTACTGCAACTGCTCAAGTGAGTACCCATGCCAGCGCCAGCGCGCCAAACCATGAATTGATGCTGATACTTCTTTAGCCTGTCATCACTCCCACCTACTCCCTTCACACTGACGAGCACAGCCCGACTCCTTCATCGCAGCGCGCGTGATCTTCACGACGCTCTTCGCGCGATTCTTCTGATCCGCCCGCCTCCCTGACCTGAGCACCTAGCTTCTTCTAGCCACTATTACGCGACACGACACGCCTACAAATGCGATTGCAGTCGAGCAGGGGACATGTGGTCAACCAGTCGCTGCTTCGGCTTTTCATTCCAGTACTCATTATGCTGGATAGCTGAAAACGCCTCTCGCCGTACAAGCAACGCACTGAACGGCCATGTAAAGCCCGCCGTCAACAGTCATGTCTGGATGCTTTTACCACTCGCGCACATCTGGAACGCTTACGCCGAGAAGCGCGTTCGATGGTCCGAACTCGCCGATGTCGCGGACCTAACGTTGGTACACTGTGTCCGCTTTTACATGATTGTGATTGGGATGCAGTGATGCACGCATCTCTCACTATCAATAGCACCTATCAGAATTCGCACCCCTTACAAGCGGAGATGTATGAAGGGACGCATCCGCTACATGTAGTGCGAGCTATTAGCCTGCGGCCACTCGAATCGTAATACTTGGCTGATCATCACTACTGCTTCCATTTTCTCGTCCGAACTCGCACTCAACACCCGCACTGCAACAATTACGACTAACCAACGTCATGGCTCGGTCAATTCGTCATACAGCTCATCTGCTGCCTTGAGCGTTTCGTTTTCTGCCTCACTGTCTGCCTCATCACGCTCATTCACGGTCCCATCTTCCGCCTGTGGGATTTCCAACGGGCCTTGGAAGTCCTCGAACTCTACAGACTCATTGGAACTCTGTGACGCTTCCCATATGTCGAGATACCTTCGTGCGACTGGATCAGCACGCCGGACACTGATGGTACCGCGAAATGTTACGCCCCTGAAATGACACTCTGGGTGCGCTTCCACAAGACTTGCAGCTTTGTATATGTCCCCGATAGTCATACCAGACGGATTGCTAATCTCGTGCACGCTGTCTTGTTCTTCGCTCCTCCAGATAATGGGGTACTCCGAGCTTCCAATCGCACCGCAGCAGCCCGGGAAAACGGTGATGCTCGTGATGATTGGTTCGCACAGCAGAATCTTCTGGCACCTTGCACCCACTCTCGGCAATTGGCCTGGATCGACGTAGACGAACAAGTCCATATCGGCCCTGTCCGTTCCTCCGGTGTAGAAAGGAGCGGTGTCCTCTTCATCCTCGTAAAAGACAGCCGGGGGCCTGATCCGATATGACAGTCCGAGAAGAGTTTCTATGTTGCATCTCCACCCGCCGCTAGGCAGGAAAGTCGAGAATACGTCGCGGTTGCTTCGATTCAGCATCATTTTCCGCTGCAGCTTCGAAGACGCTTCGATTGTCTCGAAGAACTTCTTGCTAGTGGGCTGAGCATTGAAAAGAGTCCTAGGACTTAGATTCAGAAGCACCATTTCCAACAATTCCGTCGCAGCAAATGTCTTTTGTGCGAGAGCGGCTGATCTGGAGGTTTGGCGAACATTGTACTATTGGCGGATTAGTACACGAGGCAAGCCTACTTCGTTCAGAACTTACGAAGATGGGGTCTGCAGCGGTGAACAATCTAGCGAGCTCTCCCACACTGTACTCGGCGTCGTCCAGGATGCATCGAAGGGTATCAGCGTCGATGGTTTCGCCAGCGTCTGCTAGTTCTGAAATCTCCGACAAAGCATACTGAATCTCTTGCAAGTTGCTCACAGCAGTGTGAGTTTTACGTACGCTGAGGCTCAGGCCAACAGGCATCTTTCCCTCGCTGAAAGACATCTCGGTCATCGCAAGTGATCTTGATCGAAGAGAAAGAGAGCTGCAAAGAAGGTATCTACGATGGAATTCCAAGGAGAAGCTGATCGCGGAAATGAAACTGTGTTGAGACCGATGTGGATGTGATTCGATGTTAAATAAGAGCTACGACGACTTAAATGGGAGTGAGGTGTTTGCAAGGTCTCAGAAGTCGCAAACACGCCCCCTGTGCCACGAGATTCTAGACAAGCAGCGAGAGGAGTGCGGAATTGAAGGAACTGCAGCACAAAGAGAGAAGCTAACAAGCTTCCAGTATCGATACTCCTAAGGGCATCATCTTTGTCTTCTGCCCTTCAACGAGTTTGCTCGATATCTACACCTGGCAGCAAAAATTGTGCAAACAACCGCATAGTCTTATCTCGCATCTCAGGCGAGTCCAAATGAGACATGTGGCTGGCACCAGCGAGAGTGACCCATTTCACCTTCGTGATCTGTTCGAAGAAAGGAGCTCACGATCGATACTGTGCGGTATCATATTCCCCATTGAACACAAGAGTCGGAGCACTGATGTTCGACAGTGAGCTTCTTCCATCCCATTCTCCGACCGACCCGTCAAGGACAAAAGGTGATGCACCGAACCTATTAACAAGACTCAAGATCAGTGCTGTACAATAGAAGCGTTCTAGGAGCCAATACATACATCGTAGCGCGGACTGTGTCATCGTCCTCATTATTCGCCATATCAGCGGCTAGTTCAGGTGGTGGGAATGGGCGAGCACGACACAGAAACGTGCTCATGAACGTTCCGATCGCTTCTCCATAGGCCTCACCGGAGAAGTCTTGTCTTTCCACAGCCTGCTCGATAGATCTCTGAGTTTCCATAGGAAGTTGCTTCAGCAATTCCCATAGGCTCTGTTTAAGCAACGGAAACGCAGCATTTGCTCCAGCAAGAATGAGCCTCCTCAATCCCATCGGTTGTCTCGCAGCAAATTCAACTGCCAAACTGYCGCCCCAACTGTGCCCTAGAATGTAATAGCCATGGCCAGTTTCATCGAGACCGAGACACTGTATCAAATTATCCAGCTCGTCAACAAATAGTTTAGGTTGCCAGAAAGACCTATCGTCCCTTCGCTCGCGAAGATGAGTTGATCTCGCACATCCAATCTGATCGTATAGAATCACGGGGATCTCGTATTTCGTCCATAGGTCACTAAAGGGCTCGACGTACTCGTGGCCTGATCCAGGACCGCCATGTAAGACAATCACTGGCGTTGTCTGGAGATGATAGCCATAGATTTTGTAGTATGTCTCGCACAGTTCGGTTCGAGATTTGATTTTGAAAGATACTTTTCCGTCCTGGAAACTTGATTTTGCCATGGGGTGATTTTCAGGAGTGTTCAGTGAAGGATGTACATACAGGTCGAGATGAGGTGCAGCGAGCCCCGCTTGCTGTGCCTGAATCCTGAAGGATGAAGGATGGGGGGTCTTGGATTGATTCTTGTGCTCTCCGGAATTCGGTCTGGTTCCTTAAAGTGAGAGCGAAGCAGGTAGTTAAGAACGTATCCATGGGATGGACGTTCGGGGTAGTTCACTGTCTTTTTGTCCCGGCAAGCTCTTGATTAGCAGCTAAGTTGAGATCAGGCCACCCAAAAATTGGTGTAGAGGTACGTGACAAAAGTCGAGCAAGAAGGATAGACATGACGGGAGGCACAAGTAGCAATGACTTTGGAGTAATGGTCAGGCTTTCGAAACCAAGTTTATGCTACCAAACGCCTTAAAAGCTTCCATCCAGGCTCAAAGTTCCTCCCATTGCAGCAGGGCACTTTGCCGACAACTACGATCCCTCGATGACGGCTGGGAACAACCCAGCCCGAGCATGCTCAAGAACATACCAGAAAGACAACACCAGTCTACGGCTCCGCCTGAATTCCACACTTCAAAAACGCGGTGAATTCAGTCTCTGATGGGACAGCAAGTTGGCCATCGTAGACACAGCCGCGATGCTCCCTGGTATCCACACATTGATAAGTGTGCTGGCTGAGGCCATCCTTGGACTTGACAGTTGCGACGGTGTTCCTGTTGTTCGTCTGTCCTGCTGCCTGGTCGTAGTCGCAGCCGGAGAAGGAAATCTCCACGTTGGCGTAACAGTTGTCGTCGAAGTTTCCAAACTTGTCTGACAGGGGAATGCGCAGAAATTYGAGAGTCTCGTCTGGTTGGCGATCAACACAGATGTCTAAAGGTACGAAAGTCAGCGAATGTCTTAAACATTCAAAGGCCGAGAGAAGATGACGAGACACGCTGTGTGCCTCCCACACTTCTATCTTGCTGTTTGCTTACTGGATCCGGTGGTGATTTTGTTGTAGTTTGAGCACCAGTTGCGGCCGTAGATCCATGCACCCTTCTCGGTGGTGTTGTCCGAGTCAGGGACTCTGTTACAAATGTTAGTGTCTTTACGGGATGATGGAAGATATTGTACGTACTCGACTGCTGCAACGAGAATGTTCGGCCCAATGGTACCGTTGAATGGGCATGATACAGGCACGGGATCTGCGGTGGCAGCCTGWGGAAGAGCGGATGCAGTGAGGCTCAGAAGCCCGAAAGTGGCAAGTGCTGCGAGTTTGTACATGACTATGGTATGTGAATGATGTGTGGTGTGAAAATGATGTGTTGCTGTGTTGAGATCCAGAAGGTTCAGGACAGGAAGTTACGGAGTACTTATACCAGTTGTATGCTTACTTGTGTCACAGACCTTGTTGGCCATCTAATGGGCCAAGTGTCAAGACTCTCCGCCTCCACATATAGCATACTTTTACTAGAGATGTCCAGGGTAAGACCACGTCCACGTGGAGTGCGGTACTGTACGATGTACCTGCCGTGAGGGATCTTCCGAGAGCCGGTAGCTCTACGGTCCGGCATGATGTGTTATTTCCCTTCCTTTTTCGYAGGGTAGCCCGGTAAGACGATCAATCGGTGCGTGTCTTGGGGGTGTTTGGCGGGTAGCGTTTCATGCAGCTCCCTAAACATGTATTTACCAAGCTAAACTCGGTGGTTTGGGGCCTACCGAAGGCTTGAAAGTTGAAGGTCTCCAGGGCAGGAGTAGAGGGTAGAGGGTATGGGATAGTCGTTTATACAAAGCTCCTTAACACACCGGTAATCTGTTCATACTGGAGGACCACATTGTTCGCCACGCTAAAGATTAACCAGGTAGCATTGCATATTTGGTCAACTTGGTAGGAATCATGTGAGGAAAGAGTAATTACTCCTGACGAGACCTGGATCTCATGGTGTTGTATGGAGCCAAGATCCATCATATTTTCGGAGGAAGTGCGGGTTGACAGGGATCCACGCGCTTCTGAAGAGAGGGGATGGCGGTCATTGGGCAATAAGGCTGATATTGGGAGGGAGTGTGTCGATTTGGGAGATTCCGCGCAGCAACCCCACAGGTTTTTCTTCGAGACACGACCCTAGTCTCCTCCCTGTACCGAGTGTTCCGTGGACACGAAGACGTCCATCGACGATTCGGCAGGATCAGAGATGGTTACCTTAGATTTGCCCAGGCTACTTTATTTTACTCGTATGAAAGCATTCGATTCTGGATGATGTCAGTGTGGTCTGATCGGGAAGAGATGAATTTCCGAGAATGACCGGTGGTGTTGGGTGAAGTGCGGTGGAGGAGATGGACGACGGAGAGTCTCGGAGGGAGATATACGAGTAAGCCGCTAGACTCAATCCGGAGGTCTGAGGCTGAGATGCCTACGACGTCTTCCGCGAAATTCCACCCAAGACATCATCGACGCAAGATCCCAACTGCAATCGCGATCGCCTGCGCTTCCTCGTGAAGACATCTGTGCGCCAACACATGCTTGGGTTTCACTTCGAAATGAACTCTCTCTCAAGTCTGCATCAAGCGCAAAGACGCCAAGAGTGCCACTCTCTGTCGCCTGTCAACGCATCGACGTGCGGGCGAACAATGGAGACGTCTCGGCAGAGCAAAACTTGTAGCCATCTGAGTCGGGCAGAGACTTGACTGCTAGCTGACGACGCTGCCACTATGTTCGATGACTCAATGGAAGCATCCAGACTATTAATTTGCGCCAAGAAACGCCTAGTGGGATGTAGGACACGAAGGGCGTAAGGCGTTGACAAGTACATACGTTGAAGGGTGATGTTATCGATCCCAGAGATACGGCCAACCAACTTGTTCAACACAACACAGAAGCACCAAATCATCGTGGAGGCAAATCAACCAGCAAACTCCACAATGGCAGAATTTGAGCTCCAAGAATATCTCAATCGCGCGACCGTGGCGCAAGAAGTCTTCGCTCTTCGTCCAGACTATCGCGCCCTTCTAGTAGCAGCCTCCGGAGTACCTTCAGGACCCAGTGATGAATTGAGCGAATCCATGCTCTCAAAAGCAGAAGAATTAGCACGATCAAATCTAGCCACGCAAGCAGTCACCGAGATCCYTCACGTTGCGGCTTGGAGAGAAGCACACAAAGCCTTTGGATCGAAGCCGAACAAGTGTCGTCCCAGCGTTGAAGCGCTCACTCGACGCATCACACCGCCGGGAAAGGAACCAGCTGCGGGTCTACCGAGAGTCAATCGCTTGACCGACATCTACAATTCCATTTCGGTCAAGTACCAAATTCCGCTTGGTGGAGAGGATCTGAGTAAATATGTTGGTGCGCCGCGTTTAATCCGAGCAAAGGGAGATGAGAGGTTTGAGTTCAAGGATAGAGGCGTCATGGTCAAGGAGCCGCCGGAAGCTGGCGAGGTTGTTTGGTGCGACGATGTTGGTGTTACTTGCCGCAAGTGGAATTGGAGGCAGGACCCGAGAACAGCGTTGAGCGAGGAAACGACCAAAGTGCTGTTTGTTATGGATGCTTTGGATGGCTGCAGCGATGAGAAGCTCGAAACTGCGGGGAACGAGTTAATCGAGGCGATAAAGTCTTTGTCGGATCAGGTCGTCGTGGCGAAGAGGTGTCTCAGAGCTTCATAGAAGAACGCTGTATCCAGAGAAAACGGCAAAGACAATGCATTGTGAAGCAAAACATCCACCGAGAGGTTTCTGCAACAAAGAATGCTGCCAACTTAACATTCAGACATGTTCCGCCTAGTACATTGTTTCACCAACAATGAACAAAGCCCTTTGTGCAAAACCACCATTCCCATTCGTATATCTTCTCCTCGCAGCCTGCAATGCCAGACTCCCTCCTCATTCGCTCTCATTGGCAATTGCGCGTTGCCAAAGAACGTCTCATCAACTCTTTCTCTTCGCCCTTGATCAACACATCTCGTCACCGAAAGTCGCTGGTCGACAACCCCCCTCGACAAGATGTGCTACAAGGAAACCCCTTACTTCACAAAATGCGGCTGCTACGGCAGACCGCAATTCGTAGGTGAGCCCTGTATACGCGCTGCGGTCAATGTATCCCTTCGGTCTACAGGCTGTTGGGATGTCGTTGACTTGGGCGTAAAGTCCACTAACAGCGTGTGCGGGAAATGCGAAGAGGAGAGTCTCTCCGAGGAATCTCGACGACAGTCTCCTCCCAGCTGGTCTGGGGGTGAGAGCAGTAGCCCGCCATGCACTACCTCTCTTGATAGTGAGAGTAGTAGTGGTGCTGGCGGTATGTCGGGATCACCGGAGAAAAGGAAGAGGAGCGCCAGAGCTCAAGCCTGTGTTAGTCTATCCGGCATGGCGAGTTTCAAATCTCGTCGTGCGGATGGGGAAATCGATCGTAGTAAGACTGCGTATCGGGCTTTCTATGACACCGAGGCGAGGTTTTGGGGCTTGAACAGTCTGGAGCATACGGAATCCCGTCGAAACATGGTAAGATCGCAGGTTTCTCCGCCTCTCAGGAGTAGCCATGAAACCTCGCCTGACGACCGGTAGGCAATCTCCATCTCCATCATGATGCAGGTTTTTCAATCTTTTCTCAAATGTCATGATATCTTCTTCCAGCATTGTTTCTTACCTGCTTATTTCCCACTTATTTTCCAAATCCATTGTCTCCTGTACCAACCTATTCAGAAAGTCCTGAACAGCCAAACGGTGCCCCTCGCCGAGTAACACGAAAGTCGTACTCGGCCACATGCCATCCGATGACTGAAAGTTTCCGCCTCGGCAAGCCAATGACATATTGTGAGGCGAAAGATTCGAAGAAGAAGACCCATTGCAGAAGGTCCGCCAGCACCACGCTCACCTACATCATCCCTCTGAACCGGAGCATTCCAGGCTCACAGAGTCTTCTCAAACATCCTGGCGCTTGTGGGTTGTTGGCGAATCAACCTGCAAATCAGTAGCAAAAGTATGCCTCTTACCATCAAGGATGCGGTAGTGTTTCCAATGAACGACAAATCCGCCCGTTCGTCACTCCAACCAGACAGACGAAAGACCTTTGAGCTTGCGGTACATTAACAATGTTTGCTTGGTGCGCGTGAAGTTGTGGTGTTTCTCGCAAGTGGCAGTGTCGCGCCAAAAGATCACAATGTACTGGTCGTTCCGCGCCGTCGTCAAATACCAGCACCTTGGTCCAACGCAGAGAGGCGATCGAGGATGTAATACAGCTACGGCGAGTGTTTCCTTGTCGGCTTAAGAGTCGAGGTAAGAGATGAGAGAAACGGCGAGACTGTAGAATGTGAATCTGGTCAACGTGAACTGTACTGTACATATTCTCTGATTTGCAATTACTGGTATCAAGCTATTTCCGTCTCAACATTCGTTTCTTCGTGAATCGTTTACTTGCCGCCGAACCAGCCAGAGAGACCGCTCTTGGCCTTGGAGGCCTCCGCCTCGACAGTGTTGTCGAACTTGTCCTGTTATCAAGGTAATTAGCATGAATCTTGTTGCGGATTGTGAAGGACGAGCAACAATCGTGGTTGCTGATGCATGTCTCGTCTCATGGATGCTTTCCGTCTTCTCGTCCTCAGTCACTCACAATGTTCTTGTTGATCTCCTTGCCAGCGGCATCGAGCTGCTTGGAAGCATCCTGGCTCAGCTGACCAATCTTGTTGTCCATCTTGTTTGCCTCGGCCTTTGCATCGCGGCCGAGTTGGTTGAACTTGGATTGAGCCTGAGCGGCCGCAGACTCGGCGTCCTTCTTCATCTCCTTTGCGGAGCCTGGGATGTGATCGCGGACCTCCTGTAGGTTGATACGTTAGCATGTAACTTCATGGAGGGGGGTAGCGATGAGAATGAACTTACATGGCTGACTCGAGCGGCGTCGGCTAGAGAATCGTCGTGGTTAGCTTGAACAACATCGAGTAGAAGTCTCACTTCACATACCCTCGACCTTCTTCTGGGCAACCTTTGGGTCACCACCGGCCTGGTAGAAGTAGTATGCAGCTCCAGCGAGGAGAGCTCCACCGCCTACGGTCTAAAGCTGTATGTCAGTGACGTTGTTGGGAAGAGAGCTCTGCTCTACGTACCACGACTCTGTTGGACATGTTTGCTGTTTCTGAGGTACGACTGGGAGCGTAGGGTGTGTAGTTGGTGAGGGGTGATTTGCAGTGTTTGTTGTGGTGATGAAGAAGAACAGAGCAAGAGAGCAAGGCGAGGTTGGCAGAGCTCTTTGGCGGCGCCAATGACACTTGATTTCATTGCACATGTTCGTCGTCATTGCCCTGTGCGCTCTGCGCTAGTCCTTCCCCGGATTGAGACTGCCTGCCGCCGCCACGATCTGCGCTGGGAACAGGGAAGTCAAGGACGGAACGAACTCATCTGTGCTTCTTCTGAAGGGAAAGAAAGGAGCCGAGCATGCATTCACGTCCCAAGACATACTGCACTTGAAGTACAGAACAACCGCACGCTCGCTAACAACACACCCGGGCCATGTGGTGATTCCAACAACCATGTCGGTGGGAAACGATTCCGGCACCAGCTCCACCTCGACATCCCCAGCATCAACCCCGTCGTCACAACAGGCGCAGCAACAAACAGCATCTCGGACGGCGGACTCTCCAAGCCGCAAGTCGCGCATCGCCTCCATCCCGGAAGTGCTGTTCGGCCACAGCCATAGCGACGATTCGGCTCCTATTACGTTGCAAGAGAGGTGATAGCCAGTCCATGTCTTGATACATTCCCCACCGTTACCCTTTTACATATTTTATTCGTAATGTCTGAAACATCATCCTTGGCCCGCATTCCCAGTCCGTCCCGCATCAAGGCCGAACATCACATCGTCCTCGACGACCACACCGCGTCAAAGAAGCCGTCTTTCACGCACGAAACAGATGCTGAACGGGGTGATGGTGATAGCGATACTCCACCCACGCCCGGACAGGTTGGCCTGTATAAGCGACTGACCAACAATTCGTCCTCGGTGCGGCAATCGGTACGCCAGGAATACAACAAGCAAAAGTATGCTCGCTATGGCCAGGGGCGGTACCATTTCGACGATGCTCACGCCTCCGATTCCGACGCGGCAGAGGCAGGCGCAAGTTCGCCCATCGTCGGACAGGAGGCTTCGGCCGTTCATAAAGGATACCTGGAACGGGCGCAGAGCAAGGCGAAAGGGATGGTGAGCCGGAAAAGGACTCTCGGCAAGGGCGATCAACAGGACACGGTCATCGACATACTTTACGAAAATCAGCGTGGTATGTTCTTCTTCGGCATCCCCAAATACTCCAACAAATCCTTGCTGCCAGCCGACCCCAAGCCGTGGCAGAATGCGCAGTTTAGGACGAGCGCAGTCGACATTCGCAACGCGCAGGTACCGGACCCGGGCTGGGAGTGGGCGTGGAAGGGCTGGTACGTCGACATGAGCCGCGACGTGGACGAGGAGGGCTGGGAATACAGCTTTGCATTCGTGGGCAAGGGAGCGACTACATTTGCGTGGCATGGCACTCACCCATGGTTCCACAGCTTCGTRCGGAGACGGCGCTGGCTGCGCATGCGAAAAAGAAAAGACACAACCCATCGCACCAAGGAGAAGAGTCATGAGCTCACTGCCGACTACTTCACCATTCATCCCAAGACTGTGCGACCGACCTCGATTTTCAGTGGCCAGAATGGTTCAATAATGGCGCTGGCAAAATTGAGGGAGCCTGTGTTGGATGTTGAACAAATGGAAATTACAACCATCGGGGAGCTCTTCCTGGCGCTGAAGCGATCAAGTGTGGATAGAGAGAAGATCGTGGCTGTTAGGAAGTTCACCAACGAGGGAGGAGACGAGCTCTACTACCTTGGCGAGCGAATGGAGGAGATCATGGGAATGTTCATCTTTCAGTCCTCTCGACGGCAGCTACTCGGAGATCTTATCTCACGCCACGACAAGGTCCACAAGGAGCAGAATGAACTCGCCGCACACCAGCACGAAGAGGACGAAGAGAAGCAGAAGGCACACGAAACAGCAGCACGTCATGCTAGCAACCTCCTCAAGGCAGTGCACGCTGCGGACGAGCAAGTCAAGAGATTGGAATACTGGTCTGATCAAAAAGGCATAACTGACACTTCAGCCGCGGCGAACGGTGAAAATGGTCACAGTCAGCCAAGCTTTATGAACAAACAGCCTGCTCGTGCTGGAGCGCCTGCATTACACAAGGCGCAGTCATCTTACACCAACGGTCAACAGAGTGCAAGCGATACGGCGTACGAGGCGGCTCCTGATGCCCCGACAAGAGAAAGCAGTGTCTTCTATGATTCCGAGTCGAAGAATTCCAAGGGACGAGAAAGCAGTACAGGCGACGACGACAAGCCTCCATTGGAAAGGTTCACTACTGCACCTGAATCAAAACCTACCTTGGAAAGGTTCACTACAGCACCCGAAGGTGTGCCTGACGATGACCAGAAAAGTGAGATACAGGTCAGGTCTCCGACACTGGATGGTGTCGCCGAGGCGGCGGAGGAAGGACAGCGAGAACACCGAAATCTCAGTCCTACGAAACGGTCCAAGGTAGCGGGCCGCAGTGTACAAATTGTAGAACCAGCGCCCTTCTCGCCGGAGATAGGTGGTGAGGAGTTTGCAACACCCCCAGAGAGTCCGTAAGCGACTGACGAGGCTCGTACAGAGAGCGAAGATGATTTGTCGGATGGTGACGGCGATGTGATTAATCGCAATGACACCAAGACTCCTGATAGTATCAGGCAGTTCATGATACAGATGCGCGCGCCGAAGAACTGGATTGATCAGGCGTTTGGATAAACAGCCATGTCCTACATATGGGATGGGACGTTGCTGCATATTTCCTTTTGTGTACAGCGTACATACGTTGGAGATGGTGGGGATGGCGTTATTGATGACATTGTATCTGGCAGAGGGATCCCTTTACTCGTTTATATGGGCATTTCTGGTATGTTCGATTTGCTGTGAGTGGTGGTGTATTCCTACGAACAAATTTGATTACTACGTTGAAGATAGGAGGCATCCCCTTTCGAGCCCTTTGTGGCGGTAGCGATCGAAGAATATCTATATTCCACCGAACAACGGGATCTGGCTCTGGTGATATGGTCGCGGACTTAGCCGCGATTGTCTTGATTCCGTAGAGAGAACTTCTTGGATTCCAGCGCCCGAATTAAGGTTTGACGCTAGCCGACTTCATCAAATCTCATTCACTTCACGCCGAAGTCGGCATCTACGAAGCAAACACATTGCAGGTTTGTGAGTCAAAGATATGCATGAGGACGGTCGTTTAAGTGGCTTGCCGTTCCGTGCGGATCCCCCGTTTCCTGGCAAGGAATGAAAGGCTCGAGGCTCACTCGCTTGACAGCGATGCTCGTACTGATTTTGCTTCTCGCGAGGAACGTGTAGGTGCTACTGAGGCATCTATCAGGTTCAATGACTGAGTCGCCTGACCTTTAGTCGGCTGACAACGTTYGATGAGCTGCGCAGACCAGACCATTGCCAACTGTTCGAGGAATGAAGAATGGAAATCTTTGCTTTGCGCGACAATGAAGGTATGTTAGACTTCCATCAGAAATTATGCCCAGCATGCCGAGGAGGTTATCCTCGTAGCGCGACTGCGAGTAGAACCAGATCCATGAGTTCTCTCMACCAAAAGCGGTCTGTCCGTTGAGCAGAATCAAACCAAGCCGGAGATTATTGAAAGACTCGCATCAAAACTGTCTCAAAAGTAGAACCATTTCAAAAAAGGACAGATCAACAGGCCATCAAGCTCACCGGGCTGTGCATCATCGCCGCGCTCCCCAGCAAAGCCGAGAGTAGCCCATTGTGCAAAACATCTCGAGCTTGGACTACTCTTCTCGGAAAAATAAACGGAGCCTTTCAGCCCCCTCCAATACTCAATTGGTTGCAATGGATCCACTGTTGGCTTTTCTACGCATTGTCCGCCGATCACTTCACGGCAGACGCCGGGACATGCTACAGATCCTCCGGAGCTGCCTCCGTCTCAACGATTAAAGGCTTCCACCACCGCTCAACAGACGTACTCACGGGATTCAAAACGCTCGTGAACATCCGACGTCTCTCATGATCTTACTCTAGTCATGCCTGGGAAGACCGCCATGCCAGCTGTGCCCTCGCTGTACATTCGGGTAAACAGTCGTGTGAATGAACCAGATGACGACCAGACGGCGCATTGGGATAAAAAAAATCACAATACGCATGGTCTGCCAGCCACCTGCTATTGTTGCCCGCCTGACAATAGAAAAGATTTCTGCTCGCAGAGAACACAAAACTTCGTCTGCTGTTTCTTTCTCTTCTTCTTTCACCCCCATACCATCACATTCCCACAGCTTTGATAGCACCCTTTCCCCTTCCCTTCCCTTCCCTTCCTTTCACACAACCACACACATCACAATGTCCGCCTCCTCTTCTGCTGCGTCCTCTCCGCCGTCTTCGCCGGCACCAAGCGGCCCCGGTGGCCCCTCGGCCGCCAACGACGCACCCAAGCGGTGCACCATCAAAATCAACCCCAAGGCGGCGTTGGCCGCCACACTCTGGAAGTGTGGCGATCTCACCTGCAAAAACACAGACATGACCAACCAGCCGCGTGAGAGGACCGGCCGAAAGTTCATCTCCGACTTCTTCGGCCGCAACAAGAGCGAGACGTCGGCCATTCCAGACGACGTCTGGGCTTGGGTCTGCCGCAAAGACTACCAGCGCAGCAAATACGCCAGCGACAAGTCCCCAGACGCCTACAGTTCCTTCTGGCTGTCGGCTGTCATGACCCAGCTCATCCGTCTGCAAATGTGGCGTCCCGAGGCCATCTTCGAAGTCAAGCTGCTCAACCGTGCCGAAGAGCGACTCAACACCTACAACTCCGCTCTCGTCCAGAATGGTAACGACACGGCAGCAGCCAAGCGACTTGTCTTCGTCGGTCCAGCCAGTGGCAAGAAGGGCCCTATTCCAGCCAGCAACGCCGACTCCATCGACCCAATCCAGGCCCAGCACATCAAAGACACCTTCTCCGGCTTCCGCACCATTGACTACATCATCAACTTCATCTACCCATGGATCGATCAATCACTCCAGTCCGGCGCTCTCACCCGCATGCCACCCATCGAGTTTCTCGTCCAGGAGCCCGGCGAAGACGAGACCGTCAACGACCCTTCCGAAAACTTCCAAATGTGGCGCGATTTCCTCGAGCCCAGATGGACTGAGCAGGACCAACAGGCCGCAATCGCTCTGATGGCCCTCAGCAAACAGGAACTCCGCCCCATGAATCTCACCTGGGAGGCTCWCCACGCTGCAGTTGCTGAAGACGCCGCCAAGCGCGCCGCCGCCCTCGCAGCTACAACCACTCCACCACCTCACACCGCCGAGAGCGAAGGCCAATCCTCCAAGTCCAAGGACAAGCCTCGCATGACTGACGAGGAGAAGATGGCTGCTGCCCTTGCCGCCACTACCCCTCCACCATCATCTCCCACCACCACCACCCAGAGTCACAGCCCGTCTTCCAAGTCCAAGGGCAAGCGTCGCATGGTTGATGAGGACGAGCAAGCTACTGTCCCTGAGCTGGTCTACAATGGTCGCAACGTCGCCAGCAAGAAGCGCAAGATCGCGCCCGCTGCTCCTCTGATTGAGAAGAGACGCACTCACAGCAGTGTGAACTGAAGGAAAAGATGATGGAAGGATACAGACACCTTGATGACTTGACAGCGTTGATGATGGATAGAAGCAGATCGCACTTCAGCGGCAATGACGGCAACGGCAATGATGATGATGATGATGATGATGATGATGATGGGATGCAAAGGACATGACATGGCAGCGATGATAGCGTTTGTAGCGAGCGCGCTTTTTTACTTTGCAGAGATTAGAATTCTCTGGTGTACGATCATGCAGCAGTTTGATACAATATTGACGGCCTTTACATTRCTTCTCTTCTCTTCTCGTTCTTTTCAATGTGATACTATCTCTCGCTTCCAGCAGCTGCTGTTCAAACTCAAGGCCGTCTTCCAAGATCCTCAATGGCTTCTCATCTTGTGCCCGCCTTGTCATGCACCTGCGGGATCTGTCACGAGGAAGTTCGCTGAGATGGAAACAAGGTCATGCAACAAACTTACCCGCTCAGTGGAGAGAAAGAGCAGAAGGGGTATGTCACGTTGTGAAGCACGTGGTAGTTTATCAAATGCTTTCCTTTCATCATCTAAGTTACATCTCGCCTGGTATCTATTTCGTTTCATCATCATTCATTAAAGCTTCTCCAAGATCAAGAACTTGGCCTTGTCACCCCGACCCTTGACGTAGTCCAACGAATCGAAGCTGACGACCTTGACGGCACCGCTCTTCTCCAGCCTTTCGGTCTCCGCCTTGAAGCCACCAGGCACCCAWATGTCCTCCAGGATCGTGGAGATGACGGTACCACCCCTCTTGGTAATGCGAACAAGCTCGCTCAATCCTGGGGTAGGTCCAACGTGGCCGGATGTGAAGGTTCCGACGCATGTAATGACATCGTAAATGTCGTCGTTTAGTGACAGCTTCTGGCTCATGTCCGCTTTGAAGACACTGCGGTATGCGCCAGTCTTCTCGGCGAGTTTAMGCATGGGGACGGAAAGGTCCATACCGTCGATGGTCTTGGCTCCGCCAGCTTTCAGGGCCTCAGCCACGAGACCGGTGCCGCAGCCGGCGTCAAGGATGGTGCCAGAGGCGGCTCCGGGGATCTTCAGGGCCTCCTTTGCGGCCAGTAGGGGAGCGACGTATTCCTTGTCATTGACTTCGGCGTTGTAGGTGGCAGCCCATTGGTCGTAGAGTTTCATGCAACCGGCAGAGTCGGTGCTGTTGCGCGCTTGTTGGAGCAGAGTCTCCAGAGTCTGGGTCTGCGTCTGTGTGGCCGTTTGCGACATCTTGATTTGGGTACTGCAAAGTGAAATATGGTAGGGGTATGGACTTTATGTCTTGATGCAGGTAGTAGAATTGAAAACTAGGGTGAGGGCAGAAGTTGAATGGACTTTTTTGCCTGTTGAAGAATGGTGCTGCAGGAACCATTTGAACGGGCCGTCCTCTCGCTTTTAAGGCCTGCCTTTGGTCTCTAGGCTTGGCTCTACATCATGTCTGACTTACCCCAACCCTCCACGGGAAATCTCGAGCTCTGGTTCAACTTGCACTGGACCTCCGCCAAAGGTTTGATACAGTTGGCCTCAACGCAGGGAATCGAGAGATCCACCAACGCCGGAGCTGACAATGCTTCGTTAGCGCCTCGAGCGTGGGCAGCCCGGCCTCTCAGATGGCAGCGTTGTGACGTGCTTTGGTCCTGACTGGGGGACGCAAGATTGGATGTCAAATCAGAGGAGCGGGTTAGCGGAGACGGGCTTGAGCGAAAGGAGACCTTGAGCAGCCAATGCCCCAGTCGGACCTACGGTGGACAAAGTTAGTTGCAGGACGGCTCGGTGAAATCAAAACAAAAGAACGCGTGGGGGAGGGAAGGTCCGAGCGACAAGGTGAGGTGGATTTTGAGGTGTGTGGTGCGGGGCAGGCGCGCTACGAACAGGGATTTTTGGAGTGGAAGGAATCCACTGGAGGCATCCAACCACTCGAGATTCTTCAACGAGGATGCCCGTTGATTGTTGTCAAGATGGACTCCTCTACATCCAAAGCCAATGCCGGAAAAGTCTCGCGGACTGATCCCTCGCTCGAGAAGAAAAAAATCCGGACCCCTCATCTCGGCTGCATGGCCGTCTTCGCATCTGATGCATGCAATGCAGGTAAACGAAAAGTATAAGGGGGGMACAGCTGTCTTCAGACTTCACGTCATCGCACCAAGACATATGCCGCCGACCCGAGCAAGCATTGAAAAGCCTGGCGCTCGCTGCCTTTGGGCCCACACCCGTGAGAAGGGCGATGTTCTGGACAATGTCAACACGAATCTTGACGTTGGGCAAMCCCTTTCTCTCTGTAGAGGACTCCTGTCGAAGAAAAGGGAGCTTTCCAAGCGCCTCCCGACAATGTATCCCGCTGAGGCTGTGTTCGATCAACCTCCTTCTAGTCTGGGAACAGGGTCAAGCGATGGGCGCTCGCAATCTCCAAAATCGATTCATGGGATTGATCCACTCCTCGGTCCCGCACGAGCTCCATGGTCTGACAGCTTACAAGCTGCATATCATGCATATCATCGAGACACTTTATCCGRGCAAATCCAACCTGCCACCTGGCGGTTGCTGTGCATAGCTGTGTGGTAAAAGCCTCGAAGATATGGGAATTCCAACGGCCTGGCCTGGCTTTCACCATTGGCTCCTCTGCCTTTGTCCTGACTATATGGAAGACACAATGGCTTCGGTATGTTACGCGGCAATTCGTTGGTCGATCAGTTCCCCCTTCCGTCTGTCCCATGTCACTTTTAACACTACTTTCAAAATAATCCTGCTCGGCTGAAAACAARACTGGGACTGCGTTTGGTTTAGCGGCCGTGGTCAGCTCTATACTGTCTTTAGCGATACCGGGGAAGTGATGTGGTCTTCCACGCCCAATGGAACCCTTGACATGGATTCGTGGATGGGAGGTAGCAAACTCTTGCACGAATGTATTTGCTAACTTGTTGGTGCTACAAGACCCACTGATGGTGGGATGCCCGCGTGCTCGTGATCAAAATGACAGCGGACCCTGTCTCTGGATGTTGCCTCGATTTGTGATCTTTGACATGGCAGCAGAAACTTTGTCGTCAACAAGGTGGGAACCCGGCAAATTGACGTGCATGTGAACGAGAAGACGCCATGCTTCCACGCAGCTCACATGGAACTGCAACCCAATGGCACTCTTGGCGACGTACATCAGAAGTCATGGTCCGCATGAAGGGAGAAAAGTAATTTCAGCAGGCCACCACGGGAAATGCGTAACGGATCCGACCCGAATACGCTCGCCTCAAGGAACTGAGGCCGACTCTCGACATATGCCGCCCGAATACCTCCTGCCTAGCCATTGCCCCGGGAATTCTCTCGCCTTCGCAGGAAATACTAGCGCGGCCATGCTGTAACTTCCCACGCGCAGCAACCACCAGCTCCCTGCATTAGAGCTTCATCAACACGTTCGATACTTCGCCCGCAGCTCCGGTGTGGCGTACGTGGAATGAACCATATGCAATGCAAAGCTGGGAGGTGGCACTCTCGAGTCAAGACTGGTCCGAAAGACTGGTCCGAGGAAAAGAGAGGGGAGTTTGTGCAAATGTCACGTCTTGGTGAGACACTCTCTTTGTAGTAGAGAGCTGCGCAGCGAGACGTCTTTTTTTCCCAAAGCAGGACCAAGTCTTGATCTTACCACTTGGAGCGTTCGGTTAACAGCTTTGAGCGATCATTCAGCCTCGGTGTGCATACATCCTCGCATCGTGTGGTACGTTGTTAGTGTGCGGGTGTGAAATATGGTAAGCAGATGTGTCGTGCTCAGATGCACGCTAATGAGACATGCATGTCCAAAGGAATGACAGTGAAAGATCAGGGATGAGACATCGTAATCTGGCCGCGAGTAGTCAGCGTGCTTGGAGAGACTTCCCCCTCAACTCCTCTGTCCACACAATGCGTACTCGCAGGTGGAGATTGCTCCGAGTTGCGAGGGAGATCCGCACGCGGTGTTTGTACATTCGCTCCCTAGCAGCTTCTGCGTAGTATACAATGCTCATCTCTTCCCGATCATGAATCATCGGTTCGATCCTCTCTTCTGACCCATTTCCTTCTTTCCCTGCTTGCCCTTTGGCAACGACTGCCTAGCCTCCGCCATGACAGGCTCTTCGAGCTGGCTCAGTTTGATCTGCCTGGCCTTCTCGATGGCGGCCGCACCACTGACAACGCGGTCCTGTTCCACCCGTTTGCCCTCCTCCAATAATAGCGCTCGTCGCTTGGCCTCCAATGCCTCCTTCCGCGCCGGAGTCAATCTCCATTCGTCTGGGAACACCGGTCGTTTCTTGACCTTGTGATGCCGAAGGTCCAGCGGGATATCCTCGAATGAATCTCCTTCTGTATCTTTAGCCTCTGCGATCAACTTATCAATCGTCTGACCTAGATATCGCTTATTCTGTGCCTGCGTCTCGAGCGATTCACAATTCATCCGTACGACATCCTTCTCCGGGTTATAGCGTGGCCCAGCCAACTTCTTCAATTTCAATGCCGCTGCTTCAGAGAGGTTGAGATGTGCGACTGTGAATTCCACCACCACCTTGCGACTTGCAGGGTGGGGCTCGCCAAAGTAAGTTGTATAGCGCCATCGCAGCGGCAGCTCTATATGTTTCGGTGGTTCAAATGGGCGAGATAGTTGAGCGAGCAAGGGCATCTCCCATGCCGCCAGTCGGACCATCTCGCGCAATTCGCGGTGCTGCTCCAATTCGGCGTGTGCGGTTGATGAAATTTCGGATTCGTCGAGGAGTGTCTCCTTTAGCGCGGCCATTTCTGCGTCCGAGTCCGTGTTTGCGTCGAAGTTGCGGTTGTATGATGATGCTTCTGCTGTTCTCCGTGCGGAAATGGAGTAGAATTGTCGCGCCGTCCATTGTCGCTGTGAAGAGACTGCGTGGTGTTGAGATATATTACGCGCTGCCTGCTGGCATACGCGTTTGAAGGGAGCCGCCATGGGGATCGGGGAGTGGATGGGATGGGATGGATAATGTTGCTGGAAGTGTTGCGCCTCTCCCAAAGTGCAATTCATCTAGTCGTGCACGGTCCTCCCGCGGACATGGACGTACCTTACCGATACTTCACTTCTCTCTCGCCGCCAGCACGAACAACAATGTCTGCCACAGCTTCTGGATATCACGGTCCAGACGCAGTGGAAAATATCATCGGCTTCACAATGATATCCTCTGCACGCGGTATTATTCTGTCAATACCAGCTACGAAGGTTTCTTTGACTTTGCCTTTTTTCCCTTTGCTCTTACTTCCATGCCTCGTCACTCCATACCTCGTCACCGCATCGCTGGAACGACAGTAAGGATGCTCATCATCAAGGTGTACGGCATACTCCGTGATATTCGCTATGATCCGTTTTTGAGTTGGCCGTTTCAACTTTGTTTGCGCTATGGACGACTAGACTGGTGATATGCCCGGTGGTATGGACTTTGAGCCAATCAGGCTTTGCTGTAGGATGAACATTTTACATTTGACGCACCGAATCATACTTGAACAAAAACTGACGTTGCTGCTCCTGGGAGGAATTGTGCTCCTTCTTCTTTCTACACTCCGTTGACAGTCGTCGAGCCCATCGCGCGCGAAGGTCGGCCTTGGAAAAACTACAGAGTGTGCCATAAAAACGGACGACGATGATACGACCGTGGATACTTCTGGTGGCATCGCTCACAGCAAGTGGATACGCACGCGTAGTACACAACACCACTGGTCATACGACAGTTCCAACCCCAACGACTTACACGATTATCACCGGACATGGGAGCTCATTTGCAAGCAGCTGTCGATCAGCTCTTTGGAAATGGGAAGACGCGTCGTTGGGTTGGGGGACAATTGGTAGCAACTCAGCTTACCAGACCACTACATATCTCCAACCAGCCCTTGCTCCAGTGAWCTCGGCGACTCGCCTGGTTACACTCTGTGATGGACATCCGCGGGCAGTTGGAGATGCACGCCAACTACCGGACTCCATAACCAGTACGGACATCGAAACGTACACCAACCCGCCTACAGACTATCCAGTCCCGATGCCATGCACAATCGGTTCATCTGATTGCGTCAACCTGTACGAGACGTATAGCGCTTTGCTCTCCACTGCGTTGCCTGGAATGACGAAGGGATTGACCTTTTCAGCGCCACCTTGTGCGACTGGTGCCAACCGAACTTTCTCATTCTCTTCGGCAAGGTGTGATCAAGGCTATGTAGGAATACGGGCATCGTCGGTCCAGCTTCTCTATTGGCCAGTCCGGACTGTTGAGAATTTTGACTACTTCTGCAACCACCACTCCATCACGGCTCCAGTGTCACCACAAACTTTACCTGGAACTCCTACTGGCTCTGGACCAAACACTTTCGTGACTGGCAGTTTGACCATCACATCTCCGGTATAAAATTCTACTCTGGCACTTAGCAGATTCGGCTTCTGACAGTCTCCCAGACTATAGCGCTGTCGTTTAGTGCACTAAGTCGTTATGACGATTGTGGTACAACTATCGATCATACTATCATCACCCTCCTCCCTGAACAACTGACAAGCGTTCGAGGAGCTCGTGCTCTATTTGATTGGTAAGAATGGCAAGGTCTTGCAAGATGCTCTGTTGTGTACATTGCTGAACTTGTCTGACCAGGCAACCCTTCAACTACGGAGACTTGAACTGGATGTGTCTCACGCCAGACAAGAGTACATACACTCTTCAGAATGTGATGGGGCCCGACTGCTATCAAAATGTGCCAGTAAGCGGAGAAAATCTTTCTTGGTAAACTACGATATGCTGATATTTAGAAGGCGCAAGCTTATTGGTCAGACGCGGTTCGCTTTGATCGGGCTACGAATGGCCAATATGAGAACTCAAAGGAGCAAAGGGCTTGGACCATGATGAACGACTACCAACCGCATATCATCCCTCCAATGTCTTTGTGGTCCGAGACTATGCAGAGTATATGGGGCCGGTCGGCGAGGTGGGATATCGATGGGACCTGGGATCCGTGAGTCGTCATTCCACAAAGGCCGGAAGACATGTGTTTAGGGTGATGGCTAACAATCCCGCTTGATAATAGACCCATCGCTCTTCAGCAGGAGGCTTCGGTTGCGAAGCCGACTCTTCCATCGACCGCCTCCGCCACTCCGACGACTTTTACGTACCTCACTCATCCAGCAACAGTATCTCCAACCCCTGCGAAGCTTGGCGATACTTTGCCTTCGCCTACTGAAGCTCCGCAACCACATCGAGAATCGACAAGCGCAGTTCCCAGTGAAGTAGTACCTTCATCAGCGACGAATGTACATGGAACCGGGTATGCTGCATCATCACCGCCGGAGGAGACCGTCGTTCCGGAAGAAGAGCCTCGAAATTCATCGGGAGTGCATCAAGGCGCAGCAGAAGAGCCCGAAAAATCACCGCAAGAAACGGTGGTTCCAGAAGCTGTGCCTTCAGGTCATTCCGTCAAGACCGACAGCCCAGGGGCGATATCTATAACCCCATTAAATGTTGGAACGGGAGACTTCATCGGCACGGTCATTCTTAACAGCGTCACTTATAGCTGGAAGACTGGGAGCAGCAATCGAGTGATTTTGCAGAACGAATACACCTCTACCTGGGTAACTATCAATGATACGACTTCTACAATCGACTCGCAAGTGCTCAGCACCGCACTCGTTGGGATGGAGAACCCTCATCCTACTGTCAGCGCCGGCGATACTTCAGCCCCACCTGCTGATTCGATAGCGAGCGGGACACAGACGACCTCTTCATTGGACAACCCCCACCGCAAGACGTCCCGAGCAGTTCAGCTCACGTCGGGAACATCTACTTTCTTCATTGCTGGGCTCTTGTTTGTGGTCAGCCTATTCTAAGAGTTCCGGTGCTTTCGATGATGATGGACTTACTCCCTGACCAGGCCAAGAAATGAAGGAATTTCACAGATACGGTGCAATGGTGCCGTACTGCTTCACGTGCCCTACCCTAGACACCCCACCAATCGACCAAACCGCAATCCAACGCATATGCGAAATGTTCGTCACCACATCCCTCCTCGGACCCAGGATTTTTTCTGAGAGGGCGACGCAAGCTTCTCGATTTGCCAGAGTCCGCAAGCTTCGCGATTTCTGGACCGACGAAACGAACGCTCGGTCAGTTCGCTTCGGGACCGTGGAAGTTTACTTTCACGAGGACGAGGAGCTCGAGAGCTTCGAGGGAGAGGGAATCAAGCCAACGGTACAAGATGGTGGGATAATCCTTTGGATTGAYAGTCCACAATGCCGTGCCACCGTAATAGTGTTGCATGAAGATTTGGCGGTGGTGGCGGTTGATTCGGAGCTGCCAGGGTAGTGTGTACTGATCGCTTATGAAGCGGTCGGGGGAGTCGATGGTGTCTGAGTTCAGAGCGAAGGTTTCTTCTACGATCATGTCGTAGAGTTCTTGGGGTAGGTTGTAGAGTCTCCTGCGCAACTCTTCGAGTTCTGGGTCCGAGACTGTTGGTTTGGAGGCTTGCGGGGTTGTGCGGGAATGAGAAGCCATTTGGACGACTGCGGTGGATGTTGATGGTTCTTCGGGGGTACAATTCGCCAAGGTTTGGCCTCGCCCGGCTTTGGTATCCTCTGGTCTTGGTCTCTGTGCTACATCCGAGTCCTGGGGCATTATACAGTCGGAAGAGGCAATCCTGACAATGCCTGCGGATGAGTCCGGTGGAATCGATACCCCGACCGTCGAGTTGGGTGTGGCTGGGCTATGTTCATCTTCCGCGTCATCCGGCTCCGACAGAGTCCCCATGACCGGATCGTCTGGATCTCTACACGAGCAGGAAGCGATCCTCATGGTTCCTGGATAACGTGCGAGGTCTGATAGAATGTGGTTTACGTTCTCGCTATCATCTGGGACTATCCTGCTGCATGCACAAACCATGATCGGTCGGTCGCGCAATCACGACTCGCCTGTAGTATCTAGATAGGAGGAAGAGGGTATATCGCAGGGAGAAGATCGACCTTCTAGTCAGCTTAGTGACGTTGTACTTTCGACTAGAGCGCTGGTCAATGGAATGGTCGACAGTGGTGATGATGGAGTGTCTGCTGTGGTCAGAGTTTCGTTGTTACTAAATTGCGGGAAGTTCACTACAGACCACACTTGGCCTTCCCACCCAAAGTATTCGAATATTCCAGCCTGAGGATGTCTGCGGAAGGCAGCAAAAGTTATGCACTAGTAATCATATAAGTCTGATATATCTATTGGCCAAGCCAGCTCCTTCCCAAACAAGCTTAAATCCCCGGCCCGCTTGCCTCCCGCCATTTGGGGAACCTTTCATGTGCTCACCTCCAGAATCTTGATCCTCACCACTTCCACAACAATAATGTAGCAGCTATATATCATCGCATCGCATACATCATGCCATCGAATCCGCCGCAGTCTGGAAAGACATGCTTTGTCACCATTGGCGCCACAGCATCCTTCACCGGCTTGATCAAAGCGACTCTTACTCCAGACTTCCTCGCCGCATTGGAATCACACGGATATACGGAATTACTGGTACAATATGGTCAAGGCGGCAAGGAATTATTCGATGGCTGCTGTGCGGGAGTATTATCGACTGTGAGACTTCATATTCATGGTTTCGACCTCGATCAGGCGGGTCTGGGACCATATATGCTACGCGCCAAAGGTGGACAGCGGAATGGACGAGAGGAGGGTGTTGTGATTAGCCATGCCGGTAGGACTCACCAACTAACCTGGCTGGTGGATTGTTGATATATAATTGCTGATGTCGTAGGTTCTGGTACGATCCTCGACGCTCTGCGAATTTCCGTTCCGATTATTGTGGTGCCGAATTCTGAACTGCTGGATAATCATCAGGTCGAACTTGCTGAGGCGCTGGCTGAGCAGGAATATGTTGTTCATGGGAGGTTGGAAGAGTTGAGTCGGGCGTTGCAGGAGGCGAGTGTGTTGGCACAGAGATATAAGGCGTGGCCGCCTGTCAATAGTGGTGTGCATCGGGAGGTCATGTCGTTGAAGAGCGTGCTGGATGATGAGATGGGATATTTGGATTAGAAGGACGGCCTCCTTGGTACTGAAAGAGACAGGTGTATGGTATGTAAGGTGGAAGGACTACAATTGAGCAGGCGTCATATCCTTGGCTGCTATTCAGAGCATGTGCATGTCCTGTCCTGGTCTGCTCATGTGTATGCGCTGCCGTGGTGGTCAGCGAAAACTTCAGTTCATTCTCTTCGCTACGAACGGATCTAGTCAGTTCTGCGTAGRGGAGTGAACAGACCTTTTCGCCAACCGAAGGGCGGACGCGAAGAACACATGCGTTGACATTCGTCTCACGGACAAGCCCTTTCATCGTACGATACCACGCCAGCAACATCGCTCGAGTTGCAACCTCATGAAGAGCCTTCTCCCCACCACTACGGCGTCTATCTACATTCGAGGTTATTTATAACGACCGAAAGGCTCAATTTCATTCAGTGGAGTTATCGACATGCAATATCCACAACCTGTTTGACACAACCTACCCCATCTCTTTCCCTCGCTCAACCATGGACGACTCACCACTCTCCCATCTTCCAGCCGAGTTGACGAATCACATCTCACATATGCGAGCTTTCGCTTACCTTCGAATACCAGCTCAAGCTTTGGGATTTCCCGCCGCAGAATAGTCTCACACGTGTCTGCCGACATACCCGCGCCGAAACTCGTCAGTTCTTCTGGGCTTCGAACAGCTTTACCCGCGAATGCTCCTTTCGTTCGGATTCCCATTAGGAGGACATATTTCAACTGAGAAGCGGAACGAGAAGCGGAAGGAGTACGCGGAGCACGTCTGCAAGATCATCAAGTTCGAAATCGGAGTTCAAGCTATTCGCCGAGTACAGTGCGTGAAGTTCTCTGGCCTGGGTGTTGATGGCGATTTACACTCCCAAGCGAGGTATCGTAAAGTATCCATGGAGATCTGTGTAGAAGAGGACGATTCAATACTCTTACGCCTACCAATCTCTTCGCACCGCTCGAACTCTTTCTTAGATTGATGCTCACTGCGTACGATGAGCTTGGCCGCAAAAGAATTCCCCTCTGAATAAACAAGTGCTTCAATGTGGAGCTTGTCATCAACCCTGAGCATTGGCGCGGCAATACCAGGAATAGGCAAATCTATGGTGGTCAGAAACCCTTTGACTTCTGCGCTTTGCTTTGGAAAAATAGCTTGGATGTGGGAAAGGAAGCCCTCGGTGTGAAGTCTCTGCGATGTCGATTGTGAAAGGTCCCCTTCGACTGGTGGCGAAACAATACAGTGAATGAAGATTCAACCGAGGGTCGTTAAAACAGCCGAAGCGTAGAAGGTGGGCGCAAATCACATGCGAAATCGGTACCTGGCGTTGTGTGTATGGGTCCTCATGCATAACCGATGGCGCTTTACGTCCATACGGCAAAGGCTGAAGAGGACGCCAAGCGAGCTAGTTGGTTCTCACATGCAAATCAACCCATCTAGACCGCAAACACATCTCCCAATTGTCTTCAAGTCACTTTGAACCGCAAAGCAACTGCAGGGATATAAGTATGCTTCGTCGAGCCCTGCCTGACTTTCGTCATTTCATCAACCACCGTCTCTACACCATGCTCTCCAAAGACGACACCGTTGTTGCGACTGACCTCATAGACGCAACCTCACCGCAAATCGACGACTTCAATGAGAATGAAGACAAGCAAAACTTCTGGAGTCGAACTCATTACACCGGCAGTCTACTCTTCTACATCGGCGCCTTCATCCTCCCAGCCCTCTACTCACACTAGCAAAACTCTGGGTAGCCAACATCGACTCATCTGCCGTCGTCACCACCGACGTCTTCACTTACATTGGGGTAATCTCCGAGGTACTGAAACGAAGGTCTACCGCGAGCATCCTGGAACATCATCGGCGACAAGAGCCAATCGATCCCTCGCATCCCGTCATGGACTCTCATACACCTTGATCATAATTCAAAGCCTTCTGGGATTCATCATGTCTCTTGCAATTGTCGGTGCTGCTCAACAATTCGCCAAAGCATTTGTCCCCGAGGAGGTCCGCGAAATATCATTGACTTATGTGCGCATCTCCGCTTTCTCGGCGCTTTCTTCTGCGCTTGAGACGGCTGTTGCGGCTGCGACTAGAGCTCTGGATCAGCCTGATGTGCCTTTGATCATCAGTTTTGTGAAGTTTACCGTCAATATCGTCCTTGATATGATCTTAATCTCCAAATTCCATGTCTCGGGTATCACTCCGACTGTCAACACTCAAGCCGCAACTCAATTTGGCATGTGGACTGGCGGCATCACTTTCTGGACTTCTATACTTTGTCTGGACTACGAGAAGACGGTTGAGTAAGATCAACGATCATTCCAGCACAGGAGAACCCGCACGACCTTCCCTTCGCGCATTCATCATTCTCGCAAGACCTGGATTCTTCACCTTTCTGGAATCTGCAGTCCGGAATGCACTCTACCTCTGGCTCGTCAGCGGCGTGGTATCTCTTGGATCAGACTACGCAACAGCCTGGGGTGTCTTCAACACGATTCGCTGGGGTCTCATCATGGTTCCCTTCCAAGCACTCGAAGCTACCTCTCTAGCATTCATCGGGCATACCTGGGGTTCCTGGCGAGGTATACCAGAACTGGGAATCACACCCGTCATCCCCAAGCGACGTGGAGGGATCTGAGATTCATAACCCTACCAGCTCTCCGTTCTTGTGCGATTGCTCTAGCAGTTGAAATTCCCATCTGTCTCTTTCTCTCCTTCTACGGCGCTAGGAGATTCGCCATGTATCTTTCCGAAGATATGAAGGTTGCGGTGATTACGGAGAAGATGTGGAAGACTATTGATTGGTGCTATATCTTCTACGCCGTCTCTACTCAATTAGCGACTATTCTTCTTGCAACTCGACCGCGTTGGTATCTCTATCAGTCGTTGGTGAGTAACCTCTTCTGGGTCCTTCCATGGGCGGTGGTGGTTATGCAGATTGATATCACGGCTGAGGATGCTTGGAAATATCACTCGATTGTGTTTGGTGGGAGTTTGGTTTTTAGCTTTGTGGATGTTGTTGTTGTGGATGGGATTTGGGTGTGGACTCTCTTGCGAGGCAGGATGACGGTATCGAATGTGAAAGTCTCTACGATTCATCGGGACTAGAGTGGTGGTAGATGGAAGGGGTTTGGACTGAGTGAAGATGGGATCACGTTTACCAAGGATGCACCTCTGATCCATCAATTGATCTTCTGCTACTTTCCGGTCATTCCGTGATGTTGTGTGCCACTACTGGAATGTCCGGTATATACATACGGGACCCCAGAAAGGGGGAAACTTTGTCCTTCTCCAGATCCATTGACTTCTCAGAAGAAATTCTCGGGCTCTTTTATTCCCATATCTCACCCTATTCGTCATGGGTACTAAAAATCAGCTTTGTCAACCAGTGGCAACGCTTAAACCTCCTCCAAGTCTGACCCAAACCGCACGCTGAGCATGGGGGAGTGTGCTACGATGCCAAGTTCGATTAGACGACTCCGTTGATCCGTAGATGACTTCAATCAATCGCTGGGCTTACGCGCCATTGAGGTACTGCAGCTTCAAAGAGCGCCGAAGATCTATGAGCGAAATAGACCGCGAAAGTTCAACTCCCGATATCGTCCTTGAGCTATCAAGCATCTCATGAACCGGCCCGAGAAAGAATGATTAATGAAGATGCGACTCTCCGACCTTCAGGGGAACAGCACCCTACGCTACACTAGCGTCTTGGACTATAGATCCTCCAACCTCAAGAAAGCGTAACCAAATATCCACTCGCCGTCAAACTCGCATTACTATTCGTATCCCAATTCTTCCCCATCCCCCTCGCATTCTTCAAAAAGCAATTCCCAGCCCAAGCAGGAATAGAATACGTCCTATCAGAAGAAAAGCACCAACATCATCAGCATATATATATCCCTCATCCCATTCCCTCTCCACAAAAATGGTAAGGTAGGGAGGTAACTCACAAATTCGCATAATAACTAACAGCCACACATTTATCCCCCAACGCATTCCCAATATTCAACTGGAGATTTCTCTGTTGACATTGATCCATACACTGTTCGAAAGAATAAACCGTGATTCCCGCAAAATTCCTTACGATAATCGAGGAATTATCATAGGATGTTTGATTTGTCTTGTAAGAGACATAGCAATCCTGGGCGAAAGATGCACCGAAGGGGGAAGCATAGGTGTCGTCGCGAGAGCAGGAGAAGGCGGCGATACCTGTGGCGCCGGAAGTCACAGTTGTGGAGCTGCGAAGAATATTATTAGACGCCAGAAGAAAATTTTCCTTGTAAGTGACCTGAAAAGAAGGATTGGGTGCGTTGGATACTTCGAATTGCTGCTATTCGCAGTCGACTTCTTAGAAGAAGTAGCAACATTCTCCCCAATCGCATATCCAATCCCAATCCCAGCCCCCAACGCAGCCAAAACCCCGAAAATCAAACCTAGAGTCCAACCCACCCATCTCTTCCTCTTCTTCTCCTTGATAACCTCCTCGTTGCTCTCTCCGACCGTCGTCGGTACAAGAGGCACAGAAGGCAACACCGACGAATTCTGATATTGATTGTATTGTGGCGGATAAGCTTGTGGTCCTCCTACAGGCGAGAAGCCCGAGTGAATTCGATCTAATTTCTCCCTTTGCTGTTCTTCGGGGGTAAATTCGAATCGATCATGGGTTTTGTATGTAGCGGCGACAATCGGTCCGTCATCGTGACTTCGAGGGGAAAGTTCAGGGGCTTCACTTTCTAGGGGTTTCGCTGAGTCCATGGTCTGCTCTGTTCATCCGTTTCTGTTACTTTTTCAACAAATGGTTTGCAGTGTAAAAAAAAAAAAGGGGGAGAGAATGTAAGACTTCCTCAGATGGCATCCATCTAAGCATCATCACCATGACTGACTGTCGTGTACATTTTGCTCACCAGCGGCTGCTTACTGTTCCACCAACAACGACGCCTCCAGAAGGGTGGTCAGCAAGAATGTACCATCTTATGCATCATTTTGGTGCCACAGATTCGCGTGGTCCGTATGCCGTGCTACGCTAGCCATGCCTTTGTAGTTTTTCGCATAAGCAACGTTTCAGAGGGCGAAAGGTCTCACGAGCCAGCCTTCTTCCTACGCAGTCATTTCCAGCTGCGATATCATTGACATGAAGGGGTGAGAATCTTGATTTTCATACTTCGAAGTGTTATTCTTCATAAGCTTTTGTGCTGTTTGCTTGGAGCTGGTGGTATCGATGTACATGGAATAAATCTCACAGAACCTCCACTCCAACTCCAGAAACCATCTTGACGCTCTGTCATCCTCAATCGTCTTTCGTTCAAGCCATTCTCAGTAAAGTAATACCCCCTTAAACCAACCACTCAACCACTCGTAATCCATCACTCTAAAAGAGGACATGACCTTCTTCCCTTCCAATGCTCTTGTAATAACTACAAGCCCCCGTCCCCTCAAAAAAGGGAAAAGCCATACCACTACTAGTTAAAGGAAAGGGAATTCAAAGACCGCAAACAGCACCATAGACCTCAAGTGCGAGGGAACTCAACTCCTCCTCCTATTTATTACTTCTTAATACTAAGCTAGCATTGATTTCCTAGTTTTTCTTATAGAACCAAACCAATCCAACAACCCCACAATCCCACAATCTCACAATCCCACAATCTCACAATCCCACAATCTCACAATCCGAAAAGAGAAGAGAAGAGAAGAAAAGAAAAAAAAAACCCCCTTCCCCTTGCTCCGTCCTCATTCAATTATCCTCCTCGCCGACTCCTCCTTCTAGAATAGCCAAAACATATAAATCAGGGCATAAGAAAATTATCTCTTCCTCCCTTCCTCTCCTCTAGCACTCTTTCCCTGCTCCCCTGCTCCCCTTCTCCTGCCCTCTTAGCCTATAACTGAAAGCTGAAATTAAAGCTACACTCTGCTCTAACTCTACCCTAACTCTGCTTTAACTCTACTTAACTCCAGCTCCAACTCTACTCCAACTCCACTCCAACTGCACTGCACCACGCTCAACAAACACAGAAGCACCGAATCTCATGCAACTCGCTAAATAGAAAGGGGGGGGGTATATATCCTGAATGTTCTCAAATCCATCCATCAATCCATCCATCCATCAATTAATCCAAACACACGGATTCCCAACAGTCCAAAACCCCATAGAATACGTCAGCAAAAAGAAGGAAAACACCTTCTCAAGAATAATCATCCACACCCAGCCCCTTCAAAGTCCCTTCCAACCCCTATTATTCTCTCACTCCCGAATAGTACCCCACTCCCTCCCCAACTTCCCATTCACCCCGGCCCCACCACCACCGCCATTACCACCGCCACCACTACTCCCCGACCCAACAGCCCTCCGAACCAAACTCCCCCCACCCAAACTTCCCCCTCCCCTCCCATGCCCTCCACCTCCACCCCCAACACCAGAATTCTTCCCCGCCGCCAAACTCTGCCTCACAATCGCCTCAGCAGCAGCAGCAGCAGCCAACCTCTCCTTCTGCCGACTACGATCCCTCAAATATCTCTCCGCCTCAGGCCTCATACGTAAGATCCGCAACAACATATCATCATTAGGATCCGCTTGGGCTTCCTTCCGTTTCGCCTCTTTGGCCTTGCGCATCGTTCCCAAATTTCTGCTCTGGAGGATGGATTTACTGCGGCGAGTTCCTCCCCCTACTCCCAATCCAAGAGAGGTAAAGGCCGCGCTGTTTCCGGCTGGTGCGGACAAGCGGTTCAGACGGGCGGATTGTTCGGTTTGTCGGGATGCGGTGGCGCTGGCCATGGCTTCTGATGTGCGGATGAGGTTGTCTGTGGATTCAAAGTAGAAGAAGTTTAAATTTTGGAGGTCGTGGTATTTCGGGCTCTTCAACACGTCCAAGGGTACGCCGTCCGCGACGCCGCGATCGGGGTCGAAGGCGAGGAAGAAGTCGAAGAGGACCTAATCATCATCATCATCAGTAATCACACATCATTCTCTTTGTGCATGTACATCTCACCTGCAACCAGCGATAAACAACATCCACCTCCACCGGCCCCAGCGCCTTTTGCGCGCTCAACTTATCGCTCAGTGGAGGGACCAACAACCCCTCAATCGTGACGAGCACCTCCTTCCACAATCTCGTCATGACCATAATCATGCCGCTATCCGTAAGCGTCTGCTTCATAATCGCAAAGTTATCGTCAAAGTATTGTAGCAGCGGTTTGAGTGCTTGGCCAGCTTGTTCCGCAACATTCCCACCAGCACCTCCACCTTGCTGCTGTTGGGCGCCGGAAGTGGTGGCATTGCCAGCCGCGACAGAGAGGGGTCTTCCGGAAACTTTGCTGAAGTATCCTCGCATACTGGAGATTGTGACGCCTGCGACGCCCGCTGCAGTGGAGACGGCGGTATTCCCACTGGTTAATTGTCGCAAAGTCCTCCGACTGAGACATTGAGAAATGTATGCACTCAGCTTGTCGGTAATCTTCCTGGTCATGTCCCGTTCACTCCTCTTCAGCGTTCTGAAAGCCTTGCCAAAGTAGAATTGAATGTCGTCACGTTCGCCTTCCATCGACACTCGAACCAGGACTCGTCCTTGTGTGTCCAGATCTAACCAATACTCTCTCGGTAGGTAGTCGTTGAAGTGATTGGGGTCAAGTTTCAGACTGGTCCTCCCCAGACAGTCATGATCTCCCAATACATCCCAATCCCAGACGGTAGCAATGAYGTTGAGTGGGCCGGTGGTGAGGATATCAACCGTCTCGTCCCATCTTGGATTGAGAGATTGATAGACAGTTCTCGTCTTGGCAAGTCGCTTCTGATACTCATCTCCCAGCACGACATACGGATCACTCAGCCCGTTCATATCACCAGCTTTGAGGTCTTCCGCTTCGATGATTTTGATGGTGAACATGAACTTGGTCCCTCCCGCGTGTCGTCTTCGGACATTAGCCGGCGGAGGAGGTTCGTATTTATTAATCGCCGCCACACAAGCGTCGACATTCATCTCCGCCTCCAACTTGTCAAGTTGAAGGGTTGCAAATTCAATGTCATTAATCTTGACAAAAGACTCGGGCCAGAATTGGAAGGGTTCAATTTTGGGACCCGCACCTCCCGTCGCCCAGACATCCCTAGCAACTGCCATCCATTTCTCTTTTTGAGTCTGTTGCGCTGCTCGAGCTTCCTGTTCCGGGGTTTGACGGTCCATCTCGCGAGCGAATTTGGCCTCGAGCAATTCACAATACTTTGCCACACCTTTTCCAATCGACTTGGAAATGGCCGTCATGAATTTGGCGTACTGCAAATCATCATCCCATGATAAAGTGATGATCTGATCAATACTCTGGTTGAAAATGTGAAAGACATCCAACACACTCTGAGAGTGTCTCTCATTATCTGCAGGAGGTTCACCGGCTTCCTTGGCGGCATCGCTCTGTCGGACTTGAAACTCGTCATGAGCCACGGCGCCCTCGACCCAGTCCAGAAGCTTGCTGTCCGTCATGGCGATCCAGCGCCATACAAAGTCTTGCAAGAGACCTTCAATGTGAAAGCCAAACTCCCTCCCGGGAAGTGCTTGGGCGTAGACGGCGCGAATCTGCACCAGCTCTTTGTACAATTCGAACCCATCCTGCACGGGCACCTCTTCATTCCGAGACTTGCACAGCTCCATGATTCGGCCCACCAGTTCTTTGGCATCCTTTGCGAAGGAAGGGAGAATCTCCTCCATCAGGATAGTCAGCGGCTGTACGCCCATGATTTGGGGATTCTTGCGATATCGCTTTTGGATCTTTTGACACAGACTTGTGACTGCCTGCCCGAGTTGAATGACATTGTAAAACTCCCACTTTGCAGAGTCGTCGGGAACATTCTTCGCGAGCAGGTCATGATACTTTTCCCTCGCCTTGTGCTTCAGCTGATCGGACATCATGGATGAAAAGGCATCGAGCTCTTCATGATTCTTGCTAAAGGAGGGGTCATCATAGACAATCTTATCAAGAGAGTACATTGCATCTCCAATACTGGGCGGCTTGCTTTCGTAGCAATGCTGAAAGACCTCGAAAAGCTCTCGAAGGAAGGCGTCGTGGAGGTTGGAAAGAATGGTCTGCATCGTTGCAGCATCGTGGACTGTCCATTTACTACTTCTGTCGTATAAACTGGTGTGTATGAGGAGGGTGGAAGTCTTCCCTCCCATCTTTTTGGTTTCTGCTGGCGGTTCTCGCATCATGTCGAATGCTGTGTCCACCGTTGAGAGAGGAATTTCAGAGTTTTGAAACTTCTCCCGGATGATGTCAAGAAGGAGGACCATCCTGGAGGAGTGCGGTACACGCCATCGGAGGGCCAATTCGTTGAGAAGATCTGCCGACTGCGGAGAGAGAAGTTTCAACGTTGGAGCTTCTTCAGGTCCAGCCTCTGCTTGGAGATCTTCATCTTCCAAGTCGTGGGTGAGTGCGGCTTTGAGAGCAGCGCGGAAGTAGGCTCTCGTATCGGGAGGTATAAAGGTAAAGTCTGCAGCACTTCCCTCAACCGATGCCGTGCCAGAGTCTCTCGTGGGGGAAGTAGCATCATCCAGATTCAAGCCGCTCATATCGACGAATTGATCGACGAGATTGATCGAGGTGGGATCCACCGGGGAGGAGGGACCATCACTACCGATGGATGCGGGAGGTTTGTATGCAGCCAGACTGGCACCCGAAGAGTCCTTGGCAAGGGTGGGGTCGGATTGCAACAAGGCGAGCATCATCTGGCTGAGATCACTGTATTCGCCCTTTCGCCACGCCTCGAAACAGTCATCCAGATCGAAGTCTTCCTTTGATAGGGTGACCCTTGTGTTGAGCATGAGATGACTCTGGTACTGCTTCAAGTCCTTCAGGGCCTCCTGCTCCGTCCAGACATGCTTGTTGGCGTTGATGTCATTCTGCGCCTGTACGGTAGGCTTTGCAAAGATTCTACACACTCGTATCACCAACGGCATGTCTTTAACATCATACGTGCGTGGTACCTCGACCTCCACGCTGGTACCTCCCTGGCCGGCGCCTCGTTGGGAAGATTCGGCCAGGTCTTGGTCGTGTTGGAGGAGTTTGGTCTCGAGCGTCCTCAGCCGACTGGTCAATTCGGGACGATCCCGGGTCCAGTCGTTGTGTGTGAGGGTACCGCTGATCAATCGGACAAACAAAGCGACATGTCTATCTACCATCAACTTCCAGCCGTCATCGTCTGCGGCCTTTCCCTTTTGCAGCTCACTGGTAGCTTTGGAGAAGAAGATCAACAGGAGATCCTCCACCTTGCGATCCTTTTCCATGCTCTTGCGAAAGGTGGGATTCTTGAATTCGTTGAGAAAGGTGGCAAAGGTTCTCTTGACCAGCGGGTCCTTGTATTCCGCCATCTTCTCCTGTCCCACCAACACTCCCGTGATTCGTTTATCCAACGCCGCCATGAATCCGTGAGGGAACCTTGTGCTCTTACTATCGCGGATGAGGGAAAAGTCCTTGACCATGTCGTTGATGGACGTGCTACTCCGCTGAATGGGCTTGGATGTGTTGGCGACATGTTGCGTCCGCTTCTGCCGGGGTTGCAGCAGATAGTGCAGGTAAGCAGCCCTCAAGGCATACGAATACGCATCGCTTTCGGAGACGTTGCATCGTTTGGCGTACGAGACATTTCTGCCCACCGACTTCCGCGCCGAGTATGACTTGTTGCGCCGGCTGTTGACCGACGATGAGGCCGACGCGGATGATCGTTCCATGTTTGTTCTGCTATGCTCGGGAGTGAGGGTGAAGGTGAGGGTGGATTGGGCCCGGAAATGGCAAGAAATCGGCCATGCAATCAATGCGTGGCAGGCAGGAAGGCAGGCAGTCGATTGCGGTGAATGACTGCAGGTCACCCCGAGCTTGCAGTTGCAGTTGCAGTCGAAGTCTCACGGAGGTTCTCCCGGAAATTCTCGTCCAATTGTTGCGGGATGATCGCGTCGGGTCAAAAGTCGTTCAGTCGTGTCGGGCGCAAATGTGTGTATATGTGTGTGTTGTGAGGAGTGTTTACTGTGAAAGTTGGTCCGTCGTTCACCCTTCCCTCTTTCGATAACTACCTTAAAGTAGATGGTCCGTGGTCATCGGCCGGGACGCGCCTCCGTCCGCTCGTGTCATTAGGTTCTCCAGCCATGCACGTTGGCGTCATTGGGCCTGATATTGCCTGCGCCACACGCCACACCTCAGGACATGATGTCCAATCCCAGCAGAACTTTCACTCTCATCCACATCCATCTTACATCTGACTGTACAACATCACAAGGATGAGGGCCGCTGATGAAGAAAGATGAAGATGTCTTCATGTCTGCCATGAATTCTTGGTCGGGCACGTCTGCAGATCCATCTAAATACATCAATGATCAATCTACGCCACGCGAGCGCGGGGAAATTGTGGGATCGCACTTCAGGCAGGGCAGGGCGGGCAGGGCAGGGCGAAGAATTGTGCCAAGCTTGCCCAGACCAGACGATCACGAGCCAGCCCGGCGCCGGGCGATTTGTCTGACGGGACCGGCAGTCACGAGCGTGTTCTCCGTCTGGTCAAGTGAATGACTGCCGACGTATCTCACTCGCCAATGCCGAATCCTACACCGCAGCATCCCCACGAGCACTCCCATCATTATCGACATCACCCGCCTTGACGCAGACGCACGAGAAGACACGCACCCAMGCCACGAATCCACTGCTGTGCTGCATCATCCTTCGCTACACCTGCACACGTAGTGAATAGACGGAAACATCGTCCACTTCAATCATCACCACCGCCGCATCCCCTCGAAGCATCCCCACAACATGCCCGGCGTTGCATTGCAAGATATCCACACTCTGCTGGCTCAAGACACCGAACGAGTGCATCGAGAGAGCAGCAACGCGACGGAATCCCTCTTGCGAGTCCTCGACGATCTCCCCCCGCCCTCCAACAACCGTGAGCACCCACATTCAATCACCCCCAACACATCATCACACATCATCACACGACGACAGAAGACTAATAAATCCTTCCTAGCTCCACCGCCTCAACCGCACCACGCCCCACATCAACATCCACATCAACATCCCCACCCACACCTCAACCATCCGGCTTACAACCACCACCCCTCTCACACCAACATGTCCTCTCCCGCCTCGCCCGGCGCCGCCGCCCAGGCCAAGTCGCGCCTCACCAACGAGCAGAAGAAGAAGAACCACATCGAGTCGGAGAAGAAGCGACGCGACGCCATCCGCGCCGGCTTCGACAAACTGGCCGACATTGTCCCCAAAATGACCGGTCAGGGTCGCAGCGAGGCCGTCGTCCTCCAACACACCGTCGCATACATGAAGTACCTCATCGCCAAGCGCGAGGTCCTCGATAAATTGGCCGCCGAAGTAAGTATGCCGCCTGACATGAAAGCACACATGTCGGTCTGCCCGCATGCGACTGGCATGTGATGCGTGCCAAGCATGATCATCCATCCATCCATCCATCCACCCGCAATCCACCTCGACCATGCCATTGATATTCAATCCGATTGACCACCCCCAGCAGAAGAATTGGTCGCAGGAGGAGCGTCTCGGAGTCTACCGTGCCGCCGAGCAGGAAATCCGTCGCAAGGATGATGCCCTGGAGATCGCCGCCCAGCAAGCCCAGCAGGCCGCCCAACATGCCGCTCGCGCCAATCAGTTGAAGCAGTCGGGGTCGGGGTCGGGATCGCGCTGACTGACATGTCATCATCCTCGAGCTTCRAGGTACTTTACATGAACATTGTCATCCTCGAAGCATTCAACTAACCATCCTCCAGATCTCCATTTCTCTCACCCATCACACCATCATCATCCCGCCTTTCCCGACAAGAACGCTGTGCATTCTTCCGCGAAATGGAATGGATCAGGTGATGATTTGACAGTTCTCTGATACAGGTAGAACATTTCCCCGCAGAGCATGCATACCACGGCGACTTTTCTTTTCATCGAAACTTGTATGAAGGGAGGGCGGCAAGGAGGGAGGGAAATATGGGTTGTTTCTGATTGTTTTTCTGTTGTTATTTGGCGTTTTGTTGGAACTTTCAAAAGGCGTTTGATGGAGTCGCGTATACCCCGATGGAGAGTCGTTTTTTATAAAGAATCAAGGAGCATGTTCACTTCCACTTTTCACTTTTCATGTTGTTGTTGTTGTCGCTGTTATTCCCGCCCGGCTTTTTCTGTGGGGGGGAAGATGATAGATAGGAACAATCCCTTTGTCTCTCTTTCCCTAATCCAAGAACCCCATCTCCTTGTGTCGAAAAATAAATACTTACTGACCTTCCCAATCCGGCACTTGAAGGTCAAGAATTTTCACAAAGAACCCAACCCAGCATACCCGATTGTCCGTCCGTCTAACTATCTCCTACCTATATCCTACCTAACTAATTCGCCCTTTTACACACGCGCACAACATTCCCAACCACCATATCATATCATCCATAAGAGTGGAGTCCGAGAATGAAACCTCCCTTTTTTCCAAAACCCTACAGATCCTCACATTATTATCAACCTCCTCCTCCTCCTCATTCAATCAATCATCAACCTCATCAGAAATATCTTGGTCCAAAATACCTCCATGCAGGATACACGAAATCCCTCCAAGACCAAATCTCCAATATTCGAACTTGGCAATTGGATTTATTTTCTAGGGCGCTTGCTCGGGGGTTTGAGGGGGCTTATCTTGAAGAAGAAGAAGAAGAGGGAGAAGGAGGAGAAGAGGGTATGTCAAATTCTCTTGCTTGATGAGTATATTATAGTCTGGTATAGTAGGAAGAAGATGTATACTAATCATCATGATGGTGCTTGTTTAGGGGAGGAAGAGGAAGAAGAAGAAGATCAAGAGAATTGGTTGGATTTTTCAAGAAGAAGTTTAAAAATCGCGGAAGTTCTTGAGGATTTTTTTGGGGAGGAGGGGGAGGGGGTTCATTTTGAGGAAGTTAGGCAACGGAAGGTGAGGAGGAAAGAGAGGGAGAGGGAGAGGAAGAGGGAGAGGGAGAGAGAGGAAAGGGAGAAGGAGAGGATTGCAAGGGAACAACGGGATCGTGATCGTGATCGTGATCGTAAGAGGAATGTTGAACAGCAGCAGAGAGGAAGTGAGGATGAGGATGAGGATAACAAGGAAGAAGCAAGAGAAAAACGGAGAAGCGAGGCCGTAGAAAGCATCATTCAGCGAGCGAAGAGATATAGAACCGAACGTGCCCAAAGGGAGAAATTGCGGACGCAGAGGGAGGAAAGAGAGAAATCTTGGGCTAAGAGGCAGGAAAGGGAGAGGTTGAGGGCTTATCTTCAGAGAGGAAGGAGAGAGGAAGAGGCTAGGGAGAGGGAGAGTATTAGGAGAGCTAGTGGGGGTTTAGGGGATGAAGAGAGGGAGAGAAAGGCGAGGGAGCAGGGGAGGAGAGCTGTTTGGGAGGGGAGGAGGATGGAGGAGGAGGTTCGGTGAGTTTTTTTTTTCCTTTCTCTCTCTCTCTCTTTCTGTTGGGGTTGCTGGTTTTGTTCTTGATGAAGAAGATGGAAAGGAAAGACTAACAACTAGAAACTCCAGACAAACGACTCGAGGTGAAGGGAATAATGGTTTAAATCCCAGTAAGTCTTCCATCCCCTTGACACCCCCTCCTCGATTCTGCATCGAAAAACTAATGTGATGGATCCACAATATAGCTTTTGAAGAAATCCCAGATGAAGAACCCTTCCCCCCAAATCGAGGCACTCAGAATGGTGCTTTACTAGAAGAAATCCCCACTGTCCCGAAACCCTACGCTCCGAATCCGAATTTGAAATCAGCTATGAAACCTTCAAGAGTTGCTGTTATCCCTATGGATCACGACGGTCAAATTTCTACAATTAATGACGATGAAGGAGGTAGAGAGAAGATCAAGAAGGGCGTGCAATTTCATAGTAGTACGTCCCACCTCCCTCCCCCTCCCTTCCTCTCAACCTTTACTAACTACATACAAAAAGTCCGCCAAGAAATCCAATTCCACTCCACACAACCTCCAATAACCCCTTTCCCGCGAACCACAGCTCCCGTTGAGAATTCTGGACAACTTGATGGGAGGGAATGGAGGAGGAGGAGGAGTAGTAGTAAGTACAATACATTTATATTTTTTTCTTCAAAAAGTGGAAACATTTATGAATGGAAGGGAATTTGGAATGGCTGACGGGTGAAGTGTGATTTAGCTGGGGAGGATATCGTGAGTGGGGAACCGCCTCCTCTTCCTCCTCTTGATGGGAATATGGGGGGTGTGGATGGGGGTGCTGGGGGATTTGGAGATGATATGGATATCTCACAGGATCCTCCTTCTTCTCCTCCTTCTTCTCCCCCTCCTTCTCCTCCTTCTCCGACAATGACAACAACAACGACAACAACAACAACAACGACGAAAGCAACGACGAAAGCGCCAAAGTCATTTTCTGAAAGTCCCCAAGGACAAACTCTYTTAAAGAAATCTCAAGAAGGTTTAATGCGGGCTAAATTAGAGGCGCATTTTCAGACTCAGGAAGAGGGGGAGGTTACGAGGGAGAGGGTTTTGAGGGAGCTTGATGAGGAGTGGATTTTAGCTGAGGAGGTTTGGCAGTTGGAGCAGGTGGTTGGGGAGGGAGAGGATGGTGATGATGATGATGATGATGATGATGATGATGATGGTGGTGGTGTTGGTGATGGTGGTGGTGATGAGGGTGTTGATGGTGATGATGGGAGGATGGATCCCTCTGGAGGTCCATTGGACTCTTTTGTGCCTCCATCGGATTCAATAGGTCCTTTCGATTCTTCCACAGCGATCACGGCCGGAAACCGAGCAGTCGGAGATGCCGTTRCAGCCATTTTCAACGACGCAGAAAACTTCCTAGGACGGTCGAAGAGATGAACTTTAGCTCCTAAAATACCACGTTGAAAGCGTTCTTATCTTTACCGACAACTATGTAGCTCTCAAACTCACTTATGACACTGAGAGTCACAGCGGAGCAACAAAGTCGACATTAAGTACTACTCTGTTCGTCAAGCCGTCACGGATAGGAAGGTTACTACTCAGAGAAAGGATAGCAAGGATGATAGAGGAAGGAGTAGTGGACTAAACCGGTGTTGTAGTGGATCTTACTTCAACAAGGGCGCTGTACATTACATCAACAATACGCGATTAACAATATCTACATCCACCCGCATTTCCATCTATAATGTTGCTGACATCTTCACTAAGCTGCTATCCAGGGACCACTTCGTCTGCTGCGTCGCTGGTCTTGGCATAAGCGGATCAAGCTGCGATCAATACGACCAAGTACTTAACAGTAGTTACAAAAACCTGTCTGTAGTAGGTGAATTGCGATCGACAGTCTCAGACAGGACTATAGGATTAGCGAGAGTCGTCGTTTGGCGAATCACTGGTACAAGAGGTACTTTCCTAATGGTTCCCAATACACAACAGTTTTTGTATTCACTCAGTCTCTAGGGTAAAACTTCAAATTACTACAAACTCCCACATCAATAGCTCTCGATACGCCAATCCTTATATCCCTAGATCAGGAAACAACATTCCAGTCTCCCCAAACAAGCCACCCCAACAACATCCATCAAGCAACGCAAATATACAGAAACCAGCAATCAAACCTGCCCACATCGCTGCATAACCCCCGCCCCAAAAACCCTCCCCCCCAAACTCATCATACCCATAAACGACCCCATCAACTCTAACAGAAAATAACCCCGCCAACCCCTCCCCCTCCTCCCCCCCCTCTCTAAACAACGTCTCAATATTCTCCCTCAACAAATCCAACCGATAGAAATAATACCCAAATCCTCCTTCCATCCGACCAATAAGTCCGTCCCTCAAAATCATCCCTCCCAAAAGGCAAATGGCGATGAACAATGACTTTCTCCAATAAATCTCGATACTCGCGCGGCAGGGAAAGTAACCAGCCGAATAGATGGACGGATTCGTGGATTTCGAAGGTGACGCCTACTTTGCCGTAGTATTGGTTTGCGTAGTGTGTGCGTGTGGAGCGGTTGACTTGGAGGAGGTTGAGGTGGTGGTGTTGGTTGGTGCGGTTTATGTGGCGGGTGCCTGTGGGGGCTGTGAAGACGGCGTCTTGGATTTTATCGCGGATTTCGGRTTTCAGTTCGAGGATTCGTGCTTGGAGTTGGGCGAATTGTGGGTCTTGTTTATCGGCGGCGTGGCTGGTGGAGTGGTTGGTTCTTTTTGGGAGTTTGGGGGTGAGGTGCGGACGTTTTGTCTGCCGTACGTGGATTTGGGAATGATGGGGACTGAAAGGTTCTCTTCGGAGCCTGGGAGTGCGGTTTGAACATTTTACCTGTTGTGCGAGGACGACCCGGGAATGATGGGGACTGAAAGGTTCTTCTGGGAGCCTGGGGGGTGAGGCGCGGACATTCTGCCTGTTGTGCGAGAACGATCCGGGAATTGAAGGGGACTGAAAGGTTCTCTTGGGAGTCTGAGGTTGAGGTGCGGACATTTTGCCTGTTGTGCCAGGTGGATGTAGGAGTAATGGCCACTGAAAGGATCTCTTGGGAGCCTGGGAGTGAGGTTTGGACATTTTGTCTGTTGTGCGAGGTGGATGTGGGAATGATGCGGACTGAGGGATCTGGCGGGAAGTGGTACGTGACTGGGGTGGATAGAGTCCAGTTTTCCTTCGGCTGTCGCGGGAATCCATCGCGCTGGGGTGCTGGTACTTCGATGTGGATTGTGGAAGTTTGGAGATTTCCAAAAGAGACGGGAATAATCAAGTAGAGGCTCACAGTCTTGACTTTATCAGGTAGATGTATCTGTCCTCAAGTATAAGCTTCCAGATTTCGTGATGGTAACATGGCTCGTGAGAACTTTCATTCATGTGGAATTCACTCAACTCTAAACTAACCCGTTTTGGACACGACTCTCTGCACTAAATCATCACAACCCTCTTCATCGAACTCCATCCCAACCTCATTGATCTCCAAAAATGACTGAACAACGCCCATCAATCAGCACCGAAGCACTTCTCCACGGCATGCAAAAACTACCACAAGARCTCTACGACATAATCTACAACCAAGTCTTCACCGCACCTCTCACTTCCCTCCGCTTCATCAACGACTACAACTGGGCCCAGACCAGTCCGAGGCCTAGATCTCCGCACCGCAAATCCATCAGTCTCCTACAAGTCTCCTCTCATTCCCGAGCACTCTACGCCAAAACCCTATTCCATCCAGACGCAGTTTTCAAAATCCACACCCCGCGGGATTCCAACAGATCTCTCCCTACAATACTGGCTGCGATCACTCTCAAAGACACACACATTGCGCTTCTGAAGCGAATCATCGTGGCGGTTCCTCTAGGATGTCATGGGTTTCGGCCTACCGATGCCTCTTCCGGACTGGGTGCATTTTAACCTTTGCATAGTATCGGGTAGGGTAGCGGGGGATGATATCTTGATTCCTCATGCTGTGCAGGTGAAAGAAATCAATCGGGTAAGAAAGTACTGTTTTAAAGACTTCTGGTTATAGAGAACTGACTTTTCCATGTAGCTTGATACGAATCTGATAGCTGCGGCGAGATTGGTGAGGCGGCCTTTGAATCTGACATGGTGGCAAGGGAAATATACAAAGTGTGCGTGTGAGCTACGATGCCCTCAGATCCTGAAAAATGATCTGATTTGCGGGCTGGAGAAGACGGATGAGATGTAAGATGAGGTGTGTGTGGGTTGAGATATTCCCGCATTGAGCGAGCAGGTATCTCATGATTCCGCAAGCAATGTCTGGATAGATGTAGTCATGCAATACCACCACCTTCCATGAATTCACATCTTCTAGAATCATCTTCCCCACCGCCCACTGGTGTCTTTCATCTTTTGAGTTCCAATCTACCAGCTCACTCACAATGCAATGGTGTCATATCCGGCCCAGCCATTTTCTCGCACCCACACTACGACGTGTCAGCTCGGCCCAGATTTCTCTCACACTCGCCCTCCGCACTCAATTTCCCCCGACATCTTCATCCACCAAACAATTTCTCCTGAAAATCAATCATGCCCAACCCCTCTACACAACCATGACGGACCTCCACGTCCCCTTCAGCAGCCAAACCCTCCGCCAAAGCCTCGAATCACTACCCCAAGAACTTACTCTACAACATGATCTACGAACAAGTCTTCACCGCGCCCCCAGGAATCCGAAAATTCCACAGACACAACTCAAACAATCTCAACAAAACTCCCCTCAAACCTTCTCAACCCCCTCCACGTCTCCCGCGCGACCCGCTCATTCTACGCCAAAACCCTCTACGGCGGCACAGCAGAAACCATAATAGAAATCGACGTAAACTTCCCCATTTACCGAGATCTTATCGAGGTGCAAAGTCTGATGAGACAATGGATGCAGAAAACCATCCCAGACGCCCACCGGAAATTCATCACGAAATTGGTGGTGGTGGTGGTGGTGCTTGATAATAATCACAGACCGGAATTCATGGAGAATAATGGGGTTCAGCAATGAAATGGTGCAGCGGCTCGCGGCTTATGAATTGGGAAAGGATTCTTGTATGGTGCAAGCGGAAATTTTTGCTCGGGATGAATATGAGGTTGTTGGGGAAGATTGGTGGAGAGATTCCAAGGCGGCAGGGATGACATTTCGAGATGGTTGTTATATCTTTGAGTGATGGGAAAGGTGTTTTTGAGGGGATCTTGTAGGATATGTGCGTATACTGATGGAATAATGGAAAAAGGGGACTTAGCGGTCTGGACATTCACGTGGAGATTTCTCATCGTGGACTAGCTCGCTTTTATTAAATGTCTCCTGTCTTCACTCCTCGCCTTCCTACCGCAAGAACTCCGCCACAAGATCTAGCTACAAATACCGTTTTTCCCCAACACCACTCCAAGTACACCTCACATCTACAGCAAAATTTCATCAACCACCAGAAAGCAAACATATACCCACCAACACATACAAACCCCTCCGTCTCCATCCCCTCCCCCTCCCCACGCCTCTCACGCGGCTCGCTACACGCCAAGACATTCCATACAAAGCCACGGACGGGGCCTACACGCCTCCTAACTCTACACTCTAATTCATACAGCCAGCCAGAACCCTAAGCATCCTCATCATCATAAATTAACTCGTATATACATCTACCTTCGACGAAAGAATGAATCCCTAGTAACAATCTACAAAAGTCCGGCAAGATTTCGATCCATCGAGCAAGATCTTTCAAAGTAAGAAACTAGACGAGACTATACTTACTCCTCGATAATCYCACGCCGTTCCTCCTCCTCCTCCTAAAGAATCGTCGATCCTAGGGTAACGGAAATAGAAAGTATCAGGGAAGATGCAGAAGGTTGGCGGAAGAGCCTGTCGTGGCGTGATTTGTAGTAATGAATGGGAAATTTGCAAGCCTACTTCTCGGATGTTACCTATTATTGCGGGATGTAGAAGTTCAACTTCAACAGAGACTACCTCCACCACCACCGCTCCTCGTCTCCCCCTCGTAAAGTCAATAGTCTGACGAAAAAGATGAAGCATTTCAATAAGAGAAGATGACATTGATTCAACACGTGATGAGATACAATTGAATACTCTCATTCCAATCGTACAAGACCGACCGACCGACACGCAAAGGTATAGTGGGAATGAAGTTGAACCCCTCCATTCCATCGTACAAGCCCGATTGACAGACACGCTATAGTGGGAATTGAACAGTGAAAACTCCAAACAAGAAACATCGTCCAGACCAAGCAACGTCCCCACAACTCAACACAACAACATGCAAGATAAGGTGGTGCACATCAAGCCGCCTCACTCTTGCGCTTCTTCTCCTTCTTCTTTTCCTTCTTCTCCTTTTTGAGCTCGGCTGAATCATCGGCCACCAGCTGAGAAGCGGCAGCAGCAGCAGCAGCAGCAGTGGCGGCCGCAGCAGCTTCCTGGTCGGCCTTGGTGGGACGGCCACGCTTCTTCTTCTTCTTCTTCTCGCCATCATCGTCATCGCCAGCCTTACGTTTGGTGGCGGTTGAGGAGGGGGTGGGGATGACGGGGTTGAGACTGCTGAACATTTGCTGGGAAGGAAGGGGATCGGCGGCGGCGGTGACGGATTTTTTAACGGATTTGGGCGCCTTTTCCTTCTTCGCAGGAGGAGGGGTGGGAGCTTTGGCAACGACTTCCTCCTCATCCGAATCGTCGTCCGAGGAGGAATCTTCCGAGCTGGAAGTGTCGTCGGAGTCATCCTCCTTGGCGACGACCTGCTCCGGGGCGGCGGTAGGCGTGCTCACCATGTCTTCCTCATCATCCTCGGCGCCGAGCTTGACATTGACACCACCCGCGGCAAGGTTTTCCTTGTAAGCCTTGGTGTCCTTTTCATACTGCTCCAGCTCGTGTTGGTATGCCAGCTTGTAGGGGTTGCGCTGCGCGTCCGTCAGCGCCTTCCATCTCTCCGTCGCGATCTTGGAGATATCGCCCGCCTTTCCACCCTCCCCACCCGCAGTCTCGGCATTCTCCGCCGAAATCACGGGTCGCTGTTCCTTGAGGAAGCGGAAGTAGGCGGTCAAGGGACGTTTAGGCGCGTTAATGTCGCGTTGCTTGTACGCGCGCTTCTTCTTGCCGGTGGTAGGGGCGCCTTCCATGGACGCGACGGGAGCCTGGGCGGTGGTGGGGGCATATTGCGCGTAGAAGGGCGGGGTGAAGATTTGGTTGAATGGATTGAGTAGCCCGCTCACGTCGAGCGTGTGGTCGGCGGAGATGACGACGTCGGTGTGTTCGGCGTAGGCCTTGACGGCGCGATCAATCGACGAGCTGAGCGACATGAAGGCATTGTTGAGGGCATTACGCGTGTGGATAAAATGTTGGCGATCGACAACAACGGTGATGCGATCGGAAGGAGGAGGGTATTGGTGGTTGGGATGCGGGAGGAGATTTGGCGGTGCTTGCGCTTGTTGTTGTTGTTGGTGTTGTTGATGTTGTTGCTGCTGTTGGGGAGTCGCGTTGGCCATCGTATCGTCCTCGTACGCGAGTGATGGGTCGAGGTTGAGATGGTCGCTCATCATTGGAATCGGGGAATGGAATATTGAAGGAAGGGCGGGTGAAAATTTCAAGGACGGGCGTTGAAGGAAGCAAGAAGAGAATGAAAAAGAAGGCTGGGAGAGGTTTTGCTGGGATGCCGGTCGATAATTTGATATTTGGCCAATCAAAAGACCGCATTGTGATCCCTCCCATCAATTATCCGTCCATCCATCAATTCGTCCATCAATCTATACATCCATCCATCAATCCATCCATCAATCCATTTATTCACCCTCCATCAACACACCCATGAAATGAATGCCCCCAGGGTTTGATATTAAACGGGAACACGCGCAAAGGCAGGGAGCGATAACAATCATCTTCCTTGCCCTAAGTTGACTGACACGTACCTTCCGTCGCACCTAGGGATAACGCGGCCAAGCATCTCATGCATTTCCACACGATATCCTTCGCCCTATGGGCATTTCACTCATTTCTCGGTATGACACCTCACAATGTCTTCATTTTCCCCTCTATCATCAAGCAAACTCCACCGCACGAGAAAAACCACATATCCCCTATCCCACCAATCTCCGCCTCCCAAGTTCTTCTCCCATTCCAGCATGGTATATCCTCCCTCCCTGTCCCTCGCCACACCTCTCCATCATCTCCCCGAATTATTCTACGATGAAATCTACGACTACACCTTTACATCCACCTCTCCTACAACGCACCATCTCGGAGATGTAGCACAAGTCCTGCGCGGCTTCAAACTTGATGGCATGTGAATTTTCACGTGGCCTTGGCACTCTCGCAAAGTATAACGACCTTGATCGTTGCGAGTAAGAACGGCAATCTTCACTTCCATGGTTCATGTTCATAAAGTGCTGAATAACACAACAAGTACATGACGCATCAGACAAACTTCTCCAATCCAATACGTGTCATTTCCAAGCAAAATCTCACGAATCCATGGTTCAGCACCAAGCTCCAAAAGATCCCACACAATTCTCCCTCTCACATCGCACAAATCAAACCTCTCCATCTTCTCAAACCACCCATCCCCAATCCAACAACACACTTCCTCCCCCCAAACATGTCCTCCCCCTCCAACCATCCAGAAACCCCTCCCTCCCTCCACCATGCCCTACAATCCCTCCCCCAAGAGCTGCGCGACATAATCTACACCCAAACTTTCACCGCCCCATCCGACACGCAAAAACTCACCCCAACCAACAAACCCACCAACCTCCACCTCCTCCACATCTCCTCCGCCTCTCGCGCTCTCTACGCCGAATCCTACTACCGCACCACCTGGAGACTGCATCAAAAATTCAATCTCATCGCCTGGCTCAACCTCCTTCCCGTAGAACATCGCAGACTTTTGAGGGAGATTATCGTGGAGTCGGACGCTTTCGATGAGGAAACCGCGGCAAAAGAGCGCGAGGAGAGGGAGATGAAGAGGAATGGAAAGCAAAGTGAGGCTGCTGCTGCTGCTAAGAGGAGAATGTTGTGGGTGGCTGAGAAGCGTTGGGAGCATGAGAAGGATCGGCTCGGTTGGGAGCATGTGATGACGGACCTGGATGTCAAATGGCCAATTTTGAGGGATGTGGAGATGGTGGATGGCGAGAATTCGAGAGGGTTGAGGGTGTTGATGGAGAAGGTTGTTTTGGGGAGGGTTACGATGGATGTAGAGGACGGAAAGGACTAATTTAAGAGGAGGATTTTATGGTGGAGGATCTTCGTCGAATTACAAGTACGATGGTGAACAATGAGTAGGATTTTGGGGGAGTTATGGAGAGCGGATCAGTTACATTGAGGATAGCGAAAGGAGTAGATGATTACGTTTCGTTGGGTTGTTGATATGAGCAGGAATTGGTTGGAGCAAAATCCTGTTTCCATCGGACCTTCCCATCAGCTGATAGAGAGACGCTTTCTCTTACAGTGGTCCCATCTCATCTAGTATCATTGACACTTTGGAGAGAAGGCCCGTGGGATATGGTAGAAAGGCGAGTCTGCTTTCTCGCCAAGGCATCTCTGGGCACAGAAGGACTACCGCCTCAAGACTCAGAGTGGTTGGATGGTTCCGATAGAAGGCCAGAGGCACCGAGAAGTAGCGCTAAGATACAAAAGTTAGCTTCTGTTTTRTTCTAGACAAATCAAGAACCTCTTCAACCAGTATAACTTGCAGTCGGACCGATCATGCCCTTTCTTGTCAACTCCTTTCCTCTACCATGTCGTCCAGTCCAGACATGCCGCTAGTACAGCCCCAAGAGTGGATGCAGTTCCAGAGATCCAATCCAGCACATCGACTCGCAGTTGAAGAAGCCAAAGAAGCAATAGCCCTACATCGCGAGATGATGGACCCCCCTTTTCGCTTCCTGGACTTACCAACTGAGCTGAAAGATATGATATACAGCTACCATGCGGCCGCCATTCAGCAAAGCTTCGAATCCACTAAGCAGACCGTGCAAACGTCACGATTTTTCCTTCCAAGAACCGAAAAACGGCGCGATCTAGGCCGTCTCCGCATCCCGCCACTGGCCCAAGTGTGCAAAGAGCTCCGTGAAGATTTCCTCCACATTGTGTTCAAGGWAGGCGCATTCGATGTCGATGTCATTGGCGATGAGAAAAGATACATGTATGAAAACCCCGCAGAACATGGAAACACAATTTGGATAGTCTTGCCCGACGGGCGCTGTACCCCCGAAAGACCACACAAACCGCTCAAACTTCCGCGGCGCATTGCCAATCTCTTGCAACACGATACGATCTTCCAGAACGTCAGGTTCGTCATGAATCGGGAGTACACACCATCTGCATATAGGGCCGAATCCCGTGGGCGCAGGCTCAGGCGCCCAGTTCTGTTACCGCCGCAGCAGGTCGTGCCGTGGGAARTGACATTCCAGTGGACCGAAAAGCGTCTTTTGGTGGAGAACGGTCCTGAGGCGGTTGCTTGGCACTACCTCTATCCCCAGCGTGGTATCATTGAAGACGTTATCAGACAGGTGGCTCGTGAGACGTGTGCTCAAGAGGAATTCAATGGATTTGCTGTGGCGGATTTGCGTCGGATTGCAGATGAGATGGTGACTCAGATCAATGGGTGCACTAAACGGTTCGTTCCAGAGAAGTAATGGGTTGGGGCTCCATGGTGCTGCGGTTCAATCCAGATGTAGGGGTGATCGGAATTATGGCCATTATCGGATCCAGACGAGACTCCTCATGGTAGACTCCTCATGGTGCCAAGGTGCTGTGCAAATAGACAGCGTTTGTACGCCTTTAAAACCAGTGCTTTCATCGAGAGCGAGCCATCTCGATGTCGACGACGTCGATCTTTCGGTACTCTTCGCTAGAAGCACTGTAGCAGCGTCTCTCGGCGTGTCGAGTCGCTACCCGTCACCCAAGAATGTCTCATAACGACAGTCTTGTCGCATCTTTCATCTTCAATCAGTATGTTCGTCATCTCTCTTCAACGATTTTTTCCTCTTTCATCCACGTAAACCTTTGCGCGTTGTTTCGCAACTCAAATCACGACATACCAGCTCAAGCTGGCGCCCAAGAAAGAAGCGATCGTGCACTCGCTGTGCCCCGGACCGCCCACAAGCTCTAACACGTTCAMGACCGAGAGGGTCAGACCTAGGTTGACTGTGGTTGACTGTGGTTTATCCACTAAAGAAGCCAGACATGAAATCTCAGTCCACTTCTTGCCCGAGGCTGCCGCTCCCAAAGTATTGACTTGCTGCATAGAGATCTCAAAATCAAGCCAAAGCTGTTACAGAACAGTTAGCCACGGAACCTCATCAGCAAGCGAGATCAAACAGCGTGACAGCTGAGCAGTAATCGCTTCCAGTGGGGTACACTATGTAGTCGAATAGGAGACGATCCGTAGCATTACATGGATGGTATGCGTGTAAGCTTCTTGTTCTTGATGTACGTCTTCCATTTTCGATCTTTAGTGTGCCTGCTCGTCGTCGAAGGGGATTACAAGATGTGTGCAGTGTCCACGTGGAGAACGAGTGAGGAACTTCGTGGTCTGGAGATGAAGAAAGGCCGTATTTGATGTATTGGTCGAGATGTCTCAACCTCTGGGCTTCATATAGACCTTGCTTCCGTATCAGTATTAGCCCATGCGCTAATACCGGGAGGCGCCGCTGAGCCTGAGCGAAGGGAAGTTGCAGCCTAATAACTGGAGCCTGGAGACCTGCTGTCATAAATAATATATATACAGCGGGAGATGATTTCCAACATGACCCATCCGACGGACACTATTTATCTACCCTCCATCAAAAATGGCCTCACCACTATCCAATCTGCCAGAGGAGCTTCTCCAACACATTGTGTCCGAATTTGAGGCCCACGAATTCGATGGTTACGGCAACACAAGAGTTGGCAAATACCACATATACCAACGTACGCTCCGATCCCTACTTCGCGTGAACAAGCAATTCCATCGCCTGGCACAGCCGCTCCTTTACAAATCCATAGCTAGCATCCGGCACGACCGGCCCTGGGCCTTGCGACTTCTACGGACTCTCCTGGAACAGCCCAAGCTTGCAGACCTGGTGCAAAATGTGCGTATGGAAGGAGACGTGTTTGAAAGTTATGGGAAGCAGACTACCTCCGAGGAGCCCGGGGGATGGGACCCGGAACTAGTTTCAGCAGCAACTAAGCGAGTGGAAGAGGTTAGCAACCACGGCTCTCTCGCCGATCGTATCCTAGCATCGTTGAAGAATGGCAGCAACAGTGTATGTTGCGATCGAGGAGCTTGCATGACTCTGCTACTCATACTTGTTAGGAATGTCACATTCCTGCACCTGCAAACCCCATTCAGCTGGGAAGCCTCGTTTACGGCAGAGCTAGTTGAAAACCTGGCTAGATTGTCATACTCTCCCGATTCAGCAGACGCAAAGCCAGCTATGTTGAATTCCTTCCTACCGCGCCTCAAAACCTTGGAGGTCGAGCATTGGGATACGGAGGGTTCGGTTGATCTTGGACGCCTGTCAAACATGGTTCGAATCCCTTCGCTGGAGGTCTTACGTGGCCATATGCTCTCAGTGGAACAACATATGGGCGATCTCGGGAGCTGGCCGTGTAAGATGAAAACCATTGACCTCACCTACTCAATGGTGGATGCGCCTGGTCTTGAGATATTGCTGCGCCAATTCTCCAGTTTGCAGCACTTGGGCATCGAATGGGGAGATGCATGCGTTGGGGATTGTGAGATTAGCTGGCCTGAAATTGGTGATGCTCTTCGCAAGTATGCAAAGTCCTTGAAATTCTTGAGACTTGATTGTAGCCAGGCTTTTGGCTTCGAAGATTCGGAGCCGCCATTTCTGCCACTTGGAGATCTGAGGCCTTTAGCGAGACTTGAGAAGCTTGCCGTGCATTGGACATGTTTGCCCGGCGAAGAGGATGAAGATTTGCACTTTTCACCGTCGAATCTTGCAAGCATCCTACCAGAGTCGCTTGTGGAGTTGAAGCTTTTAGATTGGAGTCTGAAAAATGCAGAAGAAGGGTATGAGGGGTTGGGGACGAGATTGAGTAGGCTTGTGGAAGATAAGAGATTCGGAGCCCTGAAAGTCATCGGTTTGGGGCGGATTGATCCAGTAAGAGAAGATTTTGACTATGCTGCGTGGTACAAGGATCGGCTGGGTCCATCTGGTTCAAGCGGGTGACGGGGCGGCTCTGCTGATGACTGCACATGAAGCGGTTTCGCTGCAAAGTATTCGTTTGAAGGGTGGAGGCTCTTGAATGTGCGACTAGATTTCCATAGCCATTTTACCCTGCGATTCTGAAGGCAGTCCGCTGCTTGTCCCGAGATGTGTGACTTGAGCTCCAGTTTCAAGTAAGCTTTCACGGTCACATAAGTTCGTGTACTGCCATCGTGCCGGTCATCCAGCATGACTGTGTCATTCGTTTTCCCTTCACTTCCAGAGAGGACGGGCTTGTACGTAGAGCGAGGTGTTGAATACATAAGATTCGACTCCATCGAGCGACGCGTTTGCCGGATTGGCCCAAAAACATCCTGAGGGCAGTATTCAAGCGCGTGAAGAAGGACCACCTCACCCAAGGCGAGCGGCGGCGTGATCCTAGTGTCGATCTGCCGATCTGTAGATCTCACAATGGCTCTCCACATCCGATGGACCTCACATGCACATGCACAACTCCCCCATGTAATAACAGCGACATCTCTGATCGCTTGCCAGAATGGACGCGCTTCTCGCGGCGCACGCACAACAGGTCAACAAACATAATCTCTCGCCCGCCCTCAACTCCGTTTCCTCGCTCATCAGTCTCCTCCAAACCACCCGCGATTCCATCGCCGCCAACCCAGATCATGCAGCACTACAACTTGCCAAAACAAAAGCGCCTCTGAAGGAATCACTTGCCAAGATCGAAGAGGACCTCAAGGATGTTAATCGTGGGCTGAATGCATATCAGAAAGCGCTCAAGGACAAATTCAAGAATGCGTCGTTACCAGTTGCGGGAGCAGGCGTGTTGGAGGAGCAGGGCGAGTTGATTGATCGGGCGATCGCAATGCATTTGCTGAGGGAGGGTAAATTTGAGGTGGCCAGGATATTTTTGGAAGAAGTGAATGAACGACCACGCAGAGAGAGGGAGAGCGAGGGAGCCGACGATGTATCAATCACGGCAACCGCAGGCTGGCCGTACGGCAGAGATGGCAGCGAGGAAGCGGACATGCAATCCTCAGTTCACTCCGAGGAAAGCCTTCTCTCGACCGTTCAATCTAGCGGCCTCCAGGCCAAGTTCTCGGAAATGTATCACATTCTGGACGCTCTCCGCAACTTCCACAACCTCTCCCCAGCAGTCGCATGGGCACGCTCCCACTCCGCCGAACTGGAAGCCCGTGGTTCAAATCTCGAATTCGAACTCGCTAGACTGAAGTTTGTCGAGCTTTACACCGCAACCTCTGCAGACGTCATGTCGGACTCGGACTCCTCCTCTTCAGACTGCTTCTCCGGTCCCCTTCGCGCATTGGAGTACGCCCGAGAGACATTCCCCTCCTTCTCCCAACGCTACGCCCGCGAAACATCCTCACTATTAGGCTCACTCGCATTCTCGCCAGACCTCCATTCGTCACCTTACTCACCCTCCTTCACCCAAACCTCCTACACAGAAGCCTGCTCCTCCTTCACCCAGGAATTCTGCTCGCTACTCGGCCTCTCCTCCGTCTCCCCACTCTACACAGCGGTGACGGCAGGCGGAATCGCCCTCCCAATTCTTGAGAAGGTGGAACGCGTGATGGCGCAAGCTCGAGGACAATGGACTTCCGTCAACGAATTACCCGTGGAAACACCACTACCGAGAGGCATGCAATTCCATCAGATTTTCGTGTGTCCGGTCAGTAAGGAACAGGGACGGGATGGGAACCCGCCGATGATGTTGCCTTGCGGACATGTCATTGCAAAGGAGAGTTTGGAGGCGCATGCTAAGGGCAAGAGTCGAGTGAAATGTCCGTATTKTCCGATCRAGTGTCATCCAAAGGAGGCGAAGAGGTTGTACATTTGATTGTCATCATTTGGGGAGTGCATTGGGGTGGTGTCTTACGGTCTTTTGCTCTGGTAGGCAGAGTCATGAATTATGAACAGTGGACTGGTATTTGAGAGTTGAGATGGAGGCTATTGAAGACACCATCATTATGATTCGAGCTTGTATTGTTTCTTCCAAACTTGTGCTTCCGCACATCTTCACCCAAGAATGCGAGCTTCTAGAGATCCATGATTCGAGATTCCACTCGCACTTTCCGTTATAGACACTACAAAACTAACCTGCTGATGAAGTGAGTAGAAAGCTTTGCGCAAAGTCGTCGAAGGAGCCCAATGAAAATGTGCTACTCCAGCGTTGTTATGCCTTGAATAGCAGCATCACAAGAAGGCAGCGCTGCATCAAATCCAACGGCGAAGCGAGCACGACGATTCCGTGCGTCGAGATAACAAAAGTTGGTTACGAAGATACCAAAACCCCATGAAGTTGTTGTCAGGTTTTATTTATGTCTTACAAGTCTGACGGATGCGGATAGCCATGATTGATTGAGCCAGGCTTTTCGGCAATCACGTGTTGGTTACAGATTAGTGGTACTGCGGCTTGGCTCCACTTGTTTGAAGTCGTGCTCCGGGAGGGCTGTTGGCGTTCTTGGAGTAGTGTCGACGAGGACAGAAGCAAATCAGCGTGGAATGTTCTCTGGGAGATACAGATCAGACGTATTCCTCTCTGTTAGGAAGAAATAACGGCGCATGTGTCGAAGATGATATAATAATAAAAGGGGTATCCCGAAGGACTCGAACGCAGGCCTTCATATTAACAACATCTCAAAGGAGCCCAAGAAAAAACTGATTGGAGCCCCTAGGAATTGAACCCAGCACCGCAGACGAATGTTGATCAACATGAACATTTAATTAATGAAAGTAAATTAATGAAAGTGGTTGTTCTCACCCGCCTGGTATGTTACCACTACACCAGAGCCCCGAGGATTTCATTTGATGACAGTACAAGATTTCGCTGTCTTTATTTACCTTGGAAATCTTGCGGATGCTGGCGGGAGAACAGTCACGGGAGCCGTGGTAAGGACAGCTGTGGGAAAGGTGATTACCAAAGGTTTGGCTCGCGAAGTTTGGATCCTTGCCGGGACATCCGCATGGAGGTGACTTCTGGATATCTCGTGTAATCTCTGACGGGTTTTTGAATGTCCAGAATGTCTTCGAGATCCGTTGCATGAGCAATGTCGGGGTCGGATTCCAGGTATCTCACCACAGATGTTCGATGACTCCGCCTGGGCCGAGGCGGCTGGCAATTATCAGACGAACTACCCGTACGAGTATTTCTCGCATCATTTGCCGGCCTTGTCTCTGTCCGTAGGCTGAGATGCTGTCCCAATGAAGGAAGGGACTTCTGGTGCCATTGGAGGGCCAGATTTTGGATGCGATGTCTGTCCGGTTCAGCTGGTTCACCTAGAGACAGAGAGTAGCAATTGGGGGATCCAACCCCTTGAGACTGTAAATCTCACCAGCGACCTCTACTGGTTGATGTGATGAAAAGAATGAGTCGTCAGCTGAAGTGAATCGGCCATGTCGTCTCCGCCAAGACCGAGGCCAATCGCGTCTACGCGTCTTCCGCCATCGTCATCATCTCCACCTGCAATACCATACGACAACACGACGAAATGTCATCGTCGCCGCTGGGAGTCAAGCGCCGTCGCGTGGAAGATGCCACGCGCAGACTCACCAAGCCATTCGTCTCGCCCATGCGCACCAACAAACCCACGGCAGCGCCATTACCGCCCGCAACAACTTCTCAACCATTCGTCTACACACCCAGTTCGCTGGCACACACTGTGCAAGTCGCCTATCCGCCACCAAAGCCCACCATTTCTTCTCCAAGACCGCTCTCAAGAAAGTACACCACCACTACACCTGTTCGAAGACCCGCAACAAGTCTCACTTCCTCGAGAAAGAAGCTTGCCAGTCCGGAAGAAGTAGCAGCACAGAAGGCGATCGCAATCATCGAAGCACAGATCCGAAGAACCAAAAACGACCTTGATACTCTCAAACAAGCACAACATATCACATCCACATCCACCGACGCGGATCTAGAACAGCTGGCCGACAAATGGCGTCTCGCCTCGCAAGCCATTGCGGAAGATTTGTTCGGTGCCGTAAAGGAACGTGTATGTAGGATGGGAGGTGTGGCTGCTTGGCGGGAGATGGAGAAGAAAAAACACGATCGTATGCATGGAATTGGTGAATTTGCTAGGGAGGAGGAGGTCATACAACCGGATGATGCGGACTGTGAGTTTGATGACGAAGGGGAGGAGTTGCCAGAGGATGAGCAGGAATATCGCAAGAAGATGAAGCGGCAGGCCGAGCGTGAAATGGCTGAAGCTGCGGAGGGGATTGAGGATATACAGACTGAGCCGGGAGACGCCACAGGGAAGGAAAAGCTCTGGGAGGAGCCAGGGAATGATGACGATGTGAGATTACTGCGGCGTTGTTCAGATATGCTCATGCTGACTTTGACTTTAGTCTTTCGCGATGGACATGATGCTACGATCGCTCAACATCGAGCTCGACGTTATCGGGTACGACAGGGTGGAACAGCGATGGATCTTGTGACAACCTACACCATCCAACGCGAGAGACAAGATATGGATTCTTGAATGTGCGACACAAGCGGAAGACACCTTTTACATTCTACAACGATAATATGATGAGACGACATGATACCCAATAGCTGCGGAAATGGATATGATTGCAATAAATTTATGGGCATGCGCACTAATGCATGTGATCTGCCGTCTGTGCACGTAGGATTTGTCCTCCCACGCGAAGCTAATGAGATGAACACGTTAGGTCATTCCTAGGCAATCCTGGAACTCAGAGCATGAGTGAGGTGGTCGATGTGAGAAGATCTTTGAACACACAATCTGGAATTGTAGCCATGGTACAATATTTACCCATTTCAAGCGGTATCGATGCACCCCGAGTCCCAATGAGGCAGATCGGTCCGTGTAACACAAGGCTGCAAATCAGGGCATAATCAACCGCTTTCATTCACTYTCACCTAGGTAAGTTGACTTCACTTCAAATCGCAGGCTTCACTCACCAGCGTACCTGCCGTTCATCGCAAACAACCCCTGCACCTACGTCACCAGCATTTCAATTCTGCATACTTTATCCACCATCTCCACCTCAACATCAAACCACACCAAAAACTCAAACTCATCCAACTCAACTCAACCAAAACACCAACAACTTTCCACCACACCGACACATCCAACCAATCCTTCAACAATGGTCTACGTAATCGTCGTCCACCTCTACGCCAACGACAATGCCGAAGACATCAAGAAACTCATCGCCAAGCTCCAAGAAGCAAGCCAAGTCTACAGCAAAGACAAGGAGTGTTTGTCTTGGTAGGATTTTTCCTCCCTTCTCTTCACCTCACTTCATTTTGCAATTCAGGAAGCTAACGATTGATTGATTGAATGATAGGTTCGTGAGCCAAGATACCAAAGACCCACGCGCCTTCACCATTGTGGAGCGTTATGCTGAGGAGTCCAGCCAGAAGTAAGTTTTTCCCTTCCTTTCTAATCACTGTTCTCTTCGTCGGGAGTTGATGATTGATTGTCTGTAATAGGTACCATCTCGAGAACCCCTACTGGCAGACCTTCGACCCTTACGTCAAGCCTCTCCTCGCCAAGGAGATGGATCTCCGCCGTGTGGTTGAGCTTGACACGAGCACTGAGGTGCGCGTGGAGAAGGACGAGAAGTTGTGGGAAGAGGTCAAGAAGCATCAGACTTACTAAATTAAGTCAAGATGCTTGAATGACTGGCCTATGCGGACGATCTTTATTTCATGACATGAGCATGATGTTATGCTGGTCTGGAGAACGACTTATCTTTCTAGCATAGCACAACTATGGTCATGCTCTTCGCTCTCACGACGACGTCTGCCTGGAGCAGACCGTCGCGGGCGAGACATGACGATGAATATGCATATCGGGTCACCACAGCATTTGTAAAGCCCCGATATCTTAAGCTTCGCAAGAGCCTCTGATCTGTAGACGTTGGATCTCTCATCCTTCGTGGAGACGCGATAGTAGAGCTAGCCTCATTCTGAACTCCAAGTGATGCAATGAAAAGACTGGCGACTTGCCGGAAAACTTTCCGAGGACAGTCAGAACTGTGGCCCTGTCCAGTCTCGGCCTTTTGGACGGTATGTCGTTCAGGTCTGGGGGGAATATCTTCAGCCAGATCTCTTCCTCGCTGCTGCATGTGGTCTCCAGAATGAGCTTCAAGAGGGCAACATCCCCATCTCTGACTTGTAGTTGATACAAGATTTGACTATTGGATGATATGGCTCTTGTTAGGCTGTTTCGGTGATTCTTTCTCATTCGTTGCTCCGTCGTTCAGGACGCCGTTGGTCCCGCGTACGTTCAAGCTTTCGGCAGACATGTCTCTGCGGAGGTCTTGAAGTATGCCGTGCTTGGAAGCGTCATGTGTTTACGAATGCAGACTCAAGATGCGTCGTGATGGGGCATGACACAGTCCGTGTGTCTCTGATTGCCGATAGTCCCGCATAATCTTCAACCTCTCCCCTCGGTGATGATTCCAATATCTGGTTGGGCCAGACTGTCTCCAAGCTCCACCATAGTGCGATCATACACCCTCGCAATCTGCATATCGAAGCTTTCGTCCTCTTCTGTCCTCTGCTCATGATCATCTCCCTCAAGCACCAGCAGACCTTCCATATCAGTATCAATATCCGTCGCCGTCTCCTCATACGGCTCATCTTCAAAATCTCCCTTCTTGAAAGCCTCCATAACATCCAACCTCGTCCTTTCAACCAAGCTCCGTATCCTCACCTTCTCCGTCCCACTAACACCTCTCCCCACGAAACCAGGCAGTCGCTCTCCACTCTCAACATCTCTCCCTTGCAAAAGACTCGCAAACGCAAAGTCCAGCTTCCCAAGTAATCTAAACAGAGTCCTCGGACTCGGCGGCATACCTTGCACAACCCCTTGCACCAAAAGCGCAATGTTGATCAAATAAGGCACCTGCAAACTCGGGGTTCCACTGACCCACACGACACCCATCAACTCCTCGAAATCTTTACACGCCTCTTTCATTGACGCGTAGCCACGCACATCGCCCCAAGTATCTGCCTTCTCGCGATCGGCATTTGCAAGAGGGTTGGAGGAGGATGGCGTTGTGCGTTTCGCGTATCGGCGTTGAATGTGTAGGAGCTGCTGGTCGACATAGCGGATGAAGGTGCCTTCTTTGCTGCCGCCTGGTCGGAGAGGCGAGTCGCGGGGTTGTGGGAGGACGGCATTTGTATTGGACGATGCTATTGAAGACGCGGGTGGTGAGAGGATAAATCCTCCGCCAGGGAGGCGCTGTGCCATTGTTGAAGCTGATGTGTCAAGTCAAAGCATGGTTAGCTGTCCGAGGCTGCGGTGTTGAAGGTCGAAGCTTTGCGGTCCGCATCGTGGCATGTGAAAGTCGCTTATCAAAGCTGACGTCAATCCAGTACTTGGCACATTGGTGCTGCATAACAATAAGCATTGATGTTCACGAGCATTGGGACCAACTTGTGACGAAGACTGCGGATCTCTCATTCATGACAGTGCGTGCTGTCTCTACACATTCTCTTCCAAGGCTTGAAGCAAGCAAAGCGATGCATCTCAACTCACAACTCGATCAAAATTGCTCGTGCTCCTGATCTCACCACCATATTTGTAGAAGACAAAAGGCACAAGCGCCAGAGAGGTGCTAATACAGGCCAGGATGGCCTTGGTATGGTTCACTCCCAGGTTTTGTAAAAGGTTAGACTGATCACGGGAACGTGTCCCGCAGCGATACATCGAGTGACTGCGACTAGTGTATCGGTTTGGCTCGCAAACTCCTCATAAGCATCGATAATGCACTGATGACAGCTGATGAAGATCTGGAATAAGGATAACGGTCGTCGCCAGCGGTGGTACGGAGGTGCTCAGCCTTGCATTTCAGGAGGTCGCAGCAGATTGAGAGCAAAATTCAATCAGCAGAGCAGTCCATAACACGTCGTGAATGCTCAAAAAGAGAATGGATTCTGCGGTCGAAGCCTGATGAGCACGATTAGTGTCGTGCTCTCTATTCTGGTGTATGCCAATGACAACAATGTACACCATATTCGTTCTTCTAACTGGGTGATTGTACAGATTTTCGCTGAGGTATTGTCAGAACACGCGCGACACTTAGAACTTAAAGACCTGGTCTTTGGTATATCCAAGCTCCTTGAGGATTCCAGCAAGCTCGCCCTGATCTGCAGGGCTCTTCTTGGGTCCTGCAATCGCCTTGACCAATCCTGGAGGACCGCAAACAAAGAGCTTGACGTTCTCTTCGCTCGATGCTGGAGCAACCTTGCTGATGAGTTCCTTGTTGATGAATCCCTTGCCACCCTGCCATTTCTCAGGCGGGTTGTCGAGGACATAAAAGGCGCGGAATCGGTCCGGGAAGTTCTTTTCTAGTTCCTCGAATTCGTTCTTCAGTAGGATATCCTCCTCAGAGATGTTACCGAAGACGAGTGTGACCTTTGTCTTATCGGCAGGGTTCTTGAAGATTTGGCGAGCGAGTTGGTACCTATAAGTAAAGGACAGAAGGGTCAGCGGTATGTCAGACATTCGGGGCGGACAGAATATGATATCATGGCTCCGATAATCCAGCAGTTTACAAATGCGTAGAGATATCCTCGTTGGCCTTGTCTTTCGATACCTGCGTGGGATGCCTTTTTCCTTGACCGTACTTACATGGGTGTGATTCCGGTGCCACCCGCAAGGAGTGCGATGTGGTCGTGCTTGTTAGCCTCCCAATTGTACTTGGGGATAGGCCCCTTCATTTCAAGCGTTTGACCAGGCTCCATGGCGTGAACATGCTCAGACATCTTGCCGCCCTTGTACTTCTTCACGATCAGATCCATGTAGCCTCTCTCCTCTGTGCAATGCGTCAGTGACTACAAATCTTCCAGCTCCCGTCTCTTCACTGACCTTCATCGCTGGTTGGTGTATACGGCCGAATGGTTGGCTTCTCATCCCCCTCTCCTTTGTACTTTGTCACAAGTGCGCTAGCGACTGTGAGTCCGCTCACAGCGTCCGGGTTATCGAACTTGAAGCGGAACTTGCTGGTATTGTAGTTGATCTTCTCCACCTTATCCAAGACCAGACCAATGAAGCCTTGATCTACGACACATCAGAACCAATCGTGCCTTGTATCTCATCTCTGCTGCCTTACCGCCGCCAATGAAGACTTTGTCTGGAGGTCCTCCCATCTTCGCAGGGACATTTTCATACTCTGGCGCAGTGCGTTCAATCGCTACAGCAACTGGATCTTTTTTTCCGCCCGCAAATGTATAGTAGCCACCACCGAGGAGACCGGCACCGCCGAGGGCGTATAGAATGGTGTTGCTGCCGCCACTCTTTGGGGCTTCCGAAGCGTATCGTCTAACATGCTGCGAGCGTGGAATGTCAGTTGAAAGCCGCTTGTCCAACCGATTTTGAGGAATTCTTACACTGGACAGCTGCTGCGCTGGTCTGAACAGCTTGGTGGAAAACATTTTGGGCTGATGTGAGGACAGAGACAGCTTTGCAAGCGTTCCCAATGTCTGAAGCTCTTCGTCGGGCCGGTGATGACGTTGGTCTCCGATCTCACCTCCCAAGCAGCCGAACAGTTGAGGCCGACGATATTGTTTTCTTTTGCTATCTACAACCCAAAAGTAACCCTTCCCTCCATCTACACCAACTCTCAATCCAGAGCGTCTTCTCTGTCCATCCCCGCTTCTCTGAAAATCGCGCTGCCCATTTGATGCCGATGCGGCACGGTCGTGTACCGTCACTAAATGCTTCGGATCATTTATTCACAAAGGATGTCATATCTTCGGCCCAGGAATCGTCCATTCGAATCAGCACTCGACAATGTGGTATCTCGGCCATCGAGAGCTTACTAGACACTGCTGCTTCGCTTGCTTCAAGCGCAGTTTTATTGAAGGTTGAAGCCTCTCCTTGTAGTGGAACGACAACTACGCTCGCGGACAGGTAGCTATGAGTGCAAGAAGAAGAAGCCTTGCGGAGATGCGAATGTCTTATCGCACGCTTGGAGTCTTGAAGCAGAGGGTGTACTCATATTTTGACAGACAAAGTACCTGCATCGCCACCAGTTTCATACCAAAGTAAGTTGCACATGCATCCTTGCCTTTTTCCCTCTCCATTCACTGCTGGGTCAGTGAAGCTGGCAACTTTCATGCAAGACATGCAACGCAGCCATGAAGCCACTTCGACTGTAGAAGAAATGGCACGATCCTTCATTCCGCTTCGCTTCGTTTGTTTGTCGCCTCTGGTCATTCTGAAAAATTGGGTCATGAACTCAATCACATTCAATACAACCGGTCGTACATCTTCAAGATGGAGAAAATCAAGCACAACCAATTCATCTTCCTCGATCAGTCACAGGGAGGCATTTTCAAGATTCCATTCTGGGGTACAGACGGCACCAAGACTTACTCCATCGGAACGGCCAACTGCTGGAATTGCGTCTGCGTGTATGTTCCGCTCGATGAAGAGTTTTGCTTCGCTGCTCATATCGACGCCTGGTCATGCGGCCCTGTCGATGACAACAGCGACATAGTCCCACCAAAGGGCAGCGAGGAGRGCCTGAAGAACCGCGTGAAGGAAATGCTGAGGGAGGAGGTACGTCCGTTCATGCCAAATAAGGAGCTTGACGTGAAATGGAACAAACGGTCAATCATACTCAATATGCGCCCAACTGTCGCTTATTATGGAGTCAAAACCTGCGGCACTGGATTCTACATTGCAGAAGCTATCATCGAGTTCTTTGGTCTTCTCGGCAACGATGAGGACCAGCATGCCACGGGATTTGTGGTAAACCATGTTAGCCAGCATACGGAATACTTCAGGTGGGGCAAAAATGGAGTAGCTCCTACAGCCGATGACTTCGACAGATGGGATGAGTACAAGCGAACCAGAGGAGAAATATCGAATGAGAGCACCATGGAGTCTAAAAACAGAGAGCAACCTTGTCATTCCAGGAAGTTGTTCAGCGCGAGAGGCAAGGACTGGCGCTTCGGATGCCACAAGGGCAGGTGGTTCTCGAAAGCGGAAATGCTTGCCTACGGATATTGGAAGAGAAGTATGTGGAACTCATAGTTCCAGCATGTTCGTACTTCTCTGCCAGTAGAGGCGCTTGCTGAGAGTGGTTCCTGTCACGATGATGCTTCGGTTGTAGAATCGAATTGGATGATATTTCGCTTGTCCTGGTGTACGACAGGCATCAAACGCCTTATAGCTTGACGTCCCCTAGTAGTTTAGCCTGGCATCTGGCATGTGACTCCAACAGACTTGGGTTGGACCTTTGGCGATGAGAGGGAGTCGGCGCCTTTGTTAAGGCCCCACTCTCCGGCGCTAGCTCCGAGCGAAACTACCTCACCCACCATGGCTCCTTCCTTCTCCTTCCATCGCAATAACACCGAAACAGACGCGCGCGACAGACTTGTAGCAACTAATTGAACAACTTGTTTCGAGAACTTCACCCACATATCTCGTGTGCTTGAAGCACGATTCTGCATCATAGCAGGATATGGTGGCGCTTTGCAATGTCGACATTTGACGGCCACCTACCCGAATTCCCACGCATTCGAATTGACCGTTTCCGCCTCAATGATGGCTCCACAGTCCCGTCACTGGCCAACTTCCTTTCACACATCCACACTGACCATTTAATCGGTCTTGACTCGCCTTCATATGGCGGACCCTTCATCTATTGCTCATCCGCCACCAGGGAAATGCTTCTGAGACTTGAGAAGTATCCAACCAGAATGAACTTTGCAAACGGTTTGACTGAGACCAGGACCCAAACGTACAAGCATTTGAAGAAGCTGCTGAAGCCGGTACCTCTCGAAGTTCCGACATGGATCGAGCTTTCAGACGGCTACAGAATCCGGGTCACACTATTTGACGCAAATCACTGCGCAGGCGCCGTCTCCTTCTTGATTGAGGGTGATGGAAAAGATGCCAAAGCCATCTTGTATACCGGCGACGTCCGATCAGAACAGTGGTGGGTGCACTCTCTCTCACGATATCCATTTCTCAATCAGTATCTGCGCCACGACAACAAAGATCCACATAAGCAGCTAGACACGATATACCTCGACACCACATTCGCAAACAAGACAGATCCCTATCAGAGCTTTCCATCAAAAGCGCAAGGGATTGCAGAACTCATCAGCAAGGTATCGCAATACCCAAAGGACACTGTTTTCTATCTCAACTGTTGGACGTTTGGGTACGAAGACGTATGGTCAGCTATCGCCACGTACCTCGACACTCGCATTCATGCAGATCAATACAAGTATGGCGTGTACGGAGCGCTCGGCAACAGCAAGGAGCCAAGAGCATCGGAATTCTTCAAGCTCATCACGAGCTCGGTCGGCAATCACGCYCAGCAAGGCTGTCTCGTTACCGACAGCGAGCCTCACCAAGTGCACTCATGCGAACAAGGAACCTCGTGTTATGTGTGGAATGAGGGTTAGTCACGGAGCAAACGAGCGCGACTGAGCAGTACTGACCATTTTCAGAATTCGTTCGCATCACTCCCATCATCAGCAGATATGGGTACGTCAGAGAAGCTGGAGCTTGTTTCGTACGTTGAAATTGCTGACAGTTTGCTTCTCCAGTGGTAAAGCCATGCGAGAGCCTGGAGCAGGCGGCGGCGAAGATGACTTGAACCGACAGATTGAGATTGAGTTTCAAGATCAAAGTGAAATCATCGAGCTTGTCGAATTGATAGGTAATTGATCCCAGAGATTGTCCATATACGTGGAAGCTGTGCTGACCGCAGGCTCAGCATCCAAATACCAGGACTTTCCAGAACTTCGGGCAGGCGTTATCAAGCTGCTCAAAGATGAGATGTCTTCTCGTGGCACAGTGTCTCTGGAGCTGGCCGATATCCATCCCGACACCGCCGATGATGCGATGTCTCAAGAGCCTCCGGAGATGGAAGATCTCAAGCCTGAGGACATCGTCAGCGCATTGGCAAAACGAGTGGCAAGGACGAAATTGGAGGCCGATGCTCCTGAGGAAGCACCGAAGCAGTCCGGAAATCTGCCAAAGCACATCCTGTTCCCGTACTCCCGGCATTCATCTTATGGCGAATTATGCTCTCTCATCGAAGCATTCAAGCCGAAGGACATCTTTCCCTGCACTACGGTTCCTGAAAAGCACTGGACGGCGAACCATTCAATGGCCTACCTCTTCGGCCACCTCTACACCGAACCTCCCAACTTCAGACACGACCAGCTGATGCTACGCAATCTTAACGAAAGACCTGCGCCTGTAGGCTCGCCTCGCGTCCAGAAGCAAATGGGAACCCCAGAAATTACCAACAGCTCCAGCACATTCCAGCCATCAAGTTCCACGCCTTCGAAGATGGCAAGCAAGCGAAAGACTTCGGTTGAGAGTCAGGATGTTCGGGAGCGCACCGCACCGAAACGAAGGGTCGTAGAGGATTCGCCACCTGGTGCAGACACGGTACCAAACTCGGAACCAGACGAAATAATGGACGCCGTCGAATTGAAGCATGCGTTCCGGCTTGAAGCATCTGATGCTGCGCTCGGCAATAATGGCAAGCATTGGTCGACAGTCGGACTGGTGAGCGTTAGCGGCCATCAGGAGAAAGAAGAGGAGCTATAATAAGGGACCCCTGATAGTCATTCGGAGAAGATGCGTCGGGAGGCACTTGTTGCTTTCGGTTCTTCATCATAGATCAGACAGTGAAATGGACGATTAAAGGTGGCGAAGCGTAGCATAAAGGTCATAACGATCTCGTCATTTGCTGCTATGCAATCCTGTCTACCAAACAACGACCGTGGACTCCTAAACGCTTCCGACTTCAGTCCAATCAAACCTCATTCCTCAAACTGCCCTGCCATCGCTTTAGAAAATCCGCTGCTAGCGTTCCTCCTCAGCGCAGCTATATGTGCAGTGTTCGCCGCCCTCCTCTTTGCACCGGCTTCAACAATGGCTTTGCGCTCTTCCGCGCGTGCCTGATACGCAAGCGAAGACTTCTTCGTGCCACCAATCTTTACTCCACTGTTCTCTCTCGACAGACCATTTGAAGTCGTAACGCCGCGCTCGTTGGCACTCGTGTTCGTTGTGGCGCGACGAAGCAGGGATGGGACCTTGAACCCGCCACCGACTGGGGCGGCCCAAGCCGTGCGGCCTTGGGCGCTGTCTGATGTGCTCGCTGCCCTCTTCAGTGACAGGCGATCAACGACTCCTGAGCCAGGTGCAGTGCGTCGAGCAGAAGCCGGAAGTCGAGGCGGAGGCATGGCTCCTTGGTCTGGAGCATAGCCTCCGTCATTCTGGCGTTGACGCTCGGCTTCGACCTCATCGACCTCGTCTTCGTCGTCTGTCTTTTCTTCGTCTGTCCTTTCGTCGCCGTGCTCAGACTCTGAATGTTCKAGCACAGTGGGACCAGCAAGAGCGGCATGGGTGTCCTCCAGCAGGAAGCTGACCGACTCTTGTAGTTCGAGCAGCGAAGTAGGTGCCCTGAAAGCGGAGGTCTTTGTGCGGCGAGCTTTCGCAGGTGGTCTGTCGGCCGGGTCCTCTTCACGGTGTCGCTTGTTCCCACTAACCTCGCGAAGAGGCGCCACGGGTTGCTGAGAAGGCTGGCTATCCGTCTGCGTTTCGGACGTGTCTTCGTCTTCGCCGCCCGAGAGATCCATGATATCGTCATCCCGCTCATCGTCGTCAGCAATCGCTTTGAGAAAGGCGTCCTTGCCTTTGCTATGCTTTCCCTGGGCAAGGCCAGCAATGTTGTCGTCTTGTAGCAAAAGTTTCCGCTTCCTCGCCTCCTCCCGCTGCCTCATCTGTCTCCTCCGCAAAGCAACGTCATCCTCGTCATCATCCAGATCGAACATGTTTGCCTGCTTCCTCCGCAGTCCGCCTGTCATGAGGTCTTTATACAACTTGCTTGCAGCAGCCTCATCGGCGACACGTTGCTTCTCCGCGAAATGAGCTGCGATCTGGCGTTCGTCAACGTCAATCAGGCTGGAGTCGATCATTTCGCGATCCTGCTCGGTCTCTGGGGCCACAAAGTCGTCTCCTCCAAGGCCGGCATACTCGTCTTCTGATTCCTCTGCCTGTTCGTCCATCATTTGCTTAGCTTCGCGTTGAGCTTCGGCCTTCTCGGCGGTGGTCAGTGCCTCTTTCCGCCGCTTCGCCATTTCGCGAAAGACGTCCTTTCGCGCTGCCTCAGCAGGCTGAGCATCTGCCCCATCTTCCTCGTCACTCGAGTCAACCACAGCCCGTTGCCCGCGCACCAGACGGTTGCGCTTAGGCGCAGGGACTGGGGATTCGCTGATCCGTAGACGGACCGTCGACTGCGTGTCATGCTCAGCAATTGACTCGAGGTTGTTCTCCCGCTCAATTTCTTGTCTGGCTTGCCACTCCGTAGGCAGGCCATCGTCTTGAGTGGGCTCCCATCCAGGGGTTTCGACCGCGACAGTGGATGCTCCACGGTTCATTCCAGACACCGGTGTCTCTGGGGCCTGTGTCTCCCAGGCAAGGTCAACTTGCTGGCTTTCAGGCAACTGACTTCCTGGCACAAAGTTCACTTGGCTTCCTGGTTGCGTCTGTGTTTCCATATCGACGGGTATGGAGGGCCTCAAGGCGGAGCTATGTGGAGCCAGATATGCCAGGATGTCTAGCGAGTCCTGCTGCGTATTCTGTGTTGGTGTCTGCATGGTGGCATTGAAAGCTTGCGTGGGGCTCATCAATGCTTTCGTAGTTTTGGCAGCGCCGAAATTGAAGGCAGCAAATGGGTCGTCATCTTCATCATCAGATTGGGGTGGAGCATCTGTGACATTATGTGGACCTTCGACATCGCTTTCCTCGTCATCCACAACAATGTGGGACTTCCGAGGCTTTCGACTGACGACCGGTGTTTGATGCTCCCAGTCTCCTGTTCCTGCCGACTCGATGTGCGGCGAAAGAGGCGGCACATCCGCCTCTGGTGAAACCTCTTCCTGCTCAGCTAGCTCATCAGCGTCTTCTTCGCGGTCCTGCTCGATGTCATCTTCGTCTTCTTCCTCCTCATCCTCGCTTTCATCAGCGGCCTCGTCCACCATCTCATTAGCTTCCTTCTGGACTCCGTCGCGCTCATCATCGTCGTCATTCTCGGATCCGTCGTAGTAGTCTTCATCCTCGCTCTCGTCATCGCTGACCACAATCTTTCCCTCGTTGTCTGCAGCTTTCTCGGCCTTGCGGAGGTTCACCGCATCCTGCCTGGCTTTCTCGAGGAGGTTTTCAAACTCCTCCGCCTCCCGCTCACGCTCCTCGGTCGTCTGCACTTCAATGCCTTTTGCTTTGAGTTCTGCGATGCGCTCCAGCTGGCGGGCTCGAGCTTGCTCCTTCGCTCGCAAACGCAGTTGAGCCTCTAGAACTTGTGGGTTCACCGACGGTCGCGAGTTATTCTTGTTGCGACGTCCAGAATGAGCAGCGTCTGTTCCGGCGTGGGCAAGATGTTTCAGAATGTGAATGGCAGCTGAATCAGTGTGCTGGCGTTTCTGAACGCCCTTGGCTCTGTCAAAGATGCTGAGGTGACTAGGCAACTCTTTGACGATCTCCAGTTCATCATCACTGCTGTCGTCTTGCCTCAACGGCACGGGTTTCTTTCCGAATCTGGCAAGTCGGAGACCTTTTTTCTTTTCAGAGGCTGCTTTAGCTGGCGTATCCGCCAGTTCGGCGGCACGTGAGGAGTGGATCATGTCGTGCACGCTAAGGAGCTCTTCTCCCTCGTCTTCGTCAACAATGTTATTGAGACTGTCTTCTCGCACTGGCACAAGTTTGCTAAGTGCTCCTTGCTCCACCAAAGCTCTTTGCCGATCCAGAGGCGTTGGCGGACTCGATGGAGGTGTGCTAACCGGCTCCCTCGTAACCGCATCTACCATGTCACTATTAGGTGCGGACGATGCAGTCGTGTCTCCGTCTATAGGCTGTTTCGGGGCGAGTACTTGTCCTCCTGGGCGGTAGTTGAACTTGGCGAATAGATCGTTGGTCGTGAACTTCTTCTTGGTCTTCATCTGATGCGCGAGAGCCTGCTGTCGCACCATTCTCTGTGTTTCTCGCTCCATTTCCAGCATTGCCTTCTTGCTCGCTTTCCTGGTAGGCTTAGCAGCGTCTGACATGATCCGCTCCAGCTCCGAGTTCACTGGTTCTCGTGAATTCTCCACAATCTCGTCTGGGAGGTCCGAAGACGCATGAGCGAATGCAGACCGCTGCTGTGCCTCCTCTGCTTCCTTGGCCAGTCGCTCTGCGCGCTTCTCGGCAACCRGGGCCGCCAACTTCTGTTTGCTCCCAGTTGGATTTGCAGGTAGATCTTCGTCACTACCGTTGTCGTCCTGACCTGGCTTCGCCGGGCTCACGAATAAGCTGGAGCGAGCATCTGTCTCCGGTGGCGATGGTGACTTGTGGTTGTTCTTCCTGGGAGTTGCAGAGTAGAGATCCTCGTCATCGCTGAGCATTGACGATTGCTGAGTCTGAGGTTTTGGACTGCCACCCAGCATGCGCCGGGCAGCACGCCCCATAGGCCGCCGAATGTCAATGTCAGAATCTTCGTCGGATTCTGACGCCCTGTCCGGACTACRGTCGGCCAACGAACTTCCTCCTTGGATAAGGTTCTTTTCCAGGTGAGATGAAGAAACCGCGTCCATGGTTTCTGACAATCCTCGGAGTGGTTGTGAGCTGGCATCTTCGGATCTCTGTGTAGCTGTCTCCAGTAGAGACGCGTTCATTGGCGACGCGACGTCTGCAAGCAGATGGGCGGCCATATCTGCGTCGTCTAGTCCCAGTTCGTCGCGCAGCTGATATGTATGGATGCGTGGGTCTCCGAGTAAAGTGTTTCCAGTATCTTGCAGGTCAAGAAAGTTGCGTCTAGCGGGACAAGAAGTAATGGATGTTGGACGCAATGGATGTGGGAGACGAGACGAGAAAGACGTTTGAGTTTCCAACGCGTCGACACGCGTAAGAGGAAGGTTGGGCGAGGTGGAAGCGAAAGATGGTCCAAGCTCCGCATTCGCGATTTTGCGGCCGGGTTCCTGAGCAAAGATACACATCATGCTATGCTGTCCGGCCATCAGCTCCGTCTCTGTTTTATTTTATGCAATGTCACGGCGGGCTAAAGGGGCCGCTGCGACGTATCATCCGCTCACTCGGCAATGACCGAGTAGGCAACGCATATCGCTCCCATTCGCGGCGGCACCTCATCGAACGGGCAACATCTTCATCTTCACCTCCGAAGCGATGCAATCCACCACGGGACGACTCACAGCGGTACGCTCTCAAGAGCGTACAAAGACCGCGATCCGGTATCGTCACAGTAGTAGGAGGCCATTCATGTCGAGAATATGCGACTCAGAGCACCTCGCTGGCTTCACATTCAGAGCCAGAGCAAAAAGAAGAAATATTACACGATGACGATCGACCCGACTCTCATGACCCGCCCGACGCGATTGCACGCACGCCAATCGCCAATTCTTGCGGCGACGAAGAAGACGACTTGTCAGCCGCTGGGAAACGCTCCGCACGGCCTCCCGAATCAACGAACCCTTCCACCGATCCTGCCTTCATCCGCCGGTACCTGTCTGCTGCGCCGATTAAGGAAAAACAGCATCTCTCAACGCGACACGCCGCAAATGTCAGAAAAGTCCTCTCTAGCAAAAGGGGAAGTGAATCTCGAGCACATCAAATACAGCAAGAGCGTCATAACTATGCGGGCTCTAACGATTGGCGCATCATCCTTCGCACGTTGGACGAAAAGACAATGACCGGCCCCATGCTGTACAAGAAGAGGCTAGAGACAGTAATGTTACCCAAGGGCGTACTTGCCAAGTTTCACAGCAATGCAGGCGTCTCCTTCAAGGAGATAATGGAGCATACTGGTTGTCATGTACAAGTAGCACGTGAAGTGACACATTGCTCTAGAGTACCCGATGCCTTTGCTGGCTTTGATCTCCTTGGCTCATCTTCGCAAATTACTCGGGCCCTGAAGATTTTGCCGCGATATCTGGACGTGATGCCGGAAGAAGARATTGTCGGAGCTCATGTCAGCAACAAACTGGAGGACCATGCTCTAGGACGCAGGATATCATCTGAAGAGGAAATGAAATTGGCGAGTCTTGCGGTACCGAACACAGTCCAGGAAGAGGAGCAAGGCTCGTTTGACGTGAACGACTTGGAGCATCTGGAGAACGAGCTCAATGAGCAGGAAGGGTCCTCGACGCCTGTGACAAGTCCCGTGCGCTCGACTTGGACCGAAGATCGCACACGCAAACTCAACTTGTCTGACGTGCTTGAAGAGCGCCCAAAATCACTCGCAACCTCTTTGGAAGTTTCCGCCTACGTGGCAGAGCTATGCCAGAGTAAGCCGCAAGAGCTCCGACGAGTCTCATCCAATCCGGCCCAGCGTGATCATGTCCGTATGGTCATGGAGAAACTCATCTCTCTATTTTCTACTCCCGGAGTCGCTTCCATGGCTACTTCCACCACAGTCGACCTCGCCRTAAATTTCTTGACCAAGTACAACGACTTTGCAGCTTTTCGCGCAATGTACAGAGCACTAGAAGACGGAAATTACGTCTTCACGGTCTCGAATTGGAATCGTTGCCTCGCTGCTGCAGCCAAGGCTGGCGACCTGCATAATTACCGCTATTCCCTGGGGATTATGCTGCGGCAGAATCTAAGGCCAGATCCCGTCACATGGGCCACCTTCCACGATTTGATATGCCGTCGGTTTGCGCCAGAGGCTAGCAGTGTCGCGGAAATCATGCGGCAGAAAGGCTTGCTTTGGGATCACCATGCGGCTAAGCTGGTGGCGCAGAATGCTGTCGGCAACGATCTGGCGTCATACATAGCTCGAGGCGGCCGTATTGCGACCTTCTTCAAGCTCTACGACAACCGCTTCAATGCGGTCTATGGCCTGGAGTCCTTCAATTGGCTTTCTGTCGGCGCTGTAAATCGCATGATCGCCGTTCTGGCCTCMGCCGGGCAGCTTAAAGATGCCTTTGAGGTGTTGGCCGAATTCGGCAGGAGGAACAGCGGCTGGGCCCTGGACACAGTTGGACTAAACACCTTGTTGACGTCTTCCCTGCGCGATGAGGATCCCGCATCAGCTGTTTCCATAGTGCAGCATTTCCGCATCGGCCGGCCTGGTGCCCTCGTTCCGAACCGCTTCACATACAGAATTCTCTTCACGATAGCATGGCGGCGGCGATATCACAACATGCTGAGGGTGATCTGGCGGTACGCTTGTGCAGCCGGGCAGGTTGACCCAAACATCCGCTACCGTATGAAAAGGCACTTGAACTTCTTCATGCCGACCGATGATACGCCAAACTCCAGCGTGGCTATATGGCATGCGGTTGCTCCAAAGTTCGCTGTTGGAATGAGCGGTGGCTTTCGTACCGCTGATAAAGGTGATGCTGTTGCAGATCAACCGGCTGTCAGTCCGCTGGAGTCACAAATACTGCAGAGCATATCTATGGGACGTCTGTCTAGAGACTCGCCTCAATTTCACGGGCGGCGGGACTTCTTACACGGCATCCTGGCTGATGATCTTGCTGAAGTGGGCATGTCAGAGCCCGAAGTTCCATTCGCGGAGCTCTTAGAAGCCGCATGGAAGAAAGATGGAGAGTGGAAAAAGCGTGAGTTGGGTCGAGTTAAGACTTTTGGCCACGGCACGTTCCAAGAGATGTTGGACGATGGCATCAAAGTGCCCATGAGAAAGGGAAATGGGACAGTGGAGAATCGAGCATGGGAGGTCCCCGCCTTTCTGCGCCAGAACCTTGATGTTGAAGAGACGGGAGATGGGAAAGGAGATGTAAAGTACGAGCCAAATGTCTGACATGTTAGCGATGCATAGCGACGGCATAGGGATGGCGTTTATAGTGCGCAAATTTCTCGGCACTTGTAGATATGTATGTTGTAAATTCGTGTACAAAGACACCGACTTGATTAAAAGTATTATGTTTATCTCTTCTTTCTCTGTCTCTTGTAACACTGCAGGCCAGCAAGACTTTGGTAGGAACTGTACAATAGCACACACACACACCCTCTCCCTCTCTCTCTCAATGCTAATACGCCAAATCACCCACCAGACCGGCTTTCGTTAATTGCTCCATGGATCCTCCAGCAGCCATGACAGCAGCATAAGCAGCCTGACTCAACCTCCGCCGCTTATCGAGAGCTTCCTTTTCTCTCCGAGCTTTAGTCTTGGAACTGCCTGAAGGCGCAACTCCGCTGAGAATCTTGTTGTGGTCATGTGGAGTATAATTGACAAAACCACCTTTATCCGCTGCTGCGAAATTTGGTTGTCGAGGGGTATTGCTAGAATTCGTCGACTTTGTCCGGCGGTGATGCCGTGATGTGGATCGCGAGGCAGATGTTCTTCTTGGCCGGCATTCTGACTGGGGAGGCGGTGGAGATCCYGTGCCTATTCGGCGGTATTGAGTATCGGGCAACCCGTTGGGAAGTGAGGGCACGTAGTATGGGCTTGGCAGCTCGCTCAAATTCTGATACGTGGCGCTCGGTGGGACGGTCGTGTTTGTCTGGTAGTTTGATACGAGATGGTTTGGGTTGCAGCTGATGCCTAGACCAAGTTCGAGCGAGCTGGATCCTGAAATGGTGTTTTGGTCAAGGGTGCCGAATGGGTCGGTATTCCTGAAGGGATCCGCGGAGTACAGGGCTGATGATGGCTCTGTGTATGAGGAAGGATCGCCCCATGGATCGTTGTCAGTGGACGTTGGGAATCCAAAATCAAATGCTTGAACATTGTTCGCTGCTGCCAGTGAGTCTGTCCGCTCAGGATATAGTGGAGCAGTATCGTTCAGGGGCAAAGTTTGGGTCACATATGGATTCGTAGTAGGTAGTGGTTCGAAATATGAAGGACTGACGTTGCTTCCCGGACTTAGCAGTGGCGATGTGAGCGGAGTATGTATGCGAGCCTGCTGAAAACTGCGTGCTAGTGGTGAAACCTGCGGGTCGCAGCCCGGCACTGCGGAGTAGGTAATAGGTGATCCGAAAGCAGCGAAAGAATCGTGGATTGACTTGGCTGAAGGCGGTGGCGACGCTGGGAACGTATGTGATGGCATTCGGAGCTCGTACTTCTTTGGGCTCGATTCGATACGATCCGCCCATACGTTTTTGAAACCTGCACGGTACCGCGACGGGGTCATCATCTTGGAGGGCGACGCACTTGATTTGCGGACTGTGACCGATGGATTGACAGCGGCACCCGCTGCAGGAGGCTGCTTCGTCACTCCTGTTGGCCGCCCCCGCGAGACGGRCCTCGATGTGACACTCCGCTGGGTCGATGCCTTGTTTCCGTTTGCGGCGATACGTGACTTTTGACGCTGAGCTGAAGATGATTGGTCGGTAGGCGAGGCTGGTATCGCTGGAGGTGAGGGATAACCTCCCAGACTTAGAAAGTCGGGATGTGACTTGGTCGTTCTCAGCTTGCGGGACTTGTCGTGCTCAGACGCAGCCGCATGTTGCTCCAGTGCACGCAGCTTTTTGTGCCAAAAGTCGAGCGGCACCTTTGCCTTTGGCTGCTGGGCTTCGGGCGCCGTACGCTGTGCGATTTCCCAGGAAGGAATAGGCGATGTCTCTATTGTCTGGTTGCTGCTTTGTTCACTTGAGCCTGAGAAGTCAAAGAGATTGACAGAGTCATCGGAACTGCTTCTTCCACGCTGTTCCGAGCCAAAGCCAAAGATGTCGTCGTCGTTGAGGTATTGATCGAGGACATTGTTGCAGATGCTGGACCATTCAGGCTCTTTGTTGGACGGTCGGACATGGTGTGCGTTTTGGCGGCCAATCGTTGCCATTGCTGCGAGATTTCGGGCTCGAAACAAAATGATGTGTTGAACTTGAGGGAGTACTATGACAATAGAGTATTGTCGCAGTAGCGATGTTTAGACTCTTGTTAAGAGGACTGACACAAATTGCCGCAAATGGCCATGCGAGAAGACCCCGGACAAGTACGAAGGGGACAGAGCTATTGTGAAGACATCTCCCAGCCTTCGCCATTCCGCGCCGTAGTCCGAGCGACAGTTCAGATTGGCCAGCGACCGTTGCTACACCTTCCCGTGATCACTGTGGTGACGTGAGAAGCAAGAATGGCTTTGTGCAAGCCCGCATTCCGGGAAGATAGAAATTGAATGAGGAATGTTCAAACAGCAGATATCATCAACTCCTGCGGAACTTCACCGTCCAGCCCAGTAACACCGTATCATTCTTTTGAGCTGAAGTGCTATGATGTCTATCAGGATAAGTATGGCTTCAATGTGTACAAGTTCTCGAAGCTTGGTCCTTCTACTTTGAAGTAATCCATGGGCGAAGAGCTGGCAAATGTCCGGAATGAGTTAGATCTGCTTTGACAGAAACGGCATCCTCAGGCCTGCGGAATGACACTGTACGTCATGGAGACCGCCAGTGCAGATGCAACGATCGTTGCCACAGGAGCATTCATTTTACCAGTAGTCATTGCGTGATAAGGCAAGTCCTCCTGGTGATTATCCAAGTAAATGCAGGCTGAGTCATGAACGGCTGCCCTGGCGTGTACCTGCGCACAAGTACACCGCAGCACATGGATTGCCAGCATTGGGTATACATAGATGTATCGTTCTTGAACTCGTCAAGTCATGGGGTAACTCCCGATTGTGCTGCTGAAGTGGCTTCGCGATTTGGTGGCGGTGCCATCATCCCAGCTCTTTCGATAATCTTCTTCACAGCCACGCCGTGGCTTTTCTTTATATTCGACTTGATGAAGCCAGTCATGAACATGTTGCAGCGCAGATCCAGCTCCTCCTTGATGTAAAGACCATCCCTAGGCGCATTGACACCGAGCTCCGGAGGCTCTCTGGGCTCCCCGGGAGCGTTACCACATACACCTGAACGTTTGTCAACATTTGTACACTGGGTACCTACATCTGAGGAGACGTACTCCACTTGCTCTTGATATCTACACCTGCAGGTGCGAACACATGGGTCTGCAGTCCTACGGGCAAGTCGTAGAAGCCAGCCTTGTACGAAACCTCCGAAGAGTATAGACCTCCTGGCAGATAATTGATCTTGTCTGTTATGGTGTACCAGGTCATATGCTCGGCCTCATCAGGCGTGGCGCTCGGAGGGCTATCGCAAATCTCGTGGCGAAGAACGAGAGGGTTCAACTCGATCATCGCTGAGTGGTCGTGAAGCATCGACACCGCCGTCTCCCGCGAGATCTCGCGCGGAAGAGGCGTGATGTTGCACATTCGGGTCGGCATGGTGGGTTGTAGYGTCTGGTCGCGAGCTGATTGTGATTGAGACGAGGGGGAGATAAGGTGACAGTATAGGACTATGAAGAAGAGAGAGATGAAGGRCGAGAGAAGTCGAGGCGGCGCGATCGGCAAAGGCTGAGCCTCAAGCTAGAAAGGTCGTCAGGAAGGCCTTCCTAGATTGCCTTACCTGTGGTGTGCTGCATCTCGCTCGCATTTGATGTGTTGAAGGTATTTTCAGCTTATTGGAAGTTGATGTTGTGTTGATAATCGCAGCTTGACGTCCACGGAGAGTCGGAGATGTGCTGAGGCCGTTGGAGAGACGCGTGAACATCGGGCCCGTTGAATGAACCAAGACGGGAATAATAATATTTGGAAGTGCTCCACAAAAGTCACACCGGAGTTACCTCCTTCCTATCGACCACAAAAGTGCCTCACATGCACGGCCACATCTGGAGGCTCGAGACTTGGACAACGTCACCAATGATCATTCTCTTCTGAACTTCTCGTTTGCTCCACAACGAACATCAACAATCTTCACAGCGAACGTGTTCGACCATTCGTCTTGTCCAGACCGCCGATCCCAAAAAACTGCACGCGACCATCACACCTCAACACCTCAAGCTTGTCGCAAGCACATGAAGCCACCATGGTCTGGAGTCAGATAGAGGCAACGCCTCCGCATTTGACATATTTGATCCTTTCCACTTTCCTCATCAGCTATGTGGTATGGAAACACTGCTATGCTCCATGTTCAACGCAGAGCTAAATCACTCATTATAGCTGTTCAGCCAGTTCTTGAAGAACAGACTCCATCTCAGTGAGCCTCCTATCGCTTTACTGGTTGGCATCATTCTCGGTCCGCAAGTCCTAGGATGGCTGGTACCCAATYTTTGCGTTCACGGATGTGAGAACAAAGACACGTTCAAAGGACCTGCAGCGAATCTTGGACGAGGCTGGGGATGGGTACGTTCAAGATGAATGCCAAACTTATATCACGACTAACATACGGTATAGGGCGATCTCCAAGTACAAGAGGCGACCCGCGTCATCGTGGGTATCCAGGTCTTCACAGTCGGTGTCGAACTCCCGAAATACTACGCAAGTAGACACTGGAAATCAGTCGCCATGCTGTTGGGACCAGTCATGACATTCGGATGGGTCGTTTGTGCCCTCTTCTGCTACCTCCTCTTCAAAACGGACATTCCCACTGCCTTGGTTGTATCCGCTTGCTTGACGCCCACGGATCCTGTGTTGGCGGCGTCGATTCTCTCCAACAGTCAATTCAGCAGCCGAGTGCCAAAACGGATCAAAGACATGCTTTCAGCAGAATCCGGCTGCAATGACGGCGTCTCTTTTCCATTTCTGTACATCGGAATTTATTTCTTGACGCAAGAGTCCTACCTCGAAGCCTTCAAGGAGTGGGCAATCATTACCATATTGTGGCAATGTCTCTTTGGAACGTTGGTCGGCATGACGATAGGAATCGCATTCAACCGGATACTACGCATCTGTGAGAAGAAAGGGTACACCGACGAACCAGGTTTCACAGTCTTCTATCTACTTCTCGCATTGTTAGCTGTGGGCTGTGGCAGCACCTTGGGAAGCGATGATTTCCTCGTTGCTTTCGGAGCTGGATATGGATTTTCTCGAGACGGCTGGTTTCACGCGAAGACCAAGGCCCAAAATCTGGGTAACATCATCGATCTCCTCTTAAACTCGGCCATGTTTGTGTACGTGGGGACATTCTTGCCATTCCACAGCTGGACGCCCGGCTACCTTACGCCATTCGTGACTCCCGGGCGACTTTTCGGCTTCCTGGCCTTGGTCCTGCTCTTCAGACGTCTGCCCGTCATGATGGCACTCTATCGCTGGATCCCAGATATCAAAACGTTCCGGGAAGGCTTGTTCTGCGGCCATTTCGGCCCCATGGGCTTGGGTGCCCTCTTCCTCGCCATTGAGGCCAGAGCTATGTTGGAGAACGGAACGAGCACGCCGGACGATCACCCACCAGCGTTCGGCAGACCATACACTCCGCGAGAAGTCGCAATTGAGACGGTATGGCCTGTGGTATGCTTCGTTGTATTCGGTTCGACGATCGTTCACGGCCTGAGTGTCCTGGCATTGAGTGTCGTTGCGCATTTCCGACGAGACAAGCAGAATCGCGCGAGTATTCTCGCTGCAGAGACGGATCCATTAGAGGGTATGGAACATGAGCAGGGTGATGGAGATTCTGCGTGCGATGATGATGAGAATGACGAGCTGTTACCTTGAGTGTGGGGGGCTGAGTTGCCCCATGAACAGCAGCCTGAATGGCTTTTACAACGCGTGGAATTTTCTGCATGCATCTGAACAAACACTACCCAAGGTACCTTAGACTGAACTGCAAGACTAAAGCAGGGGCAAAGAAGATAGATTCATGAGAGAACATTACCTATAAGTAGCGAGGAGCGGCTAGACGAAATCGATGCATCTCAACATGAAGCACCTATTGAGCGTGGAAACCGTATTCTCATTGCAAGCCTCTCCCAAAGATGATGATCCAGACGTTCATCGTTGCAACCACGGGCCTGAAGTCGACGCTCTGTACAACATTCAGATACCGCCCGGAAGCTCAAGAAACTCCACGCTCCCACTAACAGCAAGGGGTAAAGGTGGATGAGTTATCATCACCCTGTAGCACTCAAACCAATTTTCCACGTCCGCCCCTCTTTCCTGGCCCAGAAGCGTCACCAAGCTCACTAGCACCACCCGCGCTGGTAGTACGACTCATAGGTTCTCCACCGAGACGGCCGAGCGACGCGGCCATGCTGCCCGGGAGCCCCAGCCCAGGGTTGCCTCTCAACCGCGACTCCACCACCGTAACGACAGGGAGCAGCGGAGCGAACCCCGTCCGTGCCTCTCGATCGACCCCGCGGCCAATCATTGCGCCGGGTCCATTCTCAAGCTGCGGCAGTCGATATGGTGCTTGAACGGATGATATGCCTAGGGCTTGATCCAATAGCTGATCTCGGGTTTCACGTGCCTCTTCTGCTCTCAGCGAGCCCCCTTCCATATCATCGTCTCCTGGATCATCGGCACCTKCACGACGCATCATCTCAAAGTCGTTCTCCATATCTAGACTGCTGACAGGAGGCGGAGCGGGAGCCCCTGATTTCTCACTTCTAGTGACGGCGTGGTATGGCGGTGCGACTGGTGTAAAGGGATTCTCGCGAATGACCGGGGCGGTCGATGATGCTGCCGCTGCGGCATTTGCAAGATCCGACAGCGCAGCTAGAGGATTAGCACGTGCACCACCTCGTGTGAGGACTTGATGTGAGGCTGTTCTCTCCATCTCAGGTGCTGCTTGGGACGGCGGAGGTGAATTTCCGCTCAATCCTGGTGCGTCTGCCATGTCTTGATCCGCTACCACTTCCGCCGATTCGACAACCTCGCCGTCCACGGATGGCACGGCCGTGCCATTGGTAATTGAACCCTGCTCTTGAACGTGTTGTGGCTGGTGGAAGTACTTGTAAGTCGCAACCTTGGCCGTATCCGTTGCCATTGCCAGCTCTTTCTCCGTAAACAGGGTGTCCAGGCTATACACAGGTGCCTCGAACTGTGCATATTCTCGCTCTTTTCTAGCATTTTTGTGCGGACTTCTGCCTCCAGCCAACGCCGGCATAGGCGATTCGTTGCTGGCTTGCTCGTCATCTGCCTGGTTGAGCTTCCTCTTCTTCTTGCCATTCTCTGTCGTCTCTGCTGTGGGACTTCCGCCGCGGTGATGTCTCAAGACTCGTGTTGCTCGCTTGTTAATCGCAGTGCCATTGTGGCTTGGCGACCCGGGGTTATTGCCGATACTAAAGTGGTTGGGATGGAGGAGCWTGGCGTTACTGTCGGCAATGTCAAGCTGTTCTTTGTCCTTCAGTAGGAGCTGTCGTTTCTTGTTGAGGGTTTGGATGAGTCGAGTGCGAATCGTCTGGGAAAGAGCTTTGTGCTCCTCTTCGGCCTGGTGAAGTCGTTGCTGGCAGAGTCGTTCAAGCTCAGCAGAGGAGGATTGAAAGCCATTCTGAGCAACCCGTTAGTTCATCCTCATCAACCACACCTTGATATTGTCAAGCTCACATGTAGTGCCGTAAGGTCGGCATCCCGCTCTTCCACGGAGTTGTTGACCTCGCGGACGAATTCAGTATATCGCTTGCCCGCCAAACTCCAGTAATCCCCTCTGGCAGCTTCATCGTTGGGTAGACTGACTCCACCATTGCCGTTGACGTCGCCCTTCATGATTGTCTCTGTCAACGCGCGTATACCATCGTGGCTATCCTCAAGCACGCTCTCTGCGCTGTAAGGATCGGCACGCAACACCATTGTCATGTCGACTTGCACACCCTGCAATTGGGCGCGGTAGTGTTGATTCTGGTTTGCCGAAAACGAGCTGACCATGCCCTGGAGTTTCTCCATGATGCGGTTTCGGCGTACATCACGTTTCGTGAGGGTCGGCGGATGTGCGTGGGAGTGAGGGTGGTGTGCGTGTTGCGGCGGAGAGTTGGATTGATCTGCCATGAATGGCGGCGGTGATCCATGCCGTGGCATGGCCATGGTGTCTTGTTGACGTTCAACCTCAAGGTGGTTGTTGGGGTGTTGGTTGGTTCCCGAAGCCTGCTGGCGATGGAGGTAAATGTGCTGCGGCTTGCGCGGATCGATGTACTTCAATGCAAAATGCAGTCCTATTTGTGAAAATAGCCAAGTATACAACGGTCACGTTAATCGATGCGGACACGCTCGGTGAGTTGGTCCATTGACGTGTGTGGAGTGGATGGCAGTTGAAGAAGCGGAGGTATAGTGGAAAATGAAGCGGAGCTCTATAGATTGATCCGCGTGATGCAGGGTCGCGAGAAAGGTACGAACATCGCCGAGGCCGCACATGCTTACCATGCAGCATTTATATTCCAGTTGTACACAGCTATTGTTGATTGATTTCCAGCCTATCTCGACTAACCGGACTTGCTCCTCACCATCTGGGTATATCGCATCCAACACAAAAATCGTCAGAATCATCAAACCATCTACGTCATTTCTTCATCCATCCCACGGCAAATCTCTCCCTTCCACTTTCGTGCATGTGAGATATCCCAATCCACCGGGTCCAAAGTCCCTCAAGTCCAGCTCAAGAAAGTTTCTCATCAAGGGCTGCACAATGTGCCGCGCCAGGTTCTTTACCTCGTCCATTCTCCGCTCGAAACGCTTCAGGCTATCTCTCGTGTAGAGGTCCGCGGCGCCCTGAGCATTCGGAGCCTTCAAAAATCGTTTCAGTTCGTCTCTGTTTAGGTACGCCGTTGGGTCTGTAGACCCTATCAAACGATACACTCGTCCAACGTTGATGGGTGTCGGTGGAGCGGGCAGCGAAGGTGGCTGGGTCCCTCGCTGCGAGGCAACATTATGGCTGCTCCTGCTAGGTCCACGTACAATCTGCTGAGATGTGCTGCTGGATCGAGCACCATCTTTGAGAATCCCGGAAGTCGCTGGAGTTGTGTTCTCGGCGAACCACTGACGGAACAGTGACAACGCCAGCCAGCTGAGGAAATCGTTGCTAGGCGTAACGCGTTCCCCTCTGCTGGTCGTAAGATTCAGCCGCCACAATTTCGATTCTACTCGCTCTTGCATCTCGTTCAGTTCGTCGACCTTGTCCTCGAGTATCTCCATAACGTCCATTTCTACATTGCCTCTGAGTTGTGGCGCAGCGAGCGGCCACTGGCCTACCACGTGAATCATGGCCTCCGTAAAGATAGTCTTCGACTTTGCCAGATACCCCAACTTGAGATAGGAGGGAGGGTATTTTGCAATCTGCTTGAACAATCTAGCTCCAAAGCGCAGCATGTGATGATCTACTCTGCTGCCGGCAATCTCCAGCGCATCGTACATGTCGGCCAATTGAAGCATGGCTTTCGATTCGGAATAGGCGTTGGCTATGTTGATCGTGTCCAGATTGGGCGGATATTGGTAAATGGATCTGAACAAATTATCGTAGTCCTTGAGAACGTGATCTCCGGGCTCGACTGAACCATTCGTGGGCTGCGGTCTCTCATTGATGTTCAAAGAGGAGAAATTGCTAACGCTCCGAAAGAAACTMTCACTCGAAGTTGGAGGTTTGTTCCGTACAGGCGGTGGCAGGTTACCATTACCGCCGAATATCGATGCAGGATCTCGACTCTCACGTTGTACCAGCATGGGCGTTTCGTCATCTTCCACGGCATCCCAATCCAACTCGTAGTGCCATCTCTGCCGGTCATATTGCGGCCTTCTTTCCTGGCTGCTTGTCCGCGAACTACTCCCAGCAGTCACACTTTCGGTCTCGTTGATTCGTGAGAGTCCTCCGCCCAAGCCTGTACTACCACCCTCTATCGTGTTCCCACCCCATTCTGCTCTTGTTCCAGCAGCAAAGAATCCAGAGTTCTGACTCAGTATAAGCCGGTGGAGAAGATAACGATTCTCTTTCCTGCCGTTGGCAGTTCTCAAGACTATCTCAACATCTCCAGTGTGCGCAAAGATCGGGAACTCGTTCTGCGGTAGATGTGCACTTGCACCACCATAGTGTGTCCTAGCATGGCGGTGTCGTCTCGTGCCTGAACGTCCAGATGTYACGGATGAGGCGCGAGGCGGTGCCGGCGGGGCAGAAGGAGCATACTGAGTTGAATGATGTGACACCATTCTATTCGTGAATATCGAACATGCAAGGTCCCAAGAACTTGTGCCACGGGTTCTCTCGTCTCGTGCGGTCGTCCTATGGTTTGGTATGGATCCACTTTGGCAGCTCTCGACTCGTTCGTGGGTCTTAGTTCCGGTCTTTCGTGTCACACGGGGATCATCGGCTCAAGTGGGCTCAGCGTGTAACAGTGTTTGTTCGACGGCCGACATCGCGACATCCATGCCGTGCTTGCTGCCATATCTCAAACCTCACGTAGTGGGTGGCACCGGTCCCGWGGCGTGGCCGTGTCGCTTGCTCCGTCGCCACGAGCAGGGATTTGCTTGGGAAAGCTGAGACAAGGGCTTTGATTGGTTGCATGTGGTGGTCGCGCTTGACTCCGTACAGACCATTAACTTTGACGTCCACTACGCGACATCAACCTTTGACCGCGTCTTTGCAAATCGGCGTTGCGCTCCAAACCAGCCAGAAATTGAAAGGGCTGTGGCGTCTTTTGCAGTGTTTAAAAGCCACTGGGACCTGGAGATCTGGATGCAGCTGTGCGATAAGAAGCTACTACACGCGGGAACGTCGTGGCCCCGATTCAATATCCCTCCGCTGTATCGTCTCTAAGCAGCTCGATGGAGAGCCAATGCAGTGTCGGGGGTATCACCTTCGGAACCGGCTACAGCGTATTCAGAAGTATACTTCCTGCAATCGAGCAAGCTACGGAGAGCGTGACGCTAGTAACCTGCTTCTGGGCTGCATCACCAACACGAGATGCRCTCAATGAGAGCCTCCTTATTCTCAGCGACAAGGCCCTTCAAAGGGGCAAGAAGGCGAGAGTGCGGATTTGCTTCTCCTCCTCATCATTCTTCCAGAAGCTGTTCCATACCTCCTCTCCGGATGGGAAGACGTACCCGCCATCAGTATGGCATTCCAAGCTAGGCTTGCCTGAGCACGGACTTGAAGGGCTGGATCTTGAAGTAAAGAGCATCTTCTTTTTGTGAGTCACAATGAACGTCTCTGTGATGCGCATCTGTTGCGTTGATCGAGAACCATATTCTGTGGGTCTCCAGGCCTCGTATTGTGCTTCGATGCGTCGAAACGCTCTCCCTCCGTGCAAGTTAGCGTACGATAGTTGGAGAAGTCGCTAATGCCTTGCTTCTTCATCATTCAGACCTTTCAGCGTATGGCATCCTAAATTTGTGATCATCGACGACAATGAGGTCTTTTTGCCAAGCTGCAACGTATCCTGGGAGGTAGGTCAATTCTATTTCGCAGTGCGAATCTGCGCGATCTCCCTCCACACACACGAAGACCCTAGTCAAGGCCGGGTGTCGACAAATTCTTCTTCGTGGATTCTTCTTCTTGAATATACTGACATGCCCAGGACTGGTTCGAAGGGTGTGTAAGATTGAACGGGGCTGTTGTTGAGCACTTCATCACCTTCTGGAAACTACATTGGGCCGGCAGTTCGGAAAGACATCCAAATCCTCCCCTGAATTCCACATCGCCAGGGTCATCTTACAATGATACTAGCTTCGAGAACGTTGCCGGCAAGTTCTTGCCCTCGCTGCACCATCGTGACCCGAGCTTTCGATGGCCATGGCAGGCTTGCGCACCGCCGCCGCAGACTCCCCTGAATGTGGAATTGCTGAGGTTATTTGCGACAGCGGACAAGGAGATTCGCATTCAAAGTCCTAATCTAACGTGTGCGGCAGTATTGGATGCGCTTGAGGATGCGTTAAAGAGGGGGGTCGGCGTGAAAGTCGTTACTAGCGAGAGACTCATGATATTGGTATGTTGCTGATCAGCATTCTCCGTTGATTATCTCTCAAAGCTGCAATTCTTGTACTGACCTCGTCTTTGTGTTTTAGGAGCAGCTCGTCACAGCCGGGACTACGACATCCATGTGCATCAAACGACTGATTAGCAAGCATCAACAGATGCTGCAGATCCCGTGGGATGTAGAAGCTGGAGGCCCACGACCTGGTCGACTTGCTATTTCCTACTATGAACCTAGAGCCGAGGCCATGCGTGAGACACCCGAACCTGTGCAGTCTCATCTCAAGCTCACAATGATCGATGAGACTACTCTTGTTCTGGGCTCGGGGAATATGGACAGGGCCTCGTGGTTCACCAGTCAGGAGCTTGGAGTTGCATTCTACTCGACCGAGCTAGCTCTTGAGGTCTCTCGCCTTCTATCGGTTGAGCTAAAGGGGCGAACGAAACTCGTGTACGACAGCAGCGAGATCTGAYGTGCAGCGCATATTTGTGTCGGAATTTTTCTTCCAACCAACGGCCCACTTCCCCTACAAACCTTTCGAGGATTGATTCGCTGCCGACGCATGAACGCCGGGATGCTCGAGAGGACTCTGTGGATCTGAAAACCCTCATATGCAAAAAGACGCCGTAACGAGTCGGTGGCACTCCTGGATTGGTGGGGCTACCATATCGAACACCGTGGCCTTCCTAACCGGTGCCCACTCAAAAGCTGTGTAGTCAGAGGAGACGACACTGGATACACAAAAGTCCTTCACACCCAGCAGCTCTCTGTGGTCCGATCCACGATCCGGTGTCGCTTCTATGTGGAAGATGTTGCCACCACCGGACACCGCCTGAGCAGCACAACGTAACCACAATCTCTGCACGCGCCGTATGTATCCACGCACGTACCTCGGAAAGCCACCAACGCATGCAAAATATCGCTGTCGTTAGCTCTGAGCATCAAGACGAACCTCTGACGAATCGCTACCTACAGGCAATCTGTGAACATCTGACCTGAGCCCCACGATGCTCCTTCGGACGGACCCCTGTTGGTGTTGGCTACGGCTACCACTCGAACGAATTGCATGCTGCCACGCGATGCGGTCTTTAAGGCATCGAAGACAAAGACAATCCATGGTTGTACCGGCCAATGGATGTCCCTCGATATGGCCGCGGCTCGGGACCTCTACGATGTAAGAAGACGGCGCAGCAAAGTTAATGCTGCACTTGTACAGCGTCATTCAATACTGCGCATTTGTCGCCAGATCTAGAGGCCGTGCAGTACCATCATTTTGGACGATCGGCGGTTCAATTCCCCATTCATGCTTTGCTGTGCCGTCAGGCAACATCCAGACCGAATCCTTAACCGCCAGCTATGATCTCCGAGTGGATACCACTTGGCTGTCTCTGTAGGCGCTTAAGTCGGATATACTGCCGCTTGCCACTATGATGACCATGCCGTATTCCCCAGTCTTGGAACGCCAGCCCACAGCAAAAAGTTTAACCCAAGCTTCCAGGAAGAGAGCTTCCGGCCCACCTTGGGGGACTTTGTGGAGTGTCTAGCTTTGAGCGGTACGCCTTCTCATTGCCGTACTTGCGGTTTGGCAGCGGTAAGGAAGAGTTCATATCGATGGATCGAGATTTTGAAGGGACACCATTCATGCTTCAGCGGTTGCTTCGCGGTCTTGTGACATTGCCTTGGTTTCAAGGGGGATAGCTCAATCAATGCAGATCGAATTATACGCTGCGTGAGGCCAGTACAGTAGCAACAACCTTCCTCGGTACGTAAGAATGCGACTACATCAGTCCGGCAGAGCAGGCGACCTTCCGTCGGATCGTGAGGGATGGCGTAAGAATGAGCGTTCAGATTATCTACCCACGATTCGTGTACCAAGAACATTCCTGAACAGCCACTGCCCCAGCCAGTGATGGACCAACAACCATCTCCGAGCCAAACCAGATACCTACTGGCCTCGCGGCCGCTGAGCCGCGTGGGGACCACATGGGCAGCCAGGATTAACTTACGCGATATGCGGCACATTCGCCCATCTCACCAATCTCATCTCATGCCCACTCGCTTGAATGCCGTATAAATAGCCACCATATTGCATCTGAAGTGGACATTTAGCTGCTGATTTTATTGAATGCTAATTWCAGCGGCAAGAGATGCGGGCGCCTCGAGCCTCGAGCCTCAACGCCCACATCGCTAACAAGTTCCAATGCTATCCACAATGCCAAATACATTCGCATTCGACGAATTGGATGGTGATTTTCTTCTCGTATGTAGAGGCTGCGGTACGTCTCGTCGACGAGCAAGTCCACAATGATTCCTAACAAACTACCACTTTGTCCGCCTCCGCAATCAACGTCGTCTAAAACCCCGAGCCTTCTGAATGGCCTGATGATATCGTTAAGCAATGCCGCAGCGGCAAGACTGGCATGCGAAGGGCCTCGCAATGCTGACCTGTGACCCACCCGCTCTCCACTTGCGCAATCCTCCAGAGCGATCCGAGAGCGTACCAAGGCTCGTTATTCTCCTTCGGGATATCTTCTCAGCCTACCATTTCATCCACCCTCGCTAAATGCTCACGTTGCCGCCCTGCTGGGATCCACTCTGTCCTAACTGAGAGCAGCAAGACTCTTGCCAGATCTTGGAACGCATGAACGATGCGTCAACATGGTTAGCCTGTTGTCTGCAACTCGGCTGTGGCGGCGCACCTTGCAGCTATTGTGAGGGTTGGAGGCGTTCTCACATAGATGACTTTAGTAAAGTCTATTGTTGCCAAAAGTGTTGGAATAGCACAGAGCCGCCAGAGGTCGTCAGGCAGATGACTTGTGGATATCTTCATGCGTGGTATATATTGCTTGCTGCCGTCTGTCAAACCATACATTGACATTACAGCAACATCAATTCCACTTACTCTCTCTCCAAGGACCAACAGCACACTCCACATCCTTCATCCCGTCAAGTGTGCCCGCAAAAATGGCTCCCATTCTCCGGTCGATTATCAACTTCGCCCTCTCGACCGTCTGCTCGAACGCGTTGTGCGTTCCACATCCTGCTACCAGCTCACCAAGTCTACCGCTGTCCGAAGTCAACAACAGTCTGCCCGCTCCATCAAGCGAGGTCAAGATCGTGAGCCTTGGAGTGGGCTTCCAAAACTACACATGCTCCAGCTCTGGCACATACGTCCAAAGCGTAGCCTCCGCAGGTGCCATTGCTAGCCTGTACGACATCACCAGCYCCGTCAGCAAGATGCCTGGAGATATCATAACACGATCCACCCTCCGTTCATTCGAGACCTGTTTGAAGATGACAAGTTGCACACCGACAACGGCGAACGGCTTCTGCGACTCCTGCCACGACATCTCCGCGGCAGCATTCCGTCGAAATGAAGCGGGCGAGCATTTCTTTGATCAAATGTCGGGTGCGCAGATGCCCAACTTCAACATCAAAGATGCTGGCATGTTCCTTTCCGCGAAGAAATCGTCGAGCTGCAAGGCGCCGGCCGATGCTTATACGGGCCAGAATGGTCTCGGGACCGTCGACTGGCTCTACCTTGTCGACAACGGATACGGAAGATCGCAAGGACTCAGCAGTGTGTACCGCGTTGAGACGGCTGGCGGTGTTGCACCGAAAACTTGCGACAAGCCTGGCAGTGYCCTTCAAATTCCATACGCGGCGGAGTATTKGTTCTATTAGTGGTGGTGGAGATGAAATCTTTCTAATGGCAGATGTTTGARGTTTGGAGTGGATACCTTATAGAGTTACATTTCTGTTGACAGTGATTGCCTTGATGCACAGTCGCATGATGATACAGGCACAGGCGCGGCGTTCAGGTGGTGGTGGTTGTTTGGGTGTACATAGCCAATGAGACACGCGATGATGACCAGCGCACTCTTCAATTTCTTGTTCTTCGGATTGTGAAGCAGTCCACTCGAGCGAGATAGATGGAGTGAGAGGGTTCGGCTCTTCCGGTGTGGTGATGATGCCTTCCGCAGCCGCTGGCATCGATGTTCGGCGGGCAGTATGCACCGACTCGGGGGAGAGTTCCTGTCTGCTGAGGCCAGGGAACAGCAAAAGCAACAGCGCTTCGCCGTGATATCCGCGCCGAGGCCATCGTCCGTGGTCGTTGATCATTGATGGAAGCCTTCTTCAACTCGAGCCATCAAGGCCCGAGAACTGATGAAAGAGTTTGTCGTCAAGCGACAGGTGACCATCAAAAATTGCGCCAAAGGCGGCCCCGAAGGACAACCATAGACACCCGCCGCCCCGCTGTGCAATGGAGGGAAGGTGACTAGAGAGAACCGATTCGTGTGCTGACTCTCTCTCGACAAGGTCTGTGATAATTATTAGCTGAAAGTTCAAAACTTGACAATGGATTGGGGGAACACTTAAAAGTATAGAGAAGCAAAAGTTGGGGCGAAGAAAGGCGGCTTCTTATGTTCCTCGCGCGTGACACAGCCCGCGCGTTCAGTATGAGAAATGCACGCCAGATGAGGTCATGGTGCCAAGACAGGACATGTCACTTCCAGTCGTTTCGAACAAGCACATGAAAGGGTAAGAGCGGAGTGTGAAAGACCAGGCAGCATCGATAGAGACGAGGTTCTTGAGCTAGAATCAGTACATATCGACAATGAACGAAAGTAGGTGGTCGGCTCATCGCTTACATGGGTTCGCAGAACTTCGAGGGTTAGGGTTTGGGTAGAGTAATAGACGGCCACGATGACCTTTCATTCTTTCTTACACTCTAAGACGACGATGGTCATGTAGCTGTCCTGTTTCCGAGCAAATACATGCAGTCTGTTGTACAGTAGGCGCGGTGCGGCTCGATGTGGCCTGTCCAGGACGTGGGGACTCACTTCGTGAAGTGCGTTGCTCGGATTCTATCGTCGAGAGGAACGGTTACCATATAGAAACTGTTCAACAGAAGACTCATTACGTACTACTTCCGACCGAAATAGCCAGTGAATCCTGCAAATTTGCGGTCCATCGAGCCGTAATTTTTCAATTGAGTACCCTATGCCACGGGCCTATCGATTGAGGATGTTTCACTTCGAACAGCTACATGCAAAGTCGGAGAGTGGACGTGCGCCTCACTGCATCGCGGAGCATCTACAATATCGTCTGCAGCTGATGTGTACACACAATTTACCAGAGAGTCCGCAAAGTACCCTCTACATGATCCCCAGCTTAGAGAAACCCTCAACGACTTCCTTATCCACATTCCCCAACCACTGCTCTTGAAACTGCTCCCAGCCCCCGGAAGCCTCAATAACCTGCTGCAGATGATGCTTGATAAAGTCCGTCACGTCGATCGTGTGAACCTCATCCGTCAAAGTCAAGACCCGGCGTCTTGTATCCTCGGGCGCTTCGGACGTCTCACCTGCCACCTCAGCATATACGAGCGAGTCGCCTTTGGTATCTGCCTCGTCCYCTCTCAACTCGCTCACCACATCTGTCCACATGGACATGAGTGATTGTAGGCTGAGGAGGATAAAGGGCTGATTCGTCTCCAGCAACTTCGTTAACGCTATGCACATAAGCTTGCGTCGAGAAGGGCTGCCAATGGTCTCAAAATGGGAGAACCACTCCTCGAGAAGCCACTCCATCGTCACCTCCAGCTGCTCTCCGTTTGAAGACTCCCTCACAGCACGGAAGAAGCCGTCCAGGGAGCCGGTAATTGCTCGCGCGAGAATGGCAAAGTAGTCAGTCTCGACGATCCCATCCACTGGAGGGTCCTTTGCAAGTGGGCCGGTGGTACAGTGAGCGATATAACTCCCTCGAAGACCACGGAGGAGCTTTGGGAAGAATCCGACATCGCCTGCTGAATCCCTCGTTCTTGCAAGGTCGATGATGAGGGAGGCTGTCGCATTGTTGAATTCCCCAAGAGGTAGATTGACCGCCACTTCTGGTTGTGTAGAAATCCGTAGCATCGTTTCCACCAGATTACAAACTGTGCCATTCGAGGTTGGTCCAAGAGTTGCGAGCAGATCTGAAAGTGCCACCAATAAAGGTCCTCTCACAGCAGCTGATAGCATGTATTGCGGAGAGAGTATGAGGTATGATTCGGTGATATCCAACGACTTGTGCAGGCTCTCTGAAGCGAATTCAAAAATCTGATTCAAGAAAGGCACGAGGTCAAGCAGCCCAGAAGATGCAGCTTCCGAAGGCGTCTGTTGCAGAATCGCACCCCACAGCTCAAGAGCATCCTCAAGCAGATACAGCTGTGTCTTGGAATCCGCCTCAACAGCACCCTGGATGATTGGATATACCATCGAGTGCATCGGGAGCGATTTCTCCTTCATGGCATTCACCAGCCTTGTAAGGATTGTGAGAAGTGCCGTCTTCATCATGTGCTCCTCCCCAGACTGCTCCCACAGAGGTGGCAGAAGGTTGACAATACGCTCGGCGAAAGGTGTAATGTGCGAGTCCAATCTCTCAACCATAATACTAATAGTGTTGAGCATTGTCAGTTTAGTCTCTGTTGACTCAACAGACTGAATGAGCTGCATCAGATGAGTGAGTATCGTTTCAGCGTACGGCAGAAACTGCTCGGCTTCAAAGTCCCAGTCGTTGGCGACATGGGCCAGCTGTCTGCCAGCTGAAATTCGGACAACCTCATCGTTGAGGGCGTCGTCCGGGTTGAGAAGATGTTGGAAGATCTGGTAAACAATTGGCCGAGCAGCCTGTGAAATCTTCACAGTGCACCATTGGCCCAGCAGAATGGTCACTCTTCGCCGTAGGATGTAGTATCCAGGCTTTTCCTTTTGCACATCACCCACGAGAACATCCCGTATGAAGGCGTCGAAGTCAACGTGTTCGTGAATGACCGGTGCAGCCAACCCAATCGCCGTGTACACCGAATCCTTGAACATAATGTCTTCATATTCGACTTTTGCCACGGAGTAGAAGACACTAAGCAGTGGCTCGACAACAATCTCCTTGTAGTTGATGGCCAGGTCGAGGAAGAGCTTCTCCGAGCAGGAGCGAACGGAGAACTCCCAGTCTTCGCCCTCTCCTTCTTCGCGCTTCTCCCACTCCTCAGGTTCTTCAAGCCATTCGTGCAAATCGCTGGCCTTGAAAACGAAGAATTGCGTCACGAGAACATTCATAGCCTCGCGGATGAACGCCTCTGTTAGTATATTCTCTCGCACGCTCTTGGTGGCCTGCGTCTTCTCCTCTTTGTCTTCCGGAGTTCTGGTCTTGAAGTTCAGCGCTGGATTGTGGACCATTTTGACGCACGCACGGATGATGAGCAGTCCTTTGAGAGCGATCGTCTCTGAAAGCTGCTTCTTATCGGCAAGGAAGCCGCCACGAGATTGCTGGTCAAACGAGACAGCTTCCTTAGAGCCGAAGTCTTTCCCAACCTCTTTGATCAAACTCCAGTAAGATAGCGAAAGCTCAAGCGAGTTTGGCAGCAATACGAAAGCTGCGGGGTGGGTCTTGGACATTTCGTTGTGAAGTTTGGCGAGCTGCACAATGTGACCTCCCACTTGGCTGAACAGCATCTCGTGGTTTTGCATCTGGGCAGATTCATCAGCACTTCACCGACAAGAGCATCCAACTTTGTAGTCCCCGTTCGATCTGACTTACTTCTGGGTTGATGCTGTTTAGTAGTGGGATGAACGCAGCGAGGTGATCGATCGTGAGGCCCCAGAACGATGCTGCCGTGGCATCTCGGTTCGGGTGATCATACCCGGCAATAAGCAGTCGCCCTGCCAGTTCAACAGCGATGATACTCAACTCCATCTGTTCCAGTTCTCCGTTGCGCCACCTTTCCACTGCGCGCGCGTATAGACCACCAACGACCGAAATGATCTCAGGAGCTGCGGCTTGTAGCTGACGGCGACTGAGTTGTAGCCTGGCAGTCGAGAGTTCCTTGACGATGTTCAAAAGTGCAAGAAGTGCTCTTTTGACATGCAGCGGGTCTGAGGTTTGCAGGACACCAAGGAAATCTGAAATCGCCTGTACAACGTTAGCATATGAAGTTCACTCAAGGCAGCAGCATCGTCGAAGATCGAGATCAGGTGTACAGGGAAAGCATACTCCCGGCCAGTCATTTGGAAACTCGTATCTAGCGATTTTGGCAATGAAGAGGGCATTTTGTCGAGCCAGATTGTCTTTCACCTCCCMCAAGAGACTGCCCACCAATCGAGATCGAATAACTTGCTTGTCTTCTTTCGACACCGCACTGTACAATGAGAATGTTCGTTAGTGAAGGATGTCCTACATTTATAGCATGCATGGTTTGCAGGATCCAATCGCCGCAATTGCATCCAATSCCGTGCAAGAGTCGTTGATCACTGAAGATTTCTTGTGTCACATGAAGAAGCTCAACAATGCTATCGATCATCTTGTGGTACGTCGCCAGGGGTGGTTCCAAGCACAAATTGTATGCAAGTTGCAAGTTCTAGTGCAACACTTCACAGCTGACTTGATGGTAGACTTACTTGGTCGCCGTCTTTCGCCAATACTTGTCGACTCCATTTTTGAGCGCGATGATGGCTAAGAATCGCACTTCTTCAGGCAGTCTCGTATCGATGTATGCGCTTTGAAGGTGCACATAGTAGCTTGGCGATTTTTCCCACTGGCTCAGCTGTTTGGTTCCGGTTTGAATCTGTTGTGGATCTGAAGACGAGGCCGATTGCAGCGTTCGTACAATGTTGGTCTCGGTGAGCGGATTGGCCTCGCCGCCCACTTCGATTGAGAACTCCATGGCTAGACCGCCGCGAGTTGATGTTTGTCCAGCCAAGCGGCAAGCGCAGCGAAAGAAGTGATGTTCAGGTGGGGGTCTGAAGTCGCGGCGAACCAGATTTTTTGACAACCCATCTGGCGGGTATATACCTGTGCTTATACGATCTCTTCCATTTTCTCCTTCAACACTCCGGCTTCAGAAATTTAGACGATCTATCGTATGATGTTAGGTCTGTTGAACATGCCGGTCAGATCAAATACCTCCTCCAAGAAATTGATACGAGCTTAACCGCACTGATTTATCGATCTCCGTAAGGACGGCAACAAGCCTCACTCAAGAGTCAGACAGCTGCTCTTGCTCTGCTCTGCGCATGTGACCGCGTGCTCTTACCTTATATACCTCGAATAGATACTTTACCTCCATCTCACTTTACTCCGCTTTTGACCACTGCCACTGCCACCCAAGCGATCCACCCCGCCCGACTTGACCGGCTCCGCTCTACCTACAAATCTCCCATGTCCTCCGCCCGCCACCCGACCCCGATCCGCCCCAGACCAAACAACCACAGCTCCCTCACCGACGCCGCGGCCATCGTCCACACGATGTCTGCATAGGCGCTGCGTGGGCCACACGAGCAGAATGACTTGAACAATCCGGACATCATTGCTGCTGCAATCGTGCGTCCAAACAACACAATTCAAGCCAGTGCCCCCGCTCCAAACAGCACACGCTGCAATGGCGAAACAGCGTCGACCAGCGGGGAAAACAACAGGCAAGACCGAATCCAATGCTACGAGCGTTGTCTCGTCCACAGTGTCTTCGCGCTTCCCGTCAAGAGCAAGCTCGCCAACACCGAGGCAACCATTCCGTTTCATGGACCTCCCGGCCGAGCTCAGACTCCGCGTATATGAGCTGGTTTTGCTCATGCCGGAACCGCTCGACTTGCGTGAGCTTGTTCCCACATGGTCACACCAGGGGAGTGGCATCGCTAACGTCATGCATCACAGACTCGGACAACTGGCGTGTAGTCTACCCACGCTTCGCCCTCTTCCTCGTCAGTCACCGAATGCACGAAGAGGCATATCGAGTCTTCTACGCTCAGCCCATTCGCCTCTTTCCGGCTCCCGCCGGTCGATTCTTCAACACCAAGAAGCCACTGCTAGCACGTCTGCCCGTTCGATACCGCGAGGCCATCAACACAGTCGAGCTACGACTCGGACCTGGATGGAGCCGACCACCCCGCTGTCAAAATGTCCAGCCTACGCTGGGCTTGATGGACTGCAAGAACCTGAGGAATCTGAAGATACTTGTAGAGTGTGACCCGAGTGATAGCTTCTTCAATGGGTTTCGTGGGTCCGGTGCGACGGAAGAGACGTACAAATGGTTCTGTGTCGATCTACTGGCAGGCATAATGGAACAAGTGCCTGCCCTAGAGACAGTCGAGATCGATGCGTGGGTTAAGAGAGACGTACCCATCGTCACAGCTCTCCAATCCTTGGTTGAGAACGCCAACAAACGACTGTTGTGGGGACCGTCCTTGAAACAGCGAGAGATCGAAGATGAGCTGCGTCTCCTCAGTCTGGGACATGCAATGTCGACCTTGAGTCTGGCAAAGCAAGCTCCGAGATTGGTCGAGGCCCAAGCATAGTCCTGCTCAAGCCGCTTACCATGATTTACATGGATGCAGCATCCTACCACGCCGGAGTGAATATCCGCTGATATCACTCGCAAAGACATCTTGCGACCGTGCTCATTTGCCCTTGGGCGAAGAGGTTCTTCGTGCCAATCAAACGTCGACGTAGAGCAGAGTCAATATTGAAGGGAGTGCACTCGGCTGAGATTATATGTTGTATATGATTCCAATCCGCTTACTTCACCATCTTCTGCCATATCCTTCAGTGACAGATGTGAGGACAATGGTATATTCTGTGCCCCCTCGTTCATTTTTCACCTGGTCTGAGACTTTCGCCTAAGCGGAAACATATCCAATGCGTCTCGAACTACCCCCAGGAGATGTGGATACCCATGGGACTAACAAAGCATTCCAGTGCGATGCTATCATGCGAGCCATGTCATCGTCGACGGCGTTAGGACTTAGAGAATGGTAAAACCTAGACACTTACACGACTAGAACACCATGCGGAGCTCCGATCATGACGCAAGTGTTTTGGCATTGTTTATTAGGAGGGACAGAATTCCGCCCCACCATGGGCTTTTCCCACCTCAACAATAACTTATACAACCACAAGAGCGATCAAAATGGCCGCCAAAGAAGACTACAAGTTCGCAGGATGGATGGGCATTGACAAGGAGTCTGCCAAGGGCAACATGGTATGAAACATGTCCGGTATTGGCTCTTGCTTGTTCCTCTCTTGCTGATATCACTGCTGCAAAGGTCTGGCAAGAGTTCCCCGATGACCGCAAGCCTTTTGAGGAGACCGATGTCGATATCCAAATTACTCACTCTGGTATCTGTGGTTCCGACTTGCACACTCTTCGCTCCGGATGGGGACCAACCCCCTACCCGTAAGCACTTGAAGACGCTCTCGATTGTATATGAAGCTGACGTGTCTTCGTTCGCAGAGTTTGTGTAGGCCACGAAATCGTTGGTAAGAACTTTGAGTGCAAGATTTTACCTCCAAAGATGGGAACTGATTTGGCTCTATAGGCAAGGCCGTCCGTGTCGGCTCCAAGGTCGAGAAGGGTATCAAGGTCGGCGATCGCGTTGGAGTTGGCGCCCAGAATCTCAGTTGCTTGAAGCCAGACTGTGAGGAGTGTTCTTCCGGCCTGGAGAACCACTGCACGCAGACTACCAACACCTTCGCCGGCAAGTACCCGGACGGCTCTACTTCGTACGGAGGATACGCCGACTACCACCGTGCACCAAGTCACTTCGTGTTCAAGATCCCAGAGGGAATCGACAGYGCTGATGCCGCTCCCATGCTTTGTGGAGGCATTACGGTCTATAGTCCATTGAAGAACAACGACTGCGGTCCAGGCAAGAAGGTTTGCATGCATTACTTGGTCAAACTTCCGAAACCTTGTAGACTGACACTTCTCCAGGTCGGTATTATCGGAGTCGGAGGTTTGGGACATTTCGGTGTTCTCTACGCGAAAGCCCTTGGAGCCGACAAAGTTGTTGGTATCTCACGCCGCAACGACAAGAGGGAGGATGTCCTGAAGATGGGAGCTGATGAGTACATCGCGACCGAGGAGGACAAGGACTGGGCCAAGAAGCACTCCCGTTCGCTCGACTTGATCATCTGCACGGTGTCTAGCCCATCGATGCCTCTCATGCAATACCTCCAGCTGCTCCGCGTGAAGGGAACCTTCATCCAGGTCGGTGCTCCAGAGGACAAACTTCCCGACATGAACGCTTTCGCTTTCATCGCCAAGGGTGTCAAGTTCGGGGGTAGCATGATTGGCCCACCAGCCCAGATCGAGGAGATGTTGAAGTTCACCGCCGAGAAGAACGTCAAGCCTTGGATCAACAAGTACTCCATGAAGGAGGCCAACAAGGCGATTGTGGACTTTGAGGCTGGCAAGGCCCGCTACAGAATCAGTCTGGTAAACGAGCACTTCTTGTAGAGATTCACGAGAAAGGGTTGAATGTAGTTGCGCACACACMCATATGGCCTAGCTATAGATGATATTACGAATGAAATAAAACGAAAGAGAACCATGAAGGATAACTTCGATGTCGAGTGAAATGAGCGACGTGAAGTCAAGATGTTCCATCAAGGTGCATTTCTATTTCACCTGTGATCATCGTCCAGGAAGTAAAACGGATGATCGCCGCGCTGCCTGCGTGAACAAGAGACGTTTTCCTCTCTACAGATACCATCCTTGATGCGATATTAAGTTGAGGCATGCTTTTACACAGGTGAGTGAATATGTGGTGTTTTTCGAATGATTCTATCAATTGCGACTCTATTATCTATACGCTCTTAGAACTACTTTCCTTATGCAGCGTATTAATACGCCATTAGACAAAGCACWGGCCGCTCGAACTGAAGGGGTGGTACTGTTGCTGTTGTAGGGGGTAGCAGAGCTAAGTGCTAGCGTACGCAGGCCAACTGAATATCGAATGAACGCTTCTTAATGCGTTCTGAAGATTCACTTTAGACGGCTATCACATGCGACCGTAAGAGAGACATGGACCCGCCCGCGCACGTCCTCATTGACATTGTGATTATCGTACAGGTGCGTCAGCCTCGGACAGCCTCGTATTCGGCCATAGTGGTTGCTGCTACAGAAGACCATAGGGTGGCTGCCTAGATTGTCCCTACTTGGCTCTGTTCACAAAGCTACTAATCCGCCAACGTAGTCATCGATTTCACCGTGGGCAGCCTGTCGGGCTTCCATTCCATCCTCGACCATCGGAGAGAAATGCTACAGGGTACCAGGAGACTCTACATTAGCAGCCAGGGATATCCACGTGGTGGGCTTCCTAGCCCCTGAGAAGATGAATCTTACTACGTTTATGTACTCCTGCACTGCCCCGGCCGCCGGAGGGATCCGCAGTCCTTGTATCTGACAGGATGTTCCTGAATACCACGGAGCACCCTGTAAGACGGCAGATTGGCAAAGACTCTCAGCAAAAGTCACCTGATTCGCAGTCGATGAGGCAGTTGATTCTCACATCGTCTTTAACTCGATCCGCTTGATAGGAATCGCCTCCATCGAGATCGAGATCGTAGGCTATGCACCACCAAGGTCATTGGCCAAGTTATCGATTGCACGTGGTACCGTCTTTGAGAGTAGATCTCCGTGCTGCAAGGTTGCTTCATTATATCATGTTGGAGACTCACAACCAGGAACATAGCGCTTCGCGCTCGATGCCCACAAGAAGTGSGTCGTCATGAATCCGACCATGCAATCCGCGTAGATTCGCATGTTGCCGGTTCCTTGCCAGCCATCAGGCAATGCTCGCCCAATCTTTCGCCTCTCCTCCGCTGCCTGCAGCACGATTGTGTTGTGCAATTCTATTGCCGCTACCAATGCCTGTCCTATACTTAGTGACTCTCGCTCTGCTCGAAGCAAGATGTAGTTCATCTGGTCTCCATTCGTATGATCGTTCGCCAGACCCACGAGATCGTTCTGAATCCCAACGGCCGAGGTGACATAAGTCTCTAGAGCGTACGAGGCCTGTTCAGCCAATTGTGTTTCCTGTGCAGTGAAAAAACAGTCTCGAAGAATCTCCATGAAAGGCGACAAGCCCATCGTCGCTGCCCGTGACTGTGAGTATTCGTCCACGGTGAGGTTATCGATGTTTTCTCTGCATGAAATTTCACAATGGTATCCCCTGAAAATGTCGAGGATTTTTCGAGCCACCCTCTGCAGTGCCTCCGCTCCAAGCAAACGCTGGGCCTGCTGGACGAACAAATACGTGACACCGGCCGCGAGACCACCAGATGGGGAGCGACTGGACGACCATAACAAGTATTGGACCTTGGCACGTTGTAATGGACCAAGGACAGGAGTGAGCTTTCGCGGGCTCGCTTTGGTTTGGCAGGACACTTCCAGGAGGTGCATACATTGTTTCATGGCCATCCTCGCCTCTTTTGCGGGCATCTTCTCGGTCACATCGTCAAAGAAGCAGAAGAGATGAAACCATGCGCACATTGCAAGTAAATGATTCGCATCATACACCTGCGGAAACGCTTTGCGAAGAGTCTTGACTTCCTTCGTTGCGGTCTCTATTGTCCAGCTGTAGCTTTTGGCAGCAGGTAAATCTTTCGGCATCGGGAAGGCGAGAAAATGCTCCTTTGAGAGTGGAGCGATATCGAGTGCAGGAGCGTTCCCAACGGTGACGGGTGCGGTAGTGTCTGGTAGGTGTAGAGCAAATGCATCGACATTGATGGAGGCCGGAATGGAATGTTTGGGGAGCCAGTGTGCAGTCAAACCACTCTCATTCCTTTTGGCATCGGCTTTGTCTGACTCCAAGGCTCCAGGCTGGTGTACGTCGTATTCCGAGACCGAAGGTTGAGCTGAGTCAAACCTCTCCGCCGAGAGACTGTCATTTGTAGATGCAGCGGAGCTCTCGATCACAAATGGACAGCTGATCATCTTAGAGACTGCCACACTGCCTGGTTTCGAGAACTCAGTCCTGGTCGAGGGGTGTTGGCTGAATCGTATCATGTCTTTGCTTAAGAACTGCATTCGGACTTGCAGCGGTTGGGATAGAGGATTATTTTGATTTCTTTTTTTTTTGTAGAGCACGCTTCCCGTCCAGTCCTATATGTGCGAGAATAATGTAGCAGCACCGGGGTGAAAGTCCAAAATTAGTGACAGCGGGATCGTAGAGACCATTGCATCTCCAATTTCAAGAACCATGGCCGTAGAGGCCGGGCGAAAACGTGGTATTCGAGCTAGCAATGGCAGCCGAATCCGCGCGGAGTGGCGATTGATGAGCCATTCTTCCAGTGGCTAGGGACTTCCCTACGATGACAGCCTGGTATCAGTGATCACTGCATAGCATATGGCCTGCGCGATAGATGACTGTAGAAGCTTATCCCCGCACAGGAACAGCCATCCAGGGGGTTTCTCACCCCTCGAAGTACGGAAATTACATAGATTGTGTGTCTAGTTGGCTTACGAATAGGCCGTCGTCCTTGTATCTGGCGAAAAGAGTCCGGAATCTGACAAAATCCATCTCATAGCCACACAAACCCGGCTTCTTAGTCTCCCCGGAGCATTTTGGTACGCATCCTAGAGGTTGTAGACCTTGCGACGGAGATTTCCATAGGCGGAGTTGATTGAACGATAGGCTTCCTTGGCTAAACCAGGTGCTTGCGTGTTGGATGGTGTGACGTTCATGGTGATCAGAGATCCGTGATAGCGCCAAGAGCGCGTGGCCGGAATTAGCGTCAAGGATAAACTCTCAAGTGAAGGGAATCCATCATCCCAGAAAGGAACCGGCCGGGCAGCGCTCTGATCGGCTAATCGTAATTTCCTTCCTGGTCAGACTGGACATAAGTTTTGAGCTGCTAGGTCCACCGTATCCAAATAGAATTTATAACCTCGTCGATGGGTAAATCACGGCCCGGAAGGTTTACAGGCCAGCGACGCAAAATCCGAACAAGAGGATTTGGTCAAGCCGGTCGCCAACGACTGGCCCACTAGCTTGACATATATATCCTGTCCATCCTGCAAAAGACACAGACTCACGAGCGCAAGCCGGAACGGATACTTGCCCACGTCGCTAAGATGGCCCAACCAGTACCACCCTCGAATACCAGCGCCCTACCGCCACCGCGCGAGTTGCTGCCAGCGACAACAAACCCACACCTCCTCGCGATGGGAAGTTTATCGCTCTACAACTCCATTCTGCTCCTCACGTCTGCCGCACTCTTACAACACTTTATCGTCTTCGGGCTTGGCGCACTCCTGGTAAGTTCGAGGTCTCTTGGTCCTTCATGATCCACAGCTTGAACTCATCAACTCTCCAGCGAGGATTTTCACGAAACCGCTTGTTGGACTTGYATTACATTACCTTTTTGTTCGCCCTCAGTCTCGCGGTCGGACCAGCAGTCTTTCTGTTGGATCTGAAACTTGATCAAATCAAGGTGCTGTTCTTCATACAGCATTTTGCCATCGAAGCAATGATCTGCACGCGTGTCCTATTACCGACGCAATTGGTGAAAACTCGAAGCGGCCCGATCCTCTTCGCATTGTGGACGGCACTGTTCTGCATCACGGCTGTGGTCGTGTTGGATCAATTCCATCACAAGTCTGCGATGATAGTGGTGTTCTTATCACCCATCAGCGACGCGTCAACGGCAGTGTCGGGGCTTGWCCTGGTCTTGAGATGGATGCGATCAACGAACAAATCTGCTTTTGGGCGGGAGAGAATCAGGGTGGAGGGACTCGCGGGCATTGGATTCATGGTGCATGGTAAGCTCCCCTCGCCAATTGCTTCCTGTATCGGTGGGAAGTGCTATCGACTAACACAGCGCTGTGCAGGTATAGTGACTGTGTGTATAGCACCCATCTTCACCTGCGTCATTTATGCCAAGCTGCATCCGGATTGGTACGCTTACGCGTGGGCGATGGTGTGGTCGTCAGCGTACTTTACAATAGGTTTCTGCATTCCCGCCGTGGGATTTTGGTTCTCGAACTTGAACTGGTGCTGCGGACGGCGGCGGAGAGTTTTACCTGGAGAAGCAGGATGGCAGGACGCTTGGGCGGTAGAGGATGGAGGAAGATCTGCCAGACGAAGCGCAAGTCATTCGCCGGCGATGGCCTGCGATGAGGCCCTGGAGTTCAAGGAGCCCTTCCACTGAGTCGGGAATGTTCCAATTGATCAGCAGATCCCGTATTCTCCATGCTTTCTGCTCCAAGTCCAAGGAGAATCTGCATATGGGTAGTGCCGAAACGCGCTCCGCGATGTTCGCTGCATTTGTTGGCGTGCAATGTCTCATCCCATCGGCGTCACACTTCGTTCCAAGACGGTAGCGAGATCTCGTCGCCACTCTCTCGAGTCTCGACGTTTTGCACACGTTATCTGGCTCCACAATCCGGCAAGAATCTGGTCCGTTCGAGAGGATCGACCTCCGCGGTGCGAAGACGCTGGWTGAAGATCCGTGGATGTCGATGCATGGAAGTCGGATGGCACGCGCCGCGCTCATCCTTCATGCACGCTTTTTCCGAGTAGCCGAATCGGGCCAAGAACGTTCAGAGTCAAAGCTAAACTCGTGAACATCTATCATGGTGAATTCGCCGAGCTACAAGAGAGGGATTGATTTGAATCTGCAAAAGGCGACGTGGGACACGTCTTGACACGTTCCCACCATGTTCAGTCTCTTACTGTTCCCCGAACAACCCCATACCTCAATGGAATGCTGTAGTAAAGCACAGATTCTAGCTAATGCATCAGTGCATGCAAACGTCCCAATCTGTTGAATGCACATACCATCAGAGAGGGGCTAGTACCACATTAGTTTGGAACATTGGCCCCATGTGACGGCAGACTACAGATGATAGACCACATATATTGCCCTCAGCCTGTTCGTCCTTGAGCCTTCCATTGCACACAATCCTCGACAGACATCTTCAAGGAGCATTCGTCAAGCCAAGTCGACCAAACCAATCCTGTCAGTAGCTGAGATCATAGCAAGATCAAGATGCTATTCTCCAAAGCGACCAAAATTCTGTGGCTGTCGTCGCTAGCCGTTGCAGCACCACTGGGGAACACGAGTACGACCCAAGACGTTAGTTACCTGCCAAACTCCGAGGAGCATCTCTAACACATTCACGATAGCCCGACCTTCTCAGCACAGCTAGTTGCCCAGATTACTGCGCAGGTACCAACTCCACCGGCGGCGACTCCCCCTACGTCTGCGGAGACGCCCGCCTAGGACCCGTCAGTGCGCCGACTGGCCTGCCTCTGTCTGGGATAGCCGGAACCGACAGCACCTACCATCGCTTCGGCGGCCTATGTCCAGGCGAGTTCCTAGCAAGCTGGACATCTCCCACGGGCGAATTTGCATACCCACCTTTCGAAGGCTACCAACTCGCAAGTTCCGGCGAGCCAACAATCTCAAATCTCAYACTGCCAGTCGGCACATTCCTCGATAGATTCGGAAGCGAGTATGGATCGTACATGAGTCCTGCAGGGACGCCGTATGCCCAGAGATCGTTGCCTCCGACGAATCTGGACTCCGAGGCTGGTTCCAAGTATCCGTATAACTATCGAGTATATATGGTCAGTCGGAACTTGCATGTGCAGGGTGGTTTGATCGCAGGGTGGTTTGAGCAGCAGGGGTTCGGTGTGCAGTTCTTGATGCCGATGAATGTCATGCAATTAGTTGACAGCGGCTACTTGACCAGAATCAATTTGACTGCGGATCCGAGATGGTAGTCGATTAGCCGAATGTACAGATCTATATCTCACAAAGTTGAATTGGTGTTCCTTCCACTGCAGCGATGATTGGATGCAAATGCAGCAACCATGGCAATGGTTCTTGTTGTGAGATTTACCGCTGTGCGATGGATTCTTGCAGATTGCATTGGATTCATCGTCTTCTATTCGTCAAGGGCTTGCGGGCACATGTGTGCAACTCTATGCCACAGCAAGACAATCGGCAGAAGCATCGTCTCYGGAGCTTCATTGCCATCATGCAATCAGTCATGTTCCCGTAGCAGCTTCATAATACGCCTCCGTGCCTTTTAAACCAACGCGATCATCAATCCTCCCTGTCCAGACGCACAGCTGCGTTGTTCTCAATCATGTTCAGGTCCACCTTGTGACCCAGCAATGCCCGAATATTGTCGATACCATACTTGATCATGGTCGGTCTCTCCAAACTCAGACCAAAACCATAGACACGGAGATCGGCTGGCAAGCCCATGGGAAGCAGCATTTCCGGTCGGAACATACCCGAATTGCCAATCTCCACCCACTTGTTCAGTCCGCCGTGGAAACCGAAGACTTCCATACTGGGCTCGGTGTAGGGGTTGTATGCAGGCTTGAAACGGAGGTTGGTGATGTTGAGCTGCTCGAAGAACTTGGCAAGGAAAGACTGGAGACCACCAAGGGTCAGACCGTAGTCTGCAATGACACCCTCAATCTGGTGAAACTCTGCAAGATGGGTGGCATCGACGGTCTCGTTCCGAAAGACGCGATCAATGGAGAAGTAGCGTACTGGCCGTGGGTCGGCGGCTAGTCGGTGCAAGCAGTATGTCGAGACGGCAGTCGTGTGTGTTCGTAGGACAAGTTTGCGAGTTTCTGAGTCGGTGTATGGGTAGCGGTAGCCCACAGAATCGAATTTGCCATCCTGGTGAACAGCCTTGACATCTTGATAGTATTGGGCGTAGTCGAGTTTGGAGTACTCAGTCTTCTCAACGGCAGAAAGCTGGCTCTTGGCTTCCATCTGCTCGAGTGCAGCATCTGCCAGCCGATCAGGTCCAGGTGGACCTGCTTCTGCTGGATCCGATACGTAGAAGGTGTCTTGCATGTCACGAGCGGGATGCTGCTGTGGAACGAAGAGAGCGTCGAAGTTCCAGAAACCGGTGTCGACGAACCTGCCGGTAGGCATCTCGATGAAGTTCCAATCGAAGAAGATCCGTCGGAACTCCTCTCGTACTTTGTTCAACGGGTGTAGTGCGCCAGACTTTTGATCCGCTCCCAATGCGTTGAAATTGTAGGGCTTGAAGTTTGCGGTCTTCCAGCTGCCATCCTCGACCATCTCTGCAGTGAGATCCGTAACCTCGACTGGGATCTCTTTACCCCACTTGGGACCTTTGCGGATCTCATATGTGATGATCTTCTCCGTGGTGACCAATTTTCTCTTCTGGAAGTCCTTTTGCTGTCTCGGGTCGGGCACGGTGTGGTATTCCGCGACATACTTGAGCGTCTCCCGTGTAGCATCCACAACGGTGTCCTTGAGCGGGATCAAGGCATCGCCGTCCTTCTTCACCCATTGCAGTTTGAAGGCATTACCTTGACCGAGCTTCGCGTTGGGTGTTGATAGCGCCGGGTCCTTCAAGCTCAGGCGACCTGCCTTCTGCACCGCTTCCCACACCTTGTACTCATGGCTACCTTCATCGCAGATCTGTTGACCCTCTTTGCTCAAGTTTACTCGTTCGCTATCGTTCTTCTTGTACTCGACCATGGCACGGCTTGCCAGACGATCGAGTGCCGCCTTGACCTCGGCCTGCGGTATCTGAGGGTATGCTTCATCTGATTGAAGCGGGTCCGTCGTCTCGAGCTGTTCGAGGATTGTGAGAGTGAGATCGCGGCTGTCCGGTACCGGCACTGGGCCTCGTGTTCCCGGCATGTTATGTGTAGGTTGTGAGGAATTGCGACGGAGGCGGGTGTGCGAAGCTGTATTCCTACCTAGTGATTATTGTGTTCATACACTAGGTATGAGTCGACAGTCGGGACATCTCAAAAAGTTGGATGACATAAGATGCGCTAAGTTCCAATGGCTGCCTCTGCACAACTTCCTCCTCCCAGCACTAGGTAGGTACCTACCTTATTGTCGACGGCCGTTGGACATCAACTTCATCGCTTTTGTAGCAGTTTTGCGATTGCCACGAATACTGGCCTAGGAGTAGCTCTACACGATGTCTGGAAAGAGATACAGTGCATCATTTATCCGGTATCCGACGGCTTCTCCAAGAACAGTGCAAATGATAGATTTCCAAGTAATGATATCTTTTTCATCTAAAAGTGGAAGACCTGCTCCTCATTTTAGCTAGCAGCGGAGTTGTCCGAGCTGATACCATCGCGATACGTGATTACACGCAAGGTGAGATGTCGAATACCGCCCTGCCCGCGCTCTCTCTAGACTGGGACGTTCTTGTGAGTGGGGAGGAGAGAAACAATTTCAGAACTCTAGCTAGCGCCGGACACACCCGAACCAATGAAAGTAGTTGCACGCGAAGAGAGATGGCGGTTTCCGCTCTCTCCGCCCTTTTGTAGGGAATCTGTCTCTCCGCACCACTGGACGGATTTGAGCAGCAGGCAGGTTGTACCATATCTCCATACCTCAGCTAGCGCCGGGGCTGACCGAGCCAATCAGAAGACATCTTCTCAAGAATCGTCAACGATCTTCGTATCTACTCTCACATCTATCTTCGCGAAAGAACGAAGGTGATGCGATGCGCTCCATCAGCAGTTGCCAACTTCCATGGATCAGGCTTACAGGCAAGGCCGTATGGTCTTCATATCTCAGAGGGAGTTGACAAAACAGCGACCACAACAACAATAAGGTGAATCTCATCGCATCCTTCAACTGAACGAGCCAACGTCCCACCTGACAGCTTTCCTACTCTCCTACACAATTGGAGCACCACGGAAACGATGCAACTCTTCAAAACAGTGGCCGTCTTACTCTCGGCCTCTGTCTTTACTGCCGCCGAGAAATGCTGCATGGACTCACGCGTGGGTTCTTTGATGTCTCTGGCCAACGCATATGTCTAACTCGCTGTCAAGTGCAGAGGCAATTGTGTCCCAGCCATCCATCAAGGAAGTCTCTTCTCCTGCCCTCTTCAGAATCCACCAAAGCTTCACATTTGTGCCGATTGAAGGGATGCTGTTGGCCGACTAGCCAAATCAGGTTCTCGGAGGGTCGAAGGATGCGCCATTCCTTGTCAACCTGTTGGTCTTTTACCAGCTTGTCCAACAGCCCTAACCGGCAAGGACGTTACAGGATCGCAGGAATGGTGGAGCTGCTCCTGATTCAGCAATGGCAGCAGGGAGTTGAAATATAAGAGACGTCCAAACTGCCTGTTTGCCATGCACTTTCACCATCTTCGATCGGTTCAACCACATAACCAACACATATACCAACAACATGCGCTTCTTCGCCATCATTGCTGTCGCCCTTTCGGCATTTGGCCTCGCTGCCGCCGAGAAATGCTGCGCGGATGAAACTGTACAATACTTTCATCCTCCTCGCGGCTGATCTCTGCTAACAGCTTTACCAGTGCTCTGGCGATTGTGTGCCAGCCACTCCGGAAGGAAGCATCTTCTCCTGTCCGCTACGGATGCCAACTGTCTGCGCTGACTGAAAGGATTGCCAAAGGCAGAGACAGTGCGTGGCGACCGGTCCAGGGAGGAATTGTCTTCGCACGGGGCATTAGACATAGATGGAGGTCTATTAGATCGCATCTCGTAGGAAGCCGACGACTGTTTCCATGGATCCGTCTCATGAGACTCCATTCTCCATCACATTCCCTTAGCCGGACCATGATGTCGGATCCCTGGTGTATCGATGCCATTTCATCCGTTCTGCCGAGGCGAAACCGCTTCCTGTCCATACTCGTCAATCAATATCTCAACATGATTGCGCGGCACCCTCGCGGCAACGCCCTCAAAGACAGTCTCCTGCAACCGATTGGTCCCACGCGACTTCTCAGTGGTGCCGTGGTCCCGATACGTCTTGACATCAATATACAGCCCAGTATGAGTGTCGATCCATCTAGCATCCACTTCATCACCACGACTCTCCTGGTAAAAAGGACTAACTTCAAGTAGATAATTCCTCTTCTTCTTGAAGTGCTGCGGTCTGTGACTGTAAACCGTCATATTACAGAACTCCGCGAGGAATTCCATTGATTTCGGAGAAACCATTACATCAACGTGAGACTGTTCTTGGCCCAGCTCTCCAGCCCGATACCAGTTTAGAAGAGTATCGTGCATCAACCAAGTGGGAATCCCGAGATCGTTCATGGAGATCAAGTAGCTTTGCGCTAGAGCAATGAGGTTGAGGTGGTGAGATGCATCGTCGAGGAGGTGGTCTGTGAAGCGGACGTCGTATTGTGCTCTAAGGGGTGATTGAGGGAAGTAAGTCTGAGAAGTCTCTTGTCCTTTGGGTTGAATATCTGGTCGGTCTAAGCGTGATAGCAATCGTACGCTATCAAAGTCGGCTTCTCGTTTGTCTAGTCCAGGCAATGCGGCGGTTTGATGACGCAGCGTAACAAAAATGAGACAGATGTGAGAGATCTTCATGTTGTGCTGGCTGGGTGATAATGCTGCTGTTGTCAACGCGAGTGAGCTTAGCTGTTATATATAAGTGCATGATCCTGGTCATTCAAAATCTCCGGAAACGTGCCATTGGCAGATGCGCAATACCGTCATCGAGGTACGCATGCGAGACCACGCGGCGAGGAGCTGTAGTAATGTGTGAGTTGTAAACGAATAGGTCACCGGGCAAGGATGCTGACGCGTCGGCTATCGATGCGGTTGAACTATCTCCGCATGTGTGAGAGGCTCTACTGTATGGCTGTTCGCCTTTTTTTTTGGTAAGACAGTGCTGTTCATCACGTAGCTCGGCGGGCCAAGTATGACTGGATAGGGTACTACAGTGTTATGATCAGCATGGTATCGACGCCGCAAACTTAGTGTCATGCAATGATTGACAAGAAACTCGAAATCACTTTGAAGCTCCAACGTTTTATGCTACATAACCAACTGTGGTCTGGCTCCATCATGTGGTGTATTCCTTCTGCAACAGCTTGGCAATGGTCGTCAGTTGAATGTTGCTGGTGCCCTCTGTAGGAAGTTAGCCTCAAATTGTCGAATAGTAGATCATCATGAAATGTCGCTGCCAACTCACCATAAATCTGTCCAATCTTGCTGTCACGCCAGTACTTCTCCGCAAGACCTTCTCTCACGAAGCCCATTCCTCCCATCCATTCAATAGCCTGCCCAGAAACACGGCCAGCAACTTGAGATGCGTACAGCTTGGCCATGGCAGCGTCCATGACAAAGTCCTGACCCGCCTCCTTCTTGCGAGCAGCATTGTAGACTAATGCGCGTGCAGCAGTGATCTCAGTCCAGGCCTGCGCCATTTGGTGCTGCATGCCCTGGAATTCACCCACGAGCTTGCCAAACTGCTTTCGGTCGTTCCACACATATTTCGCAGCGTTCTCCCACGCACCAATTGCAAGTCCAGTCATCTGTGCTGCAATTCCGATACGTCCCTCGTYGAGAAGACCGATGGCGTACTTGTAGCCCTCGCCCTCCTTTCCGAGCAGGTCAGACTTGGAGACCTTGCAATCATCGAAGTTGAGCACGCAGGTGGAAGAGGCCTTGATTCCGAGCTTCTTCTCCTTCTTGGCGATTTGAAGACCAGGGTTCTCTTTGTCTACGATGAAGGCGGTTATGCCCTTGTAGCCCTTGTCGGGGTTAAGGTTTGCGAAGACGATGAAGAAACCAGCCTCCATGGAGTTGGTGATCCACATCTTGTTTCCATTGATCACATAGCCGTCATCCGTCTTCTCGGCCTTGGTCTTGAGTGCGAATGCATCAGATCCCGACGCAGGTTCGGAGAGACAAAAGGAGCCAACAATGTTGGTGGAAAGCTGTGGCAGCCACTTTTTCTTCAACTCCTCGCTGCCCCACTTGATGATTGCGGTGTTGACAAGCGTGTTGTGTACATCGCACAGGACGCTGACACTGGGATCAACTCGTGCAAGCTCCTCGATCCCGACAATGGCACTGGTGAAGTTCATACCAGCGCCACCGTACTTTTCAGGAATTTCCACTCCCATCAGTCCCTGCTCAAACAGCTGCTCCACCACCGCGGGATCCATCTTCTCGGCTTCATCCATGTCTCGTACTTTTGGTAGAATGACATCGTTGGCAAATTTGGAGACGGACTCGGCCATGGCAGCCTCGACTTCGGACAGGTGGAAGATGGGCGTAGGGTGAAGGGAGTCGAAATCGATCGCGGCGACCTCGTCTCGCTCATCCCGCCGTTGTGGTGTGGAAGAGAGGCATCGTGTGCTGTAGATGGGCTGGTCAGTCCTGTATTTCTTCCAGCCAATATTTTGCCATCCTGCTTCTTACGCTGAAGGTGTTGATCGGGCGAATGCTGCTCGGCTTAGCGGTGTTCGGGTGCGGGTCGTAGAAGTGGCGGCGGCGCGTGCCAGGGGTCGAAGAGTTCGTGCGAGGGAAGCCATGTTGCTACAAATTGCAAGACGAGAATTGGAGGATGGAGGACCCAGATATCAATTATGGTTTACGGCCGGGAATAGGTAGTGTATTTTGGCCACTGCAGGTCGACGACATGATCMACCTAGTGATCTGAATCCCGAGACTAACCGAATTGTGGAGATCGTGGGGACGACAAAGAAGGCCGGACATATCTCGGCGAAGATATTGACATGCCTCGAGCATGTGAACGGAAGGGTTCGAGTCCGTGACTCCTTCACTCCACGTTTCCTTACTCCGAACGTACCGTAGGTATATACCTGCTCCACGCGCCTGCCGTGGAGCGACGGGGTGCACTGAATCGAGATGACCAATATTGACAGTGGCTGGAAAAAGCTTTGCCGATCACGTCGTGGAAATCGCTTGCGAAAATGAAGAATCGCGAGGAGGGTGGAATCTCCGAAGGACAGCGAAGTCGAAGGCTGAGGTACTGTCTTCACTGCTACAGTCAGGAATATCGCCGTCACGAGAAAAGTGACATGAATTCAAGACTCACGCACACCTTAAAGCAACGCCACTCGGGAGGGGGACGGGGGCAAAATGCACTCTCTATGGGACGACGGGAGTCACTTTTGTCGGGAGCTTGCTTCTAGTGAGCGGAATCATCAACCTGTCGAGCAGAGACCCAACAATCTCCATTGTCCAATCTCTGTCGGCCACCTGTCTTTCTCCGCTGGAATGGATAGCCTAAAGACTTGCCATGATTTCAGCTTCGTCTTGTCCGGTAGGCTATGCTGCGTAGTTATTGATAAATCCAAGACGACCGACAGCTACTGTGTGCTCAGTCAGTTTGGACTGGGGTGGAATGAAGGCAGTATAGACCATTGGACGTAGCAGCGAGGCGAGCCCGACAGTACCTGACGTGCTTTGTAGGTACATGTATTTCTGTTCGCAAGCTGATGACCAAGGGAACCACACTACCTAGGTAGGTGGGATCTCTATTTGCAGCAGCCGTTCGGACAGCTGTGCAGCGTCAACTAGTAGACTTACTCATCCTTGCTATCTTTGACTGTCGTAATCGCCACCACCGGCTGCTTCTCATCCACCTCGACGCCTTCGATAACATCGCTGGTATCATCCCTATCGAACAACGTCGCAATCTGCTCCAAACTAGATACCGACAAGTACAAAAGTTAGCCATGGCTCACAGAAGACGAGTAGGTCAAACTTACGTCAAACCGCGCGTCTCAGGGAAARTGAAGTAGATGGTCGCAAGTCCCAAACACAGCATTCCGAGATAGAATATCCAATAGTACCAACCAATGCGATCGATGGCAATCGGGTTCACGTACTGGGGATAGTCAATATACTTGATGCAAACAATACTACGAGAATACCGCGCCACTAACCTGATTGACAATGAGCAGAGCTTGTCCGACCAAGACGAAAATACTGACGCCCTTGGTGCGCATAGCATATGGTAGGAGCTCAGTCGGATATGCGTAAGCCAGTGGATTGCATGCAATGTTGAATCCGGCGTTGTAGAGGAAAAGGAAGACGATGACGAAGTATGCAGCGGTTCTGTTGTCCGCATCTTTCGCCACGATTGCGTTGCTGACAATCGTGCCAATGTTCGCAAGGATCATCGAGATGAAGGAAGTCATCCACAACGCTCGTCTGCCAATCTTGTCGGCTAAGATCGCGCCAGCGATGCTGACCATGAGGTTCCAGATTTGCATACCGCCATTGATGCCGGTCTGCTGATTCGTGCCAGTGATGCCAACTTGTGTCAGTATAGGAGAAAAGTAATAACTGATGATCCCCTGGCCACACCACAAGCAAAGTAGACTAACAACGACAACCGTCCCGACCCTTCTCAGATTGGCTCTGGTATGCCATAGTACTCGCCACCCAAGCTCAATGTCTTTCGACTCGGCGGTCAAGGCAGCTTTAATCTCTTCCACTTCCCACGCGACCAGCTCGTCGTCGACCGCGCCGTTAGCGTGGTGCTTCAGCAAAAGCGATACAGCTTCCTCTTCGTGGCCTCTTGAAAGCAGGTAGCGTGGCGATTCGGGAATCCAGCGCAACACGAGTGCTATAAAGACAGGAGCGAGAAGTTGGATCAGTGATGGGATCCGCCACGACCACGAATTCTGCATATGGCCGCTCCCAAAACTAGCCCAGGCTGCGATAATTGATCCAGCGTACCAGAGCGTGTTGAAGAATCCCAGAACTGTACCGCGTTGACGGGGATGAGCCAACTCAGCGATGAGACTTGGACCGGCGACGCAAGTGAAGCTGATACCCACACCGATCAGACCTCGACCAACCGCAAACTGTGTGTAGCCTTTCGAGCAAGTCTGAATAACACTGCCGACAGCTGTGCACGCCGATCCCACCAGAATACCCATCTTGCGTCCATACTTGTCCGAGCATATCGAGCCAGGGATGGCACCTAGAAATCCTCCGATGAAGATGACGGTCGTGATGAGGCCGGTCTCCGAGGCGTCAGGATTCCCCATTGCAGCCTTCCATGGTTGCATMGCTTGCAAGGAACCCACCACTGCCTCATCATAGCCACAAGTGATTTGGACCGTTATGATGGCCAGTATCAATGCGTTCAGTCTGCGAAGTGCCGGATCCTTCCACCATTGCGGATGTGTATTGTTTCCAAGAGTGCTCGCTGTGTTAGTTATGGTCATTGCGTCCTGCGAGCGGTACAGCGAGGCAACCTCTGCTTCAGGCGGATTATAACAATGTCATCGCGCAGTAGCATAGAGCTCAGTGGCACAGATAGGCATGGCACCGAGGACAGGCATCGTAGCGAGGCGAACATGTTGCTCCGCCTAAGAGTGTCGGAAAAACAGCGGTTGACGCTCCGCACCATGGTCCATTGAGCTGTACTCCACGTTCCAAGGGTGAAGGATGCGGCTCGGAATCCAGTGAACTGCCAATGTGCTTGGGAATCAAATGTCCTGGCAACTTTTACCCGGTAAGAGATATCCTTGCTACCATCTCTACACGTGAGCTAGGCCTATCAGTGCTTATCAGCCAGTGCAGGACTCGGGGGACCATGTTCGGCTCCTGAATTGCATATTGATTGTTCACTGCTCTGCGACAGCATACAGTGTCTCCTTGCAGCGGGAGCTTTTCTTGATGGCCAAAGACCTTTTTGCCGATGCAGTTTTGCGAGATTCCAATTGCTGCCAACGCGCAAGCGCTAGAATGCTCGAGAGGACTTTAGGAGTCTGAACAACCTCCGATGCAAAGATCTGGACGAGCGGCCAGTTTAAATGTGGGGCAGATAGTCGAACACGGCCAAGGCGATACTTCGATGCATTGATTGCAGCTCTCAAACAAGCTCCAGCCCAACGCATTCGCCTAATGCTGCAAACGCTGCAACGAGCCACAATTGAAGTCTCATAAGTCGCACTGAAAGCAGTGAGCATAAGACTGATCATACTGCTTTTAAGCTGTGTGCCCATATCAGCATGCCGCATCGAGACTCACCTCCACCGTTTCCGGATACTGCTCAGCAGTACGGCGACTTTCGCRATGACTTGTTTCGTGATGGTATCGCCGTCGTGAAAGGCGCCATGCCGGAGGAGCGATGTGCCCATTATATTGAAGAAATGACCAGATGGCTTGAGCGCTTTCCCCTAGGTTTCGACCGCAACGACCCGACAACTTGGACAGAGGAGCATCTGCCAGCACACATGAAGGGAGGCATGTACCATGGATATGGCGTGCCCCATGAGAAATTCGTATGGGATGCTAGGCTGTGAGTACCGTCTTCAAGAAAGTCCGATGTGGGATATGTGGGTCACTGACGCGTGCAGTGAGCCAGGTGTCATCGGTGCATTTGAGAAGCTCTGGAACACCAAAGAGCTCCTGGTGTCGTTTGATGGCATAAACCACACACTCCCACTGCCAGAGGGCAAGCGGACGGCTTCTACGCCATGGCCACATGTTGACCAGAATCCGCACCATCAAGGGTTCCACTGCGCTCAAGGCATCATCAACTTCGCTCCAAACGGACCAGATGATGGTGGACTTGTAGTACTTAAGCGCTCCCAAGATTTGAACGATCTCTTCTTTAAGACCCACAGCAAAGAAAAAAAGGCGAAATGGGGCGCGGTCCCAGGAGATTGGCATGGATTCGAACCAGAAGAGGTGGAGTGGTTCAAACAGCGCGGTGCTGAAGAGATCAAAGTGTGTGTCGAGCCTGGAGATCTGATTCTTTGGGACAGCCGGACTGTTCATTGGAACGTGCTCCCGCAGTCGAATCAGACCAGGAGCATAGTTTGTAAGTTGAGGCTGCATCGTCTTGAGGGTTCCTGCTGACCATCATTGAAGATGCCTGCTACACTCCTGCAGCATGGGCGACACCAGAGGACCTGCAAAAGAAAAGTGACATATTCCACCAAAGGCATCGTACAACGCATATGCCCCACCGCAACTTCTGGCGAAATGAGAAAATCCTGCGATTTGGAAAGGAGGATCCATACCATCGTGATCTACCCTTCGAGGAGCCCGTCGAAACGGAGCAGCTACTCAAGCTCGCTGGCGCAATGGCGTACTAGAGCTCAGAAAAATTGACGGGTTGATGTGTCTAAACTGAAGAGTCAGAAGGAAAAGGTTGTTTGGATGACGCAAGCGACTTACCAAGCATGGGCGTGCTTCAAGCGATATATCAAGTCTACCTTACCGAATGAAATTGTTCTCTTTGCTCTCCTTGCTCTGATGAGAAAAAGTGCCATTGGCATGCCAGTTATGCTGAGGTTTGTTGATGGAGATCGAGAGAGTCGGACCAGGGGGTGGAAGCACACATTGCTCCTTTTTGAGGGATCGACCAATTGGTCCAGCTCATAAGTACTACGAGCGAGAGTGTCTTCAGGCCCCAGTGAGACATGTGTAGGCTGCGCGCCAATTGCTTCTATAGCGACTGTTGGAAAGCACCACACCGCCGTCATACTCATCCCCATCCAGATTGGTCGACGAAGGAGGACGGCTATGCGTTAGTCGCAGCGAAAGTACCGAGTTCTCGCCAGATTTCCCTGTAAATTCGCCAAGCAAGTGGTCCTAAATATCCGGTCAATATGCGCAAAATCACTGATTCTGCAAGCTCGCCCAATAGCATCAGACATGGCTGGCGCAAACAGCCAAACAGCGGGGAACCCAACACGCGTGCCCAGTGCCTTTCGAGGGGGTTACCGTTACGGCTGAATATATGTGGTCGGACGCTGGTGCTCCTCAAGTCGCAATTTGATGACGCTGGGTTAGCGGTGGCATAAGTCAAATATCAGGCTGAGTTGACGATCGCGGATGTTGTTGAACGCAACGTTGGCTTGGACAGTACAAAGGGGAACATATATACACGCCTTCCGCTGGAGACTATGATCGGTCCAATGGCGCCCAGTCGTCCTCGGACTTGCGTGCGCGGACAGCCTTGGGGCCGCCAAGTTCCGCCTCGAGACCATCCTCAAAGTGTCGTGTAACCGAAGGCTGCAGCAGGTCAGTGAGTGTCGGACGTCTCACTTCCAGGATAAATACCTTATCTGGGTAGAATTTGCCGACAACGTACGCCAGCCCAAAGACGGAGGCGACGAATGATCCCTGCATGGGCATTAGCTGTTGTCCAGTACCGACATACTGATGCAACCTCACAAGTAGAACCGCGCCCCAGCCAGGTTTGAAGTGCGTGTACTCTTCTGGAGTGAAGATTCCAAGGATATCATTGTCCTCATGAATGGGCTCGCCGTAGTTTCTTCGCTCCTGCGGGTCCCACCTGGCGTTTGTTAGTGATAGGCCCATTGTGGAAGGCCAACATAGCTCACCAGTCGGCGTATGGGTCGCGGAACTGTCTCTTCAGCGGCAGAGCGGATGTGAGTGATGGGTCCGGGTAGTTGCCGTTCTATTAGACGTGTGGTCAGCATGTATTGTCCTCATATGCCCGAATGTCTCCTGCGCTTCCTCCTTCTGCGCCTGTATTATCTCCCACTGCCGATCAAGCCTCGTCCCTAGTATTGCCAGCGCCCTCAATGCTCGAAATTGCATACCATGTTGATGTCTTCGCCGGGCTGTGTGATCAGCTCCTCCGAGGCCTCCTCCGTGGGTTGTTGCTGTTGCGTGCTCGATGCGAACCTGGCGGGCTGGAATTGGGCGATACGAGCGCGGGCAAGCTGAGCGCGTGGAGCGACCAGTCTTGCCATTGGTCGGAGAGAGGCCATGATGGCGGTGTTGCGGATGGTAGAAGATAGACGGTGTTGGCGGACGTGAGCTCGATTGAGGTGTGGTGATCAAGCAGTGGAGGTGTCCACAAAATTCCACGAGTCCCACACAGATATCACCCTTGCTGGCGCGCTTTCTCCACCATAGCGGCGTGGACAAACACATGCAGCAGTAGGAGCATTAGGCTAGTCTACAAACTTCCTTGGACTCGACACGTCCACTCGCTCATCGCATCCAAATCAGCCCTCGACTTCGTGTGATTGTAAAGACGTGTCGCTCTCCACCACTTCCCCCGGGTCGCGTTCTGTTCTGCATGATGAGGCATGGTTGATATGGCCAGTGATGCAGCGAAGGCGAGATCTGAAACACCACCTACCAACCATGGCGAACCTACCACCGACGCAATGCTCGTCAAGTGCGAGCACGAGACAGCAGGCGCAAACGACGCAGCAAACGCTGCTGAGTCCCCGAAACGCGAGGAAACCAACGAAAGCGCGCAGGAGGATGCTCAGACCGCGGTGTCCACCTCAGCCACGCCGGAGGCGGGAGAGAGGCGCAAGAAGAGTAAACGTAAACGAGGACCATCACCCCCTTGGCGGTCCTTTATCGCGGAGACGTCGACATTGAATGTAGACGGGCGGAGAGTTTCCGCGCGCCACAACTCCAGCCTGAGCACACCCGGCGTCAGCAGCGACAGTGAGGGTCGCGGGCGCAAATCATTGCCCCGCGCAAGTCCTCCCTGGAAGGCATTTGCAGCGGAGAGCGCCAGCGTTATCAACGTTGATGGGCGAAGGAAAAGTGGGCGCGTCAACCGGGAGCTTGCCGAAAGCAAGAGTAAGAGTGGAACGCCGAACCGCACAAAGTGTGCGAGCGGAAACACGAACATGAACTCTGCTGGGAAGAATCGCAAGGCGACATCGGATTCGAATCACAACGATGATGGCGTCGATGCCTCCGCTGACCGGCCGTCAATGTCCACCTCGACCAACTCCAAGATCGCCGAGCTTCAGGCCAAAATCGCAGCTCTACAGCCAACGCGATCGTTTCCAGCACCGGAACTCAGCGAGGTCAAAGGACCGCAGTCCAAGGCCGCGGCACCCAAGAGATCGCATAAGCGAAAAGAAAGCTATCATGCCAAAGTGGAAGACCAGCCCTGCTCTCCTCCACGCAGTCGCAAAGCGCCCCGACAGAGCGATGTTGAAATATCCCCCGACCGATCAAAGCCAACTCCCAAGATCCGACTTCGATTCCAGGGCAATCGCAAACCCATTCCACCGCATCATCCGAACGCCGTCTCGAAGCCCGCCTACCCCCCACAGCTCGCTCTTCACCAGGTAATCGAGGATTGGGAATTGCAAGAGCTGCAACAGCCGTTCTTAGAAAATGATCGCGGCCCTCCAGATGCGGAGTACTTTGTCCAGCGAGCTATTAAGCAAGCCGCAGAGGAAGGTGCGATGCGTCAGAGGATTCTCAAAGAGGCAGAGCCCGGCGGAGCGTTGAGCAAGGAGAATCTAAGTCTGTATCAAGCGGATCGACAGCCAGAGCCATCACAATCAATCGCGCATCACGACCAGCTCGTGGCTCATGCGCTTTACTTACGCCAATTACAAGTCAAGGAGAAGGCCCAACATCGCCTGTTGGCCAAAAGGGTTGCCTTTGAAGCTTTGGATAAGTGGAAAGTCCGGAACGGACCTACTGAAGAAGACATTGTTGCAGAGCAAGACAGAACTTTCAGGCTCGTGGCGAAGCAGGTCATTGCGGATGTGAGCGCGAAGTGGGCATTGGTAGAAGCGCATGTGCAGGAAGCGAGAAAGAAGGCATACGAGGCCGAGCAAGGCAGGATACAGGCACAAAAGCTGCAAGAAAAGCTGGAGTACAGTGAAAACCTTTTGCTCAAGYAACGTGGGGACGCAGACAGCGATGTTGATATGGACAGGGAGGATGATGATAACAGCTCCTCTGAAGATGCTGCGTCGGGCTCCGATTCTGCCAGCGAATCGGATGAAGACAATATCAGTGAGTCCGAGGACGAGGCCGATGGCAATGCTACGGAAGACGAAGGAGACATGGACGCTGAGACACTGGCTGCGTACAAAGCGCATCAAGCTGAATTGGCCAAGCAGAGGCCTGCTGAGCCGCCTGAAAAATGCATTGAAGGTAAGGACGAGGATGGCGAAGATGATGCGGAGCCGAATCAAGACGTCTCAAAGAGGGATGATACGGCGCATAATGTCGCAAATCTCCAAGAGGATAATCGTTCCGCTCCGAATCGTGCTCAAATGGACGATATCAGTCAAATGGGAGGTGCAGATGCCGCCGAACGCCATAAATCACGCTCGGCATCACCGACCGTGGAGGAGACTACAGCCGAGGATCACTTGTCCTCAGATGATTCGACCAATATGGACTCCGACGACTATGACTCTGATGAAGATATGACTACCGGTGACGAAGCCGWCGGCAATGATGATGATGATGACGAAGAAGAGTCAGAGGCCGGAGGAGAGCCATCAATTCTTGGGTTTTACCGCACGGCAGATCTCAAATCTCTACGTGAGAAAGATGGAGGCTTGCCTACCCCTGTGACCAGCGTGGAGAATGGCGGCGAAGACGAACATCCAAGATCTGGCTCCGAGGCCGTGTTCGATGGACACGCCAATGCTGGCGCTGAACATGATCTTGGGCTCACACAGAAGCATTCGAACCATCAGGTTTCGACGCCTGCTGCCGATGGAGACGAGCAGCATCAGGAGAAGCCCGCCGAGGAAAATGATGCAGAAAAGGTAGACGAGGCCAATCCAAGTATTGCAGCCCAAGCAGATGCGGATCATCTCGAAGATCTTGGCGCCAAATCGCGCGTTGCGATTCCCTCACTTATGCGCGGGACTCTTCGCTCATATCAGCATGCAGGTCTGGACTGGCTTGCCTCGCTGTACCGCAACCGAACAAATGGTATACTGGCCGACGAGATGGGCCTTGGCAAAACGATTCAGACCATCTCACTTCTGGCACACCTTGCAGAGGTACATGAAGTGTGGGAGCCGCACCTTGTCATCGTGCCAACGTCCGTTATCTTGAATTGGGTGACGGAATTCCACAAGTTTCTCCCAGCCTTCCGTGTTTTAGCGTACTATGGCACCCTAGAAGAGCGTAATGCGAAGCGCCGTGGTTGGGTTGGAGATCCTCACCACGAGAATAGGGAGAAGCGCGGCTACAATGTGATCATCACGAGCTACAACATTGCAATGCAGGATATCAACTCGCTCCGCCAAGTGCAGTGGCACTACCTCATTCTCGACGAAGCTCACAACATTAGAAACTTCAACAGTCAACGGTGGCAGACTCTCATCCGGTTGAGGACACGAGCTCGGCTCTTGCTGACTGGCACGCCCTTACAGAATGACCTCGCCGAGGTCTGGGCGCTGCTGACCTTTCTCACGGCTGGCGACGATGAACGCTCGCACGGCAAGCTAGAGGAATTTCTCGGCCACTGGAAGGATCCAGTCAAGGAAATCTTCGACCAGGGCGTGCAGAAAATTTCCGAGAGTGCACAAAGAGTCGTCGACCAGTTGCATATCTCTCTACGGCCTTTCTTGCTGCGTCGCAAAAAGAATGAGGTCGAAAAGGATCTTCCCAAGAAGACAGAGCATGTCGTTGTTTGTAAGCTCAGCAAGCGACAGCGTCAGCTCTATCAAGATTACATGGGCCTTGCGGAGACGAAAGCCTCCCTTGCCAAGGGCAATGGCGTCCAAGCTGGTGCGGTGCTGCTAAGTCTGAGGAGGGTGTGCAATCATCCTGATCTCTTTGACCCTCGGCCGATTCAAACAAGCTTCGCCATGGAAACAAGCCCAATCGAAGTTTACAGTATCAAAGAGCAGCTAGTTAGACAGCTGCTCGGTGCTCCCCGAGAAACACCGACGAAATTCTTGATCGTCGCTCGTGAGGGCAGAATGCGAATGACTGTGCAGCGAGCGCGCCGACTAGATGCCACTAAACTCTTGCAACGCCAGATTGGTGAGGTTGAGGCATTGGCTGCGGACACAGACTTTGATCCTTCGACCGTGATCGGCTCCAGAGCATTGCAACGACTTCAACTACGCCAACGCAAACTCAGCCAGCTTCGCGCATGCATCCAGGCTACCGAGTCTTCTTTCGGGCAAACGCCTGTCTATGGCTCAGACCTCCGCCAGCTCATCACCATTAACAAACTCAAACCGTACACCTGTCTCTCGCGCTGGCAATCTAGCGCCAGAGGTCTGCGCGGATGGCCTTCAATGGGAAAGCGACCTGTTTTACTCGAGCATCCGATTGACTGGAGCCTGATCAAGAGCACGCAGCTACAAGCCGACATTTTCACCTACGATGGCCTGGCTGAGAAGATGAAAGAGACGCTCATTCGGTTCACCTTCGTCCCTCCTGCCGTCACAGTACCGATTCTGGACTATGCCATTCCGCCACGCATACAGGACAGCCTCCGTATGACATCCGCATACCCGATCGAACATGACTTTGGCCACGAAGCTCGCGTGCGTGCCTCTATCGCGTTCCCTGATTCCAGACTCCTCATCTACGACTCCGGCAAGCTTCAGCGCCTCACTTATCTATTGCGTGAGCTCCAATCCAAGGGATCACGGAGCTTGATATTCACACAGATGGTAGGCACGCTCAACATTCTGGAGCAATTCCTCAGCTTGATGAATCTTCCATACCTGCGACTGGATGGCAACACGAGCGTAGAGCGCAGAGCGCTCATGGCTGCTGAGTTCAATCGACCAGACTCGAAATACCAGTGCATGATTCTTTCTTCTCGTGCGGGAGGAGTGGGACTCAACTTGACAGGGGCCTCTTCGGTCATTTTCTACGACCTCGACTGGAACCCACAGATGGACCGGCAGTGTATGGACCGCGCACATCGTATCGGGCAAGTCAGAGACGTYGGCGTTTACAAAATGGTCAGCGAAAAGACCGTTGAGGAGAACATTCTCCGGCGTGCCAACCAAAAGAGTCTTCTCGACCAGACAGTCATTCAAGACGGGCACTTCACAACCGAGTACCAACTTCCAGCTCGTCGTGAAGAGGAAGAAGCAGCGGAAAAGRGCGATGACGTCGGCCTCGCTATTGATCGATTCCTTGGCGGCGAGGAGAAATCTACGACCCAAGCGCTGGAGTCGGTAGAGGACAAGGAGGACGTCGCAGCAGCGCAGCAGGCAAGAAAGGAAGATCACCAGGACGACGTGGATTTCGATCGGTCGAAAGATCACTCCAAGGCCAATACCCCCGGACCTGCTCATGCGGAAGCGGAAGATGAGGTGGACGCCGCGCTGCAGGGTCATGTGGATTCTTACATGATTAGACTCATGGAAGAGATTCTACTAAAGGGCTGGGTGTACGTTCCCCCTCCAGTGAGGAGACTGGACAAGCATGGGAGGGATCCTTCGCATCGACCGAAGAGAAAGAGGTAAAGCGACTTCTACATCTTCAATAGGCGGCGAAGAAGGATTTGCATTAGCCGTAAGGCATAGCGATGTTTGTTCAAGCGTAGATGTGTATCAACAACATTTGTACAAAGGCAACTAAGCCCCGCTTGCATGTATTGAGTGACAATCTGATGGTCGTGCCATACCGCCCAGACTTGCGGTGAGCGCATCGTGACAGATTTCAATGCTTGACAGTCTTAGAGCATGATCAAGCCGCAAGGATACCGCTGATTAGCGTTCGCCCCCAAGCCATGACTGAGCGGAGCAGAGTCCGATTACTCCATCATTGACCATCCGTTGTATGTCGTGAAACATTGCGTTCCCAGGGAATCTTGCCGACGAATCCGATTGCTGTGGAGGCAGACTGCGCCTCTGTTGCACAAGGCACAGTAGACTTTAACATTCCGACGTCATTTGCAGAAGGATTCTCGTACGGCGAGCAATCACGAGCTCCCACGAGGGATCTAAATCTCTTGGTATGCCGATCAGAGACATGGCGCAGCGTCGTAGACGAGACAGGGCTTTTTTAATTGGCCGAATTCTGTGGAAGAGAGCACGGTGGTAATTGACTTTCAGAACTGATTGCTGCTTCGCCTTCTCGGTTGAGGCGGAGAGGCGATCCTTCCTTGGTATATAGAGAACAAAGGTCCCTCAGGCTTGCACTTCCTCGCCTCCCACATCCTCGCCTCCAATATCAACCCACGTCACGTTCGAGCCCACCATTGCGAATACTACACCAGTAATACGGACACCTTGAACGTCGACGTAATAAAAAACATACATCGGAACATCACACAGCAAAAATGAGGATTCCTCAGGCAGTATTGTTCCTGCTCGCGTTCGTCACAACTATCCATGCGCTCGCATTGCCCGCCTACCTCGAGTCATTTACCGAGTCTTCGAAAGAACTCTTCAAGCGCAAGGGCGGTGGAGGTGGAGGCGGTAGAGGAGGTGGAGGTGGTGGTCGCAGCTCTGGCGGATCTTCAAGCGGTTCTCGCGGAGGGTCGTCCGGAGGAGGATCATCAGGCGGTAGCAGTCGCACTTCCAACATCGGTGGCTCTACGAAAAGCGGCAGTGGAGTGCGGCCATCATACGGCGGGAGATATTATGGTGGCGGTGCCGCCGTGCCATACCAGGCTGGAAATCGATCTCCTCGTGGCGTCGCCCCGGCTCTGATCGGCGGTGGTGCTGTTCTGCTTTTGTTCCCTGCTCTCGCGTACGGCGCCTACTCTTACGGCTACCCTGGATACTACAACTACTACAACCGGACGAGCCAGACGAATGAGTCGCACCCTATGGACTGCTACTGCGGTCGTTACCAGGCCTGTGGATGCGAGCAGAACAATGAGACCGAGTACTTGAACTCCGTGGCGAACAACGCCAGCGTTGCAAAGCTGGTGAACGGCACGTTGATCGTCGACGGCACACTGGAGAACGGCACTACTGCTGCCGGAGGCGAGGGAGCTGCCAGCAGTCTGCAGCAAGGCTTGTACGGGATGTCAGGCATTTGGGTCGTGCTGGCGGGTGTCACTTACACCATGTGGTTCATGTGATTCACGCATGAGCAATTCTGCGGCTGCTTCTTCACGACTTTACGACACCAGACTAGGGAGATTGATACCCAACGTGTACAGATCACTGGAAGATGACCTCGAGAGATCACCATCATTATGTACAAATCGCTTCCATAATGTTATTTTCAACTGCCATTGAGATCAACGCTCACCACCTCACTGTGAACTTGAAACTTTGTACAAGCCAAAACATTTGGCATTGCGTTCTATCTCTGCATGCCATGCCGCGATTTATCCAGCGACATATATTAACACCTTCTAATACATTAAAGAACACCGTCGCTAATGTAGGGTATCGTGTGAAAGTTCATATCGTCCATCTAAGATTCCACGTTTCCGTCTGAATCAGAAGTTGTTGTAGGCACACTCGCACTGTGAGTCTGCGGGCTGTGCTGAGAGTCCAGCGGTAAGCGGGTCGCCATTCATGCCATCAGCAAAGGTATAGCACGCMGGGATGATGTCGTCTCCAATCTGGCCCCCATGGCTAGTCTGTGTGATCTCAATAGCGTACGGCCATTGAGTATCCTCACTGTCTGGGACGGTAATSCTGCTGTCTGGATATGTCCGCGACTCCGATAGATATAGAGTGCCTGTAAAAGTAGTTTCGTTGAAGTAACATCTTGACTGGGTGTCGGTTCCGCTAATATCGATCTCAGGAATGACAGATTTTGCCATTGTAAAACTAAAGGAAAGCCTCTCCGCGCTGGAGTTTGAGGCTGGGTTGAAGTAGGTGAGGGGTTCGTCGGAAAACACTATGCTCAATGGGTTGCTCGTTGCACTGATGGTAAGGTTGGCTGGGACGCCTGCGTCCGAAGTTGTGGCCGTTCCGTTTGCTGCGAAAATAGAAGATGTATTGGAGATGATCCAGAGGAAATCGGACATGCTGGCGTTGAAGCTGCTCGAGTCCTGAGGATTGTATGTTGTGTTGGGAGCACATGTCCATGTGTTAGGGTTTGACGTGCAGCCAGTGTTTATAGTCTTGAGTGCAGTTATCATGCTGTACTGTCCTAGGGGGAAGGAATTCGTTTCCGTGATGTTATCTGTTGTTGGCGCTGTCGTAGCTTCGTCCTCGCTACCAGCATTTCTATTCCGCCGTCGAACTGTGAGYCCCACACCAAGTCCCACCGCCAGCCCAATGATAACAAGAGCTACAAGACCAGCAATGAGACATGTTCGACCCCAGCCTCCCCAACTTCGCCGTCTGGGTTGGAATCCACCCGTCCGTCCAAAAGCCGCCAGCTTCTCGCCCTCTGCTGAACTATTTCTGGTGCCTTTGTCTCCAAATAAAGGATTCGGGACCCAGTCATATCCAGGTCGCAGCGTAGTCTCGCTCGGCCGCGCGTTCAGTGGCCAGGTAGATGAGGTTGCTGATTGCGGCGGTGGTCCACTGCTTGACGCACTCTCTCGCAGCGAGCTCTTAGGTGGAATCGGAGGCTTCAAAGGCGTTGGCACTTCGGGTTTATCGAGATCGGAAGGGGTCATTCTGTCCTGCAACCGCGGGGATGGAATGGCAGAGATGCGTTTGGTCGAACGTAGTGGAACTGTCTCCATCTTGTTTGATCCATCTGGACGTGCCTTCATCCTGGCCGACGAGTCGCGGACGGGAAATTTGATTATTCCCTTAGCATATAGCTGACGCGACTGTGCTATAGCTGCGAGTAGAGTTATATAACATGCTGCTAATGAAACACTTGTTGATAGGGATGTTGACAACGGCGTGCCCCTCGGGACTCTGTCGCCATAGGAAATAAGTTAATGGTGAAATAAGGAATGAGGGAAAGGCCCAATCATGGAACATGAAATGAGATGCACGAACTGATGAACGTGCGAGGCCCGTGCTCCGCAGCGGATTTGGACTCGCTATCACAATCGCTATGAGTTATTCATCATGCACGACATTCCGTACAGAATCTCGTTCTGCCGGGGTTTTCTCTGCGCTGATGCGACTTGTGAAGATGTCTCGCAATCGTCCTGATTGGCTGCTGGCCGAAGCAATACTCCTGTGTCAAATTCTGAGCTCAGAGCTGCACGAGTCGTGAGCCATTGGCCGCGATTTCATGCTGGATAATTCTCTCCAACGTATGGAATGGCWCTGGACCCATCGTCGACCGGTATGTCTGGGCAACGTCCGACATGTCCCAGAGATCGTACGCGTTCCGCATTGTTCGTGCGAAAAGTCAGATGCGACATGGCATTGGTTCTGGAAGAGCGTAGCTTGGTCATTATTGTGTGCTGCAGAGATGCATCAATATGTCTTGTGATTGGTAGTGGGGTGGGGAACGTAAAGCGGGAGCATGAAAACCGCTGTATTGTCCACGGGTGTTGTTGTCAAAGGAGAATTATTCAGGTCGAGTCCGCTGAGTCTGTTTCTGTTTCTGTTTCTGATTTTGGTTAGCGCGAAGCATTGGCCATAACGGCTGTGCCCGACTGCGGCTTTACTTTGTAGCTGCCATCCAAAGATTCCACGACTCGACAAGGAAAGGAGTCTCTGTCACTGCGCGTCGACACCGTTCGGCACAAKTGACTGATCCGGCGAAGAAGCAGTTTGCATGATCTCACATGCCAACTGGCACAATTCAAAGTGAAGCGTTAACAGCTCAGCTGTTTTGCGGCTTCCCTAGACTTCGACAAGCACATTAACACGACATCAACGAAGCTCTGCTAAGCTGTGAAGCAATCGCCAAGGCCTGTACCAAGTATCTTGCGGCTGCTTATCTCTGCGCTTCCTTCTCTCCCTCGGCCTCCTCAAGAACATGTCTCGAGCGAAGGTCACAGTGCCTATCGGGCCAGCCTCTGACGGCACTGGAGCCGTTCCTCAAGCGGCATCGCACTATCGCGATGACCAGTACTATCTGGACACGATCGCTGAGAGGTGGGYCAAGGAGCAGGGCCGTCATCAACCTGGCGTCACATACACTCTCTCAAATCTTCCCGCCGGCTATGCCGGGTACGCCAAGAACCGAGACAATCAAAAGCATATTGACCGATTTCTGTATGGTCACCCAAATGGTGTTTTCCGCTCGATACCCGAGCTCTATCCGCACTTTAAGACTCYGCAAGACAATAATAGCTCAGATGGGTGTCCTTGCAAGCTCTGCACAAAACCCGCGTCGAGGCCTAGTCGTAGTCCCGCTGGCACTCCTCGCGCGGCTGGTCGAGTTGCAAAGCCGAAGAAGCAGCGTCAAAACACAGGCATCCTCAAGTCGACCCTGGACTCGGCGAGTGACTCTCGTCAAAAGCAGGTTGATGATGAAGGTTGCGAGGATGTGTATCGCAAGCTGCTCGATCGACTAAAGGAAGTCGACCCAGCTAAAATCACGCAGAAATTCATCGACCAAGCCTCACCAGACTGGCGGGCCGGCCACGATATCGTTGAAGCTTTACTCAAAACCGTGAAACAGGCGCCCCGGTACGAGCCCCGTCTTGGTGAGTTGGTACTATTCGACCGAAGCGCTTCGGTGTCTGAAGGAATGGCATGGCATCCAAACTCACAACGGCTTCGAAAATTCGATATCACTTCTCGTACCTGGCTGGGAATTCCTCAATGGGAAGCGGGTGTAGTGACACAGATTCCGGTTGAGTCAGTGTCAGCAGCAGATCTGAACCAGGTGTCGGGAGCAAAGACGCAGGGAGTCACATTTTTTGGGTACAGAGTGGAATCATTGACGCCACTGAGCACGAAGGAGAAACCCATCGCTTCACAACACAAGTATGCACCTTTACATGCCATACGCCCATTCTCGTTTTGGAAAGACTGCCTCGAGGACCCATCGAAGGCTCATCCGACCATCACGCATGCTATGAAGGTCGCGAACTCGTTTTGCATCATCGGGAAACAGACATTCGAAGGGCAGTGGCCAGAGGCGACACTATTCGTGCAGGGCGTTTATATTGGACCAGAATTGATTCTGGATAGCGACGTGGTCCGTCTGCTCCCCGATGCAGGGCATAGCCAGATCACGGACGTCCTAGCCATCTCCTCCATCCGACTCCGCTTCGTCAATCTGGAGGAGGCGAGTGACGATGACTATGATGACGATCATCCATATCACGTCTGCCTTCACGTCAGTGGGAAAGCCTTCAGCTTGGACCCGAAGAGAAGTTTCCAAGGTGGACCGCCAATTTTGCCTGGGACCCACGGCCTTCCAAAAAACCTCGAAAAGTACGGCAAGTGGTATTCAATTCTTGACCTTTCAAAGCCGAAGGCAAGGTTAGAGGTGCCGTTCTCCAAAATCGTTGGCAAGTGCTTCGAAGATACGGCCATGGAGGCATGGTGGTCCTCTTGGGCTGTCGATGCAGAAACAGGCAACAGCAAGGCGAAACCTGTCGATCTATCTCAGGGTCTCGGTACCATGCAAGAGGCCCGTATAATCAGCACCCAGAGTGATCCTCGCATTGACAAGGCCAATGGAAAGTCGTGGTTCTGGGCCGAGTCTCGCATCGAACAACTGGATCTCCATGAGGTCAATGATCGCTTCGTAGGCGTGAGGGATGATGAGCGCGACAGAGAACAGATGCGCACGTGGCGACTGGCCCTGCGCATTCTGGACGGAAAGAAGACGAGTTTTGATGCCATGTATGAGATGCGTAAGGAGCGCCAGGAACAGGAACAAAAGGCCGTTGAGAATAATGCTGCTTTCGGGATGATGGGCGGCGCTGTTCAGCGATATAGTGGCAGTGGCGAGGATGTGGACATGGAGGGATTGCAGCTAGGAGACGGGGGTGAGCACGAACACCATGACAGTGACGTCGCCGAGATGCAAGGTGGAGACCCTCGCGCAAACACTTTCCAGAGCGGCGAGGAAGCAGTCGAGACGGGGTACGACTCAGATGTGCAAGAGCTGCCGCTGCCTCTGAAAGCTACCGGGCAAGATGTCATTGATGTGTCGTCCGACGAGGATGAGCTGATGGCGTTTTGAGGCTGGAGCAAATGCGCTTAACAGTCCAGCATCTTCGCCAAGCAAGAAAGCAAAGCGCGAAGAGTTCTTGTGCATGAGGCAGGCAGGCCATCAAGCCGGTGGTCTTTGAGAAGCTTGCTAGAAGTGTCGCAAGGATCGTCTTCGCAGCAGACAAGGCAATACGTATTAGATCATCATAGCATTTTGCTATCTTTACCTCGTACCGAGTCTTCTGGCAGAGTGAAAACTTGAAAGAAAACACGAGGCGGTTGAGAACATGTGAAGTTGAAACTGATCATTCTTTTCGGCGCTACATGGGCACGTGCACCGCATCGACCTTTCATCGGCTTCGACTGGCTAATACTCCCACGGCAGCTCGGGGAGCAAAACCAGCGATCCTCGTATCGAGACATCATCGTGCCGTTTTCCAACCTTCATCATCCTTTCGTAACCACACTTAAACGAGTGAACATTTAAGCGCGGGACATGACACCCCAGGCACGGATCTTGTTGTCGGTGTAACCGGCGAACAGGGTCTGACCGTCGGCAGACCAGGCGAGGGAGACACACTCTGGCTCGCGGGCCTTGCCACCGCCCTCCATGAAGTCTGGGCGAAGCTCATCAACCTTGCTCTTCTTCTCGAGGTCGAAGATGACAATCTCCTTGGCGGTGGCAGCGCACAGCCAGTAGCGGTTGGGCGAGAAGACAAGGGCGTGGATCTCGTCACCAGCGGAGAGCGAGTAGAGGTGCTTGGACTCGTTCAGGTCCCAGAGCATGGTGGTACCGTCCTTGCCACCGGAGGCGCAGAGGGAGCCATCAGGAGATATGGTGACGGTGTTGATGTATCCGGTGTGGCCGACGTGGTCGGTCTGCAGGCGGCAGGTGGAGAGCTCCCAAACCTAGTATGAAGTCAGCAATGCTCTGTCCGTGCTTGTCTGACAAAGAGGTGAAGGTGTAGGCAAGGATCAGTGCGCCGGTGAAGGCAAAGTTATGTTTCATAGCCCTAGATGGGGGCTCTAAAGTAGCAAATACTTGATTGTAGCATCATGTGAGGGAGACGTGAAGAGGCTGAGAGGAGAGGGAGATGCCTACCTTGACGAACTTGTCCCAGCCGGCGGAGACGATGACGGGGTTCTGTGGGTTGGGCGAGAAGCGCACGCACGAGACCCACTCGGTGTGGCCCTTGTCGGTGATGGTGTACTTGCAGTCACCGAGGGTGTTCCACAGCTTGATGGTGCGGTCGCGCGAGCCGGAGACAATCTGGCGGTTGTCGGCGGAGAAGGAGACGGACAGGACGTCGTTGGTGTGGCCGACGAAGCGGCGGGTGGTCTGACCGGTGGACAGCTCCCACAGGCGCAGAGTCTTGTCCCAAGACGAGGACAGAGCGTAGGCGCCGTCGGACGAGATCACACAGTCGGAAACAATGTGCGAGTGTCCGTGCAGAGAGCGCTTAGGGTATCCGTAGGACTCGTCACCGCGGGTCAAGTCCCAGATGATGAGGGTCTTGTCGCGCGAGGCGGAGAGGAGCATGTTGGGGCTGGAGAGTGGTTTTAGTACGCATTGGAGATGCTAGGACACCGTGAGGGTGCGTACTTCTCGAGGGAGGTCGCGAGGGACGTGACCCAGCCAGAGTGGCCCTCAAGGGTGCCGCGGAGTACGAGTTGTTCAGCCATGTTTGCGATGAGAAGATTCGGATGGTGATGGGGAGTAAAGAAGTGAGGTCGTCGAATGCAGATATTCTCAAGTGCGACGGGAACTTTTCGGCAGGGCGGCACTGCCTAGCGCAAACCTTAATTGTGCTGATCTTCCCGTCGATGTTCTGGCAAGGCAAACAAGCAGGGCACCAAAGTCGCAAGAACATGAATATAGTTATGATTGAGGACGATGATCGCTGTAGGCAACATTCAGATTCGCTAATTATGCTCAAGCTTCAGCAGGAGCGCATGCAATTTTTGATTGGCAAGAAGCGGATCTCGATATTTGTATCTCAAGATACAATGTTATCTAGACACACGTGCTCCAACAGCTCCTCTAAGTCCTCGCCAAGGCCTCACAACTCCCCTTGTCTCTCAGTCTCGTCTTTTGYCKGTCTTCTGCGCATAAATCGCGGCCATATCGCATCTCCCCGTTTCTGCCCCGGGTACTGTAGCAGGATAGCATTGGTTCTCCAACGCATAGACGCGGAGTCTAAACTGAAACTTGTGCTCCGTCGATTGTGCTTGGGGCGTCCATCAACACACTAGTCCTGGATACATGTTCCTGCTGGGGACTGACAGCAACGGAGCACATGCATTTGTGTGCGGACCCTCAGCGGTAGTGGTATTGGCTTGCTGCAGGTGGACACTAATGACCTGGCGGACCGCCGTAACCACCACTAGGACGAGGAGGGAACTGATGTTGACCTGGACCCGGGCTTGGGCCAGGGGGAAATCCCGGAGGCATACCAGGAGGCGGAAAAGGCATTCCTCCAGGTGGTGAGCCCGCATGTCCAGGAGCTCCGTTCGGTGGAAAAGCTGGCATACCAGGAGGGGCAAAACCTGGGGGAAAGCCTGCAGGAGGCGCAGGGAAACCGGGAGGTAGCGGTGGCATTCCTCGCCCACCCATCATTGGTGGAAAGCCCGGAGGCATTGGGGGCATCCCTGGTCAATAGTCAGTATCCATTGTTCGCTGTTGAATCCTACACCATCAACGCACCCGGGGGCATCGCACCCGCCATACCCGGCATGGGAGGGAAACCCGGTGGCATGCCATTTGGTGGAGGAAATGGAGCGCTGCCAGGAGCACCAAAATTTAGGCCTGGAGCACTTGGCATAGCTTGTCCTTCTGCTGCATAGCTATTTGTGATCCCATCTATTACTGCTTGCGCCTTTTCGTGTCCGATCGCCTGGTAGTATTCCACAACGTTGCGCAAGTGGTTGCGACCGCTGTTGTGAGCTTTACGGACGCTCATCGAATCGTGGGTGAGGTAGACATCGCAGTAGTCGCAGAAGAACTTCGGCATGGTGTAGCCCTCGTCTCGGAAACTGGTGATTCTCAAACGATGTCGTGGATGGTTGTCGGCTTGAGTAGGGCTGTGATGCGATAGGATGAAAGTGAGAGTTGACCTGTGGAGTCGAGAGAGTGAAGAGTAGGGCTAGGGCACGTGAATTCGCGATTTAGGGCGATCTTTCCCGCTGCGCGTGGACAAACTTGAACTTGAACTCTGACCAACTTTGTGGTCACAAAACAAACAAGACACGGATCGCGACGGATCGAAACATCTCCGTCTGCTGTCGAGATGCCAGATTCAGAGACTGCTTCAACAGCGCGTTGAAGAAAGACTCCCAACGATGGCGAACTACCCACCACAGAACAGCGTTTGGTCCGCCATGGACTACAAACCCCCACGAGGCCGATGCAACCATAAGAACTCCATCATATCTTCATGTCCCTGCCTCAGATTCATGTTGCATCCAGTGAAGGTACTATATATGCAGGAAGCCATACATTCCTCCAGCTGACGGTAACGACACTAGGCGGCCACCAGCTTTGACTGCGACGGTTGTGGTCATCACGCATCGTTTCATTCTCTGGAGAATCTCTCGGAAGATGCTGTTCTCAAGAAATGGTCCGAGCAAGAGGCAGCGAATCCTCCAACCTCGTCTGGTGCTACCAAAAAGCGACGCCGGATTGCAGACAAGCCTACAGAGAGCGTTGAATTGCTCGAGCTGACGGAAGACGATCCGGATGTTGCGGCGTCTTTTACGACTCGACCGCGAGCTACCAGGAAGCGGGCAACTGCAACCACCTCCTCCCAGGCGAACTGACAGGAGAGAGAATGAAGACTGCTGCCAAGAAATGAAGGCAACATTCGAACGTGTTGCGAAGCCTGAACACGATAGAATCAATAACATCTTCTACACTGCTGGCCGTCGAACTCTTCTAGAGGCACTGCGGTGGTCTATGGTTTCTTCGAGACTGTCTCTCCAACCGCGCATCATCGATTGTAAGGGAAGAGGCACATTTGATTAGCCATTGCGAATGCAGATCACGCTCACAATTGGCAGAAGAGTAATGGACTACTACTGCCACAAGGAGTCCGACGGATTGGTCTGCGGACAAGTCTGGGCCCTTCATGGAACTGCATATGAGCGAACCTAAGTCCTTTGAACTTGCCGCAAGAACCGCCCCACCCGTRGAGGACGCGTGTCCGCGGAGTGGTGAGTGCCACTGGTCATGCCACCGGGAGTGGCACCAGATGTGGTTCATATGGATCGGCTCGGTTACTCGGTAGAAGCTTCAGTCTTTAACAGCCTGATGCTGGTTGCAAACAATTGCTGCCAATGTGCGGTGGAATTGAAGCTTATCGCCTGCCCGCTGGGGATGAAGACGCCTTTTCTCCCGACAATAGCAAAGACATGGCCAGGAGAATTTCTTTCGATGGGACGCTTGACTCTCCGCAAGACTGCTTACTCTTATCATCTTACCTACCCACTCGCGAGCGTTRTCATCGATCCACTGCCAGGAGAGGCGGCGCACTACAAATCCCCCATCTCTCGTGTTTCTTCCCTGCTGCTATGTGCTAGCGTTAAATCCTTCACGCTCAAGCGCCAACTTGCCAAGGTTTAGGAGAAAGCGACAAATGTTCCGCTTGATCGCCCGGTACGCTAGGCCCGGCCCCTCGCGCCTCATGAGTGAATCTCTTCTGTGGTCAAAGATGACCTTTCCATAACTTGTCAACCCACGAAACGTTGTTTGATCGCAAGCAATCCCAGAGCAAAGCTGGAGCTGTTTTTCATCGGGTGCGGCGGATGCCACTCGGCATTGTCGTCTTGCCTATGCCACATGGCCGAGCTTCAGGATATATATATGGGATGCCTCGTATGTCGAACTCTACACGGTTTGTTCAAATCTCATTCCCAAGCCTCGTATCTCAGTATGCGCACCTGTTTGATTGTTGCCGCACTTCTGGCGGAGGCTTTGGCAGCCCCGCGGAGACCACGCCCAGAGGGTGGTATCGTGCATCGGCGACAAGAGGGCAGCGACCAAGAGCCCCCAGAGTTCGCCATACTCGACACACCTACCAGATTGCCTTTCGGCCCTACTAATGCACGCGGCTCCTTGCGTGGTCCGACTGGTTTAGCAGGCTACAATCCAAGCAATACAGTGGACAAAGAGCTTCCCGCCTACATCCCCGCAGATCAAGTTCACCTTGTGACGAACCAGGAAGCCGATACTGATCTTGGTCTATATCTTGATCTCACTGAGGTTGACGTTCCCCAGCCTATTCGTGGTGGTGACAAGAAAGCGCCAACTGACCCTGGTCCACGGAACATCGAGCTCGAGAAGCAGAACAGCGATCTGTACGCACCTCCCGGAACCGACAGTGGCGACGTCCCCAATGCCAAGTGGCCCTTGGGCCTGTCACACAATCGACACGGGAAGAATAGCGCTGGCTGGGCACGACAGCAAAACGTAGATCAGCTGCCTATTGCAACTCAGATGGCAGGTGTGGACATGTATCTAGCGCCGCATGCCTACCGTGAGCTCCATTGGTATGTTTGATGAAAGCTTTTGACCTGCAGACATGAACTGACATGCGGGATCTCCTCTAGGCATCAAACCAACGAGTGGTCGCTGATTTTAAATGGCTCCGTCCGCGTGACTGCTGTTAACGAGGCCGGCGAGACTTTCGTGGACGATCTTCAGCAAGGCGACGTCTGGTTCTTCCCAGCAGGCGTGCCTCATTCCATCCAAGTATTCGATGAAGGCGTCGAATTTCTGCTCGTTTTTGACAGCGGTGAATTCAGCGAAGATGGAACCTTCTTAGTCTCCGAGCTGTTCGAACGAAACCCCAAGTCGGTACTCGCAAAGGATCTCAGAGTGGATACCTCCGCGCTAGACAAGATTCCAGAAGGTCAACTCTATATCTTCAACGGCACGCCSGCACCCAAGAACATTTCCGAATCGAACGTGACAGGTCCAGCAGGTAGCATTCCCCTGGATCGCACCTACTCGTACCACTTCTCGCAACAGGAACCATATGAAGTTGATGGTGGGACCATCAAGATCTTAGACAGTAATACATTTCCCATCGCGAAAGATTTTGCTGCAGCTCTGTTCACCGTTAAGCCAGGCGCCATGAGAGAGCTTCATTGGCACACGACCTCTGACGAATGGGATTACTTCATAGCAGGTCAGGGGCGACTCACTGTCTTCTCGGCACCCCAAAGTTCAAGGACTTTTGACTTTCAAGCTGGAGATACTGGTTACGTGCCCGCAGTCGCAGCTCACTACCTCGAAAACACTGGAACTACTGATCTAGTATACCTGGAGGTTCTACAAGCGCCCACGTACAACGATATTTCAGTCGCACAGTGGCTTGGATTAACGCCCAAGCAGATTGTTAAGGATCATCTTGGTTTCTCTGACGATACTCTTAATCGTCTACCAAAGATCAAGCCGTGAGTCTCCCTACCTCATTTTGTTGCTACATTGCTAACTGCCGAGCAGATTCATCGTACCTGGCAATAAAAACTTGTCAACTACCAACTTTACAGAGGAGGCAGAGTAAGAGATGGGGGAGGGCATTGTCTCTAGCGGTACGGTTTGTTTTATCTAGAGATCTAGTAGTGTAGTAGTAATTCTCAGGTTTCCAGACTTTTCATGTCGACACGTGCCATCTCTCATTGCTATCCTGTTTGTGCATCTTCACACTCGTGAGTGCTCTCTCCTATCTAGCTTGAAGACCATTCTCAAGAAGCTYCACAAGCTCGTCAAGTCTGCTGATCACGACGTCGGTCCTCGCATCGGTTTCCAGATCCTCCTTTCCTTCGCTTCTCAACAACACAGTAACGCAGCCAGCATCCCGCCCAGCCGCCATATCATCGACGGAATCACCAACCATCAGCACAGGAATTGGACGTTCCTTGGCGGGCGTGTCAGGAACAGAGGCACTTTCCACGACATTCCAGGCGTGAGCTATGTGCAATATGCCATGAGGAGATGGCTTTGCAGGCTTGAACTCTCTCGTGATGATAGGAGCAAACGCATTGAGGTGTTTTGGAATGTGATTCTCCAGGAAATGATTCACGGGCGAGCTGTATAGCGAATCGTGTCAGCAGTGGGCATTTCGAACCGGACCAAGTTCCTGCTCACTCAAAATTTCTCGTGCAGATTGCCTTGAGAATGTTGTTGCRATCGAGATACTCCATAAGGGTAATGAGTCCAGGTTGTGGTTTCTGTTTCACCATGGCGTTGCTTTYAATGTCTTGGATTTTGGTGAAAGCTTCCTTCTGCTCTTGTTCTGGGAGTGAATGCATATGCTCAAGGATGTCAATCCCACTGTCAATTTTGAGAGCGTCTCTCATCTCCTTGAACATGTAATTCTGTGGTTCGCCTTCATTCGTGGTTAGTATTATTGGCTATACCATGTTTACTCCGGAGAGCTCGGCGCATCGTACATAGCGTGCCATCCATATCAAACACAACACCCTTGAGCTGCTCGCCGGATCCAGCTCCATTCAAACGGGAACTTCCAAGCGGCGCGAAGCTCCGAGCTGCCTTTGAGCTCATCGTGGCGGTGAAATAGACTGTCGGAATAGCAGGCTTCAAACTTTGTTTCAAGCCAAAGGAAATCCCAGTCAGGCGACTACGACCTAGGCGAGGACAGCCGATCGGCATGGGATGGCAAAGAAAGCTGAAGTTTGCGAATGTTGTGAACGTTGTGAAGATGGTGTTCAGGTTTCAAAGTTATGCAGAGACGAAATTCCCGAGCCTGATTCACTCAGGGTTTGCTTCCTCCAGTTTTGGCACACAAACGACGCCAGCGATCCTCGTAAGAAGTCATACCGCTGAAGTCGGCTAGCATCGTTCAAAGTACGTGATGTGATTTGATCATCATGCTGGGATCATGCTTGCTGGTGTCTTACCTATCTCGCGCAATGCGAGCCGAAATGCCCGAGGCGTCAACATTTGAACATACTATATAAACCCATCGCCTAGATACTGTAGTGCCGCAACTACTTCCACTACAAAGGAAGTGAAATGGCACCCCTTCGTGTTGGTATAATTGGTGCGACGGGCGAAACGGGCAGCTCAATTACCAATGGTCTCTTGGAAAATGGCTCCTTTGTACGCCTGCATATTCCCGTCCTCGTTGCTTCTATACATCTCTAACACCAAGCAGGAAATCATTGCATTGACCCGCCCAGAGTCTTTGGAGAAGCCGGCCAACAAAGCATATAAGGAGCGCGGTGTCATTCTCCGCCCATTCAAACTCGATGGTACGCACCGAGAGCTCCTCGCTGGGCTCTCCGACATCGAAGTCCTCATCGCAGCTTTCACGGCGATGCCCGGCCAGCTATTGCAGCAAATTCCCCTCGCAAAGGCCGCCAAGGCAGCTGGTGTCAAACGCTTCCTCCCTTGTGCGTGGAGAACCGTCTTGCCGCCGACAGAAATTCACATGTTGCGTGAAACCGACGAGCAAATCCTCAAGGTGGTCAAAGAAATCGAGCTGCCTTGTGAGTAACAACAGGATCGACAGCTTCGGGAAATGTGCTGAAAGTAGAGTGTAGACACATACGTCGATGTAGGCTCCTGGTATCAGCTCAGCGTCMCAGAACTACCAAGCGGCAAGACTTCTTACCTAGGACTGGGCATGGGAAATCAAATCCCCGGTGATGGCAACGTTCCCACGGCGCTCACAGACCTGGCAGATGTCGGCCGATATGTCGCCAGGATCATCGTAGATGACCGCACGTTGAACCAGTTTGTCTTCGTCTACAACGAGATCTGGACCACGAACCAGATCTACGATTATCTCGAGCAGGCATCGGGGGAGAAGATCGATAATCGGATCTATCTCACCGAGGAGCAACTTCGTGCTCAGATTGCCAGCGTTCCGGCCGACCCTCAAGCTTCCCTTCAAAGCCTGGCTGGCAAGATCATCGCGCAGTATGGACTCAGCTGGGGAATCCGCGGTGACAATACACCCGAGTATGCCAAATCACAAGGGTACTTGGTGAGCAAAGAGTTGTATCCGGATTTCACGGATTTCAGGTCTTTCAAGGAGTACGTCGACACCGCCTTGGAAGGCAAGGCGGCGGGTGTCTATGCCGAGCTCAAGGCGTTCCTCGCTGCTGGGGCTGCGAAACCGTGAAAATCTGCGGTGGTGTGAAGACGACAACAGCAAATGTTAGACAGCGAGCATAGCCGGCTTGAGGATCAAATGCCGTTGTATTCCATCTTCAACATTTCCTCTGTTCCGAGATTGACAAGTCCTTCAAACACGAGGGAAGACGTGAACTTACCATTCCAAACACTCTGTTGCCAACCATGTCGTTTCTGGTGTGATATGGTTTGCACTACCACTACCACTACAGTTCCATTCCAGTTCCATTCCAAAGCAGTGGTATCATCTCAAGGAGTACAGACGCAAGCGCCTCATAGTATTACATTTTGTGGGTGTCCGCTGTGTTGTGACTATCTCCCATTTATTCCTTTGCCCATAACGCCGTCACAGAGTCAGCCGACCAGCTCTGCACTGCTATCGTTCTTGCACTTCCGGTGCCGTGTTGAGAAACGATAACCTCATGCGGTGTAGCTGGAGCACAGTCAGCAAGACGAAGCAGAAATCATAATGGTGAGTGAGCGAACGTACCRCCGGTAATTTCGGTACCACGACGGCTAGTGTTGCTATGAAGTTGATCATGAAGTAGGCCAGGTCGTAATGAGTGTAGTGCGTGCTGATCAAGAACAAACATATCGGTACGGCGAGTAAGAACTTCTTCGCGGGGGTGTACTGTTCTTCGTTGTCGATTTGCTCCCACATGTTGAGATTGTCGTACGCTCCGGCGTTGAACTCGAAAGGAATGCCGCGTACCCAATGAAACATGAGGTAGGACCCAAACATGTATGTGATGTTGACCAGCGTCCACGACGTCTCCTGTGAGATGGAGGGAACGATGTCATAGACGATCTTGAGCAGCAGGATGAGAATAGGATGGATCATCCATGCGCCTGATGTGCCATGTTAGTATTATCCTCTCCCGCGCTTCCTGCTTGCCCTTCTTCCTACGGCACTCGTCGGTGGGCCATCCCTCCCGTTGCCATGCTTGCACTCACCTTTGGCGTTGACCCACTGCGAGTTCAAGTTGGGCAGGATAGCTTGGTCACTCTGCTGTTCGAGACTCTCCGGCGGCTCCTGATACATCAGACTGCTGCTACGCCGCCGCCGCCTGTTCTCCTTGAACTTTTCGTTTGTGCTCATTCTGTCGGCTGATTGCACCTCTAGGTGCGGCGCGGGATTCACCTTGTCGGCAAAGGTGATGCCGCCACGCTGCAGGATGGTGTGGGAAGACAGCTTGGCGGTGTTGTCGTCGGAGCGCGTTCGATTGGGTTGTGGATGCGGGTGAGAGGGTAAGAATAGGATGGCCAGCGTGGCGAGGTGCACAACCTTTTGTGCTGTTCCGGGCGGGACCAGTATCCAGTAAATCGGAGTCAGAGCGGTGCAGAGAGATACCCGCGTGGTGTAATTTGGGCCGGGCGTATGTGTATGTACCTTATGCAAGATGACCGAAAGGCTTCGTTGTCAGGATTGAGATGTTGAAGGCCGCGACTGCTTACCTTCGAAGATTCAGGGTCTAGAATTGGCCAGCGGGAACTAGTGCCTAGAGTGGAGTAGCCCTGCCTACATTATTTACCTTACGATTATTATCGCAGTCGGACTTTTAACAGAACAACAATACCACCACTCCCTTCACTAATAGGGGAACAACATCGCAAGACTTCAACATTCAACATGTCAGACTCAGAGCACGACTCGCGAGCTCTCGCGGTGGGAAGAAAGCGAAACAGAGGTAAGTCCGATCTCCATTCGAGTACGGCRGACAGAGCATCCGGCGGCCAAGGCGGTGGTAGCAAAGGCGACGGCAGCACGAAGACGACGTCCCGACGCTCTAGCTTGGAGTCGGGTGAGATCGACTCGTCTGGCGAGAGTCGCGCTCCAAGCCCGGAGGTTTACGATAAGTACGGCCCCGACTTCATTAAAATCGACTTTCAAATTCCCAAGCGCCGCCGTCTCACGGCGAGCACAATCGGCTCTGTATTCGACGACCACAGCAGACCGATCGAAGCTGTGTCTGTGGCGGAGAGCAGCGAGGCGGGCGACACGCCCCAAGAGCCTCACGCAATGGCAAGCAGCACCACCATGGAGGGCACTCGTCTTTGCGAGCTTTCACACAAGGAGCTGGTTGAGCAAGAGCTCTACTTTGACCTGGATGCGGACAAGTATCCAGATGACCTTGTATACTGTCTCTGCTGCGGTGGGCGGGGCCACATGCAGTMCACGTGCAGCGAATCCACCTGTGAGCACTGCGGAGCAAAGGAAGAACACGCCTCTTATGCGTGCCCAAGTTTCCGGAAGTGCAGACTTTGCAGACAGCGAGGCCACGATGCGAGTGAATGCACCAATCCGGCCAGCCGCGTGAGCGATGATCCATGCGACATATGCCACCAAGTGGGTCACGTCGAGGAGGAATGCACACATCTGTGGTTTACCAGTCTCCATGCCGATCCCACGAACAAGGTCATGAAAATCCTCGACAAGGACATGACTCGAGCATGCTATAGCTGCGGGTCCAACTACCACTGGGGCGACGACTGCTTGCACAGCGACCATGACATGCCTCGCAGCTTGATTAAGACGTGGAGCAAGGAGTTTGCCACTCAATTTTTGATTGAGCATGAAAGCCACGTCGAGAATGTCGACGAGCCCAGCAGCGACAAAGAAAAGCAGCAGCAGCTTCAACCTGCGCGCATGTGGTGAGTGTCCAAGCGTGAGTAACGTCGTGAGTGAAGCTGACACAAGTTTGTTCAGGCAATTCTCAATGTTCGAAGATGGAAGAGATTGATTGACGACGGTTCTACACCAAGGACGAAAGCTGCGGTACAGATGCTGTCTTGCATCAACATTCGACGGAGCTGTGGAGCATGCATTCAATCATGCATAGCAGGGTGTCAGCTGCATCGGCATAGAACTTCATTGCAACCTAAGCAGAGTAAGGCAGACGATCAGAGCAAGGCTTAGGCGATGTAGGCGATGAAAGAGCTGTAGACCTTTGGCATGCACGAAAAAATTGTACATAGTTTACATTGATGTACACGTCCCGCTCTGACCGCATTAAGTCGTCGGGAAAAAATTCACAAAGCTCACCCTCCTCTCTGAGAGGCTCCAGGTGTCCATGTTCCTGGCTGCCAGCCCTCACTCGGCCCTCCTTTGGGCGCACTCTTCTCCCACGGGGCTTCCTCCCGTGCTCTTCTCTCCCTTCCATCTCCCTTGAATCTGACTTCATTCGTGGGCTTGCCTTCGGCAGCCGCCGCCACCGCTTCTTGGTCATCAACCGCGCTGCGGACACCTTGCTTCTCCAACGGCTCCGTCTGTGGAGCATTTGCGCCAGGATCCAGCACGCCAATCGCAGGCTGGGGCTGTTGTCGCTTCGGCGCGTCGAGGAAGCTGGGTATACTGTTCCACCTCTCATCGGCCTCGGCTGCGAGCTGCTTCATCCTTTCCTGTCGGGCAATCTCATACTGCTGCTCTGCAATGCTGGGAGGCTCTTCGCGGGTGTGGCGAAGCCACTGGTGCCATTGTGCTGTTCCATCATCAACACTTTATCCCGATACCATCTTGAATTGTTAACACCCACGCGAGATCTTCACATCGGCGTAATGCGTTTGTCTGCCTCCTGTGTGCTTTACAATTCTCCGCCACCGATTCTGTCGAATTGCATCCTTGAACTCCCAGAATGTGTTTCCAGAAAGATCAGCGCCAACCAAGAATTGTCGTCGCCAAAAGAAGCGTATGCTCTTCCATTTGTTCCAGAGTCGACTGGTCAGTCGAGGGGGCGCAGGAGGAGGCATGTCACAGACGTGATGTTGCTGCTGGGGTCATCATCACATGCGAGATGTGCCCATAAGACAGGCGATGACGTAGAAAAACCTTGATTTGTCCCCCCACTCCAACACTTCCAGGCGGAGCGGCGGACAAACGTACTGTACCTCATCAACCACTTTTGCTCGACTTTCACCTAGCAAACCCTCACTCATCAAGGTCATCGAAATGGCGGACGAAGAACTGGACCCCAGCTTGCAGGCCATCGTCGACCAAAAGTCGCTGAAATGGATATTCGTGGGCGGCAAGGGCGGTGTGGGCAAGACGACAACATCATGCTCGTTGGCGGTGCAAATGGCCCGCGCCCGCAAGAGCGTCCTACTAATCTCAACGGATCCTGCGCATAATCTCTCGGATGCCTTTGGCGTCAAATTTGGCAAAGATGCGCGGCCGGTGCCCGGTGTCGAGGGCCTAGCAGCGATGGAGATTGATCCGAACGGCAGCATCAACGACCTGATCAAGGCAGGAGGTGATGATGCTGAGGAGGCTATGGCGGGTTTGGGAGGCGTGGGTAGCATGTTCCAGGACATGGCTTTCTCCATCCCCGGAGTGGACGAGGCGATGAGTTTCGCCGAGGTGCTCAAGCAAGTCAAGGGCATGGAATACGAGCTCATCATCTTCGACACAGCACCAACTGGACACACCCTGCGGTTCTTGCAGTTCCCTACCGTGCTGGAGAAGGCACTGGGCAAGCTCAGCCAGCTCAGCCAACAATTCGGACCCATGATTAACAATTTGATCGGAGCTCGTGGCGGACTTCCAAATGGCCAGTCCTTTGACGACGTACTGAAGCGGATGAACGATCTGCAGGACACCATCAGCGACGTGAACAAGCAGTTCAAGAACCCGGACCTCACGACATTCGTGCCCGTGCTGATTCCAGAATTCTTGTCACTGTATGAGACTGAGCGCATGATTCAAGAGCTTGGAACGTATGAGATTGATACGCACGCCATGGTTGTCAACCAGTTACTGTTCCCAAAGAAGGACAATCCATGCGAGCAGTGCAATTCGAGACGGAAGATGCAGAAGAAGTATCTCGAGCAGATCGATGATCTATATGGAGAGGACTTCCATGTGGTCAAGATGCCCCTGTTGGTGGATGAGGTCAGGGGCGTGGAAAGCATTTCCAAGTGAGTTGCCTGATATTCAGTTCGTTGTTCACCAGACTTACATAATTCCAGATTCAGTGAGATGCTTGTCAAGCCTTACGTCCCACCGGTCTAAAGGGCGGGTTGGACAACCCCCTTGGGATATAGCATTACAGGGCTAGGTTTCATGTTGTGAGCGTTTGCGAGCTGATTATACGTAGGTGAGGTTTTACAACCGTACCAAATCCAAGCGGAAGTTGACGGAGCCATTTGACACAGTAACGATCATGAACTGAACGACGGAAGCCGAAATACCATTCATGTTGAAATTTCCTGACTCCCACCTCTATGTACCACACCCCTCTATAAGTATTCCATATGCTGATATCGGTAATCGACGACTGCGCCGGCCGGTAAGTAGATCTTCCTAAATTTGGCTGCGAGAAAAGAACGGGTATCTCTTGAACTCCAAACCGAAAAACGACAAAACTGTGCGATCATCTCTTCGCAGCCCATGACCTCTTAACTTCCAAAGTCGGCATTCTGCTGGAAGTGAATTCCTCAGCAGGCCATCCCTGGCTTGTGGTGCCCTTATCAACGACATCTCCTGCCATCACGAGGGTGTGCTCCAGCAAACACGTGTCCTCCTCCATTGTCGCGCTGGAAAGCAGTCTTGACCCACTTCGCAGTACGCTGCGCGATCCTACGAACAGAGGGTTGAGATCAAACTTGCCTCTGGTGTTGATGTGCGCGACCAGCGACGCATCATCAACAGCCACACGGTCACCCAAGGTCAAGAGATCCGGCTCCGTGAACATGAGCGAGGGTGCACCGCCTGCGAACAGCGCGCAATCTTTTCCGATGTTGGCACCGAGAGCGCGGAAGTACAGGACCAGCCAGTGGGTTCCTRTCAGCATGCCGAGGATACCGTTTCCGCCATAGCAATGGCGGCGAAAGGTCTCGAACTTGAGGAAAAGTTGCCAGCGTTGGCAGTAAGGCGATCTAATAGAAGGTCAGTCTGCTGCAAGGTGAGAATGGAGAACGGATCAATGCTTACTTGTCCCAATCATAATTGCCAGCTTGGCGACGGCCCATTAGGATCCACTTCATGGCAACAGTCGCCACCAGGACGGCAATAGTCTGAAGTGCCATGATGCCAACGATGAGTGCGGTGAAGAAGATGTACAGCGATAGTGGCCGGTACCACACGTCTGATAAAAAGGCTTGGGTAAGCGCATGGTGGTCGCGGTAGAGTCGAGCGACGATTTGGACAGCTGATACGCTGCCAACATTCCAGAACAGCCCGCTGAGAACGGCGATAAGGGTCGAGTAGAAGAATATCTCAAACTGTCCCCATACGCGGTAAGAGACCTTGCCTTCGTAGAATGCGCGACCGAAAGGCGAGGACGATTCCGGCTCACTTGACGGTCCCAACGGCACTTGGGATACTACGACGCCTTCTTTGCCGCCGTTCAAGCTGGACGCTTCCGAGTCGAGATGCTTGGCAAAGCTTGTAGTGGTGGAGTTCATGGAGGACATGTTGGAGAACGGGTTCTTAATGTCCCCGGTTACCTTCTCGCCATACGTGTCAGGCACATCGGCAGAGAGGCACACAGCCTCGTTCTTCTTGCTTCCCACCCAGGTGGTACCAGCAGCATAGCCGGTGCTTCGTTTGGTCAACGCTCCGCTGCCCATGACTGTCTTCTCACCAAGCTCCACTCCGGGAAGGAGGACCACCCGATCGGCGACCATTGCTCCGGACTTTACGCGGACGTAATCACTGCCAGTACCGTCTGATGTTACCATGTGCGAGCGAGAGCCGAAGACAACATCGTCGCCGATGTCCAGAAGGTCAAAGTCTTGTATCGAAGGGCCAGTTCCAGGCCAGTACACTCGCTGGCCAACTTTGGCACCCATGGCACGAGCCAGGACCGAAGTGGTGGCGTAGTGAGTGCCAAACAGCTCGGTGACCTTGTGAAATTGATGCGCCGGCATCGTGTCACGAAGCCACTGCATCTTGAATCTCATCATCTGAGAGCGACCCTCGGCTGAACTTGGCTTGATCTTGCCTGTGAACAGGTCAAAAATCTTCTTGACGAGCAGCACGGCCAGGAAGAAAAAAATTGGGCCAAGGGAAAGGTTGGCGGCAAGCGCAACATAATGGAACACGACCCGGTTCTCAGATGCAAACCAGATGATGACCTCACGAAGCATGTCTGGTACATCCGCTGGCTCGTGGATCACGAGAGCAACAAGACATCCGAGCCATGGGATGGCGCCTATGAATCTCGAGATCATCGTCAAAGGCAGGCCAAGTACGAAGTTGAGAAGCCAGTGAGAGGCTGGAATCTTGCTCGCTGCTAGATCCCGGTTGGCTTCCTCAGAATCGGCTGCCTCCCAACTGGAGGAATTTGGACCAATGCACGTGTTTGCCGGGACGGTGGTGCCGGGAGCAACGATAGAAGCCAAACCAATCGAGGCGTTGGCCCCGATGACAATGCGCCCAAGATACATTGATGTGTTGCGCTCTGCTCCGAAAGGACGGACGATGGAACGCTCGATTACTGCGCCGTCTTCGATGGTCAACAGGTCCCACTCGCCGGTCGTCACGCCTTTCGCTATGGTAACATTCGCACCGATCTTGACTCCAAGCAGTCTGAGGTAGAGAACTCGAGTCCAGTTGAAGAGGTTGAACGTGCCCATCCCAGCGGTAGCACAAACTTTCTGGACAAACCACCACTTGGTATGGTAATTTCCCCACATGGGGTATAAGCCTTCCTTGTATCGACCGATGATGAGCCATTTGACAGCAATGGCGACCAGTGGAGATACAGTTCGTGTGGCGATACCACCGATGGCAATGGAGAGAACCAGGTCGAACAGTCGCCCGGGTACGCTCAAGTTGGTGGGCCAATTCTGAGTCTGCGTGAGCATGTACATGAAGACTGTCCAAGCCAGGGCACGCTTCATGGGGTACACCAGCACGATGGGGACAAGCTGAAGGATCATCAGGAACGGGTTCGTGGAGCTGTAGGTCTCTTCGCAGCCGGGCAAGAATTTTCCCAACACTGGTTCTGCCGAGMGTGCCTTTTCTTCCGGCTTGAGGGCTCCGAGCTTCTCGTCAATGAGACTTGCCAGCTGTGAGACCTTGGGGTTTGTGAACAGAACGCTGATTGGGAGGCGGAGCGGATACTCTTTTCTTAGAGCATTGAGAAGGCGCCCGGCTCCCATGGAGTCCCCACCAACCTCGAAGAAGTCGGATGAGCTGCTGATATCGCCCGCATTGAGGGAGAGAACCTTGGCGAAGACCTTGGCAACAACTGTCTCTGTCGGGGATAGGTCGCCACAGAGGGTGGAAGACTCAGAACGATCATTCGACTTGTCCGCGATCCGACTCGCGTCCACTTGTCCCAAATCATTCCGCGGGAAAGGCTCCTCGAGACGAGTGATTTTCATCGGGATGTTGTAGCCAGGAAGATGGGGAGTGAGCCCTTCGATCAAGTCGTCAGCCGTGAACTCATCAAACGACGATTGATCTTCCTTTGGGGCAAGAAAGAGCTCTGGGTAGAAGTCCGTCTCTTTGATGTGAAAGTCGAGAGCTGTCGGAACGACGAACTCGCAAGCAGTTCGCAAGGAATCGTGTGACACAAGTAGCTCTCTGCATTCGATTGATGTGCTGAGTGGCGTGTTCGGTGGTGGACAATTTGCTTCAAAGTATCTGCCAGCAGGTGAGGTTTGGTCCGAGATCTCTGGAAGATCTAGTCGGTCGGCCAGCTTGATGCGAAGCACTTTGTTGTTGTTCGTGGGGACGCCGCCCTCCATGTACACCAATAGGACTGGACTCTTCACTTGACTAAGGGACGACTTGACAGCTTCTTGGATCCCTCGAAGACACGGACGTTGGGCACCCTCTGGCATGGCAATCGCGAGACCAACTACTTCTTGCAAAACGTCGTGAGTAACGGAGAATGCCAGTGCCTTGCTGATTCTGCCGTAGATGAGGCTTCCTGGTCTGGAAGCTGCAGCGATGACGGCTTCTTCGACTTCGAAAGGACTGATCAATTCTCCGCCACGGTYGATGACCTCCTTACTTCTACCGGTGATGTAGAGGTAGCCGTCTTGGTCGAGATATCCCATGTCTCCGGTATCGAACCAGCCGTCTGAAGTGAAGCAGGACTTATCCACCACATTATTGTCCTTGAGGTATCCACCGAACACTGGAGATCCGCGCACGGCAATCCGTCCGACCTCATTGACACGTTCTCGCTCATCTCGGCCGTTCAGTATCGCAATTTCAGGCCCGACGCTGACCCCTGATGTGCCCGTCTTTTGCAGTCGATAGTCAAGCGGTGGTGTGGAGATGGGCATGCATTCGGTCATGCCGTATGAAGGCAACACTGTGCAATTGACTGTTCTTGTTGAGAATGTGTCTCTAAGCTGTATGGCTAAGCTTGGAAGTAAGCCACCAGCTGCATTGCAGATGAGTCTGATGTTGCTCTTGGCCACGCTTTCAGGTCGATCTGATCCTGCTTCGAGGATGACTTGGTGCATGCTTGGTGAGGCATAGTACCAGGTAGGTGCGTAATCTTCCACGCAGTCCCAGAAGAGATTTGCGTCGAATGCGCTGCAGCATATAACGGAGCCACCTGAAAATACTGGAGCGAAGAGGTTGCGGATGAGCCCGCCCACGTGGTTCAACGGCATTTGATTCAAGCATCGCATTTCTGGAGACAAGCCCCATGATTCAACGACCATTGAGACACCGCAGACCATGGAGTGAATGCTTAACGGTACCAACTTCTTCGTGCCCGAAGTTCCAGATGTGAAAAGTAAGATGCCGGTTTCTTCGGCAGTATTGGGTGTGGGCGTAGCTGATCCGGAGGGACGCTCGAGTTCTCTACCATCCACAGTACGGACTGTGAGTGTTAGGTCTTGTGCGAGGTCAACCAGCAATACTTGGATCCCTGCTTGTGATAGCCAGGAATCCCGCAAGCCTAACCTTTGGACGTCTGCTGCCGCAGCCAGAACCAAGTTTGTCTTGGACTGCAGGACATCAGCTTGGAATTGCTGAGCACCAACTCCGCTCCCGTGAGCGATCGGTGCCGCAGTGTAGTATGTGGCTGTGGCCAGTACAGTCATGGCCAGCAATGGGCCGTTCGGTAGTGATATTGCCACGACTGGTTTGGGTTGGCCCGGCGAGGACAAGCCGAGGGGAAGCTGGAAACTGCGTATCGTTGACGCAAGATCATTGTGGCGTATTGATTTCCCAGACTCGGGATCAATGATGGCTGCTGCCGTGGACGCTGGGTTGTAAAGGTCGATCAAGGAAGAATATGAGGTCTTGCACTGCTGATCAACACGCTGCAAGAGGTTGAGCACTTCCGGACCAGCGCGTCCAGCTTTCGCATCCTCTGGAAGCAACTTCCACAGCTTTGTGTGCATGRGTTGCAACTCCAATACTGGCCAATCTGGAATTGCATCGATAAGAGCTGACAATGTGGCTAAGGGGGCACATGAGGGTATCGTTGGCCGGGGTATTGATCGTAAGATGTCGGTACGGTTGATATGTGGTTGACCGATGGAGGAATCTATGATCGAACGGTATTCCTGGGCTTCCGCTGCCTTGACGATTGCAGGATCAGCGAGAAAGTTCGCCATCGCCGCGGMTGTTGCTTGCAGGTCTAATCAAGTAACGAAGCGGAATGGRGAAGCGTTCAGGGCGAAGCAGCAGGTCAAAAGAGTGTCGATGGCGGGAAAAGAGTGTCGGTAGCGGGCTACATGGGTAACGAACGACAGTTGAGCCTCAACAACGTGTGCTCGGGTCACAGTCCGGGAAATGTCGCACTCGATCGACTGGACAGAGCAGGGCTCCTGGAGTGAGGCAGAAGATCGGCGGTGATGGATAGGCAAACGATGAGTTCGGCCAGGGGATGATCTGTTCTAATAGTGGATCTGGGAGACTATATCACAGCCTAGGAACGTGACGAGATAACATACTGCAGTCTGCAGATGAGCTCATGATGTCCCCTTACCACTGACGAGGTGCCAGTGCGCGACCCGACATGGTGTATCAGATGGCACCCACTTTGGCCATAAACTGGGTTGCCGGAGGCACAACAACAAATCAGACGGAGCTCCAGGGTTGATGCTTTTGGAAATGGTCTCGAGTAGACGAAAATTCAAGATCCACTTCGGGCAGCGGTAGGTCTCTACCGTCAGACGCTTCTTCAAGGATGTGTCTAGTAGGGACAGTCTAAGAGTCGGCGCACCCGTCGGGTAGCCGCAACCTGGGCAGATGGCGGATTGCGGATGGGGACTCACCCGAGAGGGTAATAAGGAGAGCAACACGCGGCTCATACCCACACCATGCGCCGGTCTTTGAACAAGTACTGGATCTGGCATGGTCCATTGTGTTTGCACGATGTTGATGTGGAGAATGTTTCACCTTGAGGAATACAGCGGTATAGCCCGCCCGTCAGAATGGAGGCGTACACAGTGCACAACAATATGTGCAAAACATGGCCAAGCGCTACATCACATCAAACGTAGGTGAGCAGAAACTGGCAATAAGTCCGTCCGAGCCCGAACACGATACGGTAGCGTGGTAAAGTGATTGCGTTTTGCTAGACCAAGTGCAGTCTACGCAGAAGAAGGCTACTAGGTTGAAGCCGCCAGCAGAGTTTGCATGTGCTTAAGTTGACGGCACGTTCCTGTTTGGGAGATGTGACGCAGGCACCACACTGGGTATTTGCAGTTGAAACAAATGTGATGTCGGATCGATTGTGAAATGCAGGAACCCGCAGGGCGGTACCTTTTCCAGCTGGAAGACCACTCGACGTGGACGATGTGGATTGGATGAACCCCGACATGTGCGAGGAAACGTGCAGCCTCGTCGAGCCTGCCCCGGACCCAACCCAGCTTTTACCAACCTACTCGGATCCACATACTTGCATCGGGACTCAGGAGTAGAGTGGATGCTGTGTGGAGTTGCCCATTTCGCAGTCGAGTTGAGCTTAGATCATGTGGCGGCATGTTGTTTGCAGTGCGCCATCTTGAGTTTCAGCAGCTGTCGTTTACGAAGACAAGCGTTGGACAGACCATTGCTTGTTATTTCAAAGTCCAATCATTAGCGTGGGACGACTGCCACTGCACCAACCCCTGCAGCCCGGCACTTCTTCGTTTGTCCAAAATCAACGACACATCCCAGCTCGCCAAGACTTGGCAGTAAGGGCTAGAACCAGTTGCTGACTGAATTTATCGCAAACTAGGACTCGAACAACAAATCAGCTCGCGAAGAGCGAAATGGCGGCACCAGGTTTGGTGTTGTGCGCGATGTTCTGACACTCTAGGCTGTATCAGGGAGCAAATATGGCACTGATGCTGCGACCGCCGCAGGATCAAAAGACTATGCCAAGAAGTCGCCATTGTGCGGATTATCCTTGTCGCAGCTCAGTGGCGCTCGCCACGCTATGGAGGCCGTAGTGGCTCATCTCGGCCCGCCAGCGTATGCTCTGGCAACAGATAACAGATGTCAATGTATTCTGTAGTCCCGCTTGTGCTGGTTCCGTGCAAGGCCGCTTGTGTGCCACTTTAGCATGTGTCAATACGCTGAATTGGTAAGGGTCTCGAAAGTGTAAGTTTGGGATAAGCTCACGTCAGGCAAGTCGGGTTGGATGAAGAATACGAGAGACCTGGCAGAATCCAACAGCCGATGTCGCGACTACTACTAGTGGAGCGGGCACAGGCGAGGCTGATCACCGTGACAGGGACGTGTTCCTGGTGAAGGATCAATAGAAGAAGTCGTTCGGTCGGTCCGATAGTGCGAGACCGTGAGTGATGTCCGAGTAGCCCCAGGGAGAACGCCCAAGATGCTTCAGGCACCGATCCACACATCCATGGTCAAGAACCCACGTGAAAGCTCAACAAACATGGCGTAATCGCCCATCGGAGATACATCCCCCCAATCCAGCTAGGACTGTCAAGGTCTGTAGATACTAGAACCAGCAAACAGAACCCTGGTCTGCTTCAAGCCACGGGAAATAGGGGAGCTGATTCATGAATGCCGCGTTTTAGTCGCGGCTCAGTTGCAACTTGCAGCTCCGATGTGATAAAGGCGCTGTACTGGGAAGCAGCAGTGGCTGTCCCCAAATCCCGACATGGCCAGTGGGCCAACGGTAGCCTTACCATTGAGTTGTGATCAAGGAAGCGAGTGATTCGTTCGTTACAACCGGGAGTCTGATAAGCAAGCGCCGCCGCAATCCAAGATAATCTAAATGGAGGGTTCAGCCCAGCGGCGTCAATTCACCCCTCCAAGGTCTTTCTAGCGTTGCTAGAGAATCTGGCTGGAAACGCCACACGCCACATGTCTTCGCCGCGTCCAAGTGTTGGCCTATCTTTTCCAGCAAGGCTTCGGCTGCCGCATGCCCGCTCTCCTTCGTAAAGAACAGGCTTTGCCATGTCTCTTCACTAGTCTCAGGCTTCTTGCGKAGCTCACGCTGTGCTTTTTCAAGGGCACTCTTGCTATCAGCCACGCCTTGCATATTTCCAGTCTGGACGGCTTCGATGACGCCCCGCCACGCCTTCCTGCTCTCCCAAGGATCCTGCTGGTCCATCGGCAGTGTTCGAAACTCAGCCGGCTGGGCGGCAGCCACGTTGTATGTTTCCAACGTCTTGCCGCCACTGTCTTTGAACTCGAATGCTTCGGACCAGGAACCCTCGGCCGTGTAAATTGGATGCTTATGCGTGTGGTCGTCTGGACCGTACACCGCGGCTTTGAGGTGATTCTTCTTACCACCAATACCGAGAAGGCTCTTCCCACTAAAGTCCACCTGAGCCATATATCCGCTTGTAGACACAATCGAATATGTCCCGTCTAGTTCTGGATAGGGCGAGCCGGTGAGAATACCTTTGACTTTTATGTTTGGCAAGGGAATGACGACGTCTTCGTTGAATTCGTCGATATGCAGGATGGCATGGCCAATCTGCTGGATGTTGACGGACCCGGAGAAGGTTATTTCTTGGCGCGTGTAGCCCTCGGCACGAATTCCATGCGTTTCATTCCAGAGGTAGCATGCCGTGACGGGTGGATGGTGGCTAACTTGCTCAGACACGAGTCGAGTCTCATCGCCCTCGGGGCCACAATCGCCGATGAAGACTTCACCCAGGAAGGCATTTAGCGGTTTCTTGATGCCCTCGCCGGGATCGCGACCCGCGTATTGTTGACTCTTGAGAGAGGACAGAAACCATTTGAGTACGGCCAGGATCCGCTTAGCTGGGTCTTGCTCGTGCGCCGGAGCGCAGAACAGCTCGGGGTGCTCGATCCAGTATCTTGAGAATTCGTCAGAGACTGCTGCAATGTATCGACCACGACTACTCCTGATTCACCTTGGAAACTCCGTGGTTGATTTATCGGCGAGTACGAATGGAGGGGCGGTGATGTTGCTCAAATCGCCCTTTATCGTTGCGATCGACTGGACGACATCAGTAATGGTGGCATGCTATTGTTTCGCTTGGCAAACGCACTGCCAGGAAGTCTTTTAGACCGCTTCGCTGCTTTCCGTTGTCCGCCATTGTGATATCCTGTTGTTACTGTAGATGAGGACCTGGTGAAGTTGAGCACTGGAAATACAGTGATGTCATAGAGCCTGGGCTGGGCAGACGCGTGGTCTCACGGTAGACCTACTTTACCTTGGGCACAGTTCGAGCATGGGCGCAAGCRGGGCCTGTGTTTGATCATCTCCATTCTGCAATGATGGGATGGTCTCTGTGTGAGGTAAATCATTGAGAGAAGGGGAGTTTCGAAGGCAATTTGCAATCAAGTGGTGGAACCTGTTGGTGGGGTGAGAACTGTTCTACCACCACAGTAAGGTAGTAGGTAAGGTATGTAATCCAGCCAAATGCACTTCAAGACGCAAAGATGCGAGGCTTGCGTGTCAATCAGTGGCGTTGGTTGAGAGATGCCATGAGATCTAACTGTAGCCTCTCATCATCTACGTCAGCTCCGACTCGAATTGGCGAGAACATCGCTACCAGGACTTGTCCGCGGAGTGACAATCTATCTTGTCTGAAGCACCGTCTGCGCCTTTCTCTGTAACAATGGTCAAAGCGAATGTGGTAAGATGATTGCGATGGTGAGGCATCGTTATTGATGTCGATGTTCTTGTTGCGTCGGCCTATCAGTCCGAGCTGGCCAGAAAGTCTTGGCTTCTCCGCCGCGAAGTGAAGTGACGCGTGGGTACCTTACCTTAGCCCAGCTTTTGACTCTTGTGCCCTTTCACTCACCTATCTATAACCATATCCTATACAATGGCCAAACTGCTGAAGAAGCCGCTGAAGCTCGCTCTCGTGCAGCTTGCCACGGGGGCCGACAAGAAGGCCAACCTCGCTCGAGCACGATCCAAAGTCCTCGAGGCCACATCGAACGGCGCCAACATCGTAGTTCTGCCGGAATGCTTCAACTCACCATACGGCACAAAGTATTTCCCCAAATACGCAGAGACTTTGCTGCCATCGCCGCCAACGAAAGAGCAATCGCCATCATATCACGCATTATCCGAGCTTGCAAAGGAGGCCAAGGCATATGTGGTGGGAGGCAGCATACCAGAGTACTGGGAAGAGACCAAGAAGTACTACAACACATCCATGACCTTTGACCCGAGCGGCAAGCTGCTCGCTACACATCGCAAGGTGCATTTGTTCGACATCGACATTCCCGGCAAAATCACCTTCCGCGAGAGTGAAGTGCTGTCACCCGGCAATAAAGTCACCATCATTGACCTCCCGGAATATGGCAAGATCGCAGTGGCCATCTGCTATGACATCCGATTCCCTGAACTTGCCACAATTCCTGCAAGAAAGAATTGTTTCCTACTGCTGTATCCTGGTGCTTTCAACCTTACCACCGGCGCCATGCATTGGGAACTGCAGGCCCGAGCGCGAGCAATGGACAATCAGATATATGTTGGACTTTGTAGTCCCGCGCGCGATATGGATGCTGATTACAACGCCTGGGGACATTCTTTGGTCGTCAACCCAAATGCTTCGGTCCAGTCGCAACTTGATGAGCATGAAGGTATCGCGTACGCCGATCTCGATGGTGACACCATTGCAGAGTCCAGAAAGGGCATACCCATCGAAACTCAGCGCCGCTTTGACGTCTACCCAGATGTGAGTGCAGGAAAAGTTAGGTACGAAGAATGAAACAAGCAGGTCGAGCTTCATCTCCCATCYAAGCCCTGGCTTGATGAGAGAAAGTACTGTTGCAGTAGATGCGATCAGATGTGAGGTGTGAGATACTCAGAACTTCTCGGGAAGTCGCAGCTGTGGTCGACGATATATCGGCAGGAGAAGACTACCTAGCTCGTCATCCCATCTCATCTTATTCCGTCTCATCACTCCCTCGTCTCCCATACCCGCTTCCCTCATTCCTTTTTGGAGAACATTCTCCTGAGCAGAGCTGATCGCTGGCCGTCTTCTCTGCTCGACCTCTGATCTTCACCTGCCGTCGCGAAAACATACTATCGACGTATCTACACCTCATACGAACCTGCCACTCTCGCCATTCTTCCCTCAAAGGTCGATGAAGACCTGGTCGAGCTAGGATATATGGCCTCTTCGGCAGTCCCTGCGCGACAACCTTTCAAAGGCGACAACCGTATCTTGGGCGACCAGATTAGCGTGGACTCCGCAAGAAAGACTTCAGTCGCTCAACGTGACCTGGCGAAGAAGCCGACAACTGGAACAACAAATTTGCAGCCGCCGACACCTGTGGTCCGCAAGAGGCTGCCGTGGCTTGAGAAGAGACCCGTGGACAGGAAACTTGCGACCTCGGAGCGACCGCAGGTGAGCGGTAGCGAACAATCGCATGACTCCTCTTCAAGAGCAGATAGGCGCGATGGAGAGGCGTCAATTCGTTCTACAGGAAACGACAATACGCTGCGAGCTGTTGGATCTAAGCCTGTTCTCCAATCCAATAACGCCCAATCCGAGTCCCTAGCATTCTCACGACGCTCTCAAGATCCGCCAGGGTCGAAGCATTCGCCCTTCTTTACAAGACGACCGAAGCCTAAGACACTCCAAAGGGAAGTATCTGTTTCATCGAAATACAGTGCCACGCACTCTGGGAGCAGAAACCACAATGCTGGATTAGCTCCCGCGCCGCTTCGGGCCCCGCCTGAAAAGCCTCTCGAGCCGTCCGCGGCACGTGAGAAGAGACGCAAACCCAAGGAGGCGCCTGCAAGTGTAAAACTCAGCCAGCTCAACGTCCCTCCTGCACACTCCCGGTATGCTGCGATCGAGCGAGAAGCTGAAGTGCCTAAGGTGGACTCAAGTACGAATCAAAGGCTCGACAATGGGTTCTCAAACAGTCGCCAAGATAGATGGGCCAAGTCTTGCGAGCACCGCATCGCGACAGATGGGCTCCACTGCACTCGTCGGCAGCAACAGCGCGCACCAATATCGTCGTATGACGATTCGCTATATAGGCCGCACGCTACGCGGCCGCCGCCAACCAAACAGTCTACCCTTCACAAGCTCCCATTGCACTTGGTCGCATCTTCAGATTCGTCTTCGCTGAGCGAAACGCACAGAGCAACAACTTCGGATCCGTTCACCACTAAGCAAAGCAATGCGAGGAGCGGTCCCGAACAGCGGAGTCCTATCTTGACAACTGCCGGCAGGCCGCAACTCRTTCAAGGCTCATTACAGCTTGAGCATGCAGTCGCTGGATTGGAGAGCTTGATGGGAGAAGCCCTTGACATTGCGTGGAATGCAGCAAACTCGGGTCGGCCAGATGAGGTTGCCCATGTGTTGAATGAAGCCACCCTAGCTCTACGTGAAGCGAAGTCTGTGAAGAACATTATGGACCAGCCTCTGAAACTATCTCCCGCCGTTTCTGTGCATTCCTTGAATGCACATCACGAAGACTGCTACTCGGACGCATCTTCACTCTCAAGCAGGGAGCCCACCATTGTCACCAAATCCAGTATGCAACCATTGCTAGTCGGCCATAGATCGAAGCCAGCGCTTTCTTCTCATGCTAGAACTGCCGGCATGGACAATCCTCTCCGATCTCGCCGCTTCACATCGTCGCCAGACAACTCCATCTCCCAGACTCCTCCCCAGCTTTATTCGGCACCCTCCGCCGAATCGGTTGTTCGTGACTTTGCTTATGGAAGGACACCCAGAAAACTTTCCACCCGGTCGGAACTGCGGGCAACCTACGGCGCCGCTGCAAGCTTCTACGGAGATCATGGTGAATCTGTTGTCACGCAGCCCGGTGTTCGGAAGAGCGTCGCGCTTCCCAACAAGGAGCTCCCTGACACACCACATCCAGCGCACGCCAACATGTATCGTGCCGAGGACGACTCCATCGACCCAAAACATAAGCCACATAACCGGGGTCTACGCAGAGTCAACGCAGCACGGGCCGACGCTCTACGTTCGACGCGGAGTGCACCCCCTGCGGCCGTGAAGCCAGCCGCGTACCAAGAAGATGCTTCCCRCGGCAGCAATTCGGTTCGCAATCTTGATACGCCCGCATTCTTACAACCCGCGTACTTTCGTGAGAATGATGGCCATAGCCGTCAACATCAAACCAATGTCCCAGAGCCACCATACCCTGAACCCGAGAAGACCAATCTCAAAGCCTCCATTTCCAGTGGGCCTCCACCTTTATTGGTCTCGCGGAACCTCAGCCTGAAGCACCCGCGGAGAGGCCATATCAGCATTCAAGAAGACCAAGGATTCAGCCTTGGACGATACCACAAGCGCCAACCCATCGCTCGCGAATGGAATTCGAGACGCAAACGGCTTACTGCAATCATTGCGTGCTTGAATACCATGTTTATTGGTCTCATCGCAGGTATCTATGTGAGTAAAGCAGTCACACGAAGCCAGAACCTCATCTGACTCTTTGTCGTAGGCCGGCGAAGTACCACGAATACAGTATCAGCTTGGTGATCAGTCTCACTGGGTTATATTCGGTAAMATGCTGTTCTTCGCTGGCTTGGGGTTGTCAACTCTGATCTTCTGGCCACTGCCATTGCTTCACGGCCGAAAGCCCTACGTCTTGTTGGCGTTCGGTATCGTCCTTCCGCTACAGATTCCGCAGGCTGTCACCGTCGCAGATTCCCATGGTCCTGGTCGTTTGTACACGATAGGGTTACTACTGCCTCGTGCTTTGACGGGGTTGGCACTAGGTTTTGCCAATATAAACTTCTTGCCAACACTTTGGGACCTTTACGGAGCCTCATTGATGTCTGAGCGACCACATCAAGAAATTGTCACATATGACGATGTTCGCCGACAAGGCGGCGGTATCGGTGTCTGGCTTGGCATCTGGACGTTTTGCTTCAGCAGCTCGTTATCAGTCGGGTTCTGCGTCGGTGCCTGCATCATATCGAGGTTGGAGCCCAGCTGGGGATTCTACATTATCATCATGCTTCTCGCTATCTTCCTCCTCATCAATGTCATCACACCGGAAACCCGAAGAGCTCCTTATCGACGATCAGTCTCGCACTTCTTTGACGAGGAGAATCCCGAGAAGATCAAGAGGAGAGTTGCTCGAGGCGAGGTCAAGCTTCACATATATAATGAGGGGCCGAAATGGTGGTACGAGGAAGTTTGGGCTGGTCTTGTTCTCGTAAAGCGGATGATATTCCAATCCGGTTTCTTCGTGATGATGTCGTACCTGGGCTGGATACAAGCTCAGCTGACGTTGGTCATTCTGGTGAGCTCGTTATCCTTGTCTTGCAGAGTTTATAGCTAACAGCATAGCTCTTGGGTGCCCTGCTCTCTCGTGAGTATGCATGGCAATCACAGTGGGTGGGTCTGGCAGCTCTCGCGGTCCCTACAGGAGCTATATTGGCAATGCCTTTGACGAAAGCATCGTGGTTCAGTCGAGAACGGACGAGTCCACCTCGGACTGACAGCATGACCTTCCAACCACACTTTAGCTGGAGCACGCATCTAATCAGACGACTGATATTCGCCCTGGTACTCCCATTTGCAGGATTGGCGTACTGCCTGGTTGCAACTGGGCCTCCGATGCATTGGATCGCTGCCATTATCTTTGCAGGACTGGTCGGCTTTCTCACTGATCTAGGAATCGCCGAGTGCGTCGGCATCATCATGGAGACTTTCGACACTTGTGATCTTCAGCCTGGTGTGAACACTAAGCATCGACTGCAATCCTTGTCTGATAATGCCAAACGCCAGCGGACAAACTATTCGGCGTTTCCACGCGTATGCGCTGGGTTTTTTGCGGCACAGTCCCTTGGATTCTTTCTAGCAGCAGCAGCTACTGTCGCCGCTGGTAAGGTAACCAACACTTACGGAACTCAAACTTCCATCTGGATCGTGGCAGCCATCCTCCTGGCCGTGACCCTACTACTGATGGCAGTCATGTGGCGATGGAAGAAGGTGCAGGTCATTCCCGATTACAGTGGTAGCAGGAAAGACAGTAAATCTCCAGATCCAAACTCCAACGATCCGGAATGGAGGCCGGTCGTCATTGGAAATCCCTCGGGCAAGGTGAGACGGATGAACATTCTGGAGACGGGGAACTGGACACGCTGGACGGAGATTCGCAAGCTGAACAAGCTGATAAAAGCATGATTGTGGATCTAGGGCAAGGCTTTGACGAGGCTACGACCATTCATGCTCACTCCTGGAGTAAGTTCGATGGTTTGCGCGCAGATAGCCCTGAAATCGAAACCTCATGCTCACTTGATTGTTTTTTGCCCGGAACATTGTATTGGTACCACGTGAGGTTTGTTCTCTGGCAAACTCCAAAGACGCTGCATTAAATTGAAATGAGGCAGAGAACGAGTGGACAAACGTCTGGATACGATAGTCCGTGGATGGTCAGGGGTGTTCGTCAAAGGCCGCGCAAAGCAATGTACATTGGGTATCTCGCATCGCAACAAGTACAAAACTCCCGGTCAAAATGCTGTGGAATGTTTTTTTCCTCCTGGTTCCTTTACGCCTTCCATGCCACTACGCACTTTCCTATCAGCTCAGCTCATTTCGCAGCTGTTCCTCAATGTCTTCCTCGGACCCTTGCACCGATGGCGGATCCGCGGCTGCTTTGATCGGCGACTTCACGCCAAAGGGGGCAGTTGCAAAATCGCCTTGCTTCCGCGCAGCAGGCTGTGCCCACGAAGGACGATCTTGAATGCCCTGGTTCCCATTTATCACGCTCCGCTGATTGCCGTTGGGCTGAGGGATGCTCGGGCGAGGATACTGCAGCAATTGAGCCGGCTGTGGTGCGACTGGGTATGGTGGTGGCGGTGGAGCAGTAGTCAGATGCACACCGTGGGCGGCTTTTGTTCCCGCAGAGGCAGTTGCAGATGCGGGGCTGGGMAAGGTTATCCGAAAGCCGCGTACTGCGTTCTGTGGAGCAATCGAGGAGACTTGCTGGTATGCAGGCGAATACGCCTGTGGAGCTTGCGAGGCTAGTTGATACGATCCTGGAGGCTGTGGCGCTCTTTGCGGCACTGTCGAGGGGGATGGAGGATCGCAGGCCATTTTTCTTTTCCTAGGCCGTCCAGGAGGCGGTATGTTGAGTTGGATACCCTCTGCGATTGGTTTCGACTCGCTCAAGCTATCTGGTGATTTCTCCATGAATGGCGCAATCATATCAACGGCATGTGGATATACCTTGCACACCTCTGCCAGGGCCTTACGTAGCTGTTCAGCAGATGTAGTCTGGATTGAGTCAAGACAGTCCTTGCGCTGCCGATGCTCGTCCGTCTCTTCGACAATCTCGGGACGCAACTCAACATCCTTGTGTTGTTGTCTCCAGAATCTAGCGACGTTCGCAACGTCTGCCTTGTTGAGATGTTGCAGCTGACTGGTGACGGATCCGTACTTCTCCTTGGCCCATCGTAGGACAGCTGCATACGAATACTGACCCTCCTCCACTTTGACTTTGCAGAAATACATGACAGCATCGCTGCGCTTATAGACATCAAGCAAGTCGAGAGAATGTGTGTGCTGGACATTACCTTCGGCCGTGTGGTTGGTTCGTTCAATGTACAGCCACTCAGCAACGCAATTGCAGTTGCCGAGTCCTGGCCCACCACAGTCTTCTTGTGATTTGACATGTTTGGTATAGGACAAAAGGTTCAGACGGATCTTGCACTCGTCGACGTCGCCCAGCAGTTCGTCTTTGCTCTGGCGCTGCCTCAGTCCTTGACCGGTCTTGTCCTTGCCTTTCATCGTCACTCTCCGCCGTATTCGACATTCCCACGCCTCTGAAACAGTACCGTTGTCATTCTCATGTGGCCTGCTCGATCGCATGTAGACGTTGCTGATGTGTGGCCAGTAATCGGCAATCTGCTGCGAGTCGAGGAGCAGCGGCTGCYCCATGGAGAACATCTTCTTTCGTACATCGTCGACACCAGGAGGGAAGGGGCGATACGGCAGACTCTTGTTCGCATACTGCAGACATGATCCGACAATGGGTGGTAGGTTGAGCAGCTTGCGATTCGTGTTGTCCTCGCCTTCTACAGGACGCGGCTTGGGTCGCAGTTTCCCGTTTGGACGCTCCGGCGCGGCAGGAAAGACCCCCTGCGCGGCATTGAGGATGAGCGCGCTATCTCGCGTCGCATCGTCCATTAGAGCCGCTCACACGGTGTTGACCATGTGTATCGATCGAAGGAGCGGCGAGTTGAGAAGCGTAACTTTATATAGAATCAACTCCCCAAGCCACATTGATTGGAGCTCAATCAATTGCTCGCCTTGAAATCCTACAACTCCACCTCACCTCTTAAGATCTCTCACAACGTAAATGCAGAACAATCAGGAAAGATTCAAGCCCAGGTTACTTTCAGCCGCTCACTTCATGATGCTGTAAGGGCTCCATACATACCAAATGCATAGACCCATCCCTCTCTCACCGCCCCCACGATGTCACACATAATCATAACGGGAGCCACAGGATTAGCAGGCAGTGCAGTCCTAAGCCATGCCATAGCATCTTCGGCCATCAGCAAGATATCTGTCCTCTCTCGCCGCCCAGTTAAACTCGCCGAGTCCTCTCCTAAAGCTCACGTCATAATCCAAGATGATTTCGAACAATACACCCCCGAACTTCTCGCCCAGCTGAAAGGCGCTACAGGGTGCGTCTGGGCACAGGGGATCAGTGCTAATGGGATGAACGAGGAAGACTACATCAAGATCACTGTCGATTATCCTCTTGCGGCAGCGAAGGCATTCGCGAGTCTCTCCGACCAAATGAATTTTGTATACGTCTCTGGAGAAGGCGCGAATATGCAGGAGAAGACAACAGCATTCATGTTTGGGAGGATCAAAGGCCGGGCGGAAAGAATGCTATTGGAGGCACAGTCCACACATCCTACGTTGCGGGTTTTCAGCGCGAGGCCGGCGGTGATCAATCCACAAGGCAAATATCTTGCCGAGCGGCCTCCAAGCATTCGCGATAGAGCATTGACGGGCTTCGGCAGTGTATTCCAGTACATCTGGAAGAATGGCGAAATTCCAACCGAGTCTCTGGCCAAAGCTTTGGTGAACCTCGCGGYTGGAGACGGCAAACCGATAGCTGCTGGTTCTGGCATCGAAGCAGATGGTAGAGTGCTGAGAAACATCGCGATCAGGAGACTTGCTGGTTTGTAGCTCCCAAGTCTGTGCTCGTCACATTGACCTAACTCACCACACTGACCTAGGCGTCCAAAAATGATGCCCCACGCCAGCGATGTGCACATTAAATGAAGCATCTGCGAAAAACACATGCGATATACCGCTACCTGGCGGAACTGTCTGCCTGGTAAAAGTACAAAGCAAAACCCGCATGCCCTCAAACGATGAGGCAGCCGTGGCGAAAAGAAACCAGAAAAGCAATCCGTTCGCATCATCATCGTCGTCGTCATACCCATCAATCACCACAAACGCCGAAAAAAAGCCCTCCCTCGCACCATAAACACCGATTCGTGTGTCCCTCTTATACAACAACCCAATCGAAAAGGAAATCCAAGTGATGCCTCCTGTCCAATTGCTGATTTGTCTCCTGGCCAGAAGTCATCATACCTGGACCGCAATGACTTTCGGGAGGACGCTTACTGACTGCCAAAAGCACACTCGTTGCAGTAGCCAGCAAGTGGCGCCTGTCCAGGTACAGGGAGTAGCTCGACAGCATGGGTAATCTCCATCTCACTACACGGGACCTTCTTATACTCCTTCAATTTTGCCCACTGTGCCTTTGATCTCGGAGCGAGAGGCGGCTGCGGCAATCCATCATAGCCTTCTTCCCCAATCATGCGAGGTCCAATTTCGTTGCGATTGCTACTGCAGGATCTGCTGTTGCCGCCCCGAAAGTTGAAGCTCACCGGAGTGTTAGGATTCCGCTCTGCATCAGGGCCATAGCCAACAAACTTGATCTCGCGGCCCGCGCCACCGGTCCAGCCGAAAGTGTTTCGGTTGTTGCAATCGGCGCCAATAGTCCATGAGTTGGGCGAGCACATGGGATTCCGGCGTGGCGAGCTGTCGTATGCCCTCGGCGTATGATTTGGAGATGGAGAGCCGTTGTCAAAGAAATCTGGTTCTTCTCCACCGTTCATTCCCTGTACAGTCCAATGCAAGCCATCCATTGCCGAAATTTGATACGGCTTGAGTTTCTGGCCGGCGATGATACCGGTGCCATAAACGTCTGCATAAGACATTGTTGGTCCCGTCTGTGCTGCAATGTGCTGCATCATGACGTTCTGCCAATGCTTCTGACTCGCGACCCTGCCATATGGCACCATACCGCCGGTCCTCTGGTAGTGGCGAGCTGCCTGGATCAGCCTCTTGTCGTCTGGCGAACAGGCGGCCCACGCCTCCGCATCGCGAAACATCAGTGCACTTTCCCAATCATGTACCATGCTGGCAGGGGTGGTAAACGAAGAGGGCGTAACGACAGGCCTCGACATTGGCGACTTGGTCATTGGCGTGAACTCGGTTGCCGTCGCACGTAGCGACGGTGCTGTGGCTTGAAATGTATCGCGACCCAAGGGGCTGGGTGCGGGCGCTGCACTCAWCGCTGCGGCATTCTTAGCAGCCAAGAGCCGACGGTGCGGAGGCTCAAAAGCAGGCTTGCTCTCCGCGAAGGCTTTGGGCGACTCCATTAACTGCCGTGGCCCCGTTGGAAGATGGCTATGAGATGATTTCGTCGTTGTAGAAGCAAGAGTTGGGCTTGCTGCTTTACCTTCGGGAACACTGCCAGACAAAAGGCCAAGCTTATTGAGCCGTGCTCTGATTGGATTCAGCAGATCTCCCGTCGATTCGCGACGCTTTTTGGTAGTGTTCTTGATCATTGGCAAGGCGGACGATCTGGCATGCTCGGCAAGCACATCTGCAACCGACACGCCCACCGTCATTCTTCGGCGCAGGTCCGCTGGTATGACACCAGCTGGACTTCTTCGTCCTGGCGACACATATCTCGATGGCTTTCTTGCACCGGTCCAGGCGAATGGAGATTTGGAGCTCATCTCTGTGATGATTTTCTCAGATCCGGAGTCGGACATGTTTGACTCAGCAGACGTCAAACTTTTGGCGGGAGTCATCGTGGTGTCGATCTGTGGTATGGGCTGAGTATGCGATAGGCGTGGTGAGATTTGTTTGGTGTTCTCTTGGCCAATCGTTGCAATGGTGCGAAGTGTTGTCGCTTTCGTTGGACTCATGTATGAAGAACTGGTCTTCTTACGAAGAGGCGGCTCCTGTTTGGCATGTGCTGGAGCGATCTCCTGCCCCGGGTCGAACTGCTCGATGGGCTCTTCGGGCACCACTGCTGCATGGAGTGAATCTACGGTGGGCTTCGTAGCACTCTGGTGGTCGGTGGGATTGGTCCACCCTCCTGGAAGAGCTGCACGCCTAGGATGGCGCGGTACGGTAGTGCGAGCCGACATCGTGGGCGAACCGTCAGGGGTGGTTTTGCCCAAGGACAGTGCAGAGTCTCTGCGCACTGTCTCACGACGGATCACAGCGGCAACTGTAGGCTGTGCGAAGTGGGGAGAGCCTTTCGACGGCTCCGCGCTTGGGCTGGTAGGTGAGCACGGTGTGCTCTGCTGGTCGCCCACTCCGTGGTTCAAGGCGCTCCCGGGTACAGCTCGGATGATTGCGGCATCATTGATAGCGGTGTGTGGCGGGTTGTGGCCTTCTTTGATGCGGTGGATCACCTTTCCAGAGGTTTTGCTCCCATGTTCATGGACGCGACTCGGACTCACAGGAGATGCGCTGGGCTGCTCGTTTTCCTGCACGTGCAGCAAAGGACCAGCGGGCGATTTCTGAACTGGTGCGGGAATCTTGCTCCGAACACTGTCACTGTCTCGGGGCGACACTGAAGGGGAGGGTTTCTTCTTGGTTCGAGTGTATGGAGACTTGGACAGCTTCTTCTGCATCTCGAATTTGAGGTCGGCTTGCTTCAACAAGTTCACCTCATTGTGCAACATCTCGATCTCGGAAGATAGCGATTCGTACATGCTGACTGTCTCGCTTGCGGAATGATGCTGGGTATGTGAGCCATCATTGGTCTTGAGTGGCTCCTCCCATATGTCGGTATTGGCATTTCCGGAGCCGTCGGTACTGAGGTTGCAATGGCTGTCAGAATGTTCTCGCGAGACGCCATCGAATTGGGACTCACCTTGTCAAAAGTTCCCAACTTCCATCGCTGCGTTGCATGCTCCCAGACTGCTCATGGCGGGGATGACCGACCGGCGTATGGCGTTCCTCCTCCTAGGGCAATTGTCAGCAGGTGCACCCACATTCTGATCAGCTTGTGCATGCATACTGTGCGGCGTGCCTCGTGGCTTGCGGTCGTATTCGCTTGGGCAGCGGTATTCCTGTGCTTGCCGGTGAGCATTCCGCCAAGGTTCGACGTGGAGAAGGCCGCCAGCGAGGACATGGTGTGGTCCGGTTGCCGTGTAGGCGAGAGCTTAGACAGGTGGTGCAATTCGGACGAATGCTGGAAGATGGATGTGATGTCTGGTCGCGGCTCTGGAAGCGATGTCAAGGATGTCAAACTGGTTGGTACTGATGAGTTCGAGGATGGGGATGGGGATGAAGTCCCAGGCGACCTCTGATCCATGGTCCCTGCTTGCGGAGGAGTAGAAGGTGCGTCGTCCGTGGTGCCTGCACGTGGTGGGCGAGACGGCGCATCGGCGGCAGCGGCGCAGAAGCTGTACAGGAGAGTCTCCTGGTGTTGGCATCCGCCGTAGTAATAGTACCGGTATTGACACATGGCTATGACATGTGCTGCGTGGTCAACTGCCAGGCTCAGGTGGCGGATTGAAGTCCTACGCGCGCCAACCTCGAATCCGACGCGTGCGAGGAGATGAAGTTGAATTGGAAGGACGTGTCGCCTTGGCAACTTGGAGATGGGAAGAACGAGACAGAAAACGCTGATTGTGGCCGAGAGGAACTGGATCGCAATGAGAAAAGTCCAGCAAACACTTACCGTCTCAAACTTCGTCACGGCACCCAAGACGGCGAGACCTCAGCAGGATTCATCAAGTGTCAAAACCAAAACATCATTCTTGAGAGTCAAGAATATCACAAGCAGGATGCACCTATCTTTCCGAACGCGCGGGCTCCTATGGCAAGGTCTGGATATATGAATGCTTTAGGGGTACCAGATCATGGGCGAAAATGCTTCTCGTGTCGGTCCAGCTTGGATGCCCTCTCTCGGTGCAGTATTGGTCTTTCACGGCCTCGGAATCCTCTTAGGTGCCCTGGTTCCTGGCAGCCTATACGAAATACGCCCACGATTGTTCTCTTTGGCGGCCGAACCCTCCCAACACAGCACTTGGTAGAGTCCTGCGAATTTCGGAAAATGCACAGGGTTAATGTTCCCACCTCCGCACCTAGCACAGCCCATCATTTCTGGATGGCGCAGTATGCATATGTTGAACTGCTGGTTCAACCTTATTCCGTCATTCAGACTGGTTAGCCATCTCAATCGTTTGCGACTCTTTTCCAATCGGGTGTACAAGAAAGATCATGAGATGAAGATGGTAGATCATCTCTGCGTTGCGAGCCACGATGGAGCCAACAAGCTGGCATCTCTTTCACTTCTGCTGCATTTAGGGCTACACTATACGAGCCGCGGTCTCAGCTCCAGCAACAAAATCCAAAAGGCACGTGCAAACGATACAATAATGAAGTGGGTTGGTTTGATACGGTCGCCTCGGCATGTCAGCTTCGTCATGTTGAATGTCGGTATTTGCATTCTGTCGAGCTAAACTTCGCTTCGGGCAAATCTGCAGCCACGATGCGGAGAAGCCCACGGAAGATGCATGGTCGGTCAAGTTCCAGTCAAAAAAGAGTTAACGAGCCACTCTGACTTCCAGATCAGACGCCTCCTTTGTACAACCGTGACGAGGCGAGGCGTCGAATTCTGGCGATCATACCCACTTGCGGACTACGATCGCAAATCTTAGCTTCGAAGTCTGTTTCTCATTCATCCAACTACTGCTCCCACGCCATCTCCAAGGGGATCTCTAGATCGCACTACACGTGTGAACGCAGCGGCAGACAAGCTGACACACCGAGGCACGTCCAAAGTTACTCGAAAACAGGCTCGGTGATCAACCACCTTCTCAGTTCGGTACTGGCACGTTTTGTTCCCTGCGCCAAGTGCCTCGGCCAGGCTCCCGTCCAAGATGGAATCTACCGCATCTAGAAGACTATCACTGCACCTTCAAGGGAACAGCCCTACGCCTCGGCCAATCCTGTTAGATCGATTTGTCTTATATCAACAAAGACCTGTCCTTTCCCGGGATCTGTTTTCATCCCTACGCCTACACTCCAACTCTCGTCAAGATGAAGTTTAACGCCATCAATGTTGCCATGCTGGCCAGCTGTACAGCGGCATTCCCTACCAGGGATGCCATGGAAGCCCTCGCCCAGCTAAACGCCCGCGCAATCGATCCAGTTGCGCCACAGGGCAGAGGCGCCAACCCAGCGGCGCCTCCGCCTTTCATTGCTTCTCAGCAGCGCGTCGATGTCTCTGGCGACCACAGAGTAGGCCTGACAGACCCAAATTAACGTCAACTCGACCCTAACTAATCATTCAACAGTTCATTGCTCCCGCCTCCGGCGATGATAGAGGCCCCTGTCCCGGTACAGCTCCCCACATCTACGTTGTCTGGAACCTCGCTAATTCCGCTCCCTATAGGACTCAATGCCATGGCAAATCATGGCTACCTTCCCCGAAACGGACGCGCAAGCATCCAGCAGCTTATCGATGGTACCGAGAAGGTCTTCGGTATGGCAAAGGTATGTCCAGCTCGAGATGAATCGATAACACCTGGCCACTTGCTAATTTCCCATCGGTACAGGATCTTGGTGGATTCCTCTCGTACTATGGTGCCAACGTTGATGGAGACGGCAAGGGTTGGTCGATCGGAGGTGCCCCCAAAACTGGAATTTCGGGCTCCCACAACAACTACGAAACAGACTCGTCGCCATGCAAGTCTGACTTGAGCCAGTACGGCTCCAACCAGAAGCTTGTCCTGTCTCAATTCAAGACCCTGTACAATGCCCAACCAGACGCCAGCACGGCAAACTACAACCTCGAGGTTCTGCGCGAATTCCGCGGCAAGCGTTACGCAGAGTCGATTGCGAAGAACCCCGACTTCGCGTACCTGCCCTTCGGCGGTATCCTCGTCTCGCAGGCTGCCTACACCTTCATCTACCGCTTCATGGGCAACAAGTCAATTGAATACCCCTCGGGCGTGCTCAACAAGGATGTCTTGAAGTCTTTCATGTCCATCACAGGCGACGATGACAACATGAAGTGGACATTTGGTAACGAACGGATTCCTGAGGTTTGTACTCCCACGGTGCTAAACGAGACGTTCATATTGCTAACTCGTTTCTAGAACTGGTACAAGCGGAACCAGGCCGACGAGTACTCTGTCCCATACTGTAAGTCGCGCGTATCCGCCCGCCGCTGGATTCCCTAGCTAATCCCCAACAGTCTTCTCCGACATTCTCTACTTCGCCGAGACTCAGCCCGAGATCCTGAACATTGGCTGCAACCAGGGCCAGGTCAACACTTTCCTCCCGCTGAACACAAACCTCCTTACCAACGGAGCTTACAGCGATGAATCAGCCGCTAAGGACCCGTCCTGCTTCGCTATGCAGTACGGTGTTAGGGCCATGCTGGACTCTGCCTCCCCGAGCCTTTTGGCGCCTCTGACGAATGCTCTTTCGAGCACATTGGCTGCCTTGACCTGCCCTTCCATCTCCAGCTTCAACCTGACGGCTTTGGCTTTGGGATGCCCTGGATTCTCACTCTATGGTGGTCCCAGCGCACCGGTTGCCCCAGGTGCCATCCAGAGTTGAGCGTTGCATTTTGAATGATCTAGAGAGAGAGTTTTGGTATATGATAGCATGGCTCTTTTCATGGGCCTTTGAGTGCGAAGCTTGCATCACGAAGATATAGCGAAACGCGCAACATGACACAGCTACAACTAAAAATCAACAATTTGTTGACGCCCAGCTTGCTTCCCTATTCTTTATCAGTGTGATTTCCGATTTGGTTAATCAATGAAAGATGGTATGGCCAACAACTCGCGCTGCTCGCGACTCTCGGTCGGCATTCTGCCTAAACGCAGATGGTACCATCCTTTTCGTTCATGTTAATCTGCGGTGAGAATCTATTTGTCGGTCATGTTCGTGGGAGCATAGGCAACGAAGTATGAGATTTATGCATGAAAATGCTCAGCACTAAACGCAGTTTGTGGTAGGCAACATCGATTGCCCAAGTTTCCAGACAACTCCTTGCAAATGCGAGTGATGAAACGCGCGAAGGCCCAGATGAAGTCGAAACACAATTCGACATAGCGGCAATCGATGTCAGCATAGGTAGTCATGCGCCTGCAGCTCGCTAAATTCGGCGCATTCAAGGATCCTTGGAGAATGTAGACAGACAACACCGCCACCGGACTGCTCTGCATTCGGCACCTTCGCTTCCTTCGAGTTCGTGTGAGAGAGTTCCTTGAAGACGGACAAGTGACTTGGCTCCCAACCGTTTTTTGCAGATCTCGAGCTCAGTACCTAATTTAGGGATAACATGCGCCACTAGTGGGGATCTAGACGAGTGTCACGGACGCCGGCAGAGCTGCGCACGAATGACAGGAAACACAAGGCTGCGCGGACTCGTAATTCCATCCCGGGCAATACCAGAAGAGGGCATAGTCAAGGATTTTTTGCTCGGCTGAGCCGCGTGTTAGCGAGCCTAAAAGCTGCTTCCCCTGTCATGCCCGTGGGAGTCTGGCAACCTTCTTCGTCGTCGCCTTTCCTCTCTTTGATCAAACCTGAACTATCTCCATCGCGTGCTTGTATACCTTATCTGTGCGGACATTCGTTTACTCCAAACCACTTCGCTTTGTGGCGTGGACTATAAATAACCCTTTTGCTCGATACAAAGAAAGGACGTGGCAACGGGCGACGGCAGCACCATCATCCGATCGCCAGCATTCCATCCCGCCATCTTCTGTTAACACGCTGTGTGCCAGTTGCTCTGCACTGTAGCTGCGACGCCGGAGTCGACCAATTGCTACCCTGCGAACTACCTTCACCATGAAGAATACACACACCTTTAGCGCTGCGGCCGCGCTCATCGCGACCTTCTCCCTGGCCACCGCACAAAATGCACCCAAGTGCGGAGCCGGCAACCAATGTCCAGAAGACGCGCCCTGCTGCTCCCAGTATGGCCAGTGCGGTGCAGGAGCATACTGTCTTGGTGGATGCGATCCCGTCAACTCCTTCAACCTCCAATCGTGCGTGGCAGCTCCGACGTGTAAAAGCTCCGACTACAAGATGGACTCTATGGACGACATAATGAAAAACACCGAATATCTGGGAGACGCGAGTAAGGCGAACTGGGTCAGCTCGGGGACTGTTGTGCCATATAATGGAGACTCTGTCCTGCTCACCATGGCACCGAGCACAGTCGGAACATTACTTTCCAGCACACACTACGTCTGGTACGGCAAGATCAGCGCTACGATGACCACATCGCAAGGCAAAGGTGTCGTGAGCGCTTTCATCCTGATGAGCGATGTCAAGGACGAAATCGATTTCGAGTTTGTTGGTGAAGATGTCACGGATGCCCAAAGCAACTACTACTGGCAAGGCGTAACCAACTGTAAGTGCCGATATCCGTTACGCGTTTGATACTTAGACTGACAACTCAAAGACAACAACATGGAGAAGTTGAAGACCACCGACAGTCGCCAAAATGTTCACACATACACCATTGACTGGCAACCAGATCAGCTTACATGGGCTATTGATGGCGAAGTCATGCGCACGCTGAAGAAGTCCGATACATGGAACGAGACGAGCAACGCCTTCAACTACCCTCAGACACCTTCCCGCATTCAGCTTTCTTTGTGGCCTGCTGGACTTCCAAGCAACGGCGAGGGCACCATCGAGTGGTCTGGAGGTCTCGTTGACTGGGACAGCCCATACATGCAGAACGGATACTACTTCGCAATGGTCAATGACGTGAGCGTAGAGTGCTACGATCCACCGAGCGGCTTTTCAAACGACTTTGGCGACAAGGCCTACTACTATCTGAACGATGCTGCCACCAACAACACCGTCGCGATTGGTAACAATGACACCACTTTGGCATCATTCCTCGCAACTGGCAACAAGCCTGACTTTGACCCGAACGCAAAGGCTAGTGGCACAAGCAGCAAGGCCAGCTCCGCTCCTACCAATATGCCCGAGACCGTTCCTGGTATCTCTGGAGGTGGCAATGCGGCCAGCAGCGGCCAAGCTCCAGTCGATACTGGTAGTGATGACTCTTCATCGTCCTCTTCCAATTCTAAYGCTGCCTCCGGCGGCTCGTCTTCAAATGGCGGCAGTGGTGTAGTTTTCTCTCAGGGAGGCGGTAGTGATGGCACTAGTGAGGCTGCACCAAGAATTATCGCAGGCAGCGCGGTAGCACTTCTTGGTTTTTTCGCTGTTGCATTGATGATGTGAGCGGTATGATATGACATATTTGGGGGTTAATGCCTTTATGGCTTCACAGTCCTTTGGTTATGCGAGCAATCGCTTGGAGGTGGGCAGAGGAACCATGTACAGCACTCGGTCCTGCTTTGTGGATGGACAACGTTGCTCATGGGTATTGCGACTCTTCAATGTGCAGCTTTAGCGACTTAATATTCAAATGCAATGGTACAGTTCAGCTTTGACTGAGATGTGCTGCTGTAACCTCTGACTTTTGTGATCCGCAGCGAATCAAATCTCTCATTCGTTCCACAATCTATCTTCATGCTGCACTGAGGAGTCTCCTGATCAAGATGATCGCCAAGACTTGCTGCACGGCTCAACTTCGGGAACACGAGGGGATTTCGAACGATGATCGCGGCGGACCTTCAAACTTCCAATCGACGACGACTTCCCACTCATACTCAGTTCCACCTCTCAATCACACACTACCGTCACCATGGAGAACGAACGCGGCGAGCTTGTTGACCTGTAAGCGCTCACATACGTCCCAGCGACAGAATCGACAAGGCGCACGGGTTACTAACATGACATTTCAGCTACGTCCCCCGCAAGTGCTCTGCGACGAACCGCATCATCAAGGCCAAGGACCACGCATCCGTCCAGATCTCGGTTGGCAAGGTTGACGAGAACGGCCGCTACACCGGCGAGAACCAGGTCTACGCCCTCTCCGGCTTCGTGCGCGCCATGGGCGAGAGTGACGACAGCATCAACAGACTGGCACAGCGCGACGGCTTCCTCAAGGGCGTGTGGAGTGGCAGCAGATAAGCGGATGGCTATGGGAATACGAGTGAAGAACGAAGGAGTGGAAATGGTGAGTGGGATATGGGCGCGGACATTTMGGATGTGGAGGGCACTGGCTAATTGCAGTCTGCAGGTTGTCACGCACGGCTTACGGCTCAACATGGCGCATGGAAATGGTCTCGGCTGATTTTTTTTCGACGACATGGCAGCGAGTTGATTATGATATGTCTCTCGCAGCTGAAGCCGCAGTTGCTACTGCAGCGAAAGGCTGATTGAATGCACCAACCACACCACACCCTTTCGAAGTCACCTCTCGATCCAGCTCTCTCTGTCTCTCTTTCCCACGTRCATCCCCCGCCTGTCCTGTGATTGCTTCGCACTGTTATCGCTCTTCACGCACGGCTGATCAATGGCCTTCGCTTTCCCTGCTTGCTACGGTGAGTTGGATCCATGAGAGCAGAAGGAAAGGCACGGGGTCGGGTAAAGGGGCAGTGGGGTCTTCGGAAACCGTGCCTCTCGTCTTGCCTCGTACAGCCCATAAGAATGCCGAAAGGCATCTGCCTTGAAAAAGCCGCGGCCGTTGAGAGTATTGGCTGTGGTACAGATACGGGCTGGACATACTGACTGTGAACCACTCGCCTTCGGATGCACACGTGATTGCTCTCATGACGAGGAACGACCGTAACGTCTGTTCACCCCGAGGCGTCAGATCTTCTTGTGCCACGCGCTCAGGACCCTTCGTCGCACTACTGCAGTATGGTTTGGTGGGTGTAGCAAGACTTGTGCAGAGCATGGCTAGAAGGTAGGTCGAAGATAAGTGGACACTCGTCGTCGTTGCTCGTTTACGACTTTTCCCTCGTATCTTGGTTTGTTTTCATGTTCTTGGGCTTCGCGCTCTCATTCTTGTCCTGCGCTAGGTTGCGCGTTCGGGTCGGCGAAGGACTAGGTGCTGGACTTCTCCTGAACTCGCGGCGCAAGCTGTTCTTGACCTTTTGTTCGTGGTCCAAATGCTGCATTTCAATGGATTGGACCACAACCTCCTTACAGCACATTTTGGTTTTCTTCGCTGTCTGCATGGTTACGGACGGCATGCTCGTCAAAATCGAGTGGTAACGCGACACGGCGGCTTACCATGCAGCGCTCTTGTATGTGGAAGAAACCATTGTGCGGACGAGACTTTGGACCTCACCATAAGACATGGTCTTTGTTGCTCGTTTGCGTCATTTTATATCTGAGACGATGTTTTCCTTTGTGCTCTTGCGTTCTGGGATGGCGAAATCTTGTGCTCTGGAATGTAGCTGAACTCATGATGATGCAGCGCCAAATACTGCGTTCGCTACAATGGCCCCAATGCCTGATGAAACTAAAGGTTGCCGCCCTATCTGGGGCAGTCAAAGATTGTATGCTTTCTGCAACAGTGAGGCCATCCTTAAGAAGATGTTGCTCAATGCTGCCCCGTTTTTATGCCTATAGCTACCGTTTCGCGAGCTTTGTCGTCGATTCACTGCAGGGAGAGCCGGCGATCCTCAATTTCAACAGGCCTTGCCCGTAGCTCGGTTGCTAGAAATTTGAGCACAACTGAGTGAATGCGGGTTTTGGAGGATCGCTTCTCTGTCTTGCTACTTGCAGTTCAGGTTCTACCTTCTGTTCTGCAGCCTTGCTAGGTAACACATAGGGGGAAGAAACGTTGAAGCAAGTTCTGTTTCGATGAATCGAGGCACGGGCTCAGAACTGCCCGAAGAAAACAGAGATCATACTCACCGCTCTACGTTATCGTGCTAATCTCGCCTTGCATCTCACTGCAGATATTGCCCTCGCCGGGCCTTCGCCGGGGGGGGCCCTTTCCAGAGTTTGGGATTTACTCTGCAGAACACAACCGCGTAAAGTGCAGATGATCGGCGAATTGACTCGCGTGAGCAATACAGAGAGATGAATGCGGATTTTGTGATGGGAACCGAGCGATTAAGCATCGGCATTTGCCTGAGGCTCCGGGGAGGTGAAGCGGTTACTTCTGCAGAGTGCATCCGTACGCCGTACGAGGACTACCGATAATGCCTGTTCCCGGGTCTTCCAGGTTTCGCGCTGCTTGTGCAGATATCAGACAGTTCTAGATCGCAATGGAATAAGCAGGTGCGACATGCGCGTCCATCACATGCGTCTGCATACCGTCAATCATCTCTCTTCCAGTGGTTGAGGCAGAGGTGTCACATTGGTAGGCTCTAGCGGTTTTCGGCCTGCCATTGGTGGATCTGCAATATCGACACAAATTGCAACAGTGCCCTTCATAATTTGGCAGATTTTGTCAATTGACTCGTCGAGATGGGGATGTTTACTCATGTGTTTGACATGGTGACTCGTGAGGTTTGGACTTGAACTTGTGCAGATGCTCAGGCTCAGAATGCCCTCCACAGCAGCGGGAGGAAACGGGATTCTCTAGAGTTTGAATTGTCTGAGATGCACATTTGCTGACGTGCACCATCGGGGTGGACTTGTGCRGCGTCTCCTTGCATCGGCAGTCATTCCTGGTGGCCAGAATTCCGCTTTCGCCGTGGTTTTGCGAGAAACGATTCGCTGCTAACACACCGGAGTCAGGATGCTCGAGAGGACTCTGTAAATCTAAACAACCTCCGACGCAAAGAGATGCTAGCGAACGAGGCACCGGCCGGGCAAGGACGTGAGACAGGTCGTGTGGACGCAGGTCTCGTGGTTGCATCAGCAGCACACATAGTGAGTGGAGTGGGGAATCCGGAAAAATGGCGGTATGAGACCTTTTGTCTTGCAGTAGTTTGGGAGTGTGGCAGCAGCTTATTGCTGGTTCCGCTGGTATCGGCATGTTCGCGCATAACCGCCATATGCCCGTAGATGTCAGGGCATGTTCGGCGTGGCGGAAGGGCGTTTAAAACCGTGGAATGCACGGTGGAATGGCTATATTGAGAGTGGGGGAGACGCGTCGACCGGCCTCGTGGCCTTGGCCAATGGTGTGGCAAGCGCAACCCGTTTTACGCACGCGTACCTACCTCTTGTGGCAATCCTGGCAATCTTGCATCCACCCACAGCACTGGTGTGGCAAGCGCGATCGTTGCGAGCTGCATGCGGCGAACGGGGACTGTCTGCAACCAACAGTCACTTGATCCAAGCCGGAGGTGGACCAAAATGTGGCCCATGATCCCTGTGGTCGAAGCGGATCGTCTGCCGCACTAGCTCCAACCCAATCGCTGGGCGTGCATGCCCGAAGAACTGTCTAGTTCTACTCCTAGCCGCACAAACATCTTCGCCCACGGACTGATCACTACACCCGCTATGCTGCTGCGCCAGGGCAATGGCAGCAAAGATCTTTTGCCGAGTCTAAGCTCCCGGTAAAGGTCACTCATCTTCTTCCCGCAACATTCTGCACGCGGACACGATCGCTACCCGGTTCTTGGAGCACGAAGAAGGTGGCGGTTGCAGTCCACATATCTGCTCACATCTTCACCCCACCGTCGATCGATCCTCACGGCCTCACGGTCTGCACATCTTCGTCCTCTCCGCCGTCCTATCGCTACCATGGCCGCCGACAATACGCTGCCCGTCGACCACGCCCTGCCCCTGCCATGGGTCTCCAATCCCGTGGCACAGCGAGTGCTGAGGTACTCTCAGGTCGCCTACCCTATTGTCATGCTCCTCCTATACCTGATCACCTTCACCATCCGCAGCGTGCTTACTGCGAGCAAAGATGAAGACGCCGCGCACGAACCGGAGCAGCTCGGGCCCGGCGGAAAGCCATTGCCGTTGAGGAAGAACAACCAGCCCAAGAAACAGTCCAGCATCCCACACGACTTGGACTTCAGCCGGCCGCGAAAGCTGCTGTTTGAATGGCTATCGGTGGGAGTCATCCTCAGCTTTGGTGCCAATATCGTGGTGACCATCGTGCATGCCCTGCTTGCCCGTAAGGAGAGATGGTGGTGTGGAGAGGCACCTACGGTGAGTCTGGATCCGCCTCGGGTCAGGATATATCACGTACTAATTTTGTAGATCTATTTGATTGGATCGTTCATGGTATACACCCTCCTAGTGATCCACATGATTGATTCCTGTCCATCGCCCACCGCGGCCCACTTTGTGACATGGCTGGCGGCGTTGCTCATGGAGCTTATCCTTCTCGGATCCTCCTTTGCCCTCTACACCTCGGAACACCGTGAACCCAAGGCCGGTCATCCGCATGGAGGAGTACTACGAAGGGAGATGACTGAATGGGAAATCACCGAAGTAACGATCGACATCGTTCGTGTCTTCCTCCTACTGGCTTTGATCGGCTTCTATGCGTTGTTCGTGTACCTACAAGGTGTAGGCAAGAAGAAGAACGATGATGACGCCGAAGAGCGCACTGCCCTACTATCGGCAAATGGAACCGCTCAGAACGGAGGTGCCAACGGGAACGGGAATGGTGTTTGTGCTGGATATGGGACTCAGAACGGAAAGCCTGCTGATCCCCAAGGCCGCCACGAAGAAATTCCCGCTGGCTGGGAGAAGCCCACGCAGACACCGTCTCGGAGCTGGTGGGAGTACATTCGTGCTTACGCCATCTTTCTCCCCTACATTTGGCCGGCCAAGAACCGCATGCTCCAGCTCAACTTCGTGGCATGCTTTATCATTGTTATCGTCCAGCGTGCCATCCAATTATTGGTGCCCATTCAAGTCGGTATCATTACGGATATCCTTGCCGGCAAACATGGACACGAAGTCTACATGCCATGGGCTGCCATCGGAGTCTACATCTTATATCGCATATTCCAAGGATCAAACGGCCTCCTTGGTGCTGCAAGGCAGGTCTTGTGGATACCGATCGAGCAGTATTCGTATCGGGAATTATCTGTAGCTGCCTTTGAGCATGTGCATATGCTCAGTTTGGAGTTTCATCTCGGCAAAAAGACGGGTGAGGTTCTTTCTGCCCTCGGCAAGGGAGCCTCCTTGAACACCTTCCTGGAGTCGGTTACGTTTAATGTGCTTCCGATGTTGGTGGATCTTGGCGTTGCACAGGTCTACTTTCTCATCAGATTCGATGCCTACTACGCTCTCGTGATCGCCGTGGTCACTTTCTGGTACATCTACATTACAATCCGGATGGCCTCTTGGCGTGCAGACATTCGTCGGCAAGCTACAAATGCTAGCAGAGAGGAGGATGCCGTCAAGAACGACTCGATGATGTCGTACGAAACCGTGAAATACTTCAATGCTGAAGATTACGAGTTCAACCGCTATCGTGAGGCGGTCAACAAGTATCAAAAGGCTGAGTATCTGGTCACATTTTCGTTGGCGCTCATGAACACCGTTCAGAACCTGGTTTTCATGCTAGGACTGATAGTGGTCTGCTTCATTGCAGCTTATCAAGTCACGACCAACTTTCTGAGCGTCGGTGACTTTGTTGTGCTTCTCACATACATGACCCAACTGCAAGGTCCACTAAACTTCTTCGGAACCTTCTACAGGATGATCCAGAACAACATGATCAATTCCGAACGCATGCTAGAGCTATTCAAGGAGCAGCYGACAGTCACTGATAGCCCTGATGCCAAAACCTTGCCAAGCTGCGAAGGCGAGATCCGCTACAACGACGTCAAATTCTCTTACGATAATCGAAAGCCGGCACTTCAAGGCCTCTCTTTCACTTGCGCACCGGGAACTACAACTGCGTTGGTGGGTGAATCCGGAGGGGGCAAGTCCACGGTATTCAGGCTTCTTTTCCGGTTTTACAATGCAGAATCAGGCACGATTCAGCTTGATGGGCACGACGCGGAGAGCGTGACCATTGACAGCCTGAGGCAGCACATAGGAGTGGTCCCGCAAGATACGGTTCTTTTCAATGAGACACTCATGTACAATCTCAAGTACGCCCGGCAGGACGCGACTGATGAGGAAGTGTACGCGGCATGCAGGGCTGCGAGCATCCACGAGAAGATTCTCGGCTTCCCCGATGGATATGAGACCAAGGTCGGCGAGCGTGGCCTCCGGCTCTCCGGAGGAGAAAAGCAGCGGGTTGCCATTGCCCGCACAATCATCAAAGACCCTAGGATCATTCTGCTGGATGAGGCGACCGCAGCCCTAGACACGGAAACTGAAGAGCACATCCAAGAAGCCCTAAAGACTCTTGCACAAGGCCGCACGATGCTCGTCATTGCACATCGCCTGAGCACCATTACAATGTGCGACCAGATTCTGGTGTTGCACGAAGGCAAAGTGGCGGAGAAAGGCACGCATATGGAGCTATTGGCCAAGAAAGGCAGATATGCGGGCATGTGGAAGAAGCAAGTCCGAGCGCAGCGTGCTGCTGAGGAAGCCAAGGTTCTGAAGGATAAGGCCGATAGACTGAGGCGAGAAAGTATGGACAGCAGCGCCGCTCGAGGTCGCAACGCCCGGGACGAAGAAACACCTCCCAGCAGCGACGAGGACGAGCACCGAAGTGCTTACCGGCGAGAGCAAAGCGAGCTTCAACGTTCTCTCTCACTGCCGGCCAATTCCGCGATTCCGCAAGCGCAGATATCTTCGGCATTGAGCGGAAGAGACCCCGGGACAGACACCTCAGCACAGAGGGAGGCTCTTCGCAGTGGGACTGTGCGTTCGCCATCGCCTGTGGTAGAAGAGCCTCGCAAGCCAACCGGCCATCCCTAGGCGTGGAGGAACGATGGCGGCAGCTTTAGGATCGCCAGGGGGCATGGTTAAAATGAAGTCGAGCATACAGATTCGTGGCTAGCATGGTGAGCAGGTCAACGGACGACGGAGAACACATCATTCATGGCGTTATTCGGGGCTTCGTGATGCGTTATGAGGTGACGATGGCGGCGGTCTTCTACAGACATGTACGACGGAAGACAACGCACAAAAGGCTTGTATGCTTTGGGCGGCGGTTTCGGGTTTCGGATTGCTAAAGGTGGGCGACTGTACCAAGCGGTCAGTACTGTTTGAATGAGTGTGGCGAAGAGCAGATAGTAGCAGTCCTCGATTAACAGCAAAGGCAGCTGATCGGACTCCATCCACCATTGTTCGACATTGATCTGAATCCTCTTCATTCGAATAAATGTCTCGACCGTGCCGATGATGCAAGGCTCCACTTGACGGCCTACAACCGAGCAGGTGCGGTGGTGGGTGGCTGCCATCTGGCTCGTTGCAAGCTCATAGGTTTCGGTCAACTCGCGCCATCGGTGTTGTCGCCGATAGAACTACTTAGTCGACAGAGACGTAAAGTAGCGATCGGCCGTTCAACATGCCTGAAAAAGCATAGGAGCTGTCAAGCCCGTCCGGCCGGGTTCAAGCCTATGCCAGAGCTTGACGAAGCGGTCCCGATGCCAGGGTATTGGTTGTGGTTGCACGGCACTAACGCTGTAGATCGCGGGATCCCACATGCCGTCCTCTCGTCTCCAGGCCTCCCGCCCGGGCAGAGAAAGCAGTTCTACTACTATCTCCTACGCGACAACGCGACACTGCTGACAACTTTTGAAATTCGCGAGCCAACAATGGCTGTCTTTCTGACCCATTGGAATGCCCCACTTGAAGCATTGCCCCTCTCTTTGGAATATTGTGGGTCTGCATGTTGTTAGGTGTAACCTTCTTGCTTTCCATCCCGACCATATCGACTAGGGCGTGCAATCAATTCGACGGCGACCCTTGTTTCTGACTACCCCAGCAACGCTCCACTACATTTCTGACTTGCTCGCTGGCACTCTTAGCACCTCTTTCATGCTGTGGCCTGTCCTACCACATGCTCTTCTTCTCYACCCCGTTCTATCYCTGACGCTGGCTCACTCGAAGTCTGTCCACTTCTAGTTTCTCCCACCTCCCTCCCGGAACCGAGCGCGGTTCCGTAAGATCTGTGCAAGTGAGTGGTGGATGGCTGCAGCAGAATTGTTACACAACTGCACGTTCATACCCTCAAAATCCGGTATCCGTTGAGGCGGTAAGCAGCTTTCACGATGAGTGAGAGAGGCTCCGCCAGAGGGTCGGCTCAGATTCCCGTTGTAGGCATCTACCCATCATCGACCATGCTTGACTGGATCGAAGTACTGACCAGAAAGGACGATGCTTATTCTACATATGAGAACGGGGACGTCTACCATGATGGAGAAAGCTTTTCATCGTCAGTCCTTTTTCTCAGAATATACGACATTCCAATGTCTAACTCTAACGGCTGCACTAGTGGACGGACATTGGCCACAACCACAACGATGTATCGTTACGAGAATGGAAGAACGTATCATGCCTATCGTAAGTCTAGACACGATCATAGGAGAAGTCATCCTGACATCGTTGCAGGAGACGGTGAATACTGGCAACCGAACGACGAGAAGCAGAACAACCATGAAGCTATCGTGTAGGTCCCACCAGACCACGCATTCAAGGTCCATGCTAACAGCTTAGGCAYCATTTATGCATCATGACGCTGCAAGATAAGCTATACTCGGCGCCGATCGAAGATCCCAAGACCATCCTCGATGTTGGTTCGTTTAATGGGCATATCTATCCAATGCTCATTTACTGACAATATATTTAGGTACTGGCACTGGCATTTGGGCAACGTATGTTGCCAAACCAGGAACATTCGCGGCAGCTAACAACTCCTCAGAGACATTGCAGACAAGTTTCCTGATGCCGAAATCATCGGTACAGACCTTTCCCCAGTTCAAAAGGGGATGCAACCCGACAACTGCCGTTTCGAAATCGACGACTGCTGCAGCGAATGGCTGTATGATGAGAACTACTTTGACTTTATTCATATCCGTGGCCTCTTTGGCAGTATCGCGGACTGGCCAACTCTCTACCAACAATGCTATAAGCACTTGAAACCGGGTGCTTACATTGAGCAAGTGGAATGGAGCATACATAATCGTTCAGCGGATGGAACGCTCGGTCCCAATGCCACTCTTGCACGCTGGAGCCAGAATGCCCTGGCCATCGCTGAAAAATCCGGGAAGACATTCGAGATAGCAGAGAATATGGCAGGACTCATCACCGAGGCCGGATTCGTGAATGTTGTTGAGAAGAGATTCAAWTGGCCTATAGGTCCCTGGAGTAGCGATCCACGACTCAAAGAGATCGGGCGTTGGAACCTGTTGAATTGGGAAGAAGGGATGGAGGGATGGACCATGGCACCTTACACGCGGGTCTTAGGGGTACGTGTATCATCGCCCACGATGCGATCTGTACTGACTTGCTCGATAGTGGACGCGGATAGAGGTACAAGAGTGGCTGAGTGAAATTCGCAATGCTCTGCGAAATCGTAAAGCCCACCTCTATCATGAAGTCCGTGTCGTCTACGCCCGCAAACCCGAATAATTCGACTGGCGCGGTTTATGACGTACGATCGTTTGCGATTGGGTTCATGGAGATCCACTTCAGCCATACAATAAGGCTCCTACCAGTGCTCTTGTGCTGACGACTTTCCGTCTCTCTGGTTTCTCCATCAGGCCACGGCTCGCATTTTGGAAACGGTTTTGGAGGCGCTGGACAGCGATGCATTTTGAAAGCGTCAGTCAGATACGACTAATGAAATGCCAAGTTGATGAATAATTCAATCTATCAAAGTCTGTCACCGTCCATGCATTGTGCTCGCGAGGTTTGGTTGAATATCTCCATGCGTCCATCAGCCAGCTGTGCAACAGGTCCTCCGTCTTCCAAGGTGAAGTCTAATTGTCTCCCGTATCCACGCATTCGGGAATATGACAGCTGTCTGTCGGCGAGTCAGATCCAGATCTACCACTCTGTCGGGTCCAGGTATGATTGCGGGCAATTTGCAGCTGTGCAGGCCCCAGGGTACAGTTTTCAAAGATTGCCTTCTCGGGTCTTCCAGCTACCATTTCCTTGGGTCCGATGGAAGGATCGCGTTCGTGGTAGATCCTTCGAAGTGATCGGACTATTGACTATGCTCTTGATCCCTTGCGAATGGTAAGAGAAAAGGCAATATTCCTTTGTCTGCTCTGTTCACTAACAGGATCGCCAAAGAACAGGGAGCCTTACTACCYCATCTCGTTCCCTGAGAAAACGCTCGTTCGTTATCCACAACAAGGTCGTTTTCTATAACAAGATCATCGAGATGGAAGTCGAGCGGAACAGGCGTTTCAAAGCCTGTTCGCGTACATCCACATCCTGGCCGATTCTTCCTCGTCGGCAACTCTCTTTCCTTGCCCAGCTCCTCCCAGGATTCAACAAATCAAGTCAAACTGCCAAGTCCCGCTGCCCAAATAAGCACCGCAGTAACATTCAAAGCAACAAGTCCCGAAAGACTCGACGAAAGCAGCAACGGGATGATTTTCCGAACCGTCCAAATTTCTTCTCCATTCTCCTGCGCAGTCTCCATTGCCACCGTTTTGACAACAAGTGCAATTCCACAAAATACCAAAGCAGCCGCACCACCGATCGTTTCCATGAATTCTAGAAGCTCTGGAGTTGGATGAACGCTGGTCCCGGACCACTCCACCATATTACAGAGCAATCCGCCCCAAGGTCTTCCCATAAAGTGGCCGAGGTACCATATTGTTGTGATCAGAGCTGTGAGACCAATTACGAAGCTTGCGATTTGGAGCCCGCAATTGAGTGAAGAGATGAGAAATGCGGTGCTCTTTTGGGGCGACATTTTCGTTTGGGAGAGGGCTGCGGGAGAAGAGGAAAGAGGAAAGAGGAAAGAGAGGAAAACGGGAAAGGAGGGTGGATGGTGGGACTTGGGGAGAGTAAAGTCTTGATCGTCGTGGGTCCCACCCGCAAAAGGCGGTGGATCTGCATGAGGCACAGCCATGGTAGTGCCGATACAACCGTGCAGAGACGAGCAAGCTTCCTCTGCTRAAAATCCTCACGCTTTTCAGACCTACATGGGAAATTTCTGTATAGTGATGGTTCGGCGAATCCATATATCTGCCACAAGATGTCCAGCGTAGCAGTTCAAATTTCAGCTGAAAGCGCGCATGCCGATCATTCATGGATCCTTCAACGTCGATCGTCGTGCTTTTACCTAGCACAATTGTGAAGCGTTCATGAGGTTTTCCCGTGCACTGAAGATACTGTCAGCAAAACTCATACAACACCTGAAGGCATTGGGAATTAATTCAGTATCAACGCCTCACGCAATGCGCTCTCCGATGCATAATCAAATCCAGACCCGGAACACCCAGTATAAACCCTTCACAAAGCACTGCAAGTAGGAACACTAGATCCCACAAACAGCACAGCGCTTTGTCTTGTGATCGCCATGGTAAGCGTCCAGATGATCCTGGCCGTCGAGACGCTCTCCGTCCTGCGGCACCGAGCCCATCCACGTCTCATCATTCTCGTGTCCATGTCGCTGGAGTAATCTGGTGACCTTCTCAACCTCGTCACCAAGGTCAAGGTAGTTGCGGAGGAACTCCCCAACCTCAGTGTTCTCGTGATTTCCACGGAGAGCTTTCGCAGCGTGGGAATCAGAAGTGTAAATGTTGACATCCGCGCCAGAGTGGCCATGCGTGCTCCAACCTGTCTGCGCGCGACGAGAGACCATGTCGGCAAAGATGTAGGAAGCCCGTTCTGGACGTTGAATGAGGTCAGAAATCTCCTCGGTGCTTGGATCGTTAATCCCTAGGGCCCTGGCTGTCAATTCTTTGATGTAAGTCTTCTTGGCTTCAGACTCCGCGTCTGCTGATAGATCTTCGGGTAGAGATGAGATGTGCATTTGATATTCGCGGGATACATGGCTGGCAGAATGGGAGACGTTTGCAAGGACACCAGGGTACCAGAGGTATTGTGGGTAATCTTCGTGCAACTGCCTTGCGGCTGCCAGTCCACCGGTCTCATGGTCGGAGGTGCTGACCATGAGGGTGGGAGTTTCTTCGTGCTTGATAAAGTCCAACACGGCGGCAATAGTACGGTCGTATGCCAATACTTCATGTACTTGAGCTCCTGGGTCGTTTGCGTGTCCAGCATGGTCGATGCGTGAACCTTCGATCATTACGAAGAAGCCCTGGTCTGAGTCCTTTGTCGCAGCGCTTAGTGCTGTTAGGGCGGTCTTGGCCATCTATGGGTATGGTCAGCACAGCGTCAGGCTTTGTGCCATTAGTGAAGACAAACCTCTTCCAGAGATGGGTAGACCTCATTCTGATGCCGTCGATCCACCTCATACGGAATGTCTGTTGGTGAGAACAGTGCCAGTAGAGGAAGCTCCACCGACGGGCCCAAGTGATCAAACTCGTTCCTGGTTGAGATGTAGTTCCATCCCTTCTCGCCGGCAGTCTTGATGACATCCACATCGTCTGCACGACATCCTCCTTCGGTGGTGTTTGGCAAGAAATGACACCTGCCTCCACCCATCATCAGATCTACCATCCTTCCAAGCGGATGCGTTTCCCCGATCATTTGCAAAGCGATATCRTCCTCCATCTCTCGTCTACGTACATGGCTGGCAAACACAGCGGGCGTGGCATCTGTGATTCTGGTGGTGACGACCAAGCCTGTGGTATAACCTTTCCTCTTCGCAGCCTCCATGACACTTCCACACGGATCGAACGAAGGCAACACAGAGATGGCTCCATTGTAGCTCTTGATGCCGCAGCTGAAAGCTGTCGCTCCAGCCGCAGAGTCCGTGACGAGACTGCTGGAACTGCGCGTCCTGCTCTGTCCGATCAGGTGTTTATCCAAGACGAGCGTGTTATTCCAGGGAAGCTGATCCGTGTATTGCCTCCAACTTCTGGCCAACTCCAGACTGGTAGGGCCCATGCCGTCCGAAACCATGAAGATCAGATTCCTCTTCCCTCCTCCGTGCTTGCTCTTGTCTCCCCCATCAGAAACCTGGGTGTTATGCTGAAAGACAACGGCGAGGATAACGACAGCAGCTGTAGCAACCAGCGCCCACGCGAAGAGTACTATCTCTCTCCATTTGCCCTTGTTATGTGCGTTGATGGGTTCTCTTTTGCCGGGGCGCTGGCCAGTGAGCAGCGCGTCTTCCTCCTCGATGCCTTGCTCTCCCGAGTTCACGGAGTCGGGGCGCTGAAATACAGGCGCGTTCCGTCCGGATGACATTGTGCGGCGATAGCGCTGGGTCAATAGGGCTTGTAGTAATCAGGAGTATAGGTGGAGGTATGGTGTGATGAAAGGCGTAGGGGACGAGGGCGACGTTGGATGTCTTTCATTAAGGAAGTGTGTGAGGTCACCGACGGGGATGGGAACGGGGATGGGGAACGACGGAGATGGGGAACGGAGATGGGGAACGGGGATGGGGGGGATGGCGCTGTCACATGCCGGGCACACAACCATCGCGATCCTTCTCACACGCAAAACGACTATGCATAGGTATCCTTTCCACAGCAAGTAAACCGATTCTCAAGCTTGCTAGAAAGGTAGAAACTGCTGAGACCCTCATTGCTACTAGTCACTGATTGGGTTGTAAAAAAAGTACATGCTTCCTCGCTGCAAACTCGAGCTAACCTGCTCTAACTTTCCCGTTCCAATATCATTACTTCAATGTCATGTCGTGTCGTTATGCTTTCCTCGGACTGCCGGATAGAATCCCATGCCTCGCCATTCCCCGGGAAAGCAGCTTATCTCCGTCCATCGTACGATTTCTCGTATCTTGGGAGGTCCTCACGCTCGACGATCGTCCGCTCCTTGCCTTCCTTGTACTCTGTCCACTTGTTCTCGCCAGCATTCGCAGCAAGACCACCAACKATTGCGCCAATGACAATGTCTCGATTCTTGTGCTTCTGGCCAAACTCTCGTCCCGCCAGACCGCCGATAACGGCTCCAGCAAGACCAGCGCCGAGACCACGCGGGCGAGTGCTGAATGTTTCCTCAAGCTTGCCACGGATACCAGAGTTGGAGCGCGAACGACYCGGGGTAGGGGAGCGGGTGTACGATCTGGAACGGGATCGGGACGAGCGGTAGCTATCACGACCTCTAGATTTGTCGCGACGGCTGATCTCGGTGGCCGGGAGAGTTCCCTCGGACCGTCTGGCGTACGGTGCCATGGTGCCGGCACCATATGGTCCAGCGCTGTAGTCTGAGCGAATGCTCTCGTTCCGCTCTGGTCCCCACGGACGATTGGCAGCCTGGATACATGTTAGCAATTGTTTCTCTCTTGAATCCTAATGATGCTTCACGAACAGTCAGTGCAAGCGGTCCCGCACTTACCGGACCACGATACACCTCCCGCACCTCTTTCACTGTGTCGTATTCGTCACGACCGCGGTCACGATCATCGTACCCGCGACCGCCTCCGCGGTATCTGTCGCCGCTGCGCTCGTCATAGTCGCTGTCTTCGTCGTCGTAGTACCGGCCTCGTGCGGGCTGCGAGCGAGGGCGATCGTTCTCCCCACCGCCTCGGTATCCCGACTCTCGGTACTCGTCTCTGTAGCCTGACGCCATCGCACTATCTCTTCTCGACTTCGACTTTGATTTGTAGACGAGTAGCAAGTCCTCCTTCGGTGGTAGGCCTTTCTCGAGTAGCAAGTTCTTCTTCGGTGGTAGGATCTGCTCCTGAATTCGCAAGGCTCGCTCGGTGAGAAGGTTCCCTCGGCCTAGATCTGGCTCGGGAGTGGCCTGAGTGATGCGGTATGTCCGAGCACCTTCTTGTGACGACGACCGAACACCTCCACGCTCGTGTGTGGCGTACGACTCTGAATTCCGGCGCGATCTGTTCTCGTGGAATGGACCGTCGTACTTGTCACTGATCTTCTCCTTGTCGTCTTTGGGCAGAGATCTGGGCTTTCCCACCGCCTTGTCGTAGATGTGGTCGAAGTGTTTTCCTGTGGCGTGTGCGAGGAATTCCAAGCCGTTTTCAACTATGATGCGACGAGATAAATCAGTGAAACAACCGGGATGTTTTGGGAAGTGAGGGAGACGGTACCGTAAGCCTCAGCCATACTTTGCGATGTGGCGGGGCCGGGCGATGAYGTTCCAGGCTAACTAGTAGGAGTAATTTGAGCTTGTGACGACGGAGCGGTTCTGGTTGGGCCAACTTCGTATGCACGTCGAGAAACCACTTGGCCGCAGTCACCGGTAGCGAGCGCTCGACTGGGTATCCTGAGCTTCTGATGAGCCTCTTTGRGGCCGCTGGTGTGCAGTCGCCGCAGGGTGTTTCAGTCGCAGGGTTAACCTTGTGCGCGCCGCGGTGTGTGGTGTGTGGTTGTTCGAAATTGTACACCTCACGTCTTGACTCGCGGACACTTCACAAAAGCCTTGTCGCTGTGAGGGTGTGGTGCGAGGGAAGCTTGTCGGCTGGATGTTGACGGTGATGATGGATGAAGGGTGATGTTTGCAGGCGGCTGTGAGGTGATTGTTGTAGCCGCCCGCTCAGTCGCGAAAATGCGGTCACTGGCTTCAGTGAATCACCTCACTTACGGCTCGCCTACTTTTGGAAGCACTCTCCGAATGATATGCCTGCTCGTGCCAGCAAAGCATGCCGCCTGTGGGGGTGCAGTGATGATGTAACGGGGGATTTGCGTCTTTCATGTGAGTGGCCACGTAGGAACCCTGCCCTGCAGGAGAGTGGACTGGGATCTAGGCAGCTCTCTCAATGAGCGGTGATCACCTTCCTTCGCTCTGGAGACTACGCTTGGACGGGCAGGATGACTTCCTTCGAGCCGCCATCAGCGCGTTGCTGTCGGGTTGGGCTTCAAATCGACACGCCGAGCTCACAGTCACTCAGTTTGCAGTGGAGGGGCCGCCGAACCATGGCGAAGTGACTACTGGTATCAGTCGGATTCGGCATCGTGCCAGCGTTATGATGTATCGACCACAGTCGGCCTTCGATTGCTATCCATGTCGCTATGCAGGTACCAACGTTGCCGCTACGATCTTGATAGGCGAACAATGATGATCACCTCTACTCTTAGAATAACTCTGCTCGTTCGCCGGTTCCCATCAACATGGTTCTAATAAGTCTAGCGACTGCCACTGTGCCACATCCTTTGTTGGTTGTGGGATGATTGTTAGGGTTAGGGTTGGGGTAGCGATAGTCACCTTCTCGCGGTCGTCACGCCGGGCATGCAATGAGACAAAGTGTGTACACATGCCTTGAAAGAGTTCTGTGGCTTTTGTGCATTGATTTCCCAATGTATGGGGCTTTTGGGGGTCCGTGAAGCAACGATTCGTCGAGGAATGAGAGCTGGTTTGTATTACCAAACCTTGAGCAAAGACAGCGCAATCTTCTCTTTATGCAAGTTTGACGTGTACACACGGGTGGATGCCTCATCATCACAGCTATCGTTCGCCAGACGTCGAGATGATCGACTATACTTCACAAATGGCTATATCCAAACCGCCAACCCACGATGCTCCCTACTCGACACGGGACAATTTCGCGAAGAACAATGCTTTTGGTGTATTCCCTACCCTATATGAAACCCGACCCATTACTCAATCAGCCCACCGATCTGAACAAGGCAGACACTAGAAATCCGCTCTACAGCACACTATCATGTTCAATCTATTCTCCGGTCTAAAAACCATTACACCGCCGACTTTCCACCAGATCCAGCTGCCTTCCGCGCTTTGAACCACAAAGTGGGCAGCAGAAAGGCAGAGCAGCTGAATAAGATTGACAATACAATGCAGAGACCCCAAATCGACTTCGTTTCGTAGCAATTGACTCGGGTGCTGCCAGCCCAGTTCTGCAAATTCAGCGTGCTTCCCGAGTGATTGATGTTGGACGCAAGCGCCTGTGTAAAAGCAACAGCGGACTTTGCATTCGTTGCTGCGTCCTTGTTGTCGATAATCATGCAGTTGAGAAAGGACAGTGGTCTGCCGATTACAACGGAGACAACGACGAAGGCGAGGAGAAGTAGTCCGTCCACTCCGGCCATGATGAGTAGGCCCAGGTTCGCCTGGGCGTAGAATAGAGGTATGCYGATGAGGCAGTAGAGGGCAGCCAGACAGGTCTTTGGGCAGTTAGTGTAAAAAATCTTGACTCCCGGGACAATCAACGTACAACGGAAAGTGTTCCAACGATCTCTTGTGGCGGCTCCACGTTCGATGATACTATCTGAGAGACAAAATTCGCCGTTAAGCCAATTATCGTCACCATAGACACCAGGGATAGGCCTCGAACTAGAACGAAGGTCTTGGCCAGGGGAGCGGCGCCATATTCAGGGATCGGCATTTTCGATTTGGGCTTGTCAAGTTGATGGTGCAAAGTGTTGAGCACTCAAGTATGCGAGAAAAGAGCAGTGGACGCGAAGAGGATCCCTGCCAGCGGTGATCGTATCTAGTTTGCCGAGTATGCAGATTAAAAGAGGATAAAATTTGCAAGGAGAAAGAAAAGGATAAGTAGACACAGGAGACTCGTAATGATTTGGAGAACTAGAGTCCCGAGCTTCTGTACTTACTTATACATTCGCGAAGTACTCGGAAAGTCTTTGGGCAGAGACACTATTTCTGTCTTCGTGGTTGATATTTTGTCAAAGCAGAGAGGGAGTTTCATAATGCTCCAACAACGCGTATCCAGGGCCTATGATGGCCGGCGGCTAGCTCCCCGGAGTCAGCGGCTAGAGAGAGAGAGACAGCCGCACGGACAGCCACACTTTGCCATATACGCTGCGTTCCAACCTAGAAGCCATTCGAAGTCGATTTGCGAGGTCCGYGAACGGACTGGTGTCTCGAGAGCCGCTGCCCCCGTTCGGCAAGAGTGGCTAGACATCTGAAGCAGGGCGTCTGCGGCGGTTCGACGCCGTTCCCCACGGACGACATCGGGGATAACAGTGTGGATTTGGCAAGATCCACATGTCCGTGTCAAATCTGTCGTGAGGTCTAGGATTACATGGAGACATGCTCGTGACGTGTAGGATGTATTGGAGGAGGGAAGACGTCGCGGTGAAGTCGCGACCCGCACGGAGCACCTTGCCAAGAAAGTCAAACAGCACGCGACGACACTTCAACGAACATCAGGCTGGCATCAACGTACCGTGGCGTAACATGGATGGAGCTGGATCGACGTGTACGATGAAGTGGAGCTGGCATCTCGGCAGATCGCCACCATGAGTCCACAAGACCCGAAGCACAACAAGCGTGCATCCACGGGGCAAGCATCATCTCCTGCTTTGATCCCACGAGCTCCGCCACTTCCCGTACAGAAGCCGCTACAAAGGGCTCGAAACGCAGCATCGAGATTTCTTGGCTATCCATCTAGACCGTCTAGTCCTACAGATGAGCGCGATGAAGGACGTTTTGCTCATGGCGGCATTGGAGCGAGGTCCGCTACACTTGGAGCAACACAAAATGCCACCGCCAGCCATCGAACCGGACTGGAATGTCGAACCATAAGTATCAATGAGCGTGGGACTCATGCTGTGATTGCTGGGAAGGAGCTCTTCAAAACGGTCAGAATCGAAGACTCAAACTGGGTTGAAGACTTCAACCTGAGGACGGCAATTCGAAGCACCCCCACTACAGCGGCTGGAGCGCCTCGCCATATATTCTCCATTGACATTGCTGACGTTGCTTGGGCAAAAGGAGACAGCGGCGACTACATCGCAGCCGCAACTTCCAGTGGGAAGATCATTCTGTACGATCTCGGCCATGCAGGATTGCAAGCCGCACAGCTGCATGAGCATTTCCGTCAGGTACATAATGTAACATTCAATCCTCATAGAGGAAATCTGCTACTCTCCGGAAGTCAAGATGGAACGGTGCGGCTTTGGGACGTACGAGATGTTCGAAGTCAGGCCAACGCGATAGGAAGTAAACGGACATTTTCCGGCCAGAGCGGTGGCGTTAGAGATGTCAAATGGTCTCCTACAGAAGGCTGCGACTTTGCGTTTGGTACTGACAACGGCGAGATCCAGCGTTGGGATATTCGAAACCTGAAGACCGCCAAAATCCGGATTCCGGCCCATAGTCTGACCTGCAACACGATTGACTGGCACCCGGACGGCAAGCACATACTCAGTGCGGGTGCTGACAAGATAGTCCGAGTCTTTGATGTGTCCGCGAGCCGTCCTAGGAAGGCGTCCTGGGAGATTAGGACTCCGCACCCAGTGATGTTGGCCCGCTGGCGCCCATCATGTCGATCTTCAATGCCGCAAGACAACGGCGCGCAGCAATGCACGCAAATTGCGACTGCGTATGACCGTGAGCATCCGGTGATGCATATATGGGACTTCCGCCGGCCGCTACTCCCCTTCCGAGAGATGCAACCGTATCCATCAGCACCGACAGATATGCTCTGGCATTCACAAGATTTGCTGTGGACCGTCGGCCGAGAAGGAACTTTGCTACAGACTGATACGCAGCACATACCGAAAGTCATCGACAGATGCAATCTGCAAGCATTTGGGATCTCACCTCTGGGCGAGCTATCATTTGTTGCTCAGGCTCGACAGCGGCGCCGTATGCCGAAATCTCACCGGATTCCCTCTCTGACGCCGACTACAGATCACAGTGCCAGCGCCATTCCAGATGCCGATTATGGGCTGAGCAGAAGCTGGGTGGATGACAGTCTGGACCGTTCTTTTCTCGACGTACTGCCAATGAAACGCCACAATCGTGCGAGCAGCAACAGCAGGGCTCACGCCGCCAGTGTTACGTCTGCACTGACCCAGAATAATTCAGTGATCAGACTTGACAACATCCTAGGGAACCGCAAATCGTTTAGACCGGAACAGAAGGCATGTCGAGGACTGTTGCCGGGTCACAATAACCACAACTACATTGCTCATATGGCAGAGCGGCTCAAGCTTTCAATCATGGCAACATCCAGTGATGACGAATACCGGGAACACATCCGTGAGGCTTTCAAAGCCAATGCTGACCTTGCGCTCTCGGTCGGCTTCTGGCCACTATCGCAGTCATTCAAAATCGCAGGTCTCATGTTGGACAACCATCTGCGAGACCGAGCGGTGCTGAAGCGGAAAAAGGCAAGAGAGAAGGTCCGATCACATGGAAGTTCTCACCTGAGATACTTGTCGGCGGACATGGAAAAACTGGCCATTTCACTAGCAGCACATCATCTGCGTTCCCCGATACAATCGGCAAGAAGCCTCCGTCCCGTCTCAACCATTGCTCAGCAGCTGGCAATGCCCGAAAGTACTTCCAACGTTCCGACACCGCTCGTCCGACCATCCGTTACTGGCAAAGCCGCGAATTCGCACCACGACGTGCAGCTGCTGGAATTTGACAAAGATGATAAACTTGCTTTGCCACCGTCTCTTGCATCCGCGTATGGCTCAGTATCTTCCAAGCCTGGCGAGCAAAATTATCAAAAAGATCGCAAGCTCACGATCAGTAATCTGACAGATTTGGTCAATAATCAATCAACCACTGACGCTGCCGAGCGTCAGGCAATGGTGAATCGCTGGAATGTACCACCCATCAAGCCCCTTAAACTGGACGATGCCGACATTCAAGGTGTTCGCATACCGCCTGCCAAGCTCGAAAAGCATGACAGCGCAGAGAGTTTCCAGTTCTTAGAGGACTCAGGTGGCTCCCGCGGACCCTCATTTCCCGCCTCCCTCGCGAGTTCCCGCTCAGGGAACGATCGGATGGTGGCTGAGCGCCCAAGCCGCAGACAGCTACTCCCAGCATTGTCATATCCTGTATCTGTCAATGATGGCCAGTCAATGTTCTTCGAAGGCTCTGGTACACTCGGCAATAGTGGCATAACCACAATGGAAAACTCGGGCCATATAAGCAAGTTGGACTCTAAAGAATATCCTGATGACGACGACGACGACTGGGAAGATGAGCCCATCACCGCAGATTGTGATATGCCAGATGTGGAGGAAACGGAATTTAAGCACCATCGCGCTGTTGCCTTGGACATTGTGTCTTCTCCCAGACATGTCGATCAGCCGCCAGGGATTTTGCGTGACGCTGCTGAAGACCACAATGTGTTAAATCGAGTTCCGCACCAGGAATCAGTCCACACTGGTCAACATCGCGCTGCAGAAAGCAATCCCTTCCGCCAGGTACCTACCGGAAGTGGTGCAGACGATGGAATTGACATCGATATTGAGGAGGGAAAAGCTGTGTGGACGCTGATCGAGATGCTGCAGCAACTCGTCAAACACTACACCATCAATCTTCCGTTCCCTCAAGCTGCCACGTCTTTAATCCTCCTTCTCGGTCCCATCTTACCGCGCACGCACCCCCTACCCATTGGAGAGATCAACCAAACAATCTCAGGATACGTTGATTACTTTCTGCAAGTCCTCGGATGGGACGCAGAAGACATCCCGTCTTTGATCAAGCAATGCTACGACCAGCCAATCAAAGCAGGACTCCAGCCACTGCATGCTGAAAGCGTTCTCTCAACATACCACGAGCAGCTTCTGAGCCACAAATTGTTCAACGAAGCCGCCGAGCTTCGTCGGCTAGCATATCCTGCGTATCCTGCCGTATACGAGGACTTTGTCAAAGAGAACACCGTCCATCTCAAATGCGGTCATTGCGGCAAGCCAATGATGGCTAACCTTGAGAGCCTCCATTGCGAATCCTGCCGGAAGACACAGGAAGCTTGTCCGTTCTGCTTGGAGCCGAACAGTCCTTATGGCAAACATTCGAATCTTCGGTCAGCATGTTTGGTGTGCGGTCATGGTGGGCATGCTGAGTGTATGGAGGAGTGGTTCGTGAAGGTGCGTGGTGGAGGTTGTTGCACTGTTGGGTGCATTTGTGATTGCGTGACAGGTCCGTTACGAGATAAGAAGATCGCTATGCTGGTTGCAGCAGAAGAGAGCCGTGAGAAGGGATTTGTCAAGAAAGATGAGCTCAAAGTGAGGGAAAGCCGTGCAGTGTCGGGAGCTCGGATTGAACTCAATAAGTAAGAGGAATGAAACAGATCCAGTCAAAAAACGATTCATTACCCGAGACAGGGAGTAGTAAGCTCATTGCACATGAAATCGTCAACTGCAATGTATTTTCAAGTACGTGCGTTTACTGCGAGAGCTCGAACCTCCAATGAGCAAACCAAGTCATCTACGTCCATGCTAAGCTCTCATCAAGCCAGTAAGCAGATACAGTAGTAGCAAGCACCCCGCTCCATACCAGCAAAGGCATGTGCACAGCGAAGGCCCCCTGCGTCCGTCTACGAAACCCCAAGTCCAAGCGCACGCATGTTTCCATTTTCGTATTTTCTCGTTATCCATCAACCATCATCGCGACACTTTCGGCGCCGCCTCATCAGTAATTGAAGAGACGGGCTTCAGGCAGCGACGCATGGCTTCATCATCGTATCATTTTCATCCCCCCGTCTCTATTGAAACGTCGTGTTCTCGCGGCTATTGTTGTGGCTGTTGGCGGACATCATCAGAGGAGGGACAGCGTCATCAGTCATGTAGCTTGATTCCGTCATGTAGCTCGCTTGGGAAGGAGTCGGAGTGCAGGGGAAGTGGTGGTTGTATTGCTGTTGCATCATTTCGAATTCTAGGCCGTTGTGAATGCCACCTTGTGCGTAATCCATAGGCTCAACAGGCAGGTAGTCCAAATTCTGAAGAGTTGGCTTCTGCTCGCTGTACATTGGCATGGGGACCTGTGGTGCTGGAGTCTGACAGTTAGACAGGGGCAGAGAGTAGGCGGATGGATCATCCCCGTCGAGCTCTAGGAAGTATGGAGATGAAGCTAGTGGGCTACTTGGAGGCATTCCCGGCGAGGGGCTGCTGGAGTATGGACTGAAGCGCGAGATGTGGCTACGCTCTGAGCGGCGGAAGCGGTTAAGGGCAGTCGAGCCGCCGTTGCGGTGTTGCTGGCGCAAGCGAGTGGCATCCCTTGTAGCTCGTCCGCCTCGGGCACCTGAAGCTTGACGGTTAAGAGCTGGCGTAGTGGAACGACGGTCTGACTTGCGTTTTGGGTCCTTGCGATAGCGTGTCGTCGAGATGACACCCATTCTGAGCGCCTCATCGGTCAGGCGCCAGAGGCTGCCCTTTTTCGGCGAGGTGGGGCTGGGTGGAACGCGCTGAAAAGCCTGGTCAAGTTAGCAAAGAGCACACGGGCCGGGTTATAGTAAACTTACGGCGTTCATGGACAGGTTGTGACGGACGCTGTTCTGCCAGCCGCGGTTCTGGTGGTCTTTGGCCTTTTGGCTGTGCTGTCGAACCCACTCGTAGAGGTCGCGAAGCGACATAGTGTGGCCGGGCGCCTCCTTAAGACATCTGTGCAAGAGCTGCGCATAGCACGGATCGGCAGAATCTTCTGGCTCGGCCTCATCTTCATCAGCGAATATGTCATCCTGAGGAGGAAGACTCTGCTCTTGACGGTCCCAGATCAAGTCCTGTCTGTAGTCTTCATCGTAGTCCAAGGAAGACTCTTGGCTCAGGAAGGGCTGATCGTAGATCAAAGGTTCTGGATGGTAATTCGGGTGAGACGTGGGTGCCATCTGAAGCTGAATGCCGAGACCGTCGCGACCCTGCATGAGGTGGCTGTTCTGATCGAACTGCTGCTGTGGTTGTGATTGCTGTTGTTGATGGTGTTGCTGGGGTTGATGATGATGGTGCTGCTGCTGCTGCTGCTGCTGAGCAGGCATCCAAGACGTGGAGGCTGTGTCGAATCCAGCGTATTCCATGCTTGGCCAGTTCATGTATTGGTGTGTTGCGGTGTTTGAAGTGGAATCGAGAACTGAAGCTGCGGAGCTGGTTGCGGTGGAGACAAGAGGGTCCGTGTGCATCATGTTTTGCATGTTCTCCATGCCTCCGAAATGAGTTGGCGGGCTATCATTAAGATCAAGATTCCCAAGGTCGATGCCAGTGCTAGAAGAGGCATCTTGGTCGTGATTGTTCAGCTCGGCCAGAAATTTGGCCCATTCATGGTCATTGGAGTTGGAGTGCTGACGCTGTTCGTTGGCACATTCAATGTTGCTCAGGTCATTTGATGAGGAGGTCATGGAGTCCTGGCATACAAGCGGCCAGCTGGGAGCATACACGGCCATGGCAAAGCAGAAGATCCGAACCGCGTTGTTCAAAGAGTGGCGTGAAGCTGCGAATGGACGATGAAAGAGAACTCCGGGCCGGTGCAGAGAGGAAGGCGGCGGTTATCAGTGGGGATATGCGGGTAAACAGGCAGGGCGGTGTGGCACTGAGCAAAGGATATGTGACGCTTGAACAGTAACGCTGCACGTGCTGCAAATTTAAGGAATGACCAGATCGGGTTGGAAGTAGGGCGGCAAAGACAAGAAGATGGTGAGATTGGTCAAGCCTACGATGGTCAACTTATTTGAGAAGAGCCCTGGTCTGCATGCTCAAAGAGGCATTGTTGCGGATACACCCTTTGCGTTGGTGATGCTCCCGCCAACGCATGCCGGCTCGCATGGCGTTATTTTCGGCCGCCTCGCACGTTGCTGCCGGCCAGCTCCCATTGTGAGCCGGGCGTCATAGTCCTACGAGCGTATACGCCATCGAACGCACGCAAACAGTAGCAGACACGATGTGTTCCTGACAGCGGGGCAATCGTGTCTTTGTCRGACTACGCAGGTCTCGCCAGCATCCCTACCCATGCCTCATACCGAGAAAAAGCCTGACAGCACGGCAGGACAACCGCAGCACGCACAACCTACCGATGATAGGTCATTAGCCAATGTTGCACGACGAGAGGCCTGGGGAGGACGGAGACAGTACGCGGTTGGACCAAAATGAACGGACACCTCCCGCAAATCACACTACCTGGATCGGGAGTGTGCGGTAACCTAGGCTATTGCTTCGTCGTGCAGGGCCCAGTCAACCTGCCTAGGCAAGCAGGGCTTTCTAGAATGAGGTTCGCGCGGAAGACGGGCATTGCCCACCGGGAATGCTTTGCTGCCGTCTTTTGTCATTTGCTTGCCAGATCTCTTGGCAGGAACAGCGCTTTTGTTTGACGTTTGCTTGTACGCAAATGTGGATGTCTGAGGAGATCAATGGCCGCGAGTGGACACCGGGGTCACGCTCATCTTAGGACGGGCTGCTGGACGGCTCCTCTCTGTGCTCGGTCCACGGTAGAAATACAGCGCGGTGAGCGAGGAGACTGCTTCCTCGCGCCGCACCACGCTGGCTCCCGGCGGACAAATGTGGCTACCCGTTCGCGTAACCCTTGCGACAGATCTGTCGCACGCAGTAAGTGTTTCAGATTGGCTGCCATTGTTGAATCATGGTTGAATCTCAACTCAAGTGCGGTCAAGGGAAGCACAAAGCCGCACCACGGCATGTTTTGACAGCTGCAGTGCATTGCACTGCGCGTCACTTTGTGAAAGCGACCAACGTGAGATTTCAGGCACGGGGCAAAGCCTTGGCGTACTGGTACAAGCTGTGTTGATGTTCCTTCAATTTGATAGGTCGTTCTGCCTACAATAAAGGCTGCGCAACGAATGTTCCAGTGTGATTGGATGTCTGGCATGGGCCGCACGACACCCCGTCTGACTCTGATCGGACTCAGGGTGACCATTCGAAGATCGGTTCGAAAATCCCATCCATCGACAGAGGCGGTAGATGCGTCGAGTTCACTTCCGGTAGTAGATCTGGAGTCGCTGTTAGGAAGATCACTTTTGCACAGAGATTCAGCTGGCTGGCTTACCTTTTTGAATTGAAAGTGGAGCTGGAGAATTCCCTGTTGTGAGACGTTAATGTCAAGATCTGCGACKGTGGCACCTGCCAGTGTTGTGCTCTGGTAACATGAACGCTCTTGCCTTGCTTTGAGCGCGCAAGACTGGTGCGCAACACTGGAAGTGGACTTTGCACGTACCTTGTCGAAGCTGCTCTTGAATCCACGTTCTCGCTTCGCACTGTAATCCCATTCCTTGTCAACGACACGAAATGCGAGATCCTCGTACGGTGCGCCTGCGATGAAACGTATGAGGCAGGTGTCATCTTCTCCGGCAGGCGCGAGGGTCTGTCCACGCTTTCTGCCGTTTTCACGCTCGATGCGATATGTTGGCGCTTTCTGTTTATCGACCAAGTCAGGGTAAAAGACGTTGAATTTGTAGCCCTGAACGACTTTCGGCGGCGGATTGTCGTGGTCGTAGTGCGTCTGATTGTATTTGTTCCATTCGTAGCCAAGCAGTACTCTCGCAAAATACTTTGGCTTGCGGGGACGGTACTGGTGCTCCCACAGCGACTTGTTCTTTGTGATGACGTCTTCTTCCTGTGTGAACAGCTCCTCGTTCTCGCCCAGGCCGCGGGCAACCTCACGATCAAAGTGAGCGCTGGAAGAACCAGCATCCCGTTCAGTGCGGGGACGCTTCGCTGTAGGCTCGCCTCCAGAGGAGTCACCAGTTCGCTTACGACTAGGCACGTATCCCAGCTTCAACACCTTGCGCCTGTCCTCCAGCAGCCTTGATGCAAACTCCTTCTCGCTCATGGACTCCAGTGATTTGTCTTCTTGCCGCAGCCGGAGCAATGGCTCCGGATCGAGCGGATGTCGATCTTCAGGATGCCCAATACTCTTTTGCTCAGCCAGGTCAACCCCTGACTGTGATTTGATCCGCGCCTGGAGCCGAGACTTGAGTGATTCTGCTTCTTCCGCCTGCTGTTTGCGCAGGCCACCAAGACGAGCACTCAGTATCGATTGGGATACCTTCCGCAGCCTCGCTTTGGCCTTGTAGGAGAGCAGACTTTTGAGCAGATGCTCCCAATAGTCGGTATCGATAGGCTCGTTGGATGACAACTTGGCTTTGATTTGCTTCTCCAACTTCTCTAACTCTTCCAGGCTCTTGGGACCCAGAAGTTTGTCCAGATCTGATGCTACCGAGCCAACACCGCGCGCCGCTGGCTGTGCGCCATGCGAAGTTTGGCGACGATCCTTGCAAATGGTCTTCATCATGTTCCAGTACTCTTGATTGCTTCTGCTGGTTTCCAGGGCCAGGTATGTCTCGATCCCCTTCTCCAGGTCCCTCGATTGCGCATCGTCTAAACCCTCGAACACGCCCTCCGGGTCGATCAGTTCCAGCTCCGTCGCAGAGACATCGTCATCGAGGGCGTTATGTTCAGGATCAATGACTACCAACGTGACTGCAAGCCAGTCCACCGGCTGAGCTCTCCCACCCTTGACGCGGATTGCGGCTTTTTTTTTCGCTTGTTGTAGTACAAATCGATCCTCGGAGGCTACCCATGCATCTTCCTGCGCGTCCGCGGATCGTTTGCTCATTTTAGCAAATTGCTCTCGAAGCAGTCGAGTGAGTTTCGACGTCCAGGCGACCCTCCAGTCCAGCAGGGTTGTGATTTGGTTTGGAAAGATGAGGTATGTTGACGGTGCAGTGAATCGAGGCGCAATAGCACGGCACGGATGTCGAGAAGGCACTTGCAGGTTCCGAGCCTGCCGAAGCCCTAAATGTGTGTAGTCAGCAAAAGTGGAGACGATGCTGGTGCCTTGCATGTGAATGTAGTCTCAGAAGTGATGTTTTCCAGGAACATCAACATCAACATCGGTCAACGTTGTAAACATGGCGCACGGTGGTTCGTGGACATCGACAACCTTTGGCAGCGATACACTTCAGCTCCTTATCAAGTCAAGGTTTGACCGTACGGGATACGACATTCAGCTCACAGATCTCAGCCGAATATGGGGAGAGACGCTTTCGAAACAAGATGTTGTCACACGCGCCTTGGAAAGTGGCTGTAGCTTCAACCCCGGGGAAGATGATGGCAACTACGACACTTTCGTCAAGTGCATCAAGAGTTCTTTGAATGGAGATGTAAAGACTACATCGACTRTACGCGCCGGCGATCCTGGAACGCTGTTTCTCGACCTATCCACACCTTTATCGGGAGGTCTTTCGGATCTGCGGTGGACCGTACGACTTCAACAGCTATGCGAGACTGCTGTCGCTACCGAAATTGTTGGGCCACTTCTTTCTCAGGCCAACCGCTTGCAACATCAAATTCAACAGTTGGTTGATGTGATCTCGTCAAAAGACCATGTTATCCAAAAGATTACAGACCACTTGGTAGGTATTCAACATATTTAGCATAGAGCACATCCTGATTTATGCCCATAGGAAAACACATCAAGTGATCTAACAGCAGTCTTCCCGGGAGTGTCTAACATCAAAACATCGAGAAGAAAGCACCAGTCGCAGCGGTCACACTTGGCAGGCCATGTCAAGGGTCTCGCTGACTTTGATGAAGTCGCCTGGAGAGCCTCTAACAAGCAATCACATGAAGAGAATGGAGTGGTTCCTGACGTGGTGAATGCCGTGCTGGGAGACCTTCCTTCACCGATGCAAGACGAGAAGTCCGCAGAAGACTGGGTGCAAAATCTAAACAGCAGGAGCAGAGGGTCTCAACGACAGTCCCAAGTGTCCGTCAGGCCCCATTCCGTGGGCGTACAAGCTTCCAAGTCAGACATCCAGGATGAGGACTTTCAGCGACAGGATACGCCGCCGCAGCAATCGAGGCACGGTAGGGAGAAGCAAGACACATTTGCTCGCGAAATCGCATTTCAGACTTCTCAACCTGCCCATGTTGGTGAAGATTCAGAAACTGAAGACGAAGACGAGGACTGTCTTGATATTCCTCCAACCACCTCGCAGCGGCAGGCACTAAGCACTACTGAGTCACCTGGTCATACCATTGACCTTAATGATCAGAGTACCACCGGGCTTGCGGGGACATCTAGAAGCCCAGCTCAATCTGGAGATACCGGAACGAAGAGGCAGCAATCTCCACCGGACGACCTCGACGAGGAGACCGAAGTCTCTACATCGCCATCACCGGTTGCAAAGCCTCAACTCAGAAAGGAGACACATGATTCCGATTCAGAACTAAAGCCAGAGGACAAATCACGAAGAGGGGGTCTAGGCAAATTCGGAGGCATAAAGGCCAAGAACGAAGCTCGAGCTATGGACCGCGAAGAACAGACAGAGCAATTATCTGCTAGACCGAAAGGTTCTCTCGGCAAGTTTGGTGGAAAGAAAGCTCCGCCCTCAGTGTCTTCACCAGAGGCGAAGACTTCGACTGCTCCGGCGAAACCAAAATCCTCATTGGGCAAATTTGGTGGCGAATCGAAAGGCGCACGAATACCTTCAAAGCAAGAGCCGCACCAAGATATGCCAGAAGCCTCAGCGAATGCTCGCGATGTCAAGAAAAGCACCAAAACCGAGCCTGAGGTGGAGCAGCCCCCAGAGCGTGAGTTAACAGAGGAAGAGAAGCAGCAACGAGCAGACGAGAAGCGCGAGAAGCTCAAACGAGAACTCGCAGCAAAAGCAAAAGGACCCGCAAAGAAGAAGAGGAAGTTTTGAAGTGCTTGAAAAATGTTGCGATGAATCGCTCCCATGCATTCAAACAATACACATGAAGGGAAGATGCTATGTATGCTCCCTCTCCAATTTCATTTCCATATCCATTTCCATTTCCAGATCAAAGCTTAGCACCAACAGGCATAAACTTCATCGCCTGCCTCACGCCGAGATCGCCCAAAATCTCCTCAGTTCCACCAAGGACAGCGTCAAACTTGTTCGTTCTGTTGAACATCTCAATCACACGACCCATTCCAGTCTGCGTCAGACCTCTGCCGCCGAAGATTCCAATGGACTCATCCGCAATCTCGTGGCCAGCGCGTGTGCTGAAGACCTTCAGCAAACCAATGGGACCGCTCAAGTGCTTGCTCTGCTCGTCGTAGGGCATGTTGCACATTTGATATGTGATTGATTCGGTCCATGCCTGGAGGGCTTCGGTGTATTGGATCATCTTGGAGAGCTTCTGGCGAATGACGGGTTGTTGGACCAAGGGCTTGCCGAACACCATTCGCTGGTGTGCCCATTTCAAGCACTCCTCTGTTACGGTTCGGATCCATCGGGATGTCATAGCAGCCATCATGAAACGTTCGTGATTGAAGTTAGCCCTGCGTGGGTTTGTTAGCGTAGGCAGAGGATAGAAGAGCCGGTATTTTGGAAGCTTACATGATGACGGCGAAGCCCTTGTCTGCTGGTCCGAGAATGTTTCGCTTGGGGACCTTGACGTTGTTGAACTCGATGTAGGTCGTTGCAGCGGCGGCACTGTAACTGGTCTTGACTGGCTTGACCTCGACACCCTCACCCTTCTCGATGATGAGCACGGTAAAGCCCTTCTTCGTTCGGCAGCCGGTAACGAAGTAGTCGCAGAACATTCCGTTGGTGATCCACTTCTTCGTTCCATTAACGATATAGTGCTCGCCGTCCTCGCTGAGCTCAGCTGTAGTCCTAAGACCAGCAACATCAGAACCGGCAAAGGCCTCTGTCACGGCAAGACAAGTCTTCTTCTGGCCAGAGAGCACCTCGCGAGAGATTCGCTCGCGGAGTTCGTCGTCCTTGCTCCACTGATGGATCGCAGTCAAGGAGATGGTCATGCCAGCCATGTTGCCATCCTGGAAACCTCTCTGCGAAGCTCTTGCGAGCTCCTGGCAGACGATCAAGTCGTGGAAGTAATCGTAGTCCTTGCCCTCGACTGCTCCGTTGAAGATATTCCTGCCGTGCATGTGTTTTCCTGGACCCAACCTGCAAGCAAGCAAGTTCACCTCAGCCATCTTATTGATCAACTCTTGCGAAATATGTTGGCCACTCATCTCCCTTTCCTTGGCCTCGGGGATAACGTGTGTGTCGATGAACTCTCGGCATGCTTGTCGTAGCTTGTGGTGGCTTTCCTTGTAGTATGGGCTCTTGAACGCTGGGTTCAACCAAAGAGGTTCGGCGTATGGAACGGTGCTGAGATCGCCTGGCTTGTAATCGGCTACTTCAGGTGTCTCGCCATCGAGAGTGCCGATGAGCAAGCTCTTGTAATTCTGGAGGACTTCGTGGCGATGGAGGTTGTAGAAGGCCTCTGTCGCGTCTTCGCCTGCAACTTGTCGTAGAACAACCTCGCCACCAGGGTGTRCGTCGACAAAATCCGTTACATCGTACACCTTGTGGTCGACAATGATCCAGAGATCATCCTCGGAGGTGTGCTATTGTCGTTGTTAGGGACGAATACGCAGGCAGACTCAGTCAACTATACCTTTGCAACTTCTTGTCTTGATAATGAGCCCTTCATAGTAGTGAATGTGTGTATGTGTGAAGKAGGAATTGTTCAACACTAAGGAGGCAAATGCTTACATGCCTGGACACTTGATGGTATGTACATGTGGATGGATCTGCAGCCGAGGTATCACGAGACTTTTCGAAGCCACGGCAATCGTTAATCTGTAGCTCTTCATTGGTCAAGTTTCCCGGAGCTTGGACAAAATATCGCCTGGCCTTCTATAACCGTGCCAAATGAGGCAAGACCGTGGCAAGTCCCTGAATCTCGGCCTGTGGTCGTCCCAGATATTCCATTTGCCGCGAGATTTTGGGAGCGTGGCGATGAGATCTCGTTACCGGTTAATATCCGAAGCAGATGCCAGAAGAGCGGTCCAGCGGAGTCTAGTTTGAGGTTGGATCTCGGCCGAGCAACAATATATCGGATGGCATGAGTTGAGACTGACAGGCTCATATGTATAATAAAGCAGCAGCTGTATCTCCCCGGTCCGGAATGTCAAAATCCTCCTGCAATAACGACAGCATGGTTATGGAGACATCACTGATTTTAGACATTCGATTCTTCGTATTTGACTCTCCGCAAGGCTGCTGCTTTTTGTGCTTGTAGCTACCCGTTCGCGAGCCTTGTGTCGATTCACCACCACAAGGAGAGGCGGCAATCCTCAATTTCACCATCCCTTGTCCCAAATCACCGTCATGGAATCCTCTTACTTTCCGGAGGCCCAAGATAGCTATCTCTAACACCTCCAAGATTGATCCAAGCAGTGTTAAGCACAACACCAGGCTCCAACGCCCACACCCTCAGCGTATGTTCCCCAGGTCCACTATACGTGAAATTTGAGGTGCTCTTCCAAGAATTATCCGCCACAGCTTTCAACCACCCTACAGGGTTCGCACCGTCGGGCTGATCAATCACATATTGCACAGTGTGAATGTCTTCCTCGTCGAATTGTACCGCGTACTTGAGAGGTCTCTCGGGGATAGTATTCAAGGATGGCGTTGTGACTATTGTAACGTTTATGAGATTCGCTGGGGAAGCCATTCCGGTTGGAATTCCAGCGTCGATGAGATGTGGAGCTGCGGGAATTCCTTCGCTGAGGTCGGTGAAAGTGTAGATTTTGTACTCGAGACCTGGCGCTTCGGGTGCAGATTGGGACTCCGCTGTGACTGGGAAGAGGGTGATACCGGAGAGAGTGCGACTGAGTCCGTTGATAATCTCGTAAGCGACCTCGCTCGAAGTCGAAGTGATGGAGCTGTAATGTGCGAGCTCCATAGAGACGTGGCCGTCCGATTCAACGAAGCCATTGCTGAAGTTGGAGGGTACCTTCACATTGTGGAAGGGCAGCATGAGTTGTGGCATGCTGTATTGAGTCCCATATTGAGTTTCTTCACGAAGTTGAGTCGAGTTGTCTCTTGTGGTGCTGATGTTCACCAGAACCATACCACTTCCCTCCGGACAACTGTCCCAATCGAAGGTAGCATAAATGCGCGTATCCCTCGAGCCGTCGGACAGAAGATGTCCGGATGTCTCTGTGAAGTGCACAAAGGTTGCATTGGCTGCGATACTGTAATTCACTGCCTCAGTGCCGGTGCTGTAAATCTCCAGCCACTGTGACTCTGGACCGTACGGAACAAAGGGCGTCATGGTAAGCCTATTGGAGGAAAGAGCATGGTACTTGTCGTCTCCAGGAACAGTAGCATTGCTCCCCTCAATGCTGACGCCAAAGTGTCCAGCTAGGCTTGCTTCAGTAGGCATGTTGTGTTGCAATCCAGGGAGCCGCTGACGCATTGGCTGTTGCCAGTATCTAGAAGGCAGAGTTAGCACCTGTCTCAAGTGGGAGGCATTAGACATACTCGTAGCCCAAATGCGTCTGATCCATCATATGCTCCCATTTTCCGTCAAGCAGAGTGTTGTATCGCTCGGTAAGCTCACGGTCGTGCCCGAACTGGTCGTGGACGTGCTGAGCCATCAGATCTGCGCTATTCCGACCTTGCCTGGCATAGAGATTATTCTTTGCAGCACTGATCATAATGTCGTTGAAAACGTGGCCAGCAGCGACGGCGTGGAGAACAGTTTCGAAGAATGCAGGCTGAGTTTCAGTCGGTAATTTGGCCATAATAGCTTCGGCGGCAGTTTGCATGGTATTCCACTCCTGAAGGATCCTGTCGGCCTCGTTGTAATTGATGAGGCTGTATGTGTTCGGATCGACAAGCTCAAATTTGCGTCTGCCGGCTGCCTGTGAATAATTTGCCATCAATAGTGCTATCTCGTGAGCCACATCGGATCCAAACTCTCTCGAAGCCCACGAATCCAGGTATGAGGGCACGCTATTGTGGTCCCAGAGTGTGATGTCGTATGCTAGATCGAAGAAATGGCTGATAGGCAGCTCCAGAGGCTTCACGTCTCCAACGTTGACAATCCAGATCCGGCGCGCGTCCCGCTCATACGCAAGATGTAACTGCTCCCAAGTTTTCTCCATTGAAATTGAATTCAGCCATTTATAATTCCGCGGGTCTCCTACGTAGTCGAAATGATAGTAGACGCCGGCGCCTCCGCTCCTACTAGTCTCATTCTGCAATGGCAGACGCCGGATATTGCCCCAGTTGTCGTCGGTCCAGAGCAGCGTGATATACTCAGAGACATCCATGCCCGCTTCGTAGTAGCCTTGTACCTCCTTGTACAGACACCACAATTGAGGGACAGTAGCAGGGTCCTGCACCGATTCATTGCCCCAAAGAGCTGTAAGGATCTCCGTCTGTGCCTCCACAACGCTTTCAAGAACTGCGGTCTCGATACCAGGAGCCAGGGCAGTATCACCAGAACCTCGCATTCCTGTGAGAAAGATGGCGTGAGCATAGATCATGCGGAAATGTGTACATCGCTGGCGTGGACTCGCTCAGAACCACTTACCCATCGTCAGAACACCCTCATACGGTTTCGATCTTGCGGCGCCCTCTGCCAGAAAAGGGTAGATGGATTCATTGTTGGTGCTCCACTGCCATGGTCCGTCTCCGAACTCGTTCCACTCCTTGGTTGATAGCATCATCGGCTCAGTGTGGGATGTGCCCATGACCACAGCATATTGATCGGCTAGGGCCTGTGACCTAGGGTCATCGATGTTGAACATACTATTCCACATCGCCGGCCAGAGATAATTGGCACGAAGTCTGAGCAATAGCTCAAAGATGAGACTATAGTACTCTGCACCAAAGCCAGGTCCCCAAGGAGATGGAGGGAACTTCGAATCGATCCATCCGACGAGAGCTGGAGCCTCGTCGTTGATCTGACTGGCCGTCAGCCGCGCCTCACGCTTCATCATCATTGGGCGTACTCACGAAGAACCCACGATATTTGACAGAAGGAGGACCCTGTACGACGGTGACATTACTGGCATAGATCTGGCTGTGCTTCTGAGGCGGAGAATCTGCCATGTAATACCAAGGGGAGACTCCGATCTGTTCCGAGATGGTGTAAAGTCCATAGATCGTACCTCGACGGTCAGATCCTGTATGTTACTGCTTAGTAGTGCTTAAACTCGATAAACCGATTAAGCGACGAACCTGCAATGACAAGAGCTTCAGGTACGCCCGGCACAGGGTCGTATACAACTGAAGATACATACGATTCCCAGCCGCCTTGAATCTCTGTCACATTAAGTTTGCCTTGAGCGATGAGACCGTCGACAAGAGATGAGTGTCCGATTGTGCCTGTAATGATGGCACCGCCAGCATTCTCGGCTTCGCTCGTAATGCCAAAACTGGATCTGCCGGTTATGTTAAAGATCATGCTCGCATTCATCCCTGACATGCCGTCTCCATGAAGTACCACAGAGCCATTGGCATCCGTAACACGGCCAAAATCCATGGCAAGATCATCACACACTCGGAGCACGGCCGGCCAGTCATTCTGATCGGCGTGGATCGTAACGAAAGAGCTTTGGCTAGCTAGGAAATGACCAGAATCATCGAATGTAACAATAGGCTTCTGGCCGATGGCGAGAACTCCATGCAAGAAGATAGAGGTAGATAAAAGGAGACGCATTTTGCCTTTCTCGATAGCCTACCGCATGGCGAGAGCCGCCTGAGGTTTATATGGACGGAAGAGATTGTATAGAAGACTTGATCCACTCATTGCCAAGATCTGCTTCATCAAGTTGGAGGTCATTGAGATCAGTACTCCGGCTAAAAGCAGCCTGAAAGGCCTACGTTTCGTGGGGTGCAGCGGCAATATGGAAGGTGATCAGCAGTCTTGCATCCGGCTGTTAGCAAGCAGCATGAGCGCGTGATGTYCGGGTAAAATGCTCCGCAGCGCACAAGAAAATTCCGATCGTTAGCGGCTTCGAGAGCGGAGACATCGCTAAGAGTCTGTGTGATTTCGAGTATACAACTGCATGTTGGCGTAGGAGCAGTCCGGCATGTTTGGCGTGGAAGGAGGAAGAGAGAGAAGGGAGGTGAGCCGGCAGCCGGGAGGGAGATGTGGAGACGGGAGCGCTAGTCTGGACCCTGAAAGCTTGGCACGACTTTGAAGATTCTAAGAATGTGCCGCGATCTTGATCTCATCTACAATTCCGGGCATATCTAAGTCTACTCACCATGGCGCAAGGTCCAGCCAAGAAGCCAAAGGCACCAGCCGTAAAAACGTAAGACCATCATCTCTCCAGCAATCAGCAGCTCGATTTCTGACGACCCGACAGCACGCAGCGCAAGCAGACCGGAAACCGTGTAATCAAACCGAAAAAGGCCGTCCTGATCAAGCAGAATACGATGAAGAAGGTGCGTTGTCCACGGTATTTCGGAGGTGGTGGAGGAAGTCGCTAATAATGGTACAGGCGCATTCCAGTGGTCTGGCAGCCCTGACCGAGAAGTCTCTGGCCAATAAAGCGGGACATTTGGAGCTTTTGAAGGGCGGCAAGAGGGAGAAGCGGGTCGCGATGAAGGAGGCGGCAGAGAAACTAGCGAAGAAGAAGTGAGGCTGTTGTATGTGGTGTTGTGAGAGAGGACTACATCCAAGATCTTCCGGGATCACTGCCTCGACACGAAGGACCCATGGATCACGATATATGACATACTGCATGCGAAGGACACGGAATCGACCCGGCAACAAGGAAAATTGTGCGCTCAGAGCGCTGCTCTAGGGTATGGATATGAGCTGCATCGTCCGAGACGATAGCGGCGGGACAAAATCTCGCACAGAGGCCGAGGGATGACCTCAGAGATTCGCAGAATCATGCAGTGCGAATGTACGATTTCGGAAGCAGACGTAGCTCGGAGCAGGCGTTCTTACGAGTCGTCATCTATCTTGATGTCCTCCGATCGTTTCAAAAGGCCGCGCCCTGGACCTTCATTGCCGGGAGAGGACAGATGATGTGCTGGAACTCTGAGCGTGTCATGGTTCGGATCGTTATATCCGTACACTTCCCATCAGCTAGTGCAAGATTTTTTGTACATTCAAGTTCAAGCRCCTTTCAAGTCAAAAGTTCATATATTCACTCGCCCTCACCCCCCCTTACGGCGTTGCGAAGTTGAGAAAATCTCCACCTCTTTATGGATCTCCAAAGGACGATGCAGCCTCTCGCTGCTCTCATTCATCGTCACATCGATAGTCTCCCACTCGTCGTCTTCCTTMGGGATCTGGTGATCGTTCGTACCGCTTCTAACCCGAACACTATAAGCCCGTTCCGCATCTTGCAGGGGCGCGTTATGATCTCGACTGACTCTGGTATTTGACCGCACAGCTGGTCGTTCGTCAATCACCGAGTCATTTTTGGATCCTTCGGTCCAATTCTCTAATTTGACGTCATGCTGATTGGAGTCGTCGTCGTGACGCCGGAAGCCTGATCTGTCTGCTGTGCGGTTGTGAGAGTTGTGAGGGGAATAATGTGCTACGAGGGATTTGGTGGTCGATAATAAGCTTGCGAACATCGGCTTGAGAGAAGGGAGAGAGCCAGCTATGATGCCGACACTTAGTTCAATTGCCGCCCAGACATTGAACTTTCGGGCAGACATGATGTTAGCCGTATCCACGCATAGATCCTAGGGATTGATGGTGAACTTACAGAGTTGTGCCAGAACGGATCTTTCTGCTTGAAGAATGTGTATTGCTTCACTGCTTTGAGTGTCCCAGCAGCGCACGCAAAGTAGCCAAAGCTGAGGATCACAGCGAGCGTCACCTTGGTCCGTACGTTGATCTGTAGCTTGACGATGATAGGTATCGGAAGCATGGCGAACATAAAGTCCGTAACACAGTTGATGGCGCTGTTAAACAGGCCAATCGCGGCAAATGTATCATTACTCCAGCATGTTGTGCCTGGCTCTGCGCGCAATGAAAAGTCCCAGGCTGCCTGGACGGGAACGCATTGCCAGATCAATGTGCCAAGGCAGGCAAGTAAAAAGCAGAAGAGGAATACTATAGGCTGTCAGCCGTGGTCGGTGTGGAGGAATATCTCGCATACCGATCGAGGCCCAAAGGAAATGTTTCCATTTCTTGCCTGGAGGAACCAATCGCATGAGAAACAGCGCAATGGACACCTTGACCAAGACCAGGCCGATGATGACAAACAGCGAATGGCAATATTGCCATCTCGCGTGCATTTCGTAATCATGCGGCGTGATGCACGCCGAACGCTTTCCATTGGCATATGGTCTTTCGCCGATCCAGCAGATGAATGTTGCTAGTTGACTCATCCATGCAGCCAGCATTGCATAGTCATCAGAGCCAAAGCTTTTGGTCATAAATACTCGCACTATTGTGCGCAAGAACATAACAACAGTCGCAGCAATGTGCATTGCGATGACCACTCCCATAATCTCATGAAGATTTGACTTGGCGCAGTAGGCTGGATCGGGCGGGGGTAATCCGAGTGTTGCATTCTGTCTCTCGAATAGCACTGGCATTGTGAAAAGTTATGCGATGCTGTCTGGTCTCAAGCGGCGCTCCGAAAAGCGAAAGAGAGCAGAATTGACTGCTCATAAGGAGAGGCGTTGCGGGGTGAAAGGTGTGTCAATAGAGTCAAGGAATGGAAGTTCAGAGGAAAAACTCTCATCGCATATCTGGAGCAGAGGATGTATGCCCAAAGATTATTGAAGTCTCGGCGTTGGAAGTCGGAGTCTTCCCAGGTCCGAGTCTTCCCTTCTTCCAGGTGGGTGTTGGGGCTCAGACGCAGAATGTCGAGGGGACCATGCCGGGTAGGTGCAGCAAGGATCGGCATATATGGACTTATCATCTCACGCGCGGCCATCTCGACATAACTAACAGTCGAATCAGGAACAAGCTTGAACAGTTTTATCCATGCAACGCAATAGCACCAATTTTGCAACGCGGTTGCTTTCGGACGTCTCTTCTTCAATAATAGCAGCATGGGAAGAGCAATGCCAGCACTTTGCCAACATCAGCGCATGGCCCTTGACTCGTGGATACATGTAAAGCTTATATGCGTAAAGTCAGTTCCGCCGGCGGTCCCACAAGGCTCGGAAGGTGGATGTTTGCGGAGTCCGCAGGCAGGCCCCAGTCTCCAAGCCGGGGGTTCTTGGAGAACAGGTTTTTGCATGCGTGGAGATCCCGGCGTCTGATGGGTGGTGATAATTTTACTCCAGAAAATAAAGCAGTAATAGGTAGTACCTGTATCCTTGAGGTTTGGACACAGGGTCAAACTTGAATCCATGAAGATCTCGTGGTAGACACGAGCTTGTCCTTTGTGGGAGGGAYGATCGCGTAGGAATGAATGCCAATGTGGTTGGAATATCGCCTATGGAAGCGAGCTGGTACATGTGGAGGAATAATACACAGCGGTGAAGCGGTAGTACCTTACCTTGGATGTTACCTTTATCAGCGTCGCTCACAAGACTTCCAATGTTGCCGTACTCTGATGAGATGTATAAGTCGGTGATGTCGTGTCAGCAGGCCAAGTCTCCTCTGCGGGCTGAGAGATGCAATTTGCGCACGTTCATCGCCATCCTCGCCTCGCTTACATACGCCTGCTTGCCCGTCTGCCGTGCAAAAGTCTGGAGGCGGAGAATCAAGATGAAGGCGACTTCCGATTTGTTGGCAGCTTTCCACGGCAGGGCAGGCTCGGTAAGAATAGAAGTGCACAACCTCGAGGGTGCCACGCATCGCAATGATTGAATGAAATCGTCAGTGTTGGAATTGCTCGGCAGATGTCAAGACCGAGATCCCTGCAGCAGCTTCCAGACAATCATGCCCGTCTGCTGAAATGCCGTGTGGACCACAATCTCGGAGTTCTAAGGCAAAGTCCCATTTTCCGTGCAGTGCAGCTTTGGAGGTTGGTCAGGAAGTCCTCTCTTCACATGTCACTCTACCTACCTTACTTGGCCTGTACCACAACATCGAACGAGCCGTACCTTGTTCTACCATGTGGTCACCAAACCTTTTGCGCTTGCTCTCACTGAGTAGTCTAGCCTTGACACACTCCATTGCCGCTTTCACACCGGCGTCAACCGCAGGAACAGACGCTCTCGCTGCCAATGCYCAATGCAATTTGGACTCCGCAATCAGTCCCTCGCAGAAATGTGGCAAAGATGGACCCGCCATGCGCAAGGAATGGACCGCGCTGTGCTCGGAAGAAAAGAAGCAGTACATCGACGCGGTCTTATGTATGACACGTCTGCCGTCTATCAGTGGCGATCTTGCCCCGGGAGCCATAACCCGTTATGATGATTTCGTGTGAGCAGTTTCAGAAGAAATGTGCGAGACCAGACTTTGACGATCCTTATCATGCAGGGCCACACACATAAATCAGACGTTGCATATACACGGTACTGTATGTGCGGTCCGTGCTATCCACTCAAGTCAATGCTGATGTCCAAAAGGGAAACTTTCTACACTGGCATCGATACTTCACCTGGACGTGGGAGAAAGCTCTAAGAGAAGAGTGCGGTTATCCGGGTTACCAGCCGTACATCAACTGGGGCCGGTACGCTCTAGACCTACGCAATGCTCCCATCTTCGACGGCAGTGACCTGTCCATTGGTGGTGATGGAGCTTTTGTCAACCGTTCGGCAATCAACGTCCCAAGTGATGCGACCCCGTTCATCCGCATTCCTGCAGGCAAAGGAGGAGGCTGCATAACGACCGGGCCTTTCAGGAACATGTCTGTGAATCTAGGGTGAGCTGTGCGAGCACTTGTAGGATTGTACTACATATACTTATTGAGAATCCTTAGGCCGGCAGCTCCAGTGCTCAAGAACATCACAGCGAATCCTCAGATGAATGGGTTGGGGTATAACCCTCGGTGTCTGAAGAGAGACATAAGCCAGGTATGCCATTCGCAGCCTGCTTCCTACATATCCGCTCACATTTCTTAGTATGCAGCAAAGAATTGGGTCCAAGATCAGAATGTGACGGATCTTATAACGCAAAGCCCAAACATCAGCGCCTTTCAGACAACAATGCAGGGCAATTTCCCTGCTGGATTCCTAGGAGTTCACACAGGCGGGCACTTCTTCGTCGGCGGCGACCCAGGCGGTGACCTATTCGCCTCGCCCGGTGACCCTTACTTTTGGTTACAGCACTCCCAGGTTGACAGGATCTGGTGGATCTGGCAAAACCAAGACCCCGCGAATAGGTATCACGTAATAGGTGATACTATCACAGTGAACAATTCCCCGCCAAGCCGAAACGCTACTCTGGAGGACATCATCGATCTCGGTGTGAATGCACCTGAGAGCATCAAACTAGCAGATCTGGTGGACACGCAAGCTGGACCGTTTTGCTACAGCTACCAATAGCCGGCTTATTTGATACCGATGAACCTTCGTGGCATTCTGCATCGCAACGAGTAGTATGTCCCAACAGAGGTGCGAAAGCGAGGATTACCTGATTCAGTYGAACAGCCTGGATCTCTCCGGCGTTCTGTGACCTCGCAAACTAAGAGGCCCGTAACAGCAAGACACATAAGAACCAGACTCAGTCAATGATGACCATCACCAAAGATCTAACGGAAAGCATAATGCTAGTCGTAATGCCGATAAACACAGCAAGCTTTGCTCTACGTCGTAATCTCTATCATCAATCATAATCTCATGCAATGAAATCGATGCTAACCCATGCTCGCTAATCCCGCAGTACCTTGAATCGCCTCTCACATCCAGATAATAACACAGACCTAGAATTTCGCAAAAAGCGAGCCAAAGAATCCCTTGGGCTTCTCTGGTTTGGACGAGCGTCTTCGCTCCCCATCTCTCCGTTCTCCATCTCTTCGCTCCCCGGAATCCCGCTTCCGTGGCTCCGCTCGATCACTCTCGGTCCGACGTCGATGTTTCCTCCTCCTGGACGAACCATCATGGGAGGTACTCTTGGGATCGTCCTTGTGAAGAACCTCCTCAACAGTGTCTTCTTGCGGCGGCGACCCTCGCCTCACGCGCGCACCATCCCCATCTCTTGAAGTTCTTGCGCGGGCAGACAGACCGCTATCAGTCCTGACAAATGGCCCATTCTTCGTCTCACTCTTCTCGCGAACCAATCCGAAGAACCCGCCTGATGTCTTACTCTCCCTCCTTTCTCGCGGTGCTCGCAAATCACTATCTCTTCTCTCCCTCGGTCTGACATCACTAACTCTCCTCTTCCTCCGCCTCTCAGCCTCACGTCTAGCAACATCCTCAGCTTCTTCCCTCGCCAATCTTTCCAATTCCGCAGCAGCAGCCTTTCTTGCAGCTCTCCTGACTTCATGCCTAATCCTCCTCATTTCCTCCTCTTCGAACCTCCTTCGTTCTTCCTCAAGTCTGCGAGAAGACTCCGCGAGACGACGAGCGTCTTTTCTTCGTTGACGCTCGGCTAATTCTTCTGGTGTGCGTTCGCGACGATCTTTGCTGGATTTCTTGTCTCTGGACTTTTCGGAKTCTTTGGTGTGTTTCTTTGAAGGTCTGGATTGGTAGCGTTCGCTTTTGGACTTGCTGCCGCTGCCTTTGCTCAATTTTGGTGATGAAGGCTCTTGTGGTGGTGGTGGGGTTGAGGTAGGAATAGTTGTTGGTGCAGTGGGCTCCACGGGCTCTTCAACGGCTGCGACGGTTTCTTCTGCTGGTGGAGCAGGCGCAGGTTCTTCTTGTGGAGTGGGTTCCGTTACTTCAGGAGGAGCTTCGGTTTCCTCCACTTCAGCTTTCGGCTCTGGAGGTGGTTCGTTGACCTCTTGTGGAATCGGTTCCGTTGATTCAGGAGCAGCTTCGGTTGTTTCCACTCCCGCTTCCGGCTCAGGAGGTTGTTCGCTGCCTTCTTGCACCAGTGGCTCCTCAGCTAGAGGCTCTTCTTTTACCTCTTGAACCAGTGGCTCCGCAGTGACAGACTCTTCTTTTACCTCTGCCACAGGGGACTCTTCAGTGGCAGGCTGTTCTTTGACTTCTGCCACCGCCGGCTCCTCAACGACAGGTTCTTCACTGATAATGTCAGTGTTGACTGGATCTTCAAGCTTCACTTCCTCAACCGTCTCCTGTTTGGGCTCCACGGCAACCTCAACAGACTCTGTTCCAGCAAGAGAAGCTTCGACGACAGGTTCCTCTTCAGCAGGGACTTCTTCAGGTGAAACCGCTTCTTTCACATCAGCGTCTACTATGACTTCCGCAGCGGGTTCCAATTCCGTTGGAACGACCTCTGGTGTGGCGTTTCCATTCGCAGATGGCAGCTCTTTGCTCTCATCTTCCACTAGAGCCACGTCTTCGGGAGGAGACTCTTCTGTGGGTATGACAACAGCGACTTCTGCTTCAATTTCATCTCCCTTCTCAATGATATCGGTGTCGGGATCAGACTGCTCAGTAGGCGTTGTATCAGCGATGGTCGTATCTTCTGCGGCAACTGGTACCTCAGCTGTATCGTCGGCGGCATTCAGAGGGTCCGGAACCGTATCACCATCTACCACTGATGTTGGTTCACCCTCCAATTCCAGCTCAGCTGCTTTTTCGTCAGGTGAGTCWCCTGTGTCCGATGTWGTAGACTCGTCTGCAATAGCCACCTCGTCGGCCACCTCGGCTTCATCATCCTTGGTATCATCCGCAACCGCTGCCGGCTCAACAGCATCTTCGACAACAGCGACCTCCACATCCTCATGTGGTGTAGAGTAGGCACTTTCTCCATCCTCACTTTCCGTATCATCTCCGACTTCCGTGGCATTGGTAATCTGCTCGATACTTGGTGTTCGCTCCAGAGCGACTTCTCCAGCATTAGCTCCTTCGTCAACTTCGTCAGGCTGAGGACTTCCAGGTTCTGATGGGCTCGAAACTGATTCTTCGCTCTCGGCGTGATCGATCTCTGGCAGTGCATCTTCACCAGGCTCACTTGATTCAGTTTGCACATCAACGATCGGACTTTCGGGCTGCTCGTCCACGTCAGCAGCAGGTTCTGGAGCTGATGATGGAGATTCCCCAACATCTTCTTTCGATGCTGTCACTTCCTCGATGGCATCTGAACTTTCACTTGCTATCTCACTGACCACGCTTCCAGGATGGCTGTCTCCAGTCTCTGGCTCAGGATCATCACCAGCTCCATCTTCCCGGGTCGTCTCGTCGTCAAGCTCGATGGCGCTATCGGGCAATTTAGGGCTGCCTTCATCGTCAAGGCTTTCAACTGTGTTTGCTTTTCCTTCGTCGCAAATTGCGCTCTCAGTCACAATTTCAATTTCACCTGGCGGTGAGGTTTCAAAAACCACCTCATTGGCCGAATCTTTGGGGGCGGCATCCGCTTCAACCTCAAGCGGGGCAGACGCTTCGACGGCCTCGGGTTGAGGACTTTCTGTATCGCCAGCTTCGACGATTCCAGAAGCTGCATCGACAGGTGGCGGAGGCTCACTTCCAGCAAGATCATCCGGTGAGGTCGGCATATCTTCAGCGGGGGCGCTGGGCTGCGACTCCGGTTCAGCAGCAGCAGTGTCTACTTCGACGATTACGGGAGAAGCTTCCGCCTCAGGTTGAGCATCCTGGACATCACCAACATCTTTAGMTTCCTCTGCGGCAGCTGGTGGATCATCTTGTACTTTGCTGCCCTCATCAACGACCGGTTCTTGGCTCGCCGCAGTGTCAGGCTCAGACTTGTTGACTACCAGAGTCTCATCAGGCGGACTACCTCCAAAGTCAATTCCCAGACCGGAAATCACTGGTGGCTCTTCAACGACTTTGATCTTGCTTTTGGAACTCTTCTTTTTGCTCTTGTCTTTGCCTTTTTTCTTGCTTGACTTGTCGCCTTTCGTAGAACTTGCTTTGGTCGGTTCAGTGACTGGTTCAGGTGGTGCTGTAAATTCAGCCTCAACCTCCGGAGCAGAGCTTGGGGAAGGTTCCTCGGYTTTGACATCCTCAGATTTGCCATCCTCAGCTTTGACTTGTTCTTCCTCAGATGCGACCTCTACAGCCGCAGCATTCTTTCCCTCGTCTTCGTGTGCCACCGGGGCAACTTCATCTGCTGCTGCTACTGCTGCTGGAGCAGGCTCATCAAAAGGCCCCTCAATAATCGCAACAATATCGTCCGGGGACTCCTGATTATCGGTTGAAGGGTGATGATGCCTACGACTCTTCTTACTCTTCAAGCTCTTCCCAGTCTTCTTTTTGCGTTGCGTGACTTTAGGCTCAGGGGTATCTGGCGCAAAACGGGCTTTCTTTTCACCACCTTCGTCGATCGAAGCAGTATCTTCTGGACTGCCTGGCGGCTCGGGAGCTGGTGGTGGGATTTCTGGGGATGAGTCTTCCGTGGGGGATACATGCTCTGCCTCTTCTGCAACGGACTCTTTTTCGAAATGCTCCTCTTCAGCACCTGTGCTTTCTGGCGATGATGTCTCGTTTGCTGAAGGCATTTGATCGGTAGTTTCGTTGGCAACTTCTTTCGGTTCGATATCCATGACTTTCGCCGGATCACCTTCTTGCGCTGATTCCGGAGAGAGTGGCTCAGTGGACTCTGTTGGAGGACCGCTTTCAGCAGCTGGAATGGGAGCCTCAATGACGGCTTCAACTGGCTGTGAGGTCTCCACTGTTTCTTCCGTTCCAGGGGMAAGGTCTTGTGGCTCGGATGATGCGTCTGCAGAAGATTCTACCGATGTACCATCATCACCAGGGCTTACTTCTGCGTTCTGCTCACTGTCGTCTGTTGAGTTATTCGTGGCTGGTGCAGATTCAAGCTTGCCTTCCTCGGAGTCAACGGGATCGGATGGCGTGGAAACAACAGGCTGGGCTACATCTTCTTGACTTGGACTTCCAGGTACTTCTTGTGATTCCGATGGTTCCTGAGGAGAGTCTATCGGAGCTTTGAGCCTATATCAGCACTTCTTCGCCGCAAAAAGAGGAATTTCAAAATCTAACTTACCTTCAACAGCGTCCTCTGAAATGCTATCCTCCTCTTCCTCTTCCTCCTCCTCCTCTTCTTCATCATCGGTTGGCTCAGGGGGACGCGGTCTGTATTTAACTCTGTAAGGAATAAAAGGTTTCGAGACCGATTCTGGGGAAACAGCAGGCGGCGAAACTCTGGGCCCACCTCGCGCAGGATGAACGCTCTGTCGAGGATCTCGCCATGTTGCAATGGAAATCTCTCGGTACCCGTACTTTGCTTTCACGGCATCATATGCAGAAGACATCTTGCCATGGAAGAATCTCCAATCACTTTATGAGAGGTACTTTTCGCACAACAGGGAGGACCTGGATTGGAATCGAAAGAGCTATTGTGTTTGTTTTCCCTGAAAGCTAAAAAGGTTTGAACCCAACTTCTCTCTTCCTCGAGACAGAGAGTAGTGGGGTGAGATGAACCGTAGCTTTTGAGAGCAAGATGGCTTGTGCAACGGCAAAGCATCGGGGGAAATTGGGCGAGAAGGACAGGACAGGGGTGAACAGATGCATGCACAAGAGAACCGATTCGTGAAATTCAGTGTGACGTCGCAACAAAAAAAAACTGGCTCCCATCATCCGCTGGCGGGTATCCTTTTTCTTTGTGATCACAAGCGATGATGATACACGTAGGAGATTTATTCATCAAAAGGTCTTTGATGAACCACTGAGCTTGCGGCGCTTCGTGCGACTACTGGGACCACGTAGGACTGCAGGTAGGTAGGGCGTGCCTGTCGCCCGGGTCCTTGCTTGTCAGTCAGTCAGTCAGTCAGCGGCATCGGACGCCCTGTCGATGCAATGCAGATGGAGACGAGACGAGAAGAGACTGATCAGAGAGAGAGAGGTGGAGCCCCATTCGCTATATGTAGATTGGGTGCTCATGCATTAATGGGAGGGAGCTTTCTGGATCGAGCTTTTCCGATTCGACCTGCAACTTCCATACGGCCCTACAAAAAGCCGATGCCTTGCATTTCTTGCAGGCTGTGACTGGCCGATCGACGGCACGTGTAACTGTCGCTCTCGGTAGCTCGAACCACCAAAAGTCGTTGTACAGGGCGGGCATCCAATGGTATAAAAGCATGTAGCGGAATAGTGCGTGGGGGTTGATGTGAAGTCAAAGTGCGGAGCCCTTCTGACGTGGCAGTTCGTTTGTGTACCGGCGCGGAACGATGGGAGGAGCCACGCCACGAACCGCATCATCCGATAGTGCATACTGTACATGTGCCGCTCGTCTTTGTAGCTCTTTTTGTAGATCTGATTCGATGGAGAGTTTGCCTTGGGATACAGGAATGGTGAGTGGTGATGAGCATGGTCAATATTCCTTCTTCGTCATTCTGTACATACGAAAACGCTATCAGTGCCCATAACTCCTCGCTAATTCGCAGTATGTATGCTCACGCCAACAGACAGCATCACGCAGTAGCCGTATTCCTGCCCAACGTTGGCTTGCTCAGCTTGCCCATGCCCATGCCAGCGTCAGCATGTGCAAATGGCAACTTAGCGAGACCAGCGGATGGAGAGATGCCCTTGTTATCGTCAGGCTCTGGCGTGGCCACGACAGTCTTCTCCGACTCCGACGACCGTTTCTCTCCCGATGCCGTCTCCGCGCCGCGGGTCTCGTCGTCCGTCTTCTGCCCGTGAACTTTGCCGGTTGCTGCGCTCGCTTCGTCCTTTTTGTGCCCGTTCGGGAGAACGTCCAGTTCATTCTCCCGTTTCCCTGGCTCCTCCATGGCGCCAACTCTGGGCTCCTCTGCAACTTTCATCTCCTGTTTGCGCTTTGCAAAATGCTTCTCCAAGTCCTTGCCATCTCTACGAACATGCAAAGCGCGCTTCGCAGTGTGAGTATTCTCAAGTGCGCCTGCTTCATGCCACCGTCGTCTCTCCTTCGAATACTTGTATCGTCCGATGAGATTAGCACCGACAGGCCCATAGTCCTTTGCAGCTTCTTTCCAAATATCCTCATAGATGTTCCATCCTTCTCTGACCTTCTCTTCCGCGTCCTTTACTTTCTCACTGCCACCTTCCTCGTTGCGCAAGGCCTCGAGGTCGATGGCTCCTTGCGTGAGCTGAGCTTTCCGGAGGTAAGCCTTGCTACCTGGACCGTCATGCGCCGCCCTCTTCTCAAGGTATACGGTTGCGCCTTTGCCAATATAAGCAGGCGGGGCGATGACGGCGCTGATGTTCTTCAATACAAATCCGCCAAGTCCTTTCCCGATACCAGTTCCAAATCCAGCGGCTTTGGCCGGTATGTTGTCTCCATCTTTCCACCCACCAATCGGCTGTGTGACCAAACCGGTCCAGGCATCCCAGATACCATATGTGAACTCCTTGCGGGCAGCAACACATCCCGTCTTGAACCCCACTATCCGAACAGGTTTTCGTACGGTAGAATCGCCCCAAAGTCGGGGAGCGTTGTGAAAGCCTTGGGCGACGGCCACATGCAAATCGTTTGGCATTGTAAGCAATGCGTGGCCGGATCGTTTGAAGCCTTGTCGAACGTCGCCAACGACCTCCGCTGCCAGAGGAACTTCAGGATCTGCTGATATTGCCGACGCCATCGTAAGCTCAGTTTCTCCTCGTTTCGTGGTTGGTCGATGCAGAGAATTTGATTCTTCGGCGACCGGGGCGGACTTTTTCTCAGCAGCTTCATCAACCTTGCGCTGCCTTTTCTCTTCTCGCCTCGCCTCCCTCCGCTTCTCTCTGTTCGCCTTCTTGCGCTCGTGCTTGGCCCGTTTCCTCATGTGCTCTGCTACTCTGACCGGTACCATTCCAACACCCGCACCCATATTTGTCAGGGAGTCCATGGTGGCACCCGCAATGCCACTGATAGGCTCGCCCGGTCCATCGAAATCATTCCACTCTACATGTCGAATGAGTCTTATGTTGCTTGGCTTGATCTTGCCTTGCTTGATGAGGATCTCAGCAGCCAATGCCGAAAGTCGCATTGAACTGCCCTTGACCTCCCACACAGCAACCCTGTCTTCAATGATCGAACAGCGCATATTGTGCCAGCCTGCTAGGGGCAAACTTCTGTGAAAGGATTTGACAGCATTCTCAGCTCCCGACCCCTCTTGGGCCATGCCGTCGGCCAGCTTCTGCACATTCTCTTGAGCCTCTTCAGTCAGGAGTTCTTTGATCCCCTTGGCCATCTTCTCGACTGTCATCTGCTTCCAGGGCACACACTCGAGAGCTCCAGCCCTGGCCTCAGCAACCCTAGCTCCCCAGAAAGGCTGATCTCCGAAAAAGGGAACAATCATGGTGGGCTTGGCACACTTCAATCCAATCGCAGTGGTCCCGGCGCCACCGTGATGCATCACGGCCTTGACTCTGGGGAACAACCAGTCGTGTGGAGTATTTTCCAGCATGAATATATGATCTGGTGTGTCCTCGTTGCTCTGCCCGAATCCGCCCCAGCCTTTGTTCACCAGAGCGCGGACGCCTGCCATTTTGGWGGCCTTGAAGATCATATCAGTCAGTCCATCCGGGTCGTCTACCACAATGCTTCCGAAGCCGACATAGATCGGAGGGTCTCCCGCTTCCAGGAAGTCGACCAGGTCCTGGGGCGGCTTGAACTCTTTCGCTAGGTCCATGAAGATAAAGCCTGTGACGTCGATCTCCGGGCCCCAATCGGCTGGTTTGGGTACCAGTGAAGGTGACCAGGCGTATGAGTAGGGTACTTTCATGCGGTACAATGCTCCAGGTGCCCACAATGAACTGACTGGCTCCAGACCCAGCGTATTCTCGCGGAAATTGTTCACGATATCACCAAGGCCCTGCCAGGTCATCATCTCTACCAGAGGGTAGGAGATGAAGTTGACATAGCTCGTATCCACGTTACTTTTCCCAGACTTGATGTTCGCCAAAGGGTGCGGAAATGCTCCAGTTGGGCTGTAGGGGAATGTGAACATGACGTGCAGGGGAATGCYAAGTCTCTCAGCAATGTGAACATGAGCCATGGAGGGCGGGTTTGCAATGATGGCATCTGCGATGAATGGATTGGTGTGTCCCATCATCTCACGGTTCTCCTTGTTGTCCTCGTCATCTGTCGCATTGACACAGCTTCGCCACATTCCCTGGAACATTTCCTTCATGGAAGCTCGCCGGCGTTGAATCTCACCCTCTCGAATGGTCTGAAGGTTCGGAATGAGGCCGGGGTTCTTCACCATGAAAGCCATGAGCTCGGAGGGATCTCCACCAACTGAGAAGAACTCCAAGTCCGTCTCCTTCTCCACGAACTCTCGAAACGTCGGATGTGTAGCAATCCGCACTCTGTGTCCATAGTCACTCCGTAGAATCCGGCCAATCTCAAGAAAGGGTTGAATATCGCCTCGACTGCCAATGATCATGATGACAATGTTGAGTTTCGGCCTGGTGGCAGTTGTATGCAGGGAGGAAGCGATCGATTCCGCATCCGCGTCGACATCGGCAACAGCATGGTCAGAGACATGTTGTCGCTGCTTCCTACCTGGCCTTTCAGCTGGGACGTCCAGATGATGCTTGACGGTATGTCCAAGAGCCTTTGCCAGGTATCCCGTTCCCTCAGTCTCGTCGACCGAAATGTTCAAACGTCCATCACGCTTCGAGACCTTTCCTTTGGTCTTGAAGTGCTCGTTTCCCACGTTGAAGCGCGAGAAGGATCGTCCTTTCTTCGCCTTTTGCCTCTCTTGGTGATCACTCTGTTCATGTAATCCACCCTGCTTTCCCTTATTATCCTCTTCTTTACTTATCGCAGTGGCTTCATCCTCTGAAGAACTGAGATCCGACAAGTCGTCGAATTGGTATTGCCCATGGGCCCTTTGTTTCTTCTTCCCTCTCAACATCGTTGTCGTTCGAGCAAAGGGTTTGGGTCTGGTAGCTCCTTRGACAGGCGCAGTACTCAAACGCTTAAGTCGGGGAGAAGCAKGGCCCAGGTTGAGCTTGTTTAGTAGAGTAGCATCGGTGGGGGTCTGTTTGATCGATCTCTTGTCGCCGAGATGACTCGCTTGACGCGGGAAGTATGAGCCAAATTTGTGTTCAGGCTCCGCGGGCTCGTTGGTGTTGCTTTCGTCGATGTGTGCGCCGAAGTTGACTCCAGGCAATGGCTCTGCTGGGAGAATGATTTCTTCCCCTAAATCATCGGTCATTAGTGTTGGAACATTTGAACGGCCTTGGGGCTCTTTGGAGTCCCCAGGCGTGGCCATGACTGTGAGACACGCGACCTGGCAAATGCCCAAAACAGTGGGCAAGGACGTGGTCAACGATGCGGTAGTAGCTCCGCAAGTTCAAACTTTCTGTAACGAACGATTCTGACGCAAACGGACGGAATGGAATGGAAGACACATGGGGCCGGAGTCGCCGGACTTGCCGTCAGAACGCCGTCACGGCATGGGTTTCCAAGGTTTGGAACACTGCCCAGTGCCCAGGCGTCAAGCACGGCAGTGTTCGGATGTTTCTCTTTGGGTGTGACGTATGCTCCAACAAAGGATCGTCTGAGCGTCTCGTGACGCTAGCATATGGAGTGCGGCCGGCGGCCGTAGCCATAACTAGCCGCTGCACGAAAAGATGGACGAAAAAGATAAAGTACAGCCGAGAAAAAGTTGCTCGGATTGGTAAAGCAGTGAAGCTAGAGGAGAATATGGAAAAGTGAGGTGATCTCATCACGCACAGACGGCTCAGCTCACAGCGCCACAGGCAAGTGCCTAGTGGCACCTCTCGAGAACTCGTGGAGTCGAAGATCAAAGGGGCTGTAGAGCAGCACCCTTCATCCTGGAGCATCGACCATCGTAACTCCAAGTGCTGTTCCCGGATTCGCGGCCGCCATGCTTCGGCGTTCATCTTGACGTCGTCAAATAACATGGCTTCTTTGTCAAGCGTTTACTTGATCAGGTACGCGCCAGCCCAGCCTCGGATCGCGCCTTGCTCCGAAGGATCCGACGATCTCAATATGCTCGATGATGTAAACGGAGTTTGTGGGAAATTGAGCCATGATCCATCCGCTTGCGCCGAACACGCGCTCGTCGGGCAGAACGGAGAACAACAATGCTTGTTGTAGGATAAGCTGTGRTCGTGGTGGAGAGGCGTTGTTAACGCCCATTCCGGAAACACATGTGAACTACTGGAATCTCACGTTGCGGGTTCCACGAAATGGATACGTCCATCTCACGCCGTTCAATGACATGGACGCGCTTGCGCCAACAAGCAATTGATGCTGAGGAAAGGATACACTCAAGGAGAGGAGAGCAATGCTGCGAATATGTTCATTGAAAGAGTACACATTAAGTATTCATAATCCTCTTCGTTTGTTTGTTCTCTCCTATCCACTCTCGAAACCACACAGCAAGATTACGTGACTGGCTACCTCCTGCGAACCACAGTCGCGAGGACCGCCGACAGTATGAAATTCGTTATTTTTTATTACACACAACATCGCAGGGCGAACCCGGGGTATAATTTCCTCACTCAGACCTTCTCAAGTGTTAGGCAGAACGTGCATTGGCCAGTCTTCTAAACCTGAGCCATTGCAGGTCCACGTCGGATGCCACCGGAGGCACCACCGCCAGACTTAAAGCCCATGGCGCTCATGGCGAGAGTTCCGACGAATGTGACCCATCCGAACCAAAGGAAAGCGGTTGCTGCCTGAGCCTCACGGCAAGCGGATGACTCCTGGCTGGCACCGCGCATGACCTTGTTGCTGGTGACGTAGTCCTATTCGATGTTAGAGTATGTACTATAGTGATTGGATGTACCCGACCCCTTGAAAGTAGGAAGGAGCGTATGTCGCTCTTTCTAAGACTGTATCAAGGGGGCCAGTAGGTATGCGTTGAGACTTACGCGGTTGCTGCAGCTGTGGACACCGAGCTCAGCGGCGAGTGCGACGGCAGCACAGAACCAGAAGAGAACGATTGCGCCATCGAGAGCAGTTGGCAGAGCGGCGTGGAAGTTCAATCCATCGGTGACGGCAGCGGGTAGAAGGTAGAGGAGTGCGAGCAGGGCGATAACAGCGCAGAACATAACGTAGTTGACGACGGCTGGAGAGGCGCCCATGGCGATCATGTTTCCGACAAGAGACATGATAATGATTGTGATGAGGAGCTAGTCATGCTGTCAGAATGGCGTTCCAAAGACGCGAATTGTCGCAAATCGCGTACCTGCAGAGCGCGCAGCGCGACGTTTGCGACCTTCATAGCGGCGGTGGTGTTGTTGTTGCTGAGGAGAAAGATGAGAGTGTCTGGCGACTGGTGATGCTTGTAGGGAGGATGGAGAATCTGCAGGGAATGGTGTGGCGTAGTTAGAAGAGTAGGTAAAGGTGGAGGTGGACAGAGGCCAGGAATGGGAAAACAGGAGCTGTTAAAGTGAAAGCTTTCACCAACGGCGACCGCTGACGTATCCTGCTGGTTCTGGCGGCAAGCCGTTTCCGTCCACCAAAACTTAATATGGTTCGTTCCCACGGAAAAGTCAAGGCCATCATCATGACCTGAGAATTGGAATACTCTTTTGAGCGATGATGCGACCTTCTAGATCGATTCAAACTTCTTTCCTACCTTATGACACCTCGGTCATCGCTGTTGTTGTAAAATTGTTGCCTCCGTCGTTTCCTTCTCAACCCCGAACAAAGCGCTTGGTTCTTGACATCCTTGCCAGCGATCGCCGCAAGGTCGATTCACGATTCACGTGGCGCGCGCGCAACCACATTCCACACCGACCCCAACAAAGCGGTCGATCGCATTGGGGACGCGGGGAATCATCGCATGGAACGATCGAAACCGCTGTTCGACATGCACATCGTAAAAATCTCTACAGCAGACCATACCGCCCACTTGAAGAGGATACCGCATCAGACGGGCGTTCAAAGAGGACGCGAGGCCTGAGGAAATCGAGACTCGTTTGGCGTTCTGCGCCTCACGCTAGAGATCGAACGTCGTGCACACAGCGCTCCGTGCAAGTAGCGACCGTGCAACGTTGGGGAAAAACTTCTCGAACATCCGGAGTGGGTGGGGACGGAAGTGGCTTCTTCAGTGACTCTCCACAGCAATGTGATGCATTGGTCGCATCCTCTCCAGAACCCTTGCGAGTCCTTCGCAATGCTTTCGAGATCTTATGTTGACCTGATTTGGTACGACGTAGTAACGACTCCCCGCACGAAGGACGCAGGCACGGGTCGTAAAAGGCGCAATCTCCACGCCAAAGGTAAGTAAGCAAAGTTGCCTTGGAGATCGGCATTTAGCAGGGCCTTTAGTTTTTCGTACAACTTCAATTGGAGGAGTACTTTGTTGTGGTAAATTGTTCTTACTATCATCAACTCCATGGAAATCCAATGCAGGAGAGATMGATTACTCAACGTGGCTCTTACGTGGCGGGAACAAGGATGGATTTACTCCGATGCGCGATGCAGTCCGTACCTTGGTTTGGTCATTCGTACCCCCAGAAACGCCTGCAATGCCATGCCAGACGTTCTCCCACCGGCGAACGTCGCTTTACCCATGTTTTACCATTCAGCATCAATCAAGAGCCAAGGCAGACGGACCAAACACTGAAGTATCGCAACTAAGCGCCTGGTTGATCCTGGTTGATCATCGCTTTCGCGACCCAGTCTTCTTAAGTGAATAAAAGCTTGAAAACAGTAGACTTCCTCTCCCCTATAAGGAACGCAACTGCTCTTCTCTAAAAGGAATGCAGCCAAGGGCCGGTGAAATTGAAGGTTGCCGCCCTGCCTTAGCTGTAGCAGGCAAAAATCTTGGATTTCCTACAACAACGGCAGCACGGTTGTCTAGGAAGAAGACATTCTTAGGTCAGTCAGACTTTTGATCCCCCGGGTTTGACTCCCCGTAAGGCTGCTGCTTTTTGTGCTTGTAGCCACCGGTTCGTAAGCGTTGTCGTCGATTGACCACAAGGAGAGGGAGAGGCGGCAATCTTCAATTTCACTGGCCCTTGAGCTCAGCGATGTGAGAAATCGCACGAAGTTTGAGTGCATTCTACCAACGCAAGCCATGACTTCGTCCATCTACTAGAAATCACATTCAAGCACGGCAACGCGAGCACAAGCAACTGGGGTATCGTTTTTCATTTCATTCGTGGGTTTTCTCCTTCGTTTTCATGAGCTCATCACTCATATGGTTAAGCGTCGCGGTGAGTTGAAAGCGCCGGGCGTCCACCTCCTTGCCTGCACTGTATATCATACTCTCTTAATCCGTCGGCACACCCCATGGTGGACATACTTCATAGCATAGCAGCCATCATCCCCGCCGGAAGCACTCTCAGCGTGTCGTCCGTTCGTAATTTGTAGCGATCGAATTCCACCTGCACTTCCCGTGCGTCATTTCCCATAGCAAGTATCCATGTGTTGCTTAGTCTGATTCGTTCAGTGCATCAGTGAATCATGCCCAGATAGTCTTCTTCCTCGTCTTGTGGGGACGGCTGCTGGCCCTGTGGTGGACGCACAGCGCACGTCTTCTTGCCTTCTGGTGATTGCTTGCCCTCTGGTGACTGCTCGCCCGCTGGACGAGGCACATCAACCTGCTGCTCGTGCGACGGCAGGTCTCCATCTTTCACGCCCCGAAATCTACGGTATAGCTAATCTCCAGATGAAGCGAGCTGAATGATGAGTTTGCTGGCCACGTCCAGGAAGGGAAAGGGACTAGTAATATCTTTGACGTCCTGAGGTGCGCCAACGCCAATCAGCTCATCGTTGTCTTCGTCAACCTCATAGTCGTCACCCGCATCGTAGCCAGGAGGAGCATGATCGACACGCACAACGTCGCTCTCATTGCTGCCGTTCACTTCACGTTCGAATCGCTTCACCAGTCGCTCGTAGCCGGCGCACTTGAAGTCCACCAGATAAAAGTCCTTCTCAATAGCATACAGCTGAATGGTAACGTAGACGAAGCAGTGCTCCATCCGCTGCATGTCGTTGGTGGTGCTGCCGCTTTGAGCCGAGTCTACAGAACCGGGAGCCATGGAAGCGGGGCCAGTAGCAGCGACGTTTTCCGTACTGCCAGCGACGCTTGACGAATGCGAGGCGATACCGTTTCCTGGAGTCATGGTCATGGCCGCGCTCTGGCGTCGGTCGTGCAAGTTCACCTGAGAGCTGTGGGCTGAGGTGGGATGCGGGATGCCCTTTGGAAACATGCCGTCCTTCTTGAAGCGTGCCTTGATGACCCAGGGATCGTCGGGGAGATCGTAGCCCCAGTTGTTCCAGCGACCGTGGCGCTTGCGTCCACGAAGCTGGGCTGCACTGTCCTTAACGGAGCGGCGCTTCGCACGACGTGCCTCCTGCTCCTCATGCGTGGCATACTCGGGATCCGTTCCGGATCCTGGATCAGAGTCACTGTACTCTGGACTGTTGCTGCGAGTTCTGTCGTCGTTTCTCTCCGGGCTCGATCCGCCGCTGCCCGGAGCGTTCATGTCCTTGATCTTTGGCTCCTCCCAGTCTGCACCCATGTTCTGCAGTGCCTTGTAAATGGCAAGCATCGCCTCTGATGGCGAGTTGCGGCTTCTGATGCCGAATTGCCACTTGGTGGTCCGAGACTTCTTGGACTTTTCCTTGCCGTGGTGACCCGCTGGAAGGCTAGTCATTGGCTCGGGCTTCTCATGGGCAGCGCGACTGATGTTGGTAGCGCTCTTTGTGTGCGGCTTGAGGTGCCGAGCCGTGGCGTCTTGCTCCTCTTTGGTACGTGGACGGGATGGATCGTCCTCCGCCGTGGCGGGAGAATGAGACTTGTCAATTTGGCCTTTCATGAAGGCACTGTGGTAGTCGGGAAGCGATGACGGCAATATAGCGACAGTAGAGATTGGCGAGCGAGTGTCGATTGGGGACTGGATGGAAGCATTTGAATTGTGCCTACCGGTGGCCTCCCGTGGTGCGCTAGGAGCCATGCGACGCGGCTGGGTAGCTGATGCTCGAGCACGCGTGGACTCTGTCAAGTGAGAAGGAAACGGATAGACTGCTGGGGGAGAGTTGGGAAACTCCGGCTGAGCATCGATGACAGAAGGATTGTTCTTCATGAGGTGGTTTTCGCGCACAATGAGATAGGCGTCCTTGATGGCACTGGGCTCGTCCTTGGAAAGAGCCTCTTGAACATCCAATGGGGCATAGCCCATTGTCTTGCCAAGCTTGCCGACGACACTTACATGAAGCTGCTCTCGCTCAGCGACTGGCTTGCTCGCAGCAAGGCTGTGGGGATCGATGGCCTTGTTAGGGTCGACACCGGTGTCCAGGAAGTCCTCGACGGGAGGCTCAAGGTAGTCAGCCAGATCGGTCTTGAACCAGTTGTTGTTTCTGATCTCTTGGATCGTGATTCTGTTGACCGGGTTGACCTGCAGCATACGTCTGATGAGATGCACTGCACCTTCGGTGAGGTACGACGGGACCGAGTAGTTGCCCTGTGCAATCTTCTTGAACAAGGCGGGAATGTACTCATCGTCAAACGGTAGACGGCCGACAAGCAGCACGTAGAGAATGACGCCGCAGCTCCACACGTCGACTTCCGGACCTGCATACAGCTTACCACTGATGACCTCTGGAGCGGCGTAGTTGGGACTGCCGCAGCTCGTCTTGAGGAAGTTGCCGTCGGTCATGATGTTCGACAAGCCAAAGTCCGCAATCTTCACGTTCAKGTTCTCATCGAGCAGCAGATTCTCCGGCTTCAGATCGCGATGCACAATTTTGTGGCGGTGGCAGTATTCGACCGCACAGACAATCTGCTGGAAGAACTTGCGGGCCTTGGCCTCGGGCATCTTGCCGTGCTTGACAATGTAGTCAAACAGCTCGCCTCCCGCGTACTCGAGCACCATTATGATGTCCTGCTGCGTGGTGATAACAGTGTACAGTTTGATAATGTGCGGATGGCGCAGGAGCTGCAGGTACTGGATCTCGCGCTCGATGCGGCCGGCCATGTCGCGCGTGACGAGCTTGCGGCGGGAGATGATCTTCAATGCGACCTGCTGTCCACTAATGACATGCGTCGCCAGCTTCACCTTGCCGAAGGAGCCCTCGCCGAGTGTCTTGATTACGTTGTATTGTCCGAGGCGGACGGTGGCCTTGCCGGTGCCATTGGCGGCCGGCGTGCGGACCACGGGAACCGAAGGGCCAAGTTGAGACATGCTGGGGACAGCGGGTGCTTGTGCTTGTCCTTGAGCGTGCGAGGCGGGTGGTGGTGGATCGCGAGGGTCTCGGGAGCCGCGGCGTGTGCCCATGGAGAGCGAGAGATCTTCGTCGTCGAGGGCTGACGTCATGCTTTCGGCGGACGAATAAGGAGAAAATGCCGAGACCAATCCCGGGGGTGACCAGTCTAGAGTTGGACGCGCGACAGATGGAGCAGGAACAACACGGACGATGGGGATGGGGATAGGGAGAGGTGGGAGGGGCCCTGACGGCGGAGGGTGGTCGCGAATCCACTCATCAATTGGGATGAGCAAGTCATCTGACGGTATTCGCGAACTTATGGCGATACGTCGGAGGGCCTGTTGCCCGTTTGATGAGTTGGGTTGGGTATGTCTTGTGTTTGTGGTGGTGGTTGGGGAAAAGAGAGTGGGGTGGAGGGGAAAAGGAAGAGAGAGGTGAGGTTTGTCAAGTGTTGGAGAACGTGCCGCTTGCCCAATCTAGGCACCACCCGCATTAGCTTTTGCTTGGGACGTGTGGGGATGCATGTCATACGCAGGGGAGCAGGGGAGCAGAGTCCTTTTCGTCTCTAGCAGCATCGACGTATGTCCTTCTCTTCCTTCTCTATACAGGGGAAGGCATGGGACGATAGAAGTACAGACCATTCGTTGCAGAGATGATCGATTGATTGATCGACCATTGCCCAGAGCAGGCCGAGGACGCGTAGGTCTCGCCTAAGCACAGTGCAGACGGTCTCGTGGCCGCGGAGTTAACTCCAGGATGTGCTGCCTTCAAGCATCGACGAAGCATTGTCCCCGGACCATGCCTTTCGATTGACACAGTGGCTAAGAGAGTCAAAGACCGTTGCCAGTGTACCTGTAACGATTGTCGAACGCACGCCGAAGAATGTACGTCTCGATTCTGGTACATCCATCCCAGTACCTCCATCCTGATCTCTCCATCCAAGCACCTACTTTATACTATCTCCATTTTCTCAGTCTTCAACAGCATGGCATCGTTACCGGCAAGCCCGCTCAAGACAGCAGCTGACTTCGCCAAAAGGTACCAACACTATGTCCTGGGGCAGATCAGCACAGGATCCTACGCGCACGCACACTTCTCGCTTCCCAAATCAATCGCGGACCAGACCCTCGCAGTCTTTGACTCCCACAAGATCGAGCACAACGAAGCCTGCCGCCGTCTACGAGCTTCCCTACAAGCAATCAAGATCTGCAAAGGTAAGACAAACGGCTCAGCTGACAACATGGACCTCGAGATTACTGTGCTGAGCCACACTGCGAAAAAGGGACATCCAAACCTTGTAGGAATACGTGATGCCGATGCTGCCAGCACAGGAAAGAGTTGGTATACCCTCGAGCTTCTCACAGGCGATACATTCGAAAAATACTGCGACTTACTCTACAACCTCCGCCTCAGCCTCGACCGCTCGCCTGAATCCTTCTCTCCAGTCTCCTTCGGTTGGCATCTAGTGCTTCAAGTAACTCAAGGTCTACTGGCTCTTCATTTCGGCGACAAGAACGGGAAAGAATGTAGGAGTTGGCCGATGTACACACACGGCGATACACATCCCAAGAACCTCCTCTTCAGGGGCGGGACTGGCCAGTATAAAGATTACCCAGATGCGGTTCTCATCGACTTTGGTCGGACACAGAAGCTAGGTTCCCATACAGACCGCGCCGCGTTCTTCAGAGCCCAGCACGCGGATGTGAAGCTCGCGATTCATTTCATCGTCAAGACCCAGTGGGCTCGTGACCTCGATCTCAGAACAATATGCTCGGAGATTTGGGAGCTAGATATCCAGGAAGGAGTGGATAATAATCGCATCTTGAAGTCGTGGATGAAGGACCTGAGATTGAGAGCTTTCCGGGAACGAGAAAGGTTGTACATTGCTTTGCACCCCGACGTGATCGAACACTTTCAGCAGGAGATGATCAGCGAAAATGAGCTTTGGGAGCAGACCATCTCCTATCGAAGCCTTTGCGCAGAATGGTGAGTCGCAGACTCCCGCTTGAACCGCAACTAAGATGAGGTAAGTCATCGATTGTAAGTTCTTCTCTCAAATACAGGTCCTTTGACTTCAGCATTATTCATCTCTTTCTGGAGTTTCTGGCTCTCTACGTTCCTCATTGTAGACAAGCACGAGAGCTCATTGATCCAGCTCAAAGGCGCCAGTGAAAAGCACAAAACGCCGAAACACCGGCATAGCTCGAAGCTCTCCACCGCTGACCCGCTTCTTGAGTAATAGTCTCCTTCTTTCCGTTCAAAGGGCCGGACTTGTAATCGCGATTGGCTTGGGTCTGCGCTATCAGAGACGCATTGCTGCAATTGGATCGGACAGCCGTCATTCGTATCCAGATAGCCGTGAGCTCTTGTGCGACCCCGCATGCTCTGCGAGCTTCTGAGCCGCAATGACATAAGGTACTTTTCCAAAGTAAGGGCGTACTGCAAGCGATTGTATAAGTAGGCTTGCCGGGCTGTGGCGAGCTCTTGTATTTCACTGTCCATCAAGGTGCTTTTCTTTTGACCTCCCAATCAGCCAATCGGATTTCAAAGAACCATATCAAAAAGTCTAGGCAGCTCGACATCATGGAAGGAGGTTGTTTCTGTGACGCAGTGCGTGTGAAGAGCACTGGAGAGATTCAAGCAAAGGCGCTCTGCCACTGTAAGTGCATCCCTTACTGTCGGCGAAGTGAACATTCTTCTAACTTACAGCAAAGGCGGAGACTGCCGTAAGATCACTGGCTCGACCTACTCCACAAATTTCATTGTCCCAGGCGATGGCTTCTCCGTGACCAAGGGTAAACCAAAGACCATTACCAAGAAGGCCGATAGCGGCAAGTCCATCACCTCTTACTTCTGCGGCGATTGTGGCTCTACCCTTTGGCGTGACGGTGAGACATTCGGCGACGCGAAGATTGTCAAGGCTGGTATTTTGGACGACGCGAAGGTATTGGGAGAGGCAAAGCCAGTGTTGGAGCTCTATGCTGCTGATAGAATTCCATGGGTTTCAGCCATCGAAGGAGCCGAGCAGAAGACCTCCATGACCTGATTTGACTCCTGTTTGAATTCTGGTAGTATAAAGTGCTCAATGAACAGCATCATTGGCCAATTGCACTCTTCTTGCTTCACGTGTACCAACTAATCGTTTGGCCCGACTTTCCATCGTGACATCGTGTCGTTCGACGAGCGCATCCTGGAAAGGCACGACAGCGCGCAGTGCTTTGGCGCTCCTAGTTCCGATACAATATGCACTGGCGCTGGTTCGAGCATGGTGTAGTTCTGTTAGAGCTGCGGCCTCGATGTTGAAACACGGCCGTTGAGCAGAGACACAGGTGCTTTGGAACTTCACAACGGCAATCGACATGTGACATCCCGCAGGAACGATGAAGATCTCAACTGTCACAATAAGCCCTCAGTCTTCGTCAGTACTCTCCTCAGCTTCCTTGACGGTGTCTTTGAGGGCCTGCAGACTATCAGCAACTTGAATAGATTGTGGTCGTCTAGAGCAAGATTTACCTCTTTGAGCAGCCTCTTCAGTTCATCTTCTTTGGCACTCTTAATGAGCACATGCTCGTCGTCGATGTCTTCGATGATGATGTCGTGGCCCTGCTCATTGTTGATCTTCTGAATGATGGCTTTGATGGATGGATCGCATTCGACCAAGACGCCTGCAGCCCCAAAGGAGTCAGCCATGATACGTGGTGGATAGAGAAGCTGGTATGTGTACCTGCGATTGCGCGTGGCATTGTTCGGATGAGATTGGTCGTTGATGTTTGGAGGATGTGTGTGAAAGAGGAATGAACAAAGTTTCGGTTCGTCGGATTTCAGCTTCGGCGCGCTCTCTCTCTCCCTCTCTCGCATCGACGCGCTGCTTCACACTTGCCTTCTGCATTACAATTACGCCCACACCCACGTTGAAAAGAGACAYCGTTGCGTGGTCATTGGTGAGTACAATTCACTCCTGGTTTCATTTTCCGCGTTGCCTTTTACTGTCAGTATTGTACTCGGTTGCGTATGTTCGTACTCTCAACATCTTTCCATACAACCTTTCAAGCACCATCCTAAACCACGTACTTGGGGAACGAACCATGCAGTACTCTCAAGAGCAACCCGGAACGCCCATGCTGCTGCTATCAAGAGCTGCCCCGAGGTTCTTGTACAGCACAATAGCAAAGTCTTGAATCCATGGCAAGATACTCAAAGGTACCCCTGTACACAGCGAAGCGTGTCCCCGGAAACCGCGGGTGAGCATTTGCAAGGATCACCAATACCGGGATGCGGGAGAGCCTACTGGCGCAAGATAATCTTCAACCTCGCGCACTACATGCTCAGAAGGCAGCGGCCTTCACCACAGCCAATATGGCTGCCGCCGCAGCGACCGCAGACTCCACATCGACGTTGAATCCGACAGCAACTGACGACGCTTCGGGAGGAATTCCAGACATATCCCGCGGTACTCCTATGAAGACATACCTATTTGCATTCCTTGGAGTCGCCATTGTTCTCCTCCTCTTCATAGTCGCAGTTCTCATTCGCAGGACAAAACTGGCGCGACAGCGTTCAAGGCGGAACGAGAACGAGGTCGATCTCTGGGACTATCACAACTCACGCAGCGAAGGCGTGTCACCCGATCAAAGAGAAGAAGGACTCGACGCGAATGGCGAGGCCCCTCCACCTTACGCCCCGCCGCAAACGACAAACGAAGGGACCAACAATACAGCCTCACGCAATCAGCTCACCATACCATCGCAAACATTATCCAGGTTGGAGGCAGGTCTAAAGCCACCAGAGTACGCCGAAAGATCAGGCGGATAGTAGATCTTCACGAATGCGTTGAAGCTCCCTGCGATGGACAAGGGAGGCGGTACCATGAGTCAGTCACTGTCACCGGGACTGTTCGATGACTACAGATGCGTATATGCATATGTGGATCCATGGCAGAAGATGTAAGTAACGCAATCACTGAAATGACTGGCAGCAGCCTGATGTGTGCCAGCAGCCTGATTTGTGTTACTCTGATAAACAACAATCAAACGGGCTCAAAATTGTTTGTACAACAAGCTTCTCACTGCATATATTCCACCCATTCACCAAGCGTAATGAGCACTCGTTATCATCCACACCATGGCGCTCATCACCATCATCTTGACAGTCATTCTCATCGCTACCTACTCCCTCCTAACCCTCGTCCGCAAATGGCAAAAAGCCCCCTCCACCAAACCACTCTCCGTCAACTACCACTTCACCCGCAAATGCAACAAAACCTGCGTCTTCTGCTTCCACACCGAAAAAATCTCCCACATCGCCACAGACACAGACATGAAGCGCGGACTAAAACTCCTCCAAGAAGCCGGAATGAAAAAGATTAATTTCGCAGGCGGAGAACCATTTCTCTACCCAGCCAAACTCGGCATGTTATGCCAATTCTGCAAACAAGACCTCGCATTGGAATCCGTATCGATTATTTCCAACGGGACCAAAATCACGAAAAAATGGTTGGAGAAATATGGTCGGTATGTAGATGTTTTGGGGGTGAGCTGTGATAGTTTCAACGAAACTACTAATATCAAAATCGGACGAGGAACGGGGGAGAATGTCAAGACGTTATTCTTGATTAGAGGTTGGTGTCGAGAAATGGGGATTAAATTCAAACTCAACACTGTAGTTCTACGATGGAATTGGGAAGAGGATATGGCGTCGACGATCACCTTGTTGGATCCCTTCCGATGGAAAGTCTTTCAAGTTTTGCCCGTTGGAGGGGAAAATGATGCTTCTACAATGGAGACGTTGCTCGATCAGCGGAAACGGAATGTGAGAGATGTGTTGGTTAGTAAGGAGCAATTTGGGGATTTTTGTAGAAGACATGAGCATTTGGATTGTTTTGTGCCGGAGACGAATGAGCTTATGGCTAAGAGTTATTTGATTTTGGATGAGTATTTGAGGTTTTTGGATAAAGGGGATGGAGTTGAGAGGGCTTCGGCGTCGATTTTGGAGGTTGGGGTTTGTGAGGCGCTGGCTCAGGTTGAGTGGGATCAGGAGGCGTATGTGAAGCGTGGTGCGGTTTATGAATGGAGTCGGGATTTGGTGGAGGGGGAAGAAGGATGTGGTAATGGCTCTGCAAAGGAGCTTGATTGGTAGAGTACAAGGCTCTCGCAGTCACATCAACAGTTGAGAAGCAGAAGAAGGTCATTCAGAGCATTGTATTCGTGGCATGTAGCAGAGTCGGTATCTCATTCGCACAGCAGTCCAATTGCGATGCATACTAGGACTCTCCTTTTATCCTCCCGATAGCGCTTTCATCCACTCATTTCAGCTTATCGATTCGCATTGCGCGATCCCACACGACTTCCTTCGTGGCGATGTTTCTGTATCTGCGCGAGGTAAATTAGTAAACGCTCTCCCCATAAAGACCTTCAATATAACTTGCAACTGCCGCAGCAGTGCATGGTTCAAAGCCCTCRAAACAGGAGATAACTTACTGACGGATCCGGTGGAGAGGAATGAACTCTTCCTCCTCCGTAGTCTGTATCCAGTCCTCGATCCGCAGCCAAAGCAGCTCATCGACAAAGCGATCCTCATAGCCCACCTCAAAGTTCCGCGTACCAGCGTACTTGGGATCCCAACGTAGCTGGTCTAGAACCTGCTTTCCAGTGCGGAAGTTCGCTGAAGGATCTGCGGTCTCTCCTGTGGTTTGATGATGGACATCTGCGGGACCATCTAGAGCTTCTCCAGGAACTCTGGGAAGAGATGATAGAGACAATCCACGTACGGGAGCCACGGGGACTTGCAGATATTCGTTCGCGCGGAGGAAGAAGTCGTCCGTCGCGTAACTTGATTGGATCTAACCACAAAATCAGTGCTCTCCTCCAGCCAGACTTCGATCAAGTGCGTGGCAACCCTAGCAGTGCCAGAGCGGGATATGATATGTTTGGAGGGTCAACTTACGTAGCACTGGTTCTCATCGTTATTCCTACCAAGGCGATAGTTGTGCCCCAGGAGGTCTCGCGCAACATCGTACACCTTTTCAGTGCCGAAGATTCTGTCAATCGTCTCTCCATCTTCATCCACAGCGCCGTCCATGATGCTGTGAGATCTGTCAGCGCACGCAGTGTGGAAACGCCGGCGTCAGCACGTACAGATTGCTTTCGAATTGGACGCCCATGATGTACATCACTGTTCCGTCTTCTTCTGCTTCATCCAATAGGTAGAACGGCCACACAGTGCCGAACATTCGGCCCTCTTTCCCGAGATCGTCCGAGAGGGTGGCCACCACATCGAAGAATGCGTCCGAAAAGAGGCGTGTCGAACCGGGCGCCCAATAGTTCACCTTGATCACCAYGCAATTTTGCTGCTTGCGCAAGAACGCCTCGAGTCCACCGCAGGGTGAAGCGACCCTCCACGGGTCCTCTGACATGATTGGACTTCGCTAGAACAAATGTTAGACAAGTACTCTCTATGCAGACACGCAGTTTGCGAGGCTCGAACGAAACGGGGRGGCTTACCTGTGAGAACTTTGACCAAAGATTAGATATCATGTCCGCTTCTGAGATCTCGCCACCGAACCACTGGGCAGCTTCGAGAACTTGCTCGGGATCTAGAGTCTGCAAGCGTCTAGAGAGCATCCCGTGGTCATACGCACACTGCAACCATCGATGGGCATGCTGGCGCCACGACTCGACGTCCGAATCGCTTTTCCTATCATGATCTGCGGCAATACGCTGTAGTTTTCGTGCGCCATTGAGAAGAGGGTAGTCACTGTGGGCTGTTGATCCTTGGGGCTGAGTACTGGGCTCTGGTTCTCTGATGCGGCCGTGGATATCGATTGTTTCGCCGACCGCTCGAACCTGGCAATACTCCAGAAGAATGACATGACCATGTGCTTCGACTAGCAGAATCGACATTTTCGCACCCTTTTCCGTCACAGGGCTGGTGGGGTGAGTCCGGGTCTTCACCACGGTCGCCTTGTAGGCACTACCTTCGAAGGCCTCTTCAACCTCGCCCCAGAGAGTCTTTGGTGTTATGTTGGCTACGAGCAGGAGCTGAATTGGTGCATGGGGCATGTGGATTCCCACGACTTCAAGAGACGTTGGAAGGAGGTAGCGTGTGAGACGAGTTGGAGCTGGCAGAGGATGCTCGCAGCTGGGGTGCACGTAATGGCATTTCAGCCGCTGCTCAAAGTCCTCGAGGAGATTGTCCATGTCCGTATTCTCCGCCATTGTTGCGTGTAGGCGGGGTGTAGTATTGCGTGATAGTGTTGATGTCGATGTCGGTGTTGATTCCACGTCGGAATTGTGGTCAATGTGAAGTTTTGAATGCTTGCGATGTTCTTGGATGGACACGGTTGAAATGAACGTACCTCAAGCTGGAAACTGACTGGCAACAATTGACCACGACGCAAACAAACACAGTGATACGAATGGAACGTCTCGTCCATTGACAGCACATTCACTTACGATATAGCATATACATCGACTGGCGAGGTRAAGGATTGATCGGCACATCAATAGTTGCAATCTTTGCGGCGCGCGCAGCAGGAAGAGTCATAACGCGCGGCTATCCCCAATATCGACACCGCTGAGTCCTAGGAGCGGGTACTTGCCCACGGACAAGAGGGAACTTGGAAGGGGGCTGTGCTGTGGGAGTTGAGACTGCCGTCGAAAAGTACGTACCGTCCAGCAGGAAAGTACCTTGAAGATGAGTCAACACAACAGAAGAAGGAGAGGAAGTGAGAACGAGAGAGCTRGCCGAGATTTGATTCGAGGMCGCATCGACCACCATAATCCACAATTCATGCCGTGCACGCCCACTCTCTCTCACGCGCATGACAACGAATGAATGTAGCGCGAGATATTTTCCGAGATGATGCCATGGCGTCCAATGACCGAAAGATGGTACACTCTCATCTGCAATCCTTCAGCTCGGATCACAGGAGGCACCAATGACTGGAAAGCGGAAGGATTGCACTGATCTCTCCCATGAACATCARGTCTCGGAAACAATTGCGTAAGGTACACATCATGTCATGTCACCAGGAGAAAAAAGGCCGAATACCGACCATYACCAAGGTCCCGGCGCCATTGGATCCATGGTGGCCATCCCTGCTTCCAGAAGGGCGGGAGAAGAGTGGGAGGACACAGATAGGGTTAGACGCCATGACGGAAGGAGTCAAAGGCCTTGAAGCTCGCTCCTCACTGTGGGGCGGTGTTGATCCGTGTGTGTGTGTGTGCTATCATCCCGCGACGCTGCCAATATTCGCTGGTCTCATCCGTCCGAGACGGCAAATTCGATCGCGAAAAAGAGTCCCTGGAGCCAGCCAGACAGACAGGGAGCGCCACGCCTGACCATTTGTTGTCTCCAACACCGGACGTTTCCATCTCATCGTGCCTGTGTGACCGAGCACGACCTGTTAAAGACCACGGCGGGTCTCATACCCATGTCCATACCACCCAGCTCGTAGCGCGCTTGATCACCAATTCTCGCTCTCACGCGTGATTTTCCGCCTCTCACCACGCCTTCGGGGCTCACGCGACACGTCGACCGCACACGACAACCCTGTACGATCCCAATGGGAACGAGCACATACCTATCGCCAGGATTCGCGGTGTCGGCTAGTCGCAGCAGCAGCGCGTTGCCGTTGGAGGTGCGTGGATCGCCCTCACCGCCAGAGRGAGAACAATCGCAAGCATTCGAGCGGTAGTCCATGGTCAAGGTCCGCCCCCAGACGCATTGCGATTTCTACCAAGCTTGGAAATCTCGAGCACTATGCGCCGCCATCCACTGCGAGCCACGCAGACCCTGCGCAACGGCAACCCATCCGACGCCCTTAGCTTGATACAAAGCTATGACTCCGACTTGAACCCTTCACGTCCAGCCAAATCCTCCTCCCTAGGCGTCTCCATCGATACCGGACTTCCTCTCGAGCTGCTCAACCGCCTTCGCGCATTTCCTCTCTTCCAGAGCGCGCCCGAGTCATTTCTGCTCTCCATTGGGAAGAGCCTACGGCCCAGCATATACCAACCCGCGCAAGAAATCATCAGAGAGGGCGAGGATGCAAAGGCCATGTACTGGGTCGTTCGCGGCTCTGTCCGTGCAACGAGCAGAGATGGGGAGAGCACGTATGCGGAATTGAAGCCCGGTTCATTCTTCGGTGAAATTGGCATATTGATGGATATACCCAGAACAGCGAGCATCGTGGCCAACATTCGAAGTCTGGTCGTTCGTCTGAACAAGGAGGATCTGCAAAGAGAACTGCCTTCATACCCCGAAGTTGAGAGAGCCATCAGGGACGAAGCGCTGGAAAGATTGGCTATCTTGGAACGCAAGAAGCAGGAAAGGAGTGTCAATAACCATGTCAGCGAGGCAGGGAGCATGCGACCGCCAGCAGCACCGCGTAAACGATCACGTGATTGGTCGGCGGGCGACGTTGAGATGGGTGAGGCCGGTTCGCTTGCAGACGGGGAGGTGATGAGCAATAAGAAGCGCAAATCGCCATCTCCAGGAATCGCGGAAGTCGCGGCATCGAGTGCACTCGGAGCCTCTTCTCTCACCATCAGACAAGTGCTCAAAGAATTGCCATTGTTTGCAGGTCTCCCTTCGGACATTTTACATTTCCTAGGTGTCAACGCACAGCCTGTGACTTACCCTCCATTTACGGAGATTGTCAAGCAAGGGAGAAGCGGACGGGACGTTTACTTCATCATCAAAGGTGATGTGGAAGTCTTGACCGAGGCACCAGACCAGAGTCCAAAGCGCGCTGGCAGCACGAACGGACACGTGCAGGGCCCAGAGCAACTTGTGCAAGCTCGATTGACTGCGGGTCAATATTTTGGCGAAGTCACAAGCCTGAGTCTCGCGCCCAGGAGGACGGCAACGGTACGGAGTGTGACTTCGGTAGAATGTCTGCTAATCAGCGGAGATGTGCTGGACGATCTGTGGAGAAGATGCAGTCCTGGCCTGAGGCAGCAGGTTGAAAGTGAAGCCAAGAGACGCATGAAGGCGGCAAGGAAAGATGATGATGTTGTCATGGCCGACTCAGGTTCTGCGGGTGATGTTCCTACGAGGGTTGACCACGACGATGAAGGTGTCGATGGCGAAGTGGACTGGCGAAAAGACCTACCAATCGTCAAGTTCGACGACCCACTTCCTTTGCAAGATATGTCGACACAAATGGAACCCATCGACCCGGACCCGTTCTTCAACGAAGACTTKGAACACATGCGTGCCAAATCTCGGAGGTCCTCTCTCGCACCACCAGTACCCGGCACCGACGGTCAATTGGGAGGCCTTTCAGAGAATCGCACACCTAGTCCGCCCGCAGTACGCATACATCCTTCTTCGCCACTCAAGCCGCTGCCATATGGGAAATCGCCGGCTTCTTCGGGGACATCGCCCAACTCGCCACGCCGACCCAGTCCACCCCCTACACGGCGGCCAAGCATGGACAGGAGACAGTCCAAACATACACAGGGCCGACTTCCCGACCCTCTACTGAAATCCGTCTTCAAACATCTTGACCTGCTACAATTGATGAAATGTCGTCAGATAAGCGTTCACTGGCAGCACATCATCTCTACCTCACCCGACTTGGTGCAGGAACTGAATCTGTCCATGTACAACAAGTACGTCACAGATGCTACACTCAGAGATGTTATTGTACCTTTTATCGGCAGCAGACCCAAAGAGATTGACATGTCGAATTGCTTTCATGTCACAGACGAAGGCTTCCGCAGGCTGACCGAGGCGTGTGGGGAAACGGCCAGAGTCTGGAAGATGAAGTCTGTGTGGGATGTTACGGGATCAGCGGTGCTTGGGCTTGTGGAAAAGGCCAAGGAGCTGGAGGAGATTGACCTCAGTAACTGCAGGAAAGTGAGCGACACTCTTCTTGCTAGAGTGGTCGGATGGGTTGTTCCAGAAATGAAGCCAGGACAGCTGGCTTTCCAAGCCCCACCTCAGCAACCCATGAACGGCAAGCGAATACATTCAAAACGGCATCCAGGAGCTCTGTCACTTGCTGGACAATACAACCAGCCTGCTCCACCACCCGGGACTGTCATTGGGGCTCCCAAGCTCAAGCGACTGACGCTCTCATACTGCAAGCATGTCCAGGATAGGAGCATGGCGCATATCGCAGTCCACGCTGCGGATCGCATCGAATCACTAGATTTGACAAGATGCACAAGCATCTCCGATGCTGGCTTCCATTCCTGGGGTATGTACGAGTTCAAGAACTTGCAGAAGCTTATCCTCGCGGACTGCACATACTTGAGCGATCAGGCGATTGTGGGCGTCGTAGGTGGCTGCCGAGGTCTCAGAGAATTAGACCTCTCATTCTGCTGCGCACTCTCCGACACAGCTACTGAAGTCCTGGCTCTTGGACTGCCCGCTTTACGGAAACTCGACATGGCGTTCTGTGGCTCGGCAGTCAGTGATAACAGCCTGCGCTGCATCGGTCTACATTTATTRGAGTTGCGTTATCTAAGCGTCCGAGGTTGCGTGAGAGTCACGGGCCATGGTGTGGATAGCGTCGTCGAAGGCTGCCGATATCTCCAAGCACTTGATGTCAGTCAGTGCAAGAATCTTCGACCTTGGCTGGATCGCGGGGGAATCCAACGCGCCAATGCCCCTTCTACAGGGAGGCGCATCAAATTCGATGTCGTTGCGGATGGATCGTGGCGTGCTGCGGATGGGAGATGATTGGGAGGGCGGGTTTGAGAAGGAGAGGAATTTTGTGAAAGCATGTGAATGAAATGATTCCGTTGGTGTTGTTGTTAACCTTGAGCGAGGCGTTTCTTGGTCATGTGGGTGGGTGGATTGTAAGATGGATATTGCTTTCGTCTGGTCATCGAGGATTCTTCCTTTGTTTGAGAGCAGCGTTTTATACCACCATAGGCGATTGCGGGATAAAATTTTTGACTGCTTTCTTCTTCTTCTTCTTCTTCTTCTTGGGTGTTGTTTTTATTGTTGTTGTTGTTGCTGTTGTTGCGTGAGTGGATTTTCGGCTTTGTGTTTTCTTGGGTATGAGTTTTGATGTGGGATGCTTTTTGGTGGTGATGTCGATGGATGTGATATCGATGGATGTGATATCGATGGATGTGATATCGATGGATGTGGAGGAGTTGTGAGATGAAGATGAAGATGAAGATGTGAGATGAAGATGGAGACGAAGATGGGATGGAATGTAGAGAGTCAAAGAGGAGTGAAGCAGCAAATCTCCTCGAACACCTCAAACCAAACTGAAATTGATCACTCATAACAGGAGAAAGAAGTTCAATCAAGATTATTTCTCTATCGACGTCTTGGAGAAACTCCTATCTCTCTCTCTCCCAATGTTCGGATTCGATCCTACTATACCTTCTATCGAAGCGAACGAAGAGGTCCCAAGAACTTCCTATCTACTCTTCATCTTGTATAGACTTTATTTACTAGGAAGCTCAAGCTAGAAGTTATTGTTGTAGTAGAAGTAAGTAATTGATGATGAATGAGCCTTCTCCCGCTAATACTAATACTTTGATGTATGATGATAGAAATTGCCTATCTCGGAATGAATGGATATGTCCTGTATGTATGAACTTCCTATCTACTCTTCATCTTGTACAGACTTCATTTACTAGGAAGTCCAAGTTAGATAATAATAGTATTTAGTAGAAGCAAGTAAGCGAAGATGAATGAGCTCTTCTCCTATTGGATTTTGATGTATGATGATATATACATTGCCGTCTTAGACGGAATCATGTTCGTATGTATGATTTCGCTTGCTTGTGGTTTTCTTTCTATAGCGACTTTTGAAGAGATTAGATTAGGAAGTTGCGATAAGTACTTGAGATGTGTGCTTGCTTGTGGTCTGTAGTCGTGGTAACGTTTTCTTCATTATGATGGGGTTTTTGAGAGGGGCGGTGTTTACTTGAAATAGATTGAGTCGGGTGAGTTGGAGAGGGTACCTATCATTGAGGAATTGTGTAGAGAGATTTCTGGATTGGTATTCWCTATTTGGCTATGACCATACTCTCATCAGTGGCAGAGCATGTCACATGGATGTATCTGTTTGACTCAATCGTAGCTTTATGGCATGTGATTTATTGTGGTTAGGACTTCGCTTTTTTTTTGTTGTTGTTGATGGGATGGGTTGTGAGTATTTACGGGTGAGACTAAGGCTTGGAGATGGGGTGAGATTAAAAGGATGGTGATGATGAGGGCTTTGCTGTGTGGTGGACTTGACGCTTATACCTTCGTTGCTGTTGTCTCTCTACTTCTTCGTCATACCTGGATCGGAGTAGTAACTTAGCTCAACGGTGGACTATAGACGACTTAAGACTGTGTTACTCTTAGAATCCTCACAGAGAGCAGGCAACTTGGATACGAATTTGGATGAAGCCGGCACGAAGACTTACAGTACAAGCCAAGAGTACTAGAATATTTTCATCACTCCAAAGGAAAAAGTGAGGCACAAGAATCAGGAAGCATGCAGTCAAATTTCTTATATCTATCTCAAGAAGAGGCTTCAAATTCCACTCTCCTCAATCCCTGCATTCGAATCTTCCCCATCATCATCATCATCCTCCTCCACCAAACAAAAGGGGCTCCCTCCACTGCAAGCCAGTATTACAGGTCTCGCTGCCCCGGGACATATACATCCATCCCCTTCTCCAACAATATCGTCCCAATGTAGGTAAGGTAGCATAACAACAACGACGCTCCTCTTCCTCTTCCTCCTCTTCCTCTTCCTCTTCTTCGTCCTCCTCTTCTACCTCACCGCCAGGCAAATGCACTTCAAAAAATCCATGCAAAAGTGCGGTGTTGAACTTGTCGAAAATAATTAGCGCAGCGTGAAAAACTCTCCAGCCCCCCAAAAGTGAGGAGGAAGAGGAGAGCACAGCGCGCGCAAGAGTTTGGAAGTGCGAGCAGCAAGTCCGTCGCTAACAGACCGGCTGATAGCGAACGAGCCAACTTTCGACGACCTTCCGGGGAGGGGGAGGGGGACAAAAATCCAATGTATTGAAACAATCGTTGTTCGTTCGCTGGGCGAAAAAGAAGTGTAATTCTTGGAAAATGGCAAATCCAGTGTTTTGGACGAAAGATCACTGCCTCAGTAAAGGGGTTGTGCTTCWGGGTTGCTTGCTTGCATGCTGGCAAGACTTGGGGAACCAGTTATATCCTCTCATACCATCACACTTCAATCTAGAATAGAATAGAATAGATTGAAGGGATAGATAGAGATGGGATTTGGGGCTGGACATCTAGTTGCCACCACGAACGACGATTCCATTACGACGGGTCGTGCCACGCTTGTAATCATCCTCAGACTCGCTCGAGCAATCCGACTCATCCGAGTATCCGCATCGGGAACCTCCACAGTCGAGCTTGACGCGGCCGCCGGCGCGAGTGATGCCGTAGCGTTCGCAGGTGCAGCAGGAAGAAGTGCTGGAGACGGAGCTTGGGGTGCTGGAGGCTGAGCTGCGGGAGCTGAGGGATGGGACATCGGAGCCGGCGTCGGAATCCGAGTCGGAATCTTCCTCCTCGGAGTCGGAGTCGACGTTGGTGCGGGAGAATTTGGCCGTGAGCTGTTCGAGAGTTGGGGCTGCGAAGGCTTCGGTGCGGACCATGCGGGTCTCTTGAGGCTTGTAGGGCTTTGGGGAGACGATTTGGGACTTGTCCAATGGGCGACCTTTGGGGACACCACCGTTAGTGCTCACGCGGCGGGAGTGGCGAGAGGACTTGGAGGTGGTGGTCTCGGCTGGCTTGCCGGCGGGGATGTCGAGGGTGTTGAGCTTGCGGCCTGTGGTGGGCTCGGTGACGGATTCACGGGCTGGGTCGTGCGAGACGTGGTAGCCGTCGATGATGTAGTAGTACCAGTAGCGTTGGCCTTGCTTGAGGGTCTGTCCCTGGAAGCGGAAAGTGCCCTTCCAGCCACCAGACTTGGAGGAGTCCTTGGAGAGCGGGAGCTGGCCGTTGTAGTTGTCCCAAGATCCGAGAAGGTGGACGGTCTTGCAGTTGGCAGAAGTGCGGAGGGTGAAGTTGAGCTGGATAGCGGCCATTTTGATATTAAGATTTTCTTCTTTTTATTTCGCGGGGGGGTATATGTTTCTTGAATTGTCGGTTTTGTCGTGAATATCGTGCTGAGCAAGCAAGAGTTGTAGTTTAGCTGTAAAGAGTCGACCGGCGACTTGAAAATGGTAAAATATGTGGTGATGGTGGTGAGATCAATTATTAGAGGGTGAGAGATTCGCGAAGAGCACCAGGCCCTGGGGTAACGGACAGAGAACAAAAAAAGGGGAGGATAAAAACTGAACAACAACTCTCGAGATTGACACACTTGCTGAAGGAAGAAAAGAGAAAAGGGTCTTGCCTGAGGGAGCGACGGCGACTATATGCCTTGGGATCAGGGCGAGCTTTCGCAAGCGTGTGGGCGTGTGGGTACGACCGACCTCCACCAACACAGCAGACATGCAATGCAATGCAAGCTACCGACCGCCCACTATTGGAAGGGTGCAGGCCGAGCGCGAAGAGAAGTTGATCGGGTGGAGAGGCAGAAAGGTTCAAGGGAGGGACGTCGAAGGACAGCGGTTCGTTGTGGTCGCTGATTGGCTCGACTGTGATGCACCACCATCACATTCACCTGCACGATTGGCTAATGCAAGCCCCGAACAGGGAAGGTACGGGCCTATCCTTCCATCACCATGCTTGTACCAGCTGTTGGAGGAGAGCCAGACCTCCATCTCTCGCCGTCAAAGCTTGGGAAGATGCTCTGTCCCGGTGGTTGAGATGAGAGCTTCTCGCCGGCCGGAGATGCTACAGTGCGATCCTTTACGAAAAAGACGGTCTGTCAGTATTTGAGGGCTGTACGAAGGGCGGTTATGCAGGCTGTATATTGCACAGCTGTAGGTAGCTATGGACCAACAACAGTATTCGTAATGGTTGCGCGGGGAAGTGGATTTCACGCGGGAGGAAAGAAAGATGGCTGGCGAGGTACAAGGATCGGGCTTGTGATGTCGCGCACATGGCGGGCGAGTCAGAGCGTGCCATGCCAGAATTTCACAAATGTAGCACAGCGACGTAGTGAATACCGAAGCGATGAAGATAAGGAGGTGGAGATGATCACGATTTGTCCATTGTAGGTGAGAGATGGTCCGTGAGATGGTCGACGGTCGACAGTCACTGCACACCGCAAATCGACTGTTGTTGCACCGTCTGCCTTTTTTCAGATGTGTGCATGCATCTCACCAATCCAGCTACGAATGGAAGCAGTGGAGACAGTWGACAAGCTCACAGTCGGAAAGGTGCAGATACAGGCATGCATTCAACGCACAATGCAGTGCAAGGCTTGAGAGATCTTTGATGTGTAACCGAGCCACTCATCCACATCATTACGCATTTCCAAGACCACCACCTTATATCACCGGACTAGAATCCCTCCTCCTCAGCCTCAGCGTTAGCAGCCATGATCGCTTCCAGCTCATCTGGACTCAGCGTGCTCTTCCTCTTCCTAGGTCTTCCTCTGATTCTCGTCTTCTTCGCCATTGGAGATGTTGAAATCATCTTTCCGAGCGTGACGTCTCCGGGCATCTTACCCAAAGTGTCGTCGTCCCGCTCGTCGTCCATGGCTCCGTCTAATCCGTGAAGAGGCGCAGGAGAAGTTCGCTTGGTTCGTGCGCGCTCTTTCGCTGCTTGCTCGGCCTCTTCTTGAGCAACGCTAAGCTTTTCCGCGATTGTCATTTGCGGGACTTCGAGCTCCTCACTCTCGTCTTCAAGCTCTGGAAGGGCAGGTTCTGGCTCCGTTGCCTGTTTTGGAGGAGCCTGTGGCGCAGACTTGCTTGAACGGGGCCGCAAGTCGAAGAACTCGGGCGGTTCCAGTATATCGCGTTTCCGCTTCGGACTACTCATCGGCCGACTTGGTACCTGCTCGGGAGAGGCTGCTACCAAGCTTGCCTCGTCGACGCCGGGAAGCGCGATGGAGCTCGTATCACTCTCCAGCATGCTCTCCTCCGCATCCACTTGCTCGGCGGCTCTTCTTCTCCGTGTACCAGGAGATACTAGACCCATTCCCCTGCGCAGATCATCAATGTTGAYGGTGTCGCCCGTGTCCATGCGTCGTAGCCAGCCTTCCATCATGGCCAGCACATCATTCCAACGCTTCTCCATGTGCTCCCATCCTTCTCGCAGTCTTGTAATCTCATCCTCTCTTACTTCCACCTCCTCGATAGGCACGAAATTTGGATTCGTCAAGATGGTCTTCATGTGTGTTAGAATCGACTCCATGTCCGTGGAAAGAGCTTCGTATGATGTAGGTAGAGCATGCAATAGACTGCTTCCTGTCCTCTGTTTGCCGTTGCTCTCGGCATCACYGCCCATGCTGCCCAGCGCACTATCGGGATGCCTCTTCGCATTCGCCGGCAGTCCCAAGACCGTCTTCATCGTGCTCAACGAATCCCACAACAGACTGATCAAGCCATCGTTCTCATCACTGAGACTCTGGCTGAGCTGCGTCAGGAACTCGGTCGTCTCCTGCTTCAGACTGTACTCCGGATCATCCAATCCATGCGCCGCACTCTCCCCCGACGCCTTTCTGACCGACATACTCGGCGCCGTCATTCCCACCCGATTCCCTCTTTGCTGACCCTGTAGATGCGTCTTCAAGCGTGCAAGTTCCAAATCACGTTTCCGCACATCGTTTGTGCACTGCGTCTTGACCTGCGCCAACGTCGTCTTCAACTTGGCCGTCTGATCTTGTAATGTCTTCATCGCCCGTTCGACTTTCTTCAGTTCTGCCAACGCCGTACGTTCCGAAGCCTGTGCTTGCGCGGCAGACCGAACAGACTCATCGTTCTTGACGTTGAGTCGTTCAAGGTCTTGCGATTTGCGCGAATCCTCGGCTTTGAGAGTCCGGATGGTGCTGKCGACTTGTTCTCGTTGGTCTTTGGCACGATCTTCGCGAAGGATCAGGTCGTGCACCAGATTGATGATCTGCGCGCGACTCTCCTTGGACGGCTTGACAAAGTCGATGGGGTCGCCATTACGGAGGAGTCCGCGGGAGAGGAGGAGGTTGTTGAGGTATGTCGACGCCGTTCTCAGGCTTTCGTGGTCCATGGCGGAGGGTAGATGGTCTCTGGCCCGTGATGCGATCAACATCAACAACACGGAGTACAATACACGGAAAAGTGAGACAATGTCGAGTCGAGTGAGATGATCTACATTGGTTTGTTGACGGTTGCCAGAAAGATTGTTTACTTGTTTCACGCTAAAATCGATTGATAATCATCACTTCTCCATCTTTCTTATTGAAAGTTACCGCACTTCCACTCTCTCCAAACTCGACGAGATTGTTGAATGACTTTCTCCGCATTATTGATGAACCGACCGACACATGACCCAGTCTGCATGGGCATCGCCGCAACTTCACTTGTGTATGGTATGACAAGGCAAGCTTTCTTGCCAACCTTTCGTCCGTTTCTACCTGCTCATACAGCGTGAGAATCTTGGAAACGGCAGACTCGTAGCATTTCCCGCATTGTCCACACCGCTCCAAGATGGATCTTACGATATGACATGTCGGCGTTGGTGGAGAAACGTGTCATACAAGGATCACACAAACTATGTCTGTCCGCCGCACGCTGCTGCGATCACGACGTCCGACCATTTCCAAAGATATGTGCTCACGATCAAGAGTGATGCCCATGTCCGCACATGGCCTTGATCCGGGGCTGTACCATCGTTGACAATGATCTGTACATTCTCACTCCAGGTGCCCACGACTGCCGACTTGCTGGCCTGCGCTCGCGGTCAGGGTGGCCTGTCTTCTCACGAAAGACCCAGGTTCCATACCAAGCTCTAGGACTAGGGTTCCCGCACTTCATATACGCTGCAGCGATACGTATCCAATGCATCAAAAAGGTAAGATAGAGCTTGTGTGCCATCATCATGGATTGCTGCCAACTCTCCCCGTCAACACCACCACCTGCCATGCCTCGCTGGATACGATTTAAGAAAGAGAAGGAACCAGAGTTCCTTCCAGAGCAGCGCCCGGTAGCTCGCGCAGAATTAAAAGACGGCGCATTGAATATGCTAGAAGGTGACTTGGACGCTGCCTTTACCTCTCCCCAATGGCCCGTCTCGCCGATAATCAACAATCAGAATGGAAATTCTGCCCTGCCGGACTCCGTCGACTCCACGCCTAGCACAACTCGATCTTTTGCARAAATACAAGGCAATCACAAAAAGTCCGTGCAGCTCGTCTCTCCCGAGGATTCACATAGCGGAGACTCTTCGATACAGGCCCGACCTTCCGATCTTTCATTCCTGCAATTTCGTCCCACAGAGAACACAAATTACGCTCGCGTTTTCGCCCGGGCGGTTCTGGAAGGATATCGATCCAACCTGATATCCGGCGTCAGCCAGAGAGATAGAGTTCTAGCCGAACGAGTAGTCCAAGGCGAGGGCAAGGATCTGATATTTCGACCAGCGTACATTGCTACAAACACGGTCTGGAACGGCCAGGATCCGCGACTTCGCAGAGCCACGCTCACGCATATCTTGGGAATTGCCAGCGCGGACTGCAACATCGATGATTGTCCCTATCGCGGTAGCTCCTGTGTAGGATGTGAAGATCCTCAATTTGGAGTCTTTGAAGGCTGCCGACATTCGCATGAAAGTCCCAAGAAATTGGGTTGCGCAAATTGTTGCGTAGGAGCCATATCCTCGGATTGCTCTGTCAGGAGTGAGAGGAAGGATTCCAAGGACATTCATCGGGAATCCACTCTCCGGCCGAGAGAATCTCGCGTTATTGATCAAGAGCAGGTCATACGACAGAGGGAATCTAGGGCATTTGTTCCTTCTTTGGTGGATAACCGACCGAGAATGAGGAGCTCGCATGCTCTATTCCAGGACTTGGCACCAGTATCGGAAAGTCAGAAACGTGCGGCGTCGAAAGTCGGGCCTGTCCTCAATCAATTCTTCGTCGGCGATCGGGATGGGAAGCCCAATGATTTTGATATTTGGATGGCGATGAGGAAGAGGGCGATTGATTATGATCCGGAAATGTTGGAGATGGAGTGTAGGCTGGCGAAACTTTGGAGTAATGTTCTTGAGGATGAGCGTGGGAAGCAGAAGGCTGTGGCGTTTCGCAATGAGGGAGCGGCGGAAGTTGAAGGAGATCGTCCGTAGGCGACATTCYTCGGAGATGGACGTGGATGTCGTGCTGGTAGGTGGATTACGATCGCATGCAGTTGAGGATCTGCTGCGCTTTGTACAGAGATCCAGAATTGAAGTCAGTCGCCGCATCTGCTTCAATCCTTTTCACGCTCCCGTCTTACATCGCCGGAAGCTCCCTGGCGACTTCGAGGTTGAACCAGACCAGGTGCATTCTGCTTTCTGACTCGAGAAGAATAGCGTTCGTCCATTGTTGTTAGAGCCTGCTTGGTGATGCTGTGTCGGACGGCAGATTCATGCCGCCTCATCATCGCGATCAACAATCGCCGAAGCACCGCTTGAGTAGCCAGAGTCTGACCGTACAGAAGAGTCAATCGTCCTTGGGGTCGCGCTGCCATTGCGGTGTTGATCGCAGACATATCCTACAAGGACTGTTTTCTCTTGGATTGTATGTCCGCGCTGTGATCTGGCAACGCAGGGGTCGATGGCATGTTTGTAGTAGAGACATTTGCAAACCGCGTATTTTTCGAGCACTTGGATGCACATGTCTGTTGGATCCCGTCGAAGATGATATTCTTCAGAGAGGTGATGTTGTTGTTGTTATGAAAGATGTGGCATGAAACGRCGGTGTCTTCGGAGTAGCGATGGCATGATGTGTATGTGTCTCCCGGCATCGATGCAAAAAGACGGAAAAGAAGTACCGAGAAAGGTACAATGCGAAAGGATTGCTGATCAAAGCGTGGCCTTGCATGAAATGGTACTCACCATCGAAGGCTCGGCGATGCCATAGGCTCGAAAAGTAATGTCATCCGCTCCCCTCCCTCGCGGGACTCCCGGGGGAGACCGACCCATCCTTAGGTAGTAGCATAAGGTACCTGATAATCGTGGACACCACCCTCATCATCAACCAACACACACATCTGCCCTTAACTTACCATGATGAGTGAGATGCGGCGGAAAAACGTGGGAGGACTACTCCACACTCGTCAGCGCACGTGTTTGATCGACTGCATCCAAGATCGGGGCTTTTGAAAGAAACCTACTCTTTGGAACCATCGCCGCCAGAGGGATCCGGGGTTCCGAATTCCGCGTTGAATGAGGATGTGGTTTCGGATAACTCTGATGACAGGCTGATGATGAAAGTCGCTCGGCGGCAGTGAAGCCACAAAAGCAGCCACGATCTAGAGATGTAGTGGATGATGCATGCATAGATGCAGATCTGAAACGATGCTCCCTTTTTTCTATTCTCCCCCATTCTCGCATACCACACCGTTTTTTCTCGTTACCAGATGCTTCGTTTTGGTGGGCTCATCGCTCGGATGATATCCTGTGGAGGCGGCGGGCATTTCTGCAGTCGAAGACGAGACTTCGCTGTGTGAGATTGTAAGATGGAGAGTGGAATCTTAGCTCATGTGCCTAGAGGCCAAGGCAGAGCTGATCAAAAAATCTCCGATTTGATGCTGGTTGGAAGAAGGTGACATGCATCGAGGCAAGCAGTGGCTTAATTTTGGCTTTCAACACGCGAGATTGAGATTGAGGGCGGATCCTTCGGACTTCCTTTCCTTTCCATTTCTCCCCCTTCCACGTCAATCAATGCAAAATTGGTACAACGAGCACAGATCGTGTATTTGCAAGCAGTCATCGGTTGGGTCTGATCCTTGACACTGACTCAATCAGGCACAGCAGGACTGCTGATGATACCTTACATGTACTTTCACGCGCTGATGACTCTCACACAACATTCTGCGCCATCACTACACCACCAGCATGGCAACCAGACAGCGAATCATAATTGACTATTGGCAAACTCGAGAGGTTTATGACGACAGCGATCTTCTCCTTCAATTCAACACAAGACGCGAGGTTTTGGCGGAGGCGAAATGTTGTATTGCATGATACTTTGCTACACCCACTTACTGCAGCAGGTCATCGTGTAAGCTGATTTTATCCTCATCAAATGAGAAGTCACCCAACGCCGGAACTCCTTGCTATGCTCGCATGAAATGTCACCATCCAAGCTTCAGGTCGTGCCTTTAACAGCTGTCTCCTCTTCCTCGGCTTGAGGTGGCGGCAGAGACCTCGACGGAGCCGGATTGAGGATACCAGCAGCGTCGATGAGAGGCGCAGAAGGGTTGAGCTCGAGACCAAATCCTGGCTTGTCAAGCACGGAGACATCGAGGTAGCCCTTTGTTGGGATTGGTTCGTTGAGGAACAGATTGCCAAAGACRGGCAGCACACTCTTCCCATCCGCCGAGTTCGCCAGGTATTCTTGGAACGGGCTGTTGGCTTGTGACACGACAAAGTGATACGAATAAGGTCCACTGGCGTGAGGCACGACAGGAAGATCGTACGCCGCCGCCATCGCCGAGACTTTGAGCAGCTCTGTCATGCCACCAACCCACATCACATCTGGCTGGAGGATGTCGACATTCCGGCCCTCGATGAGCTTGCGGAAGCCATATCTCGAATACTCATGCTCTCCCGTTGTGAATTTGAGCGTTGGGTGTGCACGCTTGATGAGTGCCTGGCCATCAAAGTCGTCCGGAGACAAGCACTCCTCCCACCAGTCGACATTGAACTCCTTGCACTTCTCCGCAAGCTCGATTGTGTATTGGACGTTCAAACTCATGTAGCAATCCACGCGGAGCGGGAAGTCGGGACCAACTTCTTCACGCATCTTACGGATGTACTCCACGTTCTTCCTCATTCCTTCTGGGCCCTCACCAGGACTATATGGCAGTGCAACTTTGGCACCGCTGAATCCCGCAGCTTTGGCAGCTCCTGGCGCTGGGCCAGTGCAGTAGAATTYCAGTCTTTCTCTTGTTGCTCCACCAATCATCTTGTACACTGGCTCATTGCGGATCTTGCCTAGAAGATCCCAGATTGCAAGATCGATCACTGAGATGACGGCAATTGGGAGACCTTTACGACCGTAGAACATCGACGCGCGGTACATTTGTTCGAAGAGGTTGTTTGTATCCCTTGGATCTGAAGCAAGTCAGCGTGGTTCGTCTCAAGTTCATGCTATGTCCTACCAGCTCCGATCAAGAATCTTCGAAAGTGTTCTGCTGTRAGCCAACAAGCTGGAGGTCCACCAAACCCGGTGGCGAAGCCTTTCGTGCCATCAGTGGCCTCAATCTCCACGCAGAACGACCCTAACACGTTGATTCCCCAACTCGTTCTTGATGCACGGTATGCTTCATATCCAGACATGGGCGTGGAGATTTTGGAATCGATCAACCAGTGGCCACCTTTGACATTGTGATAGTCACCGCCAGATCCCACGCCCTGGATGATGAAGGTCTTGATCTCTTTAATCTTGGGGAATGTTTTAACAGAGCCATTCTGTTCCGCCATACTGGCGACTCGCAATTCAAGTGTTGAAAGGTGGGGTTTGGCGATTGACTTTAGAGATACAGCGTCGAGTGGTGTGAGAGTGAGAAGAAATGATCAGATCAAACAAAGGAGATATGGCCTTACAATCTATACCTCCACAACAGTGGAAGTGAGTTCGCTGGCGCAGAGCAACGCAACGACAATGTACCGACACCCGGAGTGATTGTGAAGAGTGGACTCGGTCTCGCCTGATGGCATCGATGAGTCCCGCATGTTTTGCTGGGTGAGGGGTAAATTTCCAGGTACAAAACGTTCCGAGCGCCTTTCCCCTCTCGCTCTTCTTTCCACCGAGCTACAAGCCACCGTTTATGTTTGCCTTGCAAATGCTCGGCATAAGCCATGAGCTCTATCGTTTCACCGAGAGTCAATGGCGACACTTCGCCAACCAATACCGCGGATCGACGGGATCCCGATGGCTGGTCTGAAGAGGAGGAAGAGGAAGATGTCGGTGATGGGGATGGGTCCCGAAAGCGAAAACGACCTATGAGTGTCAGCTGCGAGATGTGCAAGACTAGAAAGGTGTGTCTTTGCATGTGAAGCCGGACTTGATGGTACCGAAGTGGATGCATTCTAACTTTCACATGCGATAATTTAGGTGAAATGTGACAGAGGCCATCCTCATTGTGGCTGGTGTGTTCGCAATGGCCAAGTCTGTGAATACAAGGAGAGGAAGAAACCTGGGTTGCGAGCGGGATATGGCAGAGAACTTGAATCGAGACTTGGTAGGTGCAGAGTCAACTATCAAAGAATGACAGGACAGATATTGATGCGTTCCAGACAAACTCGAGGGAGTTTTAGCAAACCAACAGCATCTCCTTCAACAGCTCGCAGACCATTTGCCCTCCGCTCGGAGCAATGTTTCGCCCAGCAGTCAATCGCATAGTGCTCCTCAAGCACAAAATGCAATGTACATGCAGGCGCCGTATACCCCTATGCAATACAATCGATTGCAGCCCCATGGGAATGAGRTGACTCCGGCATCACACCGTCATAATGATTCCCAGCACTCGATCCAGTTACCTCCCATCAATTCAACCGACGCATATGCTCCATCGAATCCACCGTTGGAATCGCCAAGTCTGAATCTCCCTGGAGTCTCCCACGACGGAGCTATGCGAGCGATCTCGCAAGATCCGGTATGACTGCACAATGAATATCGTTTCGTTGGTATCTGACATGGTGCAGGACTTCCCACCATATGACTTATTGTATGCACTTACGGATCTATTCTTCAAACACATCAATACATGGTGTCCAATACTGCATCGTCGTAGTACTTTGGACGCACTATTCGGCTCCTCCAACTTGGAAGAAGCGGATCGAATTTTGCTTCATGCCATCGTAGCAACGACTCTACGCTTCTCTACAGATCCAAGACTGAGTGACCCAGCTCGAGAACGATATCATGCTACGTCGAAACAAAAAGTGCTTTTGTACGGTCTGGAAAACAGCTCGGTGAAGGCACTTCAAGCATTGGTGATCCTTGCCCTAGATATCATTGGTAATTCAAATGGCCCTCCCGGGTGGAATCTACTGGCTCTTATTACCAGGAGTGTGGTTCAGCTGGGCCTTGCTGTCGAAACCACATCGGCATCAATTGCACCTCTTTACCCGTCCATCTACACCCTCCGTGCAATGGTCCTTCCAGAGTCGACTTCATTCATCGAGGATGAGAGTCGACGACGTCTCTTCTGGATGGTCTACTTACTAGATCGCTACGCCACAATCGCTACAGCTTTCGAATTTGCTCTAGATGACAAGGAGATTGATCGAAAGTTGCCCTGCCGAGACGACCTCTTCGCTCGCAATCAACCCATTGACACTAGATGGTTCCAAACGGAAGAAGGTGAACAACACAATTTAACTGAGATGAATCATCCTGAAAATCTAGGGTCTTTCAGCTATTACATCGAGATCCTAGGTATCCTCTCGCAGATCCACCGCTTCCTCAAAAAACCAGTCGATATCTCCGCTCTCTCCGATGTCGAGCAATGGCAACAACAATACCGTCAACTCGACAGCAAACTCAACAACTGGAAATTCAGCCTCCCAAGCGAATACGGCAACATGTCTCGCCTGTTCAACCCCAATGGCGGCAACAAAGTCGTCAACTGTATCTGGATAATGCTACACATGACCTACCACACCACGGTGATTCGCCTACACTCTTCCGCCGCATACCCAACAACCAGATCCCCAATCTTCACACCCTCCTTCTCCGCCTCCCAACGCTGCCATACCGCCGTTGAAGACATTTGTGCACTGTGCACATATGTTCGAAATAACAACATGCTGACGCGTCTCGGACCACCTTTCGCCTTCTCCCTCTGGGTCGCGGCTCGACTTCTCCTCGTCCACGGCTCCACAATCGATCACCATGTCCATACTTCTTTGATCCCTCTCGTGGAGACATTAAGGATGATGGGAACATATTGGGGCGTTGCGGAACGATACGCAACACTTTTACAACGAGTCATGGATGAATTTCAAGAAAGCGAACGGGCGCCTGTGGGCGCGAACGGAGTGCGAGAAACGCCTAGTACGGTGCGAATTTTGGCGGATATGAGACGGTGTGCTTACGATTTGGATTTTCTGATCTCGAGGCAACCGAGACAGATTTTGGGGGTTAATAGACAGGGTGCTGGTGCTGCTGCTGCTCCTGGGACGAAAGGGACTACTACTACTACGCCCGCGAGGACTCCGGCTGTGCATGAGTTGGAGTATTTGGATGTTTTTGATTTTTTTAATATGCCTAGGCTTCCTGCTGTTGGGGGAGACGGTGGGGTGGTGGGTCATGGAGAGGTGGGAATTGAAGGGTCTGGTGGGGTTGTTGGTGCGGAGTATCAGACTTTTGTGGATTGGAAGGGGGTTGCGGAGGGGGGCGGAGGTATGGGGAATGATTGGTTGGTGCAAGGTTGAGGAAGGGGAGGATTGGAGGGTGTGGTGTTTGGTTCATAGGTAGGCGGGAGCGCCGTGATTTTGTAACGCAGAGATCAAGAGTGCCCCCCTTCTCCAGCGTAAAGTACATGTAGTCAAAGGCCCTGTCATGACGATATATTCCAGGTAAATAACTTGTCCGCGAAATTCCACATTTTCAACGCCATTTTCCCGGTGGTTCCGCTCTGTTCCCTTCAGGCAAGCAAGGTCAGTGCTTTAGGGAGTKAATATTCTGTACTTTAGCTAGCGTTCCGCTTATTGGAGCCAATCACGAATATAACCATAAAGTACCATGTACTTTCCTCGCTCCGCAACTCGAGCTTTACTTTCACGTCCTTCAACATCCTCAATTAATTCATCCTCTCTTCATAACATCTGGATTTCGCCTATCAGCAGTACCCCAGGTGCGTTCTGTTAGACGGTGGCGTGATGCGGTCGCGGAGCGCCTGTCCTGATCGGAGCTCTGCTGTCACTTGCGCAAGTCTGTCCTCGTTGCTCGCACAACATGAGACATCATCACTTCAAGACACGCTCATCATTCTAAGCATCGAATATGCGATGAATGACAGCATGTGCATATCAAGTTCCTTCTGTACTCGCCTCTCGTTCACTCACCATCAAGATGATCTGGTGTCGCCGACGGTGAAGAATGGAGGCACATTGGTCGCCTTCACCCGATCGATGGCTGCTATACATTTGCTTCACTTCCGACGGGCCATCATATCGTTTCGCAGACAAGAACACTTGTCCTGGTCGCTCTCTGATCTTGGAATATAAACAGAGCTTTGCGACTAAACACACTCTTCCACCCTATGTTTGGCGATTTTCGCTTACCACGCCCAAGGCGCTATACCGACGCCATATAACTAGTTAGCCCAGGTGAGATGATCTTCCTACTGCTGTCACTGCCTTGTCCGGAATTACACCGGGTAATCAAGCCAACCCCCTAAAGAAGCCACGGGACGAGGTGGGAGCCTCCGGTCAGTGCAGCCTACAGCCAATGCATAGTCACAGAGTGCAGAGTTGCTCCAGCCTCCTTGGCATGGGCTCCACATGGTCCTTTATGCTGGAGAACGCTGTTAATAGCGTATAAAAAGCCCTGTCTAGGGGCACGCTACTCCGGAGGCGATATGCCCGTGAGCCTATACCGGGAGGCGGCGTCGAGGAGACAAACGAGCTAGTTGACTGTGATTGAAGTTGCCAAGATATACACGCATAGATAAGTATGCATCTCGTTCTGCACCATGATGCTTGTCTTCGACGAGGGAAATTGAATTCCAAATCTGTCCAGAACATCCTTTTCATCCCAGTACAGATGATGAAGACCATCATCTCGACTCTGCTCTTCGCAGAGGCAGCCATTGCTTTCCCATGGGTGTCTGAAATCCACGGCGTGGACTCATCCATGCTGCAAAGACGCCAACAAGACCCCGAAGGAGCTGCAAGTGTGGCACAATGTCCGTTCAACGCCAATCATGAACCTGCCGTGGCATACAACCCCAAGTTTCCATACAATAACGCTCGAGATGGCAAGAAGGGTGACGGAAGAGGAGGGTTTCGTGTTCCGGCTGTTGGAGATGATGCGCATCGCTATATTGCTCCCACGTCTCGGGATATTCGTGGACCTTGTCCTGGATTGGTAAGTCTTCCCCAAGACTGTCAATGTGAGGTTTCTGCGGCGAGGTGAGCCTTTCAGGAAGGTCTCTCAGGAGTCTGGTGAACAAGTCTACTACTCCGCTATCTTGAAGCACAGAGGCTCTGTTGGCAGAGCAGTCTCAAGATCAGTGCAAAGGGGCTTCAACACCTTCGATCTGTTGGAGGGATACCCTCACATTGACAGATTCGAGATTCCACAACAGAATACCATAACATGAGAAACGTCTAACTTGTGGCAGAATGTTGCAGCGAACCACGGCTTCCTCGCCCGAGATGGTGTTTCCACCTACGCCGAGCTTGTCGACGCGTGCCAGAACGTATACAATGTCGGCTACGATTTGGCCAATGTCCTGGCATTGATAGCCCTGCAAGCCGACGGCGACCTCATTACTCAAAAGATCTCCATTGGATGTGATGCGACTACTCGAACGTCCATCAGCCCGATTTTGACGGGTAGTCAGCCGGGTCTGAATGGCCATAATAAGTTTGAGCAAGAGTATGTTGAGATGGTTCCTCTCTCGACATTACATCCCAATGCTGATATTGTCCAAAGTGCCTCACTTACTAGAAATGACTTCTTCACGCATAACGGCGACAACTTCCGATTCAACAGCACGTTGTTCGAGATGATGACCGAAACGACTGGCGGCAACTTCGATCTCGAAGGGTGAGTAGACAGTAAAATCGACGTCTAGCATTCATCTAGCTAATGTTCAATCTAGCCTGGCTCTATACCGCAAGCAACGCTACGACCAATCCAAACGAGACAACCCCAACTTCTACTTCGGCCCTCTGAGTATCCTCCTCTATGGCGCCGCCTCATTCCTCTACGAGCTCTTCCCATCCGGTACGCGAGGCTACCGACCCGATTTGGAGACCATGACTGCGTTTTTCGTGGAGGAGAAATTCCCTGACAATTGGACGAACCGCGTGGTTCCTTACACTACAGCACTCGCCTCGCAGGAGATTTTGAAGATGTATCTGCTTCATCCCGTGGTGTTTGGAGGCAATACCGGAACCGGTAAGTTGACTTGAAATTTGTATCGATCATGGCTGACGCTCAATGATTGTGCAGGGTCATTCAATGCCATTCCTAGCTTTGGTGCTATCCAGGATGGGAACATCTCTTCTGCCATTACTGTGCAGCAGACTACGTGTTTGATTTACCAGCTTGCTTTTGGATCGGTCCCGTCGAGTTTGAATGGCGTTGTTACTCCTACCGTGGAGGCTTTGGCTTTTGCTGCAACTAAGCTTGGTGTTGATTTTGATAATTTGGGGTGTCCGATTGCTTTGACTTAGACGGGAAAGGCCTTTCTTGTCGTCGTGGTGGGTGAAGAGAGAGCGCGTGGAGAGTTGCGTGATGTGCTGCGCTGAGGATTGACAGCCAAGGACGTGGCGAACTTGCGCTGATGGTTCTTGATAGTGTAATCCCTGTCCAATCCRTGCTGTAGAAGGGTTCGGATGAGGTCGGAATGAGAGTCATTCAATGAGACAAGACGCCTCCCGTCAGTCATCTTCATACCGCTCAACAAGCCCTCCATTTGGCTCCCTACGGTTTCGACGAATGTACAGCTGCTTCCAACAGTGCTACCTGTAATCTGGCCAACAGGAGTTCGAGGATGGCCCCGGGTCTACGCGGAGGGCCGTCGATGACGACCTGGGCGTAGGATTTTCCCATCTTGCGGGATGAGCGAGGGGGTGCATGGGCGTAAATTTTTTCCATCTTGGGAATTTGAGTGAGGAAGTGCGGGTGATGTATCATTCATGGGTGGGGGAACGTCGACTTTATAGTCACAATCTTTGACGAGAAAGAACGAAAGTAAAAAGACGGAACCAGGCGGATGAGCTTGGCAAGGCTTGTTACCAATAACGACCCATCATCTGTATATGGATGGGTTGTCTCGAGTACCTGGTCTGAAGATACTTTGATCCCAAGTTTGCTGCTTGGATCAGAAAAGTCGTGGACGCCGCTCTGCTGACATCCGTACCAGATCCACTGTGATGAATCTTTGTAGTGCCATGCCAGCATCCAGATCGAAGGATATAGGATGGGGCATGATGATGAAGTGAGACGATTCCAGGTTGGAAGGTGGAAGTGATGGTGGGGTTCTCGTAATATGCATCCATGGAAGTGGACCTGAGGTTCCTTCTCGGCTTCACGGGCCGAGCTCCGCTTCCCTCCGACATCCCGATCTTTCACGTGGCATCATCATCGCCGCTGCTTCAAGGCCAAGCTGGCCTGTTTGTTGGATCAACATCGACAGACATTTGCGATTTCTCCATCCAACATCTTTCGCATTGGATGATGCTGAATTGTTCGCCTGATTGCGACGCACCATTCATATCGCAATCATGAAGCGACCAATCCTCCCTTTCCTGCTGTGTAAGTAGTTGCAATCCCCCGTCATTCTGAGTACACGGAGATGAAATGCTAATCCCCTTCCCTTGCCAGTACTCTGCTTCCTCCTCGCCGTCACCTTTGCTCAAGAAGCGGAGATTCTGGATGATCAGGCGGATGTCCGGGTGGTGTCGGCGGACGGCAGGAAAGTGCGACATGAGCGGGTCATGGTCAATGGCGTCGAGGAGGATGTGCTGGTCGATGAGGAGGAGGAGAATGGTGACCACGGAGGAGGAATGAAGGGACAAGAGGCTGTTTCCTTTCAGGATATACATGGCAAGGGAAGAAGAGGACAGGAAATGCTGCGAGCCATCCCGCCGCCCGTTGTCTCGAAACTGGCCCGGTTAGTGCGCAAACCGCAGGGAATTGTGGGATCACTGGTCTACTACGCCAAGGAGGCGTTTGTCCTGCTGTTTATGAGCTCTCCGGTGCACGATACCCCCTCCTCCTCCTCGATGGCATCCACAGATCTGGCCAAATCCTCCCCCATGCTGGCCCAAGCGGTGCAAGTGCTGGAGGAAGGATGTCAGGAAGGAGACGCTGATGCCATGTTCCTGCTGGCCGAACTCAACTTCCACGGCAATCATTCCCATCCGATCAACTATGACGAAGCCTTTCGACGATACCAACAGCTGGCGCATCTTACGGGCAACAGCACGGCGCAATACATGCTCGGCTTCATCTACGCCACGGGAATCGCTCCTTCCATTCCAGCCGATCAGGCCAAGAGCATKCTCTACCACACTTTTGCCGCCGAACAGGGCAACACGCGCTCCCAGATGACGCTCGCCTATCGGAAGATCTCGGGCATCGCCTCTCCGCGTAACTGCGATGAGGGTGTGGGATGGTACAAATCCGTCGCCGACAAGGCTATTGCTTACTACCGCTCCGGACCACCGGGAGGCCACTCGCTCCAGCGGGAGGCTTATCGCATCGCGGATGAACATGGAGGCGTCTTTGGCGAAGGTGCCAGTGTTGCTTCCGCTGGACCCAACGCGAGGGTGGGCGGACCCACCAGCGATGCGTATGCAGATGTTGAGGATGTGTTGGAATACCTCCATCTGCAGTCCAACAAAGGCGACCTCAAATCTACCTTTGGTCTCGCACGTCTCCACTACGACGGCTCCAGAGGATTGAAGAAGGATTACAAACTCGCCAAAACATACTTCCTCGAAGTCGCACGGGAGTACTGGCCGAATTCATCCAACAAAGTCCGCAAAGATGTCTCCGCAGRAACGGAGAAGTTCGCTTCCAAAGCCGCCGGCTACCTGGGCAGAATGTTCCTCCGAGGCGAAGGCATGGCACAATCCTTCCCCATAGCACAGAAATGGTTCACTCGGGGGATCGCCAGTGGGGATGCTCTCTCGCAGTACAGTCTGGGATTGATGCATCTCAACGGCTTCGGGGTGAAGAAGGATGTATTGAAAGCTGCAGACTACTTCGCAGCCGCCGCCGATCAAGATCTCGCCGTCGCACAAACCCAGCTGGGAATCCTTTTTCTCGATCAGGGCGATACACTCACCGCGAGCAAGTACTTTGAACTTGCAATTAGAAATTCACACATCGAAGCTCTCTATTACCTGGCCGAGATGTTCGAAAAGGGCATTGGAAGGGAGAGGAACTGTGGTGTCGCCGCTGCTTATTACAAGATCGTCGCGGAAAAGGCCGAGGTGGTGTGGTCTTCCCTTGCGGAGGCGACCAACGCGTATGAGGATGGAGATGTACAAAAGGCCGTCGTGGGGTATCTCATGGCTGCTGAACAAGGGAGTGAGAACGCGCAAGCCAATGTCGCATGGTTACTCGACCAAACCATCCCCAAGTGGAGCTTCATGCATCTGTTGGGGAGGAAGCAGGGATCGAAGAGGCTCCTCGGTGACTCCAAACTGGAACTCATCCATTGGACTCGCTCGGCCAAGCAAAGCAACATGGACAGTCTGGTCAAGATGGGGGATTACTACCTTTCTTCAGGCGGTAAGACGGGGGAGGAACAGGCTGCTATGTGCTATCAAGCCGCGGCCGAGGGTCTATTGAGTGCTCAAGCCATGTGGAATTTGGGCTGGATGTTTGAGAATGGAGTGGGAATGGAGAGGGATTTTCATCTCGCCAAGAGGTATTATGATCAGGCGTTGGAGACGAATCCCAAAGAGGCCTATCTTACTGTCAAGATTAGTTTGTGGTGGTTGAGGTGGAGGAGTTGGTGGAATGGCGTGGGACCCGAGTTGGATTCCGACGAGGGGACGAAGAAGGGACGGAGGGGTTTTTGGGAGTGGGTGGGTGATTTCCTGGATGCGGATGCCGAGAGGTGGTATGAGGAAGGCGGGGATGATTGGGAGGGTGCTGGCGGAGAGGGGGGCATGCCAGGAGGGGATTATGATTATGTCGAGGGCGACTTCGAGGGGGAGGTGTTGGAGATGGTGGTTTTGGGGAGTTTGTTGTGTGCGCTTGGGGGTTTGATCTGGTATCGGGAAATGGTTCGTAGGAGGGCTGCGGAGGAGGCTGCCCAGAGGGGGAATGGGAATGAGGGGGTTGGAGAGCAGCCGCAGCAGCAGCAGGGGAATGGTGAGGGAGGGGATGGTGGATTGTTTCCGCAGCCGGGAGATCCGGCTTGGAATGATTGGGTTGCTGGGGGCATTGGGCATTGAAATAGAGGTTCGTATTGATTCCCTCGTTTATATTCGAATGACGGAGTACACGATGTCTGCAGCGATCTGGATCTTGGTGGTAGGACTTTCAAAGCGAGTGGAGAGAGAGAGTCGTATAACTACGGCTGCATTGATGTAATGAAATATTGATGGTGCACTTGCTGATATCTTATGGAAGAGCCAGGATTCGTAGAATGTCCCTTACCTTACCTTACGCTCGGGAACTTACGCTGCTGTTGTTTGGCAAGCAAACTCCCGGTTATTGGCCGCTAGTTCATATGTTGAATGTCTCGACCTCCAACGCCAAACAACCATCAGCCGTTCATCAAACATCAAACATTACATTGAAACCTTGACCTCAAATTCTTCACATCGATTCTTTCACTTTCACACACTCACTTCCATTGACCATGACGACTCAAATCAGCGACATGTACGAACCAGAGGGCGAAATGAACATTCCCGAGCTACAACAGAACCTTCGCCAAAAGTACCGTAACGTTGGACCAAAAGTGGAGCGGATCTGGCGAAACTTCACCCCGAAGCAACGCGAGGAGGCCATGCGTGAGACGGTGGGCGATGGCAAAGTTCTCAAAAACTCCCGCGATCCGGGTCTGTCCGGACTGAAAGACTTCCTCCCAGATTGGAATCTCGAAGATATTACATCAACCCCGGAGTTTTTCCTGGACCGCTTGAAGTTCCGTGTGGAAGCCGACTTGCATCGGCAACACTTTGAAGGCGTCAATGGAGGACCAGGCGATCGTGAGATCATCCAGGCTGGCGCTCGGAAGATCAATGACGGCCTCGAGGATCAGTATGCTGCATTCTTCATCGATCTTGGCAAGCATTACGGCAGGTGGGCGAAAGCGAATGGAGCTGAAGGACTGCGTGCTTTCGAAAGTATGGCGGCTCGGACGGGCCTCGTTGTCCCGGCTAACGAGGCACGTCTCCTTATCAGCAGGCAGGAAACGACATTCATCTTCTATAATACTCTCATTGAAGACATTCTGGAGATGGATTCCGATAGTAGAACTACAGACAGATCTTCAGTCAGGAAGCCGACCAAGCAGACAGTCAACGCAATGGCCAATTTGTCTATTGCGCCGAAGCCACTGAAGGTCTCCATAGCAGAAGTCATCGCCGAGGCAWCAGAGCAGAAGGTAAGCCAACGAAAGGCAGATACTGCGCAGGGAGATGTTCTCAGACATTGCTAACCGATTCACCCTTCGCTTTCAGGTGGTAGCAGAGGATTATCTAGAGCTCCTCCGCAGCGAACCAGTCGTTCTAAACCATGCTGTCAACATGACAAACAGTAGCCGACCGGAGCTCGTCCCTGACGATCGAGGCCGTATCCTGCCAATGTTCACCGACAAGTACATTAGCATCGCATTCTTCGAGGTCATGTGTAATGCAGTCAAGTCCATCGTCACATGGGAATACATCGTCCGTCTGCTTGGTATGCTGGAAGGAGAAGGTATGAACGACAAGATCAGACGGCCATTACTCGCCCAGGAGCTTTCAAATGCATGCCATATGGAGTACCGCCGCGCCCAATCTATGTTCAGACGTCAAATGTCCTGCCCCTTTGGCGTGGCTTCCAAGAGCTTCAGGCGTGTAACGACGGGTAACACATGTAAGCTTGCCATTAAAGGCCAGCCCTCGGATCATACCGTATCCAATCCTCAACTGCACTACATCCTCCGTCTTTGTCACCCGGACACAAACCACAAGGATGCGGCACAATGGATTCAAAAGCTCGATCAGCATAACACAAGGCACTCGGATGATCTACAGAGGCTTACTGCGGATCAAATCCTAGCGCTCGGAGATCTGGCAATCATCGTGAGCTTCATGCATACCTTGTCTACTTCCATGACAATGGTAGCTGGGTCGAAGAAGCTTGGTCTGTTGTTTACGGGAAGGACGGCGGATCTGGATACCGAGTTGACTCAGTACAAGGCAGAAGCTGATTTTGGTGACCACTTGGTGCCTTCGGACAACCTCTTGGAACCAGGTACAGCTGGCAATGCCCTACAAGCGCTTGATGAGTTTATACTTGAGCGTGCTGGAGCAAGTCTGGGGTCCTTGTACGAGGATGTGCTGCGCGAATGTATAGGCGACGTGGAGAAGAAGTGTGCCGACGTGAAGCTCCGTCTTGAGAAAGACAAACAGCACCAACAGCAGCAATACGTCCCATTAAAAGCAGAGGAGCCGAAACCAGCCAGTTTCCGCGCAGAGCAACGACGAGAGAAAGCGAAGACACGACCAGTGGATGAGAAAAGCGCCTACGACATCACAGCCATTACGCCCTCACAAATCGCCGCAGAGCCCGCTCCGCAGCTCAAAGTCAAAGCATCCACAGCCGCAGTCTTCGCCACCCTCTTCACCAAAGACCAGGCCCGTGGCTCGGTCTCCTGGGCAGATTTCGCTGGAGCAATGGCGGATTTGGGATTTAGCGTCACGCCCAAGTATGGCTCCGTTTTCACGTTTCACCCTCCGGAGTCGATGGATGCTTCTCGTTCTCTTACGCTGCATCGTCCGCATGCTTCGGAGATTGAGGGGTTTAAGTTGTTGATTTTTGCTAAGAGGTTGCATAGGAGGTATTGCTGGAGTGCTGAGACGTTTCTCGTTGAGTAGGTCTAGGGATAGTACAAGGACTTGCTCTCGTTCACCGGGCTCCCCGCCTTTCTATCAGTTATTCACCCTCAACTACTGCCGACAGCGATCGTTCAACTTGAAAATCTTTGACTAGATCAAGACGCTCTTCCGACTGATAGAACCTGCAACAGATGGCTGTAGAACGAGTTAAGCGAGGAACCATCCGTTGAGACAGAATCCTGCGCAAACAAAATTATCGTTGACCAACAGACACCCATCTTGCGGCTGMCATCATCAGCGATTCCCCCAGCTCTGACGTCTCAAAAAACACACGGCACGAAAAAGGATCGTCACGGCCTCACGTCATTGAGCCGTCCAGTATGGGGTAGGGTTTACACTAAATCTCCCGAGGAGAAAATACCTGCAGCTACATGTATACATGTGTCTAGCGATGGCCAGTGTTGATGTACTGGGTTGGTGTATTGGGTATGTTGCCTGGCCTTTTTGGTTCGGAACGCAGAGTTCCTGTCTTGGTGGAAGGGTTTTATATTGAGAGAGGTCCAAGACACAGTACAACAGGATGGTTCTTCGATGTCGAAGGTAATTCTTGCGGTGCGGTGGTTTGTGAGAATGTTTTGTGATATCTTATCAACGCCAGAAGTAGGTGGTTTGTCAACAAGAGCAAGCAAGGTAAGAGCGTCGAACAATTCGACAACGAATGAATGCGGACCGGTTTTCCCTCTCGAAAACGAGACTCATCAGCGCAAGGTTACGGCAAGTCTAGACTTCGTCATATGAAACTCAGTTGAGAAATGCAAAGTTACCCTCCGCATTAGCTTTGAGTTTAGACGGTACGCTCAGTCTGTACCGGATCGACACCAACCCATTTGATGGACGGTCGACGGATGTTGTCCTCATGTAAATTTTTCTCATTCACATCTCTTTTCCCCTTCTCGAAATCTGGGTACTTGATAAAATTGTTAACTCCTTACAGATTCTATGGACTAGCCGACGCTCCGAGGCCTCCCTCCAATGGCGCAACTCGCAACTTTCTGACATACGTGACGAAGAGCGAGATCGTCATGGTAGGTTTTGACTACGTCCGAACATCTCTAGCATTGGGCAATCGGAAGCCTCGGCAACGTCTTGATATTCAAGATCTACAAGACCGTCAAAGTTGGAAGTCTATACTATCGAAGGCTCCCTCTCGGTACTTGAGATACATATACCGAAGGCAGCTTCCCCTTTCAATTGGATAATATTCAAGAGCCTTCGCAATCACTCTACTGCAATCACTCTCTCCAACAACCAGTACATACACCTCAAGGAGAGTTTGCCAAGATGAAAGTCCTTCACTTACTCACAACGACCATCCTCGCTGCCTGTGTAGATGCGCGCAGGCGAGTGACCTTCACATCCTCCGCCGCCAATGGCACTGAACTTGTGGGATATCACTACGCACCCGCTCATCAGAACGGACCCGCACCAGCTGTGATCATCGCCCATGGTCTCGGAGGTCTCCAGTCCTCTCGTCTGCAACCCTACGCCGAGAGATTCGCCAAAGCAGGCTACCACGCCATGACCTTTGATTACCGCTACTGGGGCGAGAGCGCAGGTTCCCCTCGCAACATCATCGACGTAAAGAGCCAACAAGAAGACTACGCCACCGCATTCAGCGCCGTCAAGAAATTTCCCCGGCGTCGACAAGAACCGTCTCATAGTCTGGGGAACTTCTCTCTCCGGAGGCCACGCCCTTGAACTCGGAGCCAAAGACTATCCCGAACTCGTCGCCGTCATCGTTCAGGCCCCTCACGTCAACGGCCCAGCCACAATCTCCGCACTCCCACCCGCGGACATTCCCTCAAAAATCGCCGCCGACGTTCAAGATTCCTCAGGCGCAGGTCTCGGGCAATCACCCTACTACATTCCCCTCGCCAACGAGACAGGTCAACTCGGCCTCCTCACCCAAGCGGGTGCCGTGGAAGGGTACCGCTTCATCCAAGCCGACCCTCCAGCTCCAGGCAACGTCGCCGCTGCTCGTTTCGTCACACAACTCCCCTTCTTCAGCCCGGATTCCACGGCCGCCAATAGCAAACTTCCAACTTACTTTGCTGTTGGATCGGTCGATAATGTCACTCCTCCAGATKCTGCTATTGCTTTGGCTAAGAAGATGAATTCTGAGCTGCATATTATTGATGGTGCGGGACACTTTGATGTTTACCCGGGCAAATTTGCTTATGAGCAGAATATTGCCAACCAGATTAGTTTCTTGCAGAAGAATGTACCTCTTTAGGGAGTGTGTGATAGTTTTTAAAGGGGGTGGATGTGAGAGGCGTGAGAGTGTCGATGTGTATGAGGCCGGAAGTAGTGGATGAAATCAATATGATACCCCTGTGAAATTGCATGGCATTGCTTTTCTCGCATCTCTCTCTGCGCAACCTATTCAGAACTCTCTTCAACATCGTCTTGCCCAGCAGATTCTCACCCCCACTGCTCTTCCAGCACATCATAGCCTGCTCCGCCCCAAATCGATTCTCCCAAATTCGATCAAATGGTCTCGCCTCTACCAGTTCCCACTCCTCAGTCGCCAGCAACTGCATCTTWTCATCCATCTCATCATCCATCTTTATACTCGCAACACCCGTGCTTGGAGTCAAACTTCAAGATGTGCCTCCCATTCCCCGAGTCTGGCCCGTACCATCGTCCTTGATCGAAGTCCCCAGCTTTGCTTCCTTGGAAAAGCGATCTTCAAAAAATCCTCGCTGCGGTATCTTGATCACCGCAGTCTAATGCTTTTATGGCACATCATCATGCGTTACTTCACGCATTTGTAAGCTACTCCAGTTGCGGGATTGGTGAATGTGGAGAGCGATATCACTGATATAGCCAGCTAGCTAGCCGTTGTCTCCGTGGTCCTTTCGGAAAAGATAAGGGGGTCTTCTTTGCAGGACATGAAAGTGAACCAATGTGTCCCAAATTTTCCGCGAGCAATTGATCAATTGAATTTTTCAGGTTCAGGATCTCTGCACTCGTCAATCTTCCAGAGGAACATCCAACTTCTCCATGCAGGTAAAGTGTCGAGTGATTTCTGGGGAGATAGCAAGCCAGATCCATGCGTTGCGAACTAAAGCTGGGTATCTCTGAGATTCTAACTTCGCTGATAGGGATTTGCTTCAGTAATTGGACTTTCAATCTCTCGAATGACGGCCACGAAGTCTCATGCAATACCTTCGCGGAGCTTCATCATCTCTAGCATCGTTGCGTTCCGATATATCGCCAACAACTCCATCAGAACCGACAGAATCTCGCGGTCTCTTCAAAACTGTTCTCCCCCTAGCCTGATCATGATTTTGATTCGCAGTATCCTCCTTATATTCCAATTCCGGCGACGAATTTGGCGATCCAACCAAAAGAGCATCTTCAGCAACCCAAATATCTCGACAATAAGTACAAAGTTTCCTTCTCCCCCTCCCATCCTTCCGACTCTTCTGACAGGGTTTCGTGGAATCGCAAGGTGGTCGATTACTGTACATTCTACTCCTCTCAAAGTCCACCAACATGACTCGTCCAGAAATCTGATCGTAGAGAATATTTCGACGTTCAGGATCGCCGTGGACGACTTGAGATTTGTGGATATCTCTCATAGCGGACATCAATTGTGGTTTTAATTTTAGAGCAAGTTCTTGGGGTTCGGTTTGTCTTCTACGGTTTAGAGAGTTCCCGGACCAGGAAAGGAGTAGTAGATGGTGGAATTCTTTGCCTTGAGTTGATATGACTGGTTGGGAAAGGCGTAGAGAACCACAGTAGACTGGTATAACCTGGCCCTGAAGACTTTGAAGCTGCTTGTATACCGCGACTTCATTTTGTAGCCATTSGTGATCATTTTGGTGGAAGCTTTTTGCAACGAGACTGTGTCCAGTCTTCATGATCCGTACGGCGTACAATTCGCTGGTTCGACCGCTTTTTCCAAGAGCGAGTAAATTATCTTCAATAGGCTTGCTTGCTTGTAGTTGTTCAGAGAGGAAGTGGGCGAGTGGATCAGATGGAAGTTGAATGAGCGGGTCGCTTTCAGATTGCTGGTGGTCATGCACGGCCTTGTTAGGGCAAAGATCATGCCCAAGACGATCTCCTTGAAGGAAAATTTGCGAGGCACTCGTGTGTACAGAATGTAAGATCCATGTCCGCGTGCTGTGGATGAGCCTTGGTGGAGTGTACTGGGGCCCACAGACCGGAGTCGGACATGAGTGCTGGAGGTTTGAGCGGTTGTGTTTACAGTTTTTTGTGATGAAGCACAAGTACAGAGTTTTGATCTGCAGATTCGACACGTATTTAGGATGAAGGTATACGAATGTCTCAGTCAAAGATGGTGGGCGAAGTTGGATGGCGCAGCAAGACCCTGAATTCATGCCTGAGGCAGACATTGTCGGAAGATGGAAAGGGGTTGCGAACACACTGCGACATTTACTGCCAAAATCCTATCTCAGGAGGGAGTGAGTGACTATGAGCAAAGCTCATTTTCGCATTGCGCCGTTCTTTGTATCTCAAGATGAATAATGATGACTCATACGAAGGTGTTCATTTGGCTTTATGAGACATCTTCTTAGGACTTAGACCACTTGGGTTTAGGGTGACCAACGAGGCTGCGGGCGAGGTTCGAGGTGTTACTACGCCCATCAAATCACGCATGTAGGCTGGTGGGACGCGCAAGGCTCTTTCCTTTATCCTGCTACTAGTGCTCTTACAGTGCGGAGCAAACTCCAAACCTGTCGTCGGTCTAGTATATATTCAGGCTCTTCCATGTGCGGTGACTATGGTTTCCAAATTCTGACCATACATTGACTTATCACATCAGACATACCTTCAACCAACACGATGTACTTCAAAGCGGCCACCTCGATGCTCATGATGAGTCTGGCTTTGACACCCACTATGATCAATTGCGAACCAGTGCGTGCACTAGTTTACCGCGGTCCTACCGCCTGCGATGGATGTCCCGAGTCACTCCGTGATCTTCTTGTAGCCACAATCCCCAATATCAAAGTGGAATTCGCAGGTCCGAAGGAAAAGGTCAAGATCAACGCCAAAAGTCTCAAGGGTGTTAATATCTTGGCTCAGCCTGGCGGTCCAGGTACGTATGGGTACTTCTCTGGCAGTGCAGCATCTCAGAGCTGTGCTATAATACCATTACTAACGGAAGCGTCACTAGATCTCGACGCAGCGTGGCGAGAAGCGAGACCTTACGCATCTGACGTTCGTACCTGGGTTGCTAATGGTGGTCGATACTTGGGAGTCTGCTTAGGAGCATTCCTCGCAGGACATGATTCTGGCTTTGGTTTAATTCCTAAAGGAGACAGAATTCAGCAAGAAATTACTCGACCAAATCCACCAATCGACGATGGGTCCGACATCGTTACTCAAATCGACTGGACTTTTCAAACTGGTCGGAAAAAGGGAAAGACTGAGCGACACTGGGCGTACTTTCAAGATGGTACCACGTTCATCAGATCTTCCAATTCCCCGGCTAAAGTGCTTGGGAAGTATGTCTCTAATGGAGATGTTGCCTCGGTGCTTAATTCCTATGGTAAAGGCTGGGTTGCGAATATTGGAGTGCATCCTGAGGCAGATCAAAGTTGGTGTGAGTTTGTGTGCATGGTCGATACCGATGGATCTCTTGAGTGAGCTGACCTAGATCACAGACGATGATGCTGGGATCACAAACCCAGAAGGTGTCCAGACTGAAATCGGCCACGATATTGTCAATGCTTTGATGGCGGCTGGCTCGGTGCGTAAAGCTACAGCATACTGAAATGGTCATGCTTGATGGGTAGTTACCGGCGTCACTTAGTAACGGAGCTGAATGTCTTTGTTGACGAAAGCAAAAAGAGAGCGTGTAGAGCTAAGAGACATATGGCAACTTGAACCCAGCACCTTCGTATATTGCTTCACAAACGCTCCATCATCGCTTTGCCATTACGAATCGCTCAGCTAGTATTTTGCCATCTGAGCCACCCCTGTTTGAGCCCCTTTTTGCACCCACCTTTCAATATGAGATGCTTGAGCAATATTTGTGTCTTCGACAGCGCTCTTCACCACTTGATAGGAGAATCTACCGGTGGAGATGGATCCAATGGCTCTAAAACTGGCCTCTTCGCCGCATGTCTTTGAAGGCTTTGACCCTACAGCTGGTCCTCGAATCGAAATCCCGGATGGATCTTGACGAGGTTTACGGTAATTTGGTCCGTGTTAAGATAGCCCAGGTGAGGCTCTAGTAAAGGTGTGCACATTCTTCAGACATTCAGCGACCTTAGGCACGATATCTACGGTCTCGACAGATGCTAGAAGGCGGCCATCGACAAACTTCATAACGAGGAATGCATAACCCCTGACGACGAAGTCATCGTAAACCTTCGGTATCCGTATGATAGATAGCTGGATCTAGCAGTTTCCGAGGCCATCTGTTGATTGAGATGCTTCTTCCACATGAACACGTCCAAGTTTGATGACGGCAAAGTTGCTGAATCGTCATGACTTCTGGATGAGTGCCAATGTCGGCTGATGTCGCGCATCGTGCACGCAGGCGATTTGCATAAACTCGTGGAAGAGCGACATATCGAGCATGAGGTACCCTGGAGATTCCGTAGTAAGGATGGAGGATCACATTATCATCAGTGGGTACATTCGGGTTGTAAGAAATTGTAAGTACCTATGTTCATGATTACGGGCGAGATCTCAGGCCGAGATGACCTATGGTAGTCTTAGGAGCACAGACGCCAGGTGCGTTACGGCTGAAAGAAGAATAACGCAGCAGTCTGCGCACCTGAGACTATGTGTAAGAGAGCCAAATTGAACTTGCGAGAGAGTCAACGCCTTGTAGACTTTCGACATAAATGCATACAATGGACCTCGAGAAATCCAGCCTTGCCCAGCATCTTTCTTCATCCAAGTATATAGTTGCATTAATCGGGGCGGGTATGTCTGCACCCTCTGGTATCCCAACATACCGTGACGCGTCTTCCTCATCCGGTCTTGATACTGCCTGGTACGCCACACGAGCTGCATCCCAAGAACATCCCGAAGCAGTATGGCAGTACTACAATGCCCTTCGCCGAACGGTGTATCATGCCTCGCCGAATCCCGCTCATTATGCGCTTGCACGCCTTGCTCGGTTGGATGACAATTTTCTGGCCATTACACAGAATGTCGACGGTGGGTTTGAGCATCTCATGTAGCTGAGATCTCGCTACTAACATCTCTTGTGCAGGTGATTCGCAGAGAGCGGGCCATTCTCGTCAATTAGCAGAGCTGCATGGCTCGCTGTCCACAACGAAAATGCTCCAACGATACATGCGACCTCACCATATCACTAGATGACTCTCGCACTCCAGAACCTGAAATACCCCGAATATGTCCAGCCTGTGGTAACGGGTTATTAAGGCCAGGTATCGTACGATATGGAGACCCTTTACCGCCTCGTCAACTGGATATGGTGGAGCAATGGTTTGATTCTGTTCCTCAGGTCGATTTGATGCTTGTGATTGGGACTTCTGCAAGGGTTTTCCCGGCTGCTGAACCCTACCACCAAGTACCAATTCATGCCTACTTTCCTCGGATACTCGAAACTTCTGGCAGAAGCTTTTCCTGTTCCATTCCGGATGGGCCATTGATTATGCAGGATCATCTGCGCTTCCCACGTACCACATTAGACGCTGCAAATTTCATTGTCCCCCCAAACGCTCCGGGCCTCTCGATGCTTCTGGAAAGTGGACGTGTCATCGGACTCCAGTAACCCGCTCCTGCTTCAGATGTTGGGCTGGTTAGCTAGCTAAAAATATGCATCTCGCAGTCGACACAAGCGGATCCGTCCAGGATACGCCGTAAGAGCGATACAGATGTGCTGCGAAGTTGCAAACCACCTTCAAAGGGACTTTGTGCTGAGAACATGATCAACCTACGCTCTGTAGGGCCCTTGAACACACATGCCCAATGGCCAACTTCAACAGTGTGCAGATCTGTCAAGGACGACGGGACTGTCAGTGGCGTGTTAGAATAGGAGATGAAGAGATGGTGATTATGTTGGCATCCCGATCTTTGGCGCAGGCTCAATTATCGTCCAATATGCAAGTGTGAAACAAGAGCAAATAGCCCTGCTTCATCAACGACTCGGCAGTCTATTAGCCAGCCCATCCTCAAGGATCTCATCTACGCTTTCTCATCTCCCTGCTTCCTACCAACACCCACGCCCTGTTTCTTTTTCCTGCCCGTTCCCAACCTCCTCAATCTCAGCAGCCGCTTCAACATCTGACACAAACTGCTCAGATCCAAAAATCAGAACTCTCCAAAAGTCCCTCTTCCATAACCCTCTCCCGACTCCCCGGCTTCAAAATACCTGCTTGATGACAATACGCCGAGGGTCCAACATAAGTCGTAATATTCGGAGATTGTCGACACGGGAAAACTTTCTCGCGACCATCATCCGCAAATCCACAGCGTCCACAAGGAGTTTTCGCCGAATCAACTTGCCATTTCGCTCTGTAGAAGGCTCGGAGCTGTTTATAGAATGCCACGAGATGAAGCAATCTATGGTCCATCAGCTTTCCCCTCTCTCTCTCTAATGGAATCAAGGACAAGGAGGGAGGAACTCACGAACAAACACCACCTGTAGTAACAGCTACCATAATAAGCACCCGATGGCCCACCCCATTGGAGATCCACCACGCTTCCCCAGAATCCCAGCTGTAAAATCGCCGCCCACACAATGTCTCCGAGGAGAATCCACTTCTTTTGGCAGTGGGTCTGGGGGGAAGGGGCTTTGGCATAGGCGAGGAGATCGCACATGGTGAAGAAGATGCTGCCGAAGAGGAAGTAGATTGTGATTCGGACAAAGGGGTAGTGGTCGAAGCAGAAGAGGAAGAGGAGATTTCCAAATGCTGCTGTAATTATATGGAGGCGGCGGAGGGAGTAGATTGGGTGGCCGTTTTGCAGGGTTGACGAGGGGGAGGGAGAGGGAGGTTCGATGCGGGAGGCGCGGTCTACCCGGAGATGAGGCATTGCTGTTGAAGTGTGATTGTGGTGCGATGCGTGAAGGGATGATGATATGGTGCTGCCCGCTGTTCAAGGATTTCCGGTTCGGTGAGTGTCTGTCCTGGCTGTGAATGCAGAGAGCGGTGCTGACTTGTGGAAGGGGATTTAGTCTTTCTTGCCATGGAGATCAGGAAGGGTATGAACGATTCGAAAAGTGTGTGAGACAGCTTCCAACGAGAAAGGACAAGAAAAGAGGTTATGGAAACGCAATCTGGCTGTGCCTCATGCAAATATTTACTGGTATCTCGAGCAATTTTAGATCATGCTGCATGAGGAGAGGTACTGGTGTAACAAAGCGGCTTTTCCTTTGGTCCTGATCATCCGAAAGTGTAGAGACAGGCGCTGTCTTGCTCCCTTCCTCTCCATCTGCCAAGGGTCAGACCGACAGGAAAGCTCTAGTTTGTCAAAGTCCGRGATTTGGAGCCAATGAGTTGCCGCTTGGAAAGGCACAGCCATTCTCGTTTCGAATGCTAAGCGCCGGCGGTAGGTCCTGGATGTCGGCGTTAAAGTGGTTGTGCTAGAGGGCTACAACGCATGTTCAACACTGAGCAGAGCAACGTGTTAGCATTGATGCAGAGCATGATCGAAAAATAATATTGGATTGCCTGGTGTGTCGTTATTGAGAAGAAGAAGAAGAAGAAGAAGAAGGAGAAGGAGAAGATGGAGTGAGTCGAAGTAACCGGTTCAACTTCGGCGCACGGACAACAAGTGGGGCCACAACTTCCTCCACTCATCACCATAAACATCCACAAGGTATGCTTTTCATTCCTCCATCATCATCAACATTCAAACTAGCTCCACGGATTGGTCTTTGCACGCTCAATCGCAACCCTCGTCGCGTCATCAATATCCTCCCTTGGCAACCCAAGCAAGTCGTTGGAAGTGCCCTTGCTACTCTCCACATCACCACATCCATCCGGGAAGAAGATCCTCGAGTACATCATGTGTACAAATCCCACCCGGTTTCCCTTCTGCAACTCTCTAGCACCAGTAGCAAAACGTTCCGCACTTGGCTGATTCGTAATCTTCCATTCCTCCTGCTTCGAGCCCGTCACACGCAGAACAGACTCCAACATGTCCTTCTGACTGACAGTAAAGGAACTGATATACACCATCTTGTTCCTGAAATTCTCCAAACACTTCTTGGAATCTCCTCCTCCTTCAGGTTTGATGGGCAAGCTCAACAAAGACGCCACCGCACGACCGACTTGAGGCCAAGTGGTCGTGGAGATCTTCGCCTCTCCGTCATCGAAGAGCGTCACGCTCTTGTTGTTCAAATCGAAGCCATAAGAGTCCGCGATCGCCAAACTCCATTCATACCAGAATCCCGTGGAGACGCTAATGTATGAGGTCTTACCCAATTCTTCAACAAGTTTGCGATTATCTGCTCGCACCTGGAAAAGACCAACATCCTTGCGAATTTCCTCGTTGGCTGTATCCGGACCCCACTCATTTGGCAGGACGAACTGAACTCCAGCTTCGCCCGCAGCTCTGATCAAAGCCTGTTCTTGTTCCTTGGGTGCTGCGGTGGACATGGTGATGATCAACGCATCCTGACCGCGAAGAGCGTTGATGAGCGACTCCTGGTTTGCGTAGTCGATCTTTGCGGTAAGAACTCCTTTTGGTACAGTGCTTGTACTGTCCTCTCGAGTCAAGGCAGTGATGGTGTGCATGCCGGTCTTGAGCAATGCATCCACCATGAAGCCTCCGCTACGGCCGCCCGCCTATTGATGTCGATCAGCCGTATTCCTGTCTCAAGAAGTTGCATTACTACTCACTCCAATAAAGGCAATCTTGGTAACGTAGTTGGATCCCGACATTGTTGCTGAGTGTGAGTAGTTGCTGAGTGTGAGTAGTTGCTGAGTTTGAGTAGTTGCTAAGTTTGAGTAGTTGCTAAGTTTGAGTAGTTGGTAATTCTTTCAAAAGCTTTCAAGGTTGTGTATGATGAGCAAGAACTGAAGATGGAGACATACCCACTGTCTTATACCTTCCACGAACGGGCTTACAGTAAGCTGCTTATCGCCGTTCGGCCGACATCATGTCGACTCCTCCGTCGCCAAAAGATCATATGTGCGACTCAAGGACTGTACATTGCCAGAAAAGGAAAGGTCGCTGCTGCGGGAGAGACGGGAAGGATGCGATCTAACCTCAGTTCGCATACAGCCAGCCTTTCGGGCCTTCGGGCCTTCGGATTTCGGAACACGCCCCCACATGGTGAGTTGAATGTCAGCTTCGGGATGCGAGAGTGTAGCATCACTAGAGATCTTCCCTTCCCGAACCTGATTTTCAAATTTCATGCTTGAAAGGTAAGTAAGGTAGTCTTGAAAATGATCCCATCTGACGACTTCCTCCTCCTAGCTTTGTAGTCCCGACTAACCGCCATCACAGACCACCAACTACAACTCCTCAAGAATATCCACCAGCAACAAACAAACCTCCCCACCAAATCTTCCTCCAAAATGACTTCAGAAAACAAGAAGGAAATCTCCCTAGCAATCCTAGACGACTACGCAAACGCAGCACCCAAACACTTCCAACACCTCCTCTCCAACCTCCAAATCTCCTCCTTCCCCCAAACCCTTAACCCTTCCTCCTCTCCCCAAAATCTCGAAACTCTAGTCCAGCGACTCGAAGAGTTTGAAATAATCTCCACAATGAGAGAACGCACTCCATTTCCCAAAGAATTATTACAGAGATTACCGAAGTTACAAGTCTTGCTTACGACGGGATTGAGGAATTCTGCATTGGATTTGGATTTTGCAAGGGAGAAGGGGGTTTTAGTTTTAGGGAGTCGAGGGGAGAGGAGATCTCCAAATCAAGATGATGAAGAGGAGGAGGAAGAAGAAGCAGGGGAAGAAGAACTACCGCCTCCAAAAGGCTGGTCAGCAGTAAATCAACACACCTGGGCTTTACTTTTAAGTCTCTGTTCCCGAATCCCCCACGACGACCGATCACTGAAAACCTCCCCGAAATCTTGGCAATCTGGTCTAGGGATTTCTCTAGCGGGGAAGACTTTAGGAGTAGTGGGATTGGGGAAATTAGGCAGTGCCCTGGCCCGAACGGCGATTTTGGGGTTTGGAATGCGAGTTTTGGCTTGGAGTGAAAATCTCACGCAGGCTAGAGCTGATGATGTTATTGCTAGGGAAGGATTACCGGGGGGAGCGATTAGAGTTGTGGGAAAAGAGGAATTGTTCCGTAAAGCGGATGTTGTGAGTTTACATCTTGTACTTGGTGAGAGGACGCGAGGGATTGTTGGGGAGAGGGAGTTGGGGTTTATGAAGAAGAGGGGGATTTTGGTTAATTCTTCTAGGGGAGGGCTTGTGCATGAGGGGAGTTTGGTGGAGGTTTTGAAGAGTGGGGGGATTTGGGGGGCTGCTTTGGATGTTTTTGATCAGGAGCCGCTGGGGGAGGGGAGTGTTTGGAGGGAATGTGAGGGGTGGAAGGGGATGGTTGTTTTGAGTCCGCATATGGGGTATGTTAATTCGGGGACTATTAATCGGTATGTCTTGTTGTGTTTCCTTGTTGATGCAGTGGAAGAGGTTTACTGATTTGTTGTTGTTGTAGGTGGTATCAGGAACAAGCCGAGAATGTCGAGCGGTGGTTGAAAGGGGAGGAAGTATTGAATAGGTTGAACTAGTCCCTTCTTCTTCTATTACTACTTCTTCATCCTAGACATGAACGAAGGAGGCGGCGGCCCTTGAATAAACTCCTCAATATCAATATCCGGATCCCCCTTTCTCATAGCAGCCCGAAAAGCCGGCCTCTCCACAACCTTCCTCATATACCCCAGTAAATTCTTATACTCACTCAAATCAATCGGACAAAATTCTCGCATGCCAGTCAAAGAGAAAATAACCATGATATCCGCAGCTACACACCAAAACGATCAGTCTCAAAGGAACTCCCAATTTTCTGAACGGGGAATGAGGTATACTCACCAGTAATCTCCTCCCCAGCCAACCAAGGCACATCCCCCAACCTCCCATCCATGAATTCCAGCACCTGATGTACTTTCTGTAAATATCTCATGCGAATTTCATTCTTTTCATCCACGCCCGCCAARTCCAAAGCTAGAATTCTTCCTATGCCGGGTTGTAATGTTCCATTCGTGATGTGGAACCTAGGTAATCAAAATCAAAATCAAAATCAGCTCTCTACTTCCTTCATTCATTGATCCTCCCAACYATCATCATATCACAGAGAACGCGAGAAAGAGGTGGAGGAAGAGGAGAGTAAGAAGGAGACTCACCAATACAAAAACTCCGCATAATTGCCTTCCCCCGGCCTAACAATAAATTTCCCCTCCCCATGAATCTCCGAAATATAATTCACTATCGCTTCCGTTTCTGCAAGTTTGACATTGACATCGTCGGCATCGTGATCTTCAATAATAGGGCTAGCACCAAGCGGATGCAAAGCCTTCAATTCCGGAGGCGAAAGAAATGGATCTCGAAGATATTTCTTAAGGGTGTATGTTAAATGTAATTCTTCGCAGAGCCAGAGGACGCGGGTGGATTGGGAGTGGGAGAGATGATGGATTGTTAGGCCCATTCTTCGGGAGCACGGGGAATGGCAGAGGTTTGGGGTGGGAGGTTTGTAGGAGATATGGAGGGAGTGAGGAGGTGATGGGGATGTTTCGGGAGTGAGTGGTTTGCAGCTTTTTATGGTGATGTTGGAGGGAGGACAGCTTAAGAGGTTGTGAACTTTCGGAAAGTTTGGGAAGCTCTGTCTGCATTGAAGGTCATAACCGTATAACCGAGAGACATTTGGTCCAACTAGTAGTTACCTTATTCGGGGCTTTGACAGTAGTCTCGCAGAARAGATGAGAATGCAAGGTGGTGGATAAGGCGTATTGTTGATGTAATGTACAGCGTTCTGAAATGAAGTAAGAACAGCTGTTATGCACAGTCACAGTCCACCACTCCTTCTCTCTCGCTGAGCCTCTCGTGACCTCACGAGGGGAATAGTGCTTGACCCAACCCCCGGGTAGTCGTGATTCAATTACGAACGACAGCATCCAAACTTTCAATCCACCAGGTCCGTCCGATCACAATCCAACAGAACACACACACACACCATCCTCCCTTTCCCACTACCAACAATCTCCCCACCCCAGGACACAAACCACAAGATCCAAGACATACATACATCATCAATCATTCCAAATACCCCCCTGCCCCTCATATCAATATCAATCAATGTCAATATCAATCAATATCAATATCAATATCAATCAATATCAATATCAATATCAATATCAATCAATCCTCATCCCCCTCCCTCAAACTAGCCGCCTTAATTTCCCTCTTCATCTGCTCCAACCTCCGATGCAACGCCCACAACCTTTCCCTCTCAGCCCGCGGAACCTCCTCCCCGCGCTCCTCCATCGCGGCCTGCTCATCATAAACCCTCGCATACTGCGGATAATACGAATCGCGGAATTGTCGCGCCATATTGACGCCCTGGCGATACGTGATGTTTTCGATGAGTGAGGCGGCGGAGTCGCTGCGAGCGCGTCCGCCTTCTTCCACGCTACTGCGCGCTCCGACCGAACTGGCGTGGGATTTCTCCGAGGAGTTGGAGGCTGTTTTGCGATGTTTGACGTTGTTCTCGCGAGAGGTTTGTTGGGGCGTGGAATCGACGGCTTTGCGTTTGGTGGTCACTTCTGGTTTGTGAGAGGTGCCGTTGGTCATGGGGGCTTTGGRGAGGTTTGTGCCGTTGGTGGTGGTGGTGGGTTTGCGGATTCCATTCCCGTTGGGCTTCTTCTCGTGTATTCTGTCCGAGGAAGTCGATCCGTTGCTTGTGGTGGTATCCTGGCGCTTCCTGACGCCATTCGTGATTCCCAACCCTTTGGGAGTCTCTGCACCAGGTTTCACTCGTTGTTGGGGGCCTGTGGTTGAGACATCGGAGGTGGTGCGAGGACGAGCTGCTCCTAGTGGTGATGGCACGTTTGGCCGGCTGTTTCGATTTTGTGGACTGAGCTGGCTTCGGCCTTGAGATGTAGATGTAGATGTAGATGGCGTGTTTTTGCCAATGCTGGCAGGTTTCGTGACTCTGACGGTGGATGTGAGGAGAGATGGGCTGGGTTTGGCGGGCAGGGCATGCGTTTTCGGTGCAGCGATCTTGGATAGGGTCCCGGTGGTGGTGGTGGTTTTGGCTTTTGTTGTTTTTGCTGCAGCATTATTCGTATTGGATGTCGTTGTTGATGATGATGATGTTGTTGTGGTAGCAGGCTTCGCCTTCGCCGTGCCTGCCAAAGGCTTTCGCTCGTTTGGAGACGCTTTCGGCAACCTCCCAATATCCTTGCTCGCACCTGATGATGATATGCTGTCTTCATCAGAACTGTGGACGAGTTCGGCGGATTTGACCTTGGGATTATTCGTCTTGGTCGTCTGCTTCTTCCGGATGGGATTTCCCCCTTCCTTGTCACTGGTGTTGGCCTCTCGGTCTTTCCGTTTCCTCTCTTTGGCCTCTTCAGCGGCACGCGCTTTCTTCGGGTCCTTTGCGAAGAGGGTCTTGGATAACGCTCCAGTAATCTTGGGCGTATTCGATGCACTGGCTCCTCCCTTTTCCGCAGATGTATCACCACCCAACATCGGACTCGCTCCATAGTTGGGCGTCAAGCCTCGTGCTGCTCCCCCGGCGCCCAGGTGTAGCTTGGACAAGACCACACCCTTGCCTCTCTCCTCCTGTGGCAGCAACATCTGCCAAATCTTCTCGTCCTTTCCCAGCCGCATCCGATCATACGCTCTGATGGCCGTGTCAATGGCAGCCTGTCTGTCCTCTTGCGATTTGTATCCAAACTTGTACACATCCAACTCTTTACACGCGCGATCCGTCAACTGCCATTTCCCATCCACCTGCTTCCCCACCTTGACCAGAATCTCATCCAAGTCCTCCTTTGGGATGCGAGTCTTTTGGATTATGTCCTCCTGCTTCAGCGGCCGCATTGCCAAGAGATGGATGAGGGGTGTACGCATGGCTTGGATCTTGACGGCCGAGTCGGTGGTGGGGAATGAAGTGGGACCGGCACCGAGATGAGATGCACCCGCCGCATTCAACGGACTGGCCGCGTGGGATCCCAGCAAGCCACGACGCTGTGCCTGCTTCGCAGCCTTGAAGCGGTTCTCGGGAGCAGCAATGATGGAGCTCGAGATGTTGACGGCCTTGGCCTGCTTTTCCTGCTGATACGAGGCCAAGGTGTTTTGTAAAGCGGCCAGCGCTACATCAGCTCCCTCGCTCTGTTTCCTGTCCACCGTCTTGACCTGGCCCCGATGGCTCATGACTCCGGCAAAGTCCAGCGTACCCTCGGAGGCCGTGAACAACTCATGACGAAAGGCTTCTGAGGAGAGGGTGAGGTCGATGGTTCGCTTTCCCAGTCGGATTTTCTGCCATATCAATCAGTACATCCCATCCCTTGTGTCTCCACTACGGTCGAATCAAATCAAGTCGAGTGTCTTACCGGTGTATTCCCCGTGAGGAAGTGCATACTCGACACCTTCCGCGCATCTCGCAGAAAGTCATCGTCCAGCGTCAACAAGATAGCAGAGGTGCAATTCGCTTTCGACTCGTCAAACTTGGGGGGGATTCCATGCACCCGCAGGCCGTCCGGCGGGATGGTGGTGGTGGTGGTGGTGGTTGGCAGCGACATTGCGGTGCCGACAACAGATTGTCCAGAGGGGTGTAGAGGGGATGGACTGTCAAAGAATCCATGTGCCTGGAACGGTCACCGCCACTAATTCCGAGCACAATGAGCATCTGCTCATGGTTCAACCATGACGTTCAGCTGATGTACTCACAAAGGGCCTAGGCTAGCGGGTACGACATGCTCGGGTGGTGAGACACAATCACGGGAGGGGTGGAACGATGGGAGCACGAGACGGGGGAGGGAGGTGTCTTGTGGGGGGAAGAATAGTGACTGTCAAGTCAAGATGGTATAGTGGGTAAGTGAGTGAGAGTAGGTGGTAAGGTTAGTCAGTGGGAGAGAGATCGGTGGACTGCCAGTTCGAGGTACCGTCCACGTCGACGGGCGCTAGTGCGTGCAGCGCAGCGATGCAGCAGCCCCAAGCTTGCAAGCTTCCCAGTGCAGCAAAGCCGTGGATGWGGAGTGGAACCCAAGGACGGGACGGACGGACGGGTGACAAGAGAATAACCCACGATCCCACATGCGCGCGTGCAAAGGAAGGAAAGGAAAGGTGCGTGCGCCGTGCACCAAATTAAGCTCGGACCCCGACACGATGATGTGGGTGGTTGCAGAGAAGGAGTCTGGAGAGTCCCGTCTTTTGCTGGCCGAACGTGCCCACGTCTCAGGTGAGAAGCTYGTTATTTGGTCCAGTGTTGGGTACAGTACGGAGTAGTATTGTTCGTTTCAACGTCCGTTCATCTCAACAATTGTTGGTAGACTCACCGTACTTGTCAGATGAAAGGGAGTGAATAACAGTCCTAGGCCTAGTGAGAGAGCAGCTGCAAGCCGAACGGATAGCAACCGACAGCTGCACGCACCCACGAATGACCGTACAATGTAGTGTATAGCCCTAGAGAGGCAAGCAAAACAGGTGATTTTCCTTTGTCATCGGCATCTGTATTTTGCAGCTGCAGCTGCAGCTCGAGCATGTCCTTCTCCGTCTCATCTCACCAYTATTATTATTATTGTGCATCATCTGTTCCAACACGACAAAGCGACTGATTATTGATTGACAACGAGCCGATGCGAGCCCCCATTTCGGCTTTGCCATCCCTGCCGACGAATGATGGGTTAACTAAGGTACCTACGCATCAATTCGGCTTGGCTTGGTTTGGTTTGGGCGGAGCTCTCCAGCTCGGTTAGCTCCGTTCTCGACCCATGGATACGAGGAAATCCGCCCTTGCATGTGCCAATCCACGGCATTGCATGTTTTGGTGTGTGTGAGAGAGTGATGAGAGAGAATCATCACATTCGTTCCATGTACTATGTCGAATTGTTATGTGGTAGCTGGGTGGGTGAGGAATAGGCATGATGATATCAACAAGATCAAGAACCTGCCCTGTTTGTTTGTGATCATCACCGCGGGACCTGCGCCCAAGGTAAGTTAGTAATGCCACGAGGGCCGCCAGCATTCCATTTCTCAGCCTTCACCCCAAATTGGTGAAAGTGTCGACTCGGCAAACCTGCAGACCAGGCATCTCCGAGATCGCAAAGGATGGATTGGCACTAACTACGGAGACACCATCGAGCGGCACGACGGAAGGGAAGGGAAGGGAAGGATGATGTGTGTGTTGGCCAAGAACCGTTTCTCAAMCAACGTGCAATGAATCAATTTATGTAGGAGGTATGCACACATGTGTTTGGCGTCGACAATTGTACCGTTCTCCTTTTTGAACATGTCATGGTATCGATGATGATGACGCCGAGGAGAGGAAACAAAAGTGTCATCATCAGATGATGGATTTCCCGGGAAAATGAAATACAGATGCGATCGATAGTTACAACTTGGAACCAACGGAAGATCAACGGGCGCGGGCGAACGCGGCGAACGTTTGTGGATCCATTCTTCTCATCTTCTTGACGCTGGCATTTTTAGCTGGGAGATTTATGAGTCGGCGACGAYGACTTTGTTCCTTTTTCTTTGTTCTCACGCATGAAATCACACATCCCTTCTGGGTCGGAATAATTGTTCTACAAAGCAAGGAAGGGAAAGTGTAAGCCTCGGCGGTGCATTTTGAACCAGAAAGCTGTTTTCCAATGCAAGCAGACGCCACCACGGACGGGAGAGGCAGTGCTGGCTGGACATCCGGCTTCAACTTCCCGAGATGACTGACGACGCTGCTGGACTCCGTCACACTCGCCTKACATGTCCCACCGCCAACAACACCAATCTTGCYTGCAACACCAATCTTGCTTGACTCGGATGATGAAGGAATTGCCCACATTCTCCTTATCGTCGTTATCACCGACAACACTCCTATTGGGAGGAATATGTGGGCACTGCGAAGCCCTCCCAAGGCTCCTATCTACAGGGATATCATATCAGACCTCTCACCACCTTTCTCGCCGTCTCTGCCTATCTATCTGCTGCGATCTTGGTGGAATTCCAGTGCGGTAGGCGATCTTCACATGTAACCATTCTGAGACGTATAGACATGCGCTCACGGTAAGTAAAGTGCATTTACATTCTTCAACAATATTCTGGCGCAATGCCTTCAATCCTCTCCACCGCCCAAGATGCGATACGGGTGAAAAAAGTCCAACACAGCGATAGCAATGGCCAAGCTCAAACCTACGGGAAATGGAGTAATAAAGACTTGGAACCTACTCCGCCAGCAGAACGCAACTGGTCGCCATTATACTACTTTGCCTTCCAATTCAGCATTGCCTTTTCCCCCACCACCTACAACATCGGCTCCACCCTCTTTTCCATTGGTTTGAACTACTGGACCATCATCATCGCATCCTTTGTCGGAACTTTTCTCTGCTGTTTGGTTCTGTATTTCAATGCTCGAGGCCCGGTATTCTATCATGTTGGGTGAGTATAACTGGAAAAACAGTTGTTATTCATAAAATACACATCTGACAAGACCTAGCTTCCCAGTCTACGCCCGCGCCTCGGCAGGAATCTACGGCTCCCTCTTCTTCATCTTCATCCGAGCCGTCGTCGCAATCTTCTACATGGGAACCCAAACCTTTTACGCTTCTCGTCTGCTGAACGTCGCTCTCCGCTGCGTCTTTGGGGATTCGTGGACCAACATCCCCAATCATCTCCCCGAAGCAGCAGGAATCACGACGAGTGGCATGTTGGCTTTCTTCTTGACTTGGTTGGTGCAATTCCCTTTTGCATGGCTACATCCCAGTAAAGCCGGTCCTTTATTCGTCGTCAAATCCATCCTATCGCCGACCGCTTACATTGCCACGATGATCTGGGCGCTGGTCAAATTCAATGGCGTGGAATTGGATTTGGGAGAGGAGGCTGTCGAGGGAAGTGCTCTAGGTTGGGCATTCATGCGAGCAATCAATACCGTCGTAAGCGGTAGGTGACTAGTCCACTCTCCATCCCATCCCATCCCATCCACCTCTAACACTTTTTTTCTTTCTTTTCAGGCGTCGTCCCACCCATGGTAAACATCGCCGACCTCGCCCGATACGGCCACTCCCCCACCGACATCCTCCCCCTAACCCTCGGACTCCTCCTCTCCAAACCCCTCGTCATTCTCCTCGGCCTCTTCACAACCGCCGCCTGTCTCAAACACTACGGTCTCGCACCCTGGAATCTCTGGGATTTCTACTCCCTCGTCCTCTCCGAATTCTGGTCACCAGGAACCCGTACCGCCGTCTTCCTCTGCTGCATCATCCAAGCTTTCGCCACCATCGTCACAAATGTCAGCAGTAATGCTATCCCTGTAGGATGTGATTTATCGGGCTTATTCCCCGGTTACTTCACCATTGTGAGAGGGATGGTCGTGTGTCATTTATGGGTCTGGCCTGTGGTACCCTGGTTACTCGTCAACAGCGCCCAGAATTTCTTGACATTTCTAGGAAGTTATCTCATTTTCATCACGCCTTGCGTGGCGTGCATGATTGTGGATTACTGGGGTGCTCGCAAAGGGAATCTCCACGTCCCCTCTCTCTATCGCGCGGAAAAGGGTGCGCCATATTTCTACACTGGAGGTTTCAATTTGAGAGTCTTTGCGGCTTGGGCCGTGGGTGTTGGATTGGTGATTTCGGGAATCGCGGGCGCTGTCAAACCTGGGAGTATCAGTCAGACGGCGGTGAATGTGTATTATTTGGGGTTTGTGCTTTCGTTTGCCGGGTCCGGGATTACTTATTGGGTATTGTGTTGGATTTGGCCTGTGAGAGTTTTCCCCCGGGGTAGGCATGAGAATGAGGGGCGGGAGTGGGAAGTGTTGGTGCCCACGGAGGGATTTTTTGTGGATGATGAGCCGTTGCCGGGGTATATTCGAGAGAAGATGTTATTTGGGGAGGAGCCTGTTGGGGTTGTTATTGTGGAAGAAGAGACGACGACGACGCAGACGAAGAAAGGTGAGAAGAAGCAGTAAGTAGCAAGAAGGGGAATAGATATCGCAATCAAGGACTTAGGTAGACGGTACAATCAATACTGAACAATTTCCCCCACCCTACAATCCCTTTCATATCAACTTTGGCAATCCTCAACATATCCCACACAACCGTAGCAACCGTATCCAAAACAATCAATCCAGGATACTCCTCTTCCCAAAATGCCACCCTCTGCGCAGCCCTCAAATTCGTACAAAAAGTCGACACAACTTTCCTCCCAGACTCCCCCTCCTCCCCCATCATCTTCCCCACAACCTCCCTCATCTGCCCATCAAGTACCTCCTCCCCAATCTCCGCAAACTCGACATTCACCCTCCGATTCAAATGCGACTCCGCCCAAACCTCAAACCCCCCCTCGTCCGCAAACATCCCCAAAATCTTCTCTTGCACATCATCCAAATAAGGCGTCACCAATACCCAACCTCCCTTCCTCCAAAAAATTTTAAAAATCTCCACCAACCCAATCACAGAAGTCGTAGCCACAATCCCCCCCGTCCGTTCAAAAATCTCCTCACACAACTTAATATCAGAAGCATACCCCCAACCATCCAGCACTAGTACCACTCCACCCAATAACATCCACGCCCGCGTGCGCGAGAAGTTCTGCCGCTTGTAGGATTTTTTCCGAGGTGAATTGTGAGAGGGCTGTGGGGGTTAGGGAGATTTCTGTTACGGGGAAACGGGAGAAGTGGATTGTTAGATTTGGATTGAGGAGGGGGGTGAGGAGGAGGGAGGTTGTTAGGGGTTCGAGGGTTGTGTTTGAGGAGGGGACTAGGATTCCTAGACGGATTTTTTTGAGGGGGAGGGGGGTGGGTGGCATTGTCGGTTTTTTTTGGGGGTGGTGGTTTTTGGGGGTGGTTTTGGGTTTTGAGGGGTGGCTTGAGGGGATGGTTTTAAGGGGGAAGCAAAATGGGGCGTGGGGTTCCTTACTTATCTACTTGCCTACATATTGCTGTTTACTCAAGAAGGAGCTTGGAATGGGTAATTGATGGTCTTCGGGCAAGGGAGGTAGGTGGATCGTTAAGCGGGCTGGATAGGTCGCTTCTACTTCTTCGCCTATCGCGGCGGGAAGAGGAATCTCTGTCTTGGATCTTAGACTAGAACTGCTATCTTACTATCCTCGCCTTAGGAAAGGAAAGCCGGTATCGGGACTATTTAGCTAGWATAGCCCTCTCTTATTCTTCTTGTCWCTTTCTGTTTCTATTCTCTCTTAATACCTATCTATTATTCTAAAACATCGCTTTCTTACACATAAATTTCTATGACGCTCCATCGTCCGAGAAGGTCATCTTAATAACCCCCCTAAGAATAGGAGATCTTCTACTATCTATGTATTATTCATAGGAAAAAATACAGCTCTTATTTACCTTCTTTCTCGAGTATAACTTTCCTATTAATTTATTTTCTCTAGACCCGTAGAGACGGGTTCTAATTTATACCGAAGTGAACGATTGGATTTTGAGCAATAGGTCTTAATCCTCAAGGGTATTCTCAACCATATCTAAGCTAAGATACAAATTCTAACAACGCGTGGATGACACATTAATGCACCATGAAGTGGGTGAGTAAGGCGAGCCTCCTAAGGCAGGAGCTCTAGCACTGCCTCGTATGTGCTGCTATAAGTCTTTATACGTCCTCGGGTTGCCAATCCCGCCTTTTCTGTTCTAAGGAGAAATCCGCCTAAGCAGATGTAGTAGGAAGAAGTGAGAGTTGAGAAAGTCTACCTTCTCGTATGCAAAGTCATCCAAAATCAACATTTGCGTAAATGATAGTTGAAAATACAGCCAGCCCCTATCCAAGAACGTGAGGATCAGAAAAATCAAACGTCAAGATCCGAAGCGAACATTATAGGTCTTCTCTGCTTATCTCTCTCTCTCTCTCTCTCTCTCATTTCGCTACGTTTTAGCAAGCTTAGAAAGTAAGAGTAATGTCTTGCCGATCACTCATATGTGTCTAAGATGAGTTAGGGTGACACATCCACGTGCGTGCGCTGCTCTTCGCCGTCTCTCTAGTAGCCATCATCTGGACTTAGCCACTACTACTGCCCTCTAAGCATCAACATCGCTCGCATGCCACGAAATGATGTAAAGATCAAAATTTGACCTTTCGAGCAGGTTCTGTGGGATCTTGGTGCAATCGCGTGCGGGAAAATCCCTCATTGGGGGGGATATCATGACGAACTGATCTTGATTCGATTGGTAATTTTCCTGTGCATACAATTGGTCTTTTTATATACCGCTGTCTCTATGGTTGAGCAATTCCGGCGTTAGCCGCGGAATTATCTGGACTGACGATCGAGAGTTGTCTTTCACCTCGAAGTCGTCTCTTACGAGTTATATCAACTCCCGCCTGCTGTCCGGGAGTGGGGTTGTTGATCTTGCGGACACACGGATGGTACTCTGCCACTTGGACGCTGCGCCGCGTAACATTCTGCTTTTTGGCAGTCAGATATGGTTACTAGACTGGGAATCACTGTGCGCGCCGAGATCCTTCGACAGCCCGGATGTCCTTGAAAAGGACAGTTCAGATTGTGAAATGGCAAAGCTGATATCGGCCGGAATCTCGTCAATAGCCGAGCAGATCCTCTCAAAGTGTTTTGGCATCCAGTAGTCGTAGACGTTCTTCGTGAACTTGTAAGCCGTCCACTTCTCCTTGCCTTCCAATTCGGTAAAGTCGAATTTTCGAATCGAGTGACGGTAGTACTTCGTCTCGGCACCATCTATCTCTGCATAATGTCCATAGATTCTTGCCGAACAATGGTCATGCGACGTGAACCTCTCTCGCTCTCGATCGGATCCATCATACTCAAGATCCGAATTTTTCCTATTCCAGACTTTGCTGCTCCTTCATTGTATACAGCCAGCTCCTAAGCTTCTCAAGAGCAATCTCATCGTTCTCCTTGGCTGAGATGGAGTAATCCTCATCAAACCATCCCGGTGTACCTCCCGTAATCAGCGAGGCACCAAATGGACGACAAGAGCCAAAATCAATGAGATATAGCGTCTCGTTGCTGTCGTTGATCATTATGTTCATGGGGTTGAGATCGTTATGCGCTAGGCCCAGGATATGGAGATGGTGGAGCGCAGATTCGATTTGTTTCATGAGGTTGTCAATGTTTAGATGGCGAGATATTTCTTCCCTGTCGAGTCGTTGTTTGAGTGTCATGTCGTAGCGATCGAAGACTAGTCTGACAATTCTTCCACGCTTCGCAAGGCACCCGTGATACCGTGCGATATTCGGATGGGGCGTTCGTAATAGCAGCTCTAATGTCTCCGCTTCCTGTAGCATAAGCTTAGGTAGTAGACCAGTACCGATGAAATCTTCATGTACTTTCGGTGCTTTCAGAAAGAGCTTGGGATCATCTACAAGTCCCGAGAATATGGTGATCCCGGACATTGGTAATTCTGGATAGACATCGTCGTCTGGTAGAGGTTTAAGACATGCCTTTAGCTCTTCTATAGTTAGAGTCGATGGCTTCGATGATGATTTCCCGAAATATGCAGCGTATTCTGTAGTGAAGAAGCCGAAGGAGGAGTACATGTAGATTGGATTGCCATCTTCATCGTCTTCCATGGTGTAGGCTGTATAGAGGGGCGAGAGATCTCGGAAGGAGGAGATTGATAGTTCGTGGTCCGTCATCGTTGATGAGCAGTGTGGGATGGTTGTTGTACAGAATTTCGCACAGCGATAGAAGGTGTAGTGTCGTCAGGCAAGATGAGGATTTGTAGAGCGAGTTTCCCGATTGCTGATTTATCCCGTCTTGTGGCCCAAATGGCAGGACGTCATGTCGATGCTGATAGGGTTTGGACAGCACCTCTACACGTCGAAGAGCGAAGTTTGAAGTGCGTGTGATTTTCCGCGATAAGCGAGCATGGTAACTTGCATTATGGTGGAACGGTCGGGAGGCGTCAAGGTTGAGAGCCGGGCACGATGAAGTTGGGATTCGAATGTCGACACATGCATCTGCGCAATCTCACGTGATCGATGTTGGAGATAGATTGAATCCGTGACGACAAAACGCCGGGGGGGGGGGGGGGGGAGAAAAAAGAAGTTGGATACCGGAACGATAGAAATGGTAATGGCAATGTGTTCCCAAAGACCATTTCCCTTTTTCTCGACCCTGTATCGCCCCGTTCTGTTCTCAGGAGGTATATACTGTGAAGGATACATGTATCCATACACGTAAAGAAAAGGAGATGGACCTGGAGGCTGGTCTATCCTGCATCTCCTGAGTTTCTTTTCTTCCTTCTTTTGTTACTACAGCTGATCATGCAAGACGATTAAGCTTGCGTCTCGAGCAACGTTCAGTCCACCAGTCAGTCAATCAGTCGAACAGACCTCGCGAGCTTCTCATCGCTCAATAGCACGCTGGCATATATCGGCAGCGGCGCATTTGTTTGCACGTACCAACGTCAGACCACCAAGCCATACAATGGCTTGTTTGTCCATGCCTCCTAAATCAGCAGTAGCGAGCTTCCGCAGGTTGTTGGCTTATAACTTATACCTTGCTCTTCTACCAAAGCCTCAGCTCGGCGGGCGGACTCCAATGGAGGGTTGAGAGTGCCAAAGATGTCGGCAGAAAAGATGTTGTAGACGTGTCTTGTTCTCCTCACCGTCAAATTCCAGCCTAGAAATAGTCTCGACCATCATTCAATGCGATGATATGTGTTTTTTGACCTCCAGAGATTTGTTCGCCGCAGTCCATGATTGATATGTCCACATAGATGTGGAAGTCTTGACTTTGTGATCCACGAGCCCAGCCAATACCTGTGGTCGCCGTGCCGAGGAGAGGTATCGTTATTCGGACCTAGAATTTTGATTTCTCGCCTCGAGAGTGTATGGTGTTGTTTGGGGGGGAATAGAATTCCACAATACCTGAATTCATACCACATTTCCTGTGTTTTCTCATCCCAGCTTCGACTTGAGCTACTCTCACTCACCAAACGTCATCGGGTTTAGATAGACATCATTCATGGGATATACGCCCGACACATGTCGCTGGCGCACTAGAGATTCCGAATCGGTGATGTCCGATCTCCTTCTCCCACCGTCCAATGCCGTCCGCAAGGCACATTGGTGACCTCACTGACAAGGCTGAGCACGCGGCCAGTATTTATGAGGGAGGCGAAAAAAGGGCATGCATGGCATGCAGTTGCGTAAGAAGTTGGCTAACAAGAGGTCCTTGGCTCGTCTTAGGGTTGTCCGACAGGTCCCGTGTCACTGTCCCGAGACGTTTCGTCATCATTGATCGTTCCAGGCGGACGGCTCTTCTCATGTCCAGAAATTCTCGTGTATCATATGATGAATGTTTCGTTCAGCATCGTTCGTCGTTCCGTCTCCGAGGTGCTGCGTTGTTGCAAATTGGCAAGGAGCCCATGTCTCTTGGCAAGGTTTTCATCAGACGATGCGAACACGAGTTTGTCGGCCGTTTCATCATCAGAAGGCCAGAGGTGCAGAGAGAGCAGCACAAATGTAACGAAACAGTGAAGAAGTTCCCAAACAAAAGATGTGTCAGGACATGCCCTGCGCAATCTCATCCTCCCACACGTCGGTCAGTCATGCGAATTAATCATTCGATCCCAATTGGGTTAAAAATAAACAGCTTCCATCAGCTTATCGTTATCAGACCCCAGGCCGAGCGACGACAAATCCGCGAGGCAAATTCCGGAGGTGGTGATTGGTGCGATAAGACACGCGGCCGCTAAGCCGGCTAGTCCAGCCGATGATGATGGACCCTGGCACCCTGCCCAGCAGATTTCCCAACATCTCGGCATGTCCACGAGCGCGCATGGTGAGGTGAGGACCATGGTTCAGGAAAGCGTTGATGGGGAAAGCGTGAGAGTTGGGGAAAGTGGTTGGTCATGAGAATGCTATTTGCGAGGATGTTGGAGAGGGATTTGTTGATAAGGTAGGGATGGCTGGTCAACCGCATGTGCCTTTGTTACTTGATCGGAAATCTGTTCCTTGCAGGTACTGTGCTGTACCTTGGGTCTGTGTGGGATCGGCAGCGGGGGATGACGTGAGGGGACGTGTTGGTACAGTGTTATTGAACAGCCGCGGTGATGGACGGGCGTTATTCTACGAGAGAAGACTATTTCTGCTGCTAGGAGAATACCTTGAATTCCTAGTATCTCCATGGGTGCGGGGCAGTTGGCTGGGTAGATGGCGTCGAGTCAAATTGTACAGTATTGGCCAGGCCGAGGGAAGGACACGAGGAACAATGGAAGCTGAAGAAGCTGGAGATGGATGGACTTCCGATATTCGGCGAGCGCAAACAATGAACTGCCGTCTTCGATAATGGTGAAAGGAAGTAGGCGATGCTATGCTGCATGGTGATGTAGAGCTGGAAGTGGAAAGAAGCAATGAAAGAATATCACATTCTCCTCTTCTCCTCCTCCCACGTCTTCGAGATCAACTTCCATGTACCCGCGGTGTTGAGATCGAGTAATAGTAACAATACTGTAACAATAACCCATCATCAACCAAACAATCCAAGCCCCTCGCCAATCCCAACTCAGCATCCGCCTCCGCCTTCGCCGCGCCGCGCAAGAGGACCCAACGAACCAACCCAGTCACGGACGGGCCCGGCGAACCCGTTCTGCGTGCTGTGCGTGCTGTGTTTCCATGCGTTGCGTTGTGTGCACGGCTTTCTTTTCCACACCCGCTTGTCGCACGTACGCTTCGGTTAAATAATCTAAAGGCAGCCGCGGGCCCGCTCCACTCTCCTCCACTCACTTTCCTCTGACTCGGCCTCAATTGCTCTCTTACAGCCTCCTCTTATCCGTGTGGAAAGATAGGACTGTACAATCCCCACACACACACTTCACTGCACCTCCACACCACACCACATCTTCGAATTCAGAACCCTCCACTCTCCCCTCCACCTCACTCACAACAACAGCACTGAGATTCGTCAACATGGTGAGTTTTCTTGTGCAGCTGCATGATATGATGATCCACGCGGATTGGCAAGACTCACAAGACTCACAACCTCCCAGGCCGAACCCACCATCATCAGCAACACGGCGGCGCTGGAAAAGTTCCTCAAGCTGCCACAAAAGGGCCAGGTCATTGCCGAGTATGTCTGGATTGATGCCTCCAGCGGCGTGCGCTCCAAGTGCAAGGTGTGTTTCCCCCTCACTTCAAGACAATCATGTCCCTCGAGATGTGTGCTCACCTCAGATAGACCCTCCCACAAAAGCCCACAAAAGTCTCCGACCTCCCCGAGTGGAACTTTGACGGCTCCTCCACCGCACAAGCTCCCGGCGACAACTCCGACGTCTACCTCCGCCCCGTCGCCTTCTACCCGGACCCTTTCCGCCTCGGCGACAACATCCTCGTCATGTGTGAGACGTGGATGTCCGACGGCAAGCCCAATGCCTACAACTACCGCCACGACGCCGCCGTGGTGATGGAGAAGCACGCCAAGGAGGAGTTCTGGTTCGGTCTGGAGCAGGAATACACCATGCTCGACTTCACCGGCTGGCCATATGGCTGGCCCCGCAACGGTTTCCCGGCTCCCCAGGGTCCATACTACTGCGGTGTCGGCACCGGCAAGGTCTTTTGCAGAGACATAGTAGAATCGCACTACAAGGCCTGTCTGTATGCCGGCATCAACATTTCTGGAACCAATGCCGAGGTCATGCCCGCTCAGTGGGAGTACCAAGTTGGTCCCTGCTCGGGTATTGAGCGTATGTTGCATCCCTCCCTCTCCTCTCACATTCTCAACATACTGACCTCAAGATAATAGTGGGCGACCAGCTCTGGATGTCTCGCTTCCTCCTCCACCGCGTGGCTGAGGAATTCGGCGTCAAGATCACCTTCCACCCCAAGCCCATCCCCGGCGACTGGAACGGCGCCGGTCTGCACACCAACGTCTCCACCAAGGCCATGCGTGAGGATGGCGGTATGAAGGTCATGGAAAAGGCCATGGAGGCCCTGGCCGGTCKTCACAAGGAACACATGATTGTCTACGGCGAGGGTAATGAGGCCCGCATGACGGGTGCGCATGAGACGGCCAGCTACGACAAGTTCACGTGGGGAATCGCGAACCGTGGAAGCAGTGTGCGCATCAACCGCCAGTGTGCCGAGGATGGCAAGGGATACTTTGAGGATCGGAGACCGGCGAGTAACGGCGACCCATACCAGATTACTGGCATGATTGTCGAGACGGTAAGTTTGTCGAGGATGCGGTGAGCCATGAGATGAGAAGGCGTATACTAATGACTCTTTTCCCAGCTCTGCGGTAAGGTCGAGGGAGCCGACGTCTTCGGAAAGACTCAAGAAGCTGCGCCCCAGCAGGTCGAGATGGTGGTCGGCGTCAGCAAGCCTTAGTTGGTCATGCCGAATGCCACATTGTCGGGTGGTGGGAGGGATTGCATGACAATCTCGTTCTACTACTACAAGGAGAAGAATGTCTATACGACGAAATGTGCGATGCGATACCTGCATAGGGCGCGACTATGAAGGGCGGTTCCTCAGGGATGGTCCGTTTACAGAGGGGCATCGTTGCCGTTGTCCAAGCTCTGGCGGGCATGGTTCAACGGTGATGATGTGTGCTTCTGTTGTGCTGCTTTTAGTGAATAACTAGAGCGTTTCCCGCGTGTTGTCCTTTGCAATGCCATGCCATGAATCTGAGCGATGTTTTGCTTAATCTTGTCATTCTCACATTGCCTGCATTGTGCACTGACATGCATTGACATTGACATGTGAAAGCGAGATGGAATCACTGTGGCTGAATCTCCAGTCACGTGCCATCGCGTCGACGCTCAATGCGCAAGCTCCAGAAAATGTGAGCTCGACGCGCGCTCCAAGGCGGGCAATTCATCTCCATCTCCACCTCCACCTCCACCTCCACCTCTACATTAATAACAACAACAACAACCACCACCTCACTGCCACCTTCATCAACCAATCAATCCATGGCAACCCCCCAATCCGCCCCTCCACCCCCTCTCCACCCCTCCTCGGCCGGCAAAAAGAACAACCACCAAAATGCTCCAGCCAACGCCACAGTTCATACCCCAGCGGGACCCGCCAGCGCACCCCGCTCCGTCCCATCTCCCGCCGCCATCCGTGGCAAAACCCCCGCCGGAAACAGCGCCACTGCAGCGTCAGCAGCAAATATGAAACTGGGAGGCACACCCATGGGATTTTCTCTCAGTTCCTTGGGGATGAGTCCTGCAGCTTTTACACCGGGAATGGCAATGGGAGGTTTACCCGTGGCCGGCGGCGGCTTCACTCCGGGTGGTAGTTCTTCCTCCACGATGATGATGACGATGATGATGCCCAGCATGAGTGATTTGGGGATTTCGTCGACGGGAAAGAGAGGTGGGGGCGTGGATGGGGATTATGAGCGACGGAGGAGGATGAAGGGGGTTTTGAGGAAGATTGGGAGGGGAGGGAAGAGAGGAGGTGGGGTTTGTGAGGAGGGGATTTGTAGGGTTAGTAGGAGGGTTGGGTTGGCTAATGATGTTGATGCTGAGGGGGAGGAAGCGAGGAGGGAGGCCGAGGGGGAGAGACCGATTAGTATCGCGGGGAGGGATGTGTTGATTGATGTGGAGATGCGGGGCAATGCGGCGAGGGGAGTCGTGGTTGCGGGTATGGGAGGGGTGGGAGAGGAGGAGATGGGGAGGGCGGGGAAGGTGTTGGAGAGGTTGTTGGTAAGGGATGGTGGAGGAGATCTGGAGGGGTTTGGGAGGGAGTTGGGGAGGATTGCGGGGCTGGATCGATTGGGTGAGAGTGGGGTGAGTGCTTTTGAGGCGTTGAGTGGGGTGGGGGCATGTCTAGAGAGATTGTATGCAAAGGAGTGTGAGAGGGAGGGGCCGCGAGATGTGTTGCGGAAGAGGAGTGGGAGGCCTTGGATGCATGCGAGGGGGAGAATTGGTCTGGGGTTGGACTATTGGACTACGGCTCCTCCCAAAGATGACAATGCCATGCATCTCGACTCTCATCCCCAACAAGAAGAAGAAGAAGAGGATTCCGCAGACTTCCTCACCCTCCACCTCACGGCCGAAAGTTGTCCCGCGGGAATGTATCCTCCCATCCGCATCTCCTCCGACTGGCTCCCTTCAGACCTCTCCTCCATTTCCAAGAATGATGCCCCAAACCTCCAACACGATGAAATCCCCTGGCAAGATCCCCCACCCACATACACCAAACCTTCCCCCGATCAACCCGACACTTCCACCACAACAACTAACACCAAACTCCCCGATCTCCGCTTCTTGGCCAAACTCGACCCACCTCTAATCGTCCCCTATCAAACCGCCTCGCAAATCCTCGGCGAGTTGGGAGGAGGAGGGGATGGTGTGCACGGGATGATGTTTCGCGAATGGCATTTGATGATTGCCGGAGAAGCCCAAACCAATAACAATGCTTCAGGAGGTAGTGGTGCAGGAGATAACAACCAAGACGCCATCTTCCGAGCCAATGGCCTTTCGGGAAGTTCAATCGTGTTGGGTAGGGATGGAAGGGAATTCAAGCATATCTATGACGTGCAGGTCAGTAAGGCCGAGTGGGGATATCGGATTGAGGAACTACCGTTTGCGCATCCGAGGCAGGTGGTGGGAATTTTACCGGTTTTGAGGCAGTGGGGAGTTTTCGGGAGGCTTGTTGGGGGGGTTTTGGGCAAGTCTTCGATTTCTGATGTCGAGAAGAAGAAGGATGGAGATGCAGAGAAGAAGGATGGAGATGGTGTCGGTGATACTCTGCATGATCTCCTTCTTTCACCATCACTACGGGAGGATGACATTGATCCTTTGGCTATTTCAAGGAAAGAAGGAGAAATGGAGGAAGTGAGATTTCAAGTGGAAATCAGCACGACGCCTGTGCCTACTTTGAGTTTGAGTTTCCCACTTACTTCTTCTTCCTCGGAGAAGAAGAGGGAGGAGACTGAGGAGAAGGTCAAGATGGGCAAAGTTCTGGTGCGGATTGGAAGGAATGGGGAGGTGGAATGTTTGGCTGTGCAGGGGCTTGGGGATGGGGATGGGGATGGGGTGGAGATGGAGGAGGTTAAAGGGAGAATTTCGAGGGCGTTGGAGAGGTGTTGTTGTTATGGGGGTGAGGTGGGTGTTTGGGGGGAATGGTTGAGGATGGGGGGAATGGAAGGGGACGGGAGGGGAGGGGATGGAGGGGATTGAGGGGATTGAGGGAGGGAGTGGAAAGGGGAAGAATTGCGAGGCCGTTGGAGAGGTGTTGTTGGTATGGGGGTGAGGTCATGCTCTTCTCCTAGCGAGAGGAAATCCATTGGACCTCGCCTGCAAGGTATACCCCGCCTAAATGTTTCTTCTCATCTTCTCCAGATACAGACATATAAAGATATGAAAAAGTACGACATAGGGTCTCACTTCTCACGGTTCTTTCTCACCGTTTGTTTATTGAATCCTAGGTGATGGAATGATGCAGTATGTCTTACATTCTGGAACACTTGTACAAAAGTCAACGGCTATTGAACCTTTGAATAGGGATGGTTATATATTGTATTATGTCTTGTGTTGTGTCCGGATTGAGGTGATGTGGATTTGGTTGGAGTGAGAACTGGAGTGTATATTTCTGGATATGTATGTCTTGTTGTTACTAGCAAGGGCGAGATCATCGATTACGATGATGTATGGTGATATTGAGCGAGAGAGAGAGAGAGATTTTAAATATATCATACCGCCGCGAAGGCTCAAGTAATAGACAGACACACATTACCTACTCGAGCATCGTTTCTTCAAGAACCACACTTCAGCAAACGAACAAGAAATCCAAGAAAATCACCTCTACAACTTCAACAAACCTCTCACAACCCAACTCAACCCAACAAAACAACAAAAAATGCAACCATCCACCTTCCTCCTCCTCCTAACGACCACGGCCCTCACCGCCACCGCCGCCCCAACAGAAACTCGCAAAGCCCAATGTCAAAAAGAATACACCACATGCCAAGACGACCCCCTAAGAATCTCCCTCTTCTCCTCCTGTTCCTCCCGTCTAGACGACTGTCTCGAAAACAGAGAATCCCCTCGACCGTTTAGCATCCGCCTCTCCGAAGCACCTCCTATTGATGTAGTTGTTCAATGATGAATACTACCTACTTTTTGATCTTAAAAGCGGCTCGCGAAGGGAGATTGGGAAGGTGTGTGTAATAGGAGGGAGTGTATGTTTTTGACGGTGGGGATTTCTGAGGGGTTGTGCTGAGGAGGTTTGGGGTTGAAATTTGGGGAGTTTTGGGAAGGGGAGGGGGGGAAGTGTTTCTGATTAGAGGTTTTTTTTTCTTCCTGGAGGATCTCGTTCCTCGTTGTGGATGGATGGGGGTTTCTTTTTTTTTCTTTTTTTTTCTTTTTTTTTTTTTGCGATATATATCCCGATCCATTTCGATTTCCAACACAAGGACGCTTCTCTTCTCCATAATCCTCTCCATCCATACCCCCAATTCTATACCACCGCCTTGCAAGTCACCAGCATTCTATCAAGTAACCAGCATAGAGAGATATCAAAGAGAGCAGCAAATATCAAAAACAGGGCGAAAAGTGAAAGTGAAAGCAATCCACACAACAGAAGGACATCATCAGGGAAAAGTCATCTTCTCATCATATTTACAAATCGCAAATTACACGCCCCTCTCTCCGCCTCTCTCTCTCCCTCTCTCTCCCCCTCTCTCTCCAAAACCAGCCCGCCAAACCAACCACTAAACCCCCATAAATCAGCATAATCCCCATCACTTCACACGAGAAAGGCAAACTTACAATCATCTCACAACAACATAGCAGCATCAACAGCTAAAAAATCCCCTAATCAGCGCAGCTCAAAATCAAATACAAATCAATGTGTGTGAGACAACATACCGCCAGCAGTCACAACAAGCATCCCCTCAACCTCATTCAATCTCACTCGCACCAAAGTCCACAACGCCAAAGTCACGGCGTTGTTTGCTGGCTGGAGCTGCTGGAGCTGCCAGAGAGTGTAGCGCAATTCGTCGCGCAAGTCGATCAGGGATTCTTCGTGGGCGAGGAGGGCGGGGAGGTCGGCGGATGGCATTGCGTGTTGGTGGTGTTGTTGTTGTTGGTGTTGTTGGTGGTGGTGGTGGTGGTGGTGGTGGTGGTGGTGGTGTTGGTGTTGGTGTTGGTGTTGTTGGCGGTGAGGTGTGTGATTGTTTCAGAGAAGAACATTGAGAACGACATTTTTTTTCAGATACAGTGCGACATGTTGAAGTGAATGGCGACGGACTGCTACCTACATTACATGCCTCTGTACACCTCACGCCCCGCTAGCAACTTTGTAGCGGCCTTGATATTATCCTCAATAATACCCGTCCACTTCTTCACAAGACTCTCGTCTTTACCATCAAATGCCTCCACCAGACCAGGGTATGTAGCACCAGCATAACCCGTCCACAACCCAGGTGCGAAGACGACATGCTTGAACCAGCTTCTACTATCCAAACCAGGCGCATACAAGAACTGCCTTTCAAGAAGCTTGTATTTTGTGTTCAACGAGCGAATCTCCTTGTATGCCTTTGCAAGAGTCTCAGCAGACAAATCAGGCGAGGAGTAAATGAGATCTCCCAGACTCTGTGCTTTGGCGTCAAACTTGACAGAGGCATATTGGAAAGATGCAATGGCTTTGCTGAGCTTCTTCATGTGTTTCGCGGTGGCGTCCACGGAGAGGCTGGACTCCTCGGCAAGAAGCATGACCTTGTCAAGATAGGTCTTCAATCCATCAGCGTAGTCGGTCGCGTTGAATTGCACGACTGGCTCCTCAACAAGCTTCGCGACCAGCAGAGAGATGACCTTTGCGATGGTGATGTGATATTCAAAGCCAGGATCACCAAACTCATCCATCCAATGGAAGGAGTCGTAGTTGCTGTGATAGTGATAGACGGGATCGTTGGGTCCTGCGCCAAAGCCAACATCAATCGAGGGGATGCCAGCGAAATCCTGAAACGCGGTGAAGTCACTTCCAGAGCCCATGGTGCTGATGTGGCCATTCCAGGTATCACGCACAGTCTGTCCCTTGACAGTCTGATTTGGGGATTGCACCTCGCTTGTTGCCTCGTATATTGCCTTGTTGRGCAGTGGGGCAGCAGCTGTTTGGAAGTGTGGCCCACGAGCTCCAACATCAACGTTGATATACGCAATGGTGGAATCCGAGAGCCAGGGGAGGTACTCCTCCACCCACTCTGTGCTACCAATCAGACCATACTCTTCTCCATCCCAGCTGGCAAACACAATGGTACGGTGTGGCTTCCAACCAGCGGCGAGCGCTTTGCCAAAGGAGCGAATAACCTCGTTCAGTGCCGCGGAACCTGAGTTGGGGTCTCCAGCACCTCCAGCAATCCACGCGTCGCGGTGATTTCCAATGACAACCACCTCGTCAGAGACCGTACCGTTGATGACACCAATGACATTCCACAGAGGAGTCGTGACATATTCTTGCTTGTTCATCAAGTTGAGAGTGAGACTAGGAGGGGTTGGTCCGATGTTGTACTCCACACCCTTGTATCCCAGACCACCTCCTTGCCAGTTCTTGCCGAAGGCAGCCGCATTCGGTCCATGACCGTTCAATGCCTTGAGAAGTGGCAAAGCCTCCTGGTAAGAGATTGGCAGGGATGGAATATCGGGAATCTTGCCTTCAACGGGCTCGCGAGGTGCGCCAGGCTTGGATGGATATCCAGGAGTGGTTGGATCACCAGGAGCGATGGAGAGGTATTGGCAGCTTCCTCTCTGTACACTGCTGGGGTTCCTTGCCGGACCATCAGGGTAGGGTTTGAGACCCTTCTCCTCGGTCATCTCCCCATCATCACCGGGATCGTCGTACATGACAACTCCAATGGCTCCCAACTCTGACGCTCGCTTGACTTTCAAGCCGCGGAAGATTCCTCCATACTTGACCAGCACGATCTTACCCGTGAGGTCGATTCCAACACTGACGAGGTCTTCATAGTCCTGGTATGTACCGTAGTTGGCATAGACAAACGAGCCCGTCACATCACCACTCGCGCTGTAACCATGAAAAGTTGGGATGCGGTCCGTGGAGTTGGTGGTAGGATCATCTTCCAATACATCCTCCTCCAGAGATGCCTCGAATTCCACCTGCCCATCCCTAAACATGGCCAGTCTGTGATCGAGCGGGTAGTTGATGTAAACGTCGTAAGCGACCACTTCGGCATGGTGCACTCCAAATTCCACCCACTTATCCGCAGTCCATTCCGCTTGCGACAAGTTCTTCCCTGCGAGATGCGGACCTGCCGTGTAATRTTGACTCCATTCTCTTGCCTTGCTCCCATCCGGTGTGTCCAAGAGTRTCTTCTTCAGCTCCTGGTAGCTGAGTCCCTCCGACTCGGGCCATGTTGCGTGTGGGACATGCGTATAGCTTGGGGGATGTGGTTCGCTCTCGGCGGTAACTGCAATTACAGCAAAGACTACGGCGAGTACAAAGGCGGGAACGATGAGGAGGGCGACGGTACAATATTGACGGACCTGTGGCTTGCATCAGTCCATCCATTCATTCATATGACATTCTCAATGCGATATATATTTACCGTCGAATGGGGATACCGTTCCCGCTGCTCCTCCACCGGCACACTCTGAAAGAGCGGCGTCCTCTCGCTGACCATGTTGTATGCGTCGCGTTTCTCCTCCATCTTCAGCTTCGTTAAAAGGGAATCAGAAGTGGTGGAAGCCTCGCAGGGCTGGGACGGGGAAAGAGGTTCGTGAAAGCCGGCCCACGTCGGCCAGCTTCTGCTTGGCCGAGCTGCAGCTATCGTAGCATATCTACATGTCTATGTCATAGAGTTACCAGGATTCGCTGACGTCGGAAGCTGGGATGTGACCTGCCGGATTGAGATGTCCCGAATCCCCCGATAGCGGTGAAGGCTGGGGTGGGTAGGTTTTGGGCGACCGGGGTTTCCCACCAGAGCTTCCGACTTCATGCTTTTTGGTCCGTCTTGTGCATTGCTTCTTTATGCTTGGTAACATCTTCATGTCGCGTCTCTTGTGTTTGAAATGACGCGTCAATGTCGACTTCTCTCACCGTCTCGAGAGATTTCGCTGGTACTAGTCGAACAGGTGCAGAAAAATCAGAATTGCAGTCAAATCAAACGATTGGAATTGATGGAGATGGATACTGAGAGGGAGCCTGCCGTTCAACATTTGGAGGAAGACCTACTAGGATGATACTGGTTCTCAAGCCTCTTGCAGAGACCGTGGTGTCGTACCGGCGATTTGAAGGCATCTGAGCACGTCGTTGATCTCTCCTTCGACAAGTTGCATCCTGGGTTGGAAGGACTCCATATGTGTTGACGGAAGCCCAAATAGCGAGCGAGTCCATCAATGCCTATCGGCGTTGGACAGGCCTCGAAACAAGTCATTGACAGATCTGGCAGATCCAGCCATGCTTGTCCCGTTTCTGATCTGTCGGAGGATCACCCGCCCAGGACGGCATCGTCGCTATCAATAGGAAGACTCCAGGAGCTTCWCATGGAAGTTGACCAGATCCAGAGTGTCACGTTGCGAGCTCTGGAAGGCCAGCATCCCGGTGAGGTGGGCTCCGAAAACGTTCAAATGTGCACTTAATAGGGCCGCCATCGAGGACTCACGAAGCCACTTGAACGTTGAACATGGCAGAGCGGCAGCATCTCACGCAATACCTAATGGCTGAAAGAACTTCAATCGAACACTGGTAATATAGAAGATGCTACAAATGAGGGAAACGAAGTGAGTGCCCGCAGATGCAATGCTGTTCAACATCCCCAAGCCCCCAAGCCAGCCCGCTCGCTACACACAAAGACCCCGTCATCACAACCCCCACCCTCCCTGATCACCCCCCCCGTCGTCTACAGCTGACTACTCCCCGCGTAACCCTTATACTCCTCGCGCGAGCTGTATCACACTAGCCCAGACCACACGCTAGTCCGACCAACGAATACTTAAGGCCAATTCCTCCGTCCCTTCTTCCCTTCGACATGCTCACGAGCATTCCCAGCCTTACGAGGCTAGGGAAAGTTTGTGTGTGGCTGTCTGTGTTGTTGTTTGCACAGACGGCAATTTTTGGAACCTTCAAGTCGGCGAGGCCCAGCTGGTCTGGACTACCTCCTCGTCGGCGACTTTTATTTTTTTCATCGTTGTCTTTTGCTTTATGCAAGGCTTTGAAGAAGAAGAAGAAGATTGAGTGCCAGTTGTCGGTGTCGATGTTGTTGTTGTTGTTGATGAAGAGTCTATGTTGTTGATGAAGAGTCTCGCGGCGGTGACCATCGCTTGATGATGGCCTTGTTCTGTAGTGTTGAGAAGATGTGATTGTTGTCGCCTCGTCGGTGTCATGCTGCCGCTGCCGCCACTGTCGGTGTCATGCTGCCGCTGCTGCCACTACTGCAGCGGCCAGCAATACCTTCTTCCAGCGATAGAGACACAGAGATGCTGCGAGGTACAAGGCCGAAATGGTCAATGGAGGAGGCGCTCATCATACAATCTTCATTGCCCGTGACAAGCGGTAGTTCTCATCATCAACGAGACCGGAGATCTATCATCATCATGAGGCTTGAATGAAACACATCGTAGCTGAATTGATTGAGCCAACTGCGTCTCACGCAGCGCCAGCCTTTCGGTCTCTCGCTCAATTCCATGTCTCATGCATGAGCGTCCATTGCACCATCGCGTCGAAACCACCAGCTCATCACTGCTCACGAGCACTCACGAAAAAAACGGAACACTGCTTCTACTCTATCCTTTCAAGCTCATGCTCCAAGCGCCAGGCACGCTCCCACGAAGAACTAGCTGCACGTGCGATACGACGGGAGGCGGTAAGCAAGAGCAACGACAACAGGGATCAATTGATGATGTGATCACAAACGAGGGAGATGATCAAGTGAGATCTGCCTGGAAAAGACGTTCAAGACACACACGATAATAGGTATGCTCCTTCCAAAACCACACCATCAGCCGCCTGCTGCAAGCGACATTGAGCTGACCAGCCGTTCCAAGACCTCCGACCATCGATCCAGTCATCCTCTCGACCCTCCAGCAAGCGAATACGGCATCACGTATCCCAGATTACAGCTCCAAACTTCCACATGGCCTTCCACCAAATCAGCGAACACATCGACCGGAATCCGGAGCTTCAAGAGAGACGCTGGTAGGAATTTGGTTTGACAAAGCTACACCAGAGCCTTGGGCGATGAAGACCGCAATACGTCCGCTCATTGGAGCTCTTCAACATCGGAAGAATCCATTGTGCTAGAGATGAGTTGGCCGAGGTGAAGCAGGGATTAAAAATAATAAGGTCTTAGACATCTCAAAGTAGGAGTGATGCAGAAGAAGAGGAAAAAAGACATCTGATGGCATTTGGCACGTCCCCGCCTTCCCGGGCTGACTTTACACAAATTATGAAAGACTTATTGCTGTCGGAAGTGAAGGGCTTAACTGCTGCTTTTCTACAGCGGAAATAGAAACGWGTGCGTCATGTCGGAGACAATCGACAAAGGTGCACTCAGCATCAGCAGCTTCGTAAAATTAAATGCCAAAGGCACAGCTAGTATTCGCCTATGCCTTTCACCAGTTGAGGGTTTGAAGACTAGCAAGGATGGAAATGGGTACTCGTTAATACAGTACCGGACAAGCCGAATGAACAAGCAAGCTTCGTACGACGGGGGGTACGTGCGGATGAAGAGACTGCTGGGTTCGGACAACTTGCCATCGGGGGAGTGAGAAGGATACCGATTCCAGCACTGACAGTATTCCTTGGCGACGCATGTGAATTTTTCAAATTTGCTTCATATTTTGACCATGACATCCTGGAGACTGCGCCTTGCTTCTCCCGACTTTGCTCTCGTTGCGAAATTGATCGAATGAGCGACCAAGGACGCTGTATTGAAGGAATAGCATACGTGGCTATTACCAAGACTTCCCAACTCCATGAATCAAACTCCAAAATACGCCTTTGTTCCAAGCATGAGTCCCACCCCCGAAGTATCTCTCAGCAGTAATCTACCCCCTCAACAACGACCTTCGAGAGATCGCCAGAATCATAGACGCGAATTTCAAGAGCATCCCTCCCCTTCTCGCCTACTCAGCATGAACCGTCCCCACTGGCCTTAATAACAAGTATTATCCTCCTCATTCGACCTCGCGTGATCGTCAACCTCAATACATCGATGAAACGGATGAGGATTCGAGAAGAGCCACCCTTTTTGACGGCAGAATTTATACCCTTCACAGCATGGAAGAGCCGCTTGGTCGCAAAACTTCTCTTTGTGGTAGCACTACGTATCATTATAAGTCAGAAAAAAATCTTCGGGATGAGGACACAGGAAGTGGAATTTTCTCTCTTTGAGAAGGAGGGAAGGAGGGATTGATCAATCACGTACAATCCATCTGCTTTCGAGAGTTTCGCCTTCGGTGTTGTTGGTGGTGGCGTTGAGCAGCGTCGGCTCCGTGACTGGGGAGTTGAGGGTTGGATTTGGGGGGATTATGCGAGCGGATGTGAGGGATGCGGTTGTGGCTATGAGGGCTAGGAGGAGGAACTTCCTGTTGAAGAGGTCAATCAGGTGCGTGCTTCTTCTTTCAAAAATGAGAGACGTGGATATAAGCTCTTACATCTTGATTGATTGTGGGGGTTTGTGGTGAGGTTTTGATGGAGTATCGTCTTGGTGGTATTTTCAACTTTAGATTTTTGAAAATAGGTGTTGTGTGATGGATGACTGAGTGTTAAATATGAGAAAAAGTTCCCGGAGATTGGCGGCAAAAGTCTTTGGTTCTTACTCAACTCTAGTATTAACCTTTTATGGCATACCACGTATCTTTCCATACTTACCGAGGACCGCGAGAGACTATGAGAAATCTGTCAGGGCGAGCTCAATGGAGTTCAATTTCTATGATGAGCTTTTCAGCTGAAATCCTTCTATCGCAATGCATCCCTACCCCCTTTTTATTCTCGGCACCAGCCGTCCCACACATCTGCGAATAGAGCAGCATTCCAACATCTACCTCACTTGAGAGTCAATAGCATACTCAAACCAACGCTCGTGAGCCATATCCAAGATCGATGTCAGCCGACGATATCGTGCTAGCACTATTTCGAGACTACGGGAACGATATAACGTCAGCTCCGGATCGTGCAACGAGATCTCTAGTACTTCTGCGGTCCAGAAAGAAATCATTTTCGATTCATGTCCCGCTGACCACGATCATGTATGCATCCTTCGATTCTCACCAAGTACATAAGATTGCATCGCACGTTAAAGCATCCGAGATGTTATATATGGATAGCAACCTCATACGTTTTACTTGTTCACCTCAGAGTATTCATCCGTCGACATCGAGATTAAGCTTTAGCTTTGTGACTCAACGGTCTGACCCATGGATATGTTCGGTATTTGACGGATCCTGTGTGGTTTTTGCCGACTCGCTGAAGCGAAGGAGTCGGATTTGATATTCTTCGTTGCTGAAAAATCCGCAGCAACAGAGCCAGGGTCGTCCCGGGAAGCAGCAGCAGCAGCAGCATGTATACTTGAAAGCCTCAGCAGACATTGGAGTAGCTGCAACTTATGCCAGCAAGAAAAGTACCCAGCTCTCTACTACATAGCAACAAGAAAAGAAGCGAGTGGAAAGGGATGCGACTGGCGACCCTCGGCGACACACCTCCCTTGGAGAAGTGCACATAAACCTTGATCCAGGGGTTACCGGCACTGTTCATCCACCTAATAGGAATAGTCTTGGCTCGGAATCGATCAACCCCAGTACAGATCGATCCACTAATGAAGGCAGGAAGCGAGCAATTGAAGAGGATGGACAGCGACTACTTRAAGAATTTGGATGCCGAAAAAGCAAGTCTGTAAAGACCCGGAGTACCTGTGCATATACAACGCAAGACGTGTAATGCGAAACTCATGTCCCTGTCCCTACTATGTCTTTTCTAGACAGCTCCTCTACTAGCAGCAACAACAGGATTGACACTGCTACGTTAAGCAACAACGTCACAAAATGAAGTGTAGTCGAACAAGCGAGCATGCCTATTACGCATATTTCGAGGGGCTAGGACTAAGTTGTTAATGACAATACGTCAAACTTCAGTTCTAACGAGAGCAGCCCCGACATAGCTCCATTCACAATGCCATCGATATCAGATTTTAAGCACAATTGGCATAGCTTATTCCAGAGGACACAAGAGAATCTTCGTTATCTTAGAAGTCAGCTTCCGCCTATCTCGTAGCAGCATACAGAGATTGCAATCGGGTGGATAGAGAACTTTTTAGCCAATGGTGTCGCATCTGTTAGAAACGCCAAGGTGGATGTATAAAAGCTGTCCCATAATTGGAAAGAAAGATAGAGAATCGTACTTTTTGGTAAACGAACGAATCGGGATATCGCAATGCTGAAATGGCTTTTTTTTTGGTTTGGCTAGCCGCCTGGTATCGATTAATGGCTTTGAGATCTCTGCTTTATGGTCTTTAGATGCTATGCTTTTGATCCGTGAGGTGGATGTATAAAAGTTGTCCTATACTTGGAAGGAAAGATGGAGAATCGTCCTTGTCGGAAGTTGGCATGGAATATATCTCAAGGAGAAACTACTCGCCATCCGGTGTGATATACCGCCCTTTCGGCCTCTCCTATCTGTTCAATCCAAGCCATGCTGCCAATGTGAGAGGTAGGCGTTCAAAAGATGCTCGGTATCTAGAAGGAAAAGTAGAGGAATCGTCTTTGTTAGAGAATGGAACGGGACATATCTCAAGGAGAAACTAACCCCCTATTAATCACTCGCCACCTAGTGTGRTATACTGCCCTTTGTGCCTCTCCTATCTGTTCATCCAAGCTATGCTGCTGTCTTAAGAGATATAGGTATGAGAGCTGCTCTATATCTAGAAGGAAAAATGGAGGATAGTCCTTATGTTAATTTTTGAGCAGGATATCTCAGGGGCGAACTATTTTCTCTCTACTGCCTACCGCCTACGATTTAATACCACTCTACATACCTCTTATATTCAGTTATCTAATGCTATGCTGCTACTTAGGGAGGTAGACGTGTAAACGTCGTGCTTAATTTCGGAGAGACATTTAGAGAACTATGCTCTTTAACAAATCCTCAGGTAAGATATATCTTAAGAGCGCTGCTGTCGCCTTCGCTGTTTCGTACATCCGGAACTTGGCCGATTCCAATTCTAAGGCCCCTTCTCCGGCTGTTATTACCTACCCGAGCATAGTAGTAAAGGCCACGCCGAATACCCTAAAAAAGGATAAGCAAGAAATCTAGCGCGACTAGATAGTCGTGAACACTTAGCATTATCTGTTTACTCACCTCCGCTCTAAGAAACAAGTCCCGAACTACAAGGCTGTCTTTGCTATTGTTTGGTACTCTGCTACTAATAGGAAAAGTAGACGTATATAACCTGAAGTCTATCTCGAAGGAGGTTCGGAGAAATGTCCATGAGAAGAGTCGGAGCTAGATGTTCAAAGAATTTCTTACTGCTGCCTCTTCTCGCAGTCCCCAGCGATGTTCAGTGCTGGGCATACCGAATCAAGGTACACAAAGAGTAGATTGACGCTGTACACAAGCGGTTCAACTGACGCACCAACCAAGAAGACTCTTACTCCTTGAGAGCATGTTGTTGTGTTGAAGATACATGCTTTCAAAATGTACGGCGCTTGAGCAACTCTTCCGGGCAAGCGACTATCCAAAAGATTGCTATGTCGAGATTGTGCAGAATTTGGAAAACGGGCAGAGGCCACCTCCAGTCTCAAGACCAACCACTATCCATCCCTTCATCACAACGATGAATAACAGTCTCCCCTCAACATCTTCCCCCTTAGGAACCAATCTCCCACCTTACCGCCTCTCAAATCTTCTTCCACCATAACCACACTCACAAAACATCTTCCCATACTCTCACTCAACCACCAATTCCACCCAGGAGAAAATTCCCAGCCAGCCTAGCAAGTACACTATCATCCACCCCATCAGCTCCCCAACCCCAAAAAAAGAAAGAATCCAGAACCAACTAACCTCTTCATTCAAAATCCCCATCCCCCCACAAGACCTATCGAAACATTTCGAGTAAGCAGGCTCATCGCCTCCACATTTGTTAATGCAGCATGCTACGCAAGGTGGACAAGTGTTGCTGTTGACGTTGCAGGTCTGATTAATGGATGTTAGAAATGAATGAGAAATTTAATTGGGAGTTGGAAAGAGGGGAGGGAAGGGGAGGGAGGTTTACATTGCAGCCATTTATGTTTCTGCAATCTCGCTCTGAGATTGTGGTGGTGGTGGTGTTGAGGGCTGTGGCTGTTGTTGTGGCTAGTAGAAATGTTAAGAGGAGGGGGAGGGAGAATTTCATTTTCGATGAGATTGGATTTGGGAGGGGGAGTTTTGTTTGGTGGAGGATGATGAGGTGGGTTGATGATGATGATGAATTTGGGATGGAAGGCTGTGGAGTTTATAGTAGGAATGTGGTATCCGTCTTCGGGAACGCGGCAGAGGATGTTGAAGGATGTGCTGAAGTAAAGGGAGGAGAGTTTCCCGGATGGCTCATCCTTCGATCAAATCCCTCACTACCACCAACATCACCATCCCTCCCAACTCAAACAAACCCCCGATTCACCTCAGCAACCCTCTCCACCTCCCCCAAAAACACCTCCCAAAACCCCTCACTAGGAAACCTCGTATACTGCAATCCATCCCCCCCAGAATCCGTCAAAAACAAACTCTCAAACCCATCCCTCCCTTTATTCAAAATCGTATCAACATCCCTCCTAACCACCTCCTTACTCCCCTCATGCGCATACATAATAACACTACTCTTCCCCGAAAACCTCCCCCCACCATTCAAAATTCCAATATCCTCATAACTCTCATAGACAGTTTGATTATTTTCCAAAATCACAATCACGTCCGCCACGTCAAAGTAAGAGAGATCTGTGGCTCCGCCGGCGTTGAAGAGGACTTTGCCTCCGGAGGCGCTGTCTACGAAACCTGTGGTGGGGGATTTGGCATAAGAGGTTAGGGAGGTCATGTATGTGAGATTGGCCCCCTGGTCGRGATTGGGGGATTCGTCTATGAAGAGGGATGTCATGTGGATATCTGGGTTTGAGGGAGTTTGTGAGGGTTTGGCGCAATTCAATGTGGACCAGCTTTTATAGATGGAGATTTCATTGTAGAGTTCCTCGATTGGACGGGAAGCGGGACAGATGTAGGAATTGTAAGGGCCGCAGTTGAAACGGTTTGCTGTGTGGATGTAGGCCATGGTGAGGATGTTGTTGTTGGGGGTTGTGTTGAGTTCGTGGATGGCGTTGATGTATTCTGTATTGGGACATCCGTCTTCTTGAGGATCTGGGCCGGAATTGGGGTTGATGACTGCTGTGAAGGTGATGTTTGGATGGGCGATTGCGGCGTCTGTGAGTGGTTTCCATTTGTTTTGGTTTTGGAGAGGGTAGATGTAGAGAGGGACGATGATGTTGGCTAGGACGACCATATTGGCGGTCGATGTTGGGGTTGATGTTGGGGGTTGATGTTAAAGGTCAAGAGTGGCAAAGGAAATCGAATATGTAGAGGAGGAAGAGTTGGTATAAAGTACCTTGCCCACGTCTGCGTTCCCACACACTACTCTAGAGAAAAAGTCAGCAGAAGGATTCAAAGTACTGTAGGATGCAGCTAGCTGTACGAGAGAATCCACTTGCTAGTGCCACGCGATCCTTCGCCCAGACCAGGTCTTTTGCACATGCAACGCGGTTCGCTCGCACTACTGCAGGGCAGTTCATTTCGAAGGACATGTGCACGCCACATCACGATGATGGCGCTTCCTTGTTACCTCTTCAGCGAGAAAGTCCGAAAGTTGGCGGTACAGTTAGTTGCATCGGAAGAATCCTTTAGGACTTCATTCCGTGTGCTTCGGGACCGAGGGGCGAATGAAATCAAGCGCAAGGAATGCACTTCATCCATGCAATGTTATGCTGCTAAAAGAGAGTATACCTGTCAATAAATCCATGCAGTCGTAGGAGTAAGTGCTCTCGCAGCAAATGACTCTCCMCACCCAGCCAGATCATAGCAATACTAAAAAGCAACACAAGTAGCAAGTAAGACTGGTCAAAACTCTCCTCCGCTGTTGAAACCACCTGCATGCCCTCCGCCATTACCAAATGGTACGATCCCATCTCCGAAGAACAGCCCATCAATCCCGCCTCCATTTAAGCCCTCCATTCCCCCGAGATTCAGATCCATTGCTTGTTGGAACCCACTGCCCCAGTCGATGCCATAAGGAGCCTCGCCGGGAGTCCATGTAGACGTATCCACAGGAGTTGGGGTGTAAGCACCGCCCATAATCTGCTGTTGAGAGAATTGGCCAGGATGGCTGTCCATGGGATACGAATATCCATTTGCAGACCAGTTGCCCATTGACGCTGGAGGTGGCGCTCCCTCTTGAGAAGGCCTCTGTTGTGCAGCGAGAGGCCGCTGATTTCCTGCCGCTGCTTGAGAGAGCAGATCCAGAGGTGTCGGCGGCATTGGGTAGGTCGCAGGGCCGCCAGAACCTTCTACCTTCTGCTGTGGATCAGATGCAGAGTCTCCCCCTCCAGCAGAAACCTCAACATTGACCTTGTGCCGCACAAACCACTCCCTCAACACACTCGTAATCCGTAGAATCTTCCCAAATTGATGGAATTCTTCACCCTTCTCCGAGTGGACTCTGGCAAACGTGGCGAGCAAGCCATCTAGATAGTACTCGACTCTCAACTCCTTCGCAGTCATCATCTTCGCCAATTCACTCCCCGGAGTCGAAACGCTCACGTGCATTTTGATCAGGATGACGATGCTATAGGTACATCTCACAAAGTAGATGAGCATTGGCAGGCTTTTGATGGTGTCGATGTCAAAGGCGAGCATCGTGTCGAGGATTCCATGCGCCGCGGTCCTGCAGGCTATCAGAGCGGAGACCTGATGTTGCGTCAAAGTTTCCGAGCTGCTGGGCACGGTCTTCAAACTCTCCTCTGTGAATGGCAGGCGGAAGTCTTCCACATTATGATTGAAATGCAGCGCAATCTCATGCAAGTACAAACTCGCAACATGCTCGAAGAAGATCATGGATGGATGGTCTTTGTACTCGTTCGGAATGTTGTCCTTCCACGCTTTGAGGTCATTCTCCAACACATTGAGAGTGTAGGTGACTTTGGGATCGGTGATGCTCACGGTGGCGGTGTTGTCGTCCATGAGGAATTGCACACCAATCTCTTCGCAGATGTGTTGGATTTTGATGTGCTGACAAAACATCTTATCCGAAGGGGATGCTTCCGGGCTGGTTTCGAGGATGTCGACACACTCTTTCATGTAGTTGCTCCAGTGGACCAAGTTTGGGCGGCGAAGGACCATTGATGCGCTGGAAGATGTTAGATATGGCATGCACGATATGACAAGACGTACTCACCTAGCACACATGTAGTAACAACCCAACCATGCCCTTCTCGCCTCCAACGTGTCCGAGTTTTGTGGCGAAATCACATGGGCACCAGGAGGACATTCAGCCGTGGATCCGCCCAGTCCTCGCTTGGCTTTCCCACCGTTGAATCTCTTTCCCAACCCAATGTCAATGGCCATGACGGCAGCCATGTGGATAATCTGGTAGAAGTTTGTCTGTTCGGCTTTTTCTGGTGGTTTGTACCACAGGGCTGTGACTTGCATGGCCTGGATCAGCTCGAGCGATTTGGCACCATTACACACGACACAATCTGCGATGATGCGGATGGACTCTCGCGTGAGCTCGCTGGAGATGTCGGTGGGGAGGATTCCAGAGGATGCAGCGGCAAGGATGCAGAGGTATAAGATGGGAGCTTCCTGTCGGATGTGCTCGGCGGTGGTGCCAGGAGGGAAGACAACAGCAGGCATGTGAGGCGAGAGCTTGACGACGTAGCGATCAAACAATTCAACACCCATTTCGGGACTGACAAGCGCATGGATGCGGTTGAGAAGCTCTTCCTGCGAGCGCGGCGGCATCATGTACGAGTTGGGAAATGCCTGCATAATGGCGGCATTGCTGTTGTCGTCGATTGCCGAACCGAGGGAGGGAAATCGAGCGTGATGTTGAGAAGGCGATCCATCCTCAATTCGTCTGCGTTTCTGCGGGGGCTGCATCGATGGACCGGCTGGGGGTGCACTGGGTTGTTGCATGGGAGCATACTGCTGTGGGGATTGCATCATCTGCTGCTGTTGCTGCTGCTGGAGAACAGCGGTCAAGGCATCCAGCTTTCTCTCCAAATCGGCCACACGATTGTCTGCCTTCTTCTGCCTCTTCCTGCTGGGAGCGGTGATGATGCAAGGACGATTGGCCTTTTGACAGCGTCGACAAGGGATGTCTGGATGGAGCGGATCCTGATCACAACGAACCTTCAACCCKCGACACGCTTCACACGCTCGAGGTCTCTTAGCTTCGTCACTGCCCCCGCCCTCATTCCCGCCGTCGTCGGCGCTGTGCTCTCCGCCATCTCCGGGAGTTTGTTGTTGTTGTTGTGGCTGCTGGAAGGTGCCCACTGAAGGACTTGCTTGTTGGGAAGGAGATCCGCTACTGCCTTGTCCATGAGGRGGGGGTGGGTAGGTGGGATAGTAGGCTTGGGGGCTCGGTTGAGCATAAGGTGCTATGTGGGCGTTCGGGTGTTGTTGTGAGGTCGGGGGCGGGTGTTCGTATTGGAGCTGTGGGTGAAGCTGCTGCTGATGTTGGTGTTGATGCTGGGGCGCGAGAGGCGTCGACGGGGAAGCAACCCCCAGCCGCGGATCCAGCGCATGCTGGTGCTGAGACGCCATTATCTCCAACAGATTGGATGGCTATGGTCGGGGTTGTCGGTCGTCCGTTCGGTGCACGGCGAAGATCGAGGCCGACGGGGGAAAGGTGGGAAAGCAAAAGCCTTTGCCAAGAGATGGAAATGACCAGGATGACAGCTTACATCCTTCTCAATCGAGACTTTTCATCATGTGCCATTTTCCAATCAGCATCAGCTTCAGCCGCAACGCCGCCTCATCGTTGTTTCTGGATCCTGAGGTTGAAGCGCGCGATCCTTTGATGATGCTAGCGATMGTTGAACCAGCAGGCCACCACATTCCAACGACCATGCATGACAAGAAGGCACAAGTTCGATTTCGTTCATGTCATATATACCCTCCAATGAGTGCCCCTCCACCACCCTGCAAAGGCGTTGTTGTAATAATCTTCACAAGGAAAGCGGCGTTTTCGAAAACTGTGGGCCTGCGCACGCGAGGTGGAAGGTTTGAACGATTCATGTCCGCTGCTGATCAGTTCTCGAGTGGGAATGGCTAGAACTAGACAGTGATCCTTCATGGATGGAAGCAACATCACTTTTCCTATCGTCCTCGGTCTGCTTCTGTAACATAACACGAACAAGAAATCACCTCTGAAAAGGCAAGAATCCAATCATCTAGTCATACCTGAAACCGCTCGTCGTCGTCAATCACTCAAGAAGCTGGACGAACATTCCAGGTTCTATAAGACCCCTCACAGCTTCCTCTCGCCTCTACCACCCCATCGGACCTTGAACACACACTGCCTACCAACAAACATGGATCGAAGCAATCCAACCCTCCTAGAATTCCTCCAAGAAGAAGAATCTCCATCCACCCTCCTCCCAACTCTAACAGCCCGTGCAATATCCCTCCTCTCCTCCCGTTCCTTCACCTCCCCATTCTTCCCCCACAACTTCATCCCACAAGTCCCCGTCAACATCGACGGCCAAAAATCCACGGGCCTTCAATCTCTCCTGGACTCCTACCGATTAACTGTACGGGACAATCCAAATCTGAAAGTTCATGTCTTGGATAGCGCAGTGGGCGTCAAGGGAGATGTCGCATGGGTGACTTGTAATGTCAAGTCCGAGGGTTTTGCGGATGGTGTGAGTAGGGCGGGGACGGTCATGGCCAAGTGGATCACTACGGATGATGGGTGGAGGTGTGGGAAGTGGGAGGTTATTCTGGGGATGGCGTTGGGGTTTTGGAGGGTTTGAGTTGTGGGTGGAGGGTTGTTGCTCTCAGATGAATACGAAATATCGCTGCGAGTAGTGGAGGCGTGTCGCGCACAGTACTTGGAGAAGCGCGTGGCAACTTCTTCGAAATGCTTCAACTCTCCTCGTGTTGCGGTACGGCAGGTACCACTTCAATCGACGATACGAATTCCATCACCCTCGAATCATCAGAGACATCAGAGTTGAGTCCATCAGGCAGTGCAGCGACTACCTTGACTCCGGACCTCCACAAGAAATCTATGACGAACACACCTTTTGCCTACCTAGGTACCATTGTTTCCAGAGACTCGGACTTGCAATACACAAACTCAGCATTCCTGCAGACCCCAGTACCCACAATCACTGATACCGAGACCGATCACTTAGCAACTCAACAGCAATCAAATCTACAATCATCATGCAGCAGCCGTCAACATCTCAAACTCAAAGCCGCGGAGCCCTTGCGCATTGCTCCTTGCCTTGAACGAGGAAGTTGCTCATACCGCCGGAAAGAACTCAGCCTTTGGTCAAAAAGTCCGCAGGTTGTTGATTCTCGAAAACCCTGCAGAGACCTTGGAGCAATACCTTTGAGCGTAATACATCCTTTCGCTCATGACAAGACAACAGTTGAGTCACGATATCTCTACTTGTCGAAAAGCAGTTCGAAAGGCATGATATGAGATCCTACTGGCCTCGATTCATTTTCTGGCAGTACTGGCGCTCAGTATGCTTCCGTCCACCCTCGCACCAAAATTTTACTGCCGAATACTTTGCATCGAGCTACGTCTATCTGATCCTCATGATAGGAGTTAGGTGTGCGGTAGCAGCTACATACAACTCCAACATATGATTGTCTTTCGAGGGCTGGTTCAATTGGGCGCCGCTGCGATTTTATGCCTGATCATCAACTCTAGCGTATTACGGTCGTATCCTACTGAGGGCTACGATCCTGATCATGGAGAGAGCTGATAGAGACGAGAGAAGCACTCGATCGTAGGGACCGCGGTGACTTTGCTGGAGATACGTGTCTTTGGAATACTGCCAGAATATCAAGCATCTCCAAGAACACAAACTCCAGCGAATGTCGTGAGTGGCAACTGAAGGATTCAAAGGCTGGTATCACTTCGCGAGCAACTCCCAAATTCCGAAGCAGTTGCAGCACTTTTGTCCAAGGGAACGTGTTCGAACAGTGATTGATACTAGGGATCTCGTGGGCTGTTCGTAAGAGGCGTGTATTGTATGGCGTTGAGAATAAGTACGATCTTTTGCGGACCTGGGAAAAGGCAAGAAATGGAATCGTGGAGAAGACAAGGATGGAGATGTCCAAGATTTCGACGGATGAATAGGCTCGATCTGGCAATGAAGTATATCGGAAGCGCGAGCTGTTAATACCCATAGTGGGAACAGTATACCAGCCGAAGCGGTGATTCCTTCGACGATGTGGATGCCGGGTTCATTCTCTTCCTTCTTGAGAGAATAGCATCTGTAGGGATCAAAGCATACTGGTCTTACATCTTTGTGTTGGAAACTCCGCCGCCTGGATGCATAGCCTCCTACACCTCAATCCTACCCGTCGAGCTTTGAGGCGGTGATACCCAAGAGTAGCAAGCAATCAGCGGAGAGCCTTCAGTACCTTTCACAACCGCCTCAATCATCAAATCCACAAATCCCCAAGCTTCGTCCATCCTGGTCCTAGAATTCATAGAGGCAGACCTCTCATCCTCCCTCCACTGCTCGACTGCTAGATATATCCCGTGCCGCAAGACGAACAAGCCATCAAGAGTCGAGACTGTAGTAATTAAAAGCGAGCCATCAGGAGTGAAGAAAGTCTCAATCACCCAGTAGGCAGCAAAATGGCTATCCTTTGCAACCATGTTGCTCGCTTTTTGAAGGTGCTGCTCGATGATTCACATTCAACACCGCCGAGTTGCGGATGTTGATGCTGGCTCTGCGATACATGCGGCATCTCGGGGTACTGGTCCTGCAATCGATGCAGTATCTTGTGGGTGTGACTTTTGGCGGGCTATCCGTGCTACTTCGAGTAATGATGGTGGGATCATCATTGATAGATGGAATATGAGGGACTGTGAAAAGGCGTGCATCGCTCATTCAACTCTGATACATGTCCTGGTCCTGATCCTAGCATTCCAGCGATGGATAGATTCTGTGTATGGTCTCCCGCAATCCAGCTCTTACAATCCATCTCTCCTCCCAATCCAAGAGCGTCGTTGATCGAGGCGTTGGGGTATTGCGGATTAGATCTTGCGACCGGCTCCATCATTCTGCGACTGAGCCAGCGCACCATCACAGCCTTATTAACGGCCTCTCCATCGGAAATTCGGAGACGTTTGTCGAGAACATCTCGGTGCATGGTGCTGAATTAACCCTCTGCAAACTGGTGGTCTGCCGCATGCAGCCCTTCATCCTCATTTGACTTTCCGTTCTTGCCGGGCTTGGGGTCGAGGCCAAGGTGCTGAGGCTCATTGTTTGTCTTTGGACATTTTATCAGGCGAATCGAGGCAGTCGTATCACTGATGAGGCTTCTTTTTGTCGTTTCGAAGGCCACCTCAAGAGACGGGAGCTTTGAATGGAAAGGCCCTTTCCGCGGACCCTAGCATCTGCTTCCTTCGTACTTTCTCTTCTGATCAAAGAGTCAGTCTAGCCGTACGACCGTATCCCCAAATTCTCTGCTCTGCAAAGCAAAACCGAGGGCGTGAATCATAAACAGCATTACATCAGGCGTCACGCATTGAAACACGATCACGCACATGGGAATAGACCAAGCAAGAAGAAAGTTTCATTGCGCTCCCAAAGGCCCCGTCAATCGTTCTCCTTCCTCCTCTCCAGTTCAAAAGCAAACCTCGACGCGTATCCGTCACACCGCCGTCCTCTCATAGTAGCGAGTTATCGCGAGCCGGATATCGTGAGCCAGAGACTGAGAACTACTTGTCCCGTGAACTTGCACTTGCGTGGGCGTGTACAGAGTCTGTGTGAAGATGTAGCGGAGGTCTGCAAGCTCTTCTCGCACGAGTGGTAGGCCGTCGCGGGCGCTGGGGGCTACATCGTGGCGGTAGTGTTGGTGCTGTCGACGATTCCTGGTGCCACGCAGCGCTCCTGGTACTGTGAATGGCATTGCAGCAGAGACAGTAATGCAATCTAGGCTCCAGAGTCTGTCTGCCTACGTAACTATTGTGCACTTTTCTCAATCACCCTCACTTTACTTACTCCCTCTCTTTCTTCCTTCTTCCTTCTTCTCTCAGCGACACTCACACACACGCACACACACACACACCACCACCACCACCACCACCACCAACACCAACACCAACACCAACAACACCAACAACACCACCACCACCACCAACACCATGCCCCGCCTCCGCGCCCTGGTCGCCGTGACGGTGGCCATCAACCGCCTGCGCATCGAGGTCGAGGACCTCCTCGACAGAATCGCCGAGTGCCACGAGGAACTCCGCCTGGCGGCCGCCACCAGGGCCAGGAGAAACCCTCCGGCCCGCTGGGAGGAGGTCGTGGCCGCGAATTTCGCGGTGGGACATTGGGGAGAGGAGTTGGAGCGGTATCGCCGGATGTTGGCGGAGGTGGAAGAGGGTATGTTGCGTTCCTTTCCCATCTATCTTACTTTGCGTGTATGGGGGCTAATTTTATGTGTAGAGTTGGCGACGGCGTACGATTTGCGCCTGGAGTTTACGATGTTGTTGTGATTTTTTTTTTCTTTTTTTGGCGAGAAGGGGGGTGCTTTGGGGTTTGGGTGGCGGGACTGAGCGAGGAGATTACTTCCTCGATAGATGAAGAATGAATTTGTTGTTGAGAGCATGTTGTTCCTGTCTGAGGCGTATTCCACTTGTTCCTCACTGTGTTTTGAATGTTTACCTGGTGCTACATGGTGATGGCGACTAATGGGGCTTTAAAGCATGCGTCTCTCACGGCTATCACTGACTCCAAGCTCTTGATGAAGAAGCGGTACGAATAAAAGATGAATACGTGATTGAGTGAGAGATGGAGAGAAAGAAGGAGAGTCGAGCGGTCTCAGCTCTTTTTCTCGGCGTTCTGAATACTTACCTGTGGAACTTAAGTGAATCCCGCCTTTATAAAGCCCAAGAGACGACATCTCACACCATCTCTCCCACCTCTGAGCTCCTCAATAACAATCCCTCTATACAAGAGCCGTGTGCCTGAATGAGAGATATCTAGAGAGAAAGAAGAACAGTCGAGCGTTCTCAAGCTGTTTTTCCCGGTGTTGTGAATGCTTACCTGTATTTCTTGAGTAATTCCACCTTTGTAAAGCCCAGGAGACGACATCCCACATCACCACTCCTACCTCTGAGCTCACATATAACAAGTTGTACAGATAAGATCTACACGCGGAAATGAGAGATATCTAGAGAGAAGGCAGGAGAGTCGAGCGGTCTCAGCTCTTTTTCCCTGGCGTTGTGAAGCTTCCCTGTAGTTCTTGAGGGATTCCGCCTTTGTAAAGCCCGGGAGACGATATCCCACATTACGATATCTACCTCCGAACTCGTACATAACAGGCTGTATAGATAAGAACTACACGCTTGAACGAGAGATATTAAGAGAGACAGTAGCGAGAGGCGGGCGCTTTCACCTCATTTTTTCCCGGCGTCGTGAATACTCACCCGCCATTTTTTTAATTTCGACCGCTTCGGGCAGTTACTCCATACAAAATCGTATATCCCACACTACTATCCCTACCTCTAAGCTCATAGAGAACAAGCCATATAAACAAGAGATACACACTTGAATGAGAGACGTTTGGAGAGAAAGTAGCAAGAGGCGGGCGCTTTTAGCTCCCTTCTTCCCGGCGTTGTGAATACTCACACGTTTTTTTTTCCACTGCTCCGGGCAGTGCTTAGAGAGTAGTATATCCCACAACACTATCCCTACCTCTAAGCTCTTAAACAACAAGTCATATAAACAGAAACTCCACACTTGAATGAGAGATTTACAGAGGGATAGAGACAGWATCAGGGCGTTTTCAGCCCCTTTCCCCGGCGTCACAAATACTCACTCTACACCTCTCAAGTGATTCCGCTTCATGAAGTCGCGAAGACTCTATATCTCACATAACTACTACTACCTCCAAGGTCTTGATTGCTGAGCAGTACGTACAAGATTTCCGTGCTTGATTGAGAGAGCAATCCGGATCGGCCTTTGTGTAGGAGTTGACATCTTGTTGAACGCAGGAGGCCTTTTGACTAACGATGGATCGATGTAGTAGCAAGAGGTTGTTCTCAATGTTCAAACTTCAAGGCAGCAGGCTCTGGTACGCTGAGGTCTGACTCTGATGTTTCTTGAGTCGTGAGTGACATAGATGTCGTCTTTCAGCGCTGGAGTCATGGATTTCTTGTACGTGAGGAAGGAAATAGTACCGTAACAGAGCGGCGTCTTCTGATTGTGCGCATGTGATGGCCAAAGTGAGCCCAATCAAGACTGCCAAGTACGTAGAGCATGAGACATCCGCCGCATGCAGGCCTGTGGATTTCGCATGTTGTGAACCTGCCATGAGCGTTGTGCCATCGCCTTCTGCATGTCTTCTAGTTGGGAGCACGTGAAAGAGAAAGAAGGGATGCATTAACCCATCATCACCTCTGAATTCCACCTGATGTATGTTGACTCAATATCATGGGCCTCTCTGGAGAATGAATGATGCCTTCTTGTTGGACTGGGGAGATTTCTCGATCAACAGGAAGACGGTGAAGCCGCGAGACGGTCATCCTGGGCTCTCATGTGCTATTTTTCTGCGGATCAGAAGAGTGAGGTGGACTATCGCTCGCACCACATTTGTTCCTTGGAGGGTTTCTTGAGAATGATGGACATGTCTAAATATTGATGAGAAATTGAAGGAAAGCAAGAATGCTGGGCCGTTGACTAGGGTATACCGTAGAAGGATCGATATCGGCATTGGAAGGCGAAGCGATCGGCTGATCGGTCCGGCGCGTGAGAAAGCTGGGCAGCTGTCGCGACTTCAGATCATCGCTAGCAAGGTGAGTATTGAAGAAGTATAAGATCCAGCATCTCGAGAGGTCACTTCACATCCATCTCTCGCGTCCCACAGATTTTCGAATCGTCCCGCTAGATCCCGCAGAATCTTCGACATGTCGGACCCTCGTCGTCGTCCTCCTCCTCCTCCACCACCCCCGGAGCCCTCCCCGGACCCGGACACGACGATGAACACCAACTTCGGCACTCCCGAGGGGGCCGGGGATGCACGAGAGGAGAGCGTCACCAACGGGCACAATCCTTCGAGCCTCACGCCCGAAGAACAGGGCTCGGAAGGCTTCAAATTGAAATTCTGCACCGTGTGCGCGTCGAATAACAATCGCAGCATGGAAGCCCACAAGCGACTCACGACGACCCCCTCGGCAGGCCCCTCGGGCTATCCCACCATCTCCTTTGGCACTGGCTCTCTCGTCCGTCTGCCCGGTCCTTCCATCTCTCAACCCAACGTCTACCACTTCAACTCCACCTCCTACGCCGACATGTACAACGAGCTCGCCGGCAAGGACAGAAGATTGTACAGCGCCAACGGCATCCTGCCCATGTTGGAGCGGAATAAGAATGTCAAGTGGGGTCCCGAGCGATGGCAGGATTGGAAGGTCGGTGTTCCCYGTGTTGGACCACGGAACAACCCCCCTCAGCCTGCGGGCGGGGCGACACAAAAGGAATACCAAGACGACATGGGAGCGATGGGAGTGGAAGCTGGCACGGTGGATGTAGTCATCACGTGCGAGGAGCGCTGCTGGGATGCCGTCGTCGATGATTTGTTGACTCGTGGCTCTCCGCTGAATCGCCCGGTGCACGTCTTCAATGTGGATATTAAGGATAACCACGAGGAGGCATTGGTCGGTGGCCGCGCCATATTGGAGCTGGCCGATGCCTTGAACGCCGCTGCCAAGGAGGAGCGCGAGGCGAGCATGAAGGAGTACAATGGTGCGAGTGATCACTTCGATGCGGGCGCCGCTGGGGCGAGGGCCGGCTTTGATGAGAGGGTTCCTGAGATTCTGGCAGAGTGGCAGGAGAGATGGCCGCAGTTGCCTGCTTTGTGGACTCTGGCGTGGTTTTGAAGGCAGGAGGCGTACATGTAGGTCAAGAAGACCTCATGCGTGCATGCTTGTATTGTGAAAGTGATACCCATGACGGCCTCCGGGATGGATGGTCAGTCAAGTTTAGCGAGGAGTTGAGGCGAAATTACATCCCCTTTCAATGCTGTCAACATGAGCATGGAAATCAATCAGTTTGGAAAATGACCCTTTTCCCCTTTGCACTTCTCCATGCCCTACCACATTATGCACATCCACCCACCTCCATTCTCATTCCTCTCCATACTGACACTTTGAGAGGAAGGAGTGGTGGAGTGCCTGCATGTATTTGAGTGGTGCTTCTTTCATTGTCGACTCTGTACATGACCTACATACACATCCATTCTCATTCCTCTCCATCGCCATWCCAAGCATCCGGCAAAGAGCGACCTTGGTAGAGGTCTTTCCATGGTATGAGCCAGATTCTGTGGAAGCTTGGTGAGGGGAGCATTTCTCACATGGCAGCAATCCTCAATACTCACACCCTCCAAGAACATTTCGAAAGGATGTAGTCGTTTAGTATGACCCAGCAACCAACCAACCTCTTGATCTGCTAGCTAGCTAACCTCTCATCAGATGCAAATTGGACTAATCCTATCTACTTGCCGTCGACGCCGTTGGAGAGTGAGTTGAAGAAGTGGACAGATTTTGCTGTACTTCTGTGATATACGCCATATTTGAAATGGTAGTCGATGTGGGATTCATTGGAAAGTGTGGCTCGATAACTTGGTGTTCCTTTAGCAAACGATTGGAAGACCTTGCCGTACTCTCTTCTCCCGTCCAAGTTCATCATACATATCCATGTATACCTCATCGATGCCGCCATGGCCTCCAACCAGGATCAACACTCCACATACCCAGCCCAGAAACATAATTCGACAACATCTCCACAATATCCCCTTGCTCAGGTTGATCGCCCCACCATCCCTCATCATATTCATAGGCAGCATCAGGAATAGTATGTTCGAATGCCATTCTGTGGTTATCATGYCATGCTAGACTAATGTCGTAGTTGATGGTCATTCTCCTCCCCTGCCCACCTCCATAGTGCTTCCTGATCGCATCGAAAAATGGACGCCAGTGCTGGAATCCATGGCCTCCTCTAATGCCGACGTCGGAAAGAATGAGTGAACTCAGTAGAGGACATTTCGAGAGCCAGATGTCGAAGGAATGAGCGTCGATGGTGACATCTACCAACTTCAATGTTGACAGCCGCGACATTGTCGGGAAGCTTTCTAGCTGATGGCCAAAGATGAAGGCTGTGTAATCGATGCTGAGATTCTGAAGTGTAGCCGCCGTGCGTTTTATGAGATCAATGATGTTGGGTGTGGCCTGTAGCATGAACCGTCTGTCGTCTTCGGCAGATGGCTGCGGCTGAGGGGCTCTGTGGGTACGGAAGCCGATTAAAATACTCAGTGTCTCAAGCTCGCTAAGATCCACTGTCAGCCAGCCGGGAATCTCTTTCCAAGCCAGCTCTCGGTTGGTGACCAGTACGAAGGAGAACTCTTTCAGTCGCAACTTTGCAGCCACCACACAGTCCAAACCAAGAGACAAGATCGTTTCATTAAACGGGCCGAGATCTCGATTCCAGAAAGGTGGCTGGTCTTCGTCGTTGAAATGGATCTGGGGTGTATCAAGCTCATGGTCACAGCCCCGTCCGGTACCAAGTTGGAGCTGGCAAAGATTCGGCAATTTCTTCATGATTTCAAGCAGAGCAGCTTTCATCTGTCCAACAGCCAGAGCGGTGTTGATCTGAGCAGTTGTGACGTTCAGTTCGTTCCAATGTTCCTCCTTCGTGGGCCTTTCATCTGCCCATGCCTGATTGTGCTCAAGACAGATTCTTCGAACAGATGGTCCCAAGCGAGCCAGACTAATGTTAAGCTCCCTCAATTCCTGGAGCTCGACATGAAACTTGACGGCAGCGACTAGGTGGGAGTTGATGAATCTGAGATTGCTGAAGCATCTGTGAGTGCGGCGTAAAGTCCTGAGTTGATTTTGTTTTACTCCAGGGAATGAGTCAAATGTGATCCCAAGGAGCGCTAGCTCCCGTGTTGGCTCCAGAACTTTCTCCACGATGATTGTCAAAAGCTCGTCAGGAAGTGTAAGTAAGGGYGCCTGCTGCTCGCTGCTTGCGCTCGTCCCGTTCACGCTCTCATTCTTTGAGGCGGCCGATGAAGCACGCTGCTGTCGACTTTTCCATCGTGTTCGGGAGTCAGACAAAAGAGACCTATTGTCACCTTCGACGACTTGGCCATTGATGTGGAAATGCATGATGGGTGTGGTGGCATTGGGTTGTGGTGCAGCATATTCTCCGGGCTCACCTCCGAAGTCCCGTAAATTAATGTGACCTAAATTTAGTACGCATTCACACACGGCAAGAACACTATGTAATAAGAAGGTAGGCATGGTCTTTTGGTTCGCTCACGTTCGAATACTATTCGTATCGTCATTCGTATTGTCCGATATGGCTAATTCTGCGACGAGGCCACTGCACCGAAGCACGGGAGGTGATCTGCTACTGCCTTTGAGCCAACCATCCTTCGTCCAACCCGCCCAGATTCGTAGAGACGGTTTAAGATACCTTTGCGAGCCAGCTCACGCAGAGGCATACTCAGGCATTCCGGCATGGTAGCATCCTCCACTCCTTCGAGTTCAATTATGCACACCACCCCCAACATTAGCCGTAGCCCTCCCCAATCCACCCTTATACCTCTCCAAAGCCCTCGTCCTCGCCTCCTTATGATCAACAATCGGCTTGGGATATCCCGCCTTCGCAGCCTGTGCTCCGGCTTTCCTCCCATAAGGATCATGAATCGCCTTACCCTGCACATCTTTCAACTCCGGCACCCACTTCCTGATGAATGCTCCATCGGCATCGAATTTCTCACTCTGTAGTAGTGGGTTGAAGATGCGAAAGTAAGGTTGAGGGTCCACGCCCGTGCTGGCAGAGAATCCCCATCCGCCGTTATTGCTCGCAAAGTCGCCGTCGATGAGACTTTCCATGAAGAACTTCTCTCCCATGCGCCAATCCAGTAGCAAGTCTTTGGCGAGAAAGCAACCAACGACCATCCGGAGACGATTATGCATCCAGCCAATCTGCTTCATCTGTCGCATGGCCGCATCAACGATGGGAAAGCCGGTTCGTCCTTCACACCAAGCCTCGAATTGAGAGGCATTGTACTCCCATTCGATATCCGAGTATTCGTATTTAAAAGGCTTGTGCATGCAAACGTACGGCCAGTGCACAAGAACGTGCTTGTAAAAGTCTCGCCATGCAATTTCCGAGATCCAGGTCATGATGCCTTGATTGCCAGCATCGAGACTTTTGCTGGAGTTGGCGTCTCGGGCTGCGCGGATTGCGGTTCGTGCTGCGAGTGTTCCGGTGGAGTAGTGGACTGATAGCAAGGATGTTGAGTTTAGTGCGGGAAGATTGCGGGTGTCTTTGTAGGCTTTCACTTTCTCCTCGATGAAGCGCGAGAGGCGCTGTTTGGCAGCATGCTCGCCTGCAGGCCAGAGATGGAGGAACTTCTCTCTTTCCTCWTTGCTCAGAGATTTGTTGGGAGGTGCGGAAGCGATTGGTGTTTCGAAGAGGGATGCAAAAGTCTTCCTGGCACTGGACGGATTCGATTCGGGGAGAGGGGATTCGTCCAGGAGATGGGGATGTTCGTGGACATGTCTGACCCAGGCTTTATACCAAGGAGAGTAGACAGAGTACTGTTTCCCTGCACCGCTTTTGAGATCTCCAGGCGCAACGACCACATCATCGTGCAGGACATCCACAGCTACACTCTTTTCCACCCCCTTGACGACTAGATCAGCCTCTCGCCGTAGCTCATCAACCTCATACTCCATGTTGCAGAATAAATGTTTTGCACCCCACTCCTGACACTTTTGCAGCAAGAAACTCACTCCCTCCTTCCTCTTCTCCACTGTGGTCGTATACAATGGAATGTCCCTCTCTGCCAGATCTTTCTGCATGATTTCCAAAGTCCTCGACTCAAAGTCCACCCTCACAGCACTCGTCAAATGCGCCTGATAATCCTGCGGGCTGACAATAAACACCGTGATAAGAGGTACTCCCAACTCTTTCGCTTTCTTGMTCGCAGCGCTGAGAGCTCTGTTGTCTGAGATTCGCAGATCGCGTTTGAACCAGTGGACCACGCATTGTCCTCCTGACTGGAGAAGGGGTAAAAGGTCAGCAGCGTCTCGTACATCAAAGGCGTACCTGCATGGAGGTTCTTTAATCCAACTCATCGTTCAATCCCTCTTGTCCTGTACTCACCATACTCTCTCGAGCACCTTTGGTTTTCAAAAGAGCCGCATTGAGAACTTCAACCGGCCGAGGAATCTCATTATTATTGTATTGCGCACATCTCTCATTGCTCATCTCCGCCGGATAGAATTCTCGCTGCACAATTCCATGTTGTTCTTCAGGACGGGAATGATCGAATCCATTTGCGGCAGGTTTTGGTGAGGTCGTTGCGCGTTTCTTGCTGGGAGAGGGTCGAACTGGAGACGTCGCTTTTCGTTTGATGGAAGGCATTGTTGCGATGCTCCGACGAAGGACGATGGGGCTGGAGAGGGTGTACAGTGGACTTTGTCGTATGAAGAACCGCATAGGGTTTGGAAGTGTTCGGGGATTCAATCAATGCAAGGAAGACTGGAGGGCGGGAAACGCGAGGCGCGATCGCCGACGCCAGATATCAACGTCATCATCAATTTTCCGAGGATCTCTATTCTTGCCAGGGTTAGGGTTTGGGTAGTGATGGTACCTTGTTGTCGACGTTACTACGTCGATAATGTCATATCGAGCATGACACTCAGCGAGCCACACAAGGCTTCCCTCTCTTCATGCTTGGAGGGATAGCCTGGTCATCGTGAAGAATCTAGATCTTCGGGAAGCGAAGAGTCGGAGATTATAAACACGCTGCTCCATATGATTCCAGGTTACATTAAACACATTAGAACCTCCCTGACTTGCCAGAACAACACACTGACATCGACACGAACCGTAACGGCATCTCCCAATCCMTTTTATCGGCCACCTCAGTCGAGGCATTGTTCAAGAAATCAAAATACATCTCACAAGACCATCATACGAGCATGGTTCCATTGCTACCTTACAACAAGTCAATTGCCGTCAAATGGCAACTTCCGTCCAACCTGCTCATCACCAACTCCCACATCCCAGGCTTTCAACCTTTCCACAAAGTCAACACTACACTTTATGTTGGTAACGAAATTCTCCATCCCATCGATCACAGTATACCTTGCTCTTCACAAAATTCCACACAAAAGACAGCAAAAGGTAATCGAAACCCACGCGCCTGTCAAACCACACGTAGGTAAGGTATTTGAAATATCCGATTTTCCAGCAAGCAAGCACTATCCCATTCCGATAAAGCGCTGTTGTGCCCAACAAGAAATGCTTCTAGACCAAACAACCCGCACACCGCTAGAATATAATAGAAAACCCCCCACCAAATCTAATCCATGGAAGCATAGGGCTGCCCTACCCCTTGATGATCCATCCCACTTTTGTTTGTTTGGCTCATCATACCTTATTAAGCTCGGTACTGCAGCGGTCGGCACCGAACAAATATATGAAAGTAATAAGGTGTGCAGCGGCGAACGCATGTGGGAACCACTGTTCCTACAGTAGTTCCTCGAGGCAAGCATGTGGGCGGCAGGAAAAAAAGGGTACGTACATGTACCTGACGAGGGGGTCGAAGAAAGTGTATGTACACCTCATCACACTTTTTTGTCGTTGATCAGCATACGCACCGCCAGAGATCATCGGTCGGAACCGTTGTTTATTAAGATGGTCTTATAAAGTTGTAGACTCTGAAGCAACCACGCACGCAGACCCAAGTCGACTCATGTTGGTTTTTATCCAGACTTCTCCTGGAGGTCAAGTGGAGAAATAKTCCCAAGACCTTGGGCGACGTCATTTCAGCCTCCTGCAAGTCAGTAACGTTGGCAAGTCAGTGATGTGGAAGAGTATTGAAAAATTGTGTATTTGACGGGATATCAGCGAGAGGCTAGTAATACACATTGTACAAAGATCCATTCTTGACAGAGGACCCAGCCTCCGGACATTCTCCTCAACAGCAACATCAAAAGGTGTACCGCGCAGTGAATGATGTCCATGGCCGTGTCGTATGCTCATCATCATCCCGCGGCGACAGCCGGAGATCTGAAGGACTTGAACGTCGCGACGCCCGGGCTATCATGTCTAGTCAAGCTGTTATCCGCGCAGTATAGCGTCCCAGTCATTGGTGGTGTCGTGCATCTCTCGGCATTTTCCAGCACCTCGATGACTCTTTGACACCAAATTGTCCGGACTGGGTGATCTTCGAGTGCGGAGCTCATGCCCAAAGCTTCCATAGACAGGGCTTCCATTTTCCTTCTCGCAAGCTCCAAAGCGGTTCCTTCTGGTCCTTGATRATGCACGTCGGCGCGTTCGGCCAGGAGGACGTTGACGACTTTGAGAGCTCCCGAAGAATCGCTCTGAGCTGCAGCTGTGCAGAGAGCTGTCCCGTAAATGGTTCCGACATTCTCCTCGATCCTCGCTCCTTTGTGAAGTAGATATTTGACAACGTCTGCTTTGCCCATCCAGGCGGCTGTGATCAGCGGGTGTCCGCAAAGTCCTCCTGGTTGATTGGGATCTGCGCCATGAGCGACCAGCATCCTGATCTTGTTGAGCCCGTTTTCGAAAGATGACTTGGTGATGTGACATTTGGCGCATGTGCCGGCAACCTCCTCGGAAACGCGGTGCTCTGCGTTTCGAGAGAAAAGGTAGCCATGTCCCCAGAGTGCCTCGGATGTTAGGGTGGGATCTGCAGTTTGGACGGCTCTCCGCTGTGCACCTTCTCGGAGCAGCTTTTCTGCTCGTGATAGATATCCGCGGGAAATCGCCGTTTGGAGCTGTTTGTTCATGACTGAAGGGGGCTGTTCCGGTATGGATGGCGGCAAGCGTTGCTTGCGAATGATGCTTTTCAAAGATGTCCCTGCTTTCTTCAAAGACATGTGTCGGAATCGTTGTTGAAGTCCTCCGATATCAGTCTTCCCATCTTCGTCGACGTCGCAAGGTGCCGATGCGTAAGTGTTGACACTGACGCGGAACGAATTGCGAGAGCCGCGCATGATTTCCCCGACTGACCAGCGCTGGAATGTACCATCTCTACGAGACGCGATCATACTGTTTACCTCTGAAACGTATGCCGAAAGTTGAGCTTGTTCCCAATGTCGCAGCTTGTTGCAGAGTCGAAAGTTGTCCGAGTCTGGCAGACTGTCGATCCAAGGTAGTTGAGAAGGAGGATGGTGGCCGGTGCAGGGCACAGCATGATGAAAACCGAAGCCGCAATGACCTTTAATTGCGGCTTGCGTGTGCTGTTTGAGATCTTCTTCATGGACAAATCCAATGTCGCATTCTTGACAGCGATATTCGCCTTGAAAGTCTTCCAGATGCCGTCGGAGGTGGACAAGAAGTTCGTCCGGATCATCTTCGAATGTTTCACTGCACATTGTACATAGCATCGGCTGCACAGTATCATCATTGGCCTTGAGAGTGACATTGGCAGAGAATGCGGTGTCTTTCAGTGGTGATGGCTTGGTCATGTATGGATGGACGTCCGGTAMACTATCAGAGGCTGGCGTGTTGATACTGTGGTCGGTGCTGTACTGAGAATGTCGCATCGAGGAAGCGTCGCTTCTCTGGGCCAGGCTGCCGACAGAGGCACTGGGTCGCAAGCGTGGTTGGTCGTAACCAGTTGGTGCGGGGCCATCATCCATGATATCCATTTCGTCGATCTGATCCATACGGATGATGGGTATGTGATTGTTGAGGTCAGACATGGTTCGCACATGCCTGACGACTTTGGGCTGACTGAGAAAACCATCCGGACTGTTGAAGTATCGCATAAAGGGCTTTTCATCGGGGAGGGAGGAACTGGATGAGCATCGTTCTTCGGGCGTTTGAGAGAGGGCAGTCGCCGCCGTCATGGGCGACACCGAGGACCCAGCAGCACCGTCTGTTGAAAAGGCATGGTCACTCCCACCATATTCAGACCCGCTGAAGCCCGGCTCTCCCGAATGATTGCTGCCAGGTGTTGTGCGATCCGCCGCATGGTTGGGATGCTGCTCGTTGTAGTGGCGTTTGAGGTCGTGACCGCGGCCGAACAGCTTACCACAGACTGTACAGCTGTGCTTCTTGTTGGGCGGCAGGCCCAGCTTCTTTCGATGCTGGTCGGTATGACGGTGCCGCGCCAGAGCGCGCTTCTCGGTATAGCATGTCCCGCAGTCGTCGCACTGAAAGGACATTCGGGAACGCTTCGCAGCACGCGGCTTGCTGTCGGGATCCTCTTCATCATCGCACTCGTCAATTCGCAAGCTGCCCTTTAGCGGGTYGGACTCATGTTGCATGGTGATGTCTCCTTCGGGAACCATGGTGAGCGGGTGCGTCATGGAAGCTGCCGGCAGCATGCTGTGAGGRGAAAAGGGCACCGCCAGCGGTTGCGCCATAGTGTCGATATTAGAAGAGAATAATGAAACAAAAATAAAGCGGCAAATGGACCAGGGCAGGCGTCGACCAGGACCCCGGCGGCTGCGTGTGTTTATAGACAGAGGTAGTCGGATTATCCTGGAGGCTACTAGCTGTAGGTGGCGTATCGAGCACGGTTCTCTTCAATGCGATAGCGTCAGTGCGATCATGGGGCCACACGGGCGAAATTGGGACTCCTTACTCGTGGTAAGGTCAAAATTGAGTTGAAGAAGAGGAAACGAACTTGCGATCGAGAGGACAAAGACTGAACCCTGCAGATTCCAACCATGATCGACATTGGTGCACGATTTCATAAGCCTTTTGGCGGGAGACATTTCCGGAGTCCGCCGCCGAATAATCGCCAGCGAGGTCCCACCCTTGACGAAGCCAGACGAAGCCAGACGAAGCCCTTTGGACGAGTCAGCTCCTGCAGACTGTCTGCACGTCTTCGTCAGGCTCATTGGTGACATCTGAAACGTGCTGCACTCACGCGAGACATTTGCCACTACCGCGTCTGTTTCATGCCTTACATGTGCATAGCCGCCGTTCTGGACACCTGGGCTGCAGCATGTCTGTACACGATGACAGGGCACCATAAAAGCTGAACTCTGCGCCCTAGTCTGCTGCGATTGCTGACACCGGGACGATCTTCCCCGAATTATTCAATAGWGTGTCTTGGCTGTGCCTTGAAGAAGAGTCTCCCCCGCTCTTCTCCGTACCTTACCTCCTCGAGTCCAGACCATTGCGCCAGGCGTTGTTATTTATCACCGGACATCCTTCAAAGGAAAGCTGCCCGTCGTCATGTTGGATGGTACTAGCATTTTTCAATCCTCCCGAACAGCAATGAATCACTTACGAGGCGGTTCTCCTAATTGTAATAGGTACCTTGCATTCGACCGATCGGCGCGGATGACAGGCCGAAGYCGAAGTTTGTAGCCGATTTTGTGCCGCATCAGCCGGATCTGATCTAGGCATTCTGCATTCACTCGAGTAGTCGATAGCCGCAACGAACGTGGAAATGACATCAATAGTATATAGTCCATTTACGTCCTCTTCAGCTTGATGAGGTGTAGCTTCTCCAGACATMAATATTCTTCAGACTGTATGGCGTGAAGAACAGGCTTCATGCGTCACAACAGAGCAATCCAGCTTGACAATTAAGCAGAAGCATTGACTGTATACATGCAGCATGAATGATGACGAGGTGTAGCTTCTTCGCATCCAATACCGTTATCATATGTGTGCTGCAGGATGTGCGATTCAGGCTTTTGATCAGAGCGATTCAGCACAAGAGCGAACACTTTGGCAAAGGTTCATGGTTGCACAGTTGAGTGAGCATGGTTCATTTTACTACTGAATTTGACCTTTTGTCCTCATGATTCTGCATCCACGAAGACGTCTTCATCTCCATCAGTGTCCATCCGTTTGACAGCACCACGCGGAAGGGAACTGTCTGCCTGGGAGGTGCTTGGTTGGAGAGGTTGTTGTAATGCGGCGGCGACTGGAGCTGGAGTTTGCGCAGACGCTCCGTCGTTTTGACCAAAATCGATCAGATCGGCAGGTGGTTGAGGTGCTGATGCGCTGCTTTGTTGCGGAGACGATACCGATTGCTGTCCTGGAAGAATGGGCGCAATCGCCAAAATTTGCTCAATTTGCTTCTCCACAGGCGCATTCGTGTCTACTGCGTCGAATGGTATGATGTAATCCAGGTTCTCCTCATCGCCAGTTGGTGTTGCCGTGAACAGCTTTGGTTTCCATTCTGATGTACGCTCTGCAGCCTCCTTTCGCTGTGCATCTTCGATTCGTGATTTCTCGTCCGTAGCAACCTTCTGATCCGCCCTCTTGATAGCGTCCGTAGTGGTATGCCACAGCTTCTGGCTTTCTCTCGGTCCTTGCTCTTCGAGAGGCCTGCTTTTCGGAATGCTCGGTTTGGCCTTTGAGGCATCGAAAATCATTTCCTTCTTGCCTGTTGCGAGGTCCTTGATGTGCATCTGACCGTTCCAGAAACCGCTTATTTCGTACCTAAGAAGAAGGAGCGTCAGCATGCGTCGTAGACATGGAAAGAACGGTTGCGAGAGTGCATGTCATGTCTTTGAGAAGAACATGGTTTGTATCATGAGAGGCCGCTCGGTGCTATTCCCCACATCTACCAAGGGCGGAACTCACAGATTCTTTCCAGACTTGGTCTCCTTGATGAAGCCAGCAATGGCATTGTATGATCCTCCAACCCAACCCTTGACTTTGAACTCAATGTCTGCCTCCAACCCCGACTCAGGACAGCGAACGACTGCGTGGTCGCCCAATTCGTATTTCATCTTGCCAAAGAGGATGCCGCGTGCGTACATGTTGGGTTGCGTGATGAAGCTGGTCGAGATAGTTAGCGGGAGCTCGTCTCGCAGCAAGAGCTGGGAATCGATGACTCAAATGCCTCGCGCTCGCACAAGAAAAGGAAGGGTTGCTTACTATCTCTCGCCGCGGTCCAAGAATCTCATGACTGCAATTCCCTCCATAAAAGAACCAACGCTGTTCCCCAAGAACTTGCTGCGAGGTTTGAGGGTTCCATCAATTCGAATGCGGTGTTCGGGTGCCATGAAGAAGTAGGAGGACTTTGGTGGGTGGTGTGAGGTCTGCTCCGAGATGTAGTAGCCTTTTGTGCCATCAGGGTAGTCCCAGTAGCCAGTGAATGTCTCGCCGAGCACGGGGTTGAGAGGTTTCTTCACGCCTGGAGGCTTGATGTGCCATCCGGAGAGGTAGAATTTGGTGACTGCCACGAATCTTGCGACTGGGTCTTCAATGGTGGGCATGTGTAGGAGAGTTTCGGGATGTGCCATGAAATTGGTGATTCGCTCCAGCATAGAGCGCGGTTCGAGGATGAAAGTGGGGAGTGTGACGCGGCTGAGGTCGGCGCCTGGTCGTAGTTGTGAGATGATGTGGGTGAGGACGTTGCCTTGCTCGCTTGACACGACTGTCTCATCGTCGCCATCGTCGGGGCGTTGTTCGTCGACAGAAGAGCGGGTGGAAGAGTGAGAAAGGGCGTTTCTTGCGTGCCCGAGAACCATTTTGTTCTCCGCTTGGTCGATCGATTTGGTGTGGTGGAGGGGCAGCCCGTGCTTTGCAGAAAGCTGATGTCTGGCGAGRGCAGCCGCTAGACGCAACGGATTGTCAGTGAGCACTCACGGCGGGTAAGTACGAGTGAGGTGATGAACGAGAGGGAACAAGGAACAGCTGAGTTACACAGCAAAACCAGGTAGGCAGGAAGCAGCTCCCAATAGCACGTGGGGTGATGAGGAAACAGCGCAGCAGCGCGTCATTGCAGCCAAGGATTCCCAGCGGGGCGGCGCGGACCGTGTTCAGTTCAAGTTCATCATCGGTCGTTCCTCCGGACCATCCGGCAGACGACATGTCGACAATGTTCTCCAGAGTTTGAGCATTGGAGTCAGTCTGGACAGACCATTGTACGCATTAAACCATGAGCCTTGGCAGAGATGTCCTTCAAAGGTATCCAGGCCGGCAGAGCACGGGCGTGCTATTGAATGTGTCTCGACGAAAGAGTTATGCTTGAGAACTCGGGAGCAGCTGCAAACCGAAGCCGAGTAGCACTATTCCAATGGATTGCCGTGTAGCAAGATGTATCCACAGTCTTGAAGAGTCATGCCGACCATGTTCTGGGACAGCGGCGTTGTGGATGATATGCGGACAGACTTCCAAACTTGGTCGACAACCTTGCTGGTCAGATCAGGCCCGGTGACTGCCATGGAATTGGAAACTTGTCCGATGAGAAAAGAACTTGATGTGCGGAGTCTTCGTGTCAACCACTTCCAAGATTTGATTTGAGGAACAGCCCCGGAGCAAGCTGGAAGGGATGGACCGTACGCTGACGGTGCAAAGTACATGTTGTCAAAGCCCCCAACTGCAGATGCGGCTCTCCCTGCTATATGGTCCTGGACGAAGCATGGGCCATCTGGAATTCCGACATCTTCGCTGCTTCTGGGCCGGCGGATGGTGACAATGGTCTCGTACGTGCTGCTTCTACCCCGCGATGCTGCGATGCTGCGATGCTGCTGCGTGGATGGGCGGGAAGATGTGCAGGAAAAGGAACTCTCAAGGAACAACATACCGAGCGACTCTGTGTTAGCTTACGCATTAGCATGTCACTCCCGTTGCGTATCGGAACGAGGCAGGGATATGCAAACTCACCAAGAACTTGCCGCCACCGCAGCCTCCCAGCGCATCCGACCAGTCTGCCAGGGATAGCCTTTGCTCCACAAGTATACGGGGCGGCACATGATCGCCGCCCGACTCATCACGCTACCAAACCTGCCATCCCGCCGGGGGCACACCGGAACAGTCTCCCCGAGATCTCTCTCGAGTCGACAGCCGTGGCACAACCGGTCGGTATGCGGGTCGACAGCGTGACTGACCACCTCTTTGGATGGGCAGTACCAGCTCCATTCATGCCGGTCTGAGCAGCTCTCGAGGAGCTCGTACATTGCGTCGCGTAAGCACCCCCCGTAGCAGGCGCTGGTGGCGTGATATTTGCACATCTGTGGAAACAGTCAGTATCTGCTTGTTGACGACGATCGATGGCGGGGAGATACGTACAGCGACTGAGAGATGCCTATTGACGAGGAGGGTATGTTAGCAGGGATAGAGCAGAGGCGGATCGATGGAAAGTACTCACGGTGGTAGTTGTCAGGAAGAAGAGGGTCAAGGGCGGCGTCACTAAAAGACAGCGTGCGGCGGGATTGACCGCCAAGGCGACGATGACCTCACCTCACGACATCTTTCATTGACAGCAGATCTTCACGCAGATAGCTGTTGGATATCTCGACAACCAGTTTGCTCATTATGACAGACTACACGCGAGCCTGAGATCATTGCAGGGCAGATCTCGCCGCACATACACTTCAWGCGTGAACCATAAGCAGTGAACTATGGTTGATACTCAGCAAGGCGGAGGGAACGTCTAGACCTGGGAGAGTTGCGGATCAATCAACCCTCTCAGCCATTTGCTGCAAGTCTGATCCAAAGATCGAACTCAACGATCGATCCTCGCTGATTGAACGGTTTCGACAATGAACAGACACAAGAAGCCGCAAGATTCTCGGATGTCTTGTACTTCAATTTGGAAGTAGCAAATTGCAACCGCAAAAGAGAGACAGAGCGGAGGGGATAGAGAAAGATGGCTGCATTCCGCATGAGAATGCCGGACAACCTTGCCAACCGTTGAGGTGTTGAAGCAAGGACGGGGAGAGACTGTATAACAGGCGAAACATTGGGTAGATGGCATGGCTAGCCACTGTTGAATCTAGGATCAAACACATTCGATCGCTGGCCACAAAGCGGTGCAGCTGCTGAAGTCTCACTTGAATCATCGTGTTGCAGTCGCTATGAAAATGCTACACTCCGTCCAWGCTCAAACCTCCATGCTATGCAATGTCGACCAGCGCTATGCAATACCATGCCAAAGACCACCAGAAACTCCCACTCAGTTCACCGAGCGGCCTTTACTCTCTCAAATATGTCCTCCGCTTACATTCATTCGTTCATCACACTAGTCCCAACCCATGTCATCGGATGTCGTGAGCCTTTGACGTATCGTGTTGAGTCTGTGATTCCCACATTCGCACTCTTCTCATATGTAACGCCGCTCACAGCAACCCAAAGAGCATGAGAGCTCCCGACGAGAACCTCTTGATGGCAATAGCTCAAGAGAAACTCTTGCAAAGCCTCCCAGATATCCAATCCCAGGTCAATCTGTAGCCGTCTCAGGATCTGCATATGTCGAATATCTCGTTGTCCAGTGGTAGCACATATCATGAAGAGAGACCAGAAGGCCAGCTCTTCGTATACCGTTCCAACAAGGAACTCGGGTCGGAGATTCTGAGCTTCAGCATACAGAGATGTGAGCAAATCGACATCGTTGAGAAGAAGCGAAGAAAGCATGAGACCTGCGAGTCTTAGATGGGAATGGGCTTGCCACTTCATGTGATCCTCGAGCATCGTTTGGAATATGCTGAAACTGGCACCCGTTGATGTGAAAAGATCCCAGTCACTAAGTGCCTGACGGGTATCTACCAATCGGGCTTGAACGGCTGGGTTGGGAGATGCTGTATGTGACAGTCGTCCRATTAAATGAAGTAGAGTCGGCATGATGAGCCGTTTCATCTCGAGATCTTTGAGACCGGAAGGGAGAGTGCTGGGGAGAGTAGCAGTGGTATGAGAAGGCATTCCACCAGGCCTGTCGAATGACGGTCTTTTGTTCGCGTAGAGTGCTGCATCGTGACCGGCACTGACAATGAGATTCACCACAACGGGTGATAGGACCTGGGAGCCCGGAGACCGCAGACCAGACAGTCCTCCACGAAGGCAATTGACGATGCCGACAAGACCGGCCATGTGGGTATCATGAGCTGGCGCATCGCCGTATTCCTGCGAATGTTAGATTAAGAACTGGCACTGGAATGCACAAGACTCCTTTAACAACTCACAAGTTCCCACTGTCCCAACAATGCAATTGCGGCAATCACAGAATCTTGGACTCTGCCTTCTTCACCCGCCCATTCAATGGCACTGTTGATACTCTCAAGGGTGGTGCGCTTCAACTGAATGAGCAGCGGGGTAGATACGGTCATCCGTCCCGATACTGTTGCATGACTCGCTGCCACGAGTAGGATTGCATGAAACAGTGCGGTATCTCTCAGAGCGTCGGGCCAAAGCTGTGATCGGATTGGTTCACGATCGCTTGCAGCTGCCATAGTTGCGTCGGGCACGAAATGAGTGAGAAAGTATTCAATCAAATCAGGCATCTGCGGATGCCATCTTGTCGTAGGATATGATCGGGACAAGTCCATTTGTGAGGTTATCATAGAAGAAGATCCCGATGCATGTCTTGATGTTGGTCCAGATTTGAGGGAAGCGGAAGATTGTGCCGATGTCGAAGCTGAGGATGGGCTACTTGCTGAGTCGCTTGCAGGCACAGATGAAGTTGAAAGAGCTGTTGATTCGAGGTTCATACTCTGCTTCACTGCCAATTTGTTTGCGATTGTTCGTTTCCTGGCGTCGGCGGAGGACTTGGCGGCTTGTGATCGAATCGCCCGTCTTGTATCTTTGTCGATACCAGATTGAGAGCCAGCATGGAAAGAAACAAAGGCGTTGGGTGCCGGACTTTGTGTCCGAGCGAGAGGATCGCCTCGCTCATCTTTTGGGGATACCAACGGACTTCTGGAGACAGACCGGGAGGCGCGGCCTCTCCGAGATTTTTGGTCCGACATCTTGTCGAGTGTTGGATCTTGTCCACAGGCTGTTCGTTCGCTGGCTCGCCACTTGAATGCTCGACAACAGTACGGAGGGACCGCAGTTATAGTGATCGGCACTGTAGCAGTCATAGCCCTACCTTAGTAACTCCCACTTTGACTTTCCTCTCACTGCAGGGCCATCATTGCGCACATCTAACTTCGGGTAGCAGATTCAATGCCTGAGTTACGCTCACGAGGACCTGCAGCCCAGCTATGGTAAGAGGAATTCGTACGCTCCGAACGCCAGGGCTGCTACAAGGCCGCCATCCTCGTCAGGAGGAGTGCGAGAGTGCTAGGCTAGTACTGGCGGCGAAGGTGGTCGAGCTGAGACAAAGCTCGATGGCATAACGATGCCATGCTTTTTCAGCTAGCTTTGGTACATTTGGTGCGCCACGGATGCTTGTCATTGGCCTGCGCAGCAACGAAACCTTGCCAGTGTCCAACGGGACGACTCATTGTGCGGCCGGCAGATGGACCCGCACATACCACGACTTTGTCGATGCGAAGGGATGCGAGGGCGCTGAGCCAGCCAATGCCAGCCTTGTAGACTCGCAAGGCTGCATCGCTAGGCAAGTTCACACGAGACGGAGACCGCGGTGGCTTCCACGCCTCGAAGCCACGATATCCGCCGCGGCACTGCCATAAGTACGGCAAGAAGTGGCAGCAATGGAGCTGGATGGCCCCGCTGACCGCAAGGCACGGCGATGCGATTGGCTCTGGCGGCACTTGTCGAGCACCAACGTGGCTTTGAGTACGGTGAGCCCTGGTGGCATAAAGCTTGTTCGCAAGCAAATGATGTTGTCAGTGAGTTCGTTGGCGAGGGAGTGGTCCAATCGGATCTCTTGCCAAGCGAGAAAAGTCACGTGACAGTCTGCATTCAGTAAGTCCGGCCACGTTTTCCACGCTTGCAAGCGCCCGTGGAAGCGGGTGGCTTTCTTTCTCTGCTCTCAGTTGTCGCACAGCTTGAAGCGATCGAAACGCATCCACGCACGACAGCTGGACTTCTTCAATAGCCGGAGTGGTGCCCGGCATGTCCGTATCGCTAAGAGGCTTCCGAGACACCACGAGGTCTGCGAGGCCAACAAGGTCATGTTTAGGCGAGCGTATGCCCTAGCATCGACGCTCAGCAGGATCAATATGCCTGCCCGCACGGCAGAGGTAGCTTAATCAAGCATCACACTAATGCGGATACCATGCTCAGCTGACCAGCGCAAGTGCTTCCCAGATTGGCACTCGACTCCAAGTTATTCCCGATTGAGGAGCGCAGAGGAGATTGTTGCTGATGCATAAGGCCATCAGAGATCGCAAGTATCCCCTGCATCATGCTTAGGCTTGAAAGTGACTGGCAGATGGACGATTGCATAGATGGGCTGTACATGATGGATGTACTCAGGGACGCAGAATTTGGCCTCGAACGAGCCTCCAGATGAGCAAATTTCCGTGCAGACACAGGCTCCAGTGTTGAAACCGTGATTTGATCATATTGTAGTCATGGGCGCAGCTGCATTCGAGTTGCTCTTCGTTTCCTGCCAACGAGTAGGAGGTACAACGGGCTGAGTGCGGCAGGTTGAAATGTGATTGAGTTTGGGCAAACCCCGCACAGACTCGATATCACATGCGTCATCTTGATCTGTGATCGCAGCTTTATACCGCTCTCAATCGTGCTTCGAGGACGCCTTGTGTTTCCTGCTTCCACGACGGCCTGGTATCCTTCCTGCGTAAGGCGTACACAGGAGTGTCATGGCCGCATGGAGCACGATTCACGATGCTCAATCCGAAGAGGGAAATCGGTCTTTGTCTTGTAGAGAATTGGCCACCTTGGGAAGAAGCAAAGCTGAATCGAGCATCGCTGAGCCGTCCCGTCCCCGAAGCATACGCCAGGATGTTCCTCTGAACCAGAGCAATTCCGAACCCGAGCAGCCGAAGGTATGTCTCCAGTGTATCCTCAAGCCAGCGTCACAGGAATCTTAGTCCTGTAAGATGCCAGGAAATTGTAATGTCGTGGTCCAGTAGCCTTCACTGGTGAGCCTGCGGCGGCAGGGAAAGATTGCTGGGAAAAGTCGTCAGCAACTGACAGCGAGCCTCACCGGCCGTCTGAGTTGGTAATTGGTAGCTTTGAGAGCGAACTAGTCTGTTAACATGACTCCACAGGGAAGCTCGCATGGAAAGTGTCAACTTCAAAGCAGCTGGTTATCGAAAGCGGACGGCATCCGGATTTGAGAGAATGGTGATTAAAATGTTGTAGAACGTTTCGGCACTTGCAGCATAGCGCAAAGGTACCGGATCCTCACCGAAATAGGAGTTCAGCCTCCAGCAAGAAACGTGGTGCCACTTGGTGCGGCAGCATTGAAAGTGGTATCGACTTCGACAAATGGGCAGCAGTGAAATGACGTGAAACTCCGAGCTGACCTCCACGCAATACTCAAGGACCTGCTGGTCTCCAGGATAACACCGTTCGGGGGGTTTTGTAGGCAAACGCCGCAATCCTCCGTCTTCGATCGTTTAGCGATCCAGCTAAAGTCTGCCAGAGGGAGCTCCAAACTGCATATCTTCTGGAAGCACCGGGCTTCAGATCTTCGGAGATGCAGATCGGGTGGTTGAGAGCTCGAGGGTCGGAAAGGAGCACGATATCGTTGCAAACTCTAGCTGGTGTGTGTTGATTGATTTCGACATCCCCCGCTCGGAAGCTTTCTCAATCGAGAATGACAGGAATCCTCTGGATAGCAATGATATCCACGACCCGTGCGTGGCAGATCAACATGGTCGAGATCATGTGTAAGGATCCTGCCGAAGGGACTAGGTCTGCTCCAGTCCATATCCATGAGTGCCGGCAAGGCTCAACAATGCGTCTTGATCGACGTGTGATGAGTGTATTCGAACGACAGTTTCCTCCTGAAGGCAAGATCTTATTTGAATGGAACTCCCGCTGCGGCACATTGGAGTCCGTGGCACRGGTATCCGGCGACTTATCCAAGCACGCACGGTAAAGACGGCCGCATCTAGAAGCTGAGTGCTTGGAACCCAAGGTAGCGCAGGAGGACCTCATCGACTCGAACGTTATGGCATGAGCTGCCCTCTCTTTGACACCATCTGCCGGACTGTTCCTTGAGTAGGTAGGTCTCTTTCTCCGTGACTATCTCGGTCGTCGTGGAAAAGACTGCGACTTGCTCTAGGAATGTCTGATTGTGTGAGTCCGGCGAGACTTCGTCGATGTGGAAAAATGATGTCCAAGATGGCCGCCAGGAGTCTCTCGGTAGATGTTGCTGGCTAAGGTAGGTTCGTCCACTTCCCCGCGAGAGCGATCGATGCAGATGCCGTATCACTGCTTCCTTTCTCTTTCCCTCTGAGATTTAAATGGCTTGCGAGATGGTGCGGTYGAGAATTGCAGGAGTCTTACGTTGTAGACGCTATTGTGGCTCCAACTGACTGAAGGCTTTGGCCTGAAGGACGATCGAGGTCGAGCTGCGGCCGTATCCTGGGTGGGCGTTGTGGATTAGCAGAGAATTTCTGCTGCTGGGAAATGGAAGAGAGGCTGTTCGAAAGCGGGAGAAATGTTGCTGATGGGGACGACAAAGTCAGAGAATGTCTTGAAATTGTCGGAGTTACATGTACTCTTCAAAGTATGCAGGTCAACGAGCCACATGCCCTCCTGTGCTAAAGGAATCAACTGATCTGAGACTAGCCAGCACTGAGCAGACCGCTCCGGCATCGACGGCATTCCACTGCATGACATCTATCGGAGCACTTGCAAATCATCCACCTGTCGTGGGCAGATGCTTCCAGAATCAGGCCGAATCTGCCGCTGCCGCTGCCGTCTGAAGCTGTCCTCAGACGAATGCAGCCTGATGGATCTTTCCGCTCCTCTTCCCTCCGCCCACTCTTACACCAACAGATGACCAGCATGATCACCACTATGTGTCGCCCAAAGTCGAAGACATGTCTCTTCATCCGATGTACTCACTGGACGCCAGCTCGCTGTCCGTCAGCTGTGTGCCCAACACTCCGCAAAGGCCCTGCTTACCCGCCGGCTTCCTGTTCCAATACCGCACACTCCCGTCCCTCCCTCCCTTGGAGATCAAGGACGGGATAGTCATAACGTATCGGTGTGGACATTGGAAAGAAGATCTGGCGTCACCTTGTTGGTGGGCTCGCCATGCTGCTTCGACTTCACGTCTGTGGTGCGATTGCTAATATGTGCAAGTGTATAGCCAGCGACAACCTCGCATAATGGCTCCGAAGCATCTTGCACACCACAATGGTCTTGGAAGTCCAAGAGTAAGAGTCAGGATCTCCGCTACCTCCCGCTGTAGGACAAGCAAGCTGCGTGGACTTGGGGTCACTTCGATGCATTTGGGAAAGATCACGGAACCTGGACTGAGCTGGTTCCTTTGTGCAAACGAGCCATCTTTCCAACCTCTAGCCTGCGGAGAACACAATCATCGGCGTCGTTGGCATTATTCGAGCGTCTCAGTCACCGACATCCCTTGCAATCATCACAGCTCTCGCGCGAGATCCTACTTCTTCTGCAAAGTGCCTATGAAACGACGAGTATCATACTACAGAGCTCCAAGTGCGCCGCCCAAAACTGGACATGAATATTTCCCTGCGGTGCTTCGCCAACAGCAAATACCTCTACCACCTACGGTCAAAGACACGAGCGGAGAAGCAGCGTATTCCCTAACCACTAACACCTCGACAATTGCCATGGAGCTTTCAACTACGGAGGTTGCTCCACCACTCTCATTCACTCTATGTGCCTCATCTCGAACATTTCCCAGCTCGGTTCATTGTTGGTGGATGAGAAATCGTTGTCTCCTCCGTTAAGAGAGAGCGCAAATGTTGGGCAAAGATTCTCTGGGGAGAAGACCGGCATCGTGGGAAAGAGCGAGGAGAACAGAACGCCGGAAGTTGATTTGTGCAGACTCTGGAGCAGGAGGAAAGCAAGAGACGCTCACCGATCGTTCCCCAGCTAAAGCGGAGCTGGAGGTACATGCCGGCAAGGAGGACACCGAGCCAACGAAATGAACGACCTTGAGCGCCGCCTCATCATCAGTGTGCTTCGCATACAGAAGAGATCGAAGGTATCTTCGACGCCTTGCCACCGGCGACCTACGGTAGGACATGGCAAGTCTGCCCCGGCTGCCACGTTCTGGCTAAGCAGGAAGGGGGCTCCTCCAATCGAGTGGTTTGCACTATACGTCTTCACTCACATGATGGGGATGTTGCGAGATCAGCAGCACTTCCCATCGACTCCCGAAGCGGTTCCGGGGCGAGCTATTCCACGATCAAAGCATTTACATGCCTACAATAAAAATCAACCAGAGAACGGACTCGTGCTGCCCTTCTCCACACCGACCGGTAGCCAGTAAGCGGACTCTGGGATCCTCCAGCAAGATTGATCCGAGCACAGCACGTGAATTGCGTTTGGGAGTTAGATCGCGAAGGGACGATCTTCGTACAACAAGCGATTGAAAWGAGTGAGGCGCCGCCGTACGCAGAAATGTGCGACTACTCTGTCCGGAGGATATATAAGAAGCTTCCCTGGATGAGGGCGAGGGCCGCCGCCGTCCAGATTGTCAAGCCGTCCTCGTAGCCACGCGCGAGAAGCACTCCAATCTCAAGCAGCGTACAGAGGACAGTGGTCCTCGTGAGCGTGGTATCAGCGACTTCAGCGCTGAGAAATYCTCACTCKACAAGGACCACATCAAGAAATGGGTCGGGCCCATGGAGGAGCTCGTTAAGCTGCCTCCTGCCGGATGCCATCATGTTGTTCGATGCCTTGACCCTGTCGCTCGAGAATCACTTAGATCTCTGACTTCCGTTTCTATTTCATGAACAACGTCTGGCGTGGCAAGCCACTCAACAGCGACGACGATAAGTGTCTAGCACGCTTTGTTTACAGCCTCGTCTAGAACATCGCGATCCGCCTCGGCCCACGAGCTGTTCCCGAGACAACCGTGGGTACTGGTTACAAGTACCTGGAACAATGCCAGCGTTGGAGCCGCGCCAACTGGCGTAGTAACCTCACCGTCATGGAGGATGAGAAGGAGCGGTGCTCGCAGGGCACGATCTACTTTGGATCCTTCCTGACTTCGCCTTCTCTGTGGGAGAGCCTGATGTAGAGACATTCCTGACCTGCGAGCTCTTCGAGCGGTGCTGGCGTTGAGGCTGTGCCTAGTCTACACTGCTCGTACAATCACCTCACACGGCTTTTCCCTTTCTATCAACTAGAGGCTGTTCACCTTGGAGACCTACTGCGGTTATGAGTACGACCTGGCGTGAAAATCATT